TATTGCGCTGATATACCATTCGTTGCTGTTGACATCAGCATAGTATAACGACTGGGCCATTGTTGGTCGCGATGCTTTTGCAGAATTCTACATGAACACTTCGACCCGCCTGCTGCCCTCCCTGGTTCAGTGCTGCGCTCGCTGTAGCGCGCTGCTAGACGATACGGCACAAGAGACTGATCTACAAACTGAGACATGCGATACTTCTGCACAAGGCTGTCAGGTTTGTACACTACTACTTCGTCAAATGCGTTGCAACGGGCACAGCGTGGGTAATGCAGATATCAAAGTAAGGCGACAAGGCGCAGCATTACGGGAAGAAGCGACAGGGGTATGTATACGACTTTGTCGTGATATAGGTTCGTCCTTGACTCCTCATTTACAATTCAGAAATGATACTCATGCATATATCCAACACAGCAAACCCAGATCAACCCTCAAGCCGGACTCCACTTGGCCTGCCAATTCTCCCAAGAGCAGACGACTGTCCGGATTTTGGGCTGCTGCGCGCATGGCTTAACTGGTGTGACGATAAACACAAGTGCAAAAAGGACCAATCTAATGGCAACGTGCCGTTGCCAACACGGCTTCTCTACGTCGGCGCGATGGACGACCCAAGTTATAATCCAGATTTCTTACGTCTTGATCTTGGCTCACAGATCCAAGCTGGGAGTAGGTACATGGCCTTGTCGCATCGGTGGGGTAAGCCGTCAGAAGAAGAGAAAAACAAGTTCTGCACATCTCAGCGCAACATTAACAAACGACTGAAAGGATTCAGTCTATGTGACCTGCAAAAGACTTTCCAGGATGCTGTCGAAGCGACGCGCCAGCTGCGCATTCCGTATCTATGGATCGATTCTCTCTGTATCATTCAAGTTGGAGATGGCGGCGAAGACTGGCGTCGCGAATCTCAGCAAATGGAAAGGACCTTTTCAGCCGCTTACTGCACAATTGCTGCGACTTCAGCTACCGACTGGAGCAAAGGGTTTCTGGAGCGAGCTTGGACTACCGAATCTCTGTACGTTGAGAGTGCTGCGGGCCAGCAGGTCTATGTCAGCACAGACATTGATGACTTTGACATTGATGTGGGGGGTGCAGAGCTCAACAGGCGAGCATGGGTGATGCAGGAAAGTGTGCTGGCACGACGAACGCTTCATTTCACCGCCAAGCAAATTTACTTTGAATGTGGCGAAGGTGTCTACTGCGAGAACCTTGTCAAGCTAGAATGGTAAGTACCAAGCGATATCTTGGCTAACAAGGCGCTGACTATATCTCTTTAGTCAGCCATACCAGAGGAAAGACTTTACGCTTGATCCAAACTTCCCAAGACGGCTCCTCTATGCAGGTCGCAGAAAGACTGCAGAGTTCATTCGCTTGCTTATTGAGGACTACTCAAAGCGGGCACTTACAAAGCAAACTGACAGATGTGTTGCAATGTCTGGGTTGCATACTCGTATCGCTCGCATGATTGGCTGTGATGGCAGATATGGTACTTTGGAGGCATACCTTCACAGAAACCTCCTCTGGTACGCGTCTGATCGCAAGCTGCAGAAGATAGAGCATGATAGCTATGTGCCATCGTGGTCATGGATGGCATACAACGGAGGCGTTCGCTTCCAGGACGAGGAGGAGCTACGTTTCAGCCACGTGCGATGGATTACAAATCTCCGCTTCGATGAGCATTGCGATTATGCACTGATCGCCGACGTAGGAAAGTTCCAGGATTGCACGATAGAATCAGAGGGGAGTCGTTATGCTGTTCTCGATCTTTCCAAGACAAACAGAGGATGGATCCTGTACGATATCGAGGACGGTAAGAACCTTCTCGAGGAACACTGCGTTGTTGTGGGAAGCACAGAGAACATCGAGGACTACTACATACTACTCGTTAGACCCACTGCTGTGGACGGCGAGTATGAGCGAGTTGGGATGGGGAAGGTGTCAAAGAACTGTCTCGTGAGAACCCGGGCCGATGTGCGAGTGGTATGAATCCATCGCGTTCAGAAACCATGGGGGAACAGGTTGATGTTGATTCAGGCGTATATTTGGATTTCACATTCGCTCTTACGCTTGAGTTTTGTCTACGCTTCGTCTGCCTTGAGATTATTTCATTGCACATAAAACAAACTTTGAGGGTTGCTTTGTACGACATCCTGCTGGGTAACAACGTGAAAGGATTTGCAGACACCTTTTTTTTGGAAACTTCAAGGACAAGATCAGTGCCAACTCAATTAGTGGCGCAGCAATTGTAAACTACGAGTTGTGTATGCGAAAATTGGTACATTGTGAAGCAAGCGGAACGGCAGGACAGCAGGCGAGTGTCAGGTGACCTTGAGCAGCACAGGGTGGGGCCAAGAAACCTGCACAGGTGGCTGGTGGTAATCAGACGCTTCCAGAAACCAGCCATCCTGCGCCACAGCTCTAGAGACATCTAAGCACGCTACTGCATGCCAAGAGCAGCTAGAGCTCTGTGCCCTGTTAGATAGGTTTTGACAATCTTGAGACTGCCAGAACATGAGATGGTACAATTGATCTTGTTTCGCTTTCGAACACGCTGTGATTCTCTCGCTGTAGCAAACACGCTTCATGCTGCCAGACTTGGCCCAGCTCCAAGGTCTGAAAACGCCGTTGTGCGCCAAGTAAAAACCGCCTACCATGCCCGCATCGCCACGAGACTCAAAAGTCGTTGTCGGCGTCCATGTCTTCGTCTCCCGCTTCGATGAACACGAGCCTCGTGCCTTCGCCGGCGGTCTGCCAGACCTGTGCATGCCCGTTAGCGCGTGTAGCGTGACGCCAGGATGGGTGGGACTTACATCGAGCATCGAGTACTCGTCGACGGCCTGCTCGAACTGGTCCGCGGTGAAGCCCTTGGCCAGCACGCGTTCGCGGACGCGGCGAAGATCCAGCTCGCCTCGTGTTCCGTCGCCGAGGGCCGCGGCTCCGCTGGCCTCCATAGACTTGATGAGGTGGTAGATGTTGCTGCTCGGAGTGCGGTCGTCCCGGCGATTCTCGTCCACGTACAGGCTGGCTTTGCTGACTTCGGTCAGACGGAGCGCCTCGTCGACGTCCTCGGAAATGACCTCGTCCGCGAATCGCAGACGGGCCAGGGCCTGCGCGAGACGCAGGATGCCAAGCAGCGTGCGGGGCGATGTGTGTGTGAAAGCCTTCTTTGAGCCTTCGTCTCGCTTCTGCTGCTGGCGCATGCGAACGTACGCGCCAACCATGTAATCCGAGACGGGCTTTGGCACCGTGGGCCGGTACGAGCGGGCGCGGGCAACCCACTGCCGGACCTCGGCAGGGCTGAACACGACGCCTCCAGCAGCCTCGGGGTGAGCGTTGTGCATGTGGACGTAGGCGACGTGGCGCGCCAGCTCCTCGTCCGAGTCTCGCGAAGGGGTATCTAGAATAAGGAAGAGTACGTCGAAGCGGGACAGGAGCGCAGCGGGGAGGTTGATGTTCTCGACCGGGGAGATGCGAGGGTTGTAGCGGCCGTAGAGGGGGTTGGCGGCGGCGAGGATCGATGTGCGAGCGTTGAGCGTGGTGGTGATGCCGGCCTTGCTGATGGAGATGGTCTGCTGCTCCATGACCTCGTGAATGGCGGTCCGGTCGCTGTCGTCCATCTTGTCGAACTCGTCGATGCAGCACATGCCGTTGTCGGCCAAGACAAGAGCGCCGCCTTCGAGGACCATTTCGTCAGTGACAGGATCGCGCATCACGGCAGCCGTCAGCCCCACGCCGCTGCTACCGCGGCCGGTCGTGTAGACGCCACGGGGGGCCACCTTGGTGATGTACTTGAGAAGTTGCGACTTGGCGACACCAGGGTCGCCCATCAGGCAGACGTTGATGTCGCCACGGATGCGCATCCCGTCCTTGACCTCCTTTGTGACGCCTCCAATGAGCTGCAAAAGGAGCGCCTTCTTCACGTCGACGTGACCAAAGATCTCGGGGGCAATCGAGCGCGAGAGGTACTCGTACAGCTGGCCGGACCTCTCGAGCTCCTTCATCCTCTTCAGCGTGGGCTGCGCAAGGACCATGTCGTCGTAGGCCTTTTTGTGCTGCACCACCTGCTGGGCCTCGAGGTACGTGTCTGTGAGCAGTCCAGCGCGCATGGCCTTGAAGCCTGTGTAGGGGGTGGGAAGGAAGATGCCAGCGACGTCGACGACGTCGCCGGGGTTGACGCTGCGCACGAGGGCACCGTGGCAGTGGATGGTGAGCTGGCGAGGAATGTGCCCAACGGGAACCTGGTCGGCCATCTCCTGGATCTTGACTTCCTGGAAGGGGAGGAACTTGGAGGCCCGCGTCGACAGGAACAGCTGGCCCTTGGTCTTGTTGTTCTTGCAGTCGACCGACGGGCACTCGACGAGCGGCGTAAACTGCTTTGTGCTGACGGGCTGGAAGACTTCGCTGCCGCAGCGGTCGCACGAGTAGGCGTTGACGAGCACGGCAGGCTTGACGTCGGACACCCTGGTCGCAATACCGCGCACGGTGATGAGCTGGCCCAGGTGCTCGCCCTTGACGTTGCGCACGGCGAGAGCCTTGGCGGGGCGCTGGCTGCTGGACGCGGATGCCGTCCTGGGCGCCAGGTTGAGCGTGTACCGTCGAGTCAAGGCCGCGGGGAAGATGGACTCTGGCTCGGCTTGCGCGCTGTCCTCGACGCCCTGCAGCTCTTGTATCCTCTCGTTGCGCTTCGACCGCTGTGTCATGATGACGTCGAGGACATTGTCCTTGAAGCTGTGGGGTGTCAGTACCACGGCTGGCGCTGTGTGCTACGGCTCGTACTTGATCTCGCGCGTGGGCGGCGGCAGGCACTTGTCGACGGCTCGGGACAGGATCTCGAGGTAGTGGTGGGCGTTGCGCTCAATCGACTCGACGAGCCTGTAGTTGGTCTCGTCGTCCACGGTGGCCCGCTCGTACTGCGGGCATGGGTCAGCGCTGCCCACGTCCCCCGGCACACGGGTCTACGTACGGCGTCGACGTCGTTTAGCTCGATGAGTATGTCGCTGCGCACGCGGTTCGCGACGTCCTGCAGCATGTCCATGTACTTGCTCTTGGACCGGCGGGCGCGCTGCGACGGGGCCGGGCCGTCCGAGTCGTCGGCCATGTCGCACTCGTCGTCGTTGGCATTGCCGCCGAGGGTCAGGCGCTCCAATTGCTCTTCGGCGGCGGTCGACGACGACTTGAAGTGCTTCAGGAAGTCGACAAAGGCAGCTGTGCACGTTCAGCCAGGGCCCGCTATGTGTTGCGCGGTGTTGCGCATTGTTGCACTGTGTTGCGCATTGCTGTGCATTGCTGCGCATTGCTGCGCTGTGCTGCGCTGTGCTGCGCTGTGTTTGCCGTGTTTGCGCCGTGTTTGCGCCGTGTTTGCGCCGTGTCTGCGGGTCTACGCACCTTCCTGCTCCTCGTAGTTGACGAGTGCCTTCTCGGTAAGCAGCGCCATTGCGTCTCGGGGTGTTTGCGGGAGAGAGGCGTCGGGTCGGATGCGGGCGAGTGGCCGCGTCGAGTGTGGAGTGTGGAGCGTGTCGCGGGGAGGGAGTCGAGAATTCGCGAAGCGCGTTGCTGCACGCCAACGCCAGCGCGCCCGCGTCGCGCAGGGCAGCCCCGTCCCGCCCGGGCGCCATTGGCCGGCGCTGCTCGCTTGACCAGCGTCAATGTAGCCTCGGCTGGTGGGAGCTCATGCGTCGGGCTCTGCATACATACATGTCGAGCCGACGCTGTGCTTCTGACGCTTCACGCCCTCGCCCTCCTCGCCCTCCTGTCGACCTCTCGACCTCCTGTCGACTTCCTCCCCACCTCTCGACCTCCTCCCGACCTGTCGACCTCCGCCCCCGCCCATGATGCCGCCGAAGAAGCCGGCGGGCAGCATTGTCCAGGCCGAGGTCGCCCTGCACCAGTCGCTGAAGAACTGCCTCGTCAACCTCCCGGCCTCGCTCGTCTCGGTGCTCGTGAACGCGAACGCGGTACGCAGTCTCCTGCCATTGCGCCTCGACCGCACTGACTCACGTGATTCAGGTCGCGCAGAATGTCGTCGTCGAGCTCTCCTACCGCCAGCCGCCGCCGTCGGGCGCCTCGGATGCGCGCAGCGCCTCTCCGCCAAAGTCCGTCTTCGTCGGATGGACGGGCATGCAGAGCAAGCGCAGGCTCGCCGCCGTCGTCGATGGGACTGGCTTGCGGAACAGCCCGGCGGCCAGCCAGCAAGACGTCGCTGCCGTCGAGGTCGACGCCGCTTTTGCCCGCCTCATCGGCCTGGACGAGGGACAAAAGGTCGGCGTTCAGCTGCACCTCGACCCCCCGCAGGCCCACACCATCAACATTGAGCCGCTGACACCCGTCGACTGGGAGATGATTGAGCTGCACGCCCAGTTCCTCGAGCTCAACTTCCTCTCGCAGATCCGCGCCCTGCCCAACCCCCAGGCGCAGACGCCGCACCCGGTGACGCTCCATCTCTCGCCGACCACGACGGCAAACATCGTCGTCACCTCGCTCGCGCCTGCGCCGCCCGCAGCCTCGCTGTTTGCCAAGATCTCGCCCGACGCCGAGGTCGTCGTCGCCCCCAAGACACGCCAGAAGCCAGATCGCAGCTCGGCGAACCGAGAGAGCCGAAGCGTCGGCGCTGCCTCTCGGAAGAGCGGGAAGAGCGCCGCGAGCACAGTGCGCCGCCGGAGCGGCCGCGACCAGGCGCCGAGCAAAGGCGCCGTCTTCCTCAGAGGAGTGGACCGCAGTGTGGCTCAGGACTGGTTCGACGAGGACGAGGACGAGGGCGCCGGCGCCGCGGGCCTCGCGATCTGGGTCGACAAGCATCTTCTTCTCACAAACGCACTCAGGGGGGCAACATGGGTCTCGGTGGCTGTCGTCAAGCCCGCTGGACTGCAGGAGCCTGTGGACATGTCGAAAGAGCACCCCCAAGACAAGGTCGCTGCCCGCGTCGTTGCAAGGATAGCCGCCTGGGAAGACGCCCCAGACAGCCGCCACGTGGCGCTCTCCACTGATCTGTGCAGAGTCCTCGGCTGTGAAGGCTTCGTGGGCGGCCTGGTCCGTATCGAAGGCGCACCCAGTCAGACCCCGAAGCCGTCGGCCATCAAGCCCACGAATCCAGCCTCGAGAGAGTCGAAAGACCCCGTCGTCAAGTCGCTCAAGGTCTTGCCATTCTCTGCAGCTGCGTCGCAGAGCAACGCAAACCTGAGGTTCGGCGCTGAGTCGAAGCAGGAGCAGGAGGCTGCCATACAAAGGCTGAAGACCATGTACGGCAAGAAGAACGGCCTCTTGGACGGCCCAGTCACAGACGGCATGGTTCTGCCTCGAGGGGCAGACTCGGAATCCACCTGGCAAGGAGGCATCGTCCGGTTCGAGCCACCTCAGCCGTCGAGCGGAACATCGTGGGTGCTCTTCCCGGAACGTAAGCCTGCCATTGAGCTGGGAGCCGAGGTTGCGCCACCGTCGAGCTGGGCCAGAGGCTGGCAGCAGGGCGACCCGTTGCCGAGCACTCGTCCAGAACTGGTTGGCATCGATGCTCTCGTCGGCCAGTTGCGCTCGCACCTCACTCACAGCTCATCGGTCCTGCTCAGTGGTGGGCTCGGGGCTGGCAAGTCGCAATGCGCCCAGCTGCTTGCGCACCAGCTGCGCACAGAGTATCTGTTCAACACCACCTACTTCCCTTGCCGCAAGCTCGTGACAGACGACACACGAGTCGCAACCATCAAGGAGACACTGGAGAGGCTCTTCGCGACAGCCGCGTGGAGTGCACGCTCGGGCGGCAACTCTGTGGTCATCCTGGATGATCTAGACAAGCTCTGTCCGGTCGAGACGGAGCTTCAAGTGGGCAACGAGAACGGCCGCAGCCGGCACGTCAGCGAGAGCATCGTCTCCCTCGTGAGGAAGTACTGCTCGATCGACTCTGGCGTTGTTGTGCTTGCCACGGCACAGGGCAAGGAGGCGCTCAACAACGTCATCGTAGGCGGCCACATTGTCCGCGAGATGGTCAGCCTGAAGGCGCCGAACAAAGATGGCAGACGAAAGGTGCTTGAGAAGCTCGCCTTCAAGGACGCTCGGCCTCAGTCATCCGCGCCCCTAACGAACGGACACGCCTTCCCGCCGTCGCCGTCGAACAGCAGACCGAGCACATCGCACCGCAGCCACTCTAGCGATGGCGGCGACCAGCACGGCCAGTCCAACGACCAACACGGCCAGTCCAACGACTTTGGCTTCGTCGTTGATGCCAGCATCGACTTCCTCGATCTGGCCGGACAGACTGACGGCTACATGCCCGGCGATCTCGTCCTCCTCACTTCGCGAGCCCGCAACGAAGCGCTCATCCGCTCCGTCAACGACACGGGAAACACGGTCACTCTGACGAGAAACGACTACGCGTCAGCCATCAGAGGCTTCACTCCCGCCTCCCTCCGAAACGTCACCCTGCAATCCTCGACGACCAAGTGGGACTCGATCGGCGGCCTGACGGCAACACGCCAGATCCTCCTCGAAACCCTCCAGTACCCAACGACCTACGCCCCCATCTTCGCCCAATGCCCGCTCCGCCTGCGCTCCGGCCTGCTCCTCTACGGGTTCCCCGGCTGCGGCAAGACGCTCCTCGCCTCGGCCGTCGCGGGCGAATGCGGTCTGAACTTCATCTCGGTCAAGGGCCCCGAGATCCTGAACAAATACATTGGCGCGTCGGAGAAGTCGGTGCGCGACCTCTTCGAGCGCGCCGAGGCAGCGCGGCCCTGCGTGCTGTTCTTCGACGAATTCGACTCGATCGCGCCCAAGCGCGGGCACGACTCGACGGGCGTCACGGACCGCGTCGTCAACCAGCTGCTCACGCAGATGGACGGCGCCGAGGGCCTGAGCGGCGTCTACGTGCTCGCCGCCACCTCGCGCCCGGACCTGATCGACCCTGCGCTGCTGCGCCCAGGCCGGCTGGACAAGAGCCTGCTGTGCGACATGCCCGACGTCGAGGAGCGCATCGACATCCTGCGCGCCGTGACGCGCAAACTGCACCTCGCGCCCTCCATCCTCGGCACGGCGCCGTCCGGCCAGAACCTCCGCGAGATTGCGCAAGCCACCGACGGCTACTCGGGCGCCGACCTGCAGGCCGTCGTGTACAACGCGCAGCTCGAGGCCATCCACGACGTGCTAGGCGACACGGACCTGAGCGCCCCCGCGCCGGGGTCCAAGGGCGAGGCCAATACCGATAAGGGAATACCGGACTTCACATACTTCCGCTACGACGACACCGCGCCCTCCAACCCCACAGAACGCGCCCTCATCGCCCAGAAAATAAGCGCCCTGCACTCCCTCCGCCGCGCCCGCAAAGCACTCACCCGGCCCCCGCCCTCCTCTTCATCCAATCCCCTGTCCACCATCCCGGACACCGACGCCGACGCCGACGCCGATGCCGCCGCCGCAGACAGGAAAGAACCGCAGATCCAATGGCGACACATTGCGCGCTCGCTCGCCGCGGGACGTAGCAGCATCAGCGCGCAGGAGCGGGTGCGGTTGGCGCGTATTTACAGGGAGTTTGTCGAGGGCCGGGACGGGAATCTGCCGTCTGGGCAGGGGGGGAGTGAGATTGGGGGGAGGTCGAGTTTGATGTAGAGCTTGCATGGAGAATGCGGAGGGCGTGTGTAAAGTGTGGTGTAATGGATATTGATGGAGTGTGGTGTATTGGATATTGATGGAGTGTGGTGTATTGAATATTGATGGAGTGTGGTGTAATGGATATTGATGGAGTGTGGTGTATTGGATATTGATGGGAGTGTTTGTGGGATATTGACGGAGTGTTTGTGGGATATTGACGGAGTGTTTGTGGGATGTGTTTGTATGTATATGGAATCAAGGAAGATGTCATTGCACATGCAGCATATGGCGTTGTAACCGCCACGGACAAAGTGATGCGCAGATGATGCGCAGATGCAGATGCAATGCAGAAGACATATTTCCAAGCACACCCACACGCTACCTGTCTTCGCCACGAATCAAGCTCAATTCGCACGCCCCACCGCTGTGCCACATCACTGCAATACACTCCACGCCCCTTCCACTAGCGTTCCTCTCCGCGCATCTACTTCGACACAGCAGCCTTGGCCTTATCCGCAATGCTCTCCACCTTCCCCCCAACCTCGCCAGCAAGCGCCTTCGCGTCTTTCCCGCCAAAGTGGAAGTAGTTGAGGTACCGGTACCCCTGAACAAGCTGGGAACTGAGGTTAATTGCATGGCATCCGAACAACAAATAATTCGCGGGCGAGACGGCGAGCGCGTAGCGCATGAAAGTCGCGGAGTAGAGGGTTAGGGCGCCGGTCATGCGGCCTGAGATACTGTGGGTTGGTTAGTACAGTACAGTACAGGGGTCATGTGAGAGAGAATGAGAAGAGGGCGGGTGTGAGGAGAGGGTGGGCGGGAAAGGCAAGCGTACATCTCCGGGTCTTTGCTCATATCCGCGATAGCAGCAATCGGGATACCGAAGTTGCTAACAGGGCCCCAGAAATCTGCCTTTGTCAGCTTCAATTCCACTCCATCCCCATCTTCTAGCATGCCGCCGGACCCGGAATCAGCTTCCAATCCCCCGGCATCCATCAATGCCGTCTCCTCTATTCGCAAGCTGGGGACGTCGGAAGCGGGCACGTACGGGTCGAGCACACGTAGTCGGTGTACTTGTTTGAGCGGATCTTCGCATTGAGGGCTTTGATTGCGGCGGCCATGGCGGGCGGTGTGTACGGCGAGGTCGACGGGCGAGAGGTGTTGCGCGTTGGTCCTGGGTGGAGCTCGGAGCCGCAATCTTTGGTCGTGAGATGCCCGTGGATCCGTGCTTGGCGCGGCCGCCGCTGCGGACGACCGCTTTTCGGAGTGTCACGTGCGCATGTCGGCCTGGAGTTATCAATGACATTCAACGCGTGTGCTAGATTTTGAAGAGGCAGTGAGATGGAGTACATCTTTGGTATTGTAGGTCATGCGCCCGACATGTAGCGGCTTCTAGATAGAACATCCAAACGGATCGCTTTTGAGTCTGCATCACCCTTCCAAACAGCTCCAACACACCCATCATGCGCCTGGGATCTGCTGCACCTGGTCGCAGCCATCACATTTGACTACCCCCAACTCATTTCACGTCCTTCGTACGCCGGCGCGCATGCTGCTCTTCCCAGATCCATCGTGCAGCGCAGAGTGAGGCGGATCGCTGAGAAAGAAACTCGGTTTTGTGGGCTTCCTACACTTCTATCGTCCACCAAAGCCGGGAGGGCCACCGCGTCCCTGGAAGCCAGGTGGGCCGCCGAAGCCTGGAGGCCCGCCGAATCCAGGAGGTCCGCCGGCAGGAGGGAATCCAGCTGTGAGATGTTAGCTATTCTTGCTCTGACAAAAGCTTGTGCACAGCTTACGCGGTCCGCCTGGGGGTCCTCCACGTCCACCAAAACCAGGAGGTGGTCCTCCAAAGCCTGGTGGGCCACCGAAGCCTGGGGGTCCGCCGAAACCAGCACCGGGTCCTCCAGCGCCAGGAGCAGGTCCAGTCAGACCAACTGGCAGGCCACGTCCTGCGGGGCGTGCGACACCAGGTCCAGCAGCCAGAGTCGCAGCAGTCGAAGGTCCGCCGGAGGCTCCTCCCAGTCGCGCAGCAGGGTCGGCAGGCGGCGGTCCATCCACGGACAGCGAGATGACGTGCGCGCCGCGAATGATGGTGAGTCCAATGGCGCGTCGCTCCTCAGTCTCGGTGACCTGCTGGGTTGCGCCGGGCGCGGCCTTTCCCCTTCGTCGTGTGCGTCGGAACTCTTCTGTGTCGGCGAGGACGAGGTTCATGTGCTATAAAATCGATTAGGAGAGTCTCTGTGAAGCGACCAGACAACATGCCTTGTCGAATGCGAGCATCTGCCCGACCATCTGCCTGCCGTCTTGAAGTGTCACCTTCATGCGGTAGTTGATCTGCGCATCGTGAGTTCGCGTGACTTGGAGCGGATTAGAGGGCGCTTACTAGGTTTTGCTGCATCAAAGCACGTCAGTCAGTTTCTATACGCGTCTTCTCTCAGGTCCAGGATTCGAGCGTCCAGGCGGAAGAACTTACCATCTTGCCCTGTCTGTTGGCGGCGGCCATGATTGTTGTTGCGCGTCCGAGGACGACTTGAGTCTCAAAAAATAGGTGACCGAGTGTATCTGCGCAACCCCTTCCTACGTGTGTCGGTGGGGTGGATCAACGATGTTCGAGCTCGAACATCAACGACGTGCAGCTCAAAGTTGCAGAGGCCGCACGGACTGCGCCAATCCGGCTAGCGCACAGCAAGCATGACAGGAGTGGACCGCTAAGCGAGGAAGCTGCAACCCACGGCTGAAATTCAACATCGCAGTTTCCTTTCCGACAGGCTTCTCGACAGCATCGCCAACTAACACCCGCAGCAGTCACCATGGTATGCGCCCGCCCACGACAGCAGCACCGCAATCGAATGCTAACCGTCATGTCAGTCCGACTCCAAGGCCTCCAACCCCATGCGGGAGCTTCGCATCCAGAAGCTCGTCCTCAACATCTCCGTCGGCGAGTCTGGTGACAGGCTCACTCGTGCCGCCAAGGTGCTCGAGCAGCTGTCCGGTCAGACTCCCGTCTACTCCAAGGCCCGCTACACCGTCCGTACCTTCGGTATCCGCCGTAACGAGAAGATCGCCGTCCACGTCACCGTCCGTGGCCCCAAGGCCGAGGAGATCCTCGAGCGCGGCCTCAAGGTCAAGGAGTACGAGCTCCGCAAGCGCAACTTCTCCGAGTCCGGCAACTTCGGTTTCGGTATCTCCGAGCACATCGACTTGGGCATCAAGTACGACCCCAGCATTGGGTATGTTAAAGTCGTCGAACGAAGGAAAGAAAAGACGTTCGCTAACACGGCGCAGTATCTACGGCATGGACTTCTACGTCTGCATGACCCGCCCCGGTGAGCGCGTCGCCAAGCGCAGGCGCTGCCAGAGCAAGATCGGTGCCTCGCACAAGGTCAACCAGCAGGAGACCGTCAAGTGGTACAAGAACCGCTTCGAGGGCATTGTCCGATAAGCGTGTCGACTAGGGCGAAGAGCGTACGAAATGAAGATTCTGAACGATTCACCAGCATATTCCGTCTCGGAGGGTTTGGTCCTGCGGAGTCCCGGAGTGTACTTAAAAGAGCAAGCATTGAACTTGCAAGTTCAGGCCTATCAATGGAGCTGACCTCGTCTCGAACGAGCGGGTCTTCGATCACATTACAATGGAGGCTTCACTTGGGTGATGTTCCGCATAACCATTGGTGATCATTTCACGATGCCCTTGTCCTCTGCATGTGCTGTGTTTGTCTCGGTGCGACTGACATGATCGACCAGAACCCTACAGCCCGTCTATCCGTCTATATACCCAGGCAATATACTAATTGCCATACGTCAGCAGCGCGCTGTCTCTGCTGATCTAGTGACGCACCATGTCAATCTGATGTACACTAATGGTAGGTATGACTATCGCTGGCACAGAGTCACAATCTTTGATCAGTCTGTTCAATCTACGCCATGATCACGAAAGCTGAGGGCACCAGTCTGTTACCTAGCGAATGTGATCGGGCCATATGACCTTACGATCACTGTTTTCGATTTCGTATGCTATAGATAGGAAAGAAGCACAAGTCATTGCTATCGACCGTCATCTCTTTGGTATAAGTTAAATAGTATTTGACGCCTGACAAGATGGCCATGTATCGAGATGCCCTGTGGCACCGCGCCTTCCTCACGAACGCGCAAGCCTCCTGCCCTCATCCGCAGCCTAGCGCCGCCCAACATTAGGTCCTCGTTACGTCCACAGCCATTGTCCAGCAGCATCCGCACATGCACTTGCTAGGTGTCTCTACGAGCAGATCTGCCTCTCAGCTGTCGATACCGAAATTGCGAGGAGCACACCCATGTCGAGCAACAATGAAGTACAAGCATGGTAAGTTGGCTCACCCCGCTCACAAGATCCGGATAGCCATCATAGAGCCTGTTGCTCTTATCGATTCGATCGTCGTACGCTACATCTGTAGAAGACTCAAAGTGTGCACTTGTAGTCCTAGTAGTGCACGCGGTGCTGACGCGGGTATAAGATGACGGCCCTTCTTACGTAGCCCTTTATTTGTCGGAGTGAGCTCAGGTCAGACGTCCGGGACTATTCTGATAACAAAGAACCTGGATACTGCCCTTGGACCCCTTCGCTACGGGTCGACGCACTGTGCATCAACCAAATGGACATTGAAGAGAAGGGCGTCCAAGTCCTCAATATGGGAATCATCTTTTCAAAAATACTACGCGTGATATCCTGGCTGGGCCCTGAGGAAGCTGATAGCAATGAAGCAGTAACACTACTGCAGAAGGTGGCCCACGAGATCCATGTAGCTTGGCACACTTTCAAGATATGGCCGCGAATCCAGGATGAGCCAGGAACCCTGAACCTCTTCGCTCGCTGGATATTCGAAGGATGAAAAGAGCAGTCTTCGAGACTGATAGAAATAAGGGGCGGTCTGAGGCGGTCTGCTGAGGAATATCAGTCGGTCTACGGCATGCTGATGCGCCCCTATTTTCGAAGAGCTTGGATCGTGCAAGAAATTTGGCGTGCACAACGCGTTCTCTTCCAGTATGGCTCCACGATTCTAGCAGAGGACGATTTCTGGAAGGCGGTCTATTGCTTAAGCCAGAAGAGTGGACCGAGGACCTCCACGCCTCAATACTGGCGGTAAGCACTAAAAGACTTCTTGAAGCTCGCATACCTCAGAGCTCGGGAGGAGATAGCATCGTTCGTCGGCCTTCGCCGGTATGCGGGCGGTGCCTTGTGTCGCGACCCTCGTGACAAAATATACTCGACACTGGGTTTCATGGATCCGCTAGTACAAGATCTTCAGACACAGCCAACATATACAGGCAAGGTAGAAGATTTATGCATGGCTGTAGCGCAGCGTATATATACGGCGGGTCCTTGTCTGGATTTGCTTGAAGCCTGTGAGCTTTCATCCAGATCACTAAACCTACCGTCGTGGGTCCCTGACTGATCTTGCCCATTGGTTTGCGAGGAATATCTTCCATCGAGGCAGAGCGCCCGTGCATGGATTGCAAGTCAACCAAGCTTCCATCAAATGGGCTTGCGCTGTAACGTGTTGGGGATGTCTATCGCCCAAGTCACGGAGCAGGACTCACTGAGTAGAGAGACACCAACTACCACCGGAGAGGTTTTTAAATTCACCAGGAACGCAAGACCGTCTGTGCAGAGCTCTGCCCACTTATACACGACGGGGGCCAAGCTTTGCTTGAAGCATACTGCCGCACTCTCATCGCAGATGATTTCCGAGACAACCATCAACTACACCTTGCAGACTGTGGCCTCTCAGACCTGGAATAAAGTCTGGCACTGCTGAGATTAGCCTAGACCCAGCAAACAAGCGACACAGAATAGGAAGACGCGGTGGACATTCCAAGAAGCTATTTCCACACCGTACATAGAGCCACCAAGAATCGGCGAATCTTTAGGACAAGCCATGGTCACGTCGGCCTTGCGCCTCTCGAAACCAGAGTCGGACTGCACATGCAAGATGCCACTCTCGCATGAGCCAAATGCCAGTCCCAGGTCTCAGGACCAGTATAATATCATGGTCTGCAAGGAATCCATGAGCGTGATGCTCACAAGCAGAACGTCGTTGCTGGACTCCATCGGTCGAGACTAGAACGAGTCTGTATGTCTGTGCGTGAATCCTTACAGACCTCTACAGAATTACTTTTGTGCCGCCAGCCGTCTCTGACCGGGAAATCGCTGCATCCCGCGGCGTGCCCGTCGAACAACCCCAACCTCTTCTGCGACCGCCTCTCGACAACCCCTACTTTCCCACCCAGCCACCGGGCCTCACGAATAGTCCACTGTCCACGCGCTGTGGCACCTGTATGACGCAACGCACACTGCCTCGCACGCCGAGCGGGTGGCACAGGGGGCACGAGAAGCACCGGGCGCTTACAGGATTTCGAACACGGGCGCCACCATCTCCACTGAAGCCGTTGAGCGGCGAGACGCCGTGGCGACGCATCATGGACCAGTGGTGAGGTCATTTGTACTTCACGATTGCTGGAGAGTAGGAGGCGGCGGTTGTAATACTTTGATTTGTCTCAGACATGCATTCTGTCTTTGCACACTGCATACTATCACTCAATCACATGCCTAGTGATCGACATAAACTCAAACGCAAAGGTATCTCGCGGAGATTTTCAAGGAACAACGACAAAAGGGAAGTTGCGTCCCAACACCTCATATATCCAAAGGAAAAATGTACAAAAGCACCCGTGATCGCTAGCCATGCCTAAATGACCCTGATCTCAGATTGAAGAAGAGAAAAATAACGATGTGCGATGTGCTATACTGCTTGAGCTAGGAAATATACACACGGATGGCTTATCGCGTCATGTTGGGACCGAAGTCGAACCCCTGTTGTTGTTGGGGCGGCGGGTATGAGGGCGATGCCAGTGGTGTGTAAGCTCCCGGGATGGGGACAGCAGCGTACTGCTGCTCACCCGGTGCGGCGGCCATGTGGTCGTTATGTCTCTCTGGTCCTGGAGATAGAAGAGGCATTGGTGGTGAGACAGTCTGTGTGCGCGCAGGCGCGTCGAAGCCGTCCTGACTGATCTTTGGTGTTGCACCAGTGACCTTGATTGGCGGCGCTTGCAATGTGAACGGTTGTGGCTGAACAATCTCACGGATCTGAGCGTACTGGACCTTGCCATCCTCGCTGTCGTGAGCCATGCCATTAGGGTCCACGTAATCAGGATGTCCTGGAGGTGGACGCCAGCCGCCTGAGCGGGGCGAAAGCGGACCAAATCCTGGGGTGTTTGGTGCTGACTGCGAGCGGAGCTGGGCAAGGTAAAGATCGGAGCGGGCCTTGTCGCGGACAGCCATAGACTTCCTGAGCTTCCTCTTGGACCAGAAACGGTAGAAGACGATGCCATAGATGACGATGCAGAGGACCTCGATGACGACTTCAATGATGCAGCAGACAAGTGCCCAGTTCTGAAGGCGGCAGACAAGGCTGTAAGATATATCATCTTCAAACAGGTGCCGTCTTTTGTTGTCGACGCAGGACCAACCCCACATATCCTTGTTGTTGTTCTGCGCTTTACTTTGATTGAGGACAGCTGCGCCTACAGCCCACATGATGATGCTGAAGATGAAGAATCCAACGGCGAAAATGGTGTAGTAGGCGGCAACTTTCTCGGCTCGGTTGTGACCTCCCCGGCAGTATGCGATCATAACCGTGACAGACATGACGAGCGAGATAATAGCGATGACCAGGAGGAGGATCTGAGGCCAAGTCTTTGTGTTTTCGGCCCACGGTGGAAGGTTGTTGCGCTTTGGTAGTGACTTTGTTGCGTGGAAAATAGTGAGAGCTGTTGCGAGCATGGAAAGGACAATGAGACTGCAAGCGAAGTTGATGCCACGAAGGAAGATCTTTGCGATCCTTACTCGGACCTTGACTTTCTACTCGTTGTTAGCTACACTCAATTGGTATTTCGCGGTGCGAACTTACAATGTCCTTTGCCTGCTCCTTCTCCAGAGACGATTCTTGTTTCTCGAGATCCCGTTCCTCCTTGAAGGTAGGGCTCAATATCATGCTGGGCCGACCAGGTGTCCGTGGTGGCGCACCAGGCGACTTCAACGCACTCTTCAGGGGGGCACCCCTTGGTGTTGGGGGAGGGAGATAAGTCCTATCTGTTTCCTCCATCTCAACTGACTGGACGTAGCCGAAGCCTACGTCTGACACTTGAGGTTGCGGCTTGTAGTGGGTGGTAGGGTACGCAAATGGCGACTTTGGTGCGTCGATGGGTGAGTACACCGATGTTGCTTCAGCAAAGCGTGCTGTGCGAGGTGTCTTGACTTCTGATGAGGTCGAGTCGTCTGTGTTTCGTCTTTCAATCGTAACTGTGAGACCCTTCTTATTGTTGGTTGACATCCTTAGGCTTCGAGCGTTCACGTGAAGGAAGAGTGCACTCTCATGAGAGGTATGCGATGTGACAGAGTAGTAGAGATGTATGGAGCGACAACGACTATAGTCCAGGCCAGCTTAGACCAGTCGCAAGAGTATAGAGGTGTGCAGTAAGAGAGACAGAATGCAGAGACGCACAAGGTATTACAATGAGACCTGCTAGAGAGCAGAGAAGAGGCAACGGGCGAAGCGCTGACTTAAGACGATAGGCGCTTCAAGGACTACGAACGCGTGGATTGGATAGAGGGGAGCACAGCTAGCAGCCGGTGGAGAGAGATCGGAACGATAGTGGGCGGGTACTTACAACGTATAAAAAGCAGGATGCCTGCACGACTGCAGATGCCCGTCTGATAGGTCGGGCAGGGAGAGGAGGTGGTTGCAATGGCGCGCAGAGGAGGACGAAGAGTGGTGGCCCCGGAAATAGACGCCCGGGTGAACTCAATAGACAAGGCCCAAGAGTTGCGCGGCCAGACCAGCGCGCTGCTGTGCAAATATCTTGGTCTTAAGATATCTGACAGTTTGCTGACGATGCTGCTGTCAGCACAATCGCGGAATGCAGTCGAGAGCGGTGCTGTCGTCAGTCTTCGAGGTCGTACGTGTGCTCTATCGCGCCCCAGAGACGGTGAAGTCTTCCAGAGAAAAAGAAACCCGCAGAAGAAGGCCATGTTAGCACCTCGTGCCCCCCGGGCGCAAAGCTCTGCCGTGTCTATGGGCGTTTGAAATCCAGAACGCTGGATATCCAGCGTCCAATTGCTGAGAGCTGTTTCGCGCCTGCAAGACGCGACATGGCCGTTACGAGAGATGAGTGGTTGGGGCAGACAAGGACTGTGCGTTCAAGTACATTTGCGCTAGGCGGATTAAGCTCCAATGCTCAGCGGGTAAGCACGCTTCCCGCCAATCGTGATCCGCAGGTGTCCTAAGACCTCTTGGAAGGCGCCGCCCCGCTCTATTAGTGCGGAGTCCAGCACGACCCCAAGTCTAACACGGTCGACATGGCCAGAGCCTCGAGTTCCTGTCGCAACTGTCGCCGGCCAGGGCATAAGAGCACCATGCCGTCCGCGCTCTTATTATAAATGATCATCTTGAGTAAGCTTGCCACAGCTGTCAGCTCACGTCTTACCAGTTAGTCGAGTCGTACGGACGGGAACGTGAGCACGGTAGCGTCGCCTATCAGCGCAGGCTTGTGCCCGCTGCTGCAGGAGCCTAGGACAAGGCACATCGCACACGACGCTAATTAGCCACGCGTTGGCCTGGCCGTGCAACATACCAGGATGAATATGGGGATATTTACCTGTATATCATCTATGCCCTAGCCATCTTCAGGTAAATGCGATTTGAAACTCTCACGCCTATTTTTGGGGCCTTTTGCGCATCGCAGAGTGGCACGCGGCCCGCAAAGATCTGCCATGCGTTCAACGGTCGTGGTGAATTAGTGCGCTGGCCTCTTCGACAGCCCTCTCAAATCGTCCACGTTATACCTGCGGAGTGCGGTCGCGTTTTGCACATCATGCAGCTCTTGGTATTGGACAAGGTAGAAACTCCTCTCTGAGAGGCTGAAGAAGCCAGTCATCCAACATCACCAGCATGCATGATATCCAGCCGAGGAACGTCCTCAAGCGACACCGGAATCTACCGGATTGCCACTCTGCCTTGCCTGCGACTGAGACCTGCAAGATGGGCCGAGAATCTCACGGGTCACATTGTCACGATCGGCAGCTGCTGTGTAAAGCCGGCTGCAGAAATGGCTACTTTAACAGCATGCCTTACATTGTGCACGTCTCACCACCACGATTGTGTACTGTGTGTTACCTTCCAGCCTTCAATGCTGTCATGACTACAGCCTCGTGCATTATTCGAGTATGATGCTTTTGGCCGACTCACGTGCCTTTTCAGGCTTCCTTCCATCGAGCAAAGCTGCCATCAGATGCGGTGACAATGTGGAAGACCAGGGATATCCAACAGTATATGTGAAGCCTCAAAAAGCATCAACTGCAAAGAAAGAATCCAATCCAATTAGGAAAGAGAAGGATCACACACAGCAAAAAGTCAAAAACGTGAATTACATACCTCATATACTAAACCCAACGAGCACTACTACGTAGCTCCGCCTCAGCATCCCCACCACCCCACGGACTCCCATCGCCCCCGCGCCCCGTAAACAGCGGCTCAGGCACCAGGTTTATCTCAGGCATATCAATGGAGGTCTCATCCACGCTCTTCACCGGCCGAGCAGTGCCCGCGCTCAGCGCACCACCGCCCATAATCATCTCCACAAACACATTGCCCTCCCGCAGCCCCTGACAAGTAAAGCTCTCATCCGAAGCCGGCCGCTTCTTGGGCTTACCGAAAGTCGGCATCGCTGGCATCGTCGGTATCGCGGGTAATGTTGGATGCGCGAGTCTATCGAGCCAGGTCGGTGACGAAGGGGTATTGGGCTTACCTTTTGCCTTCTCGCTCAAAGCTGGCGCGGGATCGGGTGGGTGGTTGTTGACGGTACGCGTTATTGGGACGGGGCGGGAAATCTTGGCTTTGAGCGCGTCGTGGGCTTTTTCTGCTTTGCTGGGTGCGGACTTACCGGTCGGTGGGAGGAGAGACGGGTAGGCTCCTCCTTGCTTCTCTGGGCCAGAAGAGCAGTCGCGCGGGAGGCGAGGAAGGAGCTTGTTAATATACATTGCTCTACCTCTTGGCGTCGCTTGCAGCGGAGGCATCGGTGGTAGTGGCTTATTTGTGTTCATCTCTAATACTGTGCGCCAAAGCTTGACAGGCACCTCTTGTGAACTGCACGAGATGTTGCCATAGCTTACCGCAGAGTCCTTGCGAGTACGCGGCTTGTGTCTGTCAGTCATGCCATGTGATTGCCGTAGTGTTTGACCTGCATGTCTCTGTTGACCAGTAGACTCTGATAGTGGTTTAGGATTCGCTTCATCCTTCAGTCTTCGTGAGTACATCTCAAACTCGACTGTAGCTTTCCGTTCTTTCCAGTAGCTGTTCATGCCTGCCAGGAACAGCTGAGCCTCACCTGGTGGACCTTCGTCATGAATATCTTTCAATCGTCGGTAGTGCTTTTTAAAGAATGGCTGCTTTTGAGCGACCGGTTTCAACCATCCAGGCTTGCTCTGCGCCACATCAGCATCTTTCAGCACTTCAAAAGAGGCTATACCGCGAGGAAATAGCGTCAAAACGGACACTACCTGAGCTTCAGTAATGGACGGCACGGTTGACTTGTTTCGCGGTGGTGCCGCATTCCCTGGCTCCAGCGCGGTTTCGCTGGCGAAAAGGTCACTAAAGGGTTTCGACGCTCGGGGAGACAAGTCCTCAGCATCATCGTTCCCAGACTTGACGGCTGGAAATGGTGTGTATGGATCCGAGTGGCCGCGGTCTTGCTGTGGGCTGTAAAATTCATGCCACTGTGTACGCGTACGTGTGTCATGCATACTGGAGTGACTTACGGAGTAAGACAATAAGATTTGGTTCTCAGTGGCGAATTCAATGATTGAATTGTTATCAGAAGCTTCTGGCGTTTGTTCTTGGTTGTGAAGAATTAGTTCATGGGGTTAGTTGGCTTCATGGAAACAAGAGTATTTCAACGAAATGAGCACATCTCGAAGACGCGTTGTGCAGCCACAAAAAAAGTAGTCATGTTGTGTCCTGCGATTCGAGGCCTCGTAGGAGCCGCTGAACAAAGCCTGCTTTGTTCTCGCACATTGACAACCACTCTCGCGCAAGCCGGTAATCCGCAGGAAACAATGAGTCGGGTGGTTTCGCCACACGTTACTACTTCAGTAATGGAATATGTCCAAGGATTCGTTGCTTGGTTTTTCAAATTGCAGCGGTCGCCGGATTCCGGATGATGTGCGGGGAGTCATGCTTTTCAAGCATCTCAGGAGGCAGATGAGTAGCCCCGGGGCTGGTGTTACCTAACACTTCGCTAGTTGCATGAAGGTGAGCAACAGAACGAACTTCTGTGGGACCAGCCTTGCCGTTATGCTTTCCAACCGATTTGAGGGCATAGTGTTTGGTACGCCGTAGACGTGGGGATGCTTCTCCTGATTCTATGAAAGCTATGTTAGCACAGCACACAAAAAGGAAAATAGTCGGCTCTTGCTATGTGGTGTGAAATTGGGTATTTAATTGCATTTGTTGCATCTTGTGTATGGAAATCGTCGCTATATCATAATCGTCGCACTTCTTAATGGTGCTTTTCGTGAATTGTGTTCTCCCTCATGCACAACCTTACATGTTGACAGAGGTCCTGAACTTGGAGCCAGCGTAGATGGCGTTGTCGCCGAGCTCCTCCTCGATACGGAGGATCTGGTTGAGCTTGGCGAGACGCTCAGATCGGGCCGGAGCACCAGTCTTGATCTGACCAGCGCGAAGACCAACGACGATGTCGGCAATGGTGACATCCTCAGTCTCGCCGGAGCGGTGAGAAACCATGACGCCCCAGTCGGCGCCGAAAGCGTCCTTGGCAGCCTGGATGGCCTCGGTAATGGTACCGATCTGGTTGACCTTGAGGAGAAGAGCGTTGCAAGACTTCTGCTCGATGGCCTTCTTGATGAACTCGGGGTTGGTGACTGTCAGGTCATCACCGACAATCTGGAAGTCGGAGGTCTTGAAGAAATAAGACCAAGCCTCCCAGTCGTCCTCAGCGAAGGGGTCCTCAATGGAGACGATGGGGTACTTCTGGGAGAGGGATTTGTAGAGCGCAGCGAGCTGCTCGTAGGTGAGCCACTTGCTCTTGTCGCTCTCGGGGTTCTTGAAGTCAAGGTCGTACTTCTTCTCGTCGGCCTTGTAGAACTCGCTGGAGGCGACATCCATGGCGATCTTGATCTGACCTGTGTAACCGGCAGCCTCGATGGCGTCGGTGATGAGGTCGAGAGCCTCCTCGGGGGTCTGAATATCAGGAGCGACACCACCCTCGTCACCAACGTTGCCGGCGGACTGGCCGTACTTCTTCTTGGCGAGGGTCTTGAGCTTCTGGTAGACTTCAGCACCCTGGCGCATGGCCTCGGTGAAGGTAGGAGCCTCACTGGTCGTTGTTAGACAAGCATTCCAGAACGAAGACTCGAGAGAACGTACGAAGGAACGATCATGAACTCCTGGAAAGCCATACGGCCACCAGCGTGGGAGCCACCGTTCAGGACGTTCATGAAGGGAACGGGCAGAACGTAGGGCTTCTTGGTGCCGGCCAGGTCAGAGATGTGAGCGTAGAGAGGGACACCCTTCTCAGCGGCAGCAGCCTTAGCAATGGCCATGGAGACACCGAGGATGGCGTTGGCACCAAGCTCAGTCTTGTTCTTGGTTCCATCGAGCTTGTTGAGGAAAGCATCGACAGCGGACTGGTCCTTGACGTCGATGTTCTCCTTGATCAGAGCAGGGGCGATCTTGTCGTTGACGTTGGCAACGGCCTTGGTGACACCCTTGCCACCCCACTTGCTCTTGTCACCATCGCGGAGCTCACAAGCCTCGTGAGAACCGGTGGAGGCACCGGAGGGGACGATGGCACGGTGAAGGCCAGTCTCGGTGACGATATCGACCTCGACGGTGGGGTTACCCTGTAGCTAGTCAGTGTGCTGTCAATTGATGGACTGCGAGTATAGACATACGCGAGAGTCGTAGACGGAGCGGGCGTGGATCTTGGTGATGGCCATGATGTGTGTGTGTACTGGATTGATCAGTAAAGAGTCAATTGCAGGTGTGGAGCCGAGCAGCAGTCGAGTATATATAGGTGCAGTTCAGCCCTATGGTATGTGTTCGAGAGGCTACTAGTCAAGCGTCACCGGCCGGTGAGGATGTGGATCCTGAAGAAACACTCGACCATTGCCCAGCCCTTGACTGTTAGAGGCCGGCGGAGCCTCAAACTGGCATAGGTGTGGGATGATACGGCCGGCCGCGGATGGAAGGCTAGAGAAGAGATTGACTTACCAGGCGGATGTGAAAAAGTTGCACTGATGTTTTGTTTGAGTGGGGTGTCAAGCTTAAGTAGTTGGGAAGTTGCGACTGCCCCTCCTTCAGCTTGGGGCAGTCGCGACCTTTCTCAGCAGATCGAGCCCCGCCACGCCGTGAAAGCCATTGGCCGCCGCGGCGCATGTGTCGTAAGAGGGTGCATTAATCGTATCGCAAGAGCATCGGAGCGGCTGTCATGGCGATGACTGTCATCTGGAACTGTTGGGATGAGGCTTTCCACGCCCATTGATCGTCAATCTGATTACCCCTCCAGCACACCAGAAAACGCAACAGCTTCGAAAGCCTTCCCCAAGACTTCTCGGAGCTGTTGCAGTTGCTTTTGTCACAGCTTGCCTAGGCTCAAGTTTTCATTCGTGAAGCTATTGAATTCATCTCCAGCGTCGCACCTCATCCTGCTCGAAGCTGTCGTTCTGCTCGTCCCTTCAGAAGCCCCTCCGAGCATCTCCAGATCTACACAAAAAGCATTTGAACATGTCATGCGAATGGCCGGATCAGCCAAGTGAAGTGGATTTGATCAATTCTCGCGCATATCTCAGAGCACAAAATGCCACAATAGTGTCGGCAAACGGCCTTGTTTGATTCTTCAGATTTACGTTGAACGCGCTATGTACCTGACAGGGCAAGTACCCTGATGACGCCAGTGCGTCGATCGCCCGAAACGTGCAATCCGCCAAGGCTAGTTTCGAAGCATGTACAGGGTCTCTTCTCTTGACAACGCTCATCGATACGACTCAGAAAAGGGCAACTGGGGCACTACAAGGCGCAGACAGCTGTGCCGTTGCCGAGCTGCATACAGAAGCCATTTTCCACCCCCATACGTCATGTTCAAGCATGTGAGATTGATATTCGTGTGGTAATACGCCTGCACTTCATCTTCTCCTCTTGGGCGAAACCTCCCGACTCCTGTGCTCTAGTCCTTTCCTTTTACCTGTCGTCCCGGATGGGGTGCTCGTACGGCTCGTAGCACCAGAGTTTGTAGCAGTGACGAACTCCCTTGGTGCCCCAGATTGCTTCTGCTCCTTTGTCTTGAGAATCGTCTTCTGCGACGCTCGTAGCTCCTCTGCATATGCCCACGGGGGGAACACTGTAGGTACAGCGAGATCGTCTGACAGTGTGGATGCGTACTGCTCCTCTTCACTTATCCCAGCGAAGTCCATCAATTTCTGTGAATGGCCTGGATCGCGCAACACCGATGAACCCTCGAGCCGCTGATTGAAATGCTGACCATTCTTCTTCAGCTCGAGGAATTGAGTAAATTTCTTTGTCGCTCGCTGTGGCGGCGACCCTGGTGGCGAAGGCGGTATATCGAAATTAGGTACGGTGGGCAGGGTCAAGTTCTGGATGATAGCTCGACTGGACGTGTACGGTGAGCCTGGAGGGTCGGCGGCAGGATCGTTCTCGGGTGCAGGTGGCAACACCGTTGGGCCTTGTGCAGGTCCATTAACTGGACCAGGTGGTGGAGGAGCGGCTTTCTGAGGAGCTGGTCGAGGAAGGGCTTCGGGTGCGGCTGCTGCTACAGGAACGTTCGCCAACTCAATATTAGTAGCTATCGAAGTCCTCCCAGGCGCATGCTCAAGACTTACTTTAGCTGTAGTCGCTGGGAGCTCCGCCTCCTCATCACTGCTCTCGTAATTGACTCCCAGCATTGCGTGTGTCTAGGGCGAGAGCGCGGCTGCAAGAGTTCATGCGTAATGTGGCCCAAGCGCCCGAGCTCAAGGTGCTGCACCGCCAAGCGACGTCGCAAGTGTGAGCTGCCTGCCATCATCAACCACTCACCTCCGCACGCCGCCTCGCCGCCATTTCACGCCGTCAACACCCGAGCAGTGTCTTCCAAATCGATATCCAACACTCCAGACAACACCGCACACGATGAACCACCTTCCGCAAGCTTGGGGCCGTGTAAGACGCCTCCCCGCCTCGCAAACACGCCCGTACTGACATCAACACAGCCCAGAGACGACGTGTACGGCGCCTATGACCACTCACATTTCCAGACAGCTGGCCCTATTCAGCACTCGCAAGGACCCATCGTCACCGGTACCTCGGTTCTGGCGGCAAAGTTCAAGGACGGCGTGGTCATTGCGGCAGACAACCTGGGTATGGCACAGCTCATATCAAGGTGATGGGACCACTGTTTGCTGATGCCATGCTATAGCTTCGTACGGATCGCTCGCTCGCTTCACCGACGTCAAGCGGCTGCGGAAGTTCAACGATGAGGTCGTGGTCGGCTTTGGCGGCGACGTCTCAGACATGCAGTACATGGACCGCCTGCTCAACTCTCTCGACATCCGCGAGAACTACGCCTCGACCGACGACAATCTCAACGCCAAGAACCTCCACACATACCTCGCCAAGGTCATGTACAACCGCCGATCCAAGTTCGACCCGCTGTGGAATCACCTCTTGATTGCTGGTCTGGACGGCGAGGGCAAGCCATTCCTTGCGAGTGCAGACCTCCTCGGTACCACATTCTCTTCTCCGTCCATTGCTACCGGTTTCGGAGCGCATCTTGCACAGCCCATCATGCGGACATTATTGCCCGACGAGGCATCGGTGCAAAATGTCACCAAGGAGCAGGCAGTGGAGAAGGTCAAGGAGTGCATGAAGGTCCTCTTCTACCGAGATGCAAGGAGTATGGACAGGTACTCTATCGCTGTCATCACGAAGGAGGGCGTCGAACTGAACGAGGATGTCAAGCTGGAGAACCAGAGCTGGGCGTTCGCAGAGAGGATCAGAGGATACGGCACCCAGACGGCATAAGACCGGGTCGGGCGTGTCTGAGGCGTGGAGATGACGATATGCCCAGAGCCAAGCAGCTCTAGAGGCGGAACGGCTGAACGATAGACATGAATAAATGTACACTTCGATGAAACGATTATCAATTTCAAGCCTTCACCATCCTTCGGGGAAGCCACTCATGTCTGTCTCTTGCTATCACTTCGGCGGCATGCCGATGCTGGGGCGCACACCAATCGCGCTAGAGCCGACGCGACCACCTCAAGCTCCATGCGATGCGGGGAAGCTCCGCGGTAAACCACCCTCGTATAAAGCTTCGAAGATGGAACAAACGCTGTTGCGCGACCCATGTCTCTTTCCCGTCCTACGCTGCCGTAACCATGTCTCCCGACCCTTTATCCGGCCCCAAGAAGCGCATAGTCATCACCGGCGGCTCGGGCGTCGTCGGCAGCACTGTCATCGAGAAGCTGCTCAGCTATGGCCATGAGATTCTCAATGTCGACCAAACGCCGCTGGACAATCCGAATGTGCACACGCTCAAGGCGGATCTGACGGATGGCGCGCAGGCGTTTAACGCGCTGAGTTGCCATTTCAAGATCGGCGAGCCGTTCTTGGATGAGCTCAGGACGCCCGATGTGGTGATCCATCTTGCTGGTACGACGACTCCCGATACGCAACCGCACTCGCCATGCAAGGAATAGATGGTGTGTTGAAACCAGAAGACGGCCTGGAGTGATTCGCGCCCCGAACACAATAAAAGCACTCACCCATGCAACCAACCCTGCTAACACAACCCAGGCATCCCGCAGCCAAATCGCATCCCAGACAACGAAACCTTCCGGATCAACACGCTCTCCTCGTACGCGGTCATAGAAGCCGCGTGCAAACTCGGCATCAAGAAGATCATCCTCGCCTCCAGCATTACCGTCTACGGCGTCACCTATGCCGAGGGCCACACGCCCTTTGCGCATTTCCCCATCACCGAGACCTCGCCCACGGAGCCCATGGACGTCTACGCTACGTCCAAGGTGTGCATGGAGCGCGTCGCGCACGCGTTTGAGAAGCGGTTCCGCGCCCTCGGCAAGCCCGTCGACATGTACTGTCTGCGCCTCGGCGCCGTGGTCACGCCGCAGCGCCACCAGCAGACCATGACAGCGTACCTCGAGCGCCCGCGCGACTGGAATGTGCATGGATGGAGCTACATGGATGCGCGCGACCTGGGCGGGCTCCTGAATTGCTGCGTCAAGACCGATGGGCTGGGGTTCGAGGTGTTCAATGCCGTGAACGATGAGAATACGTTGCCGGATGGGGACGCGATGACGATTGATTGGCTGCGGAGTTTGTGTCCCGAGAGCGAAATCTTAGATGAGGAGGCGTTGATGGGGAGGGCGGCGCCGATTAGCAATGCGAAGGCGAAGCGGTTGCTGGGGTTTAGGGAAGATTTTCCGTGGCGCGAGGAGAGGCGGAAGTGGGTTGCGCGCGAGATCAGGGAGGAGCGGTAGTTGGGACTTGCAGCAGCGAAGTGCACACACGATTCAATCCGTCCAGATGTCGCCTGGAGGATGCGGTGACGTCTTGGAAGCATTCGGGAGGTCGTTGAACGGGGTATCTCTGATTCGAGCAACAAACGCATGTACAAAACCTACCACCTAATCCCCTCCCAATCGAAATCGCCGTCGATATTCCGCCACTTACCCTGCGTAATCGCTTTCTCCCACCCCATCATGACAGCCAGCAATCTGCACGCCGCACTGCTGACCGTACAGACCATCGTATCGGCCCTACTCAGCACCGCCAGATCGAGCAAATACGCTCGCCCAACCAGCTCCCTGAGCCTCATGGCTTGCTCAGGCACGTTATTGCTATCGAGCTTCTGCATATCCTTCGCGTTGCCGACGGGCTGGCCGAGGCTGAAGAAGACGTCGCGGTAGAAGCCGCCCTCCCAGCCGGTGATCTCGTCGATCCAGGGATTCTTCTTGCCCTGAGCGGCTTCGAGCGCCTGCTTTGTGGCGAGCATGATGTGGTCCTGGGCGCGGATTGAGTTGGGGCCGAGTTCTGCGGACTCGTAGACGAGCGGGTCGTCAGAGGCGAGGACCATCTTGGATGTCGTGTGGCGCGCGAGCAGCGCGGTGCTGGAGTCGGCGCTGCGTTTTTTCGACGCCGCGCCGCCGTTCTCGACCAGCTCAATGTAGATCTCGCGTGCGGCTTCAGTGTAGCGCGCCAGTGGGATGTAGTCCTTCTGGTACTGGTATTCCAGCGGGTGCTTGTCGCCGTGGCGGACGTGCATGCCAATGCTGATGCCGCCTTCGGATTTGATGTCGCCGTAAAGTTCCAGGGCGCGGTTCAAGACGTACTTTGCGTCGTCGGTGCGCAGCTTGAAGAGCGCTTCGTAACCGGTGTGCAGCAATTTGAAGATCTTGTGCTGGCGCTGGACACGCATCTTGGTTGGGTCCTCCCATTCTTCCGTGAAAGCATGACCGAACGTGGACTGGACCGTGGCTGCGGAGACGACGATATGACGGGCGTTGTGTGGGCAAGGAACCATATGCGGCTTCGGCGGCGGAAGACATCCCGCTGTAGGAGGGTTGACAAAGTACGACAGGTACTTGCCATACGGCCTGCTGATTGTCAGTCGACGTCAAGCTCCCGCTGATCACATGCACTCACCACCTGCTGTCATCGATGAAGAATGTACGGTCCTCAGCTTTCGCCAAACCGTACGCCATCCACAACCGCATCAGCGAGTTCCCAAAACCCGCATCGTCCGTCTCCAAGACATACGTCAAACTCCTATCACAGACTTTGAGGCCAGCAGTCGAGAACCCATCCGCAATTGAATCATCCTCTACAAACCCCTTAGGCCTCCCGCTCGCCTTGGACGGGGGCAATAGCGACTGCTCCTCCGCCTCCTGAACATCGATGTAGAACTGATCCTTCTGGTAGTAGTCCAGCATGCGTTTCGCAAAACCGGAAGACGTCCGCGACTCCTGAAGCATATCCCTGGACACCTCCATGGCTTGGTGGCAAATGTCGCGGTACTGAGCCGGCCGCAGCGGGAAGTCAAAGGTCGACGGAATAGACACGGTCCACCTCATATTTCCTGTGTTATCAGCCGTGGCGACGACGGACGGCTCCTGGGGTAGCTGGGTTCCTCCAGCCATTTCCCACTCCTCGCCGTCTCCATCGTAGCTCGCGGAAGACTGAGCGGATGCATGCAGTTGGCGGACTATCAGCCAGAGCAGGAGGATGACTGCCAGACCTCCGATCAGAATACGTTTGATCAAGCGCGTGTGGGAAGGTTGTGGCTGCTTCTTCCCATGGCGGGGAATCAAAGACGGAAGGCTGGGCGAAGCAGGTGGTGAGCGTGAGAGCAGGCCCCTGCGGTCCAGATTCGGGCTCAAGAAAGCGCCGGAAGTAGCGGACAGCACTGGGGGCGTAAGCTGGCTATACGCCGCTGTGGACTGAATAGACAGATTGGGGTTCCGTCGAATATGCATCTTGGAGAGCTTCTGTGTTGCTTGGTTCAGCATGTCGAATGTTGGGATCTGGGATCTTCAATCGTTGATATCACGCCCGCTCGTCGGGTGCTGCAGTGTGATGGTGAGTGCTGCGGGTAGTCACCTGTCCCTGCAGGTGTGGTGTAACCGAAAAGAGGGGACGAGGCAGCGTCGAGTTGCCGTCAGTCAAGGAGTGTGAGAATTGAAACTAGAAGAGCGCAAGGAGAAGACAGCTTCAGTGGGACTTCAAGCAAACGCAGAAGTCATTGAAAGAGACAATAGACAAAAGAGGTAGAAGGAGCGGGGAAAGGGTTTCTGCCTCAGATGTACAATTCCGAGCGTGAGAAGTTTCATGACATCAAACGAACTTGCAGGACCTCCATCAAGAAGCGTCCCGAGGCTCGACAGAGCAAGATGGATCGTGGCCCGTTCTGGTAGGTGTAATTGGAGGGTTCATTTATCAAGGGCAGAAGCCCGTGATAGACCTAGCGCCAGTGGGCACGGCTTGCATAGCTCGCATCTTCAGGAAGGTCGACTGGAAGGGGGCGTCACCCGGAGGGGCAGACTGGTTGGAGCGATCCGCGGACGCATGGTAGGTGTCCGTGTTGAAGTCTGAAACACTCCGGCAAGTGATGATGGGGCCTGCCAACGGGTTTCGCCCAATCCGTGCAAGCTCCTCCCACAGCTCCTTCCACCACCAGCATTTTATGAACTAAACATTCACAGACAGCAAAGATACTTACTGCTCACCCCTCCACATCCTTTCTCAATCCATTCGTATTCTTCGCAAAGAGCGCGAGATGCGAAACCGGCACCTGTGGAAGCTGAAACAACGCAGTCTGCGTGTGACGTTGACGCAAAGCCCGTGCATCACTCGCGCGGACCCTAGCTCCCTCGTAGCGCTTCTCGGTGCTCGCTGGTGTCAACGGCCGCCAACACGATAGGGCGCGCGATAGGCTGCGTGCTCAGACGACGCCTCACATAAGATGAGCACGTTGATGAAGGTGAATCGCATGAATCTTGGGCACAATGGGGCCTTGCGCGCCTGAGGACGGCACAGTGTCTAGGTACCTTGGCCTGTTTTGGGTTGAGCTAAGTGTGTGCATGTGGTGAGGAAGTCGGCTACACGGACGTGACGACTGTTACGATGGGCCAATGCTAAGGGCGACGTATCGACTTCCGTCTTCGACGTTGGTGACGACGTCGAAAGCGTGCAAGACGGGACAATAGTGAGATCGCCACCCGGGAAGAGCTTCGTACTCGCGGCTGCTCCCATAACCCGGGTGCGAGGCGCGTACTCCGCGTACCCTTAATCAACCTCAAACTGATCTGCACCGGCCACAGCAGCGCTCAACCAACAACAGCAGGACCACGCTTGCCGACAGCTGGTTGCGGAGCTGAGCGGCTCACATCAGCGCAACATCTCACAGTCACAAGCCAAGCACGCATTGAAACGGATAGAAAGCGTCGTCTTTAAATTACAGCCGATTAACCAAGAACTTCTGCGCGTACGGGGTATCAGATCTCCTCCTCCGTCCTCTTAGTTACATAGCCACCCAAGTATAGTACAAGTCCGCCCAAACAATGTGAAAAGCAAGGTAATATGGATAAAGCAACCAGGCGTCGCGTTATAGCGTACAACGCCGCGGGGTACCGGTTCCCCATGCCCATTCCGGTGCCAGATAACGCCAGGGAGTGTCCCAAAAAGTAGAATGGCAAGCAGGCAAGTCGTCTTCCTCTGACCGGGCTAGGACAGCGCCGTGTCTGTTTCATGATGTGGTATCCATAAGGTCATTGTTTCTGTTCAGCTCATGCGGGGAAGCCAAAGGACGCTTTTTCGCGCTACATGTGTAGTCGCATTTCTCGGTTTGTGATGGACATGTGTTGGTGTCTTGCGCACCCTTACATGCGTTCAAGTCCGTCGAGCCTCGTTGACGGGCATGAGGCTGCGCCTTGCAGCCCTATCGACTCTCCCTGTAATCATCTCGTCGAGCATTCTCGTCATTTCCTCGATATTCTTTCCCGGGTTCGTCGGCGCGGGGGGAAAGAATGGTGTGCTGTTCGGGCTAGTGGGGGATGTTGGACCCTTGGCATGTAGTATGTTAACGACGCTGCTTCCCTCGCTGCGCTGGTATGAGGAAGTACGTCGGCTCCCTGGAGAGCCGTCGCTGCCAACGTCGTGCGCTGTGTCGTTTCTCTGTTTTGCTCTGTTCAGTGCGGCGATCATCCGCTCTTTGTCTTCGAGCTGCGCTCGCAGAGTCGAAATCTCAGCATCCCTTTCAGCGACCTTGGCAAGTAGGCCACCGTCCTCGCTGCCGTGCCTGGAGTTGATCGACAGTGAGACGCGAGAATGGCTCGATCTTCTTGCTTGATGGAGTCGCTGCTCCAGGGTCCTGATATAGCGGTTCCTGTCTGCGAGATCGGCCTGCAGAGCCTGGATTTGAGCGTTCGGGGTGGCCATACCGTCGCCGTTCTCGCCGATCGAGTCGTCTTCTTCTGACCCTTCCACGGGCAAGGGGAAAGACTGAATAGAGGCACGCGGCACTTCGAGGGTGGCGTGACTGGCAGAAGATCGCACGGACATCGGTCGGAAGTCGCTGACATGACTGAACGTAGAAGCCCGCTGCAAGCTCAGCGACGAGTATGTCCTGCCATTGTTCACCCCAAGCGACTTGGAGCTAAGGATCAACCGATTAAGATGCTCGATACGCTCCTTGAGGGCCGTTCGAGCAAGCTGCATTTCTAGCATCTGCTCTTCATGTCTTTGCTTGTCTTGTTGCTCGCGAACTCTTTCTTCCTCCTTGTCGCGTCTCATCTCCTCTTCTTCCTCATCTCTGGCTTCCTTCTTCTTGCCCTCTTCCAACTGTCTCTTCAAGTCTTGAATCTCGAGGCGGTAACGGTCCAGCAATGCTCGGCTTCCTGCATCGCCACCGGCACCCAGCGAATCGTCTGCCTTCTTCGCATGACTGATGATGTTATTCTTAGCCCGAGACGCGAACTTCAACGTGTTCAGCGTCTCATTGACGTGGGTAGCAGAAGCTGCAGGACTGCCATTGGCGCCGATCTGAATCGTGCAAAGAATGCTGACCAATGAGTTGCCTGAAAGAGCACCCTGCAAGAGGCGAGTCAATTTGCTGTCGCGGTAGGGCAAGTGATTGTCCTTTTTCCCGTCTTTCCCGGTCTTATTGCCAGCCAGTCCTCCAACAACAGCTCCCAAAGTGAGCAAGCTCTTGTTTATATGAGACCCTTCGGTCCGCCTTTCCTTGTCATCGGCTGCTTTCTCGGATCCGGCTAAATCGATCAGACTGAGAGTTGATACGCGAACACCACCGGGTATGATGGCAGATCGCTTGTCGCCAGCTAGGCTAGGCCCGGATGCGCGCTCTCTGCTTTCCACAACAATCTGTACGACCGCGTGACTGCGGGAACTTCGGGAGTTGTACTGAGTACCAGCAACCCTTCTTGCTTGGTCGCCGCGGGAGATGACACGCAGAAGCTGAGTCGGACTTTGAACAATCTCCTCCTTCAGGGGTGTTGCATAGACACCTCGTTTGCTGTCCTCACGTAGCTTGATCTCTTCTTGTGGACCGGGTTGGCCACCCATGCCCATCACGGATCCAGCCAGGAGGTCGTTGATCTTCTCGTTGTAGATTTCGAGGTAGCTGACGCGCAGGAGAAACTCGCGATGCGGCGTTTCGCGAATGTACGAGAAGATGTCAGTAATGGCCAGTGGGATCACACCGGGGTTTGTTGCTGTTCCTTGCATGGAGAATGTCTTTCCTGTTCCGGTCATACCATAAGCGAACACGGTGCCGTGGTAACCTTCCATGACTCTTCTGACCAGTCGTTTTGCTGTCGCGTCGTATACGCGGGCGTTGTTGTCTTGGGTGTCAAAGACATTGTCTGAGCCAGTATCAGTACGCTCGACGCTAGTGCAACCTCATTGCAGCTGCTTACCATAGATGTAGTCTCCGCCACCATCACGGCCGCGGTATGTGACTACATGCCGCTTGCCATTCACCTCCCAGTCCTTTTCCTGCTGGCCGTCGTTTGGCCCTGCATCTGGTCGCACTCGGACACTGACAATGACATTTCCTTTCCCTCCTGACTCGCCATCTGGCTTGTTACTCTTCCGCCCTCTTGCTTCATCGTCACCCTCTTCGACGGTTGTCGCGCTCGTTGACCGCGATCCGTTGGGGGAGGTGCTGCGGCTCTGCGGTGGAGACGGCAGGCTGAGATGGCTGGTGTCTACTGCGACCGACTCTGCGCTGCCGTTGCCGTTCAGGAAGCTTGGGGGCGATAGCGGTGACTTTGGCAGCAGGCCCCTGCCTCCACCAGCAGTTGACGCCCTTGGGGGTTTCTTGAGACTGCTCCTCCTCGACGGTATCGAGCCCTTGGAGCCTGTGGACAGGCGCTGGTCTACCGTGTCGCCATCGACCGAAGCACTGGACGCCAGCGGGCTGCTTGGGGTTCTCAGACCATGTTTGGGCGGCTGTGGGAATGCGCCGATGCTGACGACCTTGCGCAATGACTTTCCTTGCGGTTGGCCGCCTGCATGCTCGGCGGCTATGGTCGGGACGGAAGGGGAGGTGGTGTGTTTCGCGGCGCCTGGACGGTAAGGCGAGTTCGAGTACGAGACGGCGCGGTTTGTCGGACTGGGAAGGCCGCTGGAGGGTGTTCGAAGACTGGCGGGGCCGACGTTTGACGAGCGTTGCTTCGGCACAGGCAGCGATGGTAGGGGCCCTGTGGGGGGAGCGATGGAGCGGCGGGGCAGCTGATTGCCGGACATGTTGCTGGCTGGTGCGGCGGGGGCAGGCAGGCAGCTGGTGTGCTGGTGGTGTGACACTTGACGTGGCCCCAGGTGGTGCTGTTGCTCCGCGGACCTGGGTGCAGCTGCGTCTCTGTTTTGCTTATCACGCCGACTTCACGCCGTCGCACGCATGGCAGTCGTCACGGCAGGCGTCGTCGACGAAACTCTAGGTCTCTTGTGCCGTGGTGTGGTTTGCGGGGGACCTGGTGCTGGGAAAGCGTATGCGGCAGCAAGGCAATGGCAGCAAGCGCGCAGCGGAAACGTGCAGCGGAACAAGGGTGCAGGCGTCTGGCGGGACGAGCGGTGCCGCGCGCGATGTCACTGCGGCGCGATGCTGCTGCGAGTGTGCGACTGGGCGTCTGCGCTATGCAAGCAAGCAACGAGTGTTTGGAGCGAAGGTTTGGCTGGGCGTCCTCGTGTTTTCAGGGTCTGGGCTGCGAAGTCTGCGAAGTTCGCGGGGAGGAAGGAGGAGCGTGTCGCCAGTAAGTCGTCGCCGGCCCAACAACCGTGCAGGATACCTACTCGGTCATGCACACACGGGCCTCACTGCGCCCGCGAAGGGATCGATGGTCCAAATTTACTTGGTGTGGAGGCTCACGGCGGAAAGGCCAGGCAGTGACCATAAAATGAGTGTGGGGGGAGCGGCAAAGCAGAAGGATGAGGATGTTGCGCCGCGAACAGGAAAGGGGTTCACGCGCCGTGCACTTTCGAAAGCGCGCACATCAAATCACACCCATGGTGGAGAGCCATCCTCGAAGCGGCACAGTGGGTCGCAGCGCCTATCCGCGCTCACCCCTGCGCACGTCGGCTGCTGTAGGTGGAGCATTTGGGCTGCGTGGAGCCTCGCCAGAAAGTCGTCATGGCACGGCTCTGGGCTCTGGGCTCTGGGCTCGAGTCTGTCTTTCGACGCTGCTTTGGCGGTCTGTCCGTCTCTCGCGGCGCTGTTGAGTCTGCTGCCCCTGCGCAGATACGAGACTGTGGAGTAGTCCTCGAGCTTGGAGCAACTGTTTTGCTGCGCCGCACTGATTCGGAAATACCCAAGCCCCATCAAGCCTCGTTCCTGCAAATAATCCACACAGTCACGCTCCATAGGCCACCCAGACTTGAAATAATCTCCGAGTCACAAAATGGCTGTCCACATCTGCATCCTCCTGCATCCTCCTGCATCCTCATTCTCAACAACAACGCGCTGTAACCCCTGACGCCACCGAAGAGCGCCATGTGCATGCCGCCGCCTCTGCCCTCACGTAGGCGCGAACGTGCTTGCTGGCCAGATGCTGCAGGTTGATCATTGGGCCCTACCCTGGCCCGGTACAGCAGCGTCGAGGTACGTAAGTATTGACGAAGTCACAAGCGATTACCCGCAGCATGTCGTCTGTCAATGTACCACAACCAAAACTCAATTCCTGTCAATGATGGTCAAATGTGTGCCGTTTCTGCATACAATGACGCATACGAGCTGACAGTTCCTTGGTGGCACTGCCACGACATTTCATTGTGCACTTCTTACTTTGCAACTACACAATGAAGTCCACGTAGCTGCAACGCGCTGTCCCACCTGTTTGACCTGTCACGCAGAAGCCTCTCCATTGCTGTGCTCCCACGCAGTGTCCACGCCTGCCTCTGTGTCGTGCTGGACCGTCTTGCATGCGCATAGGTACGGCCGCGTCGTAGGTCAACAACCGTGCTAAAGCAGCCTCAAGCATCAGCCACTAATGCTCGGTATGCACGGCGCCATCCGAGAGCACCAACATCATCGGAGCCTCGTCCGATGGCTAAGCAGCAGCCGCCGCAAGAGTTCCGGAAAATGTCCCGTCAACTCTTGCCGCTTTGTCGAGCTCAGCTCTTTGGTGAGACATCCTAGTGAGCCGTCCGAAAATTTTACGGCAGTACGTACCTCGAGTCCGAATTGTATCGACGTATAGCATCTCGGCGGAAGCGTATGTGATACAGGAATGGCCAAGGTTCATTATCCTAGAGCGCACCCCATCCAAATATACTCTTGCCAGCAGTGGTGACGGCCAGGTACTGTGCACTCCAGAGGCTCAGGTCAATGGCTAGTTCAAAGGCAGCGCAAAGCGCGACCCGGGATATGCCAATGCCAAGGGATCGCAGAGACATGTCACTCGGGTTCGGGAACGATTCGACAAAGCGTGGGATAGTCCCGCCGTGATCTTGACTCGCCAAGTAGTGAGATGCAACTAACCGAAGGACGACAAGCTTGAAAGGTAGCACTGTAATCCCGACAAGCTGTGCCTTGACGATAGCGCCAATCATCTGTGATGGCTCAGTAGAGAGTTGGGTCACGCGGTGATGCGGACGCGTTGCAAGACCATCGTTCCTCTGTGACGTGACTCTGTTGCGACTTGATGACCTACGCTGATCGTCCAGGACTTCCGTGTGAGAATAAATGACTCGTGGAGGCAACCGTACTTCCATTTCGACAATGCCTTCGCGCGAGGTGATTCTGATCCTCGGGTCGTTGTCACCATTGTCAGAAGCCGGTGGTGTTGGTGGTGTAGTAGGACGCACCAATCGTTCTGCAATGTCGGCGGGTATTGTGTCCATTAGAGTATCGTCGTTGGCTCCATCTGTGGTAGGTCGGTTTGTGCGTGAGACTGGAATATCTACAGGTAACAAGTCTGTAATTTGGGTACCAGCGACCTCTACACTTTGCCCTGCACTTATCCCAAAATCGAGCGAAGGTTTCCGTTCGGCCTCGTCGAGGACGGCTGGCTCAGCCCAGCCAAGCACCACGAGCAGCTTGTTGATAGCATCTCTAATCAGAGGGGGCGACCGTCGCTGTAGTCCCAGGATGGATGTGGCGCGGTCTTTGCTGATAGCGTCTGGACTTTCGATGTCCGCATTGTCTGGCCGAATGATGAAACTCTCCACGGCTTCGAATACCGCTGAGTAGATCAAACGTTCATAAAAATGCTCCGCAATGATAATGACCATAGGTGAAGTAAGAACGGCTTTTACGACATCTACCACCGAGCCAGATGCGGCATCATGGTGGACGGACAGTGGCGTGAGAGGCGACCAAGGCGAAAATGGAATGAAGGCTTTCCAGAACGGCAGCAACGGTCGTGCTGGGAGAAGTCCCAGTCGTTGCAGATTGGCGTGATAAGAGAGAGGATAAAAGAGGACCTCAAGGCCCAGTCGGAATCTACGCAGGGTCAGCAGAGCTCAAACTATACTTTGATTGGTACTAACCCCAACGTCAATACGCTTCTGGAGCGACGCACGAAGTGACGTGTCTTGGAGCTTGCATGTGTGAGCTGCATCAAGCGATCGATGGGCCGATAGGCGTATGCACCATAGACACATGCCTGGATTCCAATCGTAGAGACAAGTCGGGAAGTGAAGCCGGTGTATGCAATCGAGCTGCCAGAAGCTGTGCGCTCAGAAGCCACAACCTGAAGGAACGGGAGTGCATCTGGGATGCGAAAGGTGAGAAGCCGGTCTCTGATACTGCCGATCCACCAAGTGCAGAGGTTCTCTACCACAGTGGAAGCAAGAGCAAGCGCGTTGCCCACTGTCTCTTCGGACTCAAGTTCGTCAAGGCGTTCTTCATATGAGCCAGGGAGGCCTTCTGCTGGCGATCTGCGCCTCTCAACTACACCTACACTCGCGAGGACATCATTTTGCGCGTCTCTCAGTCTCTTGCTGTATGCATGGGCGCGTGGATTGATTGGGTTGCCGCGTTCGTCGTACAGTTGGATGTAATTGTTGGCTTTGGCTTCGCGATAACGCTCCGGCAGAGGCTCATCAGACTGAGAGGCGGCAAGCTGTATGTACTCATCCGACTCTGTGACCTCTCCGGTGGGCTCGAAAGCAGACCGTCCCTGAATGTCCACGTCAGTCACGTGTGTACACGGTGGAGCCGTCTTCTCGCGGTGTTTGTACGAGTTACGAGACGCACAAATGCGATCTTGGCCAGGTAGGCTTGCCGGCCCATACTGATAGACCCTAAATGCGTTGCCTAATGGTCGACGTAAGAATACATTGCAGTTGAAGGTGGAAGAGTCGTGGTGCTTGCCACTGCCTGGAGCTAGACGTCAGCCCTGGTCCTGGACCGAACCCACGCCAGTCAATCGCGCTTTGCTGCCGGTATCGATAAGGAATTTTTGAACCTCCCTCGCCCAGCGCGAAAGTTCAAGCCGCACTTTCAGCTCAAAGCAAACCAGCTCAAAGCAAACCAGCGCCACGCCATGGCGCAAAGAACAACGGTCCGGACAACCTACGAGGTCGAGCGCACATTGCAGCCGATTTACTCGGGCGGCAGCATAGCGCTCAGTGAAGATGGGCGCATCCTGGCCGCATGTCTCGGAGAAGAGGCTCTGCTCACAGATTTGTCTACGGGCAAGGAGCTGGCGAGAGCAGAGGGCGATGGCGAGGCAATCACATCCCTGGCCCGTGAGTAAAGGATTTGGTGTTTGACATGCATTGGCTAACCGCACCAGTAACACCATCCGCCTCCCACCTGATCGTGTGTTCGCGTTCGCTGTCGATGCGCATATATGCTCTGCAACCCTCACAAACAGACGATGAAACAATCGAACTCGAGCTTCTTCGATCGCTGAAACCGCACACGGGTCCTGTGGTAACACTGGCAGTCGACAGCACCGGAACGCTTGTGGCAACAGGCGGTGCTGATGGCGTGGTCAAGATTTGGGACATTCGCGCAGGGTATACCACACATACCTTCCACGGCCACGGAGGCGTTGTTTCAGCACTGCACTTTTTCCAGGTTGAGGTGACAGCAAAGCTTGACGCTGCAGACGGCGGCAAGAAGAGGAAGAGGAGCAAGTCGCAGCAGAGAGCCGAAGAAGCACAGGGAGAGAGCACGCTCGAATATCGCCTGGCTTCTGGCGCTGAGGATGGCAAGATCCGCGTGTGGGATCTGCATAAGAAGAAGAGCATTGCAGTGTTGGATTCGCATGTTTCGGTTGTGCGCACTCTGCAGTACTCGCCGCAAGACAAGCTTCTACTTTCTGGAAGCAGAGACAAGACCTTGATTTTGTGGACGTCGGAGAAATGGAAGCAGCAGCGGACGATCGCTGCGTTAGAAGGCAATGAAAGTGCGGGCTTCCTCGCAAACGGGCAGATCATCTACTCTGGCGGAGAGCACGGCAATGTTCGACTGTGGTCGACAGCGAACGGTCAGGAGCTAACAGAAGAGCAAGAGCCTGGGAACGAGACTGACGAGATCGTCAACATCCTCCACTATCCCTCTCTGCCATACCTGATCTCAGTCCATGCTGAGCAGGTCCTCAATTTCCATTCGCTGAAGTCAGTCGAGCTGCCCTTCCTCGAAGAAACCATCAAGCCGCTCTCCATCTTCCGACGTGTTTCCGGTACGCACGACGAGGTCATCGATATCGCATACGTTGGACAAGACAAATCACTCCTGGCGCTGAACACAAATTCAGAAGATATCCGGATAGTGACATTGAAGGAAGATGCGGCGGAAGGGAGATACTTTGGTGCAGATGTTGGGGTGCTGGTGGGCCACGAGGATATTGTCATCTGTCTGGACGTAGACTGGTCAGGCCACTGGCTTGTCACAGGTGCCAAGGACAACACTGCTCGATTATGGCGACTGGACCCGAAGAACAATTCCTTCGAATGTGCAGCTCTTCTCACCGGTCACGCCGAATCGCTGGGAGCCATCGCTCTCCCTCACACAGTCCCTCAAGAGGGTTCGGCCGCGTTTACGGACCCGCTATCACACCCTCCAGCATACATTGTCACAGGCTCGCAGGACCGAACTGTGAAGCGATGGGACGTCACCAAGGATACGAAGAAGCTGCGCGCAAAATACACACGGAAAGCCCACGACAAGGACATCAACGCCATTGATGTAGACCCGTCAGGCACTCTCTTTGCGTCAGCATCGCAGGACAGGACTGTCAAGATCTATTCAGCGGCAGAAGGTGAAGCCGTGGGTGTATTGAGAGGACATCGCCGTGGTGTTTGGACCGTCAAGTTTGCGCCAAAGACATCGCAAGTTCCCAACTCCGCCAACAAGGGTCTGATAGCCACTGGAAGCGGAGACAAGACGGTAAAGATCTGGAGTCTGGCAGACTATTCATGTCTGCTGACGCTCGAAGGGCACTCCAACAGTGTTCTAAAGCTCGCATGGTTGCCCTATCGACCTGTCGATGCGCGGGACAAGCGTGGCCCGCAAATAGCATCTGCTGCAGGAGATGGTCTTGTCAAGGTCTGGGACTCCTCGTCAGGTGAATCCATGTCCACTCTCGACAACCACGAAGATCGCGTCTGGGCACTCGTCGCACACCCTGAGACAGGCGCCCTCGTCTCAGGAGGCGGCGACAGCGTGATCACGTTCTGGAAGGACACCACAACGGCGACGCTCGAAGCCGCCACAAGCGCTGAAACCGAGCGCGTAGAACTCGACCAAAAACTGCAGAACTATACATACTCGGGCAACTACCGCGAAGCCATCACCCTGGCACTGCAAATGGACCAGCCCGGCCGGCTCTTCGCGCTCTTCAAATCTGTCGCTGAGACCGAACAGCCCGACGAGGGCAGCATGTGTGGGCTCACCGCCGTCGACGACGTCCTCGCCACCCTCGCCGACGAACAACTCTACAAGCTCCTCCTCCGCCTGCGCGACTGGAACACAAACGTGCGCACCGCCCCCGTTGCACAGAAAATCCTCTGGACACTCGTCAAGTCGTATCCTGCCTCGCGACTCGCCAGCCTGCGGCCCAAGGGCAAGGTCGGCGCTAAGGGCAGTCTGAAGGACGTGCTCGATGCGATTCGCGTGTATTCCGAGAGACACTACAAGAGGGTTGAGGAGTTGGTGGATGAGAGTTATTTGTTGGATTTCACGCTCAGGGAGATGGATGAAGTAGGTGATATCAAGGCCATTACCAATGGGACGTCGCGGCTGGGTCTGCAGCGTGATGTTGTCATGGCTGAGTAGGATTTTTTGGGTACATATAAATATACCCCGTTCGAGATCGATTGGTATTCCTGATGCTGTGCTCTTGTCTTGAATTGCAGTGGTCTAGGTGAGGGGATCTCATAAGGCTTTACGTAGTACGGGATGGTACATTGTCTTGCTCAGCGTCGAGTCGTGCAAGCGGGGAGCATAGTCTCGAGCACCTCTCATATCAGGGATGTAAGAACAGTCTCTTCGCGGACATGGGGGATGATGGAAGGTCTCCTACCCCGCTATCCGATTCTCGGTTGATGGTATCTGGAGGACCAACTGCCAGTTCAGTAGCCCTGACAAGGTTACTGACAAGGAACCACTTGCTGAGGAGAAGCTTTTGCTCGCACGAAATCGTAGACTTGGGAACTGTAGCCGTTTGGAATCAGTCAGCCAGAAGAAATAGCTGAGCGGTGTGATACTACCATCCAAAATCTACTGGTATCTTCTTCCGAATTCCTGGTCGTCTATGACAACGATCTATTCCCAAGATTCAAGATTCCCATTAGGTACAAGCCTCAAATATTCTCTTTCGGGGCACACAGGTACTCTACCCACAGTGTGAAGATACTCGGCTCAATCTGACTCCAGATGATAGCCACCAACTTCCCGAGTCTGTTCAAGGTACGGGACCCTCGCGTATCCTTCCCAACCCGAACGAATGGGTCTTGCCCTAAGCCTCGAACATCTTCGTGGTGCTGATGTTGATCCTATGCAAAATCAGCAAATGCCAGGAACCACAAGAACAAAGTAAAAACTTGCCTGCTCCACTCCTTGCCCGTGTACAAGCACTCCAAGAACCTCGCAGGCCAATACACATGATACAACACAAAGAACGACCATGGATCCGCGATTGTAAGTGTGCCATCCTTCCAGCACGAGAAATGGTGCCAGAACGTCGCCAGGCCATCGAAGAACTCTCCCGAGGAGGCCGCACCAAAGATCGCGTCCAGGAATGGCAGGATCAAGAAGCTGACCACGTCGTGTCCAAACCAGTAGTAGCTGCTGGTAGGGGTGTGCGGGAAGATGGGCTTTTCGTGCTCGCCGGAATCTTTGCGGTAGTCCAGTACGGAGAGATAGGCTTCTGCCATTTCGGGCGTCTTTTCAAAGAGCACGACGGCTGTGTGGGCGCGTGGATTGCATTCGATAGGGTACAGTTTGACATTTTCTTCGTCTTCGACAAGAAAGTCGAAGCTCAAGTGCCCCGTAAAGGTTTTTCCGCCGTCTGCCACCACGCGCTCTGTGAATGCGAGCATCTCCTGATTCAGCTTCGAGTGTGTGGGGAGAGGCTCGTAGTGCATCAGCAGTTCGAGCGAAGGGCAGCTGCAGAACGCCTTGACCTTGCCGCGGATGACCAGCGCGTGTGTGCAGTATTCGTTGCCCTTGATGAATTGCTGGAGCTGGAACGGGTTGGACTTGGAGATGTTCAGACTGTGTATGTACTTCTTCGTCTGCGAGGGCGATTCGAATGGCAGGAGTGTCATCATCGCGTTTCGAGCGTGATCATCCACCCCAATGGGCTTCATTATGAACTTCTTGTTGTCATCCTCGCTGTTACCGACGTTTCGGAGGAGAACGTTCAGCGCTTCTTCAGGAGACGTGACACGGTGCGATTCGGGAACCAGGAGATCGAGAGACTGAATGTAATCAATGAATTTGTCTTTCTCGTGGAACTTCTCGACCACGTCTTCATAGAATTGGATGGCCTCGAATCGCCGCCCAGCTTCCTTCGCTTGCTTCTGCGCGATGCGCACAACCTGACCGTCCTCAACTGCCGCGATCACCGATGAGCAGCTTATCCAGAGGTCGATCTTCTCATTCCGGATAACCGAGAGGATGGAGTCAATGTACGGTTCCGCGTCGTCGCCGTTTGGTGTGTCCAATCGGTAGTAACTTGAAATCGCGCTGGAGAACCGGCCTGGAGAGAGTGGAGAGATGTCTGCGCCAATGACACGGTGTGGCGTGTTTTGTGATAGAACTCGCGCAATTGACAGGCCTTTGGCCATGGAGACTCCCGTAACGAGGATCGTCTTGCGTTGTGCGACTGTGACAGCTGTGCTGTTTCTCTCTGCTTGCAGGACCTTGTCGCGACCATTGACCCGCTGCACGACGAGACTGAGCAGCACGAGAACAGCCGAGACGGGCAGGGCGAGAATGCTCAGCGCGACAAGCGACGCATTCTTCCACACGTGAGAATAGTAGAAAGGCTGGACGCCCTTCTGCTGCTGCCCTGCTGGTGCATTCATTGCTGTCGTTGAGGAGATGTGGCCGGCCTCTGTCTTCGCAATATTATCGCTAGCTCTCCTTACAGTGACCTGTCGTAACAAACAACCTTCATCAAAAGGAACGAAAGCGTAAGACCCAACAACCCAGAACACAGCCGCGAAACAGAGACTAGAAATTCTTAGCGGCTAGGACGGCTGCTAGCATGTAAGGAGTTCATGTGCAGGTCGTGTATGCATGCAAGCGCGGACGCGGATGCGTTCTCGTCTAGGCGCTGAGTGCTGATTTAGTCTCGACGTCATTGTTATTATCGATGCATGTGGACCCTTGGTAAGTGCTGAGTTTCGCAATACTTGCATACAGCAAGGTTCAGCGGGCCATTGGACAGGTGTTCTGGATCGCGTATATATCTATCATTTGTGTGGTAATGCGACGCGCATGGTGGGAAGTGGGGTGGTGCAGTAAGAATGCAGGAGCGAGGGATCGCCAAACATCTACAGTGCAGACTATGACATGAGCAGCATACGATGCTGTTGGCTTTGAAATGGAAGAGGTTAAGCTTTATGAAAGATTATCAAAGTTCTGAATGTTCTATCCGAGTTAAGGCTGCTGTTGCCGCAGCCACGTGTTGGAAGCCGCTGAGGGTGTCCTGTCAGCCTTGCCGTCGATTTCATCCACGGGTTCCTGCATCTTTCATGACACACTTGTGCTACCAAGAAGACGTCGAGTCTATATCAGCATGCGATGCTTTTGCGAAACCGTCGCTCACTTCTGCTCTCCCTTGCAGCGAGTAATCTCGATGCCGTCCTGATGAAAGTTAGTGTGACGTTCATATGAATAGGCTCTGTATGGGAACTTACCGGCACACCAGTAGGTTCGTAGCTGTTCACTAGCTTGCTCTCGTAGATGAGATTTGGTTTTCCAGGGCTCTGGTTGAATTTGGCCTCACCGTACCTCTTCTCATACATCTTGACGTTTGTCTCTGCGATGCCTTCTGTGTTGCTGTTGCCGATCTTCTTTGCCTCTTCAATCTTCTCTTCGACGCTGCTCCTGACGTACTTGAGGTACGGTGGGTTGCCAGGCTTGATTACATTGTCCGCGGCCAGTACCGAGCCTTCGGTGATCAATCCCAACTCTTCGCAAAGCTTAAGATCAGTTGTGTAGGCAGGCTTGTAGTGATCGAGAAACATGAGATCAATGTGCTTCAGCTTCTCAGACTGGTACAGGCGAGCAATTGATTCATCACTGGAGCCAACGACGACCTTGACGATGTCGGAGAGACCTGCCAGATCGACGAGAGACATGATCACTGCAGCAAAGGCAGGATCACGCTCCAGACTGAAGTACCGTTGCCCTCCAGCTTTGCGAACTGCATCGCCGAACAGAACACACGAGTAGCCAACGTAGCCACCGAGTTCGACCTGGGTAAATTCGTCAGCTCAATTTTAGAGCTCCAGCAACCAACTGACTTACCATGGTCTTCGGCTTGATTTCTGCGATCAAATCTGTTACAATGCGACCCTTGTCCTCTCCGACATTCATGAGATACTTCTTCGTACGCCCATACTCATCGATGGCTGCGAGAACACCCTCGGGCGAGCCGCGAATCTTGTCGATGTTCTCATGGGAGTAGACGAAGTGTAGGAGCTCAATCTCACGACCGTCGTCGAAGAAAGCACCCTCTTCCTCTTGTGCCGCGTATGCTTTGCTTTGATCGAAGCTGCCCATGGTTGTTGAGTGTGCTGAATGTGTGCCCAATTTCAAATTGTGGTAAACTTGAATCTCTCAGAGCTCGACGCGTCGAGAGCGCCCGGATGCCCGCTCAGCGGATGCCCCTCAACGCGTAACTTAGTGCGGGGCGTCGTTTTAATGATGACGGTGGCGTTGCATATGCGAGGTGCACAACGGGCCCACTCGAGAGGCCTGATGCGAGCCAGAAAACGCACTTGGGAACGAACACCTAAAAAAGACTGTGTGGTGTCGTCAGACGTTAGAAATTGTCTTAGCAATAATCCTCCTGCTATGCCCGTCATCCTTAGTCCTGACGCGATACGGGATGTCACTGCAAGTGCAATGTGCCGTTTTCGTGAAAGGGCGCCATACCGTGCACATCAGGGAGTTGCTCAGTTCTGTCCTGGCAGACTTGTCGCGCCAGCCTGTGCATACGGGACAACGCAACGCTGGTGTGGCTTGAGTGGGTCTTGCAATTGGTGCATTTCTGCATTGCTCAGAGTCTTGACGTTGATACAGTCGTACCTGTTCTGAATAGTTCTAGGCGTATCTACGTCTAGCGGAGACAGCTCCACACTGATTCCACAGAACTTGACATGAACAGAACCAGTCCCGTTTTGGGGATATCCCTCAATGATCTAGGATCATCCAAACTCTATCTACCCGACGCGGGAGCTAAGATCGCAGGATCTCGCGAGACGTCAGACTGGCTCTCGAGCCTGGTGTTGAGGGGCAGTTTGGGAGGCGAAACAACACTGCCTGTGGCTGATCGTTTAGCGAGGTTCCGGTGGCTCTAGCCTTCCAGTTCGCCAGCATGCGTTTCCGCGCGCGCGTTGTTGAGCTGTACCTGCTCTATGGATGTCTAAAACGGGATATAGTGGGGCGGCGATGAAGTGATCCTGATGAACGCCCCGCAACACATCCAAGTCCATCTCCACACCGGGCGGTACTCCGTGCGCAGCACTAAAACGGTTAGTCTTGACACTACGCCCATTTGGTGCCTGGGCTGCGAGCAATTACCATTACACTGCTTTGTCCAAGCCATGCAAAAGTCCCTGTTCGGATTGAGAAATCGAGTTTTCCATGTGCCAGAACCGGGTTCTGCCGTTAGAGGTTGGTTGGCTCTCAAGTCATTTCATCATGTCCAGCCAGTAACAGTTTAGTCCTACATGTGTAGTCGTACCAGATCCACACAAGCAAGGCCTACACAGACCCCTCGGCATAGATGATGAATAATCCTGCGTATGGTTGACGTTTCCACGGAGCGTTACCGGCATGTGTGAGCCAATTGAGTGACACCGTGCACTCTGGCCGATGTGCCTGGTGAGAAACGACATCGGCCCCGAGACGATTTATATAGTGAAGCTGGACCCCCATGTGTTTGTTCAGCAGACACTCAACGTATCTCTCGCACACATCTCTACTCTTTCAAAATGTCAGACCTCAAAGCCACTGTTGCCGAGACCAAGGCCGGCTTCCACGTCGAGGGGTACGAGAAGATCGAATATGACTTCACATTCATGGACGGCGTCTTCAACCCCGCCAACCCCCAGCTTGCCAATTGCTACGAGCGATGGGGTCGCTGCCTTGCTGTCATGGACTTGAACATCTTCAACGTTTATGGCAAAGACATGCAGACCTACTTCGATCACTACAACCTGCCATTGACTGTTCACAAGACCATGATTGGCGAGAAGGCCAAGTCGATGGAGACCTTATTGAACATTGTTGATTCGATGACCGAGTTTGGTATTATTCGCAAGGAGCCTGTTCTCGTTGTTGTAAGTTCAACTTCAACTCAGACAAACACCGACATCTTACTAACAACATCCAGGGTGGTGGTCTTGTGACCGATGTCGCCGGGTAAAATTCATCTCTAAGGCACTCTGGCCTGAAAGCGTTTCGAAGACAGCACTAATTCGTCACCCCCAGATTCGCTTGTGCTTCATACCGCAGAAATACCAACTACATCCGTATCCCCACTACTGTTATCGGTCTCATCGACGCCAGTGTCAGCATTAAGGTCGCTGTCAATTACGGCAACTACAAGAACAGACTGGGAGCTTACCACGCTCCCATGCACACGTTCTTGGACTTCTCTTTCCTGAAGACCCTGCCCGAGGCACAAGTCCGAAACGGCTTTGCCGAGTTGATCAAGATCTCGACGTGCGCTCATAAGCCTACGTTCGATCTTCTTGACAAGTACTGCGAGAAGCTGATCACTTCCCGCTTTGGTCGCGAGGGTGACAACCAGGAGGTCCGCGAGGCTGCTGACACCATCAACCGTGCTGGCATCCACGAGATGTTGAAATTGGAGACACCCAACCTTCACGAGATCGGTCTTGACCGTGTCATCGCCTACGGTCACACATGGAGCCCTCTCCACGAGGTATGTGCTTCGAACCTGCCGACTTGTGACGCTACTAACCCAGCTTAGCTCTCCCCTCCTACACCCCTCCGTCATGGACACGCCATCTCTATTGACATGGCTTACTCTGCGACACTGGCCAACATGCGTGGTCTTCTCTCCGACGAGGAGCACCGCAGGCTGTTGAACTTGTTCTCTCGTGCTGGTCTGTCCATGGACCATGAAATGTTCGACGAGGACATGCTTGACAAGGCCACCAAGGCCATCCTCAAGACCCGTGATGGTCTTCTCCGTGCTGCTGTTCCTAACCCCATCGGTACATGTGTTTTCCTGAACGATGTATCGGCTGAGGAGATGAATGCTGCTCTCCGCAAGCATAAGGAGCTGATGAAGGAGTACCCCCGCAATGGTGAGGGTCTCGAGGCGTATGTCGATGCTTCCGATACAGGGTACACACAGAATGATGTACCCATTGAGGATGCCCTCCAGAAGGACAAGGTGGCCGAGAAGCTCAGCAACGGTCACGCTAACGGACTTTCCAACGGCCAGAAGCAGGCGAACAATGGTATCCCTGTCGGTCTGCAAGACATCGCCAACGGCTACTCCAATGGTTACAAGAACTAGATGGAGTAGTGTCGCGACGGAGGAATCTTCCGGAAGGTTAAAACGAGTCCTTTGCCTGGCGGCAGTCAGAGCATAGACCACGTTGTACTTGCAACTCATACCTCTTTCAATATACCAATCACTTCAGTTCACAAACAACATCAACCTTCCCCATATGCCTGCTCCTATTTTCAAGAATTAGACCAGCATCACGATGCTATTTCTCCGTTGATCCGGAACCTCGAGTACTCGAATACCTGACGGATGTAGCGACTTCTGTGCCACAAATTCTGCTATCGCTTGCGGGCACATGGTTCTTCGTGTTCGATGTCTTGACAGAATGAAGCGGCATGACAGAATCAAGGGTTTGCCTGACTACCCGTGGACTCCTTAGATGCGAGCTAACATGGCGCAGGTGTCGCTACCCAATCGTCGACGAGCAAATTCTCAAATACAAGCGCGTCCGAATGCCGGAAACGCAAATCACTGCTCGCCCTGGACGCGCGCCAGGTTCTCACTCATGCACAAGCACGTTCAGCAGCGGAAAGGTATGTGCTCCATAAAATCGACACCGGTATCCCATCGCCATCACTAAAGACGACCCAACGAGAAACCAGTTTCCTAACAGGAGAGTTGTTCGCGGGGCCCACGCCACCGTAGTGACTGGCAACCAGAAGCAGTGGATGATGCTAATGGTCGTGGCTGGGCCCCTGAGCTTTTTTGATAAGGAAGCAGAAATGGGTGTGGGCGCTGTGAAGAATTTATAGAGCGGTGCCGGAGCGCGCAAATCGCCGATGCGCTAACCATGTTAGGCCAGCACCGGCCTTGCGCCTGGGGCACATTGACTTCCCTTCAATCATGGAGGCAACGAGTGTTTGTGTCGATTGACCGATGGATGTGTTGAGCCCGAGATAATTAATTCGTAGAGGTGGTGCAACATGCTGCAACGATGATGCAGGTCGATACGCTACAGGCTAATGGGCTCCAGCCTTCTTCAAGGCATTCAGAGGAGGCGCATCTGCATCTCAATGAAGCAGCCTCAGTTGAGAGCTGCATCGCTAGTTCACACTACTGCTTTCTTGGAAATCAGGAATTTGACTGGCTGTTGTTAGCGCGATCTGCAGAAGCGACGTCAGTCACAGCTACTACAAACATACATTTTGCCTAGCCTTTGTCTACATTCTCGCATCATCAAATCATGGCTGCGAAACCGCCTGTACAGGCGACCTCAACTAATGTTGATGACCTCATCACGCCTTTGAAGAGCGTGCTGAACTTTAGAGACGTAGGCGCATTCGTCAATCGAGCTTCAGGAAAGAAGTAGGCGAACCTCTGCCCAGACGCTGCAGGACTGACGAATCACAGCCGTTTGAAGACGAGGCTGCTGTACCGGGGCGCGCGACCAGGTATGTATCGTGTACTCTTATTATGTGCAGCTACTGATTGGAGTAGACGAAGCAACAGTACGGGACAGAGAAAGGCTTGTCACCGAATTTGGTATCAAGGGCATCATCGACCTCCGAACGAAGTATGCAAGGCACATTTGCGAGGAAACCTGCAAGCTAACAAAGGCAGGACTGAACACATTGAACAAGCTCAGAAGCGGGATGCTAAGATTAAGGCATCTGCTGCAGTGTCTCAATCGAACGATAATATTGCGGGACCGCTAAAGATTCCCGACGTTGTCTATCATGAGATCAACTTCAATGGCTCGGCATTCTCCCGCATGCTCATCTCCAAGCTCACGTGGATGGAGTTTTTCCGCCTAGTCGGCCTTATGATCTTTGGCTATCGTCTCGATGCAATCAAGATCCTTTCGCCCCACATGGAAGAAATGGGCCTTGTTGGGCTGGCAAAAAGCTCTGTGGACGTCTGCGCCAAGGAGGTCAAGCAGGTCTTTGATGTGCTTGCAAACGATCGCAACTGGCCAGTACTGATCCACTGCACACAAGGCAAAGACCGAACCGGGCTGATTGTTATGCTCGTTTTGTGGCTCACGCAAATCGACGACGAGACCATCGAGGAAGATTACCTGCTGTCAGAGCCTGAGCTCGCATTAGAAAAAGAGTCCCGGCTGAAGGAGATTGGCGCCATCGGTCTCTCTGAGCAATTCGCTGTCTGCCCGCCAGGCCTAGCAAAAGAGGTCCATTCGCACATTCAGGAGAAGTATGGCGGTGTTGAAAAATACCTCCTGGAGAAAGTTGGGGTTAGTCGGGACACGCTAGAGAATGTGAGAAGGAGGATGCTGGCTGCTGATTCGTAGAAAGCCACGCGTCCGCGTTGGTGTACCACCGAAACCCAACCTTGAGACCTGGTCTCAATTGCAAAGGCTTGACATGTGAACTGGATAAGTACAGTTCCTTTCAACGCACAACGTGTTGTGCCTGGATAAAGACATGTATAATTGTTCTGGACCCTGATCAACGCCTGTGCCTCTCACTTGCACGCGTTATCATGGAGTGTCGACGTTTCAGGTGTGAAGCTTGGGCTCGAAGCTCCCCTAGTTCGCTTAAGTGGGCTACACCGTCCATCCTTGGCGCATGCAGTTGTGCTCTGAAAACACCACGTCTTCTTTCCTTCCCGCAAAATTCACTGGAGTTGCGCAATATGAGCGGAAACACCTCTGAGGAGACTTTCGAGTTCATCGAAACGCCTGCGGCGTCTTCGACCGTCTCCGAGTTCGATTGCGGGGTCAAGACGACTTCGGTACGCTTCACCCCAACATTTTGGCGCGAGTTCGGCGAGCCATTGCGCGACGTGGAAAAGGGCAATTGAGCTGACATTTGGTGTGAATAGTACCCTACAATCGCCAATGCTCCTCTCCCCGCTGAGGGTTCCGGCCGCGACTCGTTCAACAACTACGCCCTCATCTCGCTGCTAGTCGGTGTCCCTGCCTACCTCACCTGGAAGCTTGGTGGTGGCCTCAAGACGTGGATCTTTATTGCTCTGATCACGACTCTGCCGATTCTCGGTCCCTTCTGGTGGCTCACCTCTGAATTTGCGCCCCGCAAGAACGAGAAGGCTAAGCTGCCTGGCAAGAGCATTGAGCACTACCTGAAGTTCAAGAAGGAAGAGGACCGCGATGCCTACTATGGCAAGAAGAAGATTCCCCTCGAGACCTTCCAGGAGAAGTACTTCGACGGTGAGATCGAGCTCAACGGCGACATGCTCGATATCCTCGAATGGCGCCACGACTGGTCCAAGCCCCGCTTCACTCTTGGTCTGATCAAGCACTTCCTCTTCGGCATGATCCCAGAGATGATTGTTCACTCCAAGTCCCAGGGTACGTCTTTATCATTTACACGGCATGTCGAGAATATCAGCTGACAATGCCTCAGACGAGGAGCAGGTTCGTGACCACTACGACCGCGGCGACGACTTCTACGGCTGGTTCCTCGGCCCGCGCATGATCTACACCTCTGGTATCATCTCTGATATCAACAAGGAGGAGTCTCTCGAGCAGCTCCAGGACAACAAGATGGCTATTGTTTGCGAGAAGATCGGCCTCAAGAAGGGCGAGAAGATGCTCGATATTGGTTGCGGTTGGGGAACTCTTACCAAGTTCGCTTCTGCTAACTACGGCGCTCACGTCACTGGTATCACACTTGGTCGCAACCAGACTGCCTGGGGCAACAACGGTCTCAGGAGGGTTGGCATCCAGGAGGACCAGTCCAAGATTCTGTGCATGGACTACCGTGAAATCCCTGTTCCCTCTGGCGGCTACGACAAGATCACCTGTCTCGAAATGGCCGAGCACGTCGGTGTCCGGCACTTGGGTGGCTTTTTCCGTCAGGTCTACGACATGCTTGAGGACGATGGTGTCTTCTTCCTCCAGATCGCTGGTCTCCGTAAGGCATGGCAGTTCGAGGACTTCACCTGGGGTCTGTTCATGAACAAGTACGTCTTCCCTGGTGCCGACGCTTCGACCCCTCTGGGCTTCGTCATCGACACCCTTGAGGGTGCTGGTTTCGAGGTTAAGATGACCGATACAATTGGTGTACACTACTCTGCCACCCTCTGGAGATGGTACCGCAACTGGCTCGGCAATAAGGACAAAGTCAACGCCAAGTACGGTGCCCGCTGGTACCGCATCTGGGAGTACTTCCTTGCCTACTCCACGATCGCCTCTCGCCAGGGTTCCGCCACTTGCTTCCAGATTACCTGCGTCAAGAACCTGAATGCCGTTCACCGTATCGACGGTATCAACTCTCAGTTCTCTCTTGCTGGCGCCCTTGAGGCTAGCAAGGCCAAGAGCGCCAACCTTCTGCCCAAGAACATCTGAGTCGAGCAATCATGTTAATGGGCTGCTTGGGCAGATAAGAAACAATATTGTCGATTCGAGTAGAGTCCGACGTATGCGATATACAAGATGAGCCCGATGATGGTGTAGACAAAAGTATGAATGTCTTCGTTCGATGGACCAGCTCGGCTCTGGTATGAGCATGAGCATGACTCGTATGACAATGTGGAACATGTGACTGTCATGGTGGTAGCCCTTGTAACAATGAAATCTGCTACCAATTCTGAAAGTCATGTGCTAAGTGACTGTCTAGAAACATGCTGCGGGCTTGATCGTTTGCCCGTCTACCGTCAGAAGATCGACGGTGCAGGCGATGGGGTGATCAGAGCATCGGATCGAGATGAATGTTGTGCCGTGGTATTTGTGGAAGATGTTAAGGCGTGTGAGATTGGGCATTAATGGAGCCCTCGTTCAAAGTCAATTATGTAAACCACTTGTTAACCAGCACAGGCGTCATGCTCATCGTACGGCTAGTCTGTCATGGAGGATCAAAGCATTACATTCTCACTTTGCCAAAAAAACTACGGGCAGCTAAGCAATAATCGTGACAGTGAACGACTCCACATATCCTTCGCGAAAACAAAGGATCAGAAAGACGTGAGACCAGGCGTATCTTTATGCATTCTTTTCCTCTCCAGGGCCCTGAGGTCGTCGACAACCTTCGCATCGTTCTCGAATCGGAGGCCTTGTTTGGAGATGCATTTTCGGAACGATCGGCACAGGTCATGCACCTCGAAATCGGGCCAGAGACTCAGCAGAGTAAGACAATTGTCAAGATCATTATCAGACTCTCCGCGAGGAGCCACTGCCTTTCGTAGGATTGCTCGCACTTCGTCATTACCGTAGCTATCGTCCAAACTACGCGTAGTCTTCTCCAAGGAACCGTTGACTGCACGAATGAAGTGATTCCGACATTGCAGCTCACTAAATCCATCTTTGGCGTGTGCGAGTGACGACATGGCGCGGTGTACTGAAAAGCTCGTGCATATCGTAACGCCGGAAAGGTGGGTCGTAAGGAAGTGACTAGAATTTCATGTGATTCTAAAACGCTGAAGCATAGGCACACGCCGGACAAACAACCTTCAAGGTTACACGATCGTATCCGCGCTGCAGGAGAGATGTAACGTAGTTTGTGCGGCCCTGTTCATCGTGTTTCTTCAAGAGATGCTGTTGAAGGAGGTCCATGGATTCGCGGGCAGCATTGAGCTTGAACGAACACCTTGGTATGGGGCATTTCCTAAATGTCTGCAGACCTCTGAATGCCTCACTGTGTAGTGCCAGACAGTCCCGGGTGATATGCGCTACAAATCCGGGGTCAGTGGGACAGTCAAAGGCAGTGTCGTCATCATATCCCGCCAAGATATGTTCATGCGCGCCTGTGAATTTGCAGCCTTGGGCTGAATACTCGAACCTGAACTCAGTAGAGTGCTTCCGCTGGTGTCGCTCGAGGTCAGCCCAACGCTCATAGGGTCCTGCTCCGCAATTTTTGAAGTCACAGCGGAGCGAGTCCTAGCGTGGGTGTTTAGCAGATGATCCCGGGACAGACATGACGGGGCGGAGACCTTCCAACGTGGGGTTATGAAGTGGTCTTTAGATCCTTGATTTGGTGAACAGCATTTGCGGTCTGTGGTCCTTCTGTTAGCTTGTGTATTTTTTTTTGAATTCACCGGTTCTGTAGCTCAAACTCAGCTGGCAGGGGTTGCGCATGAGCTATGGTGTTCTGAGGTCGTTCGCAGGGTGCGTCTGACCAACCAGGGATCAGCGATTCTTCTTGAAGGCTGTTAAGCGTGATGTCATGAAACCAACCAACTGGCTCGTCCACCTCTTTCTGTAAAATGCATCCCAACGCCCATCGTCGAGCGCAGCAGGCTGAAGGGCGTAGGTGGTACGGTTGAAATTGTCGGACATGTTGTCAGGAGTGATTGGTTGAGCGTCCAGGACAAGGATGTTCGGTGCGTCAAGAAGGCTCTTGGAGAGGCAGGAAGTGCCGATATGCCTTTGCGCGCTGCGTCAGTCGTCACTTCCTCGTACATACAAGCCAAGGGGCACCGATCCGGCCCTTGTTCTCATTTGTGCAATGCATTGACTGTATCTACAAAGGCTCAACTTTATAGTTACTGACACTACTCGTCGTCTAGATCCGACCAGCGTCCCAAAAGCTCACCATGCTTCAAGGAGATTGGTGCCTCGTCAGCAGGAGCCTCAGCTAGACCCCTACTTCTCGGTCTTGAAGGCCCATCGTCTTCACTAGCCGCACCGCTATTAGCCACACTGGCCTTGCCTTTCTCTTCCTTCTCCTCTTCCTCCTCTTCAGCTGCTTCCCAGTCATCAACAACAGGCGCCGGCTTCTCCTTCTTCTTCTTGCTGCTTAAGCTCAGCACAGCAAAGCCACCCTTATTTCCAAATGGCGTGCTCTTTAGCACCTGGCGCGATGGGATGCCCCGGGAAGCCGCGACCTGGCTCCAGCCTGAACCAGGACCAATGTCAGACTCTTTGCGTAACACGTTCAGCGATGCATCTGTGCGGGCTAGCTGTAAAGAGCCGACCTTCTGTGCAGTGAAAGCTTGTGATAACGGTGTCTTGACGGACTCGAGCATCGTCTGCATCTCACGCTCCGGAATGTTGAGACGCGCAGCTAGCGGTGGCTTGAGCGAGACTGCCTCGCTGGGTAGGAAGCTGACCTCGAACTCAAGAGGAAAATTGGTCTGTGGGAGGACGTTCTTGATGACCATGCTGACTTCCTCAATCGTGAGAGCGAAGCGTGGATTCAAGATTAACAAGGAGTTGTACGGATCTCCGGTAGTGTTACTTGGCTTCGATCGAAGTGGAGCGGCTACTGGGGGGCCGGGAATGGGACGCTGAACTTGTCGTGTCCGGGCGCACTCCGCGAGTGTCTTCATTGGAGCCATGACGAACTTCGGAGTCTTGAATACCGCAACGTGGCGATGCGGTTCGGGATCCATGCTCTCTGTGTCGAAGCCAAAGTCTTCCGCGAGATAGTGGATGAACTTGCGCTGATGCTTTGGCATAGGCTTGAACCTGAGCCGTTTCTCTTCATCGTCAGCGGCGAACAACCTAAGACGTTTTTCGTGGTTCGCAGCCCATGTCGAATGCTCCACATAGAGATTCAGCGTAATGTCAGAGTAGGGAACGTGATCACTCTCATGCTCCGGGTCCACACTGAGCGCCAAAGCGAGCTTGCGGTTGCGTTCAAGACGTGCGCACTCCTCATCGCACTTAAGCGTCTTCTTACTGTTGCCCTCGCTGGATTTCGAAGCGTTACACTTCGTTTCCTGCTTGATTCTCTGACATTCGCAAGTGACGATAATTTTGTGTTGACAAGACTTGTCTTCTTTGCACGGCTGCGGAAAGTGGCAGGGCGCCATGTCAGGATGACCACAAACGCTCAGTTCCCTGCCGCAAGTCTGCTTGCAAGGCTCTTCGCACTCCCCACCGCGATGGCATTGCTTCTGACACTTGTGAATGCCGCATTTCAAGATACGGCCACAGATCTCGCCGCAACGAACTTCGCTGAGCCAACAGGGCTGGTTCTTGATAACGTTCTTGCCACACAAGCAGGACTTTGTGGTCAAGTACGGGCACTTGGGACAGTCTTCCTCGTCACTGTGACAGTTGTGACCAACTTGAGGATGGCCGCAGTTCTTCGGACGCTCACAAGCCAAGCGACAGGGAGGTTGCCGAGTACCACAAGGCAGAGGAGGCTGCAACACAGTCCGGCCGCAGTTGCAGCTGATCTCATCGAAGATTGCGTCTCGACAAGTACCACAGGGACCTTTGTGACAGAGCTCCTGGCAGCGATGCTCGGGGTTACCGCATTTCAGCTGACGACCGCAAGAACGGGTGCAGATGTGCTCTGCTTCGAAGTTGTCCCCAGGTCTCTGAGCTGCCGAGTCCAGAGGGCGCGGCTTCCTTCGAGCCGCCTGTCGCTCAGCTGCTTTGCGCTCGCCAGCACAGCAGTGCTCACCACACTCATGTCGACCACAATTGAGTGCAACACGACAGATACGCATACACTGGGGAGCTTCCTCGGTTCCTTGATGACAAATCGTGAAGAACGTATTGCGCCCACATCTGCATGCAATAGTGACTGTCTCCATACAGGGTCTGCACTCGCCCTGATGACACGGTTGCTTGCACTTGTGACCGCAGTTCAACGTGTTGTTGCAAGGTTTGGAGCAATTCGGTATGGGATCTTCGCAAGTATCTCGACGAGCATTCGATATTTCTGACAGACGCGTCTTGCCACAGGGACAGTGGGTGACGACGTCTGGGGATCGTGGACAATGGGCCGAATCAGCGTTCTGTCGGTGACACGCTTGTTCGCAAGCATGCATACCGCAGTCGTAAAGACGACCGCAGATATTCGGGCACTGGAAGGCTCCAGTCCACTCTTCGACTGTGGTAGCGCCGTCCGCTGCGGTGTGGCGCTGGCGGCTGTGCTTTGTCGCCTCACGATCGCAGCACATGATATCATTATGAACTTGACCACAGTAGCAACGTGCTGGGACACGAACGTCACAAGCTCCACAGGGGCCATCGTGGCATGGTCGAGAACAGCGGTGTTCTCCACAAGCTAACATCTCGCCACACACTTCGCCGCAAGTCCAGCCATGCTCGTAGTCTGTATCTACGCACTTCCGAGTAACAGACTTGCTGCCACAGAAGCAGTACTGGGTCGGTCCCATCAAAGAGCAATGTGGGCAAGGACCGGCATGACAGGTCATGCCACACGGATGGGGACACTTCTTCGGTAGGATCCTAGGCCGGGAGCAAGTCTGTCCGCAAGAGAAAGGTGGTAGACCCGTAACTGGCTTTGGGTCGAGCTCTTTCTCACACCAACATGAGAAGTTCTTTGGTAGAATATCTTTCGGCAAATTGCACCCGGGACAGCGCCATTGCCTCGGTGGTGGTGCTTCGCCGTCCTGAACTTGCTGACGAGCAGCTGCTGAACCCTCGTTGGTCGACCACTTCTTTATGCAACCTAGGTGGAAGACTGTCCAACACGTACGGCAGGACCACACTCCCTTCGAGCGTCGCTTAATGTCTTCGGTGCAGATTGCGCACTCGTAGTGACCGTTATCAATGTCTTCGTGTGTTCTGGTGGCGATATCTGGCGCGGTCGACTTTGGCAGTTGTGGCTGCTTTTCCTTCGGCGCTCGTGGCTTGCGGCCGACCAGAGGTCTCCCTGGCTCGAACTCGGGCGCATCTGCCTGCAAACTTGCTGACGCTGCTGACTCTGTGTCGTGCTCGGTTGTCAGTTGGCCGCCAAATTGGCGACCACCTGCAGCAGTACGCTGAGCAAACCTCTGTGCTCCGCCTCTTCCTGGCCCGCCTCTCCCTCGATGCCCTCCTCTTGTCGGCGCAGGCGCAGGCGCAGGCGTCGAAGTTGGAGCTTCGCTCGGTATGCTCTGCAGTACCTGCGATGGTACTAGAGAGTGGCCCCCACGTCCCCTGACTCGCCCTCGGCCACTTCTCCCTCCTCTTTGCGACTGCTGCTCTCCACTTACTGGCCCTTCACTCTGGCCGTCGGGGGCGTTCGGTGCGCGATTGCGATTGCGGTTCCGTCGCCTTCCTCGAGAGGCTCCGTCTTCTCCAGCAGTATTTGCTGGCGCTTGTGCAGTTGCAGTGGTCGACATGACGTGCGAAGTATTGGTAAAGACTTCCACGGTGGACGGCAGAATGGCTGCGGACAGCAAACTTGAATGTAAGAAAGGTCGTAGATTGAAGACTACCTTCAGGCTCTGTTATTGTATGGCCAGGCGAATGCGTAAAAGAATGGTCGGGCTGCGGGAGCTTTGTCGAGGAAGCAAGCAGAGTGGCGTGCAGCTGTACTGTCTTCGCCTTGGGAAAGAGCGGCTAGCGCGGGCTTCCAGAAAGTGCACTGGCTGACTGATGAGTCGAAGTCTGTCACAGGCAGCCAGGCACCGAGCACGAGAGTCCGGTGAACTACAGGCCCGGGTCTGGGTGGTGGCGCAGTGCAGCTGGCAGGCCTTCTGTGACTCTGTGACCGTTCGCCGTGTTCGCGTTGCGCCCGAAATTCTGGCTGAGCGCGTCATACCCTGCCGGCTCATCTTCGGGCCAGTGTCTCACTGCCGCTGCGGCAGGCATCGTGCAGGGCTTCAGATCATCGCGACTCTCAACACCACGAGCAGACGACAACATGGCCAAGACATTGATTGGCGCTCTCGCGCTGGCGTCGCATGCCCTTGCCTTCAGTAACACCTCGCCGTTCTTCCTCTTCTCCACCGCCGAGTACGCCTCGCCGCAGCCAACCCTGACGTCTCGAAGCTAACGTGTGCAGCTTGTTGCTTGAGTCCTCCGGCGCATCGATCGCCCAGTCGACCAGCATCACCGCAGATGTGCTGGAAGCCCTGAAGGAATGTCCGACCAAGAACTACGTCGTTGTTGAGCAGGAGGGTGTCTCCGCCGCCGATTATGCAGACGGACGCTTGACGCCACGGTTAGCGCAGTACATGGCTGGCCAGCACCACGACGTCAAGTCGACAGTCTCTGTACCAGATGTCGTTGGAAAGGTCGATATCGCCGAGATCACAAAGTACCTAGAGTCAAAGTGCGGGTCGGTCAAGAGCGTACAGCTCGACACACCCCCGGCGTCAAAGGCGCTCAGGTCGCTGTACATGGGACAACAAGGTACGCTTGGCATGCTACTGGATCGGCAGCTCATTATCTAACTTTCACAGACCAATTCCTTGAGGACAGCTTCAACAAGTATGCCGATGCGCAAGACTACACCGTTATCTACATCACCACCCCTCCCACAGAAGCCCAGGCCAAGGCACAGGTGGATGCCGAGCAGCAGCACCAGTACGAGATGGAGAACAATTTCGGCGACAACGTACAGATGGAGCTCAAGCGTGACACTACCGCCCACTACAAACGCGCCAACTCGACCAGCAACGAGGGTGGCCTGTTCGAGAGGTATCAGTACTTCACACCAGGCCTTTTCATGGGCTTCGCCGCTGTCATCCCGCTTTTCCTGATCCTCCTCGTCGGTATTCGAGCACTCACCAGCCTGGAGGTGTCGTACTTCGCTTTCAGCAAGGAGATGGGCCCCAACGCACAGAAGAAGCAGCAACAGTAGTAGGCTGTACGAGAGGGATAGGAGGAATTGACGAGCGATGTAAATTTTGTACCTTCGTAAGAGCATGGGCATCAGGCGTTTGTGTGAGCTTAAGCGGACTTGTAGTGATTGAGGTTGAAGCATCCAATGGTATACACATACACACCAGCCTATCTACTTCACGCATGCCAGTTTCCGACCTTCCTCAATTCCGTGCCATCTTCCAAAGATACTCCTAACCAAACCTGCCGACCTCCCGGTCGAAATGCACATAACAATATTTCCCACCCACAAAACACGTCGCCATCCACTGCCACCAACTCAAGCTTGTAACCTCCACCCCATGTCTACTCAATCTCTTCGCAAACAGCCCAGTCTCGATGGCATGCGCGCCAAAGAGGAAGTAGAAGAGCCCGCTCTGCACCCAGCTCGCGTATTTCAGGCCGTCAACGCTGAGGTATCGGAGGGCATAGTCGTAGATGGGCGACCCGGGGGACATGACTTCGCGCCGCGACGAGAGCGCCATGATCACGCCGCAGACGACGATGGGCTTGAGGTAGGGCGCTTTGGGCGCGATGTACGTGTTTCGCAGGTTTTTTGGGGGTTGGGGGACGGGGGTCGACATGGCGGGAGGTCTTGATGGCGTTGGGGTCGTCTTGTGCAGGAGTATTCAATGTTGCATGAGATGCTGAGAGTCGTGTACTCGTTCTGGTGTCTGAGTCTCGCCGTGGAATTGTGCAAGTAGGCTTCGAGGCAGAGTGCACTTGCTGTCTAAGCTATGGAATTCCATGTCCAGCAGCCTCGGTTCTGCGAAATTGTCCACGGTCACACGAGTCAGAACTAACACTGTTAACGTTAAAGTTGGCCTCGTACGCAACCTGCCGCATAGGGCAAGTACGATAGCAATGCTGTAGATTGCTGGAACTCATGCGAACATAAGAAAAGGGTTGCTAGCGCTGGGGTTTGTACAGCTTTGTGCGATCACGTGCGTAAGGAGGTTGGGCGGAGTACGCTGATTGGGTGAACGCAGAGCACCGGTGAAAAGCGCTGGGGAAGCGGCCCGGCAGTGGATGAGGCTTGGTAATGGGCGGGGCTGAAGAGACGAAGTCGTCATTCTTCTGCTGCTTTGCACGTCGATATGACGGGAACAGCTGCTCTTGGCCACATTACAAAGGACAATCGCGCGTACATTTACGCGCTTGTCATGGCAGCTTCGCACGTCTCATCGTCACGATCGAATTGGTAGAAGACTCGAAGCCATAGTGGCTTTCTGCGCTGCTGTCAGTCACCCACGAAAGAAGCAAATTGACGGCACCATCCACCGTCCACCAGGGATTGCTATCCGCTGCCCACACTGAGTCGCCCGGCAAGGCTGCTCATCGCGGAAAGGAAAGCCTCTTCCACAAATGCAGCCTCGCGCCATTCGCCGGAAGCGGCCTCTCAAAAACCTCCCAAACCCAAAGCAGCCATTATCACGCACCTTCCCGTCCTCCTCCCGCTCTTCAGGGAAAGCCGGAGTCAGCTTCCTTGCGACTTCCTTGCCCCTGAGCCCTCAATATGCACGATCTGTTTGGTGCCAGTCTGCGATTGGTGCAAAAGGTGTTATATCCTGGAAAACGGCGGTTTATGGCGTTCGTTTACGACAACCATCACGGGCGTCCATGGATCAACCTTTGAGCTGTACAGCGTTCGACGGGAGAGTGGGGAGTTTCCTGAACTGGTAACTATTGTCAAGGGCCGACCACCATGGCTTCAGAGGGCTTGTCGCCTGCCAGACTATTCGTATATAGGCCGCGCTCGAAGTACCGTTACACAGAGCTAACCATCTCAGGCACTCGCTTGCGGGACACTCTCACAGATCGACGATGATCTAACCCTCACACTCCATTGCAGCTCCAAGACAGCTTTGCTACAGCAGCCTACTTACATTGCCACGTGATCTGTATGACCCATCGACTCGCTCTGGCGTACTTCTGGACAGGTGCGGGTCAGTTGCTGCTCTACAACGACCGAACGTGATGACTTCACGCTTAGTGAGGAACGTGTGTCCTATTGCTTGACGTCTTGTTTCTCACGTCGAGCCAGAGGGCATCGAAACCGAACTCAACCGTGGCTGCGAGACTACCATAGCTCTCTGGTCATGCGCCAGTAATGTTGATCTTACCGGTCTCATGGGTAATCAAGACTTCTAGATCTCAGAGAAGGAGACCATAAATTAGTACGATCTCTATCGGCTGATCTTTGGATCTGCACAGTCGCACTCCAACACGTGTCTGCACGTGGACGCATTGAACTTCTATGCTACGGACACATGTAGTCTGCCCTCAACTTTGTGAAAGTTAAGTATTGTTTACATTCAACATGGAGGTCAATCCGCTCGAGGCCTAACCGGCCTCCACAAGTTTTCTAAACTCTTGCATCCTTTCCGGGGGCTCGTTCAGCACACAGAAAGTCTCGGTCTCAGCCAACCTCGGGACAGACCCCTGCATGTCGCAGCATGCAGCCTCAGAGGATCCATGCCGACTCTTCCGACGACGAGGAACCGTACGGGAAACTGTGCCTGCGAAGAAGGTGTTGTTACTTCTCCACTTATAATCCCGGTCGCGCCAGTCAGCGCCGGTCAGGCCAGCATATGCACCTCTCCTCATTGGATACCTTCAGCTACCGCCTCGCTCAGACGAGGGTTTTGGCCAACCACACCAACGACGGTTCGGACGTTCTTCTGAAGAAGTACAATACAGAATGATCGACCCCTGGCTTTCCATCTTGAACGCGCCCAAGCATACGGTCAGTACACTGCCCCTCACCTGTCGGCGAGGTGTGTGCTTGTAGCCAACAAAGTCATACGATACATCTGTCCTTCAAGACGAGTTTTTGGTTGTCTCCAGTGCTTCTGTCTCAACTTCTCTCTCAAGCTCAATTGACCGTCAAATCCGGACTGTGAATAACAACATGGAGCTCGCCACTGGAACGCTTCCACAGATTTTTTTATTCGTTCCAACACTGATATTTGCAGCCCTTGCGTACCGCATCATATTCACTCAATTCTTCCACCCGCTGTCCTCCTTCCCCGGACCATGGTACCTAACCTCCTTCTCGCTGAGTCTGGCACTCGTATCCCTCACAAAGCGCGAGCCCGAGTACTTGATCCACCTGATCCGCAAATACGGAAGTGCGTTTCTCTCGTCCCACCACGTTCCCCACGCACTCATAACCCCTCCAGCAGATAAGCCCATCCGCATCTCGCCCACCATGCTCCTCTTCCCCAGCGCATCCGCACTAAAAGACATCTACCGCTCGCCGGCTTGCAACCGCAAAACGAACCTCTACGGTTCCGGCGTGCTAGGCCCTCCACACATGTTCTCTACGCTCGACGGTGAGGAACACCGCGCCTTGCGTAAAGCATTGTCCAACGCGCCTTGGACCATTGGTCAGCTGAAGAACACATGGGAACCGCGATTTGATGCGCAAGTCAACCTGTTCATGGCCAAGATGGCCGAGCACGCCCGTGCAGGACGGACGGTGTGTTTGAGCGATAAAGTTGCCGAGTTTGCGGCGGATATCATGTCCATGGTGAGCTTCACGGAGCCGTTTGGGTGCGTGGAGAGGCAGGAGGATATTAGGGATATTCTGAAGAATTGGAGACTGGGGTTGAGTTTCTTTGGGTTTGCATGCAGGTGGAGGTGGTTCCGCGATGTGGCGCTGCAGTTGCCGGTTGTGGGCTTGTGGTTTCTGCCCAAGACGGAGAACGGGAGCGGGATGGGTTGGCTAATGTGTGAAGCCGACCGACAGGTGAGCGCGAGGGAGGAGAAGAATGCTGCTACTGCTGTTGAAGAATACGGAGATGGAAAGGGCAGAAAGGATTTCATGCAGTAGTGAGTTCTCTACTTGCGTGTTTGTGGAAACTAAACGACTGCTGACAAGACATCTAGTTGCCTCGAAGCTCGCTCTTCGGATGGTGCACCTCTCACAGCGAGCCAAAAGCGCGCCCACGTTACTCTTCTCATACAGGCAGGCGCAGATACGACCGCTACCGCTATGGGCTGTATTCTGCGCTTCCTTGTCACGAGCCCGGAAGCATTTATAAGAGCGCGCGAAGAGATCAAAAAAGCAGACGAAGCAGGGCTCCTCTCAGCGCCCGTCCAGTACGAAGAGACACGCCAACACCTGCCTTACTTCGTTGGCTGTATCAAGGAAGGTCTGCGCTTACAGCCACCCGGTACTAATCTATATGCTCGAATCGCCCCGAAAGAAGGGAAGGTGATCGACGGCCATTTCGTGCCTGGTGGCACAGAAGTAACCTCGTACGCATACTGCGTACAGCGCGATCAGGCCTTGTACGATGAGAGCGCCGAGGAGTTTGAGCCTGAGCGGTGGCTGGGAAGTGAAAAACAGACCTTCGAGCTGGAGGCCGCACAGTTCACTTTTGGCATGGGGCCGCGCGTATGTCTCGGTAAGGATGTTGCGGTGATGGAGATGTATAAACTTTTGCCTGAGGTCAGTGTTCACGAATCTTACTAATGATGTCGCGAAGCTAATACCACTAGATCGTAAGGAGGTTTGACATTGAGCTCGTAGAGCCTGGGCGATACGTGGTAGATGGCGGTGTTGCCTACAATGTAGGCTTCACGGGAAAATTGATTGTCAGATGAGATACCAAGCATGCTCGAGTCTGGAGTGAGTGTTTGCGATCGATGTTATATGAGCATGGTTTAGTTCTTCGACTGAATTTCTCTATAGGTCTTTCAATGCAGCAGTGAGTCGCCAGATGCCGCATGCTGAGGGATCAAAGAATGGCTGTGGTGATGGTAGAGTTAACCCAGGTGTCTTGAGAAGATGTGAGATGATGCCCTGTGCATATCGAGCTCCGGGATATGTTTATATGAAACTCGAAGACTCCTCACATCTGCTAATTATTATCAGGCTCAGTTGCTCCAAGGTACTGCCGAGGGCATAAGTTTACTGCCGGGCCTCATATGTAAGGCCATACCTGTCTACTACTACAATTCGATGACTTGGGCCCCAGGGAAGTCGCTGATCACCTCAGTATCAAAGTATGGCGAGACTATCGTGATGCGGTCCAGGCCGCAAGCAATACGGTTCACTGTTCCAAGGAGAGTAAGCGGTAGGGTAGGGCTGAGTGACGGTGGTACAGCTGCGTCAACGGCACGAGCGTGTTCTAAACATTGACCCGGGGCTGGGTTGCGGAGTGAGCATTGCGGCGACGCAGGTGTGGAACAAAGTCATCATACTGCTCAGCAGTGAAGAGACCTTAGTCCGTACCGGTCCACGTGGTAGTGGAACTAGGGAAGAAGCGGATATGGCTCTGGTATGAAGGTGGTTAGGAGGGCAGGAAACAATGACAAAGTCAACGAAACGAAGCTGAAATGTGTGGCAATCGCGCGACTTGTCATCAAAAAAATAAGAGAGGTCTCCTTCGCATTTTCCCAGGCGAGATGCTTCAGTAATGTAGCCTGAACTTGTTTCCGACTATCGGTAGCTGGAGATATAATCATGTAACTCGAGCCATAGTTTGAAGATCAGAACAAACAACACGATAAACAAGGGGCTGAGTTCAAATGCACTTTTCATTCGTTCGAGCGAATGTATTACACACATAGTTACTAGGTATCGTCTCTGCGTCACACATTGCGACATCTCCCACCAGAACAACGACGAAAGCGCAGCAGCGCAAATTAAATTGCTCAAGAGAGCACTTAGAAGATGCGGTGAGCGAGACGCTTCCATGCGGGCCAGGTCTTGATCTCCTCGCGCTCGCGGTTGATGAGGTCCCAGTCGAGCTCACGGCGACCGGTGTCAACATCCATCTGAGCAGTCCTGAGCCAGCCGGTGCGCTTCCAGAAGTAGCCGCCCGCCCAGAAGACCGCAACAACGAACAAAGCAAGGTACGAAGAGAAGAAGTCCTCAGCAGTACCGACGCTCTTGCCAATGGGTGAGACGGCGGTGTAAAACTAAAAAAGGCATTAGTTTTTGAGACGCTTAAATTTCAGAGTGGAACATACCTGGGCGACAAGAACGATGAAGATGATGAAGAGACCGAGCCAGGATCCGTAGACACCGCCAGCAGCCTTGAATGGGATCTCGTCGACGGTGTGGCCATGGTAAGCCCAAGCCTTACGGAAGCGGATGTGAGAAAGGCAAATCGAGCCCCAGGTGAACAGCGCGGCAAGACCAGACAGCGACAGTAGCCAGTTGAAGACAATCACACCTGTTGAGGCCAGGTTGATGTAGGCCAAGACACCCCACGCAAGGATGAAGACGACGGACCACAGGGGACGACCAGAACGGTCCATGTAGCTAAAGATCTTGGGGGCGTATCCTTGCTCTGAGAGCGCAGTGAGCGTACGAGAACCACCGTACACACCAGAAACACCGATGGAGATGACCGAAACGAGGATGACGACGTTCATGAAGCTGTCAAAGCCCTTGAGACCACCGTCGCGAGACGCAATGACGAAGGGCGAAGCGTTGGCGCCAGATTCACCGAGAAGGTCAGGGTTGTCAGAGCGGACGAGCAGACCAACAAAGGTGAGACCTACGACGTAGAAGAGGGTGATACGCCAGAAGACCTGACGGACGGCTCCGGGAAGGGACTTGAGAGGGTTCTTGGTCTCAGCAGCCGCAAGACCAACCAGCTCGGTTCCAGAAAAGGCGAAGGCAGCGGTGACGAAGACGGAGCAGAAGCCCTTGAAGCCGTTTCGGAACGCACCGGGGTCGTACCAAAGACGGGCTCCCCAGTACTCGTTGTAGAGCCCGTTGTCAGGCCCTCCACCAAGGACGAAGACCAAGGCGATGATCATGAAAATAACGGTGGCGGACAGCTTGAGGCAAGAAGACCAAAACTCCTCCTCAGCGTATCCAAGAGTTCCGAAGACGTTGATGATAACGATGAAGAGCCAGAATATGAGCATCCAAACGCCAACGTGAACTTTTTCAGCGCCTGGCCAGTAGTTGAGAGTGAGAGCAGCGACGTTGATTTCGAGCGGCAGGACGATAGCCCATTGGAAGACGTAGTTCCAACCCATGGCGAAACCCCAGGAAGGATCGATGAAGCGAGTCGAGTAGGTGTAGAAACCACCAGAAACCGGGTACATGACAGCGAGTTCACCAAGAGCGTAAACAACGTTGAAGATCATTATACCCATGATGGAGAAATCCAAGAAGAGCGAGGCAGGACCCTGAGCTAGATGTCAGAATCGATCTGTGACCAGGCTGTCAATGACAACTTACACCCTTAGCAAGAGCAGCACCAGAACCGACGAAGAAACCAGCACCGATGGAGCCACCGATGGCGATCATGTGAAGGTGGCGCGTCTTCATAGACTTGTCGAGAACAGTCAATGGACCACCTTTGGGACGACGCTGGAAGGACTTCAAGTTGAGACCGTTACGGGTCATGAAGTCCTCCTGCTCACGCCATTCACCAGTGTACTCCTCCTGGGAGGAGACGGTGGGTTGAGTAACGCCATGAGGCACCTTCTCGTCGATGGGAGCGACCTTCTCGTGGTCCATGATGGGCGATCTGCGAAAGAAGGAAGAGCAGAGTAAGGAGCAAGAGCAAGGTGGAGGCCGGGCAGGCGCGCTCTTTAATGTGCAACGGGGATCAGCAGAGGGGGCAGCGCTGCGATTTCTCTAGCCTGTTCCGCAAACAGTCGACTGGGCTCGCGGCGCGACCTACCAAGTAGCGGTCCCCTCTGGATGGTGCACGGGGCACAGGTAGTGAGTGACTGCTTGGCTCGCAGCCGGCGCGCATCCTTCACGGTGGGCGGCCGGGGCTCAAAGGCAGCGGGCTGATACGCTCGCGCGCAGACATGAGTGGCTGACGCACGCGACTAGGCCGCTCTTGCCAGTCAAAGAAGCGTTGAACCAAAGTACGCTTGTAGGGATGCAAGCACGGCGGTGCTTGGCTCTTGCCATCGCGGGGACGTTCTGCGCATTGGCGTCGGTGGCGGGGGTTGCAGGACAGGCCAGCGTGGATGACAGTGGACGCGAGTAGGTGCCTAGAGCGGAGATGAAGCCCAACGCGGACTGATAACGACGCCTCTCATCCATGGGCACCGCGTTCCAGCAATCTTTCTAGAACAACAGCAACTGCTGGGCGCCCCTTGGCCGACCCGCTTCTCGCCAGCTGCGAATGCTTTCACTCATCAGCCGGGACGCCATTTTCCTTGTCAGCTGCCCGTCCGGGCATGTCGACCATCATAGGCGCGAGCCTGCAGATAAGATGGAACCCTGCCGCGGCGCGCGCTACACTGCAGCGACCTTCGAGAAGAGCTATCTTAGTGGCTGCGAATATGGCCAAGCAATTGGAATGGAATTAGAGACGAATTGCTTCATGCTAGCCTAGTCGTGCTCACGTGTGCCTTCTCCGTCCCTCGCCTGCAATACGCACCTGCCGTCTTGGGCTAGCCCTACGGCCTCGATGGCTCCCACCAGGGCTTCGCTCGCTTGGCTGGCGTATCACCACGGTTACTTTCATTTGTCTTTATCATAATGTAGAAGGTGGCTGCTGGGGCGTTTCGCCTCTTTCACTTGTTCACACGAGCACGCGGCTGTGGCCGCCGAGGTCGAAATCTTACCCCAGACCTGCCAAGCCAGCACAATAGACTGCGCACCGCCGTGGTGTGTTGTTTGGGCGCCTGTGTCGCGTTACATTACATTGGATCCTGTTGCCAAGGACACGGATTCTCGGCACTGCTATCATTCATTGCGTCAGGCCAGCAGCACCTGTTTCAGTTGCATCCAACATCGCCAAACACCATGTTCGGTGAACCCTTATCAGTGCGTGGGGGCTTGATCTTGCCTCTGAGGCGCGGCGTATGCTTAAGAGGCTGAACAGCTCGTTTCTCAGTTGCCAACGTGAATCGCAGATCTACGACGCTGACCATTGCCAGAGCACTGTCTACGCGCATCGTCGTGTCCCAGGAGCGCGCCTCGCGTCCATCGTACCCTCACCGCCCAACAACAGCCAATCGCGGACAATAGTATTGGCCAATTGAGCTTACTCGCGCCATTCCCATTCGCCAAGCTCAGCCCACGATCAGCCTAGTGCGCACTCACCAGATCGAATCTCGGGATACAAGCATTTTCTGCCCTTTAGAAACGCCGACATCATGGTTCGAGGCAGCCAGTCTTGCAATGTTGAATCTTTCTTATCTCACGACGTTGAAAGAGACCCTTAGCAGTCCACTTTTACTCGCGTTAGGCGGCTCCACTGATATGTAATTGAAGTCTGGACTTATGATCTCCGACACGGACACTTTGACAGACCCACGATTTTTGGGTCCACTCGCGTCCAGCTACCATACACTGTCAACACAACAACGGGTGTCGTAAGCGCAATGTCGCGCTCTCTTCCACCTACCATACACTGCACGCCTCCAACGTTCGCTACGCGCCGCTCCGCAGGAAGTTTATGAGCACTGCAGGGCTCGGCAGCACATGTCTCTTGGTCAGACGTCTTGCGATGTGCCTTGCGCTGGTGTCTCACACGTGTAGCGCACCCTGAGGCTCTTGTACAAGTGTGGTACTACCACCATTCACCAGTCCAACCACTCGTGCAACACGGACTCGAACTTCTTAGCTGCATGTCATTTGTCTGCGGAAAGAGCTTGTCAGGCACGCATTTGTGTTCCTCGTGCACGTTGTTGAGGCAAGAAAAATTTTCACACCATTCTCAGCCACCTGTGTGATATAGCGCAACGAGTAACACCGAGCGCCTGCATGCATAAATCTTCAGAGGCGCACCGAGCATCGAAGCTCGCTCTTTAACATCGACAGCACATTTGTGTGGCGGTCTGCGGCCTCAGGCACCGCTTCGGGCAGCCGACACAAGCCGCATCACCCCAGATTTTCTCCAGATCTCCCGAGAAAACTTCTCTGGGGTGCATTCCCGCCCGTCTTATTATGGATCTGTTACGTGAGAGTATGTATCTGGAACTCTCGGACCAGCTGAATTGATGTCTACCCCAAACGCTACTCGTGCCGTAGTGGACCTTTCCCAGACTGTCGTATTCAAGTCATGTAAAGTATGCGGGGTAGCATTGTCACTCGTACGCTTTACGTGACAGAAATGGGCTTGACACTAAAGCAGCCGCATTACCGACACAGCGCCTAGAAGGCTTGACAAAACATGCGGCTTAATCGCAGTCGAATGCCACGCAGTGTCGACGCTTTTGACGCGCTTGTATTTGGCAGGCTTTGGCGAGAGCATCAGTGCTTCGATATCACCCACTAAATTACGTACACCACTTTCATGCTCAATAAGCTCTCAATCACAAATAGTAACTTGTATGTGTACGCCAAGCTATATACTTACCATATATGATGCCGATGCTAAGCAAAATAATCCACAAGGACGCAGCAGTCTACGTAGACCCATGTAGGTAACCCCTACCTGCCCTCCGCTGCTAGCGTCCGCCGTGTACAAATCAAGGCACAAAACGTGCAGCATTAGTTTCCGCCCCATGTCAACTCCTGTCGCGAGATAGAGCACAGATAGGGCGTCGATCCGTCGGATGCAGCTGGAGATCCGATACTGCGAGGGCGGAACAAGCTCGTAACAGGCGAAGATGCAGGGAACATGGTCCGCCATCGATACAACGACTGCAACAGATCTGTGGCATGCATCCAAACCGACCAGATGCGGTCGTTGTCTTCGAGCATACACTTCCCACGACACCACCCACCCTCGAGGCCTTCTCAAGACTAATCTCGAGATCCGATGACGCTCCGCACACCGAATTTACGTTTGCTCGACCGCCCGTCAATTTCCCTGACCTTTCCTCCTCGAAGCAATTTCTTCCAAGCACTGACGCCGCGACTCTTCTCCCTCTTTACCGAAGGCGACGCAGAAAGACGGCTCCACGCGGCAGCACGCTTGGTGGCGATGAAGTGATAGAAGTCAATCTTCATCTCTCCGCGGCGACTGTCGTGTACTTCGGGGTCTTCGACTCGATCGGCGGTCATGGGTGGTGAAGGGGGAGGTGGTGTCGCAGCTGAGCAACGTGGCTGCAAAGCCTCCACTTCCTCGTTACCGGCATGATATTCGAGAGACACGGGTCAGTGTGGTACAGCTGGCGGCGTCCTCGGCCACAAGAGTGTCGGGCTCAGACCATTTCTTACGGTACAGTCAGCGATGCTCGGCGTGGCGGTCCTCAGGAACGCAAGTTGTTGGTTCGGTGTGCCGGGCGATGGCGTTCTGCTTAGCAGGAAGGCTGGTGAGGTAGGTGAGATGGCGCGGTCGAAGATCAAAAGTGGAGATGCTGGGAGTAAGGGTGAGGCGAGTCTGAAGATATTGATTGTAAGGCGTGGTGCTGGAGATGCGAGGAAGGGGTTGTACGGTGAGTTTAGAGACGCAGATGGGGCTGCTGAGAGTGGAGAGTATGGAAATTGAGGTGTGTGAGGGGAGTCTGGCGAGTATGGTGAGATAATTGAGTAAGGCGACGTTGGCGGAAGGAGTAGTCGCGGTCTCATAGGCGAAATTTCCGCGACTGCTTGCATAGGTGGCACAGTCGGCTCTTCGATTTGAGAGTACGAAGATGAAGGCGTTGAGGTAGGTGACATGGCTGGGTCTTGTTGCGTTGGAGTGTTTGATTCAAGTGTCAGTGGCTTAGTTGCAGGAGACATCGAAGGGAAGGTTGCAGGAAGTGGAGAAGGCGTTTTGGGGTCCCAAAATGAAAGCGCTGGGATAGGAGGAGTATCGTGGTCGATAGGCAGCGGATAAGTCGCTCGTCTTGGTGTGGGTGGACATTGAAGACGCCATAGCGATGTTGCGGGAATAGGATGAACAGCGAGTTGACTCTAGGACGAGCCAGGGGCATAGTGGGTGCTGATATACTTGTGGACTTGTAGATCTCTGACGATATGATGAAGGTTTGCTTTATGCTAGGAAAATTTCAAAGAACACCAGCTGTCCTTTTCTCTCGGGCTGCCCATCTACCTCTCCGATCAGAGCGGTACTGAACCCCGCTCTGGGGTGAAGACATCATGAAAATGATCATCATGTAAGCGACGTGCAAACAATTCGAAGTCAAATGGTGCTGGAAATACAATAGATCGGACTGAGCACAGATCGTGAACTGACCAGACAGATAGATGCCTCCAGCTAAAATGTGTCGGCAAGCAGGTCTCGATCCCTGCTCGACGATACAATGGTAGATATTTGGCAGATGCTCGCGAACAGTGCGCATCATGGAAGACTCAAAATAGTCGCATTTCTCTACGTTCCAAAAGTCGTGGCCAAGACACATAAACGTGCACTGCCTACACTGTTCGCCACGTCGGTCCCATGTGGCCTTCGTATAGCCGGCGCTTGAGATGTGACGGTGTCAAAGTGAGATATTTCAGAAACAATATTTTGTTGAGACAGTGAAACCGCTGTAGATTCCGAGTCCCGTGCCTTTGTCACAACTCTGACCCTTACGGCTTCTCATGGCACAGAGAACCACTCTGCTGTAGTCACAACCGTCACGTTATTAGATTCGGCTTCCCGCCCTCTTGTTACCACCTTGACTGTCACACCTGCACCAGAGCATTCAAAGCCGTCTACGTAACGCAAGCGGCTCTTCCTTCTCTTATAACCACAATTGTGACGATTGTGGACTCGCAATCTAGTTAGCGGACCCATAGCTTCAAGGATACCTGGCAGAAAACAATGAATTGAGATGTTCAAAGGCAACTCACTGTCATCTCACTTCGGCATCCCGCTGTGACAAGATTCTGGGTGACCAAAACTTTTTTCAGATGGCAAATCTTCGCTCATTTCAAAAGCCACGCACCATAGAAACACGAAATGAACGATTTGGACGTAGTTCGTATTAGTTACCACTAACAGCTAATATGATGATCGGATTGAGCCTAAAAGCCCCGTATTGCGCAGTATGGATACTCTTCCAAGGTTTCGTGGCGCGCCATCCAGTTTACATATCGGTGACATTGTGAACCTGACCACCAGCAACTTCGATCTTACTACGCTTGAGCGAAGCCTTGCGTGGGTTGGGCGCTTCGAAGATCTCCTTGAGCTCCTCAAGCGTCTTTCCAGCAGTCTCAACGAAGAAGAAGAAGATGAAAGCCATCTCAACGCAGATCCAAGCAATGTACACTAAGTACAGTTTCCAACCGATCTTCTCCATACCGACGGAGATACCGTATGTGTTGACGACCATGGCAATGTTGAGGAAGAGGAAGTTGGCACCGGATCCCTTTGCTCGAGTCCTGTTCTCGAGACACTCTACGGCGTACAGGGTCTGTAGTGGTGTCCATCCCCAGGCGAAGATAATACCGAAGCAATAGATGGAGACGATAGTGCCGTATGCAAGGTTGTTGGTGGGCTTTGCCGTCGCAGTGAAGGCGGTCAGTAGGATGTAGAAGAATAGCGCGCCGGCCAGACCACCAAGCAACATCTTGCGACGGCCAAGCCTGTCGAGAAGGGTGGCTCCGTAGATAGCGCCAAGCATACTGAAGATGGGGTTGATGGCGTTGATCAGCAACTGCTTATCAGGGTCGGTGATACCGGCGTTCTTCACCATGACGGGCATGAAGTAGGATACAACGTTGTTTCCTGGAAGTTACCATTAGCAGTTTTCGACAGTGGGTGTGATACACCAAGTATGTAGGATGCAGTCAAGGTTATTTGGAAGAAGTTTGGAGTTCTTACCGGACCATTGTCCGAAGAAAGCCATCGCAATGACCATCATCATTCGGTAACGGGCGGCCTTGGTGTTGTACAGCTCACGGAAGTCCCACCATGGGTTGTCGTTACGTGTGACAGAGAAGTCCTCAGTGATCTCACGCAGTTGGAGCTGAACAAGTGGGTGGTTCTCGTCGCCGTCGCCGTGGTACTTGGCCATAATTGCGACAGCCTCCTCGCGCCTGTCCTTCGCAAGAAGCCAGCGAGGTGTTTCTGGTAAAAACATTATGCAGCACATGACGAGTCCTGGGATGAAACACTGTACGACCGTTGGGAGTCTCCACGCCCATGAGCTATCGAAGTTCTTGTTGGTTCCGTAGGTCGTCCATCCAGCGAGAATATTGCCGAACCACCAGAAGTTGTTGTACATGCCAGCCATAGTGCCTCGGTAGGCAGGATGGGCGAGCTCAACGGTGTAGGCAGGTCCAGCAGCAGAGGCGATCGACGCACCAAAACCAAGAAGGAAGCGGCCACCAATGAAGTGATCTCTGCCATGTGCAGTAGCCTGAACAGCGGTTCCAACCAGGACGAGCAAGCAGCCGACGAAGATGCATATGCGTCGACCGTAGCCATCAGCGAGGAATCCGCAGAAGGGGAAAGCTGCAATCTGTCCTAAATTGTAGATGATGAAAATGATACCAGCGCTGGAACCCTCCCCAGACAGGCCGAAGGTGTTCTGGTATGGCTTCATGGCGTTGATGGCGCCCATGAGAGACGAGTCGAAGCCGTTCATGGTGGATACGAGGTAGCCAATACCCATAATCATGTACAGTTGAATCATGTTCTTTGACAACAGTTTAGGCTTTGAGGCCTCAAGAGCAGCAGCTTCAGAGAGCGTTAGTGTTGATGACAGCCAGCGAGATGCACAATACGTACCAAGTGCCACCGAGGCAACAGTCTTCTCCTGTACATCACCGCCCTTGCGCATGTCCTCGTCAACACCGCTCAGCTGGTGAGTGACAGCCCCCATGTTTTCTTTATCGTCCGCCATTTTGTTAGTGAAGGACTCCACGCTTAGGGTTATGATTGAGATTGCACAACCGTTGGAAGCGATCGACAACGAGATCCGGGGAGTGGGTCACTTTATAGACTTGGTGAACAGACAGGCTTCTCCGCAAAACGGGGTGCGCCAAAGCTGCATGCAATCTTCACCGAGGCAGCTGCCATTCAATATGCGCAGATGCCCGTTTTTCCCACATCGAAGCTTCTCAGCGACCGCCACCCGACGCGCCACGTGAGCTTGTGCCGCCATGTGGAGGTCAGGCAAGCCGAAAATTTACCTTAGCAAAGCAATAGAGCGCCCCGAACGGCGGATACAATGCTACGAAAAGGATAGCCAGCGGCTGCGACTCCTGGAAAGTCGTAGCCATCTCCTAATGGCTGAGGATGCGTAGTTAGACATGATTCGCACCCTGCGCGTTCTCGGCGCCATGCGAGTCACGGCAGAGCATCTCGACGAATGTGGAGAGAGCGTTGGCTGCGCTACGAGAGCGCGGAGACGAATTTGTGGAGTGATCCGGAGAAAATGTGGGCCAGGATGCGGAAAATGCACAGGAAAACGACTCAACGCTAAGAGAAAACAGCGACGGCTTGGTCATTGTACCGAGATTAAGCCATACTCAGCAGCAATCCCGCCGATCTCGCCTGAACCCCGCCCGATTCAACACAAACGTGATTCGAGCAAACCTCAACACGCAACGGCTGTGATCCGATGGCTCTGTCTGCATCACATGAGGAGCAAACCATAGTCTTGGCCTCAGACATGCACTCCGGACCGCTTTCCCGATCTGTTCATGCCACACCTGGCGGGACACAGTACTCCGTGTATTGTGGAGCAGCATGGTCGTTTATCAGTTGAGCAGTTGCGCTCGCTGACGTTCCTGTCTTCAGCATATCCATCATGGCTTCAGGCACGCACCCAGCAGATGTCCCCGATTGGAACAATCTCAATGTCCTGCACAAAGGGACACTTCCCGTTCGTGCCTACTTCCACAACTACGCATCTGCGGCCGATGCACTCACGTATGATGTGAGCAAATCTAAGACGCACAGCCTCTCTGGAACATGGAAGTTTGAACATGCCTATTCGCCTTTCGAGGCCCCCGAAGGCTTCGAAGCGCCTTCGTACGATATCTCCAAATGGAGTGACATCACAGTACCTGGAATGTGGCAACTTCAAGGCTACGGCAAGGGCCCCCAGTACACCAACGTTCAGTACCACATTCCCGTTGACCCTCCTAATGTTCCCTTCACGGAGAACGAGACTGGCTCCTACGTAAGAACGTTCAAAGTCCCTGGAGACCTCCAAGACGGCCAAATCCGTCTCAGGTTTGAAGGAGTTGACTCTGCCTTTCATGTCTGGGTCAATGGCAAGGAGGTGGGATATTCTCAAGGAAGCAGAAATCCCGACGAATTCGACATTACCTCGGTTGTTGACAAGGGCGGCGACAATACTCTCGCCGTCCGGGTGTATCAGCACTGCGATGGCACATACATTGAAGACCAGGATCAATGGTGGTTGTCTGGAATGTAAGTCCATTCGTCTAAACTTACTTCGCCGACTGACCACCTCAGCTTCCGTGACGTATTTCTTGTTGGCTTCTCCAGCGAGTCTCGAATTGAGAATGTCTTTGCGCAGACTCTCCTCGACTCCTCGTACACAGATGCGGAGCTCAAGATCAAAGTCAGCACTACTGGGACAGGGAGGGTTTCCGTAAAGCTCTTGGATGCAGAGAAGCAGCCCATTGCTTCGAAAGAGGCAGATGCGAGTACGGGATCAACAACGGATTTCAGCATCTCTGTCGAGAACCCTTCCAAATGGACCGCAGAGTCGCCGAATTTGTATCATTTGCTGGTCTCGCTTGATTCGGTTCAGCATGTCGCTCACCGAGTTGGATTCAGGCAGGTCGAGATGAAAGATGGTCTCATTAAGGTCAATGGTAAGCGTGTCGTATTCCGGGGTGTCAATCGCCACGAGCACCACCCCCAATTCGGAAGGACTATTCCACTCGACTTTCTTAAGCGCGATCTCCTGACTATGAAGCAATACAACGTCAATGCCATCCGCACGTCGCATCAGCTTAATGATCCACGACTATACGACCTTGCAGATGAGATGGGCTTCTGGGTCATCGATGAAGCAGACCTGGAATGTCATGGATTCGAATGCATCGCCGATGCAGCACTGACAGGCCAGGAGCGCGCGCTCCCGTTCCGTGAACGACAGCTCTTGACGAGGGCTAAGGCTGCTGAGTGGACTACAAACAACCCCGACTGGACTCAAGCATACATTGACCGTGCCGAACACTTAGTCAAGAGAGATCAGTTGCATCCTTCCATCATTATCTGGAGTCTAGGGAATGAGGCCTTCTTCGGCCAAAACTTCAAAGCCATGTACAACCACATCAAAGCGTACGATGACAGCAGGCCCATCCACTACGAAGCAGATATCTACGCCGAAACCATGGACATGTACTCCAGGATGTATCCACCGATCGACGAGATCATCAAGTTCGCCCAGGACACAACGAAGACCAAGCCTCTTGTACTCTGCGAGTTCATCCATGCCATGGGCAACGGCCCAGGTAACATTAAGGAGTACATTGACGCCTTCTACAAGTATCCTACTCTTCAAGGTGGGTTCGCATGGGAGTGGGCGAACCACGGTCTCCTCATCAAGGACAATCAGACATCTGAGGAATTCTACGCTTATGGCGGTGACTTTGGCGAAGAGGTCCACGACGGCACTTTTGTCATGGACGGTCTTGTCAACTCTGATCATTCTCCAAATGCTGGCTTAGTCGAGTACAAGAAAGCTATCGAGCCTGTGCAGCTTCTCGAAACTGATGGAAAGAAGGCCACTTTCATCAACAGATACGACTTTGTCACACTCGATCATCTGACATTACAGTACTCCACTGTTTCTGAATCTGGCACAGACAATAAGACCGGGACTCTTGAGATTCCGTCTGGAGTTGTGGCGGGTCAAACTTTTGCTATTGACCTACCACAAGTTGGTGGACCCGAGGGTGAGGTAGTCCTTAGCCTTTCATTCCAGTTGAAGAACAGTACGTCATGGTTGGAGAAGGGCTTCGAGATTGCCACTGCACAAGTGCCAGCTGCCTTATCCCCACTTTTGAAGACATTGTCTACCTCTAGCGGCAAACTTGAACTCGACAATTCCACGAGAAACGTCCTCAAGATCAATGGAGGCAAGTCAACATGGATCTTCAATATCTTGCATGGGACCCTGAACTCTTGGAGCCAAGACTCTACCGAGCTCATCTCGAAGGCACCAGAGGTTGACGTTTTCCGTGCGCCTACTGACAATGACACCCCTCAAGATGGCTGGGACTGGAACGACAAAAAGCTCAATCTCGCGAAGTCTTTCACTCGCAAGGTCGAATGGTCACAGTCAGGAGATTCAGAACTCCAGGTCACAGTGCACCAGCGCATTGCCCCACCCGTCCTATCGTGGTCGATCGACAACATCGTTCTGTACACCTTCAGGGGCGATGGATCTTTATCAATCAGGGTCAACGGCATCCCGCAGGGCGAGAATCTCCCGCGCACACTCCCCCGAATCGGAATTGTTATGGAATTGCCTCCACAGTTCCAAAATGTCGAATGGTTCGGCCGTGGTAAGGGCGAGTCCTATCGCGACAGCAAGCTTTCTCAGCTTGTTGGCAAGCACAATGTCTCCAGCGTCGACGAGCTCTGGGTCGATTACGAAGTGCCTCAGGAGAGCTCAAATCGTACCGATACTCGATGGGTCAAGGTCGGCGATGGCAAGAAATCATTGCTTGCGCAATTTGTTGATGTCAAAAACGACAGCAAAAACAGGAAGACCTTCGATTTCCAGGTTAGCCACTACCGCATGAAAGATGTCGCTGAGGCTAAGCATCCTCATGAGCTGAGGAAGAAGAAGAGGGACGAGGTTATGCTGAGGCTAGATGCAGAGCACCACGGTTTGGGCAGTGGCAGCTGCGGACCGAGGACGCTCGATGAGTACGCGCTTCTGACTAAGCCGTTCGAGTTCGAAATCTTGCTGCAGCTTGAGTAGAACCGTGGCATTGATATGGGAGAAGCACAAGATAGTTTTGTAGACTGCAAGTCTGCTTCACGACTGAGACTTATGACAAAATTTGCATTGGTATGATGCACTACGCTTTAATCAAGGCTTCCTGGTACCTGTAGGCTGTGGATGATCAGGCCACGCACATCAGCCACCGCCCCCGTACATCTTGCTCACATCATTGCTCGCAAGCCGGTCCGCCAACTCATCTTTATTCCCTCTAACCCTAAGCTTCCGTCCCTTACAAACTTTCCTCAGATCCATGAGACAAGTCTTCGCATACATCTTCATCAAATGCACGTGCATCTGCCTGTCATACTCAGCATCATCCCACTCGTCAGCTGGCGCATCGTAGTCTGACGCTTCGGCCCAGTCTTGCTCGGTGAAGGGCTGGGAGCGGATGATCTGGTAAGTATCGTGGTAGGGTGAAGCGGATGGTGTGCGAAAGTCGCTGTAGTACGACAACATCGTACACGGGTGGAATCGGGGTCGGACTTGGTTGGATGCAGGTATTGTGATACGTCCAGCTCTAATGGGTTTCTAAAGCAGGGAAACTCTAGATTGAACAGTGAAAGGATGCGCATGGAGTATTACAGCTTTCACACAAGGCTGTTTGACATCTGTCTTAGTGGTGAAAGACCTTCTGTTGAACAAAGACGTTGCCTGCTTCAGAGCTGTGAGGCATGCACAGATGTCCCGATTGTTTCAATATCGCAGAACACGTTCGTCTTATGCAAATTGCTTCGCGAGCGAGACCAGCTCACCCACCGATCCCATTGACCTTCACATATATACTCTTGACCTCAAGATAATGCTCCATGCTCTCCAATAAGCTCTCTCTCCCTGTCCCGCTTCCTTTCCATCCACCGAAAGGCATGTCCCAGCTATTTGTTGGACTTGTACAGTTGACACCCAACATACCACTTTCGAGCTTCTTCGCCACTCTGAGTGCCCTCTCCAGGTCTTTGGTGTACAGCGATGCGTAGAGCCCATACTCAGTATTGTTCGCCTTGGCAATGGCCTCCTCCTCAGTGGCAAATTCATTTACAATCACGACGGGTCCAAACACCTCCTCCTTTGTGAGCCGCGAGCCCTCAGGTACGTCGGTGAAGATCACAGGATGAATGTGGTAGGGGGAGACTTCGTTGTTGGTGACACCGGCACCTGTGTCAATTGTCGACCCTGCTTCGTCCTTGCCAAGTGCGATGTACTTCTGTACATTCTCGTACTGTATCTTGTCCGCTTGTGGGCCTTGGTTAATGCCAGGTTTTGTGGGGTCCCCTAGCTTCCGTGTCTTCGCTACGCGTGTGATGGCTTCGACGAATTGACTTTTGATGCCCTCTTGTACGTAGACCCTGCTGCTCGCGAAACATGCCTGGCCGGAGTTCGAGTTGATACTGAGCTCAATGTCTTTCGCTGCTTGCTCGATGTCTGCGTCATCGAAGACCAACGAAGGTGACTTGCCACCAAGCTCAAAGACAACCTTCTTAAAATTGGACGTTGCGGCAGCAACGGCGATAGAACGACCCGTCCGTGTTGAGCCTGTGAATGAGAGAGCGCGGATTTTCATGTGCTCGGACAGGGCCTGGCCTGACGTCTGACCATGGCCTGAGAGTATATTGATCACACCGGGTGGGAAGCCGCACTTTTCGATCCATTGTGACACTTTCCATGGCTGTTTTTAGGGTCAGCGATCAATCAAAAGGGAGATCTCATTGGCTTGTCGCTGTCGACACAACTCACCGTCAATGGCGCCTTCTCGCTGCTCTTCACCACAACGCAATTACCGGCAGCCAGCGCAGGCGCGACTTTCTTGGCGAAGAAGATCAGAGGTGCATTCCACGGAATAATAATAGCCACGACACCAAACGGTTGTCGCAGGCTCATATTCAGGAATCCCGGCGTGTTCAGACTCGTATGGCCTTGCGGGTACGCAGCTTCAGCGAAGTAGTTGTACTGTGTAACGGCATAATGGACATCGATGCCGTGGGTGCCGACCGGCTTACCCATGGAGATGGCATCTAGTCGAGCGAGTTCGTCCTTCTCTTGAAGATGCAAATCAGCAAGCTTCTTGAGCGGAGCACCGCGCTGTAGCGGGGAAAGAGCGCTCCATGCTGGGAAAGCCGCCTGAGCAGCATCAACAGCAGTGTTGACATCGTCGCGTGTAGCTTCCGCAACTGCATGTAACCTGTTAGTCACGGGAAGTATCCAGATGGCTGGATCTATTATGGAGACTACCTTTGGCAACCAAGTCCCCGGTGTGCGGAGAGTATAGCTCGAAAGAGCCGTTGTCGCTCGCTGGAACGAGCTTGTTGTTGATGAGTAGCTGTGTTTCAATAACCTCTGTCATTTTTTATATCTGTGACTGCAGAATCGGTGTAGGTTAGTGGCTGAGGGGAGTAGTCTACATGGTGCGTGTGCCCCGGTGATGTCAGTCTGTGCGGAGCTCACAACAGATCGATGTGCTAAAATCCGGCCAGATTTTGGAGCAAAGGGGAGTCGATTTCGCAGTCATCCTTTGCACACGCATGTGCATGGTGAAGCGTTGTACGAAGCGCAATGCACTTTGCACAGCTTTTCGACAGGAAGGAGCCTTCGTGCGTAAGGAATCGGCCCGCGGTCCAACTGCTGCGGTATGCGGGCGCCAATTACACTCTTGGATAGAATCACAGCACTTCATGTTATAGCAAGGATGAGTCGCATATACAAGTCAACAAGCAGTGCGCTGACTGTAGTCTGCCGGTAGGAAGCGGGGTTCCTGTCGTTGTAGAATAACGAAGCATCTCGACTAAAAGCCTGACAGACGCACCTGCCATTGGCAATACGGCCACCCGAGGCGCGTCATGAATTATCACCGTCAATTTGAGTTCATGCTGAGCTGCGCAAAACCTCCGGACGCCTTCGCAGGAAGGATTTGGACCTGACGGATCGACGAATCCTGCACCTGTTCAAGCGCCTCTCTGCGGAGAAAATCGGCCAACTGAAGGCAGAATTGGAGCAGTCTGGAACATGTCATCACCGTTACAAATTCGGAGATGACCCGAATTGTGTATTGCTGCTCGGGCATTCTTAATTCGTCACAGTAGACCTCTGACTTCCAGCTTTTACTCTGATCGAGTTTAGCATTCGAGAAAACCACGATCCGTGAGCCACTTTCCTCTGAACCCTACCAGTAGATACCTTGACTGATCAGATGGCTCCCTGCGTGTTCTATGAGTGTTGATGCGTTTCCAGCAAATCTTCAAGTAAAGGGTCTGCTAGATCTGGAGGAGTTATTGATATGAAGTACATGGGACGTCAGATGAAGTTAACGAGCAGCTCAGCTCCACCTGACCCAGTTATTCTCTGACTTAACGCAGGTCCGCTTGCCTGGATTTAGTGATTGGTAGGTCGCCTCACCAGTGAATAGCCTCTCTGTATGAACGCTGAATCGATTTGGCACCTACAGCCAGGCCCACGACTCGGCAAATTTTCCATTTATCAGTCATCAACAAGACAACCAGCATAGTTGGTGTGGCTCGTAATTCCTAAGAAGGCAGCTCAGAGGATCGGAGTGCCTCTATGTGTCTCTATCTCCAAAGGGTTTCGATGTAGAACTAAGGCCGAAGAGTAAAGTGGACTGACTGGACAACTCTTGTATCGTCGCAAAACGAACTTACAATTTGATGACTTTATTGATATCTTGACACCGAAAGAGCCGTCAGGACCGTAGGAAGAACACATGGCACTAAAGATTTTCGGAGCTTTTCCTTGAACGGTCGACACCCCCCTACACATCTCGTACACCTCCCTTTCGCCTCACCCTTAACAGTTAGTGTAGCTTACGCTGTGTTGCTGATGACTCTTTGCCTAAATCCAGCTTCGACATTGTTCTATTACTTGCCAAGAACAACCTGCTTATGGTATCTCGGAGGCTGGGAATGGCGGTGCTCATGGCGTCCATGATACGCCATCTCCGGTGCCGGGGGTAACCTCTGCACCATCTCCTCTTCATCAGCCCCACGGCTCATAACGGACGACAGAGGCACACCATCGCGCATCTTTCGGTAGTCGCGGAACTCTCGGATCGCAATTGCTGAGGCATAGATCTCGAGGTGGCTATTGCAGTGTTAGCAATGTGCGTCTTGTAAGAGAGATGGACGGACATGAAGAGGAAGGGAGACTGACTTGATGAAAACAGCAATGCCGACTGTGACCCAGCTGAGGTAGCACGTCACACCTTCGCATCTCTTTAGGTTGCTCTGGAAGCCGAGGAATGCGACGGCGCCCCAGAAGACGATCTCGAGACAGCTGATGATGACGTTGGCTTTGTAGCTGTGCCATCTCTTGAATTTTTGGATGTGTTCCGCTGCGAGCATATAGGTGAAAAGAATGAGAGACTTGGCTCCCTGGAAGGTGTTAGTGTGGTGAATTTGTAGCGTGCTGAAGTGGTGCGTACCATTCCGAGGGCGATAGTGCCGGCTCGGGTCCGTGGCTGGTTCTTCATAAACAGTCGTGGTACGGAGAGACCGATAACGATGACTACGAGGATACCAGCGACTATGTGGAGAGGCAGCTTGAAACGGCTGGCGAACATTGGCTTGTTGAGGACGTCGAGCATGGCCATAGTCGGTAATGGAGAGTGGTCTCCTCGAGGATGTTGATTTGATTCTCGGTGTTCAGTTGATGATGATCGTAGAGATAGTTGCACCTGAATTCGTCTCGTGGCTAATGCCGAAGTCAAGGAAGTGTTGGGGGTGCGGTGATTTGGATCGAGTCTTGGGCATGACCGCCCAAGTATATACCATTTTATCCAACATTGCGGTTTGACGTTGACCCAATACCGTAAAAATGCCATCGACTCCGCTGTATCTGTTTCGTGCGTGGATTGGTGTTGCAGGTACTAAGAGCGATAAATGCGAGTGCGAGTGCGAGTGCGAGAGCATTGGTCGGTCCGAACGCTTCAAAATCAGCCCTACCACACGTGTCACGGTCTTTCCTGTAAATATGACAGGTTTCAAACTTCTGTAAATCTGGGATAAGCCTCATCTGTGGAGGCTTGACTATGGATATCTCTGCTTGATCGCTGGCGATCCGGTATATCCGTCAGATCGACTGTTGCTTGTGGTCGCCGAATGCTAGTTTTAAATACACGCGTAAAGGTACAAGTGCAACGCCTGCTCCGATCTCTTTCCAGCGTGAGAAGTTACGTTGATCCGGTTTTATTCTTGTTGTCGTGGTTTATCTTCAGCGGTTCCATAGCCTAGGCTTGCGAGCCAAGAGGTTTTAGCTGAGGATACCACCGATGCTGGAGCATCCAAGCCCGTAAGCTCGTGACTGATCGGAGGATAAGTAGCGAAATGATAGCTTACCGGCAAAGAAGCACTGGACGCAATCCGTCTGGGATCGAGTTGTGTTCAATGCTGTTTGGATTGGCGAATATGACTTTGCCCCCGGATTGATATGGCCGAACGTCCTACCAATCAGGTGTCGTCGGTTCCTTGAGGCCATCGATCCGCGTAAGGCTGAACAAGTTGCTTATGCGGGAGGGCCGAGCGTGACGGTCGGATCAAGGAAGCAACGGTGTCCAGTGCGCAGACCGCTACAGCTAGGGTGGTATGTCAGCGACTTCGCGGACGACTTCGGTAGCCTGCACCCTGAGTAGTGGGCGCGAGTAACGCCGAACTAGAACCCAGATTGATATATGGTGCTTCGACAACCTTTTGTCAATCAGGCAGACCTCTGGAGGAATTGATCCGAAAAGTGCATGGCTATACCACACTTGCTTGTATTGATAATAGACTAATGCAGGTTGAAATGAACGATGCGCCACCAATGGGTAATACCTTTCCAAAAACACGCCAGACTCCTCGTATCTGAGCGTCGAGTGGCATGTCGTTGCCTCTTTCATTGCTGTGGAGATGGCAAGGGCCCTGATGAAGGCTGACCAGGCAGCGAACCATTCGGCACACCTTCATTGCTTAGTAGACTGCCCAAGTCAGCCCAATTCCAGTCGTGAATATTGTTGATCGTGAAGTCCATGAAGCTCGTTTGAGTATTGCGGTCAAATCTTGCAGTAGAGTATGCTGGGCCAGGATACTGCTGTTCGGGATAGTAGCGACCTGGTATGTTATCCGCAAACATATATGCGCCGCTATCTGTCGAAAACTGGTGATATGGATAGGTGACTGCCTCCTGTGGTTGCTGTAATGGTGGTCTTGACTCTTCCTGGCTTTTGTGGTCTGTTGCCTCCGCCATGGGTGCAGTCGCTGTAGGTGCTTTTGAAGTGTTCATTGCGTTGACCATGGCCTGTAGCTCGGGTACAATCGAAGCAAACTTGTGGATGGTTCCTGGCATATGTGGATTTCGCCTATGCCGCTGCGCAAGGTCGGCGAGCTGTGACAAAAGAATTCGAGATGCAGACACATCTGTGCCAGTGATCCTGTTCATGCACACCAGGTCAAGGACAAGGACCGAGCTCGATGCCAGGGCATACCAGATGTCCGACCAGGTGATTGCATCGAACCTTCCAATGCCCTCGAGCTTAAGCAATATGCGAGCCAATGCTCGGCCTGAGTTGGAACACGAGTCTGCCATGGCTATAAGGGCTGTGTTCTTCGCGTCGTTCCCTTCTTTGGACAGTATGTTGGCGCGAGTGAGCAGAGCAGAGCGACATAAAACGATCACGGTATAGTGATACAGGCCGTGAAGCATCAGGATGGGTCGCTGGAAGGCAGGTGGATTGGATTCCAGCGCCTCTGTCCGCAGATGCTGGGGAAGTAGATCCCTCCAGCGTTCCATATCTCGAAGCACTCCTGCCGCAGGTGACAATGGCCCGACATAGGACTCGTCGTTGGAATTCGCTCGGACTGTCTTTGGTGCACGGCACGCAGAGCCCAGGTGCACGACTAAGCGGTTGTACCATTGGCTGTACTCGGGCGGGTGGTGCAGATCGGAGCCAACAAGGCGTTCATTGAGACAGCTGACCTTGCTGCCGGGGTGCTCGATGGCACTCGGTCGATCATAAGAAGAGACTTGCATCTGCTCGTAGGCATACAGAGTCCACCACAACCGTTTGCGCAACTCGCGAGCGAGCGGGGCCTGCATGATGTTCACTTTATCCTGATGCAGGCCTATGGCGAAGGCGATGCGCACCGCTGTGCCGGTAAGATTCCAGCAAGCATCGCGATGGTTCGTGTTGTGAAGGTGAAGTGAGGCTAGCAGGAGCGCCTGCACGGCCATGACGCTCGACGTAAACATGACAACAGGCAGGAGCGTCTGCACCCTCCTCCACCACAGCTTTTCCTGGTCTTCCTGGAAAGTGATGCGCGCGACACGCCGCGACAGCAGCAGCACGCAGAGAAAACTGCAGAGCCACGCTGGGTCGGCATTGCCCGGATCCAACAACCATCCTTCGTAAGCCTCACGGAAGCTTGTCTCGTACAGCACAGGAAAGTCTGGGTTGATGTGGTCGAAGTAGGCCCCAATGAGTGACTCGAGACTGGGGACCTCGTGCGGCTGAGCATGGGGTACGGCGCGGGCGCCGGCAGGCGAGCTCTGATCGACGTTGGACGTTGCGCCCGGGGTGGAGAGACTGTGGGGGTCATTGCTACGAGGATCGCCGGGTTCAATGGGCTCAGCGTCGGCGGCATTCCTGCCAAACAGCACAAAAGAGCGAAGGGCGCCGGCGCCAATCAACGACCGCAGCTTCAGGTGGAAGGCGAACGAGCTGCCAGGCCCAATGTACTGAACCTGCCCCTGCTGGTCTGGCAGCAGAGAAGCATGCTCGTCGCCCTCCTTGTCGCTCCCACTCGCCTGCTCTCCACTTGCTTCACCCTCGCCTGAGCCGGGCAGCGAGATGCCCAGTGAGCCACCCAGCTGTCGTAACTCGTCCAGATCAGTCACGTCAGCTTCGGGCAATAGACCCTTCACTAGCGCTTCAAGTAGCGCAAGCCGGTTCCCAAGGCCCTCGACGCTGCCATAGAGGCGTTTTTTGCGCGGTTGTGTGGTCAGGCATTCGATCTTATGAAGAAAGCAGTATCGGCACGCATCCTGCCCGGGCTCTTTCCTGCACTTCTGCTTGCGCGACTTGCACTTATCGCACGACGTTTCCGTGCGCTTCCGCTTATCGAGCGGCACTCTGCGCGAACCTGTCGTCGCTGCCGTCTGCTTTGGCGTAGGGGTGGGCGTCGATGTGGAGGTCGAGTTCGATGTCGTGGCACTGGGTGCGGCCGGCATCATCATGGCGGCGACGAGCGAATGGCGAGGCGGCAGCGGTCCACGGCGGAGGAGGGCATTGGAGGCGCGTGGGAGAGAGTCAATGGAGCAATACGGTTGCAGCCTTCCAAATGCAGGGCCTCATAGAGGTGCGGTACGGCGATATCCACGGGCTAGACCACTTTTTGGCAGTCTACAGCTCGACTATGCGCCGTCTCGAGAGTGCTCGGAACGCATCGGCAAGGAACATGGGTTCGCCTTTGCCCCAGGTTCTGCCATGTGCGTTCAATTCTCCGACAACTTTTCCGACTTCGAATATAGGCACCCAGGCGCGCCATGCGTATTTCAGCAGAAACGAGATTTTTGGTTGACCGACGTCAAGCAGCGTCTTGTATGCGCTGCACCTTCTCGCCGTACCTTCCTGGAACCTAACGCATGTCAGAACCGACAATCTGGTCCATCGTCGACGTCTGGCCCGCCCGAGATCTGGATCACTTCCATCCACGAGCTCGAACGCGTCTTCTGCCGTACCTCCTGCGCTTGAAGTCATCCGACGAACGATGGCTTCACACGACGCCATGACTCAATACGGTACCTGCCGGCCCAGCTGCTATTCGACGCTTAGCACCACGGAGAGGCCACCCGGCTCGGGGCTGCATAGGCCGCATGAACGCCTGTGATGATTGCCCTTGAGGCTCGAGCCTCCTCGCATGTAGATCCTTGATTCACAATCGGACCCCGATCGACTCCAGGTGTCATACACACGGCTCCTCCAGCGAGTACCTCACATTGGCGCTCTTTCTTTACAGTCACCAGCCGTCCAAAGAGCTCTTCTCTATTTGACGTGACATGGTTGAACATGCCAATGTTGGACTGATGCCAGTAGTGCGTTCCGCGAGTCATTGACGTTTTGGTCCGAAGTCTTGTCGCTGCCCGGAATTGGACGTATGGCGAAAATCTGCAGACCGTGCTGGGAAGGCTTCGCCATCAGCTCCAGATTGCCATCGGCGGATAGAGACCTCGAACTCGATTATGCACGAATGGGTAGATGGTCGCATATGCACCATCTGCACGTACTTCCGAACGCAATTACACGCAACGCCGAGGTAACATCGTATTCCCGTCGGTGTCCTGCATTGCCAGATTGCCAGCTATCGGAGGAGGGATTCGCATGGTCGGATGACTGTTGCTAGCACCGTCCCTCCGAGGACTGCAGTCAGACCAGACTTGCAGGACTCACATTACTCTCATCTTGAGACCGACCGCTGTCTCGAAGCTGAAGAAGGTCTGCAGTCTGCAATCTGCAGATCTATTGCAAGTGGTGATCAACCCGCGACTGCCGTTATGGTACCACTTGTGGCACTTCTCGGCAATCTTGGTAGCTTTTACTGCAAACCGACCACACCGTGGGCATCACGCCAGAAGTGGGCTGTTTTCTTGTGAATATCAACATCATTGGCTGAACTTGAAATTTCAAACTAAGAACAAGCGACAAGACGAATACGACTGCGAACACGACTCCCTATCGGAGTTGCTTTCCTTCTTTGATGTCAGCCTAATAAGCACACAACCATCTTCGATTGTCTCACTCTGCCCTGTCGACGGAACGTCACTGCCTCGAACTGGTAAGCGGTGCGACTGGTTGCAATCTTCACGTTATTCGAATCTGACAACCTTCTCTTTGCTGCCTCCGTATTCCTGCCTATGGCTTGGGCCAGTGGGGCCGTGGGGACGTGGGAGTGGGGGGCTCACCGTACGCAGTCGTTGAAGTGTCCTCAAACAGTTGGGCTCCTTGAGCGTCTCGCATTCATACTGCCGATGGCATGGATTTACGCGACAACTATACCGATCCTGTGATGGAGAAGATGTCCCTTAATACCACAGAGATGCTCAGTGATCGTAAACTTCACCAGCACCGCTCTTATCCCGCCACAATCTGTTTGCGAAGTCGATGCCATGGCTGATCAGCAGTTCGATATTGCCATTATTGGCGCAGGGATAGGCGGTCTTGCGCTGGCAATTGGTCTGACTCACCATAGAATCCCTTTCACCATCTACGAATCGGCGCCGGCCTTCTCAACGATCGGCGCCGGCGTCGGACTCGGACCCAACTCTCTGAAAGCCATGGATCTCATCGACAAACGTCTCCGCGACAAGTACATGCAGATCGCTACGGGGAATCTGAGGCCCGAGAAGAGACACGTCATGATGGAAGCAATGCGCATGGAGGATGGCTTGGGTGAGGGAGAGAAATGGTGGGGGCATGGCGAATGGGGAGCGCCGTACTTTGAGCGAACCGGTGCTCACAGGAAGGATCTTCTGGACATCATGACGAGCTTCATAGACGTGGACGCTGTCCGATTCGGGAGAACTGTCGCCAAGGTCGAACAGAACGACGACCAGGTCACATTGGCCTTCACCGACGGCAGCGTCGCAACTCACGCCGCAGCGATCGGTTGCGGGGGAATCAGGGGCCTCGAGAGACGTGCCGTGCTGGACGACCGCTATCCGGACTCGGTGGAACCGCAGTACACGAACAAGTACGTCTACCGGACGATCATATCCATGGAAGATGCGAAGCAGATCTTGGGAGACCTGAGTACGGACGCCAAAATGTACATGAGCAGGACATCGAATCTATCGACGTATCCAATCAGTGGAGGCAGGCAGGTCAACGTTGTTGCTTTCAAGAGAGACTCGAACAATTGGACACACCCCGGGAACACATACGAGGTCGACAGGAAGACGATGGCGGAAGACTTCTCAGACATCAAAGTCGACGACAGGTTGCTGAAACTGTTCGAGGTACGTGCCATGGCTACTGTCACTAGTATCCCTTCACGCTGGATTTCATCCTGCAAACCGCGCCGGTGCACGCAGCACGCCAGCAAACCATCCAGACTCTAACACACTGCAGTTCATCGCGCCCACGCGATGGGCCATCTTCGACCACCCCTCCACGCCCACCTACTACAACTCTCTGGTTTGCCTCGTCGGCGACGTCGCGCACGCCAGCGGCCCGCACCAGGGTGCAGGCGCCGGTCAGGGTCTCGAGGACGCCCTCGTCTTAACGCACGCGCTCGGAAAGCTGTGCACGGCCGTCCCAGCAGCGACGCTCAACACGCCATCGGCGGCGCGAACGCGCGCCCTCGAAGCAGCCTTTGCGGCCTACGATGAAATCAGACGCCCGCGCGCGCAGAAGCAGGTCCGCACTGCCCGAGAATGCGGCGAGATTTACAACCTGCGCGACCCGCTCACCGGCGCGGACCTGAGCATCGAGGACGCGCTACAGGACTTGAATGCCCGCTTCGAATGGCTCTGGACGCACGACCTCGCCGCAGATGTCCGGCTGGTGGAGGAGAAGACTGCGGCACTGCTCCGCGCGCTGGAGCAGCGCTAATGGCGTGAGGTGATGTCTACGGACGGCACACATGCGAGAGAGATACGTGCTGGGTCACACGAGCATGCTGACGAGCAAGGTTCGGCGTGGGCACTGGGATATGGGCATGTGCAGAGGTACATTCGAATAAGCAAGCTACAAGACACACACCGAGAACAGCGGCGCCCGCGGTTTAGTCGCTCTCTCACTAGATCACACACGGGCCACGTTCCCGTGAACGGGGCGGGCAGGCTCGTTTGATTTAGTCTAGCCTGGGCGGCACGGAAGACCACAGAGTGATCGTCGACGCTGGATTTCCTCGTTCCCTCACTCGAGACGCCGTGAATCTGCGATACCGGTGTTGGATGCGGGCAGTGCGCTTTGCGAACCAGTCGCCATCGCGACGTCCCTGACATTGCACTATGCAGCTTGCATTCCAGTCGGTGCGTTCCAAGGCGGACGCGTCCAGACAGGGACAGTCTGGCGCGTGCTTCCGGACGGCAGCTGGAGTTTCGCATGTGGGCGGTATTGGTGGACTGCGGGTGAGAGTGGGTGTTGATACGCAGTGCGTTGGACGTCGTTAGTTGCCATCGTGATTACATACAACCATGTCGCTGCGAGGCTTGTTCGACTATCTGGCATCGAGACCCCCGTCCCTTGTTTCAGGTGTTGTGCGTGTGTGCATCGTCTCGACGTGCCCGTGTCTCCCTCTGCGCGGCCGGCTTCAGCCAAAGTGCGGTAGCCGCGCCGGGACGAAGGCGTCGGTGGCTTCTATCCGCACTGCTGTGACCGGGCGTTCGTCAGCCGGCGAGACAGGACGATCAGGCGTCGCTGGCCCGCCGAAGTTGGGCAACGGAACGACGTCCTCTGGCGCGTTGAGATGCTCGCTTGCTGGGGACTCGCTGGGCGCCAGACCGCGCTGGATGGCCAGGTGGTGAGCGTGTGCACGCTTCCGCTCGACGTCGGCGTCTTCTTCGCGCCGGAGCCCGTCTTCTTCGCGCCCCAGCTCGTCCAGCGTGGGCACGTCGGGCTCTTCGATGACGCTGCTCGGTGGCTTGCTGTTGCTGCGCGTGTTCCTCCCGCTGCCGGTGCTCTTGGCGCTGTCGTCCCACTGCCCCGTCGTGCGGCGCTCCAGCGCAATCGTGAACTCGTCGTCCAGCGGCACCGCGTCGTCGAGCTCGTCGCCGGACGGGAAGATGTCGCCGCGGGACGAGAACGAGTCGGTGGTGTGGCCGCTCGTGTGCGTGTCGCTGCGCGCGCGGCGGTGCGCCTTGTAGTCGCGCGCGTGGTCCTCGTCGCTGTCCTCGACGAGCGGCTGCGTCTCCTCGGCGCTGCGGCGCCAGGCGGCGGGGCGCTCGGTGAGGTCGGCGGCGCTGGGCTTGTAGCGCAGGCCCTTGCTGCCGAGGTTGAAGGGCAGGCGGCCGAGGAAGCCGAAGTACGAGGACGCGGGGATGACGGTCGGATCCGGGCCCTCGCGGGCCGGGGCGGTGCTCTTGCGCCTGCTGGCGGCGAAGCGCGGGTCACGGGCGCGCGGGCCGTAGCTCATGGCGCGCTGGCGGCCGGGCTGCTGTGTCGCGCCGTAGGTGGCCGCGGAGCCCAGGAAGCGGCCGAGGTTGTCGTTGCCCCAGCCGCCGAGCAGGCCGTCGGTCTCATCGTCGTCCCAGTCGTCGTAGAAGTCGAAGCTCAGCTCGGCGCGGCCGCGCGACCGCCCGCGGTGTCGGCGGCGGTCGTCCGACGACGGGAAGCACGGGGCGGTGAGGGCGTTGCAGCAGGCGGTGAGGGAGGCGCAGCACGGGTTGACATAGCTCTGGGTGAAGCCGTAGATGTTCTCCTGCGCGGCCTCGTTGGCGTGCTCGATGTTCTCCGAGATGTGCTGGATGGTGCGGTTCCAGCGTGGATCGCCGCGGCGGTACATGGTGACGGGCCCTCCAACGGGCTTCTATCGCGAGCCGATGGTCCTCCGGCGCATTGGCTCAGGCGGTCGGCGGGCGCATAGATGGGCGAGCTGTGTGGGGCCAGTCGGCGCTGCTGAGATTGCTGAAGCCTGGCGCAACGCAGTACCGGTAGTTGGATGACGCTGTTCCCTGGCGGACCATTCACCTGGCTTGACTGGCCAACCCGCGCTACCCCAGGTTCAGCAAGCCGCAACACCAAATCCCGTCTGCCCAAACCCTCTCCGCGCCATGCGCTATATCCGGTTCCTCAAAACGCCCCGCATTGTTGCAGAAAAGGGCACAGGAAAGAGCCAGATCTACGGTCTGATCACCATCACGTCTGATCTTGGCGATTCATTCTTTCCCCACGACGTCGAACTCGTTGCCGAACTCATCAACGCAGACAGTGATGAGATCCTAGTATGGCGGACTCTGGCGTGGGCGGCTGGGATGCGGACCCTGGCCATGACCCTACCGTTGAAGAAGTCCTACGCTTCGAGTCCTTTGCGAGTGCGAATAGGCACAGAGCACAAGGCGCAATATGATATATTTGAAAACCTGTGCCAGGCAGACTCGCACGGCATCGTGTCAGCGTGGAGCGCCGGATTCAACTCCGGGGGTGTCAGGGAAGCAGTCAAGCTCGTGCAGAGGCGGTTCAGAGTAGCGCACAGAGTGATCAGTGTCTGGGAAGAGACGGGCGAGAGCATTGCGCGACACTTGTGGTATATCTCGTGCCTTCCTCATTGTTCAGATTCTTGACTGATGCTGGTGTAGGGACGCTGGAATAACGCTGTCCTGCCAGATGGTCGAGCTCCAGTCCATAGAGACTGCGCTCTGCAAAGCCCTGAACCTCACGTCCCGTGATCCTACCACGTCCACCCTAGGCGTGCTGGAGCTGGGCACAGGCTGCGGCATGGTCGGCATGACACTCGCATCTGTGCTCCCAAACTGCGACGTGCACCTCTCTGATCTGCCCGAGGCGCGCGAGATCGTCGAGACGAACATCGCCGACTGCGCTCTGCAAGCAAGCAACGGATCGAACCTGTCGTTCTTCCAACTCGACTGGGACGACGAACTACCTGATTGGCTTACACGCGAGCACGCCAAGTTCGATCTGGTGCTGGCGGCGGATTGCACGTATAATTCAGACAGCAGGTGCGTTGCTTGTTCTCCCAGTTTGAGCTGTGATTGAAGCTGACGTTTTGCAGCCCTGCACTTGTCAGTACTTTGCGTCGACTGGCAGACTTGAACAAGGATGTTGTTGTTGGGATAGCGATGAAGATGAGACATGACAGTGAACGCGTGTTCTTTGGTCTTATGAAGGAAGCTGGCTTCGCGGAGACGGCCCTGTTCGAGTATCCGCTTCCTGGGGATGTGGACATGGGGGAAGACAGTGTGTATCTGCACGTCTACCGGCATGGGTCTTAAACAATCACCATACACAGTCTATCATGGACAGCATTTGATCTGCCGCTGCTACAGACCCATGTTTCCAAAGGTTATAGTCTTCTTCGTCAGACCAGCATATATATCATCCAGCACGTCTCTCTTCCTCTTCCTGCCCTCGTCCCTCTGTTCTTCTTCGATTCGTTCGTCCTCGTCTGCGTCAACGTCCTCGTCTGTCCGAGGTTTCCATGCACAGATACTCCCGTCGGCGTGCGCAGAGTACACCTCTACATCATGCGCACGCCACGTCAGACTCGTAATGCGATCTTTGCGATTGCTCTGGCCCTTGGCGTTGCCATTTGCACCGCCAGCAGGCGCATCAGCAGCGCGCTTCGCAACTTCAGGGCGCTTCATGCGTCGCAGGAGCTTGCCATCAAATAACTCATAGAACAAAATCTCGTGCTCACTCGGGTAGAACATCGTCTCCGCGTGTGCGGCGAAGTGGTGTCTAGGTGGTAGAACGGGCATGACAGGCGCGAGACCACTGTTCTTGACCACGGGCCCGAAGTTCGCGAGTGTGTTGGCGTACGACAAAGTGTCCCATACACGGATCCGCTGGTCGTGGCCGGTGCTCACCAAGTGTTTCCCGTCTTCTGTCCATACCAACCCGTTTACTGCGCCGCGATGCGCTTGTCCTTGGCCTGAAGCGTGCAAGTATGAGTGCGTGTGTGCGCCGGCTCGGCCTACCGAGTCTTCCAGGTCCAGCGAGCCCAGAGACCCAACGCTGCGCCGGATGTCCCAGAAGCGTACCGTACCGTCTGTGGCACCCGAGGCTAGGAGGTGATCGGTCACGGGGCTCCAGGCTGTGGACAGCACAGCGCCTAAGTGTCCGGCAAGACTGTGTGTCGTCGCACCTGAGCGCAGATCTATCAAGCGGACGTTTGGGCCTTGGGTCGCGCAGGCAATGAGAAGATGTGAGGCGATCGGCGAGAGAGCGATGTTGTAGACGGCAGCGTCGAGGTCGAACGAGGCCGAGACTTCGAGGCTCTCGCTGGAGTAGAGCTTAACTGTGTGGTCGTACGAGGATGTGAGGAAGGCGAGCGAGTCAAAGGGGTAGAAGCTGAGCTGCGTGATGCCTAGCTTATGCTCCTTTGTTGTCTTGCTCAGAGCTGAGAGAGGGAGGTACGCCTCTCCGCTCTCTGTGCTGGCGGTTTCGGCTTCGAGGTCCCATATCGCAATCGATGAGTCTGCGCCACCCGAGAGCAGGTATCTTCCTTCGAATCTGTCGACAGTCAAGGCATTCACGCCTGCGGCGTGTGCTGGTATGCGAGCATGAGGATCGTCTGGTGGCGGTAATCGCTGGCTGAAGGTCACGGCGGCTGGTTGCAGCGCGTAGATAAGTCTTGTCGCAGTCGCGCGTTTGAGCACGTCATTATGTGAGAAGCCGTATGCGCGCTCGAGCAGATGCTGTTGGGTGGTCATATGCGTCTACATGCTTTGCGCGTGATGGTTGGCAGCCTGAGTAAGAGCTCAAGTTGACCCGATCGCACATGACGTCGGCTGCAGCTGCCCGTCTTAGCGTCCGTCCTCCACCACGCTAGACTTTTCCGTGCAAGCTCCACTTCTTCACCAACGCGCGACAATGTCGCGAAGGCCGTACTATGGCAGATTCTCACGCCCACCGTCTGAGGTTCCAGCTGTAGACGACGAGGTAGCAGAGGAGAAGGCTTTGAGGCGCCCTGCTAATGTCTACGATGCAGTTGCAGGTAATTGCACCTCGAAAGGTCTGTGAATATGTGGTTAACAACGGCGAAGGGCGTGTCACGCAAGCAGGCTTGGTCGGCAATGTCAGAGATGTGAAGAGCTCCCGACAGCCTCTCCGACCAGATGAGGTCCTCTTCAAGCAGGCTAACGCGCCGGTGCGGTACGAAGAGACTGATTACTACAACGCGCATACCCGTTTGCCAGGGGACCAGCGGCTACCAGACGGCGAGCTACTGGCTGCGATTCATGCGTATGTATCAAAGCTATATTCGCGAACGACAGAAGGCGACAGCCAACCTGCTTGGAAATGCATGGATGAGACTGCGCTGATTGCTTTTGGCATTCTTATGGAAGAGACTGCGAGAGAAGTTCTTGGCGAGACAGGCGACTTTGCCTTCGTTGAAGCTGCAGATGAGGAAGAGGAGAGGATCTTTGGCCAAGGGAGTGAAGATGAAAAGAACGACACGGGGAGCTTCATATCGAGAGACGTCTCACAAGAAGCATCAGCCGAGGCGGACTCTGAGTCTTCCAGTGATTATTCGCGAGTTTCCACAGAAGACTCGGACTGAAAAGCCCGCACATTTGACGGAGCTAAAGATGCTTGCATGGGCATTACAGGAAACGGTGGAACGACGAGATCAGTGCCAGATTGAGTGCGGGTGCACCACGCTGCAAAAAAGACTGCCCGGAACGATTCGAAGATGTCAGACGTGTATGGGGCGTTCCAGATGCATATTCTTGGGTCATTCTGGACGTGAGCTGCGTGACTGCCTCCTTGGGAGCTGCCGGCTTGGCGCCTTCCGTCAAGGAAGGCACGTCCAGCACACCTCTCACATCTCATACAGCCTTTCACGGTTTGTATCAGGCCTCACGCTCTCACCTCGCATCGTATCCCTACTCCTTATCGACACCATTCTTTAGACCCAACAGTCATGGTACAGTGGCCAACACCGCACTCACGCACCTTTGCTGACTTCAAGCAGGCACCCAAAACAACGGTGAACGCTCAGAAGCAGGCGACAATCCTTGCGTGGTTTCACAAGACTGCACTCGCCTACAGTCTCAAGGACCTCGAGAAGCTGATTCCCTCAGTCGCCTCCATCAACGGCATGGGCGTGAAAGACTACGTCCAGGCGCTCCAAGATGACGATCTAATCCACTGGGAGAAAATCGGCAGTGGCAACTGGTACTGGAGCTTCCCGAGCGAGGCCAGGAAAGAAAAGGAGGGCAAGCTGGCCAAGGCGCAAGAAGAATACGAGAAGGCCAATGCCACCGTGTCTGAGCTTCAGGCGAAGGTTGACCAAGCTGGTGCTGCACAATCAGAGGACGAGAACTTGCTTGCAGAAACGGGCACGTTGAACGCACCTTTCCAAAGATGCCCTCATTGACAGTAGCAGGTGGTGACCGTAAGGCACTCGTCGCGAAGCACGAAGGGCTTTCTAAGGAAGTCGAGAGGCTCCGCACCGAGCTCGCCGCGTACAGTGAGTTTGACCCGGTCGAACTGGACAAGAAGATCCACAACGCTCGACGTTCGCGAGCCGCTGCAGACAAGTTCACTGAACACATCTACTGCATGGAGTCCTGGCTCAAAGACCGGATACCTGATCGAGAAAGTCAGGTCGGCGTCCTGCGAGACCTCTACGGTGACGAATGGGATGAAGAGGACGGCGGCCTGCGTGAGCTGTAAGGCCCTGCATCCGGATGGACATGTTGTGCCACATACAAGGCTAGCTCGTGCTAGAATATGGATCGAGCTAGAGATCATTGTGTATGGAGGGGTGTTTCCATGTCTCAGGCTATCTAAGCGCCAGACATATGTGTGTAAGCAAAGCAATCTGATACCGATTCTCTCGAGCTGTAGATGAAGTCGGCCACAGCAGCATTTATGTTGCAGCCTCCAGAGGGTTGATCAGCTTGTGAGACACGCAGATGTATATTGACTACCTCCCAAATTTCCAAAATATATGCCTTGCAGCCGGGTTTACCTGCGACGTGAGAGGGAGACCTTTGAGAGCATCATTTCGAATCATACGACACTACTCCAAATGCGTGCCTGAGTCACTTAATGACTGGCCTGTGAGGCGTTCGCTAGTGGCAGATGCTGACTGCGGCGCCCACGCATGGGCCCGGTCGTCATTGATTCGCTTGCAGAACAGCGTCATGTCGTAGCTTTCACAAACTCTCACTTCAACCACCACGCTTGATAGCCGCCTTCGCTGGCCCGCGCTGATTGCGTCCCACTTGCTATTTCACTGTATATTCTTCCATTGTCTGTAGCATTTAAATTTTCAATTGCGCCCACATACCACCACACACGTCTTTCAGCGCAAACGGATACCCCGCGATGGCCGACACTGGGGCTACAGAAGCCGGACAACTACCGACGAGCCCGGCACGGCGAGGAAGAGGAGGCCGAGGGCGTGGGAGGGGACCGCGCTCGGGAGCAGAGGACGATCTCGAACACTCTGGCTCCCGGGGTCGTGGTAGAGGCGGCCCTGCAAGTGGCCGTGGTCGTGGTGGTCGTGGGAGAGGGGATGGCGCAAACAGTCGTGGTGGACGGCAGACGGCGGACAAGGGCAAGGCGCCCGCTGTAAAAGGGGAAGAAGCGAGCGAAACTCTCCCTGCAATCGCGAAACCTGTTGCGCCGGCAGAAGAGGCCGTGGACGATGACGCGGAAGTCTGCTTCATTTGCGCCTCACCCGTACAGCACACCGCAATTGCACCATGCAACCACAGAACGTGCCACATTTGCTCCATTCGAATGAGGGCCCTCTATAAGACCAAGGCTTGCGCGCACTGCAGGACAGAATCTGACCATGTCATCCTCACCGACGACCACGAGAAGCTATTCCAGGACTTCTCCGCGAATGACTTCTTCAAGGTCGATGACAACCTCGGGATCAATTTCGAGAAGCCTGAGATTTTCGAGGATGCGAGACTCTTGCTGCAGTACAACTGTCCAGACGGCGAGTGTGATGTTGCGTGCTTAGGGTGGCCGGATTTACATCGTCACACGAAGACGGCGCACACCAAGGTTATGTGGTAAGTGACAGCAGTACCTTGATGTCTAGGAAAATGACCTGGCCAAATGCTAACCGAGTCTAGCGATTTATGTACTAGGAACAAGAAAGTATTTACTCATGAGCACGAGCTTTTCACCTTCGCCGACCTCAAGAAACACCAGAAGTTTGGCGACGATAACCCCGGCGCAATCGATCAGAGCGGTTTCAAGGGACACCCCGAGTGCGGTTTCTGCCGTCAGCGATTCTACGGAGATGACGAGCTATACACACATTGTCGCGACAAGCATGAGCGCTGCCACATTTGCGATCGCCGAGAAGGCAGCAGGCAACAGCAGTACTATGTCAACTACGATTCACTGGAGCAACACTTCCGGAAAGACCACTTTGTGTGTCCAGACCGAGAATGCTTGGAGAAGAAGTTCGTTGTATTCGATTCGGAAATGGATCTCAAGGCCCATCAGCTGGAGTCGCATCCAAATGGTCTGACCAAGGACGCTCTCCGGGATGCGAGGAGGGTGGATATGTCGGGCTTTGGCAACTACCGCGCACCACACGAGCAGGAACACGGCAGGCGAGATGACAGAAGACGAGAAGGCGGAAGGTCTCGTGGTAGGGGCAGAGATCCCAACGCCGAGGCTGTGCCTGCATCATCCGCGCAGCCACTCAGCAGAGCAGAGCTTGCATTCCAGCGTCAAAGGGAAGCTCAACAGTCTGGCGCATCTGGGCGCACGTTTGGTGGCCAGCTCTCAGCTCCTACACCAGGAGAAGCATTCGCGGCTCGGCCCGCGCCCAGCGCATCTGCACCGGCTACACAAGCTGTTTCCAGGCCTAGCCAGCCGGCTACAAACAATGTCACTAATGGTGTCAGCAACCTGAACCTGAACACACAACTCTCTGTACCACAGACCCCTCAAGATCAGGCGCGACTTCTGCGACACAATGCCGTTACCGAACGAGCGACAAACATGCTGCGCAGCGACCAGATCAAGCTGCAGCAATTCCGGGCTGACGTCTCGGCCTATCGAAATGACAAGGTGTCGCCGGCACAGTTCATTGAAGGACTGTTCGCGCTTTTCGACAGTGACTCGAAGGAGCTAGGTAAACTGGTGAAGGAGCTTGCAGATATCTTCGAGATCCCGGCTAAACAGCAAGGCCTGCTCAAGGCCTGGAGCGACTGGAAGGCTATCAACGAGGACTACCCGTCGTTGCCTGGCTCGGCAACAGGACGCGCTCTGAACGGTGGCGGTGCGACCAGCGGAGGTTCAAGGGTGTTGAAGCTCAAGAGCTCGACAGCTCAGTCACAACGGTCGCAAGCCAACAGAAAAGCAAGTTGGTCAACCGCAACATCAGGCAACTCATTTCCCGCCTTGCCAGCAGCAGCCTCGTCAAGTCGTGGCGGTGGCATCGGAGCCAAACCCGGTCAGACACCATGGATGTCGTCTTCTTCCAAGCCTGCCCCTGCTCGCAGCACGGGTGTGTCACCTACTCCATCTCGAGTTGCGTCGTCAAGTGGACTCGCCAACAAGAGCAACAAGGCGATTGCAGATGCATTCCCTGCTCTGCCCGCAGCACCCAAACCGACAAGCACCGTCTTCAGCCCAGGATACACGGGTCTTGGTGTGCGACGAGATAACAGTGGCCGAAACACACCTATCAATGCGGCCTGGGGTACGCCAAGTGCTGACGCAAGCGGATCGACGACCCCCGCAGCATTTGATGAGAGTGCAGGAGGCAAGAAGAAGGGCAACAAGAACAAGAAGCAGACGCTGTTCCATTTTGGTTAGAGATACAGAGGTTTCAAGGGTGGTCTGCAAAGGGTTTGAAGCATGTGAGCGGGTGGTACAGTAACACGGCAAAAGCAAGCAGAGAAGCGTTGTTACGCAATGTGCATCCTTGTCCAAATGGCTTCAAATGTTGAGAGACGTATATCGGTGCGCATCTGTGTCATGTAAACTCAGGTAGGCCTGATATAAAGGCAAGGCTGGAAATGTCAAATCTATACGCAACTAATCGTGGTTCGCATGAAGTTGCTGACGTCTAGTTTAAGATGTATGGATTCTGCGTAGTCTTGTACCTTTGATAGCCAAAGCAGCAATTGCAGTAATGTGCCTGATCATGTCAAAATCATCCAACGATCTCAAATAATTCAACGATGTACACAGCAGGTGGCGCCTCATCGAAGGTGGATTGCAGCAGTGGTGGGCTCACTGGCACCGGCTACCGCTGTTTTGGAAGAGGCGCGCAAGTTCCCGCCGGAGCCCATGCAGTGAGAACGAATGGGAGGAACCGTCAGCGCAATGCGGTCATGAAGATTAAGCAGTGCTATGAACCGCTACAATTGTCAAAGCCTCAGGGCAACTTGACGCAAATGACCCACGGTACAAAGGCTACAGCTGAAAAGGAACCCGCAACTGGCGGAGATGCGCAAACAGGAGTAGGTGCGTTTCTTAGTTCGTCCGTTTTCGTTGTACGCTCCTTCCTCCTTCCTCTTCCCACTCAACATCCCCACTTCGCGCTGACTGCGATTTGACCCAGCCATGCAGATGCACAGTACACTGAGCTTTTCTTAGGGCCTGCACCAAAAATATTGAGTGTGGGGTTTGTTCCGCAGTGGTTCAGGGACACTCGGTACCTGTGAAGCAGACACTCGATATTGGGTGTTGCTGTTTCCCGTATGGTCTGTGCATACTGTACACTAGTACATTGGCGCCGCCCTAATGCTCCTCATGTCCATATATCGTCACATCGTCACATCGATCCCTCACTCCTCACATCAATTTTATAATCTATTTATCCGATTGCCCTCTGGAAAGGCCTACAGCGCTCTCCAGGCCGCACACGGAAAGTCGCGTAAACTTCTCCTGTACACCAGCTGTGAAAACTTCACATCTGACCGACAAATACCAATGTACCACCCAAACCGGACACCCACCATGCCGTCGCAGGTGCCTCCGATACCACTGATGTATCGCGACATGCCTCCCAATGACACAAACGGTGACTATGTCGGTAATCATGGCGGCAAGAGTTACAGGTTCGTATCCCCTTCCTGATCAGTCGAAGTACGAGCTCATACGTTGCAGGCTTCGAGTTGAGCAGCAGCCCATCAGAGCCCGAATGTGTGGTTTTGGCGACAAGGTAAGATGGCTCGCGCTGCAACCCATTGTTCTAGTAGAGGTACAAGACTGAGACATGTGACCAATGACAGGACCGACGCCCAATCACTCCGCCTCCATGCATCCGCCTCACAATGTGCGACGGCGTGACCGGACAGGAAATCGACGCCGGTAACATCAACGCCGCCTACTTTGTTCTGATTGTCGACCTCTGGCACGAGGATATCTCGCGCGGCGCGTGTAACCTGGTACGCCATCCTACTGCCCAGCCTTCAGTCAGCATCTCTAGCAGTGTAACAACTTCATTCCCTCCCGCACCAGAACGGCCCATGTTCATGCCCAATATGGCGCCGGTCAATCAATATGGCCAGCCAATGCCACCATCGTATCCCTACGGTCAACCGCAATACTACGGAGTCCAGACGTCCCCCGGATATGCAGCGCCATACGGCACAGCCTACAACTCGGCAGTCATGCCTGCGCAAAACTCCAGCCAGAATCACACGAGGAATCTCATTGGTATGACATCTTCCAATGCCTGCCCACTGAACGACCCTGAGGGCAAGCCCGGCCAATGGTTTGTGCTCCAGGATCTTTCTGTGCGCACTGAGGGAACTTTCCGGCAGGTTCTTCGATCCAAAAGCTGTCACTATTGATTGCTAACAAGCGCAGATTGAAGTTTATGATCTTCAATATTGGAGCTGGAGAGAACGCGAGCCGTGTGATGACACACGGCGAGAAGACGCCCATGCTTGCCTCCTGCTTTTCGGACCCGTTCACTGTCTACTCGGCCAAGAAGTTCCCAGGTGTTATAGAAAGCACCGCACTCAGCAAATGCTTTGCGCAACAGGGTATCAAAATCCCGATCAGGAAGGACGGGCCCCGCACATTAGCCAATCAGTCGGAGTATGACGCCGATGATTGAGCTCAGGAATGATATGGCAACAGTGCGCCGGCGCAAGGAAACACTATTGCTAGTTTCAGACATGGCGTAAGATAGACGCGAGCGCTTATGGGCCGCTTCATGTCACATTGCGGATGAATATTGCGAAATTGGGAACGGACTTGGGTTGTACTTAGATCGCGGTAGATATGCAGTACGTTGCACATGCCTGTTACTGCGCCACTATCCCTGCCGTGATGACAATTCTCTGACTACATTTCCGCTAGATAATCGACCTACATCTTTCAAATTGTTGTTCTAGACGCAGTCCCTGATGTTCGAATCCGCGGCATAGCATGTGCGCCCTTGGTATAGACCTGATACACTAGAGCTGCAGTAACTTCGAACAGTTGCGGATTCGAGGTACTATCAAGGTAGCAGAAGTTGCTCGGTCGTCTACTGGCAGACACAATAACCCACTGATTGTACACACGTTGCTGATCCATCGCCGTACGATGCCACACAAGGATGAATGCTGTCAACCTCGCCAGCACGAGAAGACGTGATTGCATCGAGGCATTTTTTATGCTTCGCTCCATTGAACACTCAAGCGTGTGTCGTGTCTGTACATGGAACTCAGCGTCTCGGTGGGAGCTCTGGCGAGCCAGGGACGTGTGGTGTGCAGGGCTATGTGAAGCAGGCCTGGAGTGATCTGGCAGAGGGAATCTGCCCGTGTGCCTTTCCAGCCGTCGTTGTTGCTAGAGAGTTTGGTGCTCGTATGTAGGGGGCATACCGAGTTCGTGAAGACGCTCCCCCTTGGGTGCGGCGGCTCAGAGTACTGGAACCTCGACATCCAAGAAGTAGATGCTGCTTCAGCTGACAAATTGCGTTCAAGAGTGCGCTCGGGCAGAGTACTTGAATTAGTGTCTCGGTCATCCGTCAAAGGAGCTTGTGGCGTTTCCTAGAGAGTCCTTACATGAGAAGTTCTCAGCTGCCGTCCCGAACGCACGTCATGCGATAATGAATCCCTGGCAGAATGCAGGAAGATAGATACACTCTGACATGCTGTGCAAGGTCGGAAGTATTCAGCCGCAGCTATAGTAGAGAGAGGCTGCATTCAGAGTCAGATGACTGCGACGACAGCTGCATGTGAGCATGTGTACAGATCTGGAGCCGGAAATTGACATTCTGTGACAAGCAGTTGCGGTGACTGCCATGAAAGCCGAAGATCTGGCAGGTGCGACGTACGGAATTGTCATGTCCACCAAGTTGGAATGCTCGGGGAACTGGTACAAATACCGCTGCCGAGATATCTATTGTTATCAATACTGTCCAACTTCGTATAGGGCACAAAAAAGTCCTGAAGAATCCGGCTGGGTTTGGATCCCGATGGTTACCAATTCGATATACTAAATGCACTCAGTTGGACAGCACTCCATTCCAAATCCCAGGAACGTCGAATCTGGCATCGCCAAGGACAACCATGGTTCGCAAGCATTGGGTCGCGGAGCGGACCGTAAATGCCGGAGGCAAGGTGCATGTGGAACCTGCGTCTGCGGGGGTGGTCAACGGTTAGACTATCTCGAGCATTCTGAGGTATGTGGAGGGGACTGAGATGTCAAAACAAGTCGAGTGCAAGTTGGGTGTGTACGGTAGGGCCGATTGTGGCACTCTTGTAGAATGCAGCATGCAGCAGGCGCATGGTGGAGATGCTGTGTATCCACGCTGGTGCAAGGTGTCAGCAAACCTGTGTTCACCATACTTGGCCTGGATTGTGATGAGTCACTACACATACGTGGCACAGATGCAGCTACAGCGACGGATGCTGCAGATGTCCCTCACCCTGCAGCATCTTCGTTGCCATCACTCACCAAACTTGCCCGGTACATGTCAGGTCTGCTTTCGCCAAGTGGACATTACTCGTAGTCCCTTCATCCCACGCCTCCGCGGGCACTAACCGAATTCCGACGGCATACCCCTGACAATCTTCCCGCGAACGGCTACGCTGCACTGACAAAGGTGCACGGTCTCCAATGGACAAGCTCGAATCTTGGATCAGAGCTAAATGCGAGATTTGCTTCGAGGGCATGCGTACGTCATCAGTGGAACGTCATTTTATGACACGAAGTGGATACGGATGCTTTAGGGGTTGCGGTGGTCTGATGATCGTTTACGGTGTCTTGTTCGGGGAGAGGCCCGGCGGGCGAGAGCTTCGCGGGCTCCGTCGTGAGCTAGCAACAAGGCAAAAAGATCTACGGGAATAATTGCCGCAAGTCCATTCGTCGAGGCAAAGACGTCTAGTAAGGAACGGAAAGACACGTGGATGACCGGAGGGGATGTTCGGATAAGAGATGCGGCTCATTGTGGGGAGTGCTCGCCGTACGATGCGAGTGCGGCCATTCCTCACATCTGCAACTCCAGATTAAAAGGTGTGCATCTTAGGCCAGTGGCGGTTGCACAGCAGATTCTCAAACACCGTATGGCCGAACAGACGCCGCATTGCGTTCAAGCAACCCGATGTTGCTCATTGGCCCCGTGCAGGAATCGCCAGCAAGATTGAACGACAGAGAGCCTAAAGATTGCTCTGCCTTGTTGGTGGAATCTTAATGTGGGTTTGAAATGGACGGCTTGGGTGGGAAAACGATAACGACAAACAAGGCAATTGGATAGCAACGGTCGATGCTGGTGAATGAGACAATGATGTAGGGACCGTGCGATTGCTATTACATGTAGCGCGTGAAGGAATCCAAAAGACTTCCGAACGCCAATATGGTGCAGCAGAAGAAAGGAAACGCGGATAGGACTACCTGAGAGTAGTGATTATTAGCGCCCTGCGCGTGCGGGCCGTATTCTCTTTGTCTTGACTTTCAGTAATCCTTCGTAACTCGCCGACCTTCGTCCCAGCCGAATGGGTCAATGTGCGGTGAATGCTGAGTCGACCGTCATGTCGATGAGCGTCGACTTCAACGAAGGTGTTCAGTGGTAAGGCGACCTGTATGCAGTAGTAAAGCGACATGTATTCAGTGATTCCAAAGTTAACGGCATGCCCGACACCAAAGGTATGCAGTAAGCGAGATCACAGCGTGCGTGACCTTAGAAGGGTCTGATCTGAGGGATGACGGATCCCCCTTGTTGCATGGGTGGCATCATTGGAACTCCGGAGTTCGACGGACCCAGACGATGAAACATCTGTATCAGACGTTCACCAACGCTGGGTTCCAGCTCAGTACCGTCCCTTGCAATCTTCACCTCGCGGTTTGCGTTCCAGGGGTTGCGAAGACCACGAGTACGGTAGAACGGCAAACGATTTGCAGAAAGCCACTCGACCTTGAAAAGTTTACCCCAGCTCTGAGCGACAACAGGGAGGTCGCCATCAACCTGAGTCTTAATTTTTTCAATAAGCTCCTCCTCTGCCTCAGACTCTGAGAGCTCTGCCTCCCAGAAAATTGTTCCTCGGGCGGAATCATCGATGATTCTGCCCTTCGGTGCCCATTCTGTTGCCGGTGTGGGGATCGACTTCGGTATGTCTGGGGCGTCCATAATGTTCTCGGGTTTCGGAGCCGATTGTGTGAGCTCTGGGCCTTCCTCTAGAATGGGTGATGTCATGCGAGCATAGCCAAAGTATTCTCCGGACTTATTAGCTGAGAAAATCAGAAAGACGTTCTCCGCCGACTGCAAGGTGTCAGTATGGGTCCCACAATAATCGTACGTTCAGGCCGATCTACCTGGTAGGCCTTGTTCAAGACCTCCTCGTTGTGGGACTGCGTGGCCCAGATGCCGTTCTGTATACTGAGCTCGAGGTCTTGCAACGTCAGACTTTTGACGATGAAGTATTTATTAGAGGCAGTTAAACTGGCAGGGGTCTCGCCGTCTGTGTCGTTCGCCGGAGAGTCCGAGACTCCCTCTTGCAAGTCATCCACGGCCTCACCATCCGGCTTCGGCATTGTTGGCGGGGATGGAGTAGGTTGCTGTGCGCCGACCATAGCCGACGGCCCTGTAGGTATCCCTGATGCAGGTGCTGAGCTGCGGCGTAGTCGACAGACTAGACGTACACCGTTGAAACGCGAGTCGTGAAATCGGTGCATTGCAGCAGTGCATGATGCTTCGGTTCGATAGTTGACGAAAGCGCAGTTGCTTTTGGATATTAAAAACAAGCTCTCAATATCCTTTGTGGCCTCACGGGAGAAATGGTCCTTCAATGACACCACTGTCGTGCCTGGGGGCAAATTTCCGACCCAAAGCGCATGGCCCGACTGCTTCGGTTTTCGGGGTGGTCCGCGGGGGATTGAGCGCACAGAAGGAGAATGAGAAGCTCCTGTATCGATCAGCTGCGCTGTACGAGGCGTACCCTTGACGTACATACCTGGTCCTTGATAGAACGGTGCGCCAAATGGAGCAGCAGCACTACCGACTGACAGACCTGCAAAGCCACCCTCGTGAGGAGAAATCTCTACACCTTGGCCAGGAATTCCATTATGAGCTGTAACCGAACTGGCTCTCCTGCCATACGTCGTTTGATTGTGCATGCCTTGCGCTGTGAAGCCAGAAGGGTACTGCCCCGGCGCCGCGTAAGGTGCAGGATAGTACATATACTGAGAGGGTTGTGGATATGGCTGGTAGGGGTTCTGCATAGGAGCAACGCCCTGTAACCGTGACTGGTTTGGGTTGTATGTGGGGTAGATAGCATTATGTGCGCTTTGCTGTGGTATGTAGCCTTGCTGGTAGGGACTTGTGGCATATCCAGAGCCATAAGAAGGATGCACAGGCATATTTCCTGAGGCATGCGCTGGGATTTGCAAGCTCTGTCCTAGTTGGTATGCAAGAGCAGACGTCGATGCGCCAGAAAGCGAGCGGGGGATCGATTGTGAAGCTTGATGATATGGGTCGGAGCCGTAGTCGGGCAGTGCGCCAGCCATTGCACCCATCTTGAATGGGGAAGCATCATGTTGTTGCGACGAATAGTAAACACTCTGTTGTGCAGGCGAGCGATGTTCAGGTCGATGTTGTCCCTGCTGGATAGAGCTCAGTTGAGAGTAGAATGGGGTGTCGTTGTCCTGCGCCTTGTGGGGTGATGAGGCGTGCTGGCCATCGCGCAGACCAGCTACGTCGAAGTCCATGGTATGGGACAGTGAATCGGAAGGTAGATCACCCATCTGTCCTCCGACAATAATCGGAAGCGCAAACCACTGCTGAACCCAAACAAAAGACATGTCAGCCTACATTCCACGCGCTAAAACGAATGACTAGTGAACAGCTGTTCGATGTAACGAGACGACTGTCAACCGAAATGCCGCCGCAATTATTTACGTACCGGAGTCTATATCAGAGTATCCCAGGAAAGAAGACGTGGCGAGCCGCGTAGGATAGTAACCGAGAGATTGAGGCTTCGCGATGCTAGTACTCAATTATACCAGTGAGGGTACGAAGCAAAGGAAGATCGTGTGTAACAAAGATGCCTGTTAATAGTGAGGCCCGAACAATGGACAACTAACGGCTGCAGTAGAGGGCCCGCTCAAGAAAGTGCTCGCTTGGAGCGGAACGAGATGGTGATCAAAATTGCACGGCCACTCAGACAGCAGAGCCGAGTCCTGTGAAGCCCTACAAGGTCGTTAGCATAGCAACACTGGCCGGGAGAAGGAGGAGCCTGACCGAAGACGTGGAGACAGCTTCGTAATTAGACTGAGAATAAGCGAGGAAGTGTTCACTGGCTTTGTCCTGAAACCACGGGGACGCCGCACTTGGGTTTGCAAACCCTTTACCTCAATTGCCTCCGAGCCCAGCGAGTTCGGGTAATCCGATTGGGTGTGAGGCTGCAGGAGGTGGCTTTTTGAATGGCTGTGCGATGCAGGATGGAAACCGATACTCTGGAGGCGAAATGATCGACTAGATCCTGTAAAACACAGGCAATTGGGTGCCACGAAACGATTACAAGGTAAAAGGAGGTGTCATGTAAGAAGATATGCTAGAATGTGGCGAGTGAATACGCTTCTAGACTGCCGATGGGCCGGTGGCGCTTTCTGTGGATGATTTGTGGTGGAGCTTAGCGGACTCTCTGTACCCTGGCATGCATTCTGGCAGACGGGAGAGCTAAAAGTATGACCGCAGAGGCGTAGCAGGTGAGTGACGGCAGAGCACCATAAGCTGGGCACCACAAGTCATGTTTTTGACCCTGGAATTCTTCAAGTGCCGAGTGGAGAAAACTTGAGCGACAAGGGAGAGCAAACGTGCTTTACAAATTTGCATCGAAGCTCCGGCGAAATACTTTGGGTTAGCCAGACATCATGAAGTAATTCATGGGCAGGCTACCCGCCCGGACAGGTTCAAAGACGACAGGGGTCGCGGGCCAATGACAGAGACTATCAAGTGCCAGGAAACGTTCAGACACGACGGACAGGGGAGTAGCCGTCGGCGCCGCGTGGCCGTGTCAGATCAAACTGACATGAAGCGCCCAAAGACGATTGCCATATGGACAGAACGTATCCATGATTGGAACCGGCGTTTTTGTCCGACAATGCACTAAGACGCCCGGAGGCGGGTCTGTACGACAGGCTGGCAGAAGCGTGTATGTCGAGGCGCCATACTGGACTCGTGCATAGTGGGCCAAACACCAGAATCAGATAGCGAGCGACGGTCGCAGGAACGCTCTTCGAAAGACATCCGATGCCTCCCCTCGGCAGCGGCTCGGCGGCGTTCCAGAGCGATTGCAGTGCAGCCGTTGTCGTTGGGAGGCCACGGGAAGTGGTCCGCCAATAGATGGACAATGAAGCCGTTTGCCACCCTCGGTGGCACCGCGCCGGAGAGGGCCTTTCGCAAGCTGCACCTTCCCTGCCAGTCGGGATCGACAGCAGCGCTGAGCACAGCCGTGAGCCTGCAGTGCGGAGATCATTGACAAGGGAGAGTTGCAGCAGAGCCTTTGCTAACGGGCCTTATTTATTGCATACACAATGTCGAACGGTTGGCACTCTGATGCCGCGTGTTCTCGGATCACAGTGCTTCACAGGACACTTTCTTGTGTTGTCGCAATGTCAAATTTGACAATTGCATGCCCCAATTCCCATCTCGCTGATGCAGAGATTGCAGATTCTCGGTCAGTCGCAAGATGGGAAACGAGCTTTGACGCTATGACGTAATTGTGGCGAGTCGCCAGGGTCTTCTCCAACGCCACCTGTGGCCATGTTTTAGGGTCGTCTAGAGGTCAATGTGCTTGGTCCACCGAAACTGAAGAAAGCGATTTTCAAGTTTTGGTCCACGGCTTGTATTCTATGTCATGTAGCTGCTTCGCGACTTTGTCGCGGGAAGTCTGGGCGTCGTCAGGACTATTTTATGGGGTCTGCGTCAGGGCCCAGGGCGTGAAGACGAACGCGCGAACGCAATTGGAACAGTACATGTGGCGAAAGTACGAAGATTGTGGCTGTAATGGAGATCTTTGCTATGGCAAGGTTCAAGACCGAAACCCATGCCCTCCTTGACGAAATGGCGTGCACGAAGCGAATGGGCGTTGCCGGTTCCTGGCGATCGGACAATTGCTACTCCACAGTGTCTGGACTGAACCTGGACCTGGACCCTGAGCGCACCAACTTTGGAATTGCGCATGCACGAACAGCTTGTCTTGCATTGTTGTCATTGTTGATCAGCTGAAGGGAACCCTGCCAGTCTGCCCGCTTGCATGTGCTCACCTGCTTCGGTCAATTGGCGCAACCTGCAGGAGGGCCCTGTGGAGCTTATCGCTCAAAGTTTTTTGGAACGTTCTGGTCACGCGACGTCTGTCATTACTATGTCAATACAGTGGCTATCAAGACATGCACGTGACGATGCACTTGACGATGCATCCCAGGCGAACGAACTTCGTCACAATCCCTCATATTTATCGCAAGTGAACCTTACATCACTGTGATGAGTCGGTTGTGCAACATCGGATCATGATGCGACCGTTGCAATGAGCGAGTTTACCGTTCGAAAAGGAGGTCTAAATGACACAGAAGCTGACGTTCATTGGTCTATTGAAACATGCAAGTGTCGCCTTGCAGGTGATCCATAAAAGGGCCGACTACGTTGACTGAACACAATCTGCATAGTCATTGGTTCATGCTGCAACGAATTCCTCCAAGAAGTCGTCAATGTACTGGAAGTACCCAGGCTCTGCAACCGTGTCGTTGTGGGACCCCTTGGGGAGCTCTCGCCATACCTTTGGTGCTCTGCAGATCTTGTATAAGCGGGCCATGTGGGACGCTCTGTTGAAAGTGATCAGTGGAAAAGTTCTCGCTGGTGCATGCACTAATTTGAGATTACCAGGGGACTTACGGAACGATCTCGTCTTTCAGTCCGCTCAAGAAGAGGAACGGTATCGTGGTGATCGTCGGGAGCGTCTCTTCACTCGGCCATATCTGATGACAGAGCGGTGCAAGGAATCGAGCAGGAGGGAACGCACTGCATGGTATTAGATGTGTACAAACTCTGTTCGCATGGTTGATAACTTACGATGGAATTAGTTTCCTGATTGAGGTAAAGGTATTCTCCAAAACGACACCAGCGATGTCGTTCTGTTTCTTGTTTCGAGAAGCCAGGCCAATAGCTACAGCGCCTCCGATACTCTGTCCATAGATAACTATCCGTGTGCCTCGCAATTCTGATCGCTGACGAATGTAATCGAGGCCTGTTTGAGCATCGATCATGAGCCCCTTTTCGTTGGGATTGCCAGAGGATAAACCATAGCCGCGATACTGGAGCATAAGTACATTGCAACGGAGATCATTGACAAGAACCTTAGCGATAGGAAGTCGATAGCCAATGTTGCCAGCATTGCCGTGGAACATAAGAACGGTCACGTTACGGGCGTGTTGCTCGTTTGGTCGAAGGTAGAAAGCGCTAAGGGACTCGCCGTCAGGTGTGGGAATGAACAGCTCCTCGTAGTCCGTGAGGCCGAACTGCGAAGGCCGTGGAACGTTGGTCCGAGCATCAGGTGGAAATGCTCTGGGGTAAATAAGCTCACTGGTCACGTTAGTGGAGAGCCGCCACCGCCATAGAGTGAGACATACTTTTGCTTGAAGTATAGAAGACCACTACAAAGAGCCGCGATACCTGAAGAGGCGAGAAGAGGTACCCGTAGGTAGGACATGAACGTGTCCAGTGCCGTACCCATGTCGGTTATTTGATCCGGGGGATCGCCCAGTCGAAGTAGGTGCTGCACTTGTAATGGCTTGCAGGCGGAAGCCGAATTCGGAATCACGAAGGCTCACTTCTCCATGAGACAACGGTATTCGGAAGCTATCTTACGTTCACTGATGTTAATTCGCGCGGTCCCCCCTGAGACTGGAGGGTGATGGTGTCGTCTACGGTCAGCCCCACTTCGCAAGCGCGACGATACGCCAAGCCCAGGCTGTAGCTATTGCGCGTTTACCAGCACCTCCACGACCGCACCCTTACAGCTACCTCATCACCCACACCACATTTGCAGAATCTCAGGCCCTCAATTATACCTGTCCTCCTACCCACAACCAGCTCACGCCGCAGTCATGATGTCCACCGGGATGTTGGGAGAGGGTGAATAGCTTTGCCGCATCGCCCAAGCTTGATACTGACATGCTATCCGCAGATGGCATCCACGTCGACATGAACCACCTGAAGAAGGGAGAAGTCAAGTAAGAAATATCATAACGAGGTTAGGGAAACGATACTGACTCCCGCCGCAGCTTGGGTACCTCCATGTTTGTCGATTCCGCCCCCGCCATCGTGCCCTCTCTGACAGCATAACAGTATGGCGATCAACTTCAAGGATGGTGTTATATTAGCGGCAGACAGTAGAACGACCACCGGCGCCTACATCGCGAACCGAGTCACCGACAAGCTTACACAAGTCCACGACACAATCTGGTGCTGTAGATCTGGTTCGGCAGCAGACACACAGGCTGTCGCTGATATCGTACACTATCACCTCGGCATGTACGGCATCACCAACGATGAGCCGCCGACAACACAGACTGCAGCGGCCATCTTCCAGGAGCTCTGCTACTCGAACAAGGACTCCCTCTCGTAAGTAATGCGACGTCTCCGGATAGAATCTGACTGACAACTACTCAGGGCTGGTCTCATTATTGCTGGCTGGGACCACAAGCATGGTGGCCAGGTGTACTCCATCCCGCTCGGAGGTTCTTTGCACAAGCAAGCGTACGCGATCGGCGGTTCGGGGTCCACATACATCTACGGATATTGCGACGCAAACTGGAGGGAGCACATGACAGAAGAGGAGGGTATCAAGTTCGTCAAGGGTGCGCTGTCTGAGGCTATCAAGTGGGACGGCAGCTCTGGTGGTGTGATCCGTATGGTTGTCCTTACAGCTGCCGGCGCACAGCGACACCTGTACCTGCCAGACCAGAACTACGATGGTCCAGGCAGGCAGTAGGTGCTTGAAGATATATGGGGAGGAAACGTTCAAGACAAAAGACATAGATCTGCAGCTCTGAGCGAGGCATGACCATCACGATGAAACGAAGCCATGTACAAAACTGGCGACAATCAATTTCGAATCTCCGGAATGGTGACTGAGTACGGTGTACTTACCAAAACAATCTGTAGAACTATACGAACGGCACTCGGCATCAGTCGCGTTCTGACGTTGCTGTTGACATTTGCATGGTCTGGATGTCAACCCAATCATAGCCCAATCATTTGAGCATCTCTCACCCAACTAAATGTTCACGTGGGGCACCGAGCATTGCGAGACACGAGACACGACGTGATCAAGTAGATACAGGTCGGCCTAGTCGACGGTGAAGCTTGTAAGTGCCTATGAAGCTTGGCCAACGCGCCTCAGTCGCTCGTATTAAGGGTCCTGCTTTGGGCAGCCAGCACTGCGGCGGCGCCATATGACGAACACCGGCCGTGCGCTACTGACCGAAACACCACTTCTAACCCTCAGCGCACCACTGCTGCAAACCCACTCCCCCCTTCACCCTACTACAGACGCGTTGCCGTCCAATTCACTTTGGTTACGGCAGGAAGAGCAGGGCATGCCAGTCTTCGATTGTCCTTGAATCGTTGCGCTTCTTCGTCTGCGCCGGCTGGCTCTGCGACGATAAGAGCTTGTTCGCGCCGGCCCAACTCAACGCAGCACCGCCTCCCTCACCTGGTGCGCTCTCAACACACGCTCCTTTCGTAAGAAGCCGGTGCTGGCATCGCGCCTTCCTCTGCAGTCCCTGGACTCAGTCACCCCTGTACAAGTCAATCGGCCTGCGACCCGCGGTATGGGATCGATAGTAGTGAGCGACTTCGGTGGGAATCACTTTCACAAACCCATATTTGGAGGTAGCGGTGGACATCAGCAGACACAGGAATCTCCCTCTACACACTCTGGACGGTCCTCAGCGTCAGCGAACGCGCCGCCTCGACCCGTGGCCGACGTTCCAATGGCCGATGCGGGAGCCCCACCATCCAGCTCAACACCAGCCCAGCGTGCGCAGCAGCACAACCCCTCAGAAGCCAGCCCACACGCTTTCAACCAGCAGCCCGCACCTCCATCAAGCCCTCGCTTCCGTCCGCAGTCGCAGCAACCTACGCCCTCTGCCACACAACCTCGAACCGTGCCCTCGTCTGGCTCGACCCCCGCCCAAGGCTCACCAGCACCGCCTTTACGCTCGCCTGCCGAATCGAGCGCTGCGTCGCCGCGAAAGATCAAAGTCACCAGCTTGGCCCACATACAGAGATTTGCCATCGATGAGTCCAGCGCGTTTTCTCAGACGCGCTCACTGTCGAGGCGTCAACGGCGAGACCCTGCAGACGTTGGGCCCCAGTATGAGATCAGCGAGATGCCTGTTTCAGATATCATTGAGATGGTTGCGGGCCTGCTGACCAAGATCACCACGACGAACGATCGGCAGCACGACCACTTGCATCGCCAAATACCCCCTGCCGAAGGGGCTTCAGGGCTTAGCCAACAGACGACCAGTGTACTGGCTTTCCACGGCAAGAATGTCCCCAGCATATCAATCCTGAGCTACCTTAGCCGCATACACAAATACTGTCCCACCACTTACGAGGTTTTCCTCAGCTTACTAGTGTACTTCGACAGAATGACGGAGAGAGTGAACGCCGGTCCCATACTTAGCCTCCGTCAGGCCAACCAACAGTCACTGACGCGCTCAGAGGCAGCTGCGACTGCATCATCGGCAACAAGTGCTATGGAGCCGACACACTCAGCTGCTGCGCAGGCGGCAACACCACCGCCATCTGGATCTCTGGGCAGACCACAAGATCCCCCGGTCCAAGGCTCTCAGCCTCCATCCCCTCCTCAACAAGACTTAGAATCCGATGGATACAATCTCTCGCATTTCTTCGTGGTCGACAGTTTCAACATTCACCGACTTGTCATCGCCGGTGTCACTTGCGCCAGCAAGTTCTTCTCAGACGTATTCTATACCAACTCTAGATATGCGAAGGTAATTTCGTGTTCGATACTGCCGCAAAACACAGCTAACGCATCCTAGGTTGGTGGCCTCCCCTTAGTGGAGCTTAACCACTTGGAGCTGCAATTTCTCTTGCTCAACGACTTCCGCCTGGCAGTGCCTCTCGAGGAGATGGAAGCGTACGGAACTATGCTAGTCGAATTCTACGCACGAGAGGTGGCCGAGCAGCACGAGAGACAGAACGCAGGAAGGCAGTAATCCAGGCTGCGCATTCTGACCATGAACAACACGCTTGCGCGTTCGTCGTGCAAACGAATGGACAACTGCTATGTCACCCTGGACTTGCTACAGGCTGTTGGGCATGAGCGAACTGGAAGATCGATGCTATTTTCTCTGGACTCGACGGAGCGGATGACACATCGCTGCAGTCCCAATTACTGAATCCTGGCGTATGAGTCTTCTCTAAGACTCCGGTCTCTTTTGGCCATTCATTTTGAGCGAAACACGTCTTGTCGATATCCTGACCTGGACCTCCTTGCTCCTCAACACTGGACTTCGGTAGCAGTACGGGGGAACTGAAATCTGACGAGGTTACGAAGGCATTCCTCGATGAGAACGTTTGCTCTCGGTCATTTTTGCTTTCTCGAAGACCAATAGGGCGGCGTTTATAGAGGTGTTCAGGAGCGAGCATACTATCGCAACAATGGGTAATTTCATCTTGAATCCTTACTGCTTGCTGTCTGAGACCTGTGATGTATGCTTGCAAGTACACCAGGCACAATACTGACATAAACAACATCCTCCCAGCGCAGCGCCTATTCTACCAATCCGCCTTGCATAAATATCGGTAACGCGTTATAGAGGGCAGAAATAGACGCACGTCTACTGCCGCATCACGGAAGGCATTCGCGGCGTGTTCTCAGGCTCACGCCAGCTTGAAAAAGCGTTGGGAGACATTGTGCTTGCAGCCAGTCGCTCGTATTGTGGAAAAGACCGAACACAAGCTTTGAAGTCTCAGGATCTCTAGTCATTTGAAGTCGTTTCTACCAAGCATTTGTTACAAAAGCGCCGGTCACTGCGCCTTAGTATGGGCGAATCAAATCATCGCGGGGTACGTCACCGAGCTGGGGAAACCTGGGAAGCAACAACGAAGATCGGGCTCCCATTGTAGAACAAGGCATTTGACTCCACAGAACTGTTCCACGAAAAGACTTGCCTCCTTCCTGTTGCATGTACGAAAATGAAACAGGCTGTGTCCAGACTCTGTCTAGGATTGCGGGTAAAACGGGCGCGATCCCTTGACGTCATCTTGTGAATGATCAAATAAGATGCTAGGGCCACTGCATCTCGCGGTCTGTACCTGCGCAACCCTCTCAACCTCTCACAATGGATACCTGAACCCTGCATTCTCCCCCGCCGAACCACCTGCAGCCCGTACCTTATCGCTGGCGTAATGTCGACCAACTCAGCAGATGTACCGAAACGGAGACCTGTGCCCAAACAGCCTGCCGTCAAACGGAAGACTGGCGTTTCCAGGACCCTGCACCTCGCTTTCCTGGCCGTCACGGCATTCGCTACCCTGAGCTTCAGATGGCCCTACCGTTGGATACTTTCTGGTGCGCCAGAACTCATCTACGCCCTTCTCTTGGGTGAGGCCAAGGGCAACCGCGTATTGCCATTCGTTCCTCTCTGGACCATCTTCGCCACAGTCAACTTCGTGTACGCAGTATGCTCGACATCGTGGCTTCTCTTCTGGGTCTTCTGGGCCGCTTGTTGGCCTACTTTCATCATCGTCTGTCTGTTCATGTTCGACGCTCCTGCTGGACTTGCGAGACGTCTGTCACGGAAGACGTTTCTCCGAGACCTTCACTTCATCGATGACCAGGTTGCATTCTTCGACCTCCCGGCTTTGGAGATCGACACCGAAGTTAAGGGCTTGTTCGTCATCCGTGGCGTTACACTATCACTCTCTACTTTGACGCTGGTCGCGCATGGCATTGAGGCTGGCATCAAGCTCTCGGATGAGATTGAGCTTGGCATTCAGGTCGACAAGGTCACTGTGCCACTCTTCAGGCAGATCCTTGTCGACGATGTGTACGCCAACATCAAGGGAGGTGAATGGGAGGTCACTTTTGGAGATGTTCCATACGGCAAACCTGATCCTGCGGACGAGGACAGCGACGATAGCTTCATTGCCGCCGACACGGCCATCTTGAAAGCTGCTGCCGCAGCTCGGCCTGCGGAGATGCTTAGGAGCATGACAGCAGATGCTCCACCTACCGATTCAGAGGATACCAAATCCGCCTTTTCCTCGGTCAAGCAGCTGTCCCCAGACGAAGAGAAGGCGAAGGAGAAGTACCGACAGTACATCAAGCACATGCACGACACCAGCTCGATCCAGATTGCAAAGAAGCAGCTGATCGAAAAGTCGCACAAAGACGAGAACAACTTGGATCCCGATAAGATTGACGACCTCCGAGCAGCCATTTGCGCGCAGATCCACAGCGGTCCTTCGATCCCACACCCGCCTTCGAGATCAATCAGGGTCTCGACACTACGCAAGACATCGTATCCGAACGTCAAGAGATGGCTACATCGGTTCCCGTTCCTGTACCGTCTCATGTTGTTCCCCATCTGCTACTTTCACACGGTAAAGTTCAAGTCGGTGTCAGCTGCAGGGTCCGGCAAGTGGTTCGTAGCGCTGATGCGCAAGTACCTCTTCAAGCACTACTCGTCGCAAGACGGCGAGATCCGCAGACTCGAAGCCCGCATCTCCGACTTCTTCTCCGAAGCCAACTTCTGCGTGGAGCTCACCAAGGTGACGTCGGGCGCGTCGTTCCCGCTCAACACCAACTACGACATCAAGTGCAACTTTGAGATGTCGGACGTGATGGCATACCGCTCGCTCCCGGACGCGGTCGATCTGAAGCGCGTCGTTGAGCTCGGCGGACTAGACGCCAGCCTCAACGTCCCCATCTTCCTGTTCCCGCACCACGAACACATCTTCCCCTCGCTCCCCACGGACCTGGAGATTATGGACCTTGAGACGCAAATGTCAGAGGCAGGTAACACGGCCAAGGCGATGCAGGCGCAGAAGACGGTCAAGCAGCTCAAGAAGGACGAGGCGAACATGCACGTCAGCGCGCACGCTCACCTGCCTATGATTGTCAGCCAGGAGATGCTGAACTTCATCGCGGCGATTGTCAAGGCGACCAAGGTGATTGAGAGCGACAGAGGGTTCGAGGAGGCCAAGGTGCTGAGAGAGCTCAAGCGCGTCGGCGACAACGGGTCGGACACGGAGTCTGTCTCTTCGATGAACAGCGTTGCGTCGGACGTCACGGTCAGCGAGGACAAGAGCTTCAAGGCCTTCCTGAGGAAGGTGGACTCTGGGTTCAAGGACGCAAGCCAGAAGACGGCGGCCGGGATGCGCAAGGCGGGCGTCAGCACGGTGAGCGCAATGGCCAACGATCGCTGGATTGCGAGCGTGGTGGGCAAGATGACGAGGAAGCTGGAAAAGGCACAGGGAGAGGTGGGATACTCGGGTGCCGTGCCCATCTCTCTGGCCGAGTACCGCGTTAGGCACGAGGACGACGCGAAGATTCTGCCGTAAGGGATACAAAGGCCTGATGGCGCAGAGTGCATGATACCCCGGGGCTGGTCGTGTGGCATTACCAGCATCCTTGATGACGATGATGACGATGAAGACGCGGATGTGTACTTTTTGCCAATCTAATTGCTCTATCGTTAGAGGCTCTACCCATCTAGTGTGTATACGCCGAGGTGGTGCAATGCAAGTATACACTGAGAAGGTGCAATGCAAGTATGCAAGTATACGCCAAAGAGGCGCAATGCAAGTATACGCCGAGGAGATGCAACGCAACAGGACCGTTCGCCCCCTACCTCCTCATCCGACTCCCGTCCAGCTGCTCCAGCCTCGCATCGACCATTCTCGGATCCTCGCTCAACAGACGGCCAACCCGCTCCTCAAACGCCTTCACCATGGCGTCGGCAACCTTGGGCGCGACGCCCGCACTCAGCGCGGCATACATGGGGCTACTGAACCGAAACTCCAGCGCAAGCTCGATCCGCGTCCGCCGCTGCCCCAGCTCCTCGACCGTCCACGTATTCCTTAGGTGGGTCAGCAACCCGCGACTCCCCTCCTTGTCCACATGCCCCCCCTCGCCCTCGAGATGGTGCCGGATCGCATCCCGCGACAGCGCCGTCTGCGTGTCCCCCGCGACGCTCTCGACGACGCGGCCCGGGACGCAGTACACGCGGCTCGTGAAGCTCTCGGTCAGGGCGCCGAAGCCCGAGGTCAGGACGCCGATGCTGGGCCAGCGGCGACCCGTGTGCGCGTCGGGCGCGGACCAGTGCGTAATGTGCGAGTGCGTGCAGTACGGCAGGAAGGCGGCGTAGCTCGGGACGTCGGCGATGATGGAGTAGATGGGCGCGCTGGGGTAGGGCAGGGTGCGCGAGGCGCGCAGCGTCTGCAGCGGCGCGGCGCTGCTGGGCGGGATGAGGTGCGACAGAAAGGTGCGCGGCTGCGGGGGCCGGGGGAGGCGCGGCGAGGGCCGGAGCAGCAGCGCGAGGGTGGCCATTGGGTATTGCGGGGGGTTGAGCCTGGGAATGGTCGGGCTCGAGACTGGGAAATGTCGGGCTTGAAACTGGGAAGGGTCGGGCTTGAGGCTGGGAAATGTCGGGCTTGAGGCTGGGAAATGTCGGGCTTGAGACTGGGAAAAGTCGGGCTTGAGACTGGCAAAAGTCGGGCTTGAGACTGGGGGTTACTGCTGCTTCATGGTGTTGTCCAGAGCATCGTCATTGACTATTGACGCGGCGCAGGGACCAGATCCATGCCGGTACATGTCAGGGCCGTTAGTGCGGCTCTGGCGTCAAGTCGTCGTTATCGATAGCCGGTCAAGTCGTCGTTATCGATAGCCGGCCGAGTCGAGTTATCGATAGACTTTTCGCCCGTCTGATATTCTCCCCACCACCCCCGCGTTCCGTACTCGCGACACAGCCAGCCACCATGGCCGACAGCGCGGGACCCGGCGCCGACGAGCGCCTCCAGCCCGACGAGCGTCTCCAGCCCGACGAGCGTCTCCAGGCCGACGAGCGCCTCCAGGTCGACGAGCGCCTCCAGGCCGACGAGCGCCTCCAGGCCGACGAGCGCCTCCAGGCCGACGAGCGCCTCCAGCCCGACGAGCGCTTCCAGACCGACGACAGCAGGAGTACCAAGCAGCAGCCCAAGCAGCAGCTGTCCAAGGCCATGGAGCACATGCGCTTCGCCGTCACCGTCGACCCCGTCCCCCAGGCCGCCGCGACGGCCGCGACCTCGCCGCCGCCCGCGACCGGGATGGAAAACGACGCATACGGCGTCCCCGCGGCCATCCAGCCGCTCCGCAACCCCGCGAGCCGCTCGCACGACCCGTCCAACAACCAGAAGCGGTCCGACCCCTTCTCGTTTGGCAGCCGCGTGCTCGAGGAGGGCGACAACATCTTCGAGTTCAACGCGTGGGACAATGTCAGCGTCGACGACACGTACAAGGCCTTTAGCGAGACGCAGTTCGACGCCCAGCGCGCCGCCCCCGTGTCCGACTTTGACAAGAAGCGCTTCAACGACGCGCCCGAGAAGTGGTGGAACACCTTCTACAAGAACAACAAGACCAACTTCTTCAAGAACCGCAAGTGGCTGGCGCAGGAGTTCCCCGTCCTGAGCGAGATAGGCGCGGCGCACGCGCCCGCCGCCACCGTGCTCGAGGTCGGCGCTGGCGCCGGCAACTCTGCCTTTCCCATCCTGCAGACGAGCAGCAACCCGCGGCTGAAGATCCACGCCTGCGACTTTAGCAAAAAGGCCGTCGAGCTGATCCGCGGGCACGAGCTGTACAACGCGGACCTGATCCAGGCCGACGTGTGGGACGTGGCCGCCAGCCCGGACAGCGACAACGGCGGGCTCCCGCCGGGCCTCGCCGAGGGCTCCGTCGACGTCGTGCTCATGATCTTCGTCTTCTCCGCGCTCAGCCCGCGCCAGTGGGACCAGGCCGTGCGCAACGTCTGGCGCGTGCTCAAGCCCGGCGGCCAGGTGCTGTTCCGCGACTACGGCCGCGGCGATCTCGCCCAGGTGCGCTTCAAAAAGGGCCGCTACATGGAGGAGAACTTTTACGTGCGCGGCGACGGCACGCGCGTCTACTTCTTCGAGCAGGACGAGCTCGAGTCCATCTGGCGCGGCACTCGGCGCGCCACAGGCGACGCGGACGCAGCTGCAGACACGCACCCCCGGCCGGCCTTTGACGTCGCGCACTTTGGCGTCGACAGACGCATGCTGGTCAACCGCCAGCGGCGCCTGAAAATGTACAGGTGCTGGATGCAGGCCGTCTTCAAAAAGCCCAGCACAGACAACGGCCTGCAAAGCAGCGTGCCAACGAGCACGCTACGGCAGGACAAGGAGGGCGGCGGCCACGGCGAGGACGGTGCGTGACGGGACGGTGCGTGACGGGACGGTGCGTGACGGACGGTGCGTGATGGGACGATGCGTGATGGCGATCCAGACGCTGCTTTAGACTAGACCTTTGTATATACCCCAATTCCATTCACATCCGCACCTCTACCGCCTACACACGCCCACTCTCTGCGCGCTCCCGATGGCCGCAGCCAAACGCCGCGCTATGCTGTCACACACGTCCAATCGCCCTCATCACGCCTCGCAATGCGCCCCAACACCCGCCCCGCCATGCTCCCACGAACCCACCCACTACGTCAGCTTCGCGCCTGCAACAACCCTCTTCTCCCTCTCCATCTGCGCAGCATCCACGACAATCAGCCCCTTGCCCTTCATCTTCCCGCTCTCGGCCAGCCGCACCAACTCCCCAATCTGCTCGAGCCCGTGGAACGCATTGCCGGCGACCTCGATGCCGTGCTCGGCCACGACCTGGAGCATGTCGCGCGCTTCCTGCGGGCTCGCCGTCATCGAGCCGCGGACGCGTACGTCGCGGAAAATGAGCTCGCGGAAGGGGATCGCGACCGTGTCGGGCTGTCCGATCTGGATGACGGTGCCGTGCATCCGTGTGATGGCGCAGGCGGTGCTGATGGCATCCTCGGCGTCGCTGATGTTGAGCGTGCACGGCACGCCCTGCCCGTTGGTGACGGCGCGGACCTGCTTTACGACTGCGGCGAGCCCGTCGCGCGCGTCAATGACAACGTCTGCGCCGCTTGCGCGCGTCAGCTCCAGGCCCGCCGCCCGCGCGTCGATGCCAATCACCCTCAGCCCCAGCGCTTTCGCAAACTGCACCCCCAGGTGGCCCAGCCCGCCGCCGCTGCCGGTCAGAGCGAGCCAGCCGCCCTTTTCGACGCCCGCGAGCACCACGCCGCGGTAGATGGTGATGCCGGCGCAGGCCAGCGGCGCCGCGGTCGCCAACGAGACCCTGTCCGGCAGCACCGCGGTTGTCCTCGAGTCGATGCGTGCGTACTCTGCGAAATGGCCGTGCGTTGAAACGCCCAGGCCCTCGCTGCGTGGACAGTACTGGCTGTAGTTCTCCGGCCCGAGACAGTCGGGACACGTGCCGCACGGATGGTAGACGATTCCTGCCATGACCCTGTCGCCCTCGTTGAAGCCGGCTGCGGCGCTGCCGACTGCCACCACGGTGCCGGCTCCCTCGTGCGAGCCTGTGCAGGGCAGCTTGGTGCCCATGAGACCTTCCGCCACCATGAAGTCTGTGTGGCATAGCGATGCGACGGCGACTTTGATGAGGAGGTCGTGCGGTCCGAGGTCCGAGGGCACGGGCACTTTGTGGACTTTGTAGGGCTTGTTGTATTCGACGACCTGCGCTGCGAGCATTTCCTTTGGTATGCTGGACGACATGGTGCGCGGGGGTTCGCGATTGGGATCAGTTGCTGAAGGCCTGGATCGTGGCTTCGAGAGTGCAATCATTCAAAGCCCCCGTCCAGACTTGACCAACCTTTTAAGAGCTACCTCGAAGATGCTCCTCGGCTGTATGACGGTGTTCGGCTGGGAGTCGTTGATGCTCTTAACTCCGTAGTGCGGGGATAGGGAGGGGAAAATATCTCCGCACGTACCGCCGACGGCTCGGCCAAGTATAAAGCTGGAGAGCGAGCTACAGCATAGGCCGTCTACTGCGTCCATGAAGACGCCGTAGCTCATGTCCCAAAGCTAACGTTGGGCACTGGCTCCGGAAGACTCGACTGTGGACCACCTCCCTGCATCTCTTTCAATGCCTCTGCCAACACAACAGCTTGACGCGTGCCGATCCGTGAGCCAACAAAGTATAACATGTCAATCGCGTACTGCCGCATCTCGCTACTCGACAGATCCGACGAGCCGGCGGCATACAGCGGCCATACAAGATGGTATATGCAAGTCGGCCTGCCCGGATCGAGAAAGGTCCCAGGTGGGTGGATCCGGTAGCGAATATCCTCCGCAAGTACCGCTGAATGCAGTCCTGCAAAAGAGCCACTGGGTTTGCGCGGCGGCCAGTCGGGGAAGGCGATCATGCCTGTCAATTGCGGTACGGACGCACAGATGGCTGCTGTTGTAGTTCGCATGACCTTTTCGGCAGCAGCCATCTGCGGCGCGACTTCTTCCTTCGTGAACAGAGGAGGATTACATGCGCGTCCTTTCCAGATGTGTTTGCGCATAATTCGGTAGAGATGCATTCGACAGAGTCTGAGGTTGTTCCACATTTGGGCGATCCACGAGTCCGTGTAGATGTGGTAAAACGATCCGAATCCATACTCGGACGGCTTTTCGAGACAAACAGTGTCATGCTGCCATATCTTCGGCATGAGTGCCTTGATGCTGTCGAGCTCGCGATCGAGGTTGACAGCTTTCGAGACCATGGTGACTGAGTCGCTGTCTTTGTCTCGGTTCAAGTCGATCGAGTCTTGCATGAAAAGTGTCATTCTGGTCGTCCATTGCCGGCCTTGGACAGCGTAGTCTGATGTTGGATTGCAGTACTCGTACAATTCGCGCATGCCATCCGGAATTGCTTCGCCAGATTCGAGGCTGCATAGCATCGTGATGCCGTAGAACTGATGGAACATCCGTCGTGCGGTGTTTGATTCGAATTGCTCTTTGCCTCGGAGTCTCACAAGGGCGCTCGCTCCTTGCACGTGTTTGAACCACGCCCGTACAGACCGCTTGTCCTGAAACGACAAGCTCTCGTACAGACCTAGCATGATGACAGACATGAGTGTGCTGTCCTTCACCGCGGTCTCCTTGACTTGCAAGGCATTGTTTGTCATACGCAAAGCGGAGCCGTAAGTGGCATGCGCCTTTGCCATGATCACGGGGTTTTTTGTTGAATTGGCCAAACCGGCTAAGCAGGCGGCGTTTGCACTGCTCCGCAACATCTCCTCGCACCCAGGCTGGCTCATGGCTTCAAGCAGCCACTCGTACTGTCCTCTCGGTACAAGTCCAGGCTGCGAAACGTGATTTGAGATGAAGAATCCCATGGCTTGGTCTTCGATCGATGGCGTCATCTCTCTAGTCATGCTTTCTGGCGTTGGGTATCTCGATATCGACGATGCGGGGGATATAGTGAGTTGGACATCCGTATTTGTCCAAATATCTGGAGAGGCCTGAGAGCTGCTTGCGCACGAAGGCCGTTCCGGGCTGGGTATCGAGTTCTGCTGGGCCAACGCTTCGTATCGCTTCTCCGCCTTCTTCGCCACCACAGCCGTCTCGTCTTTGAACATCATCGACAAAGCATCGCGATAGCCATAGCAGTCTTTGCTAGAACGGATGCATTGTGAGCAAGAAGGCCGCGTTTGATCGCACTGCACCATCATCAGCCGCATGGATTGGGAAGGTGGTGCTCATCGAACGCACCTTGACCTTCCTCTGTCTACAGTTTTTACATCCTTTCGACGGTCTTCCAACGTTGGGCATGGTATTCGATCGGCCACATTCGACCTGACCAACTCATGAAGCGTGTATTCAGTGGGGCGGGGGCCTAGCTTGGCTCAACAAACGCAGCAGGTGTCGCGTCATGTATAGTTCCCCTTCGCCTCAAAGTAACTGCATCGTTGAGTGTTGTAGCCCGCACGCAGCAACCCGAAAATGCATCTGATGTGAATCCTGCCGGCGGGATACTTTCAGCAGTGGCCACTGGTCGATGGGTGCCCTGCGAGATGGTTTGATCAAAGGCTGACTAACACGGGACGAAGCGAGCATGCACATGCTCGTCATCTGGTGCTCCACCAAACAACGTCACATCTTTGTGGACTTTCGTTTCAATTCAAGCCAAAGCATTCTTGTCAGTAATAGGGTATGTAGAAGGACAAGCGAGTGTATCGAACCCGTCGTACAAACACGACACCAGCATTACATGTACTTCACCAGCCAGTTTTGATCAATCCTTGCAGATGCGCTCCGGGCCATTGTCTTTCCAGGCTCGACCTCACGTGGCTCCGTCTCACTCATCCCGTAATCCGACAAATAGCATTCCTACTGGGCAATGCCTTTGGTGGTGAGCCCGTTCACCGCATCCCCGTTCACGTACCCGTTAGAGTACCCACTCGTCGCAGGCCCGTTCGAGTGCCCACTGACTCCATTATTAATGCCATTCACAACACTCTCATCGTCGTAGTGCAGCGTCAGGCTGGTTGGAATGGGGCTCTCATTCGAGCTGGCGTCCAAATAGTGCCTCATGGTGATGCCAGCAAGCTTGTGCTCTGTAATTGTAAAGCGACCCTGCTTTCCTGGCGCGCGGCGTACATTTTTCAATTTGAAGACTTCGCGCAGGGTTGCTGCAAGAGAAGGACCGACCAATCGAGCCCCGAAGCAGAAATGGAGCCCATGCCCAAGAAGAGTATACTCCTTGAATGAACGATGAGGATCGAGGACCTCCGGATTGGGGAAAGCGATCGGATCCATGGCCGCCTTGGAAGTAGCAATCAAGACTGTGTGGCCCTTCTTGATTGAGACAGGCCCGCGAACGCCGTCCGTAACGATGACATCTCTTGTTGCGACACGAGGAAGCCCAGGAACGACACTTACATGCCGCATACCTTCGTACACGAAGCCCTGCAGCTCGCGGTCTGATGCTTCGGGATCCATGTGGGCAAGCTGGATGATACGCTCCTTGTACTTCTCGTAGCCGGGGCTGAGATACAAATCAATCAGTAGCGATGCCTGTTGAGTAATGTTGCCGGCAACAGGCGCACCCATACCGATGCAGTCGCCAACCTGATCACCGATGGGCAGCTTTGTGCCTGCAAGTGCTTTGTAAATTCGATCAGCATGGGGTCCGACCTCGAAGGCACTTCCTTTTGCCATCCAGTCAACGATGCCCTCAAGTCTACCAGTCTGGGTCTTGAGGTGAGTCTCGAAGATCTGTCGCAGGGGCGCAGCCGCCTTCATCGCACCCTCCTTTAGCTTCCACTCGCTAATTGGCATGATGTTGAAGCTCTGGTACATGAATAGCACGAGGTAAGCTTTAAAAGCTTCGTGCAGAGATAGCAGACCCTTGGGTTGCTCCTGTGTCTTCAGTGGCAGCGCGAAGCGGTCTGCAAGCCAGAGAATAGGCACAATGTTGGTCACGTCTCGGACAATGTCGATGGAACGCCTGCCCCTAGGGCCTTTGACAGAGTTATTGAGGATTTGCTTGCGGACATTCGTGCTGAAGAAGTCCGTGATGTTCTCCTCGAAGCCTTCCTCGAAGAAGATCTTGTGAAGGATTTTTGAACGATCGTCGTGCTTCTCGGCCTCGTCCCAGCCGATCATGAAGTCATGCCCGGCCGTGCAATTACGGATCGCAGCCTGGTACATGACTATGAAGCTGTCACGATCCTCGAACACCGCCTTGCAGCCTTCCTGTGTCTGAACACTGATGATCTCGTGGTCATTAGGGGGTCGTTTGAGATCGTACTTCTCCAGGGCCTTGTTGCCTTGCACAATACCCTTTGCTGCCTCTGGGGTGTAGAATGGCAAGAGCACGTACGTGGATGTACCGGTGAAGGCACCAGGGATACCCTGGAAAAGCAGTCTTGGAAGGACTCCGCCGTAAGCTCCAGGTGTCTTTTGCTGCAACAGAGCTGCGCCCCAATTTGTCAAGGTGTTGGCATTAAAGTCGTAACTGAGAAAGCGGTCGCCACGCACCAGAGCAACAGCATCATCTAAGATGCCTCGTCCAGTGGTCTGTCCAGGACAGACACCGCTACCTGGCATAGGGAGCTTGGTGCATTCGGCCATCAATCCCGGATACAGCTCCATGTTTTCGATGTGGCCGTACAGGAGCTCGGCGGCGCGTGCTGTGTCCTCGTCGTCATTCCAGTCTTCGAAGGTCTCGTACGGCTTCAAGTTCAAGTATCTGCGGAACTCATTGAGCGTGCAGACATTGAACAAGTCGCGCGCCTGTAGCTGACCCATGATATCCACAACCTTGAGGCTTGCCGGAGTGCCGTGCGCGCCGAATGCATGCGCCGGCTCCTCGATACAGCTCTTGATCAGTTCGGCCAATTCACTGTCCTTGAAGCGCCCGTCTGATCCTCTTTGTAAACTTCCGAAGGTCCAGTCTTTGGCCTCCACGCCAGGTGCAAAAAGCTTGTGGCCGTACACCTTCATAACTTGGTGGAACATTTCGACAGTCACATCCTCGATACTGCCCAGGTGCGGGTGGACTGAGCGCACGATGTCCTCCATCCATTTGTCATCGGCAGCACTGAGCGCAGCATGCCAATGATAGAGAACAGCAAATTCAACAGACACTGCACTACCAGTGCCTCGCTCAACACGAGTGCCACCTTGTTTGATCTCCTTGCCAAGGTCGAGAGACCACTCAGAGTTCGCCCGAGGGGTGTTCAAGATTGCAGCAACATAATCTTTCAAGACGACCGATGCGAAAAAGCCAACGTTGATGTTGCGCGTAATCTGGAAGATGTCTTCGTCTTGCCTGGACTCCCTGTAAGCACTTGATGCATCTTGTATAATTACAGTGTTCATACCATTTCTGCTCCTTCTCGTTGAGCTGATTCCAAGGCTTGTACTTGCCATTTTCATTGACAGAGTATAGCGATTCCGCAACGTGGTTGTGGTTCCTCGAGAACATCAAGAGAACTGCAACAACGCCAGGAGGCATCATCATGATACGCTCTGATGCAATCGAATCTGGAAAGATCAAACCGTTTTGATATGTTCGGACGCGCTTGTGTTCCTTCTCTGTGTTTCCGTATAGCGTGCTGAGATCGACATAACTCGAGGTCTCGTTGATCCATGGGTTCTCTCTTGACGTCTGGAAGCATTCGTGGATGACGACTGTAGCGAACGAAAAGAAGAGCCGATTCAAGCCAGATGGATGCGGACGAAATGGCCCGTCGCGCTTCAGCAAAGCTTCGTAGACATCCTCAACGTCGGGGAGGTTTGGCCCTTTGCGCCACGTTAGCCTCTCATCATCTCGGTCATAGATAAGTCGCATACCTTTTGGCTTGGATGGTGGTACATTACGCGCATAAGGCGATCCAGCCTTGCCTATCTCCGGATTCCAAGGATTGTTCCCACTCCCATCAGGTTGACGATATCGCGCCGTAGGCCCGGCCATAGTGGGCGTAGGGTGTGGAAGATCGTGCCACAGCATAGAGATGAAGCCATCCGAGACTTTCGCGCTCAACCCACTGTTCAGCGGCAGACCCTGGAGCATTTCGACGCCATGCTCGAGCATACAGTCCTTGTCGTCAATGGGGTCGCCCGATGCTAGGGTTGTGATGGCTTCGATAGCAAATTTGGCATTCTTAAACCCAAGGTTTCTGAGATCGTCGCCGATGGTTGTCTTCTGGGGGTTCGTCATACCACTTGAGGCCTCAGAGGATCTTCCATCACTGGCTTTGGTGGGCTTCCTCCTGATGGTACCCAGTAACGATCGTAATTGATTAGGCATTGTGAAAGCTGCACGCGGTAAGGCGTGCAAGTGCGAATAATAGGTAGGTATCGAAACAAGGGGAAGAATAACGTGTAGGTGGAGGAGAGGCAATGGCTCGAGCGAAATTATGGGGTCAAGAGCAGCTTTGAGGGACAGCCACCAAATGTCTTCCCCCAGCAGGAGCAACGCACAGACTCGATCAATCAGCTTCTCATGGTGATCACTAGCAAGAACGACGCAGTGCGATGATCGGCGAACGTGTCACAGGGTCTCACCCAGTGAATGCACATGGCATTGTGCCCGCGTCAGAAACGTGAGGACGCTCGTGATGCTCCAGAGAGAGTCCAAGGTCTGACCGCTGCATTGGAGCAACTCTCATTGGGTGGTTGGCTGAGTGTAGTACAGCGTCGTATATTAGTTCGCTAGCAGAAGCTGCATTTGGATTTGGAGTCATGCAAGGACTACCTCTATGCGCTTTGAAGACTCCACTCTCGAGAAGCGAGGATCACACAGCGATCGCCTGGGGGCGCACAGCATGCATTGCGTGGAGCGAATGAGGATTTACATTGTCATTGTTGAGTGAACGCACTTGAGGAGAATAGACCGTCCATTGGAATTGGCCAGGACGTAATCACCGTAGAGCCAACTTGGTGGGTCAAGAGATCCATGGCATAGCAGGTGGCGGTCGAGGGCGCTGGTCTTTGCGGACGGCACGTCCGACAGCTTTAGGGTTGGCAATTTCTGAACGCGTCGCAAGTCCAATAAAGCGAATGGGCAGTTTAAACACCTACGACACACCAAGTGCATTGTGAAGCTCGTGTGTAGCGTGCGGACACCGTCTTCCTCGTGCTGTAGCCTGTTGCACTGCGCATGCAGCTGTTACGAACAGGACGGGTTGTCCGCTCACAGCCAGGATCTGCAACTCGACGCGATCGGCTTGTACCGACACGGTCCGGTAGTAGTAGTGAGAGCTTGGGCGGAAGGAAGGGGATCGATGCGGGCCGTCACAGATGTGGGGCGCCAACTAACTTACCCAGTTAGGAAGTGGCCACGAGTTGCTTCCCTCAACATCGCCGACTTCGACGATTCACCATGACCCGCATCATCGATCTGCAGCACTGCAGCTGCTTTCAATCTCGCGCCAATCGCTGCATGGGCGATTATGACGATGCGCATCGTACTCCTCTCCAGTAACATCGTGAGCGTTGGATGCAGCAGTTCTCCACTTTCAATGTCTCCTCGGTGTGGCTAGCAGGATATCCCATTGACACAAGTGGCTGCTGTTGAGTAAGCTTGAACCACTGCTCTTCGAATCAATGCATTGCAGATGGACGGCCCGGCTGCTGTGTCAGCCTGTGTGACACTTGACATGTGAAATCCCACGAGACTGAAGGTTCGACTGGTTCGGATGTTTTTGTATGTAACCGAGAATGAACGATCAGCACATGCATGGTGGCTGGCAAAAGCATGGCGACACTGAGTTAGCAGTGTACTAACTCTGAATGGCAACCATAGTCATTGCACCCGGACGTGAGTCCATTTTGCAACAGTTTGCCACAAAGCACCTAAAGCAGTTGCTGCGTGGGTCATTGTTCCCTTGCTGTCAATTGCAACTATCAGTTTCCCTTTTTGACGTTCTTGCCAAACTCGAAGATGACGCACCAAGACCAAGGACAACAACCCCAAGATCCGCATTCGCGCGCTGTCTCGCTCTCGCAGCACGACAGAATGGAGTCTGCCGCCCCTATACAACGCCGAGCCCATGTTCGCAAGCAGTTCGTTCTTTGCTTTGACGGCACCGGCAACAAGTTCAGCGGCACAGACGCGGACTCCAATATCCTCAAGATATACCGCATGCTTGATCGCAATGGCGATGGTCAGTTTCATTACTATCAACCCGGCATTGGGACGTACGTGGCGCAGGCCGACAGTTCCATCTCCAGAGCAGGACCTATCGATAAATTCAAGAATTGGTACGCAAAAGCGAAGGACAGCGCGATCGGCACCTCTTTTGACCTGCATGTGATGGCCGGGTATCGAGTAAGTCAGATCCCTTGATAGTCTCGGCCTGCAGAGACTTTATCTCTGAAGATGTTTATGACACTCTTTTAATGCGCTGGTAGCATGTGTAAATCCGAAGCACAGGCTGATCAGTCATCTAGTTTCTGATGAGGTACTACACTCCTGGAGACGACATCTTCTTCTTTGGCTTCTCCCGAGGCGCATACACTGCTCGCTTCCTAGCAGAGATGCTTGACCACGTCGGCCTTCTCTCGGTAAGACTTGATCACTCCGCGCTCGATTGCAATTACTGAACTGCTCAGGCTGGAAACGAAGAGATGTGCCATTTTGCCTGGACGTAAGTCGAATTTGCCTTCTTAATTCCATCAAGCTGACAAACACCGCAGAACGTTTCAAAAGTGGCAGTGTCGCGTTGAAGGCAACGAAGAAGAGAAGAGTGAAAAGAAAAAGCTTCTCGAATTCATGTGTGCTTTCAGAGAGACCTTCAGCCGTCCGGTTCGCGCTATTCGCTTTCTTGGCCTCTTCGATACTGTCAACAGCGTACCGCACTTCGAGAACGCGTGGATGCAGCGCAGTAGATTCCCATACACTGCGAGAAGCTCAGCACGCGTCATCCGACATGCTGCGTCGATCGATGAGCGGCGTGCGAAGTTCCGTCAGGACCTTATCTCTCAGGCAAAGCCGGACCACGCAATGCTCTACCAAAGTCGCCATCGAAAGCATAATACGATGTACTTCAGCACCAGCAATGACACGAATGATGATGACGACGAGGCATGCAAGAGAGACGCTGAACAGTCACGAGGGCGACGAGACACCCTTGCTCCGCCTGTTAACTTCAGGAACCCACACGAGACTGCAGGTGTGCGCAGCCTGAGCCCAAACTTCTCGTGTAGTGGCGTTTCGATACAATCGACCGATCCTGTTCATACGCGAGACTCCTGGGATGAGGATGAAGGTGAGCAGGATATCCAGGAAGTCTGGTTCCCAGGTTGTCATGCAGTAGGTCCCCCTCATACACCACTTTTGCACCGATTGATAGGTTTAGGACATTGGCGGAGGCTGGCCCCTCGACTCTGGGCATGACGCCGCTCTGAGCCACGTACCGCTTGTATGGATGGTCCGTGAGGCACAGAAGGCCGGATTGGAATTCGACGAGGAGAAGCTAGAAGCTCTCAACTGCTGCCACGAAGACAGAACATTTGGCGGTCTCCGACGCCAAACTATTGCGCCTACAGTTGCCATCGAACCAGGCTCGCCAGCCTCCAACAATGGTCATATCAACGGCAAAAATGCTGCGCATGACTTAGTCAATGGCTTCATCGACGAGAAGAATACCCTGGAACATCATCATACTCACCCCGACACAACATTCCACAGGAAGCTACACTTTGCTGCAACACAAGGCCGCATGCACGATGTGCTGCAGTTCAAAAACGGTGCTGGGACTATGGGCGTTGTCTCCTGGAATATCATAGAGTACTTACCCTTCCGTCGAATGGACCTCTGTGAGGACGGATCCTGGAAAGCTATCAGATGGCCACTACCTAAAGGCGAGACTCGTGACATTCCAGCCAACGCTATGATACATTCTAGCGTTATCAAGCGCATGCTGGCGGACCCGAAGTACAGACCTGGCAACTTGATCGTTGGCGGTGGCGGCCGAGGTGTTCGTAGAGCTCCTGAGGATATGGGCATCGGCAAGTGGGTGTGTGCTGGTGAGGAGGGCCATCCTGTTGGTGAGTGTTTTGTCAGAAAGGAGAAGCCGGTCAAGAGGGGTACGGAGAAAAGCTCGCATTCTAATGTGATGCCGAGTGGACCCCAGGGCAATTACTTCTCTGGTAGGACGGTCTGAGCACTGGCCAGATTTGAGAATGGGTCGGTCGTCTTGATTCCTAAATCCTTCACCTGCTCTTTTATGATAAAAAGAAAACTATTCCCTTCCTAGACCATCGTAAACAGGCACAAATTTTATCATCTGTCCCAGCTGTATCGGTTTCTGTGGCATGAAAGCAAAATCAACGAAGAGCAGCCCATGTGCTTTCTGCACACGGTTTACGGCCGGATTCGGGCACCGATTCAGACTAACAATCCAATCTCCCTTTTGCATAGCTGCTGGACCAATGCCAAAACACGTTTCTTCTTGTCTTGATTAACTTCCGCTCCTCCGGTATTTTTGCAGTGACTGAGCGGATTTGACGATCATGCTCTCTCTTATCTTTCTGAGTGATACAATTACAGATACCATGAGCCCATATGCACCAAGGCCTGCGAGCACACCGGATATGGCGCAACGCTAAGTCTAGGGCTGAAGGTAGCTATAAGGTCGTTCCTATAAACAGGCAGATTAGGGCAGTTTAGTAGTGCAGACGAGATATAGGGCCAGAAGGAGGTAGTATAACCTAGCCACAATAAACAGGAGTAAGGATGACGGACAGAAAGGCAAAGGGGGACATTATACTAATATAGAGTAGTACAGCTACTTCTACCAGAACTATAGCATATATAAAGAAGGGGAGCTTTAGAGCTATTATGTAGTGGAGAAGCCCTAAAATAGGTGTGAGGGCTTTTATCCAGCACAGCACATTTTTCAGGCAGGCCCTGCTGGGAATGTGCCTTGGCCACTTCTGGCCTGAGATGAGATGGCAATAAGTACTGTTCTTGGCACATGCTCACTACCTAAGTGAGTATTGATACCTTTTGGTTTTCGTGGCTAGGTAGATCGGAGCCAGATCCTGACAGATAACTCGCTTATGGAACATACTATTGTATATAGTTGTTTGTAATGTTGCCTTTGATTCTACTCCTATACACATGTACCGTTTCTTATGCTGGCTTAACAAGCTTCCGATTCTTAAATCTTACTTTAAATTCTACTGGTCTGACAAACCAGCCATTGCGAAAACGGGGTTCGCGTGACCCTTCATCTAACTCTATCTAGAATGTTTGTTAGTCACCAGTATAACCATTTACGAGATGATTATTACCTCAAATCTTCGCAGAACTGCTGGGATGAGTTTGTAGACTTCCATCATACCAATGTGTTTACCGAGACAGACCCGTGGCCCTTTGCCAAAGCTCATGATACAGTAGTCCATTTCTTTGATCCTAGCAATTTCCAACTCTTTGTTTTGAGAAGGGTCCACGAGCCAGCGCTCTGGTACATACTCTTCGAGATCAGCACCGAAAATCTCTTGGCGACGATGGATAACCCATGCATTGCATCCTACAATTGTGCCGCCCTTGATGAATTCGCCGTTGATATTGACTCCTTCTGGCGGAACAACCCTTTCAAATGGCAGCCCTGGAGCAGGGTGGAGACGGAATGCCTCTTTGATGCAGGCGTCAAGGTACGGAAGACCCTGGCTTTCCGCCCATGTAAGCGCGCCTGTATCGTTATCTTTGAAGTGACCATCTAACGCTTTTTGATCAAGCTCCTCATAAACCTTCTTCAGGCATCTGGGGTTTCTCATGAGTGAGGCGAAGACTCCACTTATGGATACAGCTGCTGGTTCGGAACCTGCGAATGCCATAGAAACACACATGGTGACCACAAGCTGGTCGTTGAAGAAATCTGGTCTGTCGTGTTTTGCCTGGATGAACTTGGAGAGGAAGTCTTGTGGCATGTCCGTCTTTTCTCGTTGCCAAGCAAGATTTTCTTTAGAGAAGACCTCCCCAGAAGGATGTCGTTCGGCAAGACGAGCTTTTGCAAAGCGTGAGACAGGATAAGAGGAGTCTATTAGCCCGTACCTAGAGGCCAGGAGTTTGAGTGGGTTCTTCTTCCAGAGTTTGTCCAGAAACGGGACTTGACCGACCTTTTGCGCCCGTTAGTTGTTGAATTAGATAACAAGTACTCTACATACCACTGCTGCGTAGTCAAAAAGCGCGGAATTCCCCTTAACAATTCCTTCAATGTCATGGTTGCTCTCCAAGAAGCCGTGGCGTCGGGAGTAAACTAGATCACCAATGACGTCAAAAGTATAGAATTGGAGCCATTGGTAAAAGTCACAATACTTTCCGGTATCCGCAAAGCGTTTCTGTGTCTGCTGGAGGAAGATCTGATTGACAGAGTCGAAAACGGGCTCATATTGCATTTGAGCGGACATGGTAAAGGCGCTGTTTACACTACGCTTCAGTTGCGAGTGATATTCCTCTGATTGGGTGCTGAACAACGTCGGTAGTCTCTTTCCTTCTTTTGAAGTCGCCATCTGTACAGGATAAAAGTCCGACTAATAGTTGTGAACGTTATAAACAATGAATCTAGGATTACGAATGTAAGTACCTTTGTAAATCCTTTACCCAAGGCATATATGTCCTTGATAGACTTTGGGTTGCTGAAAGAGAGGCAATTTGGCCCAAGACGTACAACGTCTCCATGTTTATCATGCAAGTTGATGTGCCATCGTTCAGGCGTTCTTTGCCAGGCTTTGAAAAACCTGTACCAGTCCGTGAGAGCGCACAGAATTGGTCCTGGATATCTGTTCAACCCTCGATTGAAATAACGATGAGCTAGGTAAAAGGATATGGCAACGACAACTGTCAAAGGCCAGTATTGGCGAAGCACGAGGGTCAAGTTGTTGGCGATCATGGTGGATAATGGTGGCACCTAAGATGGCCCCCGGGAACGCTTTTGTATTGAACCATTCTGTTTCATTCTGACCCTTTCTTTCGAGCTACTGATGTAACTAGAAGTCGACTCTGTCGCTAGGATTGACATGCCGTCCTCAAAGCCGTGCATGGTCAAAAGATTGCCAAGTATCGCCGAGAAAGATTCACTGCAAAAGGTGTGCTTCGGAAGCATGGATTGGAATGGCTAGTGCATTAATAGTCCAAGAATTCTCTTTCATACTTTGTATCACAGTGTTCCTCCATCTACTTAATGCGTAGAGATCTATGCAGATTACCATAAGAAGCACAATCATCAGAATTCAGTCTCCTTCTTTCATCCATAGGCGACGTAGAGCAATGCTGTTCATACAGCCAAAAAGATACCCGATATCGAGGAGATCCGGGGAAGGTCCGACTCATCCCTACGTGTTAATTAATTAGGTTACGGGCACAGACAACGCACAGATTGTGAGTTGATACCTAGTACCTATAGGATGTAAGAGCATAACAGGGGTGATCGGGCCTGTATATTACAAAAATGAAGCTCGTCTCATGGCTGGCCGTGCTTGTTCCGGACGATCACCGGAGAAGTATCATCAGTGGCCTAGCTTCGAGTTGCCATGCACTAAACCTCGTAAAGACAAGAGATGAAACCACCTGCTTTTTAGACTCAAGAGTGGATAGTAGGACCTACCGGTATGTGTATTGGTGGCCTGATGCACAAGCCCCTGTCATGTTTTGCGGCAAGTAACTCGGCAACGAAGGAACAGGCTGTTTTCTTAAGCAATCAGAGACGATAGAACCAAGAAAAAAACACCTAACACAACGCCTGCCGTTGTATTTTTAATCTAAGAGCGGAGATAAGTCTCGCGTTCATTATGGTTCTGATGCACGAATCCTTGGCATGTCCTACGGAACACAACTCGGCAGACGAGGAACGGGCCGTTTCCTTGAGCGATGATAATCTGCAGAACCGCTGCCCCGATCCTTGTGTTTAAAATGTCTTCTATCTCTCACTTTCACCTGACCATCTCGAAACCCGCCCACGCGTGTAAACCAGATTGCAGACGTTGCAATCAATTGCAACGCTTTCGACGGCAAACCTGCAACAGAGGAGGGAGGAGCAGATATCCAAATGCAAATTGCCGTTCTCGAATGGGATGGTCCCAATGACCCGGATAATCCGATTAACTGGCCGAAGTGGCAGAGATATTGGCATATCATTCCGCCAGCCATCATTTCTTTCACGGCGTAAAACCTCCCATCAATTGCTGTGTGAAGATCCGGAGCTGAAAATCTGCTTAGGACTTTAGGAGCTTCGATTTACACACCTTCGTATCCTAGTATCCAGGAAATTTTTGAGCAGAGTTCCACAGTAGCACTCCTGCCTTTATCATTATACGTTCTAGCTTTGGGATTTGGGCCCTTGATTGCCGCTCCGCTTTCCGAAACATATGGAAGATATATCGTGTACACCATCAGTACACCAGTCGCCGCGATTTTCACAATCGGGGCTGGGTTCTCGCAAAACATATACTCTTTATGTATTTTGCGATTCCTCGCAGGAATGGCTTTCAGCCCTTCACTGGCTATCGGTACAGGAAGCGTGGGTGATCTGACGGTTCCTGAAAGACGAGCTGTTTCGTCCACACTCTATATCATGAGTCCATTCCTGGGTCCATCATTTGGGTAAGTTGGCTGAAACTCCATTCGCTCATTGCTAAAAACAGTGTTAGTCCTGTCCTTGGCTCCATTGTAACTGTCAAGATGTCCTGGCGCTGGACACAATGGACTTTGATCTTCTTTGCCGTTCTCTCAATGGTCGTGACCTTCTTTTCTAAGGAAACTTACAAATCGGTCATCCTCTCTCGAAGGGCAAAGCAGCGGAACATTGAACTTCCTCCGGGTCCTTCCACCCTGACCAAACTGCGTCTGTTCTTGACAATCACGCTTGTCCGTCCACTGCACATGCTTTTCACCGAGCCAATCGTGGCCTTCTTCAGCCTTTACACCGGGTTCAACTTCTCTGTCATCTTTGGGTTCATGGCGGCCTACCCTTACGTCTTCCGATCCATTTACGACTTCGGCACAATCCCATCAGGATTGATTTTTCTCGCTATCGGCTTCGGCGGGTCTATGGCAGTACCTACTGTGTTGCTTTGTGACCACTATTGTTATCAGCCACGTGTGCGTGAGTCCAAAGCTGCTGGCAAGAACGGTGCAATCGCTCCAGAGCACCGTCTTTATCCCGCAATGATTGGCTGTTTTGGTCTGCCTGCAGCATTGTTTTGGTTTGCATGGACCGCTCGGCCGTCAATTTCTTGGTGGAGTCCTGTCATCGCCTCAATTCCTTTTGCTTGGGGAAACTCGACAATCTTCATCTCCGCGACCGCATACTTGCTTGATACGTATCAAGCTCTCTATGGAGCCAGTGCAATGGCAGCCAATGCTCTTGTCAGGTACACACTGGGCGCTGCCTTACCGCTTTTCACCTTGCAAATGTATAAAGGACTAGGAACAGATTGGGCTACAAGCTTGCTGGGGTTCGTTTCTGTTCTTTGCATACCGATACCTTGGGTTCTTTTCTTCTATGGCCCCGCAATTAGATCGAGAAGTAGTTATGAAACAATTAGGGTGTCTGCGTAAACACCAAGCTTAGACTGTGGAGTGGAATTCAGTAGTCCTAATTATCGATCGTTATGTATACAATATCCGCAACGATGTAATGTGTCTCCACTGTCTAGGCCGTCGTATTCGAGGCTTATGGAAGTGTACCGAATGACTGTCAATGGATCCGAGTCGACGGTGAACCCACAGACCGTGCCACCAGAGACTTACGGCACAGTCGATGGCGTATTTAGTGCAATCTCGGTTTGGGTGCAGATGTCATAGAATTCGCTTGTATGTGTTTCCTCAGTGCTGAGTGTACTCGAGACAGATTTAATAGGCTCTGCATAGCAAGCAGAGATTACAAGATTAATCGTCAGCTCTGAAGGATGAAACAAAGGCCAACTATTGCAGCATCTGAATATAATTCTTATCCAGCTCTTAGCTTGTTTTACATCTACAGGATAGCATAAAATTGCTACTACCGTGTCCTTTCTACAATTCCAATCCAGCACAATTATGTCCCTAATTAGTCTTTAACAAGTACTAGAGAAATTAGGTTAGCTTATATGAGGTTGTCGCATGAGATATCACGCCTATTTACCAGCCAATTCGGGGTGCTAATGTATGTACATTTTGCCTCCTTTTTGGCTGCGACAGAGGTGTAATTGATCTGTAGCCTTACCTACCCCCTTACTGGTACGGCAATTAAGCTGTGGGCAATAACTTAACTAATAAAGACCCCTCTACGTGACCGTAAACCCTGTATAGACAGAGGCTCGCGTCGACCGGGCGAAGGCCGTGGACACCGAACGATATTGCGCGAAATTCCTGTGAGATATAACGTAGGTTAGGCAGGGCAGAAGTGCGATAGCTCTGTATCGCCGGCGTGATAGATGGAAGCCTCGCTGCGAATGTAATTCGGCCAGTTCCGATCTTAGACAAGCACGTGCATGGCTGATGGAAAGTCTTGTCGCTTACAATTATTGTTGCTTATTCTCTACGCGTATACATCTGTACAGCTCAATGCATACTCTCCTCCAGCCTAGTGGTAAACGCATATGTGCGCTGAGATACAAATTGTAGGAGTAGCAACCATCGCCTCGTCTTGTGCATACTTCCCTGAACGCCAGCCTTGACAGCCGCCCATAATTTTCACCAATTTGGTGCTACCCTCCGTACTCCAACAGACTCCTCAGGGGAACTTGTAAATACCTCTTGACAACAGTGTTCAGGTGAATTCGATACAGAGCTGCATCATGTTCCAAACCGAGACATATAGCAGGCTGACAGCCCGCGAATCCAACAAGCAACTGTGACCTTGGTTCCGAGGAACGAGAGGTTTTGTAGCGATGTGTGTCAAACGCCGAGTGAGCAAGAAGTTTAAGCTTGGCGGAAAGTGCGTCGAGAGGATAGCCAAATATCTCCTCGAAAATCATTGCGATCCCCCATCCTCGTAACCTCGAGTGATGGCTTGCCCAGACAAGTGGCGTAAATATGCATGTCGCTCATAGTCGCTAGTGAATGCGGTTCGTACATCTTCGTGATAGTCTTATAGACAGATCTGCTTCGTATATAGTTCTGCATAGAGGTCAATGAGTGCACTGTATACTTGGAAGTGACGATCGTCGACGTACCGCAGATGTTGTGTTTGAGCAACTTGAAGCTGCTTAGTCCATGTAGAAGTCACCCTTGAGGATGCGCTCCTGCATAGCATCAGGCTGCTTTGGTTGCTTCGGCATCTCGCGGACGGGGGGCTCCATTACGGCAACGCTCTTCGCACGTTGGTGAGATGAGACATTCACCATTGGAGGAGGGCCCGAGATAGAGCCGCGCTCGGCACGGGAGCGGAGGTTCTCCGCGAAGTTGTAGCCTTCGCCTGTGGACGACCATGTCAGCGAGTGATCGTACTCGGGATAGTCTTCAACATTCTCTGCAATTGTGGGCCAAACAGAAGATATGGATATAGAACGCCTCGAGGAGCGACCAGGAGGCGAGGAAGAGTGCAGGAAGGGTGCTGAAGTGGGAAGAGAATTCGACAATGAAGACAGACCTCGTCCTCGACCACCAGTCGGGGGAGAGGCTTTATGGGTGGAAGGTCTACCATTTGGGTTTCCAACACTACCACTGCCCTGCCTAACATCCCGCATTGCGCGTGCACCAAAGCTGAGTCGTCGTGCGAAGGGTGTGGCCGCGTTGCTGCCAGGGCCAGATGCTGTTGGAGCGTAGTCGTCCTCGAATGGGCTCTCATCTACTGAGCCAGAGTTGACGCTAGAGAGGCTCTCGGTTCGTGTGCGGGGGTTGCTGAGGAAAGGCGATGTCTGACCCGGTGATGCCGACAGGCCAATAGTTGTGAGCGAAAGTCGCCGTTGCTGTGCGTTCACGGCAGCTGTGGTGATTGGGCCTGACATTCCAGCTCGCGTCTGCTGTCCAGAGTAGCTGCCTGATCGGCCAAACAGGTCCTGGAATGTCTGTCCAGTGATCGAGGCACGTCGGCGGTCTGTAGGGCCTGGCGATGGGTGTGGTGGTGAGTTGCTGCCAGAAGACATGATGTCGGCGGCTTGTTCGGATTGTTGTGATGGCTTGTTGTTCTTAAACGTAGATGTGATGGCTTCAGGATCTGTCGTGTGTGCGTAGCAAGTGGTTGACGTGTATGTCAGGGGAAGGCGAGAAGGTGGTAGATATCGGCGCTCGGACTCAGGGTCTTCGCACGGACAGCAAGTGCAGTACGTCACCGGGGTGGGATAGCGTGTTAAGTGCACGCCGTCTCGGTGGCAGGCACGATAGCGACAGCGTGGCGTGATGGGTGACTGATAGTGGAGAATGAGGAGACTGAAGCAAGGACGAGTGATGGATGGGGTCGTAATATAAGAGCCGCAGTGGTGGGTAGAGAAGTCGCGACGGGGGGATCAACTGGAAATGGCGCTAGCAACGTTACAGGCAAGGCGTGCCTTCCCCGCAATCCGACCTGGAAGGAACAAAGCGCTCCAAATGGATAGCATCGTCGTCGTGGGCGAATCAGACGCCGGTCAGCTTAAGACCAGCCGCCGCCCCCCGCGCGACGAGCAGCTCGACCAACCTTCCTGTGCCAACTTGACGCAGCATGATCATCGTGGAGCTCTCCGTGTCTGCTCAAGCATTGGTGCTAACGGCTTGGATGCATACCTGGTGCCTCGCGTATCCACCCACATGCAAATTTACCGGGATGTTTGAGTGCACAAGATGTGCTGATTATGAATACCTTGTCCATCCCATCATCACGTCCTTAACATGTATCTTTTGCAACTGATACTTCGGAATGAAACGAGTGTGCTGCATAGAAATGCACGCATGTGTCCGCGGAAACCTAGAACCTGTCATTACATCTCTGTGACATGTCATGTCCAAGCCCTGGAATCCGCGGGACTGTTCCAATCAAGTAACGACACTGCGGGGCTGACTAACAACAAGTGCAAGATGCTCGTGAACGGGGCTCGAGATAAGCGACCCGTTTAGGTTAGCTCTGGGACAGCTGGAAGCTCTGGGACAGCTGGAAGCTCTGGGACAGCTGGACGCGCTGGACGCTGGCCTGGAAACGTATCTTACTGGAAGAACTGCTGCTGGCTCACCGCTGGAATGAGAATATCTGAACGGAGCTTGTATCTGGAGGGCTGCGAATGTCGGTGATCCATTCTCTCGGGAAGCGAAAGGCCCATTGCATCATTCCATTTCGCAGCAACTACAGCCGGCCATTTACAAAGATAAATGACCGAGTTGCAGTGCGACCTGTGCAATGGCCAACCTGATTGGCTTCTTAGATGTTCAAACAATCTTGATGTAGATGATCGGCGCCCCGACATTCACGCCGACATTCCTTTGCGCTGTTTTCCTTATCTCGTCATTCAACAGGAGTATTAAAAGCAACGAACACCTCCGGTCCGAAAGTGCTTCGGCTCTGCTGTCGTGCTCGGTGCTCTTCCAAGGATTACTGTACGGCTGAGCAGCCGTCGGCCACATCCCAGAGCCCCGAAACTCTATAACCTGGAGCGTGGCAGAGCCTATTATACGGATGCGGGGGCGAGCTATCAGCTGAACGTCCTACGACTCGCGTGAACTTCATGTTGTGCTGTGACGCGGATCTTGCAGAGAGAGTGGGTCGTCGACGCATGCGGCATGCTGTAGGGCTTGTTGAGCCCACCATGAAGGACTTCACGTGAGCATGAGACGCTAGTTGTATGAGCAGCGAAGCGAAATGTAGTTTTTTTCAAGTGTATGTGTGAACGAATGTGAGAAGTGAAGAAAGAAGAACGACTACAATCAGATCTGTCAAAAAGTGTGGCCTCGAGAAGTAGGGAAGTGTCGAGAAAAGCTGTGAGGCGAAAGTGTAATGGTAGCACCAAACATGCAGATGCACAATCAAGGAAAGTGAGAAGAAAAGCCAAGGGTATCAAAGAAAGTCTAGAAGAAGATCTAACAACAATAATCTAGGTATAGAAGGAAAGTGTAGAGCGACAAATGCCCTCGAAAGCGCCAGAAGAACATGACAAAGAAGGAGCGAAAAGATGAAGAGAGCGAAGAAAAAACAGAATCGCTAGAGACGCCGAACGCTTAAAGGCAATAAAGCAATACCCTACGTGTGCTGGTTCTAGAGGCCAGCAGAAGAAGTGAAGACAGGGAGGAACGAGGCTGCGGTTAGCCATTCAAGAGGCTGGTCTTTTCACCTGGCCACCACGGTCCTCCGAAGCAGCTCTTTTACGATTGTCGTGAATGACCTGGCGGAAGGTGTTCAGGTAGTCGATAGGTGCATCGTGCTGGACCAATTTGTCTTCGATGCTCTGTAGGGTTGCCCAGTGGTTGCGGATGACGTCTCCGTGGGGCAGCAGATGAAGTACGTTTAATACGAAGGAGGTACCGGTAGTTGGGTTACCTATAAGGGCGTAGTGTAAGTTGTTCTCACTTGGGCTGCCTGGACGCATGCCCCAGGTGATACTTTCGTAAGCATCGACGTTGCGATCTGTGACAAGATCAAGTATTCGGATAAGGGCTGCAGCTGATCGGATGGCGATGCTCTTGAAATCAGGATCATCCTCATCTTGTTGCTCGATGAAGTTGCCGATAGCCTTCACTAGACGTATGAGCTTCTTGGCCGTAGTTGGTAGGTCGAACCGTAGCGCATCGACAGAGGCGTCAGTGGGACCATGCTTGATGTACTCGTCCAGAGCATGAAACGTCTGAGTGATGCGGTTCTCGATCTTCTCAAAAAAGACACGGCTCTGGAAGTTTGGGTCGATGATATCCTGCATTTGCAGGAACAATCCAGGGTCCTTTGTTGCATACTCAGTGAACAGCTTAGCGAGCTCTTGATACTTCTTCGAGCGCTCAGATGTGAGAGGCGACTCTGGGCATCTGAACTCATCTGGCAGTGCTTCTTGAGGCTCGAAGACTGAGAGCATACTGATGACTGTCTCTTTGATGTCGTCTTGATCTTCAGGCACATCTTCGTCCTCGTAAATCCAGTCGAGATCGTCTGCGACATCCTCTAGGCCTTTCTTGCGTAGTACATCTGCCGGTCTCACATGTTGGAAAGTCGAACCATCTGTCGAAGGCTGCAGTGGCTGATCCTTGACAATATCTGGAATGGTGGAGACGACGTGATCACCAACCCAGTAAATATGCTTATTAGTTGTTAGCTATGGGTTGGAAAAAAACCCAAAAGTGTATAAGCTTACCTTGCAAGCAACGCCGTTCTCATTAGCCCCGCAAGAGCAACGAGGTCTGCGTAGCTTTCCGCCCATCGTGACTTGAACATCGTCGTTGATAAAGAAGTACTGTGTCTGAATATTTGGGTCCTCGTCGTCAACGTAGGTGGTACAGTACTTCATGCGGATCCCACTGTCTTGTAGACCTCGCTTGACCCTTTGGCGATGATTCGCATCGAACGAGGAGACGTTGTAGCTGAGATTGTTTGTGGATATAACAAGAGAAGGGGTGGGTGACACTGGCGAGACTGGCTCCACGGAAGGTAGAGGGGAATCCTGATCAAGTTGCTGAGGTGGTGTTCCCTTTCGTGATGCCTTGGCAGCCTCAGCTCGAGTAGTCACCATGGTCTCCTCGAGAGAAAGCTGTGAGAATTGATCCGCTGACATGAAGGCCGACCAAGCTGGAATGCTACATCTTGCTCAATGTACAATAAGAAGATATATATCGATCAAGCCTCGCACATCCTGCGCCTCCAAGCTAGCAAAATCCCCAAGTAATGGATGAATGCTATCCATTTTGTCGGTGGGCGCTTAAGAAGTTGGCCTTCCGTGCCGTGGAGCGTTGAGGCGTGTGGATCGGTTGTGGCTGTTCAGCGTTCAGAGTGGAATTGTCAGCGATTATGACACTTCCGGACGCCGCAAGGCTGCATGACCGACTGCAAACAGACACAGAGCTGCTAAAGGACCAATGACAGCAGTGCAGGGTATCATCCTGTTCCTGAGCTGCGTCGTTCTTGCCGTCAACAACATCGTGTTCCTGGCACATGTTGTGGGGAATGTGACTTCAGGTATTTTGCTGCCATTTGCGCACCAATCACCGAATGTGACACATCACTTCCAAGCCATTATGCCCATATAGGGCGCTGTTAGGGGCCAATTGAGCCACAGGACTTTCCGTATGCGGGCAATTATAGTCCTTTGCCGCCGTGCCCTGGCTTTGGAAATACCGCTAATATACTCTGTCCAGCCATTGCGGGGAGAGGTTCGTGCGCGCTGCAATGCAGGCATGTCACGTCACAACAGCCGCACCTAAGCTCGTGATCGATGCCGCGCATCTCGATACAGAGGCGCGTAGGCGCCGTCGGTACACGCAGATGAGTCTCGGAGCCAGGTACGGTTGTGGCTGTTGGGTTGAGGTGGTCATGGTGGATGTGAACCCTGCACCTGCGAGTTGTTCCAAATCGCTCCACAGTTTCTCCAAAAATTGCGAGGCTGATTAGCTGAAGATATCGATAGTTTTTGGCATGAGTGTCTGACTTGCTGAGGTGTGTTGTGTTGTGTCAGCCGAAGACACCGCCATCATCGTCGAGAATGCCTTGGGCCAACTTTTGGCCACCAGCATGGCAACCATTATCCGCTTCAGCCCTGATCTGGGGCTGAGGCAGCACGGAAGTCGAGTAAGAGAATAAAGCACGAAGTGAAGTCTCAGGTCGCTTGTTTGACAACTGGTGCATTGCATAGCGTGGTTGTGCGTCCAAATCGGAATGTTGCAACTTGCACCGCGATCTTGCCCGAACAGCGCGCAACAGCACAACGCGGCAGAACGTGCCTCTTCTCTACACCTGCGGCAAGACAGGATTTCCGGGCACTTGGAAACACCGAGCCGGTACTTTGGAAATAAACAGGGCAGCATTACCCATGTCGATCATTGAATGAATGACATTGTCCACTAAGAAAAAGGATATAGCCGCCGAAGAGAAAGGAGGCACAGAAACAAACAGGCATCAAGCCCTATACATACAAGCGGACTGATGCAGCCCTACGGCTGTGTTTCTAGGACGGTAAGGTAGCCAAGCCCCTCGGCTGCAATAATCGGATGTGCGGAGTGTACATGGTGAGCGGCAGTGTACTTAGTACTGAAGGCATATCGCGAATGTAACTGAGCACAGCTCAAATCAAGGGTAGAATCGTTCGGAAAAGCGCTGAGGAAAAGTCCCGAATGGCCCCCATGCTGCATGGCTTAGGGCAAAGCGATCGGTCAGACGAAGCCCAATTCTGAGGTCAGGTCAGTCAACGTACACCCAAGGAAAGCACAGACTCACACTGGGGAGCTCACCTGCTGCTCCCTCCCGCTCGCATGGCATAGACGGAGTTCTCTCGTGAGCTTTGATCAGAGCTCCGCTCCTTCTCCTGCCCTGTTGCCACGATATGTCTGAACGATATTCCTCCCCAGGGAAGACCTGAGAGGGTGTGGTGGTCTTTAAGCCGGGATGCTTCCGGAGGTGTGTAGGAACTCGATGCTTTCTTTCGGTTTTCTATTTCGCGTTCTACGTCCTCTCGTTGTTCTCTTGCTTTGGCTCCTATGTTGTGTTAGTGGTCAATCGATCACTTATCGTACGAGACCACCTACTGAATCTTTGCTGGGCCAGCTTGTTCTGGATCTTCCGTCGCTCCACAGGATCCACCACCTCTGACCATTCAGGAGACCGTGTGTCTGATGAGTATGTGCCGGAGGACCAAGGCCTGCCCGTTGAAGACTGCGACTGATGTCCTTCTCCAGATTGTGTGTACGCCATGCTGTCGAGAAAATGCTGGGCTTGAGCTCGTGTGAAGCAACGCTGAGTCAGAACAAAGCGAACTTACTCAGTAAAGAGAGGCGTAGATGTTGCTTCCTCGACCGGTCGTGCTGGTGGTTCGTGGTTCGGTTAGGCGAGTATGGAAATGAAGGTGCAACATCGAAGTGCATCTCATAGCTCGGTGATCGCTGATGAACCGGGCCAAATCTGGCAAGACAGTCTTGATATAAGGCAGTCCGCCTGTAGTTGTCGAACAACCTAGCCGACTGAAGGGCTGTGTGAATATGAAGGTGAACCTAGGAGCTGTCGAGTAGTTGAAAATAGGCACGCATGTATGTCCTAAAAAAGGCAAGAGGTCAAGGCCGAATAATGGAAGGTTAGGTATACTTTGAAACATAGCTTCAAGTCCGATCATCACAGAGGAAGGAAAGACTGGTGCCGGACGTTGAACGAAATCTAGGTTGATGTCCTGACTTAATCCTTAGCAAAGTACGGATGCACCGCAGCGGGCCTGGTCATTGGTATTCATGTTGATCTCACGCCGAGGAACTAAGTCGCAAAAGGATCATGACGGGTAAGCCACCCTAGGCTCCGGCACATGGCCTTCAGCCTCTTGTGATGGTATTGCAATGATCTAACTCGGACGAATACAGGGTGCAGAGAGCCTTGTGTAGTCGGCCTTTCCGTGATCTGGAGTATGGGCCGCACCTATGGCATCTCTTAGATCGTTGACGCTGACTTGGCGCTGACCGGTAAGTCGATGCCTCTGCAACCCTGCAGGAAGGTCCGTTCAGTCACTGTGAAACTTGAGTAATATCTTCAGCATCATCCACTGATTGGTGTAGCCGTAATCGAGGTAACGCCATACGGATCCCGGTGAGTGAGATCGAAGGCTCCCGAGAAGGTACCTGCATGGGCCACTACCATGAAACTGGCATGGTTGTCGGTGAGGCCGGTCGCAGCCTTATCGCAAGGCTGAAGCATCCTTTTTGATGCCAATCAATCTCTCAGACCTATTGTGGGCCTCGGGCAGCCGTTTGACCTAGCCCAGTGCGGCGGGAGACAATGCTTCAGCCTCCAATTCGGATTGCCTTGGTGCAAGCCCTCGTCCTAATCTTACTTGAGGAACTGACAGTGACCCGCGCGACGTTCGGTCGAGCGCCAATTCCTCGATATGTGAGCACGGCTACTCAGCCCTTTCGAATTCACGTAGAGTTGGCGGCATATTCCCTGCCCCAAGGGCGGCTGGTTAGATCGATGCTCTACGTAATGACTGGCCATGTGTGCGCAAAAGATGCGCTAAATGGGTATCAAGTGCGAAACTGCTTGCCTTTGGCCAAAGCACGACGGAGTGATGCAAGAGCGGAGATGGCTTGTAATTCCCGGTGAAGGATCAGAAGCGGTCCGTGGTGTTGCGGCAAGATGGTGAGATGGAGGGTGCAGAAGATGCAAGTAAGGAAGAGGCGGTCGGAGACGGCCTGGTTGATCGATCTTTGCCGCCATCCAGCCTATCAGATCCATGAGCCCGTGCGACTGAGTGCTGATTTCCATCGGCGACACCGCCTCATCGACATTCCCATGTCCTCATCCTCGACATCATCGCTGACAAGGGGCCCACACGGATGCCTGAAGATCTCCAGTAGAGTCGCATTCCCTTCCCAAGGCACGCTTTGGTTTCTTCAAATGTGCAGTGTGGAGACGGCCCATAATTATCTTCGCAATACATGACACCAAACGTGCGATCACGAGATTCGCATTTCCAGCCCTATGTAGTTTACGAGCAGTGCGTCTACGCCATCATCACCACAGTAATATGGAGCCAGCCATCCAGGTACGCAGATGCGCGTACTAGATCTTCGACACTAGCGCTCAGAGGCAAGACTGCACCGTGCAAGACCGCCTGCGCCAGGAGTGGACTGCGTCTGCTGGGAAATAACGTTGGAAGAATTTGATTTAATGCCGTACCAATAGTTTGCGGTTGTCCTAATGTTTGGTCAGCTTCATCGTCTGTTGCCTGCTGACCGCATTGCAGACTTACGAGACGAGAGGTTTGGAGTCACCAAACTTTGCACTACTCTTAGGCTTCCAGGACTGGCCTCTTTCTGCTCACTGCTATTCGCAGCATGCGGCAGGTAGATTCGCACCGGAAGGTGTCGTAATACAGCACCTTGTGGGTTCAGCAGCTTCTGATTAATAGGGTTGTAAAGCGAGAAGTCATGCTGCTTCACCGCATCCCAGAGCTGTGTGCTGTCCTTCTCACTCAAGAACATGACTGTCTTTCCTGTTCCGGTTCGTAGATAGTCGGCTTCCTTGACACTGTTTCTGAATAGATCATGCATGACGTTATCCTCGGTGTCGAGTCGAACAAGCTGCTCTGAAGGGTAGCCAGAGAAATGGACAGTCAGCTTCCATGGCAGGCGGCGGTGCTCTTCCTCTGAGGTTTCGGTCTTGTGAGTTGGCGACGCCGGATCTGATGGGTATGCTGGCTCCTCCCCAGAGTAAAGATCGTACAGCAGCCCGAGAGGATAATGCCACTTCAGCGGTACACCTTCGTACGAAAGCCACAGATCCGCCGGTGAAATATCTGGATATATCAAATTTGGCGAGAAGAAGGTGTGAAGTTTGTGAGTGAGCAAACCAAGATATGAGAGTCTTGGAAACTGGATCTGCAAACTGTCAGTTTGGCTTCAGCCTAGGAATGAAGCTCTCACCATATATGGATCAGAGTCATCGTAGGTCCTGCAATCTTCATTATGCAGCCGCACTTCTAGAGGTATGCTTCCGTTCCAAACGCTCTCACGCAGCCTACTCGTCACGTCCCTGGAAGTCATCAACGACGATGTAAAGCGAGTAAGTAGACTAGAGTGTTTGTGGGGTAGGCAGCGTTTCCGGGTAGCGCGGAGGCAAATACAGGGGACCTACCTCGGCTCCAATCGTGAGGAAGCAAAAGTAAGCTTGCGCGTGTTCAATGCTCACGCGTTCCTGCAACAGCCAGCAACTTCGCTTTGTGATATCCTGCAAGGCTGTTATTCCTTTCTGTTTCACACTCGGTACGGTCAACGGCAATGTACGCACGCAAACGGTCGATCTCATTGTCCTCTCTCAACCGCGCACCATGAGCACCAAACTTAGTCGCAAACGATCGCGCGTAACACTCGACTCGGACGAAGACGAAACGCAGCAGCTGCGACAGCCTTCACCTGCGCTGTCTTCACGCAGCGACACGCTGAAGCGATCGAGAACCCAATGTGAGCTCGATGAGCTGGACATCATCGAGCCAAAAGATGCATGGACTGTCGACATCAGCGCCATTCTAGCCAGCCCTGCGCTCGCTACACCACCAGACAGTGGATTCAAGCCTCACAACAACTGGCAACGATACAAGAGAGGGCAGTGTATCACAGTATTATGTGTGCAGGGCAACCTGCAGCTGCACTACAACCTGCTATGGTACGCACATTCAAGCCTTCCGTGGCGTCCTCAGCACCGTCCTTGATTTATGCTGACAACCTACAGCTCTGCTCTGGACGAACTCTACAGTGTTTCACCCTCGCTACAAGCCATCGTTCTCTGCCACGACCCTTCCACACACAAGCCTTCCACAATTGCGCCGTTCTCGCTACCCCTAATCTCAGCTGTAGATCCACCGAACAACCACTTCGTACGTCTAGGCCTGCTTCATCCTCTTGGAGGGGGAAAGTTCCCGCTCGATGCGCTCGCAGTCATCGACAGAAAGGGCCGTCGAAGACTCGTCCTGCCATTTGGCTGGGGGGCTGGCAAACACGCGGACACGCCTGCTGGCAAGAGCATACAGACTAAGATGATGATGTTGCTGAAACACTGCATCGAGACGTTGGAGAAAGAGGCATAAAGAAAGGCCCTATGCATCTGCAGCAGCTGCGATCAAGCACGACAGCGTAAGATATCCTACACGTCAGGAGTCGACGGCACATCAAGCATGTGTAGCAGACGTCGCAAAAGATCACGATCGATGGAGCATAGCAATTGAAGATATATTTGTCATTTGCTGACTATCATTATCGTAGCTTCATGACCATGAAGGCTGCTTCACGTCGTATGGCACCGGTTGTAGAGTGCCAAGCTTATAGCTTAATCACTAACCAAGCCTGGTCTCCTTGTCCTTGATGGGGATATCAGAGCCGGTGGTACTATATTTACGTTAGCATAATCCTCCTCAGATTGGTCGCGGACATACGCCTTGTACTGTCCCCGAATGAAGTCGGAGATCTGCTCGTCCTTGGCCTGCTCCACAGCGGACTATATCTGGATTAGCACAATCCTCTTCGCATGGCTGGAGTGGAGACACACCTCGTTGTCCTGGGGTCCCTGTCCAAGGAACTTCTCCTGCACGAAGTCGACACCTATACTGTGTGAGTGCTTTGACAGCTGCAGCATGTGATAGTGCGAGCTCACCCTTGTCGAGGTAGTCCTCGTTCTTCTCGCTCTCACGGCCGCCGCCAGCAGCGCTATTCAGCTTGTCGCCAATGCCGCCGAGGAAGCCGCCGCTGCCCTGCTGCTGCTGGCCGCCAGAAGAGCCGGTGGACTGCTCGTTGGAGCTCTGACCCTGGTTCTGGCTGTTGCCGCTGCCGGTGAGCTTGTTGACGAAATCCATTGCTGATAGGTGGTTTGTTGGTCTTTGAGTGTTGATAGTGGAGATGTTGGTAATGTCTTCGTAGGTATTGCAGGTGAAGGCAGTTTTTATACGTTGTCAAGCTGTTACAGAGCTCAAGCGTGGTACCACTAGTAGGCTGTGCATGGCAGCAAACAGGATCTAGCACCCTGTATCGGTAACCAGTGCAAACGATGCGCAGCGGGATGATCGTACCTGACGTGCTCCAGCCCGTGGAAGGAGGTGCTACGTCATAGTGCTTGCGCTCGGCGACCCCGCATCGGATTGGAAAACGCAGTCGCGCTTCGGCGCGTGCTAAAACATCCTATTTGATCGGTGCCTCCGACGGATCTGCAAAGGCGTGCGACAAGGCTCACAACCAAATCAATTGCTTACAATCTTGGAACTTGGCGTCATGATACCCGTCACCATCGTTACTGGCTTCTTGGGGTCGGGAAAGACCAGTAAGTGCTGAAATGCCTCAGCAAATGTTGGTGCACTGTCAATCTTCACCAGGAAGGCTGACGTGTCGCAGCCCTAATTTTGAACCTGATACAACAATTACCCAAAAACTACAAACTCGCGCTCCTCAAGAATGAATACGGTGATGTCGCTGTCGACTCACAACTCGCTTCTTCGCAAGCCATCTCTGGCGTCCAAGAGCTGCTCAATGGCTGCATATGCTGCAACCTTGTAGGCCAGCTCTCCGACGCCCTCGAAACGCTCTCCACCGACATCAACCCCGATCGCATCGTGATCGAAACCTCCGGGTCCGCATTCCCCGCCACGCTCGCAATGGAAGTCAACCGCCTCAGCCGGGAGACGAGCAAATATGTCCTTGACGGCGTGATGAGCGTTATCGATGTCGAGAACTGGCAGGGCTACGAGGATACGAGCTATACCGCGAAGATACAAGCACGCTACACAGACCTCATCGTGCTGAACAAATGGGAGCTGGTCGATGAACGCAGGCTGGAGGACGTCGAAGATAGAATATTGGATCTCGACGTGGATCCCCCGATTCCACGGCAGAAGAGTAGCAAGGGCTGGGTTGACAAGAACATTGTCTTTGGGCTGGATGCGAAGCTCGCGAAAGCAGTGGAGCAGCCTAGCGAGAATGGATACGCGCATGACCATGACCATGATCACTCGAGTGAGGTTGAGGTCCTCAGCATTACGTTGGCAAGCAAAGATGGCAGTGGCAGCGTCGATACAGAGAAGCTTGCAAAACTGCTCGAGGACCCTACGAAAGACGAGGTCTACCGTATCAAAGGCGTGTTGTACGCGTCTACGCCGCCGCAATCTTCGGACAAGGATATCAGCACATCGGCACCAGCGAGTGGAAGAGGGCGTTACATCCTGAACTGGGCGTTCGGACGGTGGACTTTCACGCATGTGCCTGAGGCATCACCTGCGGCCGGGCATAGTGAGCCTGAGCTGCGCTTGACTGTTGTAACGGCGAGGTACGAGTCGAACAAGTGGAAGAAGCAGATTGAGTCCAGCGGGCTCATTGCTCTGCAAGATGGTGTGGAGGGGGAGTTGACGGTGGAGAAGAAGGCATAGAAAGATACCCAATGTTCGGAAATGATGGACTTTGCAAACATGTCTTGGTGGCGTGTATCAGAAACTGTTCACAAAAATGGTGTGCATGTGATGTATTCTCTGACCTCCCCACGCCGCTGCTATGCTAAATTCACTCGTCCATGACCACAACCCTCTTCTTCTTCTTCTTTTTCTTTACCTCTCCCTCCGGTGCATCCCCTTCAGCGCCCGCTAGGGCCTCCGCAGACTTCACCTTCTTCTTTTTCTTCTTCTTGACCGGCTGCGCATCTCCGTCCTCCCCTTCCATACCCTGCGGTGCAGCCGCCACGTCATCACCCTCAACAGCAACTCTCCTAACCTTCTTCTTCTTTTTCTTGACTACGCCCTCCTCATTGTACTCAACCCTTTCACTCGCCCTCTGCATCTCCAGCCTGCTCCGTTCAATTGCCTGCAGCGCGCGCGCCATCTCAGCTTCCTCCTGCTCCTTGCGCTCGATTTCTAGCGCAGTGAGGCGGCGATTCGAGCTCGAGTCGTCGTCGAGGGACAGTGACGCGAGCCCCGCGCTATCAACCTGCAGCAAGGACTTCTTGTTGCGTGCATTCGTGGCTTTTGGCGCAACGATGTCCTCGCGCTCCGGATCCGCAGACGCCGGGCCCAGCGTCTCGTCGCCCATGATTTCGACGCGGCGCACAGGCTTGCGCGGGCTGCGGGCGCGCGGGACGTTGTCGGACGATGCGTGACGGCTGGTGGAGAGATCCAGGTCCATGATCGGTATGCTGTCGATGTCTAGATCGCCGTCTTTGTTGCCGTCGCGCACGATTCTGCTGAGTGGTGTAACGGCGCCCGTGCCGCCTTCGGGGTCGATGTAGAAGGGATCGTCTTTGTAACGTTCTTTGCGCTCGGCTTTACGCCGCGCGATGATGTCGGGATCTAGATACTCTTCTTCCACGGCGTTTTGGTAGGATGCCGGTTCTCTATTGGGCGTGTCAAGACGGTCGGCTGCTGGGGCTGGTGTGGGTTCAGCGGAAGTGTATGATGCGATGGGATCGCTGTAGGCGGCGTAGACATCGTCTTCTTCTGCTTCAAAGCCTTCTTGCTCGGCTTGTGAGAGGAGCATGTGGAGATTGGGATTGATTGGAGTGTCGAGGTCGAGGTCATCTGGTACAGGTACCTTGCGCTGAGCACCTGGTGCAACTGGGTTGAGTTCGGCGCTGGAGAACAGCGCAGGTATGGCTTGTGTCAAGAGGAGTGGCGGTTCCGTGAAGTCTCCTTCTGCATCAGTCGGTGCGCCCGAGGCTGCCTCTGCTGCTAATCGCATCAACTCAAGATATTCCACAGCACGCTCCTGAACCTCAAGACTGGGGTGTGTTGACAGCGGTTCAAGAAAGTGTATAATGCGAGCCATGAGCAAAGACATCAGTGTCTTTCGTTCCGGAGTCCAAGATATTCGTTCATTGCCAGCCATGCTCGAGAAGACCTTGGGAATCGCCTGAAGATATACAGCAAGCGTTTTTGAAGATAGTTGTAGGGACGCAGGATGTAATAGCGATGTCATGACTGGCTCCGGCTGGGACAGGTATGTTGCGTATTCACCAACAAGCCAGCCAGCGTATCCAAGAACACCCTGTCCACCGTTGCCTGAGGCTGGGAACATGCGATCTCTGCGATCCACAAGCACAAGCGACTGCGCAGCGTCCACAGCCTCGTGTCGTACGCTTCTGACTCGCACCGCAACATTCTGTAACTCGTGGCCGATTCTGGCACCTACATCGTCATAATGTTCGGAATCCTCGTCGTCTGCTGAGGTTGCCGCATGCTTGGCAGCAGGCGAAACTCGGACAAGTTGTGTCAAGACGTCGATGTACCACTCGAAGTCGGTGACATTGCTGTACGTATCGCGCGAGCACATCTCCAGGATCCTTCGAATGACGGTTGTTCTGTAATCGTCCGGCAATGGTGGCGGCTGGTCAGATCTTTGCTCGTGTGATGGAAGCGCCTCTTCTGCATCTTCGTCGTCGGAATCAGCATAAGGCACTACGCCAGTGTTCCTGGAGCGGTCTTTTTCGGGCTCCTCTGCTCCAGTAGCAACGGGTGCGTTCCGCAGTTGGCGCATTAGGCGTCCCACGATCGCAGTAAGGTTATCTGGGTTCACCATGCCGACGACAAGGTCCAAGGCTCGCGTTCGTATCGAGATGTCCGGATCGTCGATGCACTCTAGTATTACGTCTTGTTGCTGGCCGACCAGGTATGGATGTGAGCCAACGATCTTCTCGAAAGCCAGTAGCGCAACATATTTTACTGCAGTTGATGAGAAACAATTCGGGGACCTTACATTCATTAATCGTGAGCTTACAGTTGGAGTCGCCTTCTATGACCATCATGCCTCGCAGCTTGCCAACACACAGCTTTGCTACTTCTTCGCCTTCTGTGGTGCCTTCAACAGCCTCCAGGATGCCTCCCTGTATTATGCCGCTGATGCATTCGTACAATAGGGACATGGCGGATGTTTCACGAATTATCTTCGTCAAAGGTGGTAACAGCTTCTTGATCAATCGAGGCTCGAGGGGTGTTAACGTCGCAAACTACGAGGCATTAGCATTGCTTCAGGAGACGCGACGAGCACCACTTACAAGCTTGATGAGCTTGATGGCCATCCAATTGTTTCCTCCCTCGACTAAAAGGTCAAAGAGGCGCGGCGCAAGTGGCAGAAAGTCCTGGGGTCTTCTCCATCCCAGCTCGCAGACGACGTTGACAATGGCAGCGGTTACACTTGGATCCTCGTTCTCGTCCAGAAGTCGCTCCTTGATTTTTGGCCATGCAGGTCGCAAGGTTTCCGGGTATACAAGCGCAAGTCGGTATAACGTGACCACAGTCTTCTTCCGGATTTGCGGACTCGAATGGGTCAGTCGCGGTATGAGGTCTGACAGCACGGAATTGGCCATGCTCGGGTTTATGACATGCGGTATAGCGCCAAGCGGGAGCGAGATGAACGGCGGCGTAGGCAGCATAATGTCCTTCTTCAGCTGGTTCTCCGCGAGCACCAGCACCTCGGTGTCTCTGCGGAAACTCTGTACTGCAGCCAGGTATCCTGTGCGCTTATGGCGGAACTTGGGGCTCGACATGACCTCCAGAACGTTGAAGGAGGCCCAAGACATGTCGTGGCCAAACATCTCGAGGTACGTGAGCTTCATCAGCGCGGTGGACTTGAGGTCCATGTCGTTGGAGCGGATCTCTTGCCGACATTCTTTGATGCTGTCGGCAATGTACTCCTTCTCTGAGCCCTTGTGGGTGCGCAGGCCGCGGATGAGATCATAGAGAGATTTCTCGAACATGGCTGCGGGCGCTCACGGGTAGTCTTGCGGTCGTTACGAAAGGCACGAGTGTAGGAATGGCCGAGGAGGGGCAGACGGTCGGCGGGCGGTGGTCGAGCGGAAGTCAGTGAGCATGTTTATCGAAGCATCGCGCACATATCCAAGCTCTTTCTGGCCTTAGCAATCGTAGCCTTCGAAGGCGCACAGGCGCTGTGTCGTGCTTGCCTTGGAGCACGAGTCGAAGCGCATCATCGTCCCGCCGGCGCATTCGGCGCCGACCCCAAATGAAGCTTGGACGCCGTCTGGACCTCCGCATTCACGAGCATCCACCTCCACCATTGCAACACATCTACAGCCGCAAGAATGACCACCGCAAACCTCCTCAGCCCACCATCCTTCATCCCTCCGTCGACTGCGCTCGCCCTCTCGCAAAAGGCGCCGCTAATCCTCGCCAATTCTCCCATCTCGTCTCTCCCATGGCCACTCTCACTGCTCTTCTCGCGCGAGACGCCCGAATCTTGGGCTATCCACGAGAACCTCTTCTTCTCAGCCCTGCGAACGGGCGACGAGAAGGCTGCGCAACAGATTCTTGAACGCCTCGAGTCACGGTTTGGCGAACAGAATGAGCGCATTATCACACTACGGGGGATATACAACGAGGCCACTGCGCAAACAGATGCCGACCTAGAGAAGGTGTTTGACGGCTACGAGAAGATTTTGCGCGAGGACCCAACAAACATGAGCATTCGAAAGCGACGGGTGGCTGTGCTCAAGAGCATGGGACGGACCGCAGATGCCATCACAGCCGTGACAGTGCTCCTGCAGAACTCGCCCACAGATAACGAGGCTTGGGCTGAAGCGTCAGAGCTGTATGCCAGCCAGGCTGCATGGGGTCAGGCCATATACTGTGCCGAGGAGGTGCTCCTGACTGCGCCCACAAGCTGGACTGCTCACGCACACGTTGCTACACTGCACTACCTGTCCACCGCGTCCAACAACCCACCGTCATTGAGCGAGCTCTCCCTAGCGCTGAAGCACTTCTGCCGTGCGGCGGAATTGAACGAGAGCTACCTGCGAGGGTTCTACGGCATCAAGACGGTAGCCTCGAAGCTCCTGCCTCTGCTCTCCGACACACAGGCCTCGTCTAGGAAGCGAGGTGAACAGGACGATGAGGATGTGCCGATACCAACACTGACAAGTGTACAAAAGCTGGATGAGCTTGCGACGAAGAAGCTAGGAGAGTTCATCCGGGATTTTGGGAGTAAGAAGAAGGGACAGTCTGGCTATGACGAGGCAGAAATCATCGCGGCGAAGGAATTGCTGAAACAGTAAAGCAACATGTATACCAGTCCGGTCTGAAAGAGTCCATTTACAGTGCATGGAGTTGAGGCGTTGACCAAGACCATCTAGACGTGTTGTCAGCTGAGTCAGAAGATAGTCTAGACGTGGACCTACACACGGGCGACCAACTCTGTATCCTCCATCAATGATAATTATACCCTACCGTTAAGGTTCAAGTTGTCGAGTCTGGTCGTGACCTCCTCCCAAAACATCAGACTGCCTCTCGCTCAGCCCTGTGTCACTTCCACGTCCATCCGTCTTGCGGTTGTGCACGCATTGGTCTTGCTCATTCATCATGGTCAACCGGCCTAGTGGAAGTCTATATGTACTGGAGGGTATTCGTACAAATTGCCACAGCGAGAATCCATCGTCCTAGCCCACAGATTGGAACTCTCACGACCAGGCGGAAGGTGGAGCTTAGATACCGTCTGGCTTGTATGCGCCGGTATGCGCTACGCGACGAGGCGCTTGGTACAGCCCATGCAGGTCAACAGCCTTCATCTAGACACGCGGTTGGAAGCAGAGACAGATCATTGCTCAGACGTACAGCGTCGATTAGGAAAGAGATGGCGAGGATGTACACATATCAAGTCATCAGCCATGAGACATCAGCCATGAGACATCAGTGCACACCAAAAGACAAACAGGCCACGAATATCGCAGCAGCACCTCGCACCCCCACCCACAGCGCATCAAATTCACCAGCCCAGACCCACCGCCGAATCCATGCCTCTTACCTCAGACGCCCGTACTCGGAGATTCCACACCCCCTCCCCTCCCATATACGAGGCTGGCATGGAAGAAAAAACAAACCCACAAGCCCTTGACAGCCAAGCAACGAAAAAGCGTTGGTGATCTCCTATAACGGCGTGCTCGTCGGCGGCGCGCGGAAATAGAATTGTTGCTCCACTGCGCAGGCTGTCGAGTGGATCGGGCACGGGGCTGGCGAGGAGGGTTGGCACGGAGCGTCGACAGGGAAGGGCGACTTGGGAGGGCGACATGGGTCAGGGATGAGGCTGCGAGGAGAAAATCGAGAACTGGGAGGGCGGCGACTCGCACAGTTGTTTACAATTAGTTGAGTGGGGCTCAGCGGCCTCGGATTGACTTGATTGATTACCTATTGAGCCTAGCAATTACCTGCATGGGTTTAATTCCTACCTTGTTGGGTAGGCGCGAGAATGTGAGGTCGATATCGACTTGATTGTTGACAAGGCTGGAGCCTTTTCTTCGCGCGATTCCCAGCACGATGAGATGACCGACATGGTTCGAGAAGGCTGGAAGCAGTGGACGAGGGGAGGGGGGAGGGTGGATAGAGGAGGCTGTGCCGGGTGCCCTGTCCGTTGTGCTGGTAGGTCGCTGGCGGTGATGCAAATCCTCAAAACGCTGCTTCTTCGTCTTCTTGGCAGTTCATGTCAAGCAAGTTGGCGATCATGCTGTCTACGGCCCCGCTGTTCGTCGTCGCTCACGCTGGTGACTTGGACGCCTAGAGATCAGCGGCTGCGGAGAGCATTACGCGTTCGTGGTGCTAGAGCACGTTGCAAGCGTTCAGCAAGGTCTGCTAGGTACTCTGCCGGGTGAGCTGCTCCGGCGAGTAGAAGCCCGGCAGCATAAGCAGTGGCAGCATAAGCAGTGGCAGCATAAGCAGTGGCAGCAGTAGCAGTGGCAGCATAAGCAGTGGCAGCAGTAGCAGTGGCAGCATAAGCAGTGGCAGCAGTAGCAGTGGCAGCAATAGCAGTGGCAGCAATAGCAGTGGCAGCAATAGCAGTGGCAGCATAAGCAGTGAGCAGCATAATCCGAGGGGCGGGAGTGCTAGACGTGGTCCTGCGGTTGTGTGACTGTGGAGCTGAGCTTCACGGTGCCGGGCCAGTCGGATGGGCTGTACGCATGCGGGCGGCATGCGGCTAGTGAATGCAATCGAGTGCCCAAATGCAATGTATGCTGGACGTGCAATGATATCGGTGCATTGCGGGAATTGTGTAATTACATAGCGGTCGCACAGCGCCAGTCTTGGGGTTCGATGACACAGGCACAAGGGGCTGGGGATACAGTGGTCAAAGTGACGTCGAGGGGCCCGTATGATTGCGAGAGTCACGTGGTGTTGAGTTGAGGCGGGCTTGTTCGTCAGCCATAATGGCTGGCAGGAAGCGTCAACATCAAAAACACGTCGGCAAACCTAGCCGGATGCTCTGCCGCGCTCTAGCTTGTGACAGTCGCAGTCTGTGTCGCTCGTGAAAGAGCGAAGGAACAAGCCATGGCAGAGAGTGACTGTAGGACAATGCAGGAGTAGCTAGCAGTTCATCCGTGGTCCGGTCCCGGAAGCGAGCATGCAGCGAGAGATGCAGGCTGGGCACGAGCAGATGCCGTGCGGCGTTGGGAGAGGTGCGCAGGCTGGGAGCAGCCTCTCCTTTTGCTGTTCGATAACGAATACGTGCTGCTGCAGTCTTTACCTGCAGCCGCTGCACCAAGACTGGTGGTCTGGCAGCCACCCAAGAGCGCCGTGCGGCATGGATGGGGTCTAGCAGCGGAGCCGCCAGCATGTGCCTCGGTGGTCAAGGTCAACAAGTTCGCGCACGCCGCGGCCCAGGTCGCACACGGCGGAAACGTGACGATGGGTCTGAAACGGCAGCTCAACGAGCGATGCGGTGTGCAGTGGTGAGTGAAGGACGGGAGGGCCAATTGCGTGTCCGTGACAGTCAGGGTTGCGAGCAGCAGCAGCAGCAGCAGCAGCAGCTGTGTGTGCTGTTGCAGTGACAGGCGAAAAGCGTGCCTGGATGCAGTGTCTAAGTTTGGTACGGTTGCTGGGGGGGTCAGGCCATCCCAGCATGGGTGGTGCGCCGACGGCCTTACACAGCCAGCACCGCGCTCTAGCGGACAGAGGTTTCGCAGAAACTCTGGTAGCTGAGACGGCCGGCGAGGGTTGCCCCCGCGCTGCCGGCGTGCTTGGTCGTTGGTCGCGGGCACTGCAGCGCTCTCCCCTACGTCTCGCTGCTTGCGTCTCGCTGCATACGCGCAGCGGTGTCTACATGGCTGCGGCAGCATAGCGGAGCACGGCGGAGCATAGCAACGCCCAGGACCACCGACTCGCTCGTAGCCACCCGGGCGCGCTAGCCTCTGTGCGGCTCGATTTTATTGCAATCGGTAGATCATCTCGCGAGTTTTGCGAGTGGTCAAAAGTGGTCAACCCCTACCATCCCGCAGCAGCAGCACTTCCTTTGTACGCCCGTGCTCGCCCGCCGCCCTCCTCCCTCTCCGCGCCGCACCCGCCGCAGCTCGCCCGCGAAGGTTGTCGTTCGTTGTCGCCAGTCTCTGTTGCAGAGAAGACTCGGAAGAGGCTGCTACCCGCGCCTGTGACTGGTGAGTACCGTTCGCGGCTCTGTCGCACCCCTACCCCCGGGCTCCAGCCGAGCGGGAACACGCTGGACGCGAGCCGCCACATTCGGGCTGGCGATGGCAGTGTGAGACGCTGCGAGGGCGAGCGAGACGTGCGAAGCCTCTGGCAGCGCTGCGACTCTCAGCGGCTGTTCAACTGTTGCTGCGAGCCATCCAGCTGTCCTGTCGCCGGCGTGCTAGCGCAACCGTGTTGATCGACATTGCCTCGTTGACCTCTTGCGTTGACCTCTCGCCTTGGCCTCCAGCTGCCTGGCCATTGCTGCTGCTGCTGCTGCTGCTGCCACCACGCACGATTGATGATTGACCATCGACTCTACGCGGCCGCTGACACGCAGCCTTAGTTGACCACTTTCACGCTCGCTTTCCACCGCTGCACCGCTGCACCGCTGCACCGCACCCATTGCTACCCATTCATATCCAGCAGCGCCCTCGCCGTCCGCCACAGCCCGCCGCAGTCGCTCGCGCTCCTCTGCCGCTCTACACACAGTCGGCCATTGTCCACCGCGCCCTGCCCGCGTACATGAGATAGCCGCACCACTGCACGCAGGCCACACCAGGCATCGAGAGCGCCTCCCGCGCACCGGCGACACACACCCGCGCCAGCGCCATGGGCAAGCCGGGGCTCGGCCTCTTCACCGGCCGCAGGAAGTCGCAGAGTAATGTGCTGGACGACGCCGCCACCGCTGCGCCCGCCAGCCCCGATGCTGCTGCTGCTGCTGCTGCGCCCGCGCCCGCGCCGCCCGCGGCCGACTCGGGCGGCTTCCGCCTCATGAGCCGCCAGGAAGTCTCGGCGACGGCGGAGCGCCGCAAGACGATGGAAAAGGAGAAGAAGAGCGCTTTTCCGCGATTCTCGGGGTTTGGCAGCGGCGCCAACAAGGCCCGCAACCACTCATTTGAAGATGACTCTCCAGGGTCCTCGAAGCGGTAAGGCTCCCTGGTCCATGCGGTAGCGCCGGCCTGACTGACTCCTGCATTAGTGACAGCAAGTCCAGCAGCGGGACGCAATTTTCGGCCTCTCGTCCTTACATTAACGGCCAGCATGGGTCTACCTCGACCCTGCCGTCCTCGACCGACACAGGCTCCGACGACAACCTCTTTGCCAACGTCCCGCGCCCGCACGTCACCCAGCACAACAGCTCCCCTGGCTCGTATTTCGCCTCCAAGAAGTCGCTGCCGGCCCTGCCCAAGTCTAGCGCAGGAGTACCGCCGTCCAATAATAGCAACAATACCAATACGATGCCGATGCCGTTCGGCTTTGGTAAGCGAGACCGCGCTATGACAGCCTCGAGCTACGCCAGCACGGCGATGCCGCCCAAGCTCGACCAGGACCTGTCCTTTGGGGAAGAGTCATCGTTCGACGACATCTTCAGCGGACTAAACCGCAAGTCGTCCCCTGAGATGCAGCGACAGCCTGAGCCGACGGGCCGCTCGCTCCTTGCGGAAAAGCGCACATTCCAGCCGGAGCCTATCAAGGTCCTGCCACAGAAGCATGTTGAGCCACCCCTAAGAAGTTGGGACAGCCGCGGTTCTGCCGACAACCTCATGGACTCGCCGCGTTCAGACAACGACTCTCCGCCCGCACCGCCTGCACACAAGTACCAGCAGTACGCTCCCGTCTCCATGGCTCCCGACAGCCCCGACCTGCAGTCGTCTGCTACCTTCCAGGACCGCAACGGCCACGCCGCCCGCGAGCCCTTTATGCCGCGCGGAGGAGACAGCTCCCCTGAGCAACAACCCACGTCCATCTCGACGTCGTCTGCCAACTCCTTCGAGACCCCCCTATCATCGCGATCCGCCTCCACCAATGCCACACCGAGGGCCCCGCTGCCGCCGTCGGCCATTGCATACGACGACAATGACGATGACAACATGTTTGCGCCGCCGCCGTCCAAGCCGCTGGCAAAGACATTGTCTGCACCCCGGCCTGCGCCTCCCGCCGTCAAGAACCCCCCTCGACCGGCCACTGCAGGCGGCTCGCGTGTCATGTCACAGGCAGAGTTTCGTGAGTACCAGAAGAAGCAAGCCGCTGCACCACCGCCAGAGGAGAGCGACTCGGAGGAAGACTACGAGGACGAAGAAGACGCCATCAAGAAGCGGGAAGAGGAAGAGGTACTCCGGCGGAAGAACCAGCAAATGTCTTTCGCACGAGAAGCAATGCGTCGCTCGACAACGGCACCGGCAGACCCCAACCGGCCAGAGAGCATCATCGACAATGCTTTCAACTCGACCATGGGCTTCCCGTCCGAGACTTCGATGAAGGCCGACGAGTGGGAGGACGAGGATGTTCCCCTTGGGATTCTTCAACAGCACGGGTTCCCCAGCGCAGCACGCAGCCGGATGCCCACCCAGCCTACCAATGCGATCCCGTCGTACTTTCCTGACCGTCCAGCCTCGGCTGGCGCCATGGGTGGTAGCCGCGGACCGGCCCTCCCCGCCTTTGCCAGGAGACTGCCGATGGACCCTCACGACTCCTTCATTGGTGGTGGTCTGGTACACCACGCAAACCGTGAGTCGCTGGGCTTCAACAACTTCCCTCGCGGCCCACAATCCGTCGCTGGCGATGCCATGGGTGGAGGCTACGGGCAAAGTCCCATGGGCCCACCGCCGCCGCTCATGTACCAGGACGCTGGCATGGCAGCACCCTCTCTCGTGGATCAGATTCAGATGCGCGACATGTCCAAGAAGAAGTACCTGGGTGGTGCATCTACCAAGAAGCCCGCGGAGGGTCCATTCACCGGCATGCTCGGACAGCAGATGAACGCCCAGGGACAAGTCCAGAACCCAATGCGCATGTCCCATATGCCCACGATGAACGGTATGAATGGTATGAATGGCATGAACGGTATGAATGGCATGAACGGCATGAACGGCATGAACCCCATGATGATGGGTGGTGCCATGAACTCCCCCGGCCAGATGCCCATGATGGGCATGGGCATGGGTCAGATGGGATACACACCGCAGCAGCAAGAGTTTATGCAGATGCAGATGCAGTACCAGCAGATGCAGCAAATGATGGCCATGCAGCAGATGCAGTACCAGCAAATGCAACAGCAGCAACAGCAACAAGACCCGCGGATGTCAATGGCAATGCCAAACAGCATGTTCAACAACGGCATGATGGGGCAGGGTCAGAACATGATGGGCAACAACTCGTTCCTGAGTGTGCCAGGCATGCAGAATGGTATGCAACCTCCAAACAACCGGGCCATGTCCATAATGTCCTCTTCGCAGCGCCCATTTACCACGTTCGGCGGAGGCATGAACAATGGCATGGCCATGGGCCCCGGCCCGGGCTACACGCCCAGCATTGCCCCCTCCGAGCGTTCAAACATTGGTCTTTCAGCGCGCTACAGACCAGTCACTAACCACTCGGACGCAGTCTCGAATGGCACAAGCATGACGCTGCAGGCCACATCTGGCGGCGCCAACAAGCCCGGCGCCATCAAGGGCATCCTCAAGAAGAGCCCGCAGATCAACGTCGACGAAAAGGACGACGAGGAGGACTGGGGCTCCATGGCCGCCCGCAAGAGCAAGTTCGGCAAGGGCAAGGAGAACGCGACCGCCGGCCTGGAAGACCTGACGCGCGGCCTGAACATCTGAGACGGCGCCTTTCCAATGCCTAGAAGATTGAAGACGACCTTGGAGTCGAGACGAGACGAGACGAGACGAGACGAGAGGGGACACGTTTGAAGATTTGACCGCCGGGGGGGGGCTTGCAATATGGAGTGATGGATTTTCTGCATCTAAATGGCGTTTTCTCTCTTGCTTGAAGCTTGGCTGGGCTTGTACGGAAAATTATCAACGCGACTACCCCTTTGCGATATCATATGGCATTGAAAGGGGGGCACAGAGTATTGCATGCATATCCAAAGCTTAGCGGCTTTATTCTTTGGGTCGTTTGGAGGAAACGAGGGTCGGTGGGACGGGATAGAATTCGATGTAATTATAATACCACATGCTTCGGCTCCTTCTCCGCACTTCTCCGCACTCGTACCCGCATCGCACCTTTGTCAGTTCATGGAATGTGGAGAGATGAGGCAATTCGCGTGTTGTAGGTAGGTAGGTAGCAACGATCAGGACCCAGACAACGCCACCTAGACTAATACCTCCTGGCCGAAATGGACGCAGACGCATATCCAACTCCAACCCCAACCCCATTCCATCCAGAAGACATCCAACTCATCCAGTGCCCCTCTTCCAACAACACTCTCAACCCTCCCACCAACTCACCACATCACCACCCCCCTCAAACCACGCATCCTTACACCCTCTGACATCAACCACATCAACCCAGTCGTCATTCTCCACTGCCAGCGCCCGGGGAACGCGTTTCAGTACACCGCTCGCACACCCATCGAACCCCATGCCCACACTGCGCTCAGCAGCCGGTGTCTCGCGCTCTTTGCCTTGGACGTGGAGAGGGAAGGCGCTGCTCGCGATCCGGCGCGGCGGCGCGTCGTGCATGCCGACGTTGGCATCATGTTCGAGCGGGTGGGAGTCGTGGACCAAGCCACAGCGGTCGATGCGCTGCATTGCTCTGACGACGGGATCCGCGTAGTTGCGCAGACGCCACGTTTTGCACTGCGACGTGTACGTGAACGCCCAGATAGTAATGTCTGGGTGCGTCTGGATAGTGAGTTCGCTGATGTCCGGCAATCTACCAATCTCAGTGCCAGATAGGGATATTGGCCAGATGGAAGTGTTGGTCTCGCCTTCAGGCCTGTCGGCTGGATCGAAGGCTACGGGCTCATCCCACCAGTTGAGCCAATGGTCACGATGGCGGCCGTCGGATGAGAACGGGGGTGCGTTGTATATTTCCCGACTCTCCGCTGCTTGCTCAAGTTTTGAGAGTGCGAGAACGTCGGGCGGTATGCTGTACAGCACGATAATATCTCCATATGCTACGACGATCCGGGCTCCAGATGACATGTCGGCGGCCGCCGTGTAGAATCGCGGAACACTTTGGAAATGTGTTGACTGCTTCAAGGGATCAGGATTCTCAGGTGGGGTCAAGACGACCTTGCGCAATAGCTTCGTAGGCCCACCAAGCGGTGCATCACATCCGAGGGTCAGCCGTTTAGTGGAGGGGTCGATGAAAAGCACGTGGTGGCCATCACTCAAGGGCACAGCCTGGAGGTGGTCGCAGTCGTGAGATTGGCGACGGTGCCCCTCCCAAGCGAAGGAGTTCCAGAAGGGGATCGTCATCGGATTGGGGAAGAACTTCCGGTTGAGAGCTGGTCTGTCACTGGGGTGCGCGGCGCTCGAAATCAGGCGCAGCTTTTTGGCCGATTCGAATCCAGGACGCGGCGATAAGAAGTAGAGGTGGTCACTTGGTGACGTGAGTGGGAACCATCGACTCAAGCTCTGTCCGGTCAATGCGTCTATCCAATGTAGTTCGATGCCAGCTGAACATCCAAACGCAACGCAACGGCGCTGCGGGCATATAGAAACATTGCGTGGTGGATCATCTTCGGAGCACAGGTGACGGTAGAAGATGGAGGTACCGCTTTCTAATGGGATGTTCTGTGCAGATGGTGTGGCGACTGAGTTTGTTCTCAGGTTCTTCAGGGGTCCACGAAGATTGAGATTCCACGTTTGGTTGATCAGGTTCTGATCGTGAGTATTGGGGTTATCGGTGCCACGGAGACTGAATTCTTGGCTGTGTGCTCTGAGTTCGATTGCACTGAACGTGTCCAGGTCTGGGTTCTGAACATACGGGAAGCCGCGAAGAACTCTGGGCGAAGTGTGTTCCAAAGAGTCTATCGCGTATTGTAGATCGCTGGTGTCACCCACAGGTATTGTTGGCTGAGTACCAGCCCGGGGCGGGAATCCATCTCCTTCGACACAAGTATCTTCAGAAGCAGGCTCGGGAGGTGGCCGACCGTATCGAAGCTCGCATACCATACCCATTCTTCCTTCTAGAAGAGCGGCAACAGCATCTCGACCAACAGACGTGTTCATACTCACAGAAAGAACCCTTCTCGGGCATAACACGCTGGTAAGCGGTTGCAACAGGCCATCCCTCATAGCGTAGATATAGATGAGGGTGTCTTTCACCACCATTAGGTACTTGCCGCAGATACTCGCAGTGAATATCAGACCCCCGTTGGCTCGCCCTTTGTGGGGGGCATAGCCATCAGCCAGGTCAGAGAAGTCAATATCGGTGCTTTCGACGATGACAGGCCCAGCATCCAATCCATTGCCGGTCCAATGAGCATTAAGAGCACACTGACGGGAGAGGTACCGACTGATGGACCATACCCCGTCGCTATATGGGGTAGAGTGTATCTGCATCTGACCGGAACAAGCACTCAGCCTGGAGGTTGTACAAGAAATGTCGCCAGTCCACCCTCCACGGGTCAACATCGCAACGAGCAGGCTTCTGTTCAGACTCGCCATCATCCACCTGCGGCAGGTCCGCCGAGCAGCATTGAAGTCTTTCGCATTGAGGTAGATGTATATGCTTACCAGTATTTCTATGGGCAGTGTGCCAGAAGGCGGAAGTGGTGACTGTGCAACAGCCTTTTCGTATGTAAGCGTGGGGCCTTTCAACATCTTTCCGGTGATCATCGGGGTTTGAAACGAGTCGTTGGCGGTGGGCGTGCTTGAAGGGGTGTCGCCTTGTGTAGTGATCTGACCCAGCAAGCCAGTCTCGTTCTCAGGACACTCAGACAACGGATCTGCGAGCTCCTCAATCGGTGTGTTGACCCCAAGAAGCACGCCCGACATGCTTCGTACCACACCCAGCAGGCTCTCGACGGGTTCTAGTACCACTTCTTCAACACTCGCACGATCGACCATTGAGAATGAGTCTGTGCGAATATGACGATACAGACACGTATCATCAAAAGATTCTGTCAGGCCAGGGAGTTGAGATGTTGAGTTGTTGTGTGACTCTGCAGATTGCAGACTGGGTCCGCTAAATAAGAACACACCAGGAGAGACAAGGTCAAAACTTGGGACCGACCCGTGAATCGAAGATGCTGGCCGTGAACCAAAGCTCGATGCTCTCGATCGCGTTTGTGGGCTCGTACTGTGCGCTCCTCGTTCTGTGTTACCACTGAATAACGAACTGATGACTCTATGAAATGTACCCCGTGGTCTCAGTTGTCGTCTGTAAAGAAATGCGCTTCGATAATGATCGACCCTTGAGATACGAGAAGTACTCCCACGACTGGCGGTTGTAGGAAGACGTGTAGAACGAGGGAAGACATGGCGTAGTACTTCTGAGCGTCTTGTTGCTGGAATATCAAGGTCACGATATGAACGGGATCCTGAATGCTCAGTCGCACGCCTAGGAGTTGCATCGATACAGCTCGAGGCTTCGGACATATGCTCCATCGTCTGACACATGTGTGTAGTAGGGTGTATGGGACTGAGAGACAGCCTGTGGATACTCGGTGATTCGAAGGACGGCGCGACCTGACGAGGCTTGGTGTCGAGTGTAGGAAGGACGGGTTCTGACTTGGTGCCGGCAACTCCCCTTGAGAGGTAGATCTGGGAAGACGTTGTCGCTGCACTCCCAATGGGAGGCTATGTAGGGTTGGTGCGCGTGCGCTAGGGTCGTGTTGTAGTGATAATAATGCAACCAGGATCGAACGATCGGATTCAAAGATGATACTGCTTAAAAATGAATAAAGGAAGAAGCAACACAGTCACCCGCAATGCATTCGCAGATGGATTGCCGGGCGAGCGATGTTGAATGAGGTGGAGCCGGGTCATTAAAAGCGAAGACATTGCATTTGGGGTATCGATTAGAGGGAAAGAACGCCGCGGGCTTATGCTGGAAGGCAATACGAACAACTTATACAGAAGGTGCTATGCAAACTCTCGGAAAGACGAACATTAAGACAAGAAGAGGCTGCTACTTGTGCTCATTCAAGTACCACCATTGCTGCTGTGCGGAGTGGATCCATCGGACGTATTTGTGGATCTTGCGTTCTTGTTCGTAAGCCAAGCTTCGTTCAAACTACAAAGTTCATTAGTACTAGGGTGTGTCAGATGGGTTAGTAAACTTACGGCATAACAAGACTTGGAATCTCGAACTTCAGGCCACGCTCTCTGGCTTCATCCAATGTGAGCCGGCCTACTTGTCGAGTTTGCCCATCGCGTTGGGCGTGAACAGCGTCCTCTTGAACGTCGCGTCCTAAGTTTGATCGCTCGGGATCGTGCAGACTCCGGAGAGCAATGAATTTCATCAGAGGTCGATATGTTCGTGCGTAGATGAACAAGAACCAGACAGTTGCAATCGCCAGTGGTGCAACCATGACAGCGCGTTTGAATGCTTTTTTCAAAGCCAGCTGTCCAGCGACTGTTGCTTGGAAGAATACTACTCCAATGATGACACGGTCGCACATCATTGTCCAGCCTCTGCCCGTCGAATGCTGGCGATGCTCCATTGCGTAGAGCAGTTGGTATTTGTGGACGAATTGACCAATGATGAAGTATGCAAGACCGATCAGAAGGACCTGCCAAGAATCTCTCAAGACACTGTAGACAAGACAGATGATGAATATAAGTATAGTCTGAGGCAGGAAGAAACCATAGCTGAAGACGGGAGGCTGTACGAGTTCTGCGTAGTCTAGTGCAACAGTCAGTACCAACTTTGCCGTGGGTTCAAAGGTACGTAAATACCTCGGGGTGTCTTCGCTCCGATCAAGTAGATGGGATACAATGAGAGGGCGCCAAACTCTAACAGGCGGAACGGGAACAAACCGAAGGCTTGCAAGATGATAAAGTTGGTGTAGAAGCCGATTAGAGCCGACAGAGATCTAGCCAGTGCGAAAGCAATCTCCGTAGCGCTCGTCAGTCTCTCCGAGACCTTGCTCAACAAGTCCACAAAGTTGGATGCAGTTCCGAGAATCGTGAACCAGATAAAGAAGTTGAAGAACGTGAAGAAGAAGTTCTTTGATATGACAGACAGCTCGACGTCACCTTGCGAGATCATGCCTTGCTTGTTCGCCAACCCTGCCAATGTTAGTAAAAAGAAGATTTCCGTGCGATGGTACTTACAATCATAGAGGAATGGCACGAGTACGTTGAGCAACGTCACTGATAGAGTCGGCAAGAACGAGTTCACCAGCTGTTCCAAGAGTGGGTGCTGCGTGAGGGCGTATGCCAGCCGCGGGAAGACTTCCTCGATAGCGCAGGTGTTCAATGCGCCAGCGATCGGGACAAGGATGAGAGCCCAGAAGATGGTCAATACTCCAATGAAGAACGTGATGGTCCAAGACCTGAATATGCGTTGACTCCGTGAGAGATAGGTGTTGGGCCAAACAACATCAGATGGAGCGGGGCTGTTGTTCGCAAGAAGCTGAAGGGGCGACGGGTCCAAGACAGCTTGTATGGCCATCTGTGCACTTGCCACACTGTCCATCGTCACGAAAGCCAGCGGCACTGGTTCAAACTCTTCCTTGCGCAGCGCCTGGATTTGGTCATCCAGTCTGCGAAGCTTCTCTTCGTAGTAGTCGATGGCATCGACGGTCTTGTAACGCAGCCTAAGGGGACCGTGCCAGATTTTCGCTTTTGGTCGCTGGCGTGCATATGGAACAACGTCATCAGGATCTCTATCAGTGCCGTTGAGAAGTCGACTGTCTTCCCGGTCGTCCGCACTGGCCTGCGGGGGATGAGGCTGAACCACAGGCAGGGTTTCCAAGCTGCGTTCAACCCTCCTGCTTCCCAAATGGACCGTCCAGGCTTCTTCAAGCTTTCGCAGTATAGTCTGTCGCCTGATCATCTTATCGTCCAACTCTTTCCAATTCCTACAAAGCGTCACACTTTCAACCCTGCCGATTTGGAGGTCTTCTATGAATTGCTTTATTTTATCCTCGGAGCGCAGATCCAACGGGATTCCGGATAGTCTAATCGTCCGATCGGTGATGGTTGTTTGACTGCCCAGGTACGCTTGTCTTATGTCGATGATCCGTCTGGTCTCCGAAACAATCAGGTATAGGATGAGCGCTGTGAAGAGGTAGACAAACACGAGGTACATCCAGAGGTAGTCTGTGTAGTTGTAATAGTCGTACTCGGCCCAGGATGTCCACAATGTGTCTGAGCGCATCTCAAGGTGTTCGCCCTTCTTGTCGCCATCGCCACCAGAGGGCGGTTTTTTCCCCTCCGGATGGGTATCGTGAACCGGTTTGATTACGGCGAGTGCGAAGAACAGCGTGACGAGGAGGAATTTGATTGCGAGTTTGAAGAATGCGAGATACTGCAGCCTCGTTAGCTCAAAGCCGTACCTGAATCATACCACATACCACATAGGCATCTAGACCAGCCGAGGCTAGCACCTGCTCATCTGTGATCTTCCACAGGGGTACTATCCAGCCGAAGAAGGTATCCGGAAGCGCAGGAAGCGCAGTCGCAAGGTTGTTTTGCTTCTTGCGTGCAGCGTACAAGCCTTTCCACCGTGGTCGCAGGAACTACGTTGCCCGATTAGCGCTTTGCTACCAGGTCACAAAGACAAGAGTCGTACACAGAAGAGTAGAAATGCTCCCACGCCGAGTGTCAAGGAGATGTAGAGCTGTAGTCGAACATCGCGCGCGTCCTGGTCCCCTACCACGTCGCGCCCGCTCCTACAGATGGTAGTTTTGTTTTTGTTATGGTCGTCCATCACCGCGTAATGTGTCTGGTAGCCATGCCAAAAGGTGGGAGTAAGAGACAATGGGGGGTCGCGGGAATTGTAAACGCGCGTGCACAGAGGGTCGGCGCGGCGGTGAGCTCATACTTCGTAGCATGCAGGACGTAACAGGCTAGGCAGAGCTTGGGCGTAGGGCTGTAGCCCGCCCATGTGCTGCAGCCTCGCCCTATCGATTCTTGTTCTCCAGCGACTTTGTGTTTCACGCTCACAGACTGTCTGAAAGAAACGGCGACATCCATGCACGTTGTTCTCATGGCTTGATCGACTCTGCAAGCCATTTGATTGGGCTGTGAGGTCCTGTTACTTTTCAGTGTCTCACCTATGCTTTGTTAGGAGACATGTCCTTCAAGTAAAACAACCCACAACCCTCAGCGTACGAAGTACAGTAAAGCATCGAGTTTTCGTCTTCGATCCGACTCAAATTGCGCCCTCGTCAACGACCAAGGCTTGCAAGCCAGAATTTAGACGGCATAGCGCCAAACAAAGACCGCCCTATGCCAACCGTGCACAAACGGCCAACGATAACTACTTATTGTCACAGATGTGACATCTGCAGAATCGCGTGCATGTCTCTTCGCAACGAGGTATCTGTGCTGGAGGCATACAATCATGCTAAGTTATCCGAAGAAAGGTATTCTAGTCGGAGAGAACAGCGGATTTTTGTTCTCATCCAATGCAGCATGACCCGCGGATTAACCGCAGCCATGGCAGGCAAACCGGCGAAATGGACAGCTTCGAACACAGTGATACGGCAATACGGCACAAGACGTCCACTAAAGCGAGCCACAGTCATGCAATACAATATACTGCTAGCTGGAGCCGCTCGATCCTGCAAATCGAACAACGTCTTTCGGAGACTGATTGCCAAAATCAACGACCGCTGCATTTGCAGCATTCTGGTGTGAACGCATGATCTGTGTCATTCTGACTGACCTCACCCCTGCCTCCCAATTTGTGCTAGTGTGTGGATTATCAAGCATTGAATTTGCGCTTGGCTAAAAGCTTATTTGATGGCCCGCTCGTGATGCCAGTCTAGGTCTGGAACACATGAGATGTTTGGTCGACAAGCGCTGCCAGGACGCGCAATCTGGGTTCCAAGAGTCGGTCCCTTTGACGATTTGACATGGGTTACAGATGGTAGTGCGACTCTGAACGCCCAGGCGAGCAAGTCCAACGCTGCAATTACGTGGCAGAGGCCAGTGTGTAATTGTTTGGAGCTCGTTTTGGGCACCTCTTCGACGGAGCAGCGCTAAGGCTATGCCCGCTGCACTGTCACTGGCGGTCATCAGCTGGTCGCCCGACAGCCCACATCCCAGACGCCATTCCCGTTCCGCAAGCCGTGAATTGGGGCACGGCGCGTCTCTAACAATATCGTCCACCTTGCCCCAGCCCTGCTTCTGCTCACATCGCTCTCGCCTCCAGACAACACGCTTTTCCTCATCCCGCGACCGAACCGCGCATTCCAACTTGTATCGACATCCACTCGGGCTTCTGCATCCGACATCTCTCAATCTGCACCCTCTCAGCCGGACCAGACCCTGTGTTCCCGCAGCGTGCGTCGCCCTTGGCAGCCAAGATTGATGTGTCTCTTGGGACAGCCTTGGATACTCTCTACCGACGTCAAGTGGTACGTAAATAGCCACCCGCAATGCAAGTCTCGACGGCTGCCCGTGTTGTCTGTGCGAGAAGGGCATGGTGTTGCATTGTCGCGCACCGGCGATCGCCCGGCTCTCGCACTTGCAGCCGCCCATACGCTAAGAGCAGCACTGCCCCGATCGCTCCCCACATCCGCAAGGTCGACTCTAAATGCCCCTGCCACGCATGTAGCCACCCGCAATGCTGACTGCAAGCCAGCGCATTTTAGTTCCTGACCACCGTCGCCGTGTCGCTCGCCACAGCCCCCCGTTGACCTGAGACAGTTGCGTGTCGCCGCGACTCGCACCCCTCCGCAGCGCGCCCAACATCGAAGCAACCGCCAATTCGGTCTGCCACGCCCGGATCGCGAATCGCGTCGCTCGACTCGTTCAGACACGTCTTCAGCCGCCTGCAGCGCACCTTCCCGGCCCGTTCCTCCCGTCCTACTGCTGCGCAGTCCTCGGTCACCGTCTGTGCGCTGCTCGAACGTTTGGACTACGGTACATACCGTCAAGCTTCCACAAGCTCGTCCTGCACGTCCGACTCCAATCGTGCACTATCATCGCGGACGCTCCTGCGCATACGTAGCTTGGCACCCACTGGATTGCGTGCGGCTTGTGCCCTCTCACATCGGTCGCGGGTAGCCGCAGCATGTGCGCGTTGCAAGTAGCATGACTTCCAGCTCCCATCGCGACTCCGTCTCCTCCAACTCCCCAGCGCCCAGCAGATCGTTCCTGTCGCGACTGAAATCGCCCTTGTCCTCCAAGTCGCGCAACTTCACCGACTTCTACATTCAGTCAGACGACCCACATCGCCAGTACGTTCCGGGAGACATAATAAGTGGAACCGTCATCATCAAGGTTGTCAAGCCTCTGAGGATCACGCATCTGGTCGTCTCGCTGCACGGCTATGCACAGGTGTTCAAGAACCCAAATACGCCAGGCGATGCGTACAAGAACTACTCGACAACAATTGGGTCAGGGAGAGGGAAGAGGCAGGGAAGCTACTTTGGAAATGGCTTCGTATCACTTTTTGAGGACGAGGTAGTCCTCTGTGGTGAGGGCAAGCTCGCAGAAGGTGTCTACCATTTCAACTTCGATTTGGAGTTCCCTTCAAAAGGCTTGCCAAGCAGTATTGACGTAAGGACAATGCAGCGATCTGCTCACTAAGGATCCTGTCGCTGATCATTATTTTAGTTCGAACGGGGTACAGTATGCTACATGTTGACCTCGACGTTGACAAGGCCGACAACCATGTCGCCTACCACGACATGCGATGTCAAGGTCACTCTCCGCGATGTGATTGATGTTGCACCAGTTGCAGAGCCCAAACCTCGTGTCATATCCTTGGAACCTATCTCACGACGCACACGGACTAAGCCTCCTCGGAAACGAACAGATACCGGGGCATCGGAAAGTGTTCCACCCACACCTGGCAGTAGCACCGAAACGCCACGATTAGCCCCACCAAGGTCAGAGCCTGGAAATGGATCGCCTGAAGGAACTATCAATCCACGCAGCCCCTCCCCAAGTGAAACAAGTTTTGCAAGTCATATGAGCAGCAGTGGTGCTTCAGGCACGGAGTACGGCATCCGGTCTGTCAACACCGTGACCGACGCCGGTGGCTCCGTAGCTGCTAGTGGCAGCCGACCGACCGTGAGAGGGAAGACCATCACGGCTACAATCGACGTTCTAAAGGGCGGGTTCCTCAGCGGCGACCAAGTACCCATCCGAGTCACTGTCAATCACAACAAGCACATAAGGAGTCTGAAGGGCATCATCGTCACCCTCTACCGTCAGGCAAGGGTAGACATGCATCCAGCCCTGCCTGTTGCACCCAATAGCAAAGGCGACAAAACAAAATCAGAAGAGTATTATCCTAAATCTAGGACAGGGCTCGGCGGTTTGTCGCTATCGTCGGCAGGATCGAGTCATACTTTCCGCAAAGACTTGGGCCAATCGTTTGCACCACTGTTTGTCGACCCCAGGACGCTCACTGCAGACATCAAGTGCTCGGTCAGAGTGCCAGACGACGTGTTCCCGACGATTTCGAATGTGCCTGGCGCTATGATCTCGTTCAAGTACTACGTTGAGGTTGTTGTTGACATCCAAGGGAAGCTGACGGGTCTGGACCGATTGGTGTCAAACGCTGGGGTAGTCACTGTTCCAACCTCGACAAACAGCACACCGGGCGGGGCCGGACGAGACGAAGCCGCAAGCAATACGTTCTCGACCTGGGGCGGCAACTTTGTCGACACAGATGGCATCCGACGAGAAAAGGGTGTCATCTCTTCACTGTTCGAGGTCGTCGTGGGCACAAAAGACAGCGAGCGGAGTGGCAAGCGGAAACAGGTCCAAGCTCTACCCTCCAATGGCCATGACGGCGTTCATGAGATACCCTACGGATCTCACGATGAAGAGAACATGTATGGCGAGCACGACCATTACGACTACGGTTACGACGAGCACGGTCAGTACTACGGCGACTATGGCTACGATCCAGCATACTACGAAGTCCCTGGATACACCGATCATGGCGCAAATGGAAACCATTCCCACCATGTTCCACCAGTACCAGCGCAAGAAGAGGAAGGTCTGTCAGAGAAGGAACGACTACGGCGAGCAGAAGCCCTGCTGTTACCGTCAGCACCTCCTGGCGCTGCTGACGGTCCTTCAACACCCGGCGGCGCAGTTCAACACGGCATTCCCGCCTCCGCGCCAATTCTCCCAGAAGATGACGAACTCAACCTCTCGTACCCACCCGAGGCATCATCATCCTCCTCCGCACCATCCCATCCCCCACCACCCTTCCGCGCCGCAACAGAATCATCACTCCCATACCGAGCCCCCCTTCCCCCATCAATACGCCGCACCGCGACCGAAGACCTACCCCAGACCCTCGCCACAGGCTCCTCCCTCACCATCAACGCGCAAACACCTTCTGCTCCACCAGGCACAAATGGCAACGGCGCCGAACAGCACTCCAAACCCCTGCCACTCCTGCCACCGCAGTCTCCAGGCGCAGCACCAAACTACTTCCCTCCATCTTCGCACGTGCAAGCCACAGACGATAAACAGGAGATGCAGCGGCGGAGGCTGGAGATGGAGAGCAGCGCGCCCCCCCCTGCAGAGGGGGGCGAGAGCTCACAGGCGCCGTCGAGACCGCCTGTCAACGGGTCCAGTCGCGCTCCTGCTCGCTTTGCTCCCGGGCATCTGGCTCCGAGCGCGCCGATGCTGGATGAGGATGATGAGGAGCTGGCGGCTGCTATTGCGCCGATTCGGATTCGGGCTGAGAGACCGCGTAGTGAGGCGTTGCCTGAGTACCAGCGATGATGGGAGCAACTGAAGAGCAGAGATGTGCGAGAGATGGTGGGAATTGCTTAGCATTGGCGTTCTGGCGTAGCGTGAGCCCCGAAAGGCACTGTGCTGTTTGGTGCTGATGTTCTGCGCTTTACAGATTTTATGATACCTCGTTGTTCTTGTAGATTGAATGGTCATACCGAATTGCGATCCTCCAACAAACATTCTTTTTTCTATAGATATGACGTCCATGTGCTGACTTCTCCTCAACCATGCTCGTGTTTGCTCCCATGCTTGGGCAGACCACGCCGAGCCACCAGTTGCAGTCAAGCATCCGCATCCAATGCTTGACTATTCGAGGAAAGCTTCGCTTACATCGCCCCCACGTACACCGCCTTACGACAGCACCCGTCCAGTTTCAAAGCACCGGCGAAGTATACCTGTTCCTGCACGCTCCAAAGACGCCGCAGTCTCTCGATTGCTGCTCTAGGCCACGATCACACCTGTATGGCTGCTCTTGGCTGCCGGTTAATCGGGAGCCACATTCCTGAATACGAGGCCTTGTGAGTCCAGGCCCTGCATGGCGCAATTCTACCTTTTCAGCTCCCTGATTCTGGCCTCGATGATTCCCGACAGCTCCCGCGAGTGGGTCTCGTACTCCGTCTGTAGGTGGGCTAGCTTGGTGGTCATTTGTGATTCGAGAGAGGCTTTCAGGGCAATGAGGTCGGCGAGGCGCTTCAGCTGAGCGCTGTGGGCAGTATCACTGATTTGGAGTTAGTTGAGTGGACTTTGCAGGGCCAATCCGGGAGGGTCCCGGAGCATATTAGTGTCAATGAGCTGATGTGGGTAGGAGAGCAGCTGCTTTGATTCCAGGAAGGAGGGGATCGAGTAGTGGGCAACGAAGACTTGGCGACGGCGGAGTGCAGAGGTGTCAGCGACTCACGCCTGTTCTTCATGCTCTTCGAAGAGTGTGATGATATTGTTTTGCAATTCGGTCTTGGCGAGGCTGAACTTCTTCTTCACTTGCTTCTTGTTTGCAATGTGGCATTTCGCCTGCTGTGGAATTGTTAGAGTATCTATCAGCAGCCATGTGTGTGTGGAGCCTGACATACGTTGCTGAGAACTCCGATACTCATGTTCTGAACTGCAGTGCCCTGGGAGGGATCGACGTTGTTGTCTTCGGTTTCGTACCCAGCATCAATGGGTTCGTCTGCGTCAGTGTCTTTGTCGACTTCCTCGACAGCTTGTCTGCGGGCATTGCGATCTTGACGTGAGGTAGTCTGCTCGGCCGCCCTACGTGGCTGTTTGGCTGTGCGTGGAGGGGCCATGCTGTTGGGTAAATGAGCAATATTTATTAGTGTGTCGATGAAGTGTGTCTGATGAAAAGAGTCTTGCTTGCTCTCGACTCGGTCTTTGAAGTCTGCAGCACAAGATTGCTTTGGTGCTGTCAAGTTGCGGAAGAGAGCAGGAGCAGCAAGGGTCACTCTAGCCGGAACCCCACATGTGGGTCCTGAAATTCTTAGCGCGCTTTCCTCCGCCAAATTTTGGTGAGAGGAAAGAGCGCTCCTGCAGCAACTTCAAACCGAAAAACTAGTCGTCACCATGGGTCTCGCACAACAGAAGAAGTACGGCAGCCCTCCGCTCACGTCTTACTCAGCCATCAGTTTTACTATCACTAACAGCCTCTAGCCGCTCGAAGATCTCCAACGATCCCCAGAACAACCACTGGGCGCACAACACCGAGCGGTTCGGCCACAAGATCCTAGCCGCACAAGGATGGAAGACTGGCGACACACTCGGTGCTAAGGACGCTGCCCACGAAGCGCACTACACACAAGCCTCGCAATCGCACATTCGCGTCTTCCTGAAAGATGACAATCTTGGTCTGGGCGCAAAGCGTGGAAGTGAGCGTGCGGAGAACTTTGGTCTTGCCGGTCTCGAGAGTATTCTCGGACGTCTGAACGGCAGGGAGGAAGAAGTCAAGAAGGAGGAGGCCAGGCGCGAGGAAATCGAGAAGAGGGCGTATGTGTACAGGAAGTTTGGCTCGATGAACTTCATCAGTGGTGGCTTCCTGGTTGGTGACAAGCTGGTGCCTAGGGCAGAAGTCAAGTTGGAGTCCACAGAGCTCAAGATCAAAGAGGAGTCCGACAGCGACAACGAGTCGAGCAAGAAGCGCAAGCGGGACGTAGCCGATGCGTCTGAGGAGGGCTCAAGCGAGCAGAAGCTGAAGCGCAAGAAGAAGAGTATGAGCTTGCGCGAAGAGGCCGACAAGCAAGACAAGAAGGCCAAGAAAGACAAGAAAGACAAGAAGGAGAAGAAGGAGAAGAAAGAGAAGAAGGACAAGTCGAGCAAAAAGATTAAGAAGGAGAACGCTTCATCCGACCCAGAACCGATGTCTGACGATGCGCCCACGCCTGCCTCGGATCCCGAGCCCCTCACAGACAAGGCGAGGCGAAAGGCAGAGAAGAAAGCCCGTAAGGAGGAGAAGAGGCTCAAGAAGGCTCTCAAGAAGGCTGCGAAGGAGGCCAGGAAGTCAAAGGACAGCGCGGACGACTCGAGCTCGGACAGCGACGAAGACGATGCAACACCAAGCTCCTCGGTACCGGTGACCGGCACATCGACACCCAGCTTCGTTCCACGAGGTGTACAGACAGCCAGGCACAGGCACATCATGATGAAGAAGCGCGCAAGCATGGATCCACAGGCATTGAAGGAGGTACGTAAAGACATTCGCTTGAGACGCTTGAGCTCGCCGCTAACATGTCTGTTCAGATATTCATGATCAAGACGCCAGTGGCATGATGCACTGACTCTCGTCGTTTCCGTGAGCATAGCGAGGCGTTTGGGAATTGTTGTTAGCATGAGCAATACAAGCCGTTGATCCGTGAACTGCATTAGCCAAAAGACTCCGTTCCACACTCTCTGCCGGGCGTTCCATTGAGATTTCCTGTCTCTATGCGCGCCTGCAGATCATCTCGCACAGGCAGTGGTTGGAACGTCAAGTCAGTGGGCGGTACTGCTTGCGTTGCGGTCGAGGCTGTGTTATGGCATCCGGGTCGCTCCGCAATGCGTAGTGCACCTTAGTGGGCAGATTTGGCAGGGGTGTGAGAAGTACCCCGGTTGGCACCACCGTTCCTGCATGGCGGCTTGGAGCGTCAGTTGATCAAGGCTAGCGCGCCCATTGGGATCGCCTATGTATGTAATGAGAGATGCAAGTTACGCAGCGCTCAACGCCTCCTGAAGAAAGAAAGTCGACGCATTCTGCCCCACACAAACATACTCGCTGCAATCTACGGGCATGGCCGCCAACGGCAGTATTCGCAGACCCGGCTTCGCCTCGCCTCGTGAGTCCTGGCACCACCTGGGCACAATCTTGAAGTCATTGTCATGGCTGACCCTCGACCGCAGTCACCGTCCAACAGCGCTCGACGTCACAATCCACGCAAACGCCTGAAAACTCGCCCGACGGCCCTGCGCGCACGCAATTGGCTTCCAAGATGCCGTCCGCCGTCCCCGCAACAACGCCTACTGCGCCCGCCCTGGCGCGGAAACAGTCGACGCCGATGATGCCGCCCTTTATGGTGTCTGCGCCGGGCAAGGTCATTGTGTATGGCGAGCATGCCGTCGTGCACGGCAAGGTACGGCTCACGCAACGCCAACAGCAGAAGGCCGATTTAACATTGTGCAGGCTGCCATTGCTGCTGCCATCTCGCTGCGCTCCTACCTCCACGTCTCGTTCCTGTCCAAGTCGAACCGGACCGTGCGACTGCGCTTCCCCGACATCCAGATGGAGCACACGTGGAACATCGACCAGCTGCCATGGGAGGCCTTCTCCAAGGCGGGGAAGAAGAAGTACTACTACGACCTCGTCACAGCGTTGGACCCCGACCTCGTCGCCGCCACCCAGCCGTTCGTCGACGAAGTATCGCCAAAAGCCCCCGAATCGATACGCAAGATACAACACGCATCCGCCTTCTCATTCCTCTACCTGTTCCTTTCGCTGGCCTCGAGGAAGACACCGCCCTGCGTGTACACCCTGCGCTCAACAATACCAATAGGGGCTGGGTTGGGCAGCAGCGCCAGTATCTCTGTCTGCTTGAGCGCCGCATTACTCATGCAGATTCGCGCATTGAGCGGTCCTCACCAGGATCAGCCACCGCAGGAGTGCGAACTGAACATTGAGCGCATCAACCGCTGGGCCTTTGTCGGAGAAATGTGCATTCACGGCAACCCGTCCGGTATCGACAACACAGTATCGTCAGGCGGCAAGGCAGTGCTGTACCAGAGGATGGGTGAGGGGAAGCCGCCCCGCGTCGAACCTCTCCACAACTTCCCAGAGCTGCCCTTGCTTCTCGTAAATACACGGCAATCGAGAAGCACGGCGACCGAGGTAGAAAAAGTAGGCGTACTCCGGACATTGCACCCAGCGCTAGCAGAGAACATACTCGAATCAATCGGCATGGTCACCGAATCTGCATACCAGCTCCTCAATTCACCAGACTTCGATCCCACATCCCACGCCTCATTAAAACATCTCGGCGAGCTGGTGACTATAAATCACGGCTTGCTCGTCTCGCTCGGCGTTTCACATCCCAAGCTCGAGCGCGTCCGAGAACTCATCGACCACACCGGCATCGGCTGGACAAAGCTTACCGGCGCCGGCGGCGGAGGCTGCGCCATCTCGATCATCAAGCCCAAGCCCCCCGCGCTCACCAACGGTCACAGCAACGGCCACGAACTATCTTCTGACGAATCGTCCGATAACTCTTCCGAAGCGGACTGCAGCCTGTCGATAATCTCGAACGGGACAAAACTCAAGCACAAGATCTTAGATTCTCTGGAAGTCAAGCTCGAAAACGAGGGCTTCGAGAAGTTTGAAACCACACTAGCTGGCGATGGCGTAGGCATTCTCTGGCCCGCCGTTCTGCACAATGGTAATGAAGAAGAGGGCGGAGAAGAGATTGATCAAGAGAAGTTCTTAATGGCCGAGGGCACCGTGGGGATAGAGCGGCTTGTAGGTGCTGCGGGGCCGCGGAGGAGACTCGCAAAAGAGGTCCGTGAAGGCTGGAAGTTCTGGAGGCCGTGGATCGCGCACGAGGACGAAGAGTAATTCACCTTCTTCCCTCGAGGCCCTAATATTCGATTCAAGACCGCTTTTTGGTACGTATGTTGTATAATCAGCAGAGAGTGGGGAGCAGAAGACGCAAGATCTTGGACGCAAGTCATCTTCTACCAGCAAGCTGTTTGCTCTCTTTCACACTTCCGAGTATTGCTTCCTCCTCGCACATATTTTGTCAATATCTAATCACAACCACGTCTCACGACCACCCATCATTCTCCCTCCTGACTCCCCGCCGCGCTAACACGCCCCGATACCACGCACAGCTCCGCCGTATCCCCTCGTCCAGCCCAACCCTCGGTCGGTACCGCAAAATCCTCATCGCCTTGTGGCAGCTCACATAGCGGTCTCTGCACGCATCATCCACAACGCCCCTGCTCAGCCCGGACTCGACGCCAGTCGCCCACTCAACCGCCTCGGCACCAAGCCCCACCCACCACGCCACACCCTCGGGCACACCGACCTCGAACCGCGGCACGTGTCCAAACTCGCGCCAAATCGCCACACACAGATTCCGCAGCGGCACAGGCTCGCCGTTGGAGATGAAAAACGCCTCCCCCGCCGCCGTCTGCGCGCCCAGCAGGTTCCCCACCGCCAGCACGTGCGCGTCTGCCACGTTGCTGACGTACACGTAGTCCTGCAGGTTGCGCCCCGAGTCGCCCAGGATGAAGGGCGTTTGGTACGGGATGCACGCGTGGATGCTGGGTATCACGGTGGGGTCGCTGGGCCCGAATATGGGCGCGCTGCGCAGCGAGCAGGTTGCGAAAGAGCGCGAGCGGGTAGAGGATGCGAGGACGAGGTTTTCGGCGAGCGTCTGAGGTGGTTAGCGGGCGGACGGTGGTGGGGTGCGAGGAGCATTGGGGAATGGGCGAAGATGGGAAGGGCTGGCGTGTTGCTGGCCTGTGAATGGACGGGAATGTTAGAGACGTTGCGGGATGAAGGATGTTTAGATCTGGCTCGTCGCGTGCTGCCTCTGTCGCCGAGCCAGATCTGCAGACGGAAGCAGTCTGATGCCGCGATCGAAATCGGCCAGGTCTGAAAACGTAGGGGGGTTGATTTTACCTACCTTGCTCTGTCCATAACTCGTCGTTGCCCTGCCCGTCGGCCACTCCTCATCCACGTTCTTAAAGTCCTTGCCCAGCTCATCCAACACCACTGTAACACTGCTCGTATACACTAGTCCCTTTGCACCACACTCTTTGCTCGCATCGAGCACATTCCTCGTGCCCTCGACATTCACAGTAAACTCACCCTCCTTGTTCTTCGTCGAGTACCGCGCGGTGCCCAAGCGATACACACCCACCGTGTGAACCACCATAGCAGGCTTCGCCTCATCAAAGACCTTCTGGAGAGCATCGCGATCGAGTACATTGGCGCGGAAGTACCGCACATCCTGGGTGAATGTGGCGGTACCCAGGGCCGGCGGGTTGATGTCAATGGCCGTGATGTCATAGCGCCTCGTGGCCAGGAGCGCGGCGACAATCTCTGTGCCCAGGAAGCCGCAGCCGCCGGTCACTAGGACGCGGGTCCGCTCTGTGGACATCTCGATGGTGGTGTAGAGATGGACGGCTGGCTAGACGGAAGAATTCATGTGCTGCCAAGTTGGTCCCTTGCTCTTGTCCGCATATTCGTCCGCTGACTTGTTTTGTTTGATACTACCGGCTCTTGCAGTTACAGCAGTCTCTGCAGAAGTGCTTTGTATCCTGGCAATATGCACCTTGGAGGTGTAAGAAATGAAGGAGAGACGGAGGCGGTGATGAAGGTAGAGGTCCAAACAGCACTTGCTGCAAGAAGCTAGTCATCAACACCGCGGTTCCGAAATTTCGGAATCAATTGCGAAGTCGCGACGACCAGTCCAGTCTTTGAGTTTGAGACTGGAATCACATCTCCCGCACTACAATTGCACAGGATTAACAGACACGTCCGATTTGAACACCACACATCACGCTCCAAGACTATTCTCCCCTCGGACCATCAACGCACCCACCAGCAGTCACTTCACCGTCAAGTCTTGCGAAATCGAGGTATCAACACCAAATTCCTCCCAGATATGAAGATCAACGAATTCACCAGTGAGTCTACAAAGACAAACTCGCATCCAACACCATCTTATTCCCAACACGACAGGCATCACAACCCCGCGGCTCCTCCTGGTCCCGTACAGCGCCCACCACGTCCCTACATACCATGAATGGATGCAGGACGAAGCGATACAAAAGGCAACAGCATCGGAACCGCTGACGCTCGAAGAGGAGTACGCCATGCAGCGCTCCTGGCGCACCGACGCTGATAAGTTGACTTTCATCGTGTGCACGCGTGACGCAGACGCGGGTGCGGGTAGCATTAGTATTATTGCCGGGGAGCAAGATGCGCCGAGTCGCATGGTCGGGGATGTGAATTTGTTCCTGTACGACGCCGACGACGACGACGACGACGAAGACAAAGACAAAGCACAAAGCACCCCCACAGCCCACACCACCCCTCTCAAACCCATCATCGGCGAGCTGGAGATCATGATCGCGCGACCCTCGCAGCAGAACCAAGGCCTCGGGCTTGAAACCCTGCGCGCATTCCTGTCGTACATCCAGACGCAGCTGCCGCTCCTCGGAACAGAGTACGCCGGCGCAAGGGGCGCTGCGGTGCAGTATCTGCGCGTTAAGATCGACAAGGACAATGTGCGGAGTCTGCGGTTGTTTGAGAAGTTGGGGTTTGTGAAGACGGGCGCGGGGCCGAATTACTTTGGCGAGGTGGAAATGAGGACGCCGGTTATGGGGGGGAGGCTGAGGGATGTTGAGGGGAGGATTGGGTTGGAGGGGTTTGGGAGCGTGGGGGGGTATGAGATGGAGAACTGCGAGGTGTAACGGGGCAATGGCTCGAGGACGAGGAAACATCAACAATGGCAATGCAACAGGAGTGGCAACCATGCTCTGAGCATCTCCCATACATATGTATTCGCATCTACATACACGCTATCAAGGGGGGTCTAGTTCAGGATCTCCTCGCTCTCCTCGATGATCTCCTCAACAATCTCCTCGATCTCCTCGGCCTCGCCGCCCTCGGCATCGCCAGGTGTCTCGCCCTTGGCAGCAGCGATCTCGATATCAGCACCCTCCTCGCGCAGCCTCTCTGCAACCTCCTCGCGCCACTCGTTCCAAGCGCGGAGCTTCTCCCTGCGGTCCTCGACCACAGCGCGGTTAGCCGAGCTCTTCTTGGCGACATCCTGCTCGTCAAAGACCTTGGAGTAGTTGCGCAGGTTCTTGCGGATCTCGGCCTGCTCCTCCTTGGACAGGAGTGTCGGGGGACGCGGGCGCCAGAGGAGCTGCTTGAAGCCTTCGACAGACTCCTCGCGCAGCAATGTGCCCTTGAAGTCGTACAGGTGGTAGCCGTTCTCCATGCGGTGGCGAAAGGCACTTGCGACGGTGGCGACGTAGCGGCCAGTGGGGTCCCATTCGATGTCGGTTACGCCGTAGTGCTCGGCTGTGTCCATGAGCTGCAGGTTCGCGAGCAGCTCCTTGTCGCCCTTCTCGGACTCGTCCTTGGGCTTCTCGAAGCTGAGGTCCCAGAAGTCGAGGTCGAAGGACTGCTGGGACTGGAGAGCTGCGACGACGACGAATCGTCCCTTGGGCGACCAGTAGATGGCGTTGCTGTTCTTCTTGTCGACGGTGCGGATGTGGCGGAAGTTGCCGGGGGCACCACCCTTGAGCTTCTCAGGCGCGAAGAAAGAAACAGCCGTCTTGGGGGGAACGGCAGCCTGGACAACAACCTCGCCGGTGGTGATGAGGACGAAGCGGTTGCCCTTGGGCTCCCAGGCGAAGTTGATGACAGCGTCCTTGATGGAGTCGACCACCTCGACGGGCACGCCCTTCTCCCTGACACGGAAGATTTCGAGGTTTGTAGCCAGAGACTTCTTGGACTTGGAGTGACGGTCGACCTTGACGCAAACGTAGGCGGCGTCTGATTGCCAGTGGAGCTTAGCGTCGGAGACGTTGAAGAGGTTTCGCGTGCGGACAATCTCCTTGGAGGGGACGGACATCAGACCGACCTTTGCGGGGTTGCTGCCGAGCTCGGGAGTCCAGTAGCAGAAGAGCTGCTCGTATGTCTTGATGCCGTCCCGCTTGGGCGTAGCAGGAGCCCACTCAAAGTCCACGACACCCTCAATCTTGATCGAGGACTTGTCGAGCAGGTTCATCCTGGGCAGCTCGTAGATGGAGATGGACTGGCCCTGGGTCAAGCGGGCAACGTACTGGTCGTCCGACGACCACTTGAAGGTCGGCCACTGCATCTTCTTCTTAACCGGGTTGCCGTCGGCATCGATGCCGGTCGGCACGTCGATTGTGGCAAAGGAGCGGAGAGGCTTGCCGGTCGCAATGTCCCAGATGATGTAGTTCTTGCCGTCCTCCTCGAGCGACAGGGTCGGCACGGGATGGTTCTCGTCGACCTGCAGCGGGCGGTGCGACCAGGTGGTGAGGTAGTTCTCGCCGGGCGAGTAGTCGACCAGGTTGACGCCGGGATGGGCGAAGCGCTTCTGGCGGCTCCAGGCCTTGCCGCCCCACAGCTGCACGCCCTGGGCGTGGATGGAGGTGAGGAAGGTGCCTCGCGGCGACCACTGGATGAACGACTCGGTCCAGTTCTCGCGGTCGACGACGACCTCGGGCTGGTCCTCGCGGTCGTTCCAGAAGACGCCGACCTTCTCGCCGCGGTACATGGCGATCTGGTCGCGGCTGTCAGGGTCGGCCAGCCACCAGCGCAGGTGCTCCTTCTGCTCAAAGGGCGGGATCTCGGGCTCGTGGTACTCCTCGTCGATGCGGCCCTCCTTGCCGTAGCGGTCAATGTCGGTGAGCTTGTTGACGGCCATGGTGTGCTTCTTGTCGAGCGGCGTTCCGTGCAGCTGCTTGACGGCGGCGAGGGCCTCGGCGGGCGCGCTGTACTCGACAAAGGCATACCCCTCGGTCTTGCCCTCGTCGTTCACGGGCATGTGCACGCCATCGTCCTTGACGCGGCCGACGCTGTTCAGCTTGCGCAGCACAAACTTGACGAGCTTGCCCTTGCTGTCCTCGGGCACAACGGGCAGGCCGTCGATGACGACAAACGCGTCGAGGCCCTCGTCGAGGCGCACCTGGAACTGCTCCTCGATGTCGGCAAAGTCGATCTGAGACTCGTCAAACTCGTCGTCCTCCAGCGGGAGGTTCTCGTATGAAGGCGCCATTTTGCCGTGTTTGTTGCTGAGGTGGGGTCGCGCCGCTGAAATTCGCCAAAGCAGAGTCGAAATTCGTGCGCAGCCCGGCGCGAACACCAAAGTGGGGCGGTGGAGGTCACGTGTGCAGCCCATCCATCACCACTCGCAACATCGTTGCTGCATCACTGCGCGAGCACAGACCATGTTGGTTGCAACATGTACACATTATCTCGGCTATCCAACGCCTGCCACGCAGACCATCTGTCATTCAAATCCATCGCATCCAACACCGCCCACAGCCTTTGCACAGTCATGTACACATTGCAGTCATCCCGTCGACGCCCATCGCGCAATCCCGCAAGCCACCCAGGGCAGGTATAAACTAGAAGCAAACAAAACGAGTAAGCACCGGCTAGCCCTATGAGCCACGCTTACCTTCGGTGAGATCCTGGAACGTGTGCTTGACCAACCTTCCGCTGGCCGACACCCGCTTCTGCAGTCGCGCTTCTCGCTCGCGCGCTCGTTCCGAGGGCGTGCTGCCGTTGCCGGCTGTGATGTGTGGCAGTGCGGGGAGAACGTCGCCGCTGGGGTTCGGCTGGCCTCCAGCTATCACGGGCACCAGCCGTTTTCCTGCCTTCTGGTCCGCTTTGAATTCGAGATACTGGCGCGCCGACGGGCTCAGTGGAATCGGCGCCGCTGTTATGGGCAGGTCCGCTCCATTCTGTAGCAGGAGCTCAGCCACCGGAAAGGGCTTGCGCGTTGGCTGAGGTGTCGACGGTCGTGCGTCGCGACCAGGCGACGCTGCAGGCGACGCCGCTGCGGCAGGAGAAGCAGGATCAGCTGCCGCGAGAGCCAGGAACACGGCATGCGTCCCCCGCGATCGATCTCGGGAGTTGGGATTCGCTCGTAACGCAAGCGCGTACAAGACGTTCTGCATGTCGTTCTTCTTGACCGAGGCGAGCAAGGTCTCGTCTGGAGTCCCATAATGGGAGACGGCAGACGAGATGGGGGAGACGAATGCCCGGTCGGAGTACTTGGCCGTGATGAACCGCAGTCTTTGCTCCCTTGTTGACATCGGGCCCGGCTTGATTGAAGGATCGAGTCTCGCTTCCCAGATCATGTTACTGACACGGTTGCCAATCTTCAAGAGTATTTCGATGATATCGGGCGTGAATGAGTTGACATCGAGCGTCAAAGACCGCACCTTGGTAATGTGAGTGCCCAAGGAACGGTGAATGCCACTGCACTCGATGCAAATGACGATTCCAAGGTTGATCGACACCCAGTCGGCCTTGGACTCGGAACCGCAATCCGCGCATACTCTGTTCCCGGCATCCGCTTCGCGCACCTGCCTGAGAAGCTTGCCGTCATCGGCTGCAGGCTCCTCGCGTCTGTAGCCGGGCTTGTCGCCGACTGTGGCGTGCCTGGATGGCGCTCTGGCGCCGTAGTTGTTGCCCTTGCTCGATAAAGAGGGGCTTTTGCCAGTCAACACCGATGCAATGTCTCGGCGAACCTGGCCCGGTATCGAGTCGGTCGATGGACGATCGTTCTTTGGTGCAGATTCCACGGCGGACTGCAAAGCGTTGTTGACAGCCGATATCCACGACCTCAGGTCGTCCTCGTTCGTGGCTTGGTACACACGAGTGAAGTTTGGTGTGATGACCTCGAAGCAGAAACGCCTGTCTGCGTTACGTGCTTCGCGCACCGACGCCATGCGCAGATCTATTGGATCCATGTGGAGCTCGAGACTCTGCTTCCAGTTTGTGTACTCGGAAAGCCTGCCCTGGTCCAATACAATCCAGAACCTAAGTGTGGTCAGCAACATCTCCGCCGCACGGCGATCCTGGACTTACTTGTGCCACGCCTGCTTGTTGAGGCCCTTGGGATCGACATGACTGCCCGGCCTGCTCAGGGCCCACAACAGACCCTCCTTTCGATGGGCGCCAGGCGTCAGCTCGCTCACACATGCCCGGTCTTCCAAGTCCCTGATGCCCTTGAACTTGTCTGGTTGAGGGGCTGTAGCCGCCACGGTGGCTTTGGTGACGTCGGGGCTTTGGGGAGAGCTCGCGTAGGATGTCGACGTCGGGAGCGGCGGCGGGCTAACTGTGCTCTGGAACACCGGTGCGATGCTCGACTTCCGCCCAGGATGTTCTGAGCCGTCGGCGCTTGGTGGCGCCCTTGGCGTGCTTCCGTTGGCGGTTGCCATGGCCGGGACATTCTGCAAAGGTGCATCAAACGACTTGCTGTCTTTCTCCAGTGCCCTTCTCTTTTCTTCTCTGCCCGTTCTTTGGAGTTGGAACTCTTTGTCTGCCTCTCTGACCTCCTGGCTCAGCGCTTCCAACTGGGGGAGCATCGTCTCGATGATCTTTGCGGTGGAGAGGAAGTTGTTGGCTTGGGTGTCGGCGTATCTTGTCAGATGCGACAAGACTTCCTGGTCCTTGCGCCCGCCGTGCAGGTCTTGCATGAAGGAAGAATAGTCGAACCGCTTCAGCTCAAACTTTCGCCTCTTGTCCTGGTATTTCGAGTCCGTCTCCGCGCGCTTCTTCTCCTTTAGCGAGTCTTGCCGTTGTCCGAGATAGCGTCCGAGATACTGGTAGTAGTCCTTGCTCTCTTCTTCAAAATCCTTCCGTTTGGTCTCCGCCTGCTTGATGTCGATATTGTAGAGCTTATATATTGGATCAATGATGAGCTTCTGAATGTTGGTAGCGTTCGATCGCTCATATGCAAGAATGTCCTTTGCGATTTTGTCAAAGTAGTGGTCGATTGCAGGCTGCACAGCGCTCGCGTTCGAGGTTGAGACCTCTTTCAAAGCGTCCATGAGGTCTGACATGGAGTTGTTGCAGTTGACTTGGGCCTCCATTGCCGACTCTGCTCGCTTCAGTACCTTCTTCCAACGCATACGCATGTTTCCCGTCTTTTGCTCCAGCGACTTCATCGTCGCCCTGAAAAGTGGCCCGTCGTCCGTCTGGCTCAGATCCTCTCCCGGGCGCAGGACATCGACTTTGACCGATGCGGTTGTAAACGCCGTGGCCTGCGTTTGGACCAGACTGAGGCCATTCTCGGGTATCGCCTCGAAGATGGGAGACCGCGGGGGCATGTTATCCCAGTCGCGGTTCTCGTCTGCCGAGTCGCTCACTCGCGAATCAATCGACTGTGACGAGGGCACTCGCAGCCTCGGAGGCACGCCCAGCTCAAATCGCGGTGTGGTGGTCTTTGGGCTTTGGAGGGCGGCCTTTGCTGTGTCTGGCCAAGTCAGCTCCTGACCTGTCACGGTCGATTCCAAGACATACTCTGCACCCAAAACGCGAAGCCGGCAAGCGTCTCCAACCGGTGCGCACGCTGATCGTACTCTACAAACTTCATGCTGTCAGTGGTTGCTGTTGACGTGTAGAGCTGCGGCATACGAACACTGCAGCTGGTGCGCCATCCCCCGCCCCGCGACTCGTTGGTCTTGGGGGGAGTAAACTTCCAAGCCCACTGAAACGATACCGAGGAACTCCCGCCCGTGGTGTAGTCCCCGACCAGCTCGACCTGCGGGTTCTTGTGGAGGTTGGGGTTGGCGTGAAACTCCCGCGTCACGAGATTGTCGAGTTCTCTGGAACTCGACGCAAACACAAACGTCAGGCCATTTATGAACGTGTCAACCAGGCCCGTGGCCGCGGCCGTGTTTGGCGACACGCTCGCATAGTTCGAGGGCACCGCCAGCTGCTGGCGCACTATGAATGTGAAGTTGAAGCTAAGCTCCTCGTCGTTTGGCAACCGGATCAAGAAGGACGGCGGCCCGTCGGTGTTTGCCGGTGCATCTGGATCCTATACAAGCAATGTTTAGCATTGCGCCGTGCCGCAAACGAGGTGAAACACGCACCTGGATGTACTCGATGACGCTCTCGTCGCCCGGCTCTCGCTTCGGGCTGTATCGGGTCGCGGGGAACGCGTTCGGCGAAATGTTCAGCAGCGTGCGGCCGCGGGCGTTGGAGATGGTGCAGGCAGCGACCGAGACTGGCGCGTGTTAGCAGCGCACGCACAGGGAGCCGGGCTGCGCGGGCGACGTACATCGGGTCTGGTCGCGCAGGCACAGCGACTCGCCCTCGCCCGCTCTGCTCGCAACCTGGCCCATGGTCTCGAGCGTCTCTCAGCAGCAGCGGCGGCGGCGGCGGCGCGCAGCCAGCGTGGACGGGAAGCGCGGCGTGGGAGTCGCGGCGCGCAAGTTGGTGCTCAGGGCGCGCAAGTTGATGCTCAGGGCGCGCAAGTTGATGCTCAGGGCGCGCAAGTTGGTGCTCAGGGCGCGCAAGTTGGTGCTCAGGGCGCGCAGGCAGACGGCAGCATGCCTGGCCCGAGCAAGCGCGTCGGAGCCTCTCGAGTCCGGGTGTCAATCGACGTCGGGGATCGTACGCCTAACAATTGACATGGGCTTGTCCGGCGCGCGGGTCGGGTTGGGGGGCTACGCGCTATGGCTTGCGGCGCCGCTGCGGGGTCAACTTGGAAGTACTGTACTTCGTAGGTGGGTAGGTAGGTATCTATGTTGCCGGGTAACGCTATACGGGGATACGGGGGAGGGAGAGGGAGGGGGGGATGCGTGTCAGGCCAGAAGCAGAGAGACAGTCGCAAAGGCTGAGCAGACCCCGAGCGGAGATCGATTGCCTTTGTGTGCGTCCATCGCCAGGCAGGCGCACGCAGCCCGGCAGCAGCGGGACACCAGACGGCGCTACAGCTTGTCACGCAGGAACGAGCGTTGATGTGAGACGTCCATGGATGGGCCAAAACACTTGCTCATCACCCGTCCGTTGCCTCCTCTTCGGCCTGCCACCAAGCCACATGACGCATTCCGACACAACGTCGTCTACGAGAAATGGTGCCTCTCTGTCTCCCTCTCTCTCTCTCTCCCCCCCCTCTCTCTCTCTCTCTCTCTCTCTCTCTCTCTCTCTCTCTCTCTCTGTCTCTGTGTCTCTATCTCTCTCTGTCTCTCTCTCTGTCTCTTGGAGGAGTCCTCCAAGAGAGGACTCGCATGGCACTGGACACTAGGACCAGCATGCTCTGAGCTCTCACGTGTGCCTCTGCGAGTCTGAGTCTGATTGAGTGAGTCTGATTGAGTGAGTCTGATTGAGTGAGTCTGATTGAGTGAGTCTGATTGAGTGAGTCTGAGTTGGCGCCCGACAAAAAAGGCCCGTACGGCCTCACGCGGCGATCAGACTAAATTTCTTTCCCATTGACCTCGTTGCTCTGACCCCAACGTGCAGCATGCAGCATGGGGTCGTCATTCCCCCTCCGTTGAGTGGCTACTCATCTCCGAAGTCGTCTCGAATCACGCCGCGGCGCCTTCGAGTGTGGAAAGTGATCACCCTGTCGGTGACAGCGGTCCCTGCATTTGGCCAGCCAATGAGAGCGAGGCGCTACTTTTCGAGACGCAGCTTCGAGTCTTCATGAACAAACAACGCCATCAGCAGCCATGTCGCTCCGTGTACCAGCATTGCGGAACGCGTTCCGTCAGCCGCTGTCGAATCCTCGATTCGGCCAGCGCCGATGGGCCCAGGTCCAGGATGTGCGCTTCCTCGCGACTCACGGCACGGAAGAGCGCATCTTGTCCAAGTACAAGGACAAGCTCGCCTCCAGGGCGAGGCAGGAGGGTGTCAAGGACATCGCCGAGCTGAAGGAGAAGCACAAGGAGAAGATTGAGAAGCTGAGGAAAGCCGCCGTGGTTCCCGGAGCAACAGGGCCTCTGACGCCGCCACCTTGGCCATTGTCGACAGGCAGCGCATCGCCCGCCTCGTCCACATCGTCGCCCGCCTCGTCCGCATCGTCGCCCGCCTCGTCCTCATCGTCGCCCGCCTCGTCCTCACCATCGCCCGCCTCGTCCACGTCATCGCCGTGGCCATCACCGCCTCCAGCACCGAAGCCCCGCGATCCCAACGCACCGCCGCCCGGCGTCAAGACGCTCGACTCGTTCCTCGACGTCTCCAAGATCAGCGCACTTCCCAACAAGGAGATTGAGGTCCTGTGGAGGCTGCGCCACGCTTCGAGCCCTCAAAGCATACACTTCACCGTCCCCGCGAACACGTTCACATCGTTGCTCCAGACTGCCAAGCAGCACCCTGCATTCGTGCTACCCGTGCCGCGAGAGATCCCGGTCGAGGCGCCAGAGACCGAGCAGACCAGCGGCCAGACACAGCAAGCCGCCGAGCTGCACTATCTGCAGTTCGCCCACCCCCACAAGGACACGACGACGTTGCTCTTCACATCTCTCGCCGAGTTCAAGCTGCGCGGCGAGTTCGCCAGCCCCCACACCACCATCACGTTCCACCAGGAGCTGGCGAACAGCCACAACCTTGTCCTCGGCCAAGGCCTGGTGATTGAGAACAGAGGCATCAGCGTCGACGAGGCGAGGTGGCTCGTCATGTGCATGCAAAAGTTCTACGTGCAGAGCGACGAGGGCAGAGGCCGCGGCGAGCTGCTGAAGCAGTTCACAAGCGGCGATGCAAGCTTCCAGGTCCAGAGGCTCATTGACGAGGCTGAAAAGGCTTTGTAAAGAGTGGTGCTGGACACGGGTTGTATGGCCATGTACGATAGCTGTGTATACACAACATTTGCCCATGGCGGCGAGCTACGTGAATTGATTGTACCGTGTATCATCATGTATGGTGGGAGCTGAGTATACACAACATTTGCCCATGGCGGCGAGCTACGTGAATTGATTGTACCATGTATCATCATGTAAGATGGGAGCTGAGTATACACACAGCAACATGCCCTGTGGCGGCAGAGCTCCATAAAGTATGCCATTGCAATGTCGAGTGCGATTGGCCAACCGCGCCTGTAAAGTTGGTCGACGGCCAGAATAATGCCAGCCATTCCTGGACGCAGCCGCTTCGCTTGGCAACATGCACGCGCCCCGCGCGGGGCTGACCGAACGTCATAAACCGAAGCCGCGATTCGGAGCTCATGGCGCAACTTTTTGCCAGGCATGACGAGAGGTGCGAAGAGTCGAATGAGTAGAGCTCCAGTGAGGACTGAGTAGAGCTAGTGTTCCGAAGCCATTGAAGCATTCCACGTGCGAAATTGCAACTCTTGACTGACTGACTGACTGGCTGGCTGACTGGCTGACTGACTGACTGACTGGCTGACTGACTGACTGACTGACTGACTGACTGACTCACTGCCGCATGCCTATCGCCCGCAGTCATGGAAAAGTTGTACACTACTAAAAGACACATGCACCCACTTACACCCACATCCACCTGCAGCACCGCATATCTCCGTCCTCCGCCAGACGCGGCTGCACCCAATTAGACTCTCCCCCGTCGACGCCCGCACGACTCGGCCACAGCCCGCGCGCAAAACGCTGAGGACCAACACCTGCGCGTCGCACCGCTGTTTGCAATACCCCATACCGCGCATTGCGTGCTGACATAGACAACATGGATCTCGTCAACTCGTACGTGCTGCTGCCCCGCTTCCTCTTCCCTTCCCGTACGACGTCAAGATGCCTCGCGAAAATGGTGCCAATGGTGCCAATGGTGCCAATGGCGCGAATGGCGCGAATGAGATGGAGTACATTATGCAGAGGGCGCGCCAGGGCAGTCGCAGCTTGCCGTTCATGACTGACACTCTGGGGAACAGCTTGAACGACCGACTTCTCTTTGCGGTCCCCAAGAGTAAGACTTGTTCTGCCCAGCGTCTCGACAGGGCTAACACCAGGCAGAGGGCCGTCTTCACCAGGTGTGCCTCGACCTCCTCCACGGCTCCGACATCCAGTTCCACCGCCACTCGCGCCTGGACATTGCGCTCGTCAAGAACCTCCCTCTCGCCCTCGTCTTCCTGCCCGCTGCCGACATCCCCACCTTTGTCGGCGAGGGCCGCGTCGACATTGGCATCACGGGCCGCGACCAGGTCGAGGAGCACGAGTGCGGCGTGCCGCCCACAGCCACGACCGGCGTCGTCGAAGTGCTGGACCTCGACTTTGGAAAATGCAGTCTGCAAGTCCAGGTCCCGCAAAAGGGTGACCTGGCCAAGCCCGAAGACCTCATCGGCAAGAACGTCGTGACCAGCTTCACGAACCTGGCCGAGCGGTACTTCAGAGAGCTCGAGGCGAAGCAGAGCGGCGCCACCAACGGAGACGCCAAGGATGCGAAGCTCAAGACCAACATTAAGTATGTGGGTGGCAGTGTCGAGGCGGCGTGCGCGCTGGGCGTTGCGGATGGAATCGTGGATCTCGTCGAGTCGGGCGAGACAATGCGGGCCGCGGGCCTCAAGGCGATTAGCACAGTGGTCTCGTCCAGCGCGATCCTGATCAAGTCGAAGCACCCCTCAGACCCCAAGCTGGTTGATCTGATCACAGCGAGGATAAAGGGTGTCATCAGTGCGTTGCCCGCCCCTCCCTGTTCACCGCCAGCAGCACCACTCCCTATCACACACCCAACATGACCTAGAGACTGACTCGTCTAGCCGCGCAAAAATACGTCCTCTGCTCGTACAACATTGAGCGCTCGAAGCTCGACATCGCCAAGCAGATTACGCCAGGCAATCGCGCGCCGACCGTCACGTCGCTGGAGGAGAGCGGCTGGGTCGCCATCTCCGTCATGGTGCAGCGCAAGCAGATTGCCGTGGTCATGGACAAGCTGACCGAGGCGGGCGCTTGCGATATCCTGGTCACCAAGATTGAGAACTCGAGAACCCACGACTAGATGGCCTCTGTGGGAAAGAGAATAGAGCAAGTAGAGGCAGATGAGGTAGAGGGAAATATGCAATGGACATGTGGTATATCCAGCTTTGGAAGTACAGCCTATGGGTATCCAGCTTTGGAAGTACAGCCTATGGGCATCCAACTTTGGAAGTACAGCCTATTTGGAAGTACAGTCTATTTGAAAGTACAGCCTATTTGGAAGTACAGTCTATTTGAAAGTACAGCCTATTTGAAAGTACAGCCTATTTGAAAGTACAGCCTATGGGTATCCAACTTCCTTTTCCATGAACCATGATCGCATCAGTCATGTCCTGACAATTCGTACAGCTCGTCCGTACAGACGGCGTCCCAAAACAGCCTTCGCCAGACTCTTGTCGCATAGCGTCCGCGCCCTGCTCAGCCAAAGAACTCCCCACTGACCAGACTCTCCCACGGCTTCGCCGTCTCCCAAACCCTCTGCATAAGACTCCTCGCCCGATCAATCTGCCCACGTTAGCGCCTCCCCACATGCCCTCACAGCCACACACACTGGCACGTACCTGCGTCATCCCAAACGCCTCGACCCCCCGGAGCCGATCCATAATCTTCTCCCTCTGCCGCGGGTCCTGCGCATTGCACCCCGCAACGAACATGGGGAACAGGAGACACGCCTCCGCGCTGGACCCGCGGCGGACCTTGCTCAGCAGCTCGACAATCTCGCGTATCGCGCCCTGCACGGCCGGGTCCGCTGCGCGCTTCCCCAGCACTCGCCGGTACAGGTGCACCAGCCCGCCCCAGTGGAACATGGCGTTGGTCGCGTAGATCTCCGTCGCATCCCACGCGGGCTGTTGCTCCGACGCCGACGACGACGACGCAGAGTGCGTGCAGTGCTGCACGTGGCGCTCGCCCAGGCCCGCTTCCAGCTCCGCCTTGATGGCGAGCGCCTGCTCGTAGATGGCCGGGGTGGGATGCCAGTCCTCCCTGATATTGCCCTGGCAGTCGATGCGCAGCGGCTCGCACGCCCTGGCGAGCTCCGAGACGCGCGCCAGGCTCCCCACGCACCGGTTCGTGAAGCCCATCAGGCAGTCAATCTCCAGCTCCTCGTCGTGTGCCGCGTCGAACCGGCTCCAGTACATGGAGCCCAGCGGCGTGTCGGTTCGGCTTCCCGACAGCGACCCCAGAACGTCCAGGTACGCGAACCATCGGGACAGGAAGTAGCTCACTCGATCGGCGCGGTCGACGCCCTGCGGGCCGCCGCGCGCTAGCACCATGGCGCGCGCCATCTGCAGGTGGCTCTGCCAGGAGATGGGGACCTCGAAGGTGTTGGAGGCGATGATTTCCAACGACGCCATCATGATGACGGCTGCGAGCGTCGAGTTGGGGATTTCACGCGGGTTCGACGCGAGCGATTGCCGCAGCTTTGGGAACACGTCTTGCACCCAAACGGCGATGCGGTTGCTGGGCTCGGACTGGGCGAGCATGCGTGCACGGTGCGAGGCCGAGTACGCGAGCAGCAGATTCATGATCGAGGCATCGCGGACGGCCACTGTTGGGCGTGGTTAGCTGCTACACTGTATGCCTTGAAGAGGGAAGATGGGGTGGACCGACTCTCTGGGAGGATCTGGCGGAAGGGGTTCTTCTCGCAGTCGTGCGGGACGAGGATACGCGCCGTGTGGTTGATGAAGTGGTGGAAGTAGAGCAGATTCATCATGTTCTCCATGAGGATCGGAGGCAGCGGCTCCAGCGACTTTGGTATCCGTATCTGCACCGGCTTCGCGTAGTATCCGCCCTTGCCAAAGGCCATGTCCCGGGCGCGAGGCTCGGCGTCGTCGACGCGGAGGTCGCTGTAGAGCGCCCTGGTCCCCATCTCGGGGCTGAAGACGGCGATGGCCGAGTCGTCTTTGTTGCGCGGCGTGTCCCAGTCGGGGAGTCCCAGGTCGTAGCCATATATTGTCGACTCGGAGTCCGTGACGGGATATCGTCGTCTTGCCTCATCATCCTGACTGTACTCCTGAAAGGTGCTGCCATGAGTGTTGTTGACCAGCGACTGGACAGACAGTCGGCGAAGGTCGGAAGGCGGGTATGCGGGGCTTTGGTGGCTCGCCGAAGAGCGCGCGCTTGGGTCTTCAGAGCCTACTGAAGAGTTCGGGGTCAACGGCATCGTAACAAAGGGGCTGTAGGGTGTAGGCGGGCCTGGGTTTGGAGAATATGCCTCCGAGAGGGCCGTCGTAGGTGAGTCTGCTGAGTGACTCGACTTGTGCCGCTTGTACATCAAGTCCCCTGACCCTCTAGGAGGAGGCATTGATGGCGGAGAAAGAGGCGCTTCTGCATTGACGGATGTGAACCCGACATTGCTGTACGCGAACTCGTCCAGTACAGGACCTGATGGAGGAAATTCGAATTGCGTCTGGAATTGACTTTGGAGGAAGGGCGCCGATGCGGGCAGTCCATTGACACTTTGAGTGAACTGGCCTTGCTGATATGTGAGATTGCTTCCAAATTGGTGAGATCCCGACCGACCTATTCTGGCTAACTCAGGATCAACAACAGTAGGGCTTGGTCGAGGAGTGGAGTTCTGTGACGAAGAAAGACCATGTCGGTTCGCGTTATTTGGCGGCGCTGATGCCTCTGAGGTCGGAGGATACCACGGCAACGCATCATCCCCAAACGAGAAAGTGGGTATGAAAGGGCTGTCTGACGCAGTGCTTGATGCTCCTGAGCCCAGGTTCATCGGCTCGCGCTTTGTGCGTCCACCCCAGTTGAGTCTGATGCTGTAGTCACACGGCTCGCCTTGATGTTCACAATTCAAGCAGTTTGGCTTTTCCTCTCCACTGTACAATGGTTACTATCATCCATGTTACACGTCCAACAAGCATAGTCACCATTTGACCTTGCGCGCTTTACACGGCCAGCATCCGTAGCGAGATCTCTTCTTCGGAACGACGCCTGGTACCTTAGGTCTAGGCATGTTTTGCGATTTGAATAGCGGTGGGTCAGCCTGCAAGGGTCAAATGCAGATCAAGCGACGGTAATATCCCAGGGGTCCGGGTACGAGATCTTATATGGGGGTTGGAGAATGCCATGCGCCGCGCTGGAGCCTCAAGCTGAGAACACCGTTGAGGGAGCGGGGGGAGCGGATACTTCGATGCAACGCATGCATGCAGAGCGCCATACGACAAGTCGGCGCATGCAGCAGCAGACCTTGCTCGAGCAAGGCGTTTTGGACGTTGGCGAAATGATATTGTTTCCGATTTGTGCAGATTGATGCGAGGTGGGGACAAAGCTGCGATAAAGGCGACAGATCGGCATCCTTCCGACATGGGGGGCACGTTCAAGTGTGGGGTACAACCACCTGCAAACCCTCATGTTGCCGATCATCTCGCTGAACACCACGTTGTCTTTTGCCATGTGTCCAGCAACCAAGAAGGTCGCACCTTGAACCACAAGATTCACCTCAACAGCCCACAGCGTTGCAACATCATCACCAGCAGAGAAGGCCGACACCGGCATCGCCTTAATTTGCTGACTCGCACCTGCGCTCTGTCCCATACTGTAAGTCAGCCCTGGTGCAACATCGTGATGTGCAGGACGAGCCGCACCTGAGCGAAAGGAATAGGTACCTCGTGTGAGAACGAGCGAGTTCACAGGGTGTACCTGAGATGAGCTCGTTACACAACTTGGCGTCGTCACATGCAAGACTGGGTGTTGCTGATTATCCAAGATTATGCATGAGAAACCTGCATCCGATTTGTCGTGTGCAGATGTAATTTCATTGATGACAGCGAATGAGTCTTTGAGGTTGGGAGTGAGGTGGTAGATCGTGAAATGCGTATTCATCAGCAACTTCTATCAGATTTTGCCCAGCGCTCCATGCCCGTCGTACGCTATGCATGCAAACTATGCCGTCTTCACCCTAGAAAAGCCAAAGAAGCAGAAATGGGATTCAAGAAGTGGCTGCCAAACGACTGCAGCGGGGTGCGGGAAAAAGCGGACTCGACGACTGCCCGGCTGCCGTGTTTGGCGTAGGGAGAGGTGTAGCAGAGACGGTATCTCAGCTCGAGAGGAAATTGCTCACATGAAGTCGTCACTGCGGTATCGTTAGCACCCATGTATCCATGCTGGGTCCATCTCTACTTACTCGCCAAAGTCGTCGTTGTCGTATGCCGATGTATCCGCGCTACGGCCAACGTCCCTCGAGGCGTTCAAGGTGGTCTTGGTCTTGGCCGCCTTGGTCTTCTTTCCACCCTTCTCAGCGGCCTTCTCCTCCTTCATCTTCTCGTTACTCAAGGTAGTCAGACCGGAAGCAATCTTCTTGATCTGGTCGCTGGGCAGGTCCTTTGCGATACCCTTGCAGAGTTCCTGCAAGAACAGGGAGTATTGTCCCTTCTTCGAGTTGTTGCTGAGGAGAGGGATAAGGGTCTCGCGCAGCTTGAGGAACTGATCCTTGGTGTTGGGGTTGAAGAGGGGCATGGCGCTGAGGTCGATAGAGTTGGTGGGGTCGCCCGAGTCGGAGACGGTGATGGCCTTCGCGGTCTTCGATTTGCCAACAGAAAGCTCGCCAAACAGCTCCTCGGCCTGAGCACGCGAGCCATCCTGCTCTGCCTGTCGCAGCCTCTGGCGGCGCTCCTCCTCGGTCTCCTCCTCAGACTCGTAGTCCTCCTCATCCTGCCTCCGGCGCAGAGCCGCTTGTCTGTGCTCCTCGATACGCTGTGCTTTTGACTTGTGGTTTGCCTTTGCTTCAGCGTCTGCCTTGGCCTTGGCCTCGGCAGCCTTCTTCGCCTTCTCGCGTTCGACTTCCGAGTCTTCGGCGGCGTCCCATGAGTCTAGAACCTGTGGTGGATGTCAATGGGATTCGTTGTGTATGGCGGGGCAGCGGCTGTGTAGGCGCGGGGCATGGGCTGACGCACCTCGTCTTCCTCCTCATCGTCGAACTTTCCGCGGCGGGCGATAACGGGGGCAGGAGAGCCCGAGTCGGAGCCAGAATCCTCATCGTCTGTTTTTGGGGTCAGCCATGGTGTTTGTAGTGGCCAGGCGCGGTGCAGTCATCGTCGGCGGCGCACAAATTCTGAGTATGACGTACCCCACTTTCCCGGAGCCATGATTGTAGCGGGGTGTGTATGCGCGAAGACGGTGTTTGAGTGTGGTGACAAGATGCTCACGGGTGAGGCTCGGTGTTTGTGTGAGATGTAGCGGAAAGGAAGTGGGGGAAGTGAGTTGTTTCGAAATTACGAGAGAAGTAGACCGCGGCGGACAACAATGTGGGTCGCGAAAGCCGGCTCCGTCAAAAATTGCCTGCGGCCCAGTCGGGCTGAAGCCTGCCCGACATGTGAACCTGATCCGTGGTTTTGCAACATGAGCGTCAGTCTGCTGTGCTGCCTGTGCATGTCTGAATTCTGAAATTTTCCTCCGTTATATTTATGCACTTGCCCTACTTGCGGATCACCTTCGTGACATGTACATTGACTTGGGAGGCCAGGCAGTGCTCGTACAGTATCTCGAAAAAGCAGTCTAACATATGGTATATGGCTATACTATGTCGAAACAGATGATCTAGTTGAACCTCTCAAAAAAACACGGTTGGCGACCTCGAGCTCCCACTAACAGTACTTTCCAGGTTGTCAGACCCTAGGCCTGGCTTTCACCCTGCTTCTTCTTCCCCTTTCCCTTGACCTTCTCCACAATCTTGCCCATGGTACCAAAAAGCTTACCAAACCCAAAGCCCCAGCCCTTGATCCTCACGCTCCACACAAAGAAGTACACAAGCGCCCAATTACTGATGCAGAAAGCAAGGAAGATACCAAAATCCCTCCACTTTTGACTTGCTTGAATGTTGAGAGTGGCAAGGTAGTCGTTGCCGGTGGTATAGGGGCAGTACATGCAACCACTGGTGGCTTCGGGGTTCAGCAGGTAGCCGGGTGATTGTTGGACGAAGCTGCCGGCGTAGCTGGAGCATGTCTGGCCGGATGGGACGTCGAAAATGGCGGTCTCGGTGTCGGCACATTGGACGGGTATACCGTCGAGTGTCGCTGCGAGGACGCCTCCGATCCAGTAGGTGGAAGGGTTGATGTAATACCTATGATGTGTTAGTATACGTCTTGAAGATAGGGCAAAGTGAATACGTACATCCAGTACTTCCAAAACACCGGAAGCATAGAGTATGGGCGAACAACACCGTTGAAAAGACCAAACATGACGAAGAAGAAGGGTAGCACATTGCTTATGACCGTGAAGGAGGGCGCAAAAGCGCAGATCCACTGGCCCCAGCTGCTAATGAACAGCCAGAAGAGCATTGTCATAAGGAAGACGTAGCCAGCTGTGGAACTATCGGTAGGCAGACCGGTTGGAAAGTACCATAAGAGCCAATACAGAACCGAGCCGACAATGGCACTGGGAATCTCACAAACAACCTGCGCGGTGACGAATGCAAACCAGCCGTAGATCCTAGATGGCAGTTCACGTGCCTGCCACAAAGCCATGTTCTGGTAGAACTTGGGCACGACAGCGTTGACAATCGTCGGCGGGATCAGAATAATCAAGAAAGACGTGAACATCCTGTTCTGCATATCGCCGATGGAGTTGCCCAGCTGCCAGAATGTAAATCCGTTGAAGATACCGATGATGACAGCAGTGAAGAGCTTGCCATAGACGTATGAAGAGTCACGCCATTGCTGGACAAATGTACGCTTTGTGAGCATCGTAGTCTGCAGCCAGACCGGAGCAGCAAATTCAGATTCCTCTCCAGCATCCTGGCTGGCAGGAGCCTTCTGACTGCGCTCGCTCTTGATGCGGTCAATCTCGTGGAGGACTTCCTTGGCGTTGTCAGACTTGAGCCATTCCTCGTTCCAATCGATGCGAGTGCCGTCCTTGCGCTTGACTGGCTTCGCTGCAGTCTCGAGGATGAACTCCGCTACGTTCTTGCTGGGATGGCATTGGATGCCGCGGTCGCCAAAGTACTTGATCACGTCCTTGCCATTCTCGCCGACAGGGCCGAAGTAGAAGGTATTGCCACCAGGGTTGAGAGCGAGAATCATGTCAAATTGCTGAATGAGAACGCTGCTAGGCTGGTGGATGGTGCAGACGATTGCCTGGCCAGCGGCTGCGAGCTTCTTCAGGAAAGTGACGATTGAGTAGGCCGAGTTGCTGTCAAGTCCACTGGTGGGCTCATCAAGGAAGAGCAGGAGCGAAGGCTTCGCTGCAAGCTCAACACCGATCGTGACACGCTTCTTCTGTTCAACGCCCAAGCTCGATACGAGAGCGTCTTGAACATCTTGCAGTTCGAGCATGTCGATGATCTTGTCGACATATTCGATCTTCTCCTGGCGTGGAATGTTCTTATCCTGACGTAAAATAGCAGAGAACTCGAGAGCCTCGCGGATAGTGGCGGTACCATCGTGAAGGTCCATCTGTTCGCAGAAACCAGTGCCACGCTGGAAGTTCTTGCCTAGGCGTTTACCATCGACAAGCATCTCGCCAGAGACGACACCGGTATTCTGACGCTGAGAAAGCGTGTTGAGAAGCGTAGACTTGCCAGCACCTGAAGCACCAACCAGGGCAATCATGACTCCAGGCTTCGCGTATCCGTTGACCTTGTTGAGAAGTTTACGTTCGCCGCCCTGGTAAGGTACGGTGTATTCGACGTCCTTCCAAGTGAAAACACTCTCGCTGCTCGAAATCGAGGCCAGGGCTTCTTCCTCCTCTTTGGTGCCGTCACCGGAAGAGCTACCGCTTGAGTCGCCGGCTACGACCTTCTCCTCGTCACTCGTCTCTTCTTTGACAACCTTCTTCGCGCGCTTCGACTTCTTGAAGACCAAAGCACCACCACCACCTTTCGAGAAGGAGAGGAATTCGGTCGCCCATACAGTGACAAGCAGGTAAAGAACCGAGAATGCGATGACCACGCCAAAGTTGCGCCAAAGGTGGGACCTTGTGTATTCGAACGAGGTCTGCAGATACGAAGCTCCGCTGACGGTGTTCGAGTTCGGCTGTGCACCTGTCAAGCTGCAGCCCTGGAATGCAGGATCGATACCAGATCCTTGGGGAACAAGTTGAGATGGCGAGCATTCCATGACTCGATTAGAAAACTCGTTGGTCAGAACCGCCTCGAACGAATATGCCACGGGGTTGATGTGGAATAGCCAACCAAACCAGATGTACTTTGAAAGCAGCTGTGGTTTAGGGATAACGTAACCGGTGAATACGATGAGAATGTTGAGGGCTAGTCCGGCAAAGCGCACAGCGTCGTCGATAGTCGGTGACATGGCGGCGAACATTCGGTAGAGCGATGTGATACAGAAGGTGGAAATGTAGATGAAGAGGAAGTAGATCCAGAACTTGCCAGCATCCAAATCAAGACCAGTCATGAAGTACATGATGATAGAGAAGGGAATGACCTGAGCCAGCAGGAGCGGGATATCCTGGAGAACTCTAGCCAGGCTGACAGCGCTTGGTCGATAGAATGCGTAGTCTTTGTGCCTCTTGACAACGTGTCTGCCAGAGACCGCCTTCATCAGCTCGGAGAGTTGCAGCCAACCAAGGAACAGAATGGAGAAGAACGCTGAACCTCCTCTTGTAAAGGCGCCAGACGTGTCTAAGGATTGTCCGTAGAAGAGAGAGCCGACGATCAGACCGTTTGAGATAATGATGAAGAATTTGGTATATAGCGTGGTCTTGTCGCCCCAGGTGAGCCAGAACTCACGTTTTGTACACGCTAGGACCTGTCGTACGAACGAGACGGTGAAGGGTGACTTCTTCGACTTGAGCTTGCTGTTACTCTTGCTCTCAGCAACAGCACCCTCAAACTCCCTAGCGTCAATGTAGTCGCTCCTCTTTAGGACCTCCTCGTAACTCGCAATATCTCTTTGGATTTTCTGGTATGTCTCGGAGTTTGTGAAAGCTCGCTCGAGATCCTCCGGTGTTTTCGGAGCGCTATCCTCGTATCCTTCTCGGAACTTTCGCTCAGTAGGGTCTGTGACAGCGGTGAGGAAGTCTGCAGTGGTCTGTCGCTCGGGGCAGAAGAAGCCCAGATCGAGGAAGTACTGTTTTGCCTCTTTTGCAGGCCCTTCGTAGATGCAGCGACCCTGGTCAATGACCATGACCTTGTCCATCTGTTCGTAGATGCCCTCTCCAGCTTGGTAGAGAGTGACAAATGTTGTGCGGTTGCTCAGGTCAGTCATGATGCGGAGGGACTTTGCGTAGTCGAGAGCAGTTGAGGCGTCGAGACCTCTGGTACTGTTGTCCCAGCACACGACGGTGGACTTGGCAGCAAGTGTCTCTGCTATAGACACTCGCTTCCGCTCTCCACCAGAAACACCACGGACGTACTCATCTCCTACCGGTGTGTATTTCGTATGTGAGATGCCAAACATCTTCAGCAGAGCTTCAAGAATGATTGGAATTTCATCTTTCCGGCCTTTCCTTGTCTTGTTGGTAAGAGCGAATTCAAGTGTCTGCCAGACGTTCAGGTTGGCGAAATGAACATCGTCCTCTTCGTTGTAGTTCACTTCACCGCAGAACTGCTTTGCTTGTTTCTCTGCGGAGATGCCTCCGTAATGGACGTCTCCTTCGACAGCTGCGTAGCTTTCTCGGTTGTTCGCAATTGCCTTGAGGAAAGTTGAGCACCCGGATCCAGGCCGTCCAAGTACGAGCATCATCTCTCCATCCTTAAGAACGCCGGAGAAGTCATTAATGAGTGTGCGGGTTTGTTGGTGGCGGTTGAGGCGCAAAGCGGGAATGAAGCGTGTGACGATGCGGTACAGGTCGGGACCGAACGTCCCAATAATCGCATCAGGGACGGTCTTTGCGAAGGTGGCGGTAGATCCGACTCCCTTGACGTTGAGATTCTTCCAGACTACACCGACCTTCTTCGCTGACCTGCCATTTTTCCTCTTCTCAAAGTATCCCTCTTTCATAAAGTCGCCGAGTTCGAAGTTGTCTTCTTTCTCAGCCGCCACAGCAGCTCCTGCAGCCTCTTCGCCTTCTATAGCAGTCGAGTCACTGGTGTTGGTATGTGATACGCGGGATGCTTGATGGGAGACACTACGGCTAGTGCTTTTTCTGCTGGGGCGCATGAGCCCTTCACGGTTTTGCTCTGAGCGTGCGGTCTGGGAACGTGTGCGTGATAGGAGCACAAGCTCTTCTTGAAGAGCATGTATGTCCGCCGTTGCAGTGGTAGGGTCGAATCTGCCCGCATCAGGTTCACCCCAGGTTCCAGTCCTAAGGACGCCGTTTGGACTGCTGCCGTCACTGCTGTTGTCTGCAGTTGCTACTCTTTCTTGTCCATTCTCAGTGTACTGGCTCTCGTTGTGCCATGGATTCCTCCTAGGGTCCTGATCGCGACGATCTCGAAGACTAGAACCCCACAACATATTTGAGGATCACGTCTGTTTGGAGATAGTCGGTAGCCGAATTGGGCAAGAGCGGTTGAGCTCGATGACGGAAGGACTTATTAACGTGCAGTTGAATATAGTGAAGCAGTCGAGAGAAGGACGCAATAGCACTCAAATATGAGCCATGGGGAAGAGGAAATCAGCTTCGTTGACAGACTTAACTGCGGCCCCAACACTGTCGTCATTCCATTGAAGCAATGGTCCTGCCGAGCAATACCCGCGTCTAACTTTACGACGTCACCGTGAAATTTAGGCATCTTGTTGAGCACTAACAACGCCCTAACACACAAACTGAGGAAGTGCAGCATATATTACCAATCACCGCGACCCGCTGTATCGGCACGCAACCGCTGGAAAAGGTTCCGTCCCTGCATATATTGGCCAGAATATGGATTTGTGGATTGATCCTGAATCAAGTAGTAGATGTTACAGGGTGATGTCTGACAAGCTTGCGGCGATCGTCCCGCAGAATTTCGGCAGCGATCCGTGACCGTTCGTTGGGTACAGATGTAGCGCATTTCTAAGCAGAGGCTCCGCGGGCGCAAGCCGATCTGCGATAATGAGGAAAGTTATTAGTATTTAGGCAAAGTGCCGCCTTGCCCACGGCTTAGTAATAAGTATTGCATCTGTAAAGAAGTTGTTCTTTCTACAGGCTTCTGGTTCTCATCTATGCTTTCCACTACTTTCATCACAATTGAAGGTATGCCCTGCACTGCACCTTCAGATGTTTGCACGGGCCATGTGCCAAGGCGTCAGCAACTTGCATACCATCGGAGTTTGGAGTTTGGCGGTGTTTGTGGATGAGAACAGCCCTTGGCTTTGCTCAAAATGTAGCTATGTTCTGCGTTTTTCATAATCAATGGGCACCATGTATGCATTTTGTGCAATTCACCAGTACGTGTGCAAGGTTGTCTTACATCATGTTAAATCTGTGCTGAAACGCTGTTTTCTGCGAAAAGAACCGCGAGCGTAGGTTCATCAGAAATCTATAGTGGGTATTGCTTAGGAATCCGTACGCTTGCTTGCGGCTCCGCACGACCGCCTCTCCTTGAATACGCTGAACGCTTAATACTTCGGTTCGATGAGCTCAGGGATGTCCCGAGGCTTTGCATTACCCTCCAGGATGTTGAAAACCGCAGTGAACAGAGGAAAGTCGGCCTCTTTGCCCTGTGACTTCAGGAATTGGTTCACCTCAATGGCTGTGCTGGTACCTTGCAGCTTCTGCCCGTTGAGTTCCTTTTCCTCGATGGCACTGATAGATTCTCCGCGCTCAACGGCCATTTTTGCACAGCGGAAGTTGCGGCCACCCGAGCAAGATGTGATGACATCCGCCACGCCACAGCTCTCTTCTGTGAAAGTGCTGGTGCGAGCGCTCTCTCCGAAGAACATCTTGCCAAACTTGACCATCTCGAGGATGCCTACACGCATCACGGCTGCCTTGGCGTTGTCACCCCAGCCCAGGCCGTCGACGAAGCCAGCTGCAAGAGCAATGATGTTCTTCAGAGCACCGCCAAGAGACACACCAGCGACATCGTTCACCAGGTGTACGTGGAAGTAGGGGCGATGGAAGAGCTTGCGGATGTTCTCGTGCGAGAGAGGGGGGTACTCGTTCGGCAAAGGAATCAAGTGCGCGGATCGCTTGCCAGGCTCGATCTCAGGGTTGATCAAGTTGACTTGCGAAGAGCTTGGTGACCCGCTTGGGGTCGGGTGACGAGAGTCCATTGGCGGTGGGTCGTACGCGACAGTGGTCTCCGAGTACAGCTCCTTGGCGATTTCAGAAGCAATATTTGCACCCGACAGAGCACCACAGTAGATGTTCAGACCCTTGCCAATAGCCTCTGACATAAGCTGGATGCCCTTCTCGCTCACATCAACACCCTTTGTGCAGCAGATAGCTCGAGCGTATGGCAGGGTTTTGCCTGACAATTGAGAGCATGTCCTGGCGATGAACTGATGCGGGAGCACGAAGACGAGCATCGTGGAGTCTTTGCAGGCGTCGGCCAGGTCGGGGTTCGCGATAACGTTTGACGGTAGTGTAATATTCGGTAGGTACTTGACGTTCTCGTGTACGTTGTTGATGAGCTCAGAGAGCTTCTCGGGCTGATCTGACCCATTGTAGTGTCGTGAATTCTTAGGAATTGTGTACTCCTCTTCAAACACCCACATCTGCACCTGCTCTTCGAAGAGAGAGGGATTGCCCTTGGTGTTCTCAGCCACGAGCTTTGCCATTGTGGTGCCCCTAGCCAGTATTAGCTGGCTCTCACAAAGTCCTGTCTCTCTTCGAAAGAAGATTGCGGACTGCAATTGATGCAGGATACAACGTACCAGTTTCCGGAGCCCACAATCGTCACTTTGTGCTTACGCTGAACACTGAGTGTCGCCATAGTTCTGTATAGACCGTCTTTCGTCTGTCGATGTTTGATGTAGGTGTTGACGTTCGTCGGCGCTTTTCCTGCGAATATGGGGCGGTGACAAGCTCTGACGTAGCTCGATGGCGAACGCGGGGATAAGGACAATGGCCTTAGTAGCTTGAAGAAAGCCAGCTTATATGTTTTGGCAGTCTGGGTGAGAGCAGAAAGTCAGAAATATGACGTTCAGCCACACCGCGGCTCAAGCTTTCAGCTGCCACGCACCGATAGACTGTTATCTTCTGGAAGCGGAAGGAACACTCGAACCTCGGCTGCCTGTGATGCGGTAAGACCGAAAGATGCGGCGGACAAGACGGAAGATCGCGATGGCAGTGACTTACAATGCTTGGAAGGCGGGGCGTCGGAAGTGAGGCGAAGACGAAGCTCTTTGGACAAGATACTGCTGCAGATTGTTGAATGACGCAGCCCGCTCAACACCCTTGCGAGGATCGGTCATGCATGCCGGAAGTCGGGGCGAGCTAGCTGATCAACGCTGCAGGACAGACATATTGGCCAATGATAACATTGCGCCGCATCGAGGCTGACAGTGACAGCGACCATCCATGGTTGACAGGTGCGGCGGTTCTGACGCAGGTGACAGCTCACTCCCAGGGGTTCTTTCATTGTTTGTAGAGACCCTGAGAAGAAACACTACTTCATGAAAGTGACTGCCGGATGCAGTCGCTTTATTTACAGACGCGCAACAAGGGCGATATGGGTTACAGTGACCGGCAAGATGGGCGGATGTGAGGTTACACGTAACGAAGCTTCAAAGAATCAGGCAGAGAGCAGATGCATTGAACAGTTGAAGATTTTGATTGGGGTATTGCAAGTCGTGTTATCCTTCATATCATCGCATTAAAGCTCCTTAGGCTTCTCCTTCTCCATGTCATGCGCAATTGAGCATACAAGACCTCGCAACGTGACGCCAAAGAACTTCGCGAGACCTATATCATCCTCCGTTATTACCACAGCCACCCTATAGGGACCGGCCCGCTACCCACTCTAGATAGTCGACCTTTCTACAAGGCAAGGCCGAAGATGGCGAGGAGGCCGGCAGCCAGGGCAGGTGTGCCCAGAGCGACGGCAGCGCCCGAGGACGCAGCAGCGGTGCTGGAGCCAGTCGATGAAGCGCCAGTAGCGGAGGCACCGCCGGAAGTGCGGCTAGCACCACTGGAGGAGGCAGAGGCAGAGGAAGAACCGGAGGAGGACTCGTCGATGGTGGTGTTACCGCACTCGGTGTCGCGAGCCTGGTTGCACTGGAACTGCTGAGCAGCGTTGCCCTCGCCGTTGGCGCCGATGGTGGCGTTGATGCAAGCATCGTACCAGTAGTAGCACATCTGAGCAGGGACGGTCTGCTGGTAGGTCTTCATGACATCCGCGGCAATGGTGGTGCCGTTAGAGCACTTGCAGCTGTAGTCGAGAGTGGACTGTGAGTGACGTTAGCGAGCTGTTGCGAAAAAGATGCAGAGCAGACTTACAGCGTCGCAAGTGTTGCCGTTGCTGGCAATGTCACCCTGGCCACCGCAAAGGTCCACACAGGTGTTCTCCTGAGCGTCACACCATGACTGCCTTTTGTCCTCGGGGACGGTGGACACAGACACAGAGCAGCAGGGGATGACGGTGTTGTTCTGGGCAGCGGCGAAGCCAGCAAGGGCCGCGGCGACGATGACGGAGGAGTAGAGCATGGTGAATTGCTGTATTGCGCAACGAGTATCAATGCCTGAGAAAGAGAGCAGAGTCAGCGGGAGATCATCGGGGATCAGCGGTGGAGAGCAGCCGCGCGGTGGAGAGGCAAGCTGGCAGCGCAATGGGTGGAGAATATGCCCGTCCAGGGCGAGCAATTGCGGCGAGAGGCAACTTACTGTGATGCGGGCTGTTTTCTGGGATGAGAAAGGCGGTTGCTGGGAGGCGGCGGGTGTGTCGGGCGAGCGAGTCTTAAATGATACGCGGCACAGACTGCTCTACACTATTCTGCACTAGTGCAAGTGCTTCAATGAATGCAGCTTCCGGAGCAGGGTGTCGACAAAGATACGCTCGGACGCGCTTGCTTCCTTCACCGAGAGGGAAATTGCTGCCAGTAGCTAATTTACCTGCTGCTGCTGCTCGTTTTTTTTGACAGTTCACTTTCATTGAGCTGGTGCGCTTTCTTGCAGCTCTCGATAACCTCTCCCTCTCTTGCAGGAGCAGTTTCAGAGGAATGGCCACCGTGCCCGTGCCGCACTACCGCAACACTCAGTCGCACTAGTGAGCATGGTTGGCTGTGCATTCCTTCAATCCACGCGCCAAGTGACGCACACCAGAACGGAGAGCGCGCAGGAAGAATCGAGCTGCGACGGCGGGAAGCTATTTCTTGGCCTGGGGCAACATGCGTTTGAACCGAAAGCCGTGTCGTTGTGGCCGTGCTCGACCCATTTCCATAGGAACCCCAACCACTGACACTTCGGCTCTCACAAGCGTGCCAGTGTTCAGGCATCTTGCAACGGGCCGGGCTCCACAACAGCCACAGGCTGCATCATCGCCGGCGTCACAGCGCTGCCAGCCTTGCATGCACCCCGTCCTTTTGATCGATGTCGCACAGTCTCAGACGACACCCCTTAGAGAGGCTTAGAGAGGGCGTGGTGCGCGACCGTAATCGTGAACTGGCCCTCACAAACACACTGGGCGATGTCCCCCGCGAGTCCGACGCGTCGCTAACAAACAAAGCGTCGACACTTCCTGGTTTTTCCAGCGCTGTTGCCTGATCTGGACAAGACCTTGCATAAAGCGCCCCACCCAAAGCCTCGGGATGCACGGTCTCTTTTTGGCAGCGCGAACTCAACACCATCTAAGGACCTTTCCTACTTGACAAATCTCCATAAATGTCGCTCGCGGGCTAAATGCTGTCGCCACCATCACTTGAGTACTATCTTGCCACGTACCGTCAAGACAATGCATACCTAGCCATTTCCTGAGCCTTGCGCATTGCGATGCCAGGCAGGAAGCGTAGACCCACATACCAAGCGTTTGCCGGTGGCTGGTCTTGGTGTTCCCCGCAGAGAGATAGAGCCTCAACCATCGTACAACGCGCTTTTTATTGCGAGGCCGGTGGCTCTCACGACCGACCACGAGCACACAGTGGGACTTTGCGCTTGTCAAAGCTTTGATCGTCTTCAGCACAGATATAACTTATGTATCGTCGCCTGACCAATGTGGCTGGTTGGTGCGCGCAAACTTGACATACTCCAGCCGAAATTGCCCGCCACGATGGTCTGCAGTGCCTGTCCTGCCTCTTCTCACGCCTTCTCCGTTCTATACGGTATTGTACCAGTGCTTGCTGGAGGTGACATGTCCCTCCTACATCTTGTACTGAACGAAGCTTGCACCTAGTGCTTGACCCAAGTGTGCTTTTACAGGATGATCTTTGGGCTGATTACGGCAAGGCCGGCCGGTCATAACCTCACTACCATCTCCATCGTCGTAACGTTGCGTCGTGTCGCAAACGACTTCGAAGCCGGAGGACGACATCGTCCATTGCGGCATCCGCGTAATCTGCTGACGACGCTAAGAGAAACACCACCAATAATGACTTGCAGATGACACGCTCGAAGCCTGACCACCCCAGCTGATTGGACTGAGCTATCACCGAATCGCTCAAGACATTGGCATCTAGTGTCTCTGTAGGACGACCTCAACATTCAAGCGATGTGGTTATAGTGTACAGCAAAGCAGCAGACGTCTCACCCTTTTTCTATGCTCAGCCTCACATGTGCGGCGCAGCTTCCCCGCATGTTGAAACAGTGGCTCGTGCACCCACCTTTCTTCTCTGCTAGTTGTACATCACCTTCTCTTGGCTTCATCACATCCTAATTGCTGATGATTGTCGTGGACGGTCCATTTCTCGAGAATGCAGTACAGATGTAGGATCATGAACGATGTTTTCATGCGAGACCTCCACTATCTCGCTAAATTCAGGTCCTATATGATGTCACGACTTAAGCGCCTTCCTGGAACTTCATTTCAGGCGAAGTCAAGTACTATTGCGCTCAATGTGCAAGCCTATAGCAAGGCCCTGATCAAGGACCACTTCACGTTTCTTACCTATCTTTTGCCTTACCATGATGCAGACCAATTACTTCGTCTGTTCGCTTGGCCAGGCGGCTACTCTGAGCAGCCAGCCCAATCCGTACACCACTATAGGCCAGTTCGTGAACTATCAAGCACTACACCATCCCTACCTGCCAGCTGTCGGATTTCCTATACCTCGGTCGCAACAAGGGAAATGGCGCTACAAAGTTCTCACTTTCGCAGAGATCGACCAAGGCACAAACATCTTTGCAGGGAGATTGAGACGAGCTCTGGGTAGCTCTCCAGAGGGGCCAGAAACAGTAGCGCTTCTGTGTCACAGCTCGCCAGAATTTCTGTTTACATGGTTGGCATTAATGAAATTGGGCTACTCAGTACTACTCATTGCACCGCAATGCCAGCCCGCTGCCATTTTACATCTGTATAAGTCATGCGAAGCCTCCACCTTCTTCTACGACACCGCACATGCAGAGCGTGCCGAGCAGACTGTTGGCTTAGCAAAAGAGGACGGACTTGTCGGCTTCGACGCCAAGTTACTACTCTTGCGTGACGAGGAGGAAATCTACCAGGTCATCAGCGAGACTGTAGAGACGACGTTCGAGACCCCCAATCTGGAGGAGACTGCGGTTGCGTATCTGCACCATACCTCTGGGACCTCGTCGGGGCTGCCGAAGCCCATACCACAGTCACACCGAGCAGGGTTGGGCGTCCTTCCCCGTCTTCCAAAGATACCCGGGAAGGCAACCTTTACCACAACACCTCTCTACCATGGAGGCATCGCCGACCTGTTCCGAGCATGGACCAGTAACGCTCTCATTTGGCTGTTTCCCGGCAAAGATGTGCCAATTACAGCTCGAAACATCTGCAAAAGCCTGGAGGTGGCGACATCGTACTCCTCAATCGAAGGTCTTCCAGCAGTCAAATACTTCTCTTCTGTACCATACGTACTGCAGATGATGGAGTCAGATGAGCAAGGTCTGTCTCTGTTGCAGAACATGGATATAGTTGGTGTTGGCGGCGCCGCGTTGCCAGCGGAGGTTGGTGATCGCCTGGCAAAGAGTGGAGTGAACTTGATCTCAAGATTTGGAAGTGCTGAGTGTGGGTTTGTCATGTCTTCATTCCGCGATTTCTCGACGGACAATGACTGGCAGTATCTGCGAAATTATAACCCGGCAAAGTTACTGAGCTTCGAGCTGCGAGATGATGGACTGGCTGAGCTTGTGATCAAGCCAGGCTGGCCGCACATGGTACGTATCGGTTAATGTCTACGTAAAACTTGTCTGACATAAAGTATAGGCCAAACAAAATCGCTCAGATGGATCCTTCGCGACTGCAGATCTGTTCGCTCCGCACCCTACAATCCCAGATGCGTGGATATACAATTCGCGTGCCGATTCTCAGCTGACACTCATCACGGGCAAGAAGTTTGATCCTGCGCCACTTGAGGATGCGATAGCAACGTCGCCATACCTTCAAGATGTCCTAATATTCGGTACCAACCGGCCCTATCCTGGGGTGCTGCTGCTTCGGTCCAAGAAAGCCAGCGGGATGAGTGATCTAGACTTGCTCGACGCGATCAAACCTGCGGTAGAGAAGCTTAACCGCGACAGCCAAGACCATGCCAGAATACCTCAGCATATGTTGATTCCTCTGCCATACCAGAAACCACTCGAGAAGAGCAGCAAAGGCACTTTGATCCGCAGAGTCGCTGAGGCCAGGTTTGAGGACATCATCAACCGTGCTTACGATGAGCAAGCCAACGAGTCAGTCAACGTTTCTGACGATGAACTGCCACAGCATCTTAAGGGCTTGATACAGTCTATCACATCTCAGTCTGCTGAGTTGGCAGACGACATGGACCTCTTCTCGTATGGTGTTGATTCCATTGCGTGTATGCAGCTCCGGACACGCCTCAGGGGACTGATACCGAACTGCGATAAGCCCTTGCCAATGAGTGTCATCGAAGACTGCGGATCAATCAAACGCCTGACGGACTATGTTCTACGAAAGAGACACGGTGAATCCGACGATATTGAGGACGACGAAGAACAGCTGATGACAGGTCTGGTCACGCAGTATGGGTCTTTTTCTGGAAGTGCTTCGCCGCCTGCTACAAATGACCACCCTGCGGACGATAAGAAGAACGACGTCGTGATTTTGACTGGAGCCACTGGCGCCCTTGGAGCGCATATCTTGGATCTTCTTCAGAAGACAGAAACGACAAAGAAAGTATACTGCCTAGTAAGAGGCGTGGACGACCATACTGCGAGGGAACGTGTCAGCAAAGCTCTTGAGCAGAGGGGCTTAACGACTCTACTCACGCCTGGCAGGTCAAACGACGAGGTAGAAGTGATCCCAGCCCAGCTCAGCGATACGCGTCTTGGGTTGAGTGATGAGCTCTACAACAGGCTGGCTAAGGAAGTGACATCTATCATCCACGTCGCGTGGACGGTCAACTTCCGTCTCAAGCTACGAAGTTTCGCCAAAGACAACATCGCTGGTGTCAGGAACCTCTTGGACCTTGCTCTGATCGCGGGGCGCAGTACCCCTCCGCGTTTCGCATACTGCTCTTCCACGGCCGCCGTTATGAATGGCGAGCTAGATCAATTTGGATGCTGGCCCGAGAAGCTTCTTTCCAGCCCGTCTTCTGCATCCCCACTTGGCTACTCAAGGTCAAAGTGGGTGGCAGAGCACATCTGCGCTGAAGCAGATAGACGGACGAGTCTTCGCGGTCGGGTCGCAGTCGTCCGTGTTGGACAATTGGCTGGAGACTCAACTTCAGGGGTGTGGAATACCAAGGAGGCGTGGCCAATGATGTTGAGCACTGCAAGTATCATTAAGTGTCTGCCTGATCTGGAAGATGAGGCTTTGGATTGGCTGCCTGTGGATATTGCGGCACAAGCCTTCCTCGAGTCGACACGAGAGGAGAATTGCGGTCAGGAGGACGTGCCAGTGTACCATGTCCTGAATCCACATCGCCAGCCAACCTGGCATGACATGCTGCTTTGGCTGAAGAAGAAGGCAGATTTCGAAGTTGTCTCGCCTCAAGTCTGGCTCCAACGACTGGAGGGCAGTGACACCGAACATCCAGCAAAGAAGCTTTTAGGGTTGTGGAAGGAAGCATATGGGGACGGGGTACAAGGCAGCTCAGCCGAAAGACCACAATTCGCAATGGAGGAGAGCAAGAAGCACGTATCGGTGCTAAGTGACATCAAGCCGCTCGACGAGGCATACATCCAAAGGGTGTGGGACTGGGTGCAAGCGAACGTGCGTTGAGTCAGACCTACATATTGAGGTGGGTCGCACTCTTCCGCCATGCTCACCGACGACTCAACAGTCGGGAGCAAGTGTTTGATCCTCCGATGATGAATACGCCGACAACAGGCGGAAGACGGACGATGTAGTCAGTCTCGGACGTGCAACAGTGCTATCAAATGCGAACGGACATCCTGTCAAACTTTGCGCAGCCTTTCCGTCTCCGAAACTCATCTTTAGCAGCCAATCAATGTGTCGTTCTACTGCTGCATTGCATGTGGTGCATGAGGTCGGTGTAGCAGACTGGGCATCATTCGCAAGGGGCATCATCTTGTGAACGAGTCACCGAGACGCCAGCTGTACGGCGATTTCTTCCGTCAGGATTCATGATGGACATCGGCAGCGCTGTCTGTCATCACCAAGCCTCGATCAGTCGTCCGGTAACAGGCAGCAGCTGCCCGACCGGTGCTCAACTTGAAGCAATCCTCCACACAAGTGACGCGATGACTACTCGAAACGGATGAAATCGAGATCAAATGTCGGGGGTCAGACGACTTGCCCGCTCCGAATCTTTTCACACGGCTCGTCAAGCCATTACTCAAGCCACCATACAAATCAGCCAATCTGCAAGCAAGCACCCGCGCATCACCAAATCGTCAGGCAACCACATTTCTCAGGTATCGACGGACGAAACTTCAACACCACGTTGGCGCTTCGCGATACTGACGTTTGCGGACCAAAATTTCATCCTGCCTACCTATCATGATGGCAGAAAGGAGTCACGTACATGGATACAATTTATCCATAGAGAGATTTCAAGCCTTCTATTGCTTGGCTTGCGACGTATCCCACTTCCCGTAAGATCCACGAAAAATTGGAAGGATCGATGCGTGCGGAGCGCTTGGCCGCGGAGCTGCAGTCTAGAATCTATCCATGGTTTTCTGAGCGCAAGGCCAGCGTATGGTCTTGGCTTGCGCTCCGCCCTTCAGCGCCAGGCCTTGGGACACTCCCATTCTTGATACCGTGTTCTGCTGGCTTGACAGCAATCTGGGTAGCTGCACCCGGTCAACGGAACTAATGTGGCACGGCGACGTGCAAGCCTGATTGATACAGCGCCCGCTGTTGTGCTTGCACACGAAGAATGCGCCAAGGGCACTAGGCGGCCTAGCGTTGCAGAGAAGGGACGAATGTTCGACCGATTCTGCATACGAAAACAGGCTAGTGTGACCTCAGCCCTTTTCCAACAGTGCCCACGGTGAGTCGCGCATCCCGAGAAGCGCGACAATGCTAGCTCCCGCACCCTAATCGTACCGAAGCTCTTGGTTACAGCTTGACCATAACGTTAACTTCACCCTTATGAATCACTGCGTTCCTTTTGTGGATATACTTATAGTCGCCCCTTCCCTCCTGCTACAACTCTTCCCTAACACTTACTCGGCCACTAATCAACATCGATCACCTTGCACCCTGCATGACATCACCAAACATCACCTCACAACCGTTACCCCAGATGAGCGAAACGCACAACCAAACACTGCGACCTGCCAGTATGGCAGATTCTGAAAAGACGGCTGCCCGTAGTGTGGGCGACCTCGAGAAGAAAGAGACTGGTGTTGGCGTGAGCGGCCTGCCCTCAGCTACTGGCTCAATACACGAGAATGCTGCAGGTGGGAATGCTGCAGGAGATAAGGAGCCGGAGATCAACGAGAAGCGCAATTCAAAGGGCAGCAACTACGACGAGGAAGACGATTTCGAATATCCTACCAAGTGGAAGCTCGCTATCATCACATTGGCACTGTGCCTGTCCGTCTTCTGCATGGCATTGGTAGGTTCCCAGAAGGTGAAGGCGATCGAGGACCTACAGGCTGACGACAATAGGACAACACAATCATCGCGACAGCTATTCCTCGCATCACAGATCAGTTCAAGGCGTTGAACGATGTCGGTTGGTACGGATCAGCTTACCTGCTCACTACCTGCGCCACACAACTCCTCTACGGCAAATTTTACTCCTACTACTCGATTAAGTGGGTCTACATCATCGCTCTCTTCATCTTCGAAGTCGGCTCCCTGATCTGCGGTGTTGCCCCTAATTCGACAACTCTGATCATTGGACGCGCCATCGCTGGTGTTGGAGCCGCCGGCATCTTCAGCGGTGCTGTCCTCATCATTGCATCCACTGTACCCCTCCACCAACGCCCGGCTTACATGGGCCTGATCGGTGGTATGTACGGTATTGCGTCAGTTGCTGGACCCTTGGTAAGTGCAGATTCTTAGAACGCAGAGAAGTGGACCTATGCACAAACCAGGCATTTGCTAACGAAGTCTCAGATGGGTGGAGCCTTTACAGATCATCTGACTTGGCGATGGTGCTTCTACATCAACTTGCCGCTTGGCGCTGTAACTGCCGCATTCATCATCCCGTTCTTCACTATTCAGCGCCGCGGCAAGAAGAACGAGGCTACTTTGATGGAGCAGGTCAAGAAGTTCGACCTTGAGGGTACTGCTTTGTTCCTGCCTGCTATCATCTGCCTGTTGCTTGCTCTCCAGTGGGGTGGCAGCAAGTATGCGTGGGGCAGCGGCCGCATTATCGCTCTTCTTGTCCTGTTCGTCGTGCTTATTCTTGGCTTCATCGCTGTGCAGTGGTGGAAGCAGGAGGATGCCACCGTTCCTCCTCGCGTTTTCCTCAACCGCAACGTTTGGGGATCGGCCCTGTTCGGAGCCATGCTCGGTGCATCGTTCTTCGTCATGGTCTACTATCTTCGTAAGTTCCGCCTCGTTTGACAAGCGAACAGAAGCTAATAGTGCACAGCCATCTGGTTCCAAGCTGTAAAGGGTGTCTCTGCGACCAAGTCTGGTATCATGAACTTGCCTGCCATTCTCGGTCTTGTCATCATCTCCATGCTGGCTGGTGGTCTCGTCACCTACTTTGGCTACTACACCCCATTCATGCTTCTCTCGTCAGTCTTGATGGCTATCGGTGCCGGACTTTTGTCGACGTTCGAGACTGACACCAGCTCGCCCAAATGGATCGGGTACCAGTTTATTTTTGGTGCCGGTGTCGGTTTCGGTATGCAACAGATTCTCATCGCAGTCCAGACAGTCCTCCCCGCCGACGACGTGCCAATCGGCACCGCCACTATGATGTTCAGCCAGACGCTTGGTGGCGCGCTCTTCATCTCGGTCGGCCAGAACGTCTTCACCAACCAGCTCATCAAGAACCTTCACAGCGTGGTCCCCGAGCTCGACTCTGGTTTTGTCCTGACGGTGGGTGCGACGGAGCTGAAGAACCAAATCGAGGAGCGCTTCCTCCCCGGTGTTCTTGCGGCCTATAACCTCGCACTGACGCAGACTTTCTACGTTTCGGTTGCTGCAGGGGCCATGTCGATCGTCGGCGCTGCTTTTGTGGAGTGGAAGAGCATGAAGGGCAAGAAGATCGAGATGGCGATGGCGTAAGCCTGCTACGAGTCAGCACTTGTTGATTGAACCAGATTTTATCGACACTAGTCACACGACGTGTCACAAGACAACCCTGTATGATGATACCCTTTTGCGAGCGACGAAAAGCATTGATGAGCGGGCGCTTGCACGTTCGCCTACACGTTTGGCCAGCTTTTCTGTATATACTTTAATAGACGAACGGAGGAGGCAGCCGGTAGCTTGGTCTGGGAGTGGAGGAATAACAGACTAGATAGAACATGTTCTCTTCAGAGTAATGCGAGCTCCCCAACTTTTCTCACGAGCAGATGCAAACACGTCTGAAAGCAATTACGGGATGACGTCGGCAGGCTCAGGCTCTGATGTGACAGCGCGGCACAAGATGCAGGCATGACACAGCCACGACTGGCAGAAATCAAGCTTCGCCCAGGCGCACCACAAGGCTTAACGGCTAGGGCTATGCCCACTCGTCCCTCGGCCGCATGCGCCGCGCGGGGCCCAGCTCGGTAGCCTCCAGCGGCACGCTCCCAAGACTGCTGCGCCCATTCCTGTCCATGTTGACCCTGGGTCTGTTACCTTCCTCTGCCCATATAAGCACAGCACCTCGTTGGGCGCCCGCGGTCGCCGTCACAGAACACAGAGGACACAAGGGCCGATTACGAGCTGGGCGTAGAGACAGATTCCGTGCGAGCTGGGCGCAAAGACAGACTCCTGGCCGTTGGAGCCGCGCAGACGCACGACACACAAGAAGCAGACCATGGCAGCGCAGGCGGGCAGCAGCATGGCGCAGCCGGCCAAGCCGCAGAGGACGACGACCAGCGAGAGCAGCAAGGGCCCCGAGGGCGGCTACGACGACACGCCGATTGCGCGCAGAGAGGTAGACACTGCCCCCCCTCCCACATGCTGCATGCCGGCCATGCTGGCCATGCTGGCGGGCACTATGCGCAACGCGTCGCTGAACAGAAGCAGCCCGGGTATACGGTCAAGTTCACCTTCCACCGCGCGAACAGTCTGCCGCTCGCCGACATTAACACGCTGTCCGCCGACCCCTTCATCCTCGCCGAGCTCACGACGGCGCTGCCCGCGCGCCACAAGGAAGACCCGCCGCTGACGCTGCGCACGCGGACGGTGCGCCAGAACACGGACCCCGTGTGGGAGCAGGAATGGATCGTGGCCAACGTGCCCGCGAGCGGCTTCCGCCTCAAGTGCCGCATCTACGACGAGGACCCGGCCGACCACGACGACCGCCTCGGCAACGTCCACGTCGACGTCGCCGCCGTGGACGAGAGCTGGGCCGGTATCCACGAGCAGTCGTACGCGCTGCGCAAGCGCATGATCAGCAAGCGCGCCTTCGTGCTGCGCGCCGTCGCCGTGTGCATCCGCAAGGCCGAGCACATGAACGGCACCCTCACCGTCAGCGCCGAGGTGCTGGGCCGCACCCAGGACGAGCTCGGCGGCCGCTGCTACACCGTCGGCCCGCAGTTCTGGATTCGCCACTACTCGCCGCTGCTGGGCCGTCTGCTGGGCCAGAAGGAGCCCGACGACTCGGGCAACATCTCGCGCCGCACCGGTAAGACCAAGGCCGAGCGCTACAACTTCCAGTCAAATCAGCTGCAGCTGCGCGGGCCCGTCCCCGAGCACATGTACCACCGCTACGTCGTCTTCAAGCCCTTCGTCAAGAGCATGTTCACCGCAAAGGGCGTGCGCGGCTTCATCCTCTCCAAGGCCCTGCACCACCAGCACGCCCGCGTCTACAACTTCGACCACGCCACCGAGTATAGGGACTTCCCTGAGCCGTGCAGGGCCTTCACCCAGAAATTCCTCGAGCTGGTCCACTACGACCAGGGCGGCCGCATCTTCACCTATGTCCTGACCCTGGATGCCCTCTTCCGCTTCACCGAGACGGGCAAGGAGTTTGGTATCGACATGCTGTCCAAGCACACCATGCACAGCGACGTCGCCGCCTACATCGCCTTCAGCGGCGAGTTCTTCGTCCGCCGCCTCAAGCACCCCAACAAGTCGCCTGAGGACCCGTCGCAATCATCCCACCCCCCGCAGGACATGGACGGCGGCCCGCCCAAAGACGAGCCCAAGACGGACCCCTCCTACTACGAGCTGATTATTGACAACGACAGCGGCACGTACCGCCCAAACGCCACACTGCTCCCACAGCTGAAAGCCTTCTTCGAGGCAAACTTCCCCGGTCTGCACGTCCGGACCCTGGACTGCCAGGGCGACGCCGAGAAGATGGCGCACATGAAGGACGAGCAGCGCGAGAAGAAGAAGACAGAAGGCGATCACGTCGTGTACACGCAGGCCTCGCGCTCCTCGTCCGTCTCGTCGAGCGACATCTCCGAGCTGGACCGCCTCGAAGGCGACGGCGCGCACGAGGAGAGCCACCTCAGACACCAGGTGCAAGGCGTAGCGGGCGCCAAGGCGGGCGCGCTCAAGCACCGCATGGGCGACTTTACGCCGAGTCACAATCACGAGGGCTGGAGGGGGAAACACCACGACGTCAACCAGGATACCGCCGACGTCGAGCGGCAGAGACAGCAAAGCGCGCAGTCGAAACCGCCGCAGCAGCACGGCGAAAACGACGCGCATGATGGCGCACAAGTGCAGGCGGGCAGTGCGTCACCACCGTAGTACCGTGGGGAGCGTTGAACCTGTGTTTTTTCGATACTTCTTAGGTTCTTGGGTTTGTAAGTGTGTACTGCAGAGCGAGGCATCATACGCACGCTCGCTCATCGAGATACCCGCCATCTACTGGTTTCCTTATTCGGCATCGAGCCGGAGAGTCGTACTTAGTCGCAGTGTCGTGTTGTTATTAAATGGCGCAAGCAAGTATTCAGTATTGTCGACACCCACGTACGACCAAGGCCAAGACCAAGACCAAGACCAATACCGTTCGGCTGGTTGTCGGCCGAATCGTCGCGCTGCATCACTCCGCACTTAATACTGCGACGCTGACAAAGTATGTTAATTAGTATATATTCTATTCTATGAGCCATGTTCACGTGATCTCTCGAGCTGACACGGTTTTCCCGGCCCGATGGCGCAACGGTAGCGCGTCAGATTCCAGTTTGGTGTCTCCTGAAGGTTAGGCGTTCAAATCGCCTTCGGGTCAGTTCTCTTTTTTGTTGCGGGCAATAACGCGATATGGCTTGGGATAAGACGAAATGAAATCAACCTAAATGGCAGTTTTTTTCTTGCATGAATGCGGTACGACGCTTGAGAGAGGTAATGTTCATGCGATCATGGCGAGAGATTTTTTGGCTGCGTTTTCCTGTAGTAACGACCATCACGCTGTTAACCTGCCATTTGCCTCGCCCATGCCGCACTATCCTCCTCCCTACTTCAGCTTCACGCTCAACACACCCCTCCACGCCTCCACCGCTGCATCCACATACTCCCGCGCATAGTGCTCCACATCCCCCTCACTCAGCGAGTCCCCAATCGCGGCCCCGGTCCTGCCCCATCGAACCTGCGCCTTGACCGCCGCAACACCCCTCTTCTGCAGCAGATTGATGCGGCTATTCGCCACCTTGCCGATCGCCTCGTACGCACCCTTTACTGCGGCGTCGATCTGCTTCGCCCAGTCCTTCGGCACCGCGGTCTTCATTGGATGCGGTGTTTTGGGCTGAAGGACGAGGGTGTTTATCTCGGTCGCCAGGCGCGGTAGCAGGCGTAGGATCTCGAGCGCCGAGTAGGAGGCCATGAGCATGTTTTCGCTGATCACGGTTGGTTCGTCTGCGGGGTCGACGCTGGTTGCGGCGCTGCTGACGAGCTTCTCTTGGTCCTGGCGCAGCGTCTTGAGGTGCGCGAGTAGAGCGCTGAAGTGCGTCGTGTCGGCTTTGGTGCAGTGCACGGCTGCGTAGAGGAGCGAGGAGATTGGGTACCAGAAGTGGGAGGCGATGAGATGCTCGGGGGAGTTGTATGCGGGGGCGGGTGGACTGGTGGGCGGTGTCCAGTTCACGGGTATGCCATCGCGGTAGAGGATCTTGCTGACGGACTCGCGGTTGTGGTATTGTGCGAGCATATCGTCCGCAGTGGGGATGTCTGCGGGCATGAGGAATGAGTACGGTCGGTGGACGCTCGAGTGTTCGTATGCTGGGAAGACGGAGCGGTCGATATTGTCCGAGATGGTTTGGGTACCTATGACGAGTCAGCTCAAGTGCTCGAAGGCGATAAGTAGGCGTCTTGCTTCTGTAGTTGACGTCTGGTAGATCACCCGCGGGCTCTCCCTTGAGACGAGCGATGCGGCGACGTTCGAGGATCGAAGTATGTCTCGTCAGAGAAGTAGTCAGTTTCTCGTTCATAGATATCAGATCCATTGCAGAGTCCCAGTGGAAGCGCTTAATGTCTCTGAAGATCAGTCCTTCTTGGACCTTGCTCATCCGGTCAACGGTGTCGACGACATGTTTTAGCTCCTTGTCTACAGAGAACCCTTGGTGGTGCTTGACATCGAAGGGCTGTGTAATGGCGATTCGTGACAAGAGGTATGGAGACAGCGTGTCCACGAGCATCTCCTTCATTGAAGGCTTCACATGCTTCCACACCTGGAATGCGACCGTCCCAAGGCCAAGGTTGAGGTGCAGACGAGTGGCTAGTAATGCTAGTTGACGGTTGTGCTTCTCCGTATCTCGTTCTACAGCGGTGCGTGTTAGCATCGCAGCCTGCAATAAGATCCGAGAACTCTGATCGGAGGCAGCGCCTGACTCTGCGGTATGGTGATGCAGATTTGTTAGACAGTAGGCGATCAGCATAGCTGGGTCGGGGTCTTTTGGCAACATCTGACTGATCTTCGACGCCCTTGCAACCAATGACTCCAAGGTTTCTGTAGAGGGTGATGATGTTGGCAGAGAGACAGCTATCAGGTAGATGAACTTCAGAACACAGATCTCTGCACGCGCCCAATCTTCAAGCTTAGACTCAGCATCCTTGGCACCCGGCTTAGTGGACTTCATGTCCTCTTCGATATGTGCGAGGAAGTCGGTCCTCTCGTCGTTGCTCATCTTCTCGACAGAACGACGAAGATCTACAAAGCAGCTGGGTATCCGTGAGAACTGCTTGAAGTAGTCTTTGCAGTCTTGCAGCAGGCTTTCACCGAGGTAAGTGCGGAAGATCAGGCGCACGAGGCGTAGGGGTCGATCCAATTTTAATGTGTCTGAACCAAAAACACGGTCCTTGGTGGATAATATTTTCTCTTTCGATCTAGCTCGGTCAGTAGAAGTCCGAAAATCGTTGGCGTGAAATGTACATTTGGGGTGAATATAGATGTGTAGAAGCATCGATCAGGTAGGACCAGATATTCACTCTTGCCGAACATAGCTGTTGTAGGGGTTTGGGGTCATCCTCGCTCAGCGCTGTTGTTGCATCTTCAACAAGATCTAGAATGTGCTTCTCCAGTAGTTCGTACTGTTGCGCGCTCGAAAGGATGTCAACTGTGAGCAGCGAGATGTCCAGAGCATGCTTCTCCATGATGGGTTGCAGATGAGCAGGTGGCGCGTTCCAGAGTTCGAGGAGTTGCGCACATTTTCCTTGTCGCGCATAGATCTTAGCCATGAATCGAAGATCCCGGATATCCTTGACACTGATGGGGTCGCTCTGATGCCGTTAAACGAGCCTGTCGATGCAGGGAGAGGAGAATATTACCTCCGGTCTTTCGTAGGCGTCCTTCATCTGCTTCAGAGCCACGGCTAGCTGTATCTCGGCCATTCTATCGGCAACGCCTGCTGCCTTACCTGCCTGGATCTTTTGCTCTGCAGACATTTGCTGTGCAAATATTTGGGTGTAGTAGCTGATCTTGTCGGTGGATGATGCTTCCGCTCTGTACTTCACGATCGCCTGAATTTATGAGTACCATCGTCCGGAGTAAGTAATACGTATGGGAGATTTCGACGTACCGTGCGAGCGTCATCCCAGCATCCGTGTCGCATGGCCGCAGTGAAGAAATCGTCCCAAAGGTTCTTGCGGTCCTTCTTGGTGACTTTGAGCGCTGCAGCATTTTGCCATGCTTTGACACCTTCATTGCCTACGGTACTAATGCCGTCAAGCTTGGGATTTGATCTAATTGTCGCCTCTACGATGAGCCTGTATGCATACTCAAGCAATAGTTCGTCTTGTTGTGTTGCTTTGTTCTGGCAGACTTCAACCAAGGATTTGGCAATTATCTCAGGCGGAGACTGTAACTGCAAAGAGACGTCGGCCCTCCATGTCTATTGGACAATCAGCCAAATGGTCACATGATCTCGGAAATGACTTACGATCAAGTACGGGTTGCCAGGGCTCTTCTTCAGCAATTTGTCGACGTAAGACAGCGCGAACTTGGGCTTTGGGTACTCTCGCCGAGCTTTCGAGAGCTTGTCCCAAGTGAAAGCCATGCCGGCCGCTTCTAAATGAGTGTGTTGCGAGGCGATGCTGGAATAAAGTGTAAGCGCGAGAAAAGGCTAGATAGCCCACTTTAGCGACCTCGGCTACGATGGTCCGTGCCTACACAGTCATGCACTCACCTCTCAGTCGCATCTTGCAATGGACGCATGGCGAAAGTCGTGCCAGACAGTCTACAAATGGAACAAATAGTAGAAAATATCGATTCAACTCTACCCACGTACGAGTCTCTTATTTCATAGTTACTAGAAGTACATAAACTACAGTGTATCGGGACAAAACAGGCTTGCTACTCTTCGCTCGATAAGGGCGGGAAGAGTACACCCTCATGCTTGGAACCCAGGGTCACCATTGGTGTACCATAATCAAGATCAGCACCAGGTTGGCAGTATGCTAGAGTTCTTCTGTCTGCCTTTACACCGAGTTGGTTGAGCAGCATCTCCGCCTTGTTTGGCATGTAAGGCTGGAGCAGAATGCCAGTCACGCGCAAAGCCTCAGCGGCAAGGTAGATCGTCCGATCAACATCATCGCCGGGCTCACCTGAGGCAAAGTCGAGTATGTTGTCCCATGGCTTGGACATCTGGAAGAACGCGTTTGCCTGTGCAATCGATGTTAGTCATGCTTTGTTCCGTACGAGACAGGAATTCGCTTACACCTCGTACAAACTCAGCAAGGTGGTGCAGTGCTTTTCGAGGATCATAGATATCGAAGAGACCATCAACCTTGGTGGCGACGGTGCTCAGTGAATTGGTCCAGAACCGTGAACCAGGGCCATCGCTCCAGTACTCTGGCGGCGAGCTTCCCATGCGCTCTACTGCGCCACGAACACTCCACTTCTTGCCTCTGGTCACGCGAGATGCAAGGTTTCCAAGCTGCTGGTTCAGAAACTTGTTGTACAGCTTGATGATGTGGGCGTTATCGTAGCTTGAATCATCCTGGATACCGCCGTCATGAGCCATGTAGAAACGCATCACATCCGGTCCATATCGATCTATGGCGTGGAAAGGGTCGACCACCCTGCCAGTCGACTTTGACATCTTTGCACCTCCCAAAGTCCAATGGGCGTGGGTCAGGATCTTCTTTGGAAGTGGAAGACGAAGTGCCATCAGAAATGCCGGCCAATATATGCAGTGGAAGCGAACGATATCTTTGCCGATGACATGGCAGTCAGCCGGCCAGCCGCCTTCGTGTTCTTTGCCCGGTACAAATGGATATCCCGCCTTTGTGGCGTAGTTCATGAGAGCATCGAGCCACACATATATCGTTTGTGACTCGTCGCCTGGCACGCGGATTCCCCACTGCAGTCTGTCGTAGGGGCGAGAGATGGACAGGTCTTCGAGACCAGACTCCACAGACTGGATGACCTCCTTGTAGCGGTGCTCTGGAACTATCCAGTTCGGGTTGGCCTTGTAGAACTCAAGAAGCGGTTCGCGGAACGCAGACAGGCGGAAATGGTAGTTTTCCTCTGAAGACCATTCGACTTCACTCCCCGTCTCGATGGATGTCTGCGATATGTTAGCCTGTCATTTGAGCTGGCACTCATTCAAGCCATACCATGATCTTTCTCCCAGTCGACGGTTCAATCCAGGGCTTGACTTGTGACTGTGGGTAGAAGCACTCGTCGGTGACTGAGTACCAGCCTTCATGTTTCTGCTCGTAGATGAGGCCCTTCTCTTGAAGCAAGAACTGTCCAGTATCAGCCATCCAGGTATGCAACCAGTCTGTGTCCGTATATCCATACCCAAGCATATTGCACAACATCTTTGTGGTCCTCATCCGTTGTCCGTACGAAATGGTCATTCGAGATCTCGGCCTTTTGCGCAAGATCCTAGGTGGTGTGAGCCTCGAGCGGTGTCATGGGCTTGGGGTCACATTGCGTACTCGGAAGATATCTGCGCCCTTGTCACAGAACGCCCTGGGGTCGGCGCCGGCTTTGGCAGCTGCTTTTTGAACCTTCTCACAGTCAGCATGTCTCGCCTCGTCCCAGGAAGTAACTACCTTCAGCCCATGCTCGTCTGTTCCTGTGCACATGATCGCCTTCTTTCCTCTGAGCACGCTCCACCTTTTGATGATGTCCGTAAGGACCATGGTATACAAGTGACCGACATGAGGGGCAGCGTTCACGTAGAAGATGGGCGTGGTGATGTAGTACGGCTTCTCAGGTGCGGATTTGGTCGAATTGAATCGTCTGAGACTACTGTAGACCGAGCATGATCGGCAGATCCGAGGCGAACTTCGAGAGAAGCTCGAATGTACACTGCGCAATGCCTGAACCGTCGTATTGGCTAATCTCGTTCGCATCCTGTCTCAATGGCGGCGCAACGCGCTCACCCGCATCTTTCCAGCTCCAAAAAGGGTTCCGAGGCACCTTGGCCATATTTGGTTTAGAGCAAATGACTAAGCCTCGAACTTCACGCCTGCAGCTGCCGCACCCTATGTCTTCACGAATCGCATCGTACTACGATCAACACATCACGCGCTTGCGAGAGGCGGAGGCTTGCGAGAGGCGGACGCTTTGCACAGACGTTGGAGGTACTGTGTGCGTTGCGGTCTGATGCCAGGCGGGTCAAGAACGGCACGTCGATCGACCTGCGCGCGGTCGTAATTAGACAGGGCTTAATACATGTCGAACAACAGAGAAAGAGCAAAGGTCCATGGTACTGATCGAGTAATTTCTGGACAAATTGTTGGTCGAATTTGTTGTCGCCATTGGCAGTCCGACGTTCGCCCATGCATGTCCACCACAACACTCACAACGTGCGAATGCCCCAAATCTACACAACACTTTCGGGCTCTGTAACCCCGCAAGCCATTGCAGGTACTTGTGTTTCACGAACTGACCGCTTCAGAGGCGTTCTCGGCGAAGGGCGCAGGCGAACGTATCGTGGTGTCAAGGGTCAGCTCGCTATTCAGATTCTATTCGGACCCAGAAACGACGACACTAAACCCTCGCCTTCACCACAGTCGCCATCTAAGGAGAAAAGCAATCCCTTCTCGAAAAATGCTAGAATACTGCATGTTTCTTCGTGTACTTACGGTCAGACTATCCAGTGTGATGGTACCGAGTATGCCGGAGCATCAATGCTCGCTACTGAGTGTGCTCTTCGCTGTTCTAGAAAGCTTCATCCAGGTATACAGAGCTTCATGATTGGGCATGTCGAGCTTTCATACAGAGGGAACCCTTGGAATCACTGTCCTTCACCTTCACGGCCGTTTCTCTATTGGACGCCATTGACTTTCTATACTCGTCTCTATTGACACTCAGTGCACCCTATCAACGTTATTGACACAATACAGCAAAAACATGGCTTCGACTCTTTTTTCGTACACAAACGACCCTCGAGTATATAACTCTCAATCACCGACCCTAACATACTCGCCATTGACTCATCGACAACATATCAGTCAATCATTTGGTCACAGTCAATCAATTACCAACTTATTTATTTACTCCACGATACTCTTCTGAACGTTCATAATGAGGTTCAACGCTGTCATCGCCGCCACCATCCTGACTGCCATCGTCTCCGGTGCTGCCATCGCCAAACCTGCCCCCCAGGCAACCGCAGTCGCTGAGGCCACTTCCGACGGTCCTTCCACTGAGGACATTGCCAACCTCCTCAAGGATGTCTACTATGCCGGGGAGGGTGAGGAGGAGGATGACACCGTGGAAAAGCGCGATGCTGAGGCCAATGCTGGCAACTGGGTAATCAGCCCAAAATACCGCCCTGTCGGTCTTCCTATCGGTAAGCGTGACGCTGAGGCTCAATGGGTCGTATCTCCTACGTGGCGCCCTGTCGGTCTTCCTGTAGGAAAGCGCGATGCTGAGGCCGATGCTGGCAACTGGGTAATCAGCTCGAATTACCGCCCTGTCGGTCTTCCTATCGGTAAGCGTGATGCTAAAGCTGAGGCTGAGGCTGATGCTGGCAACTGGGTAATCAGCCCGAAATACCGCCCTGTCGGTCTTCCTATCGGTAAGCGTGATGCTGAAGCTGAGGCTGAGGCTGAGGCTGAGGCTGATGCCGGCAACTGGGTGATCAGCCCAAAATACCGCCCCGTGGGCCTTCCCATTGGCAAGCGTGACGCTGAAGCTGAGGCCGATGCTGGCAACTGGGTACTCAGCCCGAAATACCGCCCCGTGGGCCTTCCCATCGGCAAGCGTGACGCTGAGCAGTAAACGTATCACCGAAATCGACCATCACGAGCTTTGACACGGACGCATCGAACGCATCACAACTCTTCACTTTGCGACACTCGACGGACTCGGCAAAAATACGACTGGATATTGCATTTTGTACATATCAGCCCTTAAAGAACATACCAAGACCAGCACGCGGCGGGCATATTTCCTCTGGTGCCTTTGCAGGGCAGGTCGGTTCTCGCATCGGACGGGATCTGTACGAATGATGTTGTGACGATGGGAAACCGGCCTTTTTCTCGATAGGAATAACGTATTGCCATGCACCAACCCTTTTCATGTTCTGCCGTGTGATGCCTGTGACGAATGATCACTGTGCAGCCATTCCATGAGCCGTAACGTTGGCCAGCTCGAAGCCGCCACTCTCAAATGTCCATATTAGATCATTCTACTTGGAATCCGTCACATTACATCTCACCACCAAGCGTCTCCCTCCCCCAGCGTCCCCTCCGCACCATCTCCCACATCCCTGCTCTTCGATCTCCCATCACTCGGCACCCCACACGCCTCTCTCCTCGCACACTCGGGTCCCCAAACGCCCTTATCGCAGCAAACCTGCTCATCGCCACAGTAGTTCCCCACCCAGAAACCCTGCTTGTTGCACCACCGAAACTTGTCGAGCATGAAGTGGCACTCCGCCGTGCCGGGGGTGCAGGCCGTTGCGTTGAAGATTGGGTGTCCGTCTATCGTGGAAGTGGAAGGGGGAAGAGATGCGGTCGTAGCGGGGATAGCGATCGAGGAGCTCGCTGGGTGGAAGGCTGTTTCGTGCAGGGTGATAAGCGGGATGGATATTGTGGCGATGGAGTGGGATGTGTAGCACGGCGTATTTGGTAGAGCAAGTGCGCTTGTGATAGAGAGGATTGTGATAGCGAGATACATCGTAGCGGTGTCGGGTTCCGTTGTTGACACTGGGATAGAATGGAATAGAGCAAAAACGAGGAGCATCGAAGAGTATGTACAGACTTATCGACGACAGATGATCTGAGCAGCGACACAGACGTGCCGTACCCGCAAAGTAGTGGCAATGGTGACGGCAAGACGGGTGGAGCGTAGTACGAATCTATTCTCAACATGCAAAATATACACAAGCCTTTGTCTCCTCCGATGCCAGGACGGAGATCATCGTTCTAGACAAATAGCCACTCTTTTGACCTTCTCTTGCTTCTATATGCACGCCCAATATGGTACACAAGCCTCCCTTCCTTCCACAGACGGGACTCGTACACCTTTGCGTTCTTACTCCTTCTTCGGCCGTCCGTTCTGCACGACGTCGTCGACGTGCGAGGTCTGAACGAAGAACTTGCGCTCGAGGAACTTGAGCGCCTCATCAAGCGGGATAATGGGCAAACTGATGTACAGCACAGCCTTCCACTCGTTCCAGTTAAGGGGCACGACGCTGAACAGGCCCTGCAAGAAAGGTACGTAGAGGAGAGCGAAGTGCAGCGCCATGGAGAGGCAGATGGCGTAGACGAGCATCATGTTCTTCCACAGGGGCAGGGTGAGCAACGACTCGGAAGAGCTGAGGGCATTCATAGCGTTCAGCATCTCGATGACGACGAGAATGGAGAGCGAGACAGTAGAGGCAGCCTGTGCTGACGCGTTGGCGAACATGTCACAGCCGATCTCGGGAAACTGGGCGGAGCAGCGGTGGAAGTGGCTGAGCTGGTAGAACGAGATCTGCGGGCCCTCGGAGTTGAACATGAACCACCATGCGTAACCACCAACGGTTGCGGCGCCGACATACGTGCCGATGACCATGTAGCGGAAGAACAACCAGCCGCCAATAAGAGGCTCGTCACGCTTGCGGGGCTGGCGCTTCATGATGTCGTGGTCAGGAGGGTTGAAAGAGAGCGCTGTCGCGGGAAGGCCGTCTGTGACAAGGTTGACCCAGAGGAGCTGAACGGGGATGAGGGCCTCAGGCATACCCGCCGCGGCAGTAAGAAAGATGGAAACAACTTCTCCAATGTTAGAGGAGATGAGGTAGCGGATGAACTGCTGGGTGTTGTTGTAGATGGAGCGGCCCTCCTCGACGGCGCCCTCGATGGTGGCGAAGTTGTCGTCCACGAGGACCATATCGGCAGCGAGCTTGGCAACATCGGTACCGGAGCCCATAGCGACACCAATGTCGGCCTTCTTCAGCGCAGGTGCATCGTTGACACCGTCACCAGTCATGGCGACGACCTCGCCAGCCTGCTGAAGGAGATCAACAAGCTTGGACTTGTGAGCTGGCTCAACGCGGGAGAACAGAGAAGCGTGCTTCGCGGCCTCCATCTGCTCGGCCTCGCTCAAGTCATCGAATTGGCGACCAGTAAAGCTCTTGCCTGCGAGGTCCTCATTCTGGCCAAAGACACCAATCTGTCTGCAGATAGCCTCAGCGGTGTTCTGATTGTCACCGGTGATGACAATGACGCGGATACCAGCAGAGCGGCAGTCCTGGATCGATCCGCGGACCTCAGGACGAGGGGGGTCTAGCATGCCAACAAGGCCGATAAGCGTCATGTTTTGCTCAAGCTGAGCGTACTCCTTGGTGGTCTTGGCATTGGTAAGAAGAGGGCTCTTTGGAACATCGTCGACGGCGGCAATGGCAATGACACGTAGACCACGGTTACCGTAGTCAATAATCTCCTGTTGGATCAAGTTGCCGAGCTTGTTGTCCAGCCGCACCTTCTTTCCGTCCTTGCCAACAAGAACAGATGTGCAACGAGCGAGGATGGATTCAGGAGCGCCCTTGACCAGTAGTCTTTGGCTGCCACTTTGACTGTTGTTGACCAAGACAGACATACTCTTGCGATCGCGGGAGAACTCGTATGTGGCTTTACGGGCGGCTTGCTGTTCGTAGTATTTGCTGGAGAAGTGAAGACGGCCCTCAGGAGATATGCTGGTCCTGCTCAAGTTGAGACGGGCGTCAGGAGTACCAATCTTCTCAGCAAGAACGCGGAGAGCTCCTTCGGTGGGCTCACCAACAATGCCGTAGGTGCCGTTCTTGGAGTCGTAGGCCAATGATGCATCGTTGCAGAGTGCTGACACCTCGCAGATCTGACGAACAGTAGCGGAAGATGCAGCGAGGTTCTCGATCACCTTTCCGTTGAAAGAGACCTGACCCTCAGGGGCGAAGCTGGTTCCTTCAATGTCGAACTCTTCAAGACCATTGCCGGCCTCGTTGATGAAAACAACTTTATTGACACTCATCTGGTTGGTGGTCAAGGTACCGGTCTTGTCGGAGCAAATGACGCTGCAACTTCCCAGGGTCTCAACAGAGGGGAGGCTGCGCACGACGGCGTTTCTCGCGGCCATCTTCCGGGTTCCCAGAGCCAGACAGGTCGTGATCACAACAGCAAGACCTTCAGGAATGGCAGCTACGCCGAGCGAGACCGCGATCTTGAGGTAGTAGATTGCACCCTTGGTGAATCCACCGTGAGACGGATCGCTGAAGTTGCGGATGTTGATGAGCCAGACGAGAATGCAGATAGCAGTAATAACCTTGGCGAGCGAGTCACCGAAGTCGTTGAGCTTCTCCTTAAGAGGAGTTGGCTGGGAAATTTGAGATGTAATGCTGTCGTGGATGTCGCCGATGGCTGTGTTCGGGCCTGTCAGAACAACGATTGCGTTCGCGTGTCCGTTGACAACGGTTGTTCCGGAGAAAAGCATGTTGACCTGATCCTGCTTGACCGCGTTCTCGTCCTTGACAACTCGAATGTCCTTGTTCACACTCTCACTCTCGCCCGTCAGAATCGACTGGTCGACCATGAAACTGTTACTTGAGATGGAGAGAATCCTGCAGTCTGCGGGAATTCTGTCGCCGATTGCTACAGACACAACATCTCCAGGTACCAGATCGTCGGCCTTGACGCGCTTGATGGCCCCATTGCGGACCACCTTGGCTTCATTCGCTGAGTATTCCTGGAGTGCGGCAATGGCCTTCTCGGCGCTGGTTTCCTGTGATACACCGACGACCGAGTTCAGGATGAGGATTGTGAGAATCTGTGGAGAGTTATTAGCGTACGCTGCAAATGTAGGAACAGATAGGACTCACAACTGCCGGGTCTACGAAGGCGGTCCAGCCTTCCTCGTTGTCGAAGAGTGCAAGGACAAAGGACACTGCTGCGGAACCGAGCAATATTATGACCAGCTGGTCTTTGAACTGTTCCAAGATCAGCTCCCAGATGGGTGTCGGTGGCTCCTCGGGCAGCGCTGTTCCACTGTCAGTATGCTGCATCGTCTCTCCAGCCCTGGGGGTGTCACCAACTTACCGTTCTTGCCGTGTTTTTCCCGCAGACTCTTCACCTGCTGGTCTGAAAGACCCTGCTCCTCTGTGACCTCGAAATGCTTGAGGGCCTCGGTGGGCGTTCTTGTATACGCGTTCTCCATACTCTATGTGAAGCGATTTCTTTGTAGTGCAGGTGCTCGTGCTTCGTCGCCAACTATCAAAGAATGTACACGACGCGTGGGCGTGGAGTGAGTGTGTGGGGCTTGACGTCGTCGAAGATAGAACGGCGGTACTCTGCTACTGATTTTATGCGCAGGGATACTCGGCTCGTCGCTCTTGTCGCAGTACTCGCGGAGCGCAGTAACAATTGCTGCGGAGGGGTGTTTCAAAGGACTGACGTGGACGAAGGCTCTTGAATCTTGTAAGCCTCGGGGCACAGACGGCTTAAAGCGAATCTGGAACTCGGCAGAATAGATCTGAAGCTGCCCAAGAAATCTGTCCTCTCAGTTAGCTCATCGATGCGCCACACACTCCACACCGGCGCCAGTCCGTGCGAAGTCCTACCGATCACCACTCACTCACCAGCCACCGCGGAGTGAGTCCACGTTTCTGGTCTGCACCTGCGATTTGCCCGAGTGTTGCTCCTAGCGATTGTTTGCTCTGGAGGTGCTCAGAACTTTTGGGGTCTTTGCATTTGCAATAATGTTGCCTGCAAGCAGCTGCATGTCTCCGGCCAAACATTGCTGCGAACGGAATTCGGCATGCGCCTCAACCCCACATTGACCAGCGCTTGGCCATCGTCACCTCAAGGCTGCAAGATCTCGTCAGGACCGGCTATGCGGCTCTGTGTTGCGTCGCCCTGCAGATAATTTCTCGCAGAGCCTCATATTTGTGTTTGCAGGGGTGTACTCCATTCTCGGATGCTGTTTAGGATGGACGAAGGTATTCGCAGACGCTGAGTGATGATGTAATGTTTGCATTACTAGATACGCTGCACTGCCTCGCAGTGCACAGTCGTCACATCGCTGCGACAAGGCCATTAGGCCAGGGGAATCAAACCGTGCCGGGAAAAAAAATCGCCGGTCTTGCAAAACGCTATCATGATAATCACGCCCATACCCATTCCATAAGCCATAGGACTTCTGTCCCTCAGTCGGGGTCCGCGACCCTACGAACTCTGTACATCGAATGCAGATTATATAAGTGGAATAAAACCAAGACACATTTATGTCTGGATTGAAGCGAATATGCCAGGGACCTTACGACTCTCGCGTCGCGCAGTACGTCCGGATCAACCTGACGAGATCCCTGGTCACGAAGGGCTTGGTCACGTAGCCCTTCATGCCGCTACTGGCGGCTTTATCCAGCGCGGCGTCTGTGACGTCGGCGGTCACAGCCAGAATGGTGGGCATGCGGCCGTTGTTGATCAATTCTGGCATGCGGAGGATGCTTGTGGCTGCTTGGAAGCCATCCAGGTGTGGCATCCAGAGATCCATGAGGACAAGGTCAATTGCCTCGGAAGCAGGAGCAAATGAGTTGCGGTGCATGACCTCGATGGCGTCGATGCCGTTGCAAGCTGTTTCAACGTTCTGGTAGCCCAGTCTATTGAGCATGTTCTGCAACACACGCCTGTTAATGGCGTTATCGTCGACGGCAAGGATGTTCAGTGGTAGCTCTTCGGCGAGCTTAGGTACAGGAGCCTTCTTGGCAAGCCCCTTCGACGGATAGCGAAGGGGAGACGAGGTCCTGCGCGGGGAAAGTAGGCCAAGAACGTTCGACGATGGTGCGGTGTGAACGACGACGGTCGGTGTGTCCATGTCATTGATGGGCGTTTGACATGGCTCGCCGACGAATGGCCCTGAAGAAAGTGGGGGTGTGATTGGCTCCCTGTTAATATCAACATGAGGGATTTCGGGATCGACAGACATGCGAGCTTGAACGGAAGGAGTAGGAGATCCGAATGGTGATGACGGACGGCTGCAGACCTCGCCTGCGGTGACTGGTACGCGCAATTCGAACTCTGATCCCTTCTTGGAACCGGAGACGTGCGAGCGCAGGCAAAAGAGATCACCACCAAGCTTCCTGGCGAGACCCTTCGCAACCATTAGACCCAGACCGAGGCCTTCACTTTGTCGTGTTGTCGAATCGTCTTCCCGAGAAAATGGCTTAAAAAGGTTGGGCAGGAAAGCAGCCGGGATTCCAGATCCAGTGTCCTTGACGTTGATGACAACGTAGCGCCCCTTTGCACTGAGTGTCGCCTCTAGCGTGATCGAACCATTTTGTGTGAACTTAATCGCGTTCAGTGTCACACAAGACACAACCTTGGCGAGGTCCTTCTCATCGATAAGGATTGAACCTGGTACGTCTGGAGACACACTCCATTCAACCCATTTGGTAGATGCTTCTCCGTTGGAATTTCTTGTTCGCACCTCAATTCGTTCGCCGTTGTCTGTTGCCTCGGCGATCGCAGAGTCCGGCCGTCCACCAACCTTGAGCGCATCTGTGATAACGTAGTGCAGAACCTCCCTGATATTGGTGTGACGAAGACTTGGTGTCTTCTGGTGCCCAGTGACGAACCTGGGGAAGCTTGTTGAGCTACTGCAGCGACCCTGGCACCTCTCCATCTTCGCAATCTGTCTCAAGCTGGACTGCGGCGGACAAGAAATCGATCCCCGAACAGGTGGCTCTTCGGAAAAAGTGTCACGGGTTCGGCGTCTGATCGGACGGACTACGCGGGTTTGATTCTCTTCCCACTGATTATCTTCCCTCCGTCTCTTCACGCCTCGCTGCTGTCGGTTTATGTCGTTGGCTGCGCCGAAGTATTCTGGTCGAGCGAACTCTGGTCGAGCTTCCCGCCAGAAAGTGTTCCATTGATTAGGAGATTTATCCAGTGGGGAGACGGGCGCCTCAGGAACACCCATATTCATATCATATGCGTAAACTACATTGTCAGCGGCCTCGACAGCACGTCTTGAGCTATCTGTTCTGAGGTCAGTATTCGCTCCGGTTGAGTAAGTATAGTGTTCACGCACCCTGCACAGCCTCGATGTTCTCCTTGAGTGTGTCGAGCATCTTGCGGGTTCGTACATCGATATCCATGGTTTCGGAGGCTTCCTTGACGTTCGCCATCATGACATCGAGCATACCAACAACACCTTGCATTGGTGTCCTCAGCTCGTGCGATAGACTTCTGGCGTAGGGCTTGAACGACTGGGCAACAGATATGGCCATGTGTGGAACGACTTTGGGCTGTTCTTTCCGTACGACGTGTGCAGACTCGGCGAAGTTGTCCCCCTCGAGCACGCGCTCAAGAATCATATCTTCCAAAGCGTGGAATAGCGTCTCGAGAAAACCCCAACTTAATGTCCGTCTAGCAGCCCCCTCTTTTCCCCACATTACTCCAAAGTGAGCGAAGCATTTTCCTTCAGCAAAAAGTGGAATTCCAAGGTACGCTTCCCCTGGTATTATCAGATCGTTCGGATTGTTGACAATGAATTCGTTCAGTCGTTCCGGTATGACAAATATCTTATCGTGCTTCATGTAGGCGCAGGGACACTGGTATGCATGGTACTTGAAGTTGCGGAGGTGACTAGGACCGTTGCCTTTATCATCGTTGATATAGAAGGCTTCGCCCATCAAACATGACCCAGGTTCTCCAATGGGTGGCATTTCCACCGCAACGTTCTTTTCGTCGACCAAGATCCTCTTCGAGACAAAAGCATACTGGGCGTCAGCAATGCGTGCAAGACCTTTGGTGAGAAGGGACCAGAAGCTGTCAGTATCGGCGATTCTTAGGGCGTTCTTCAGATCGACGAGCTGTTCTGCGGCGTTGCTCTCGGCTGGATCGTATAGTCGAGAGAGCTCTTCCTTGAAACCACTCTCGCCCTCTTGCACGACCATGCCTGGGCTGGGCTGCGAGAAGACAACGGAGCGGCGCTCCATTATATCAGGTGGAACAGGGCTTGTTGAGAGTTCTCCCATGTTGTTACTTTTCCATTCGGACAGTAGGTGGGGCACGGTTCCAGATGAAGATGGGCCGATGTGGTGATCAAGCGTCGTCCAGGTGTTGGGTGTACGTACCCACACCGGGGTGGAGGATTGCAGGCCACGCTGAATGTAGGAAGGCAGTACAGACGGCGTGAAGAGCAAAGTCCGAGACTTGGCTGACGGAGTTGGTCACAAAGATTGAACAGGCCGTATCCGGAATACGCTGACTAAACGGAGGTGAGGTGCAAAGGCAGCTGGAACTGGCGAGGAATGCGGTTGTGTGCAGAAGGAATCGAAGATTGCGAGGGAGGAGGGCTGTGTCGGCGATATGGTTGGACTGGAAGACGGACTGCTAGAGTCGCACATAAGAGGGCTGGGCGCATGTTGCGCCTCCAAGGCGATCTAGAACGCTTCCCGTGCTGCACAGTGCAGAGGCCTCTGCGTTCCCTGCACTCCGGTAGATGCCTCTTGGTGGAGACAAAGAGACGCATCTGGCGCCCGACTGGCCGCTGCATCCAGATGCTTTTAAGCACGCCCTAGCCCCCGCGGGGCCTCTGTTGCTGCTGCATAACGAGCAGCGCTCTGTGTGCTGCGAGCAGCGCTGCACCACCACGACCACCGCAATCGCGCGTCGGCCGAACAGCTGAAGACGCGAGACCCTGGCAGCGCTGGCTGCACGCTTGCTGTTTGGGCGCTCGGCAAGCTGGCAGGGGCTCCGCCCAGGCTTTGCAGTCTAGAATGCTTGGTGCCTGTACGGGCGTTTTGCGTGCGCATCCACCATTGACAACGCTGGTAGCAGTGGACCTACGCGTGCAGACGGGGCGCTGCTGAGACCTAATGACGACTGCCTGATTGTGCAGTCTGCCTCACCGCAATGTATCGTGGAGATGCTCGGCGCCGGTTACAAGATCGTGGAGTGAATAGAGTTGCTCCTTGCAGCGCTAGGGGCCCTGTCTTGCTGATCCAACTCTCGGAACTGAGCACGCAGTGAGTACTACCATGGTACTGTACCAGGCACCTCAAACACGCTCACGCGTAGGCACTCGGCTGCAGCAATTTATCGCCCACTCCGGCCCACGTCATCTCGATGGCAGAGTAAGCGTTGCACGCTGTGTGGAGAGCCTCGGGCTTTCACGCCACACGCAGAGTATCTACGGGACCTGCAAACCTGTTCGTGGCCTCAGTACTCGGTCCGCAAGCAACCTGACAGACACGTGAAATGAGGCCGAAGTAGGAACTCGGTGGGTCACTAGGTGTCTACAGCACGTCAAACTTTCTTTCCCTGGTCGAGCAGATAGATTTTGGTTACTGTGTGTCATATGCGGGCCTGGTGTTCTAGGCCGCAGGATATAGGCCCGTCCTCACATGCATGGTTTTTTTCCATATGAGCGTGACATCCAAGGCCAATCATTGACACGAAATCTCAATGACTTTGTATTCTGGCTCAATACTTCGCATAGAATAAAGACGTAACGTTACATGGGCGTCCGAGCACCTGATGCCTGGAGCAAGACTCCTGATGCTGAGCCGCTCCGTGCTCGATCCTTGGGACGCATCCCCGAACTAAGCGTATCGGGCTTGCCTACGAGCCTCAAAGACCGATCAGGAAACACATGATACGTGCGTCCTGTGCCCCCTTCCGCGAAGGGAAGTGATGTAACGTGCTGAGGTCTGGAGAAGCGATTGCGTCGATCGCAACTTCCACTCGTGGTCGAAGGATTCGTAGCCGCTGGAGCAACCGCAGAGCCCCGCATCACCTTCCTCCACCCATCAGCTTTATCCTTCAACACCAGCAGTTGACAATGGCTTGCGCGGAGCATCGAACGCCATCAGGAGCCGGTGCCTTTGGCATGCAGCGGCGCACGGGATTGTTAGTACCCGAAACTAGGCCGTGACGCGCCTTCCTCAATTCTTCAAAAATACCCACTCGACCCAAACATCAGGCGCCGTCTGGCTTCTGCCCGAATCCAGCATCCCGCCCTTGTCTTCTTGCTAATAATCTTTTTACGGAAGCGCGTCGACGCAACTTTTGAGCGTACAGCGCCTTTGTGTATCGAGACTGGCGTCATCCCAAATCTTGCAGTCAATGTACGCACGCATGGAGTCTGAGACATCTAGACCGAGGGGGCTGCGGTTCCGACCACCCTCGCACGCTCTCAATATCCGAACGCCGAAAACATCAATTACTGGTAGCCTGGTACAGGCTGCAGTCGATGAAGGACGATGGCTGCAGGGTCCCTTCCTGGCAGAAACGTGCTGACGACTCAACGTGCCTAGTCGGCTCACCCTGCCCTCTTTTGAGACTGCATGCCGCAGCAGCTCGAAATCCCATGCTTGTTGCGTTTCGTCGACCTGCTCGAATCTTCCGCGGCGCAAGACGGACGTTCGGGCCATTCTCATGGGTCCGGCAGGGCTGGATCTGTCAGGCGACAGTCCATCTCTTCGTCGGCAGCCTCATTCTGCAAGATTGAAAGCATTCTCTGCGTTGGATCCCTCCGTAAACGTTGCATCGACGAGCTTGCATCTGACTGTTGACGGTCGCGGACACCAACTGCATCGTCTCGGATAGTCCCATGCCTGGCTTGAAGATACATGACGACATGAACAGTATATAGCCGCTGCGGTACGCTCCTGAACCCGGATCGCTTGGCAACGGTCTGGAACCCCACCTATATAAAACGTGACCTTCACAAGGACAGAGAAGCCAGTCTTGTACAGCGGCTTGCGCTAGACACTGTCTATTAGCTAGCGTCAAGCTTCATTCGAGCGACACAGAGGTCTAGGCCCCACAATCGAAGATGATGAACGGACACACCGCCCGTACAGAGTCACGCTCGGACGAACGTACAATCGCGACGGCTTTCGTTTGATTGACGGGATAACACCGGAACTTCCCTGTCGACCCAAATAGGCAGTGCACGATAACAGTACCCATGGTTTATTACTACCAGTAGACTGCGCCTGGGCTGGTCTAGCTCTACGCAAACGCGTCTGCCGTTCTGGAGCGACGTGGTGTCTACATACGACGTGCCTGGCTAGTGGTCCACGATATTACAGCATCATCACTACGCCTATACATGGGTCAGGGGCCGTTGTTCCCGCGGGAACATCTCATCAGTCTGGAACTATGGCCAACGATGCGCGGAGGGAGGCTTTATTCTCATGATCGGCGTCTTCTCTGATGAACATCAAGAAGACGCACGCTTGACGAACGCACGACAGCTGCAACATCCAGACCTGACGACAAACGCCACGTATGCCTCTTCAGAGGCCTTGCGTCACAGCCACACCTGCTCGATGCCTCAGGCTATACATAGCTCTATACAAGTGCATTGATCTGCGTCAGTGCCTTCGTACTGATAGCACCCCTGCACACTTCCGCCATGACCCGTATTTCGGAATTATGAAGAACGACAGAAGACCACGATAGGCTCCACAACCAAGGCCAACAGCATTCGACGCGATAGCGCAAATCTGTCTGGCCGGTACCAACATTCGCGGTATTGAAGGAGCTGTCTAAGCTCGTCCTGAGCATTAGCATTAAGCTTTTGGTCGCTGTTCACGTGCTCCGTGGTGCAGGAGTTCTAGACCTGCGCCTCAATGCCACAACAACGGCAAGTGTCACATCCGTGACTTCAAGGCAAGGAAGCAAAGCTATCGTCATTGTTTCGATAGTGGCCATTGTGTGCTCAGCAGATCACCAGTGGATTGCTTCAAACGAAGCAATCGCTCGGCTTTCAGGACGCTGCTGGCGCTGCTGTGCTACGAGAATGTACTTCGTGTCCCCACTCGGACCAAGACCCCCAAGAACCCTGTACAGGGCCCGCGGTATGGCAGCTGAGATAGGAACCATAGACGCACAAGACCAATGTTGTGGCTGTGAAGGTGACTATCGTTCAGCTGGTTCATCCTTGTAACTGACCCAAAGCTGACAATGCATACACATCTTGTAGGTTCTTGCTATAAACACGCATCGTATATTGCAACCTGCTAGCCTCTACAACCTTTACACACCCTGCAGTTCTGTGGCGATGCACCAGTGCATTTTCAGACTCTTGGTATCTTGATTTGCAATGAAACTAAACACATCTGATACCAACATGTATTCAACCATCAACGAGAGAAGCTCTCTATGCTCATTTACCTCTTGTGCAGCCCACCGATATCGGTACTCTCAATCCCCGAGCAGAGTACCCAGACACCTTGAGCCTGCGTGTCGGTGCTCCATAGACGCAGTGCGGGACACGGACACGCATTGCCTATGGGAACTGTCACACCGACACTTACACTCGATGGATCAGCTGCTTAAGCGTTCCAGCTTCAGAGACCGCAAAGCGAACCCTACAAGCTTCAAGCTGGATATCGCATGCAAATTGCTGCCCTGAAGGATGTTCTTGTGATCCTCAACGCCAACACATTGTTAGGGTGGACTACCTCGACAGCCGATTACAAATCGTCCAGTTGACCTTTGCTGTCGAGAAAGGCACGCGTCTGGTCTTGTTGAGCCTCAATTGCACCGTCATCTCATACAGACGACACCAACCTGGCAGCAGAATCGGCATTATACGTGGCTTAGACACCGTTGTCTTTAACTCGCCCAAAGCAAACCCCTTCTGCGTGGAATCTTCTCCACTCACGCGCGACGAAGTTTGTAAGTGCTTTGGCCCTATACATATTCTAGGAACTGTAGTTTGAATTAAGCTTGCTTACAAGAGGTATAGAATGCACCCCAAATATCATACGTCTACTGATATGGCTAAACGTCTCTTATGCAATGTCTGCATCATAACGGGAGTTGGAATTGGAATGGGCAGAGCAGCTGCACTGCTCTTCGCTCGTGTGGGTGTGTACGTGATTGACAGCGGCCTGAACGCAATCGGTAGTGCTGCAACAGAGGACACGGTGCGCAACACAGGAGGGAGACATGCAATCATCAGCACCATGCGATCTTACCCAGCAGGAAGACTGCGAGAAGTTGATTTCTTTTTCCATTGGAAAGCACAGACAGATCGGTGTTCTTTATAACAACGCTGCGATGGCGTATTTCGGCTCGATGGACGAAACATCCAACGATCAGTGGCACAGAACGAAAGACCAGGAGGTAAATCTTGTTCTGTCCCTCACGCGGGCGGCATGACCTGCGTTGAAGAATTCAGGAGCTGCATCATTCGGTTCGATATGCGGCACTATATCTAGTGTTGCACTGGCTGCAGTGGCGGGCTCAGCAGCAAGAGGTGGAGTTGTGGCTATGGCCCGTCAGCTGGCTCTTGAAGGTCGCAGTTCTAATAATCGAGCGAATGCGGTTTCTCTGGGTTTATCGAAACGGGATGCACGAAGGATTTGATCGCACATGACGCCTTCTGGAAGGAAACGATGCTGAACAAGACCATGCTTGTACGGTTTGGGCAACAAGAGGAAGTCACTGCCACCGCTCTTTTCCTAGCATCTGACGAGAGCTCGTACATAAATGGAGCAAATATTCCAGTGGATGGGAGTATGTCGGCATGGTAATTGATACGGTTGCACCCCGGTTGTGAGGTTTGCATGCCAAACTTACTACTTCTACTATATCCTGAATCGGTGTAGCTCTTATCCTGATCATTCCTCCTTGTTTCACATATTCAATGATTGCTCCTTCTCCATTATAACAGTGCCTTCCAGCCTTTGCCACTCGGCCTCTCAAGACCAAGGAAGTCAGTGAGCTGCCCCATATGGTCAACACCCCAAAAGCCTTCGGTCTCGCCCTTCGAATTCGTAGCTGCAGGTCATCAGTATAATGCGTCTCGCACCTGTCCTGAAATACGTACCAACGAAGTACGGCAATCCAAACGCGCCATCCTTGAACGCCTTCTCGGTATTCTGCGACAGCACTCTCTTCACCTCGTCCGTCTTCGTCTTCTCAATGATCTTATTCGCCTCCTCGTCGCTTCCGACGACCGTGCGTAAGATGGCCTGCAAGTTCTCTGGCTTGAGGGGTTCGCTCCACTGCACCCATGTGTTCTCATAGAAGAGCGAGATGGCGCTCTCAACCGATTGAGGGTGCGAGATGGACAGAGATGCCAGAGCGCGTTGGATGGGTAAAGTGTTGATGGGGAAGCCGGGAGGTGAGCCTTTCGAGATGGGGATGTTGAAATACTTGGCCCAGCGTATGCGCTCCAGGTTGATCCATTTGTCCTTATCTGCAAAGCATCAGGTTCATTCACGACAGAGCTGACACAAATTTCGGAAGCGTGTATGGCTGACTGAACTCAGGATGACCTACTTTTGATAGCGATGGGAGGCGTGTTTCCGCAGGTATTCATCAAGCCACCGAGAAGAATGGGCACATACTTGATGTCACACTGCTTGAATGCCGGGGAGTTCTATACATGCGTCAGCCGCTGGTCTCTTCCTATGACGCATCTACATATATGCACTGGTTGCAGGGGTCTGCTCAAACGTACCTTCAGGACATAGAAAGCAATGTACGCGAACGGGGACACAATGTCGACATAGAGTGTGATCTTTGATTGGGCCATCCTGTCCCTTACTAAATCCAGTAAACTACCAACTGACATCTATCAAGAGGGTTGGAGACGAAATGGACGTTCGAACTCCAACGAGGTGGTCGGAAGGTTGCACTAACGGATCGTCGCCTGCCAATAACCTCACATCCGACAGCCTCGGCCCATCGCGTGCTCGCCGTTTCCGCGACAGAAGCCACATTTCCACCACAGGTGCTGGCTTCAGGCAGCTTCCATCTCATGTCTAATTAGATTTTTTCTTTGTGTCTTGCCCATGTCTGAGACGGCAAGCAAGCTTCTTCGTTGCAAGTGCTTGTAGGTGCCTGTATCGTGGGCGCTACATCACTCGTAGACAGAATCATCTCGTTTGATCTTCTGCATGGTGCTGGTTCAACAATAGGTCATCAATAAGGAGTCTGCATTGTTCAAATCAAGATGCGATATTACGTGGTACTGACTTGCTCTATACCAGAGCCTGTACGCATAGCCATGATAGTATGCGAATGCGCCTCTAGTGACCTGCAAACACTGCGCCAGTGCAGTGGCGCTCAACAACGCCAGAGGCGGGCCAAAGCCGCCATCAAGATTCGTACAGACATCGTAGGGTATCATGGGATCAAGTATCAGAGTTCCCGATCGCTCAGTTGTCCACGCCAATGTGAACGTTCTTCTCGCTGGGGTCGGGGATGACTTCCTCCTCCCTTTTACCTTTGAGGTTTGGCAGCTCCTCCATAGCCTCCTTAATGATATTGAGGGCACTCTCAAGCTGCTCATCGGTGATGACCAGAGGAGGTGCCAGACGGATGATGTTTTGGTGGGTGGGCTTGGCCTGGGAAAAGGTGTTAATTTTCGTTCGAAATGACCATACGATCTTGAACTCACTAGAAGACCCTTAGCCTTGAAGAGCATGCACAGGTCCCATGCGCTGTGACCGTTTGTCTTGCTCTCATCGATGACAATAGCGTTCAAAAGACCCTTACCACGGACGGTTGTGATCATGGGGTTGTTGATGTCCTTCAAACCCTGGCGAAACTTCTCGCCCATTGTCTGTGCGCGCTCAACCATGTTCTCCTCCTGAATAAGCTCAAGAGCGCGAATGGCGACTGCCGAACCCAAGGGGTTACCACCGTACGTGGAGCCGTGTGTACCGGGTTCAATTGTAAGCATAACCTCCCTCGAGCCCAGCACTGCCGACACGGGGTACATGCCACCAGAAATGGCCTTGCCGAGCAAGACAAGGTCTGGCTTGATGCCGCTCCACTCATGGCATAGCATCTTACCTGTCCTTGCAATGCCAGTCTGGATCTCGTCACAGATGAGGAGGACATTGTGCTTGTCACAGAGCGCGCGGACTTCCCTCAGGTAGCTGTCATCTGGAACAACGATACCGGCCTCGCCCTGAATGGGCTCGACAAGGAAAGCAGCTGTGTTCTTGCCGTGCTTCTCAAGAACCTCACGGACGTCCTCGACGTTGTTGTAGCGGATGGCCTTGCCGGTAGCAGGGCAGACACTGCCGATGTTGGGCAGGTATGGGCCGTAGTTCTCGCGGGACTCGGGATCGGTGGACATGGTGATCGCAGCAAACTAAGTGAAAGTCATTAGCAATACTCCCACACATGCAAACGGCCACACTTACTGTACGTCCGTGGAAGTTCTCCTCGACGGAGAAGATCAATGCCTCGTTCTGTGGAATTCCCTTGACCTTGTACCCCCACTTGCGCGCAATCTTGACCGCGGTCTCAACAGCCTCAGCACCAGTGTTCATGGGCAGGATCATATCGAATCCGAACAGTTTGGTAGCATACTCGGCGAAGCGTGGGAACACATCGTTGTAAAATGCGCGACTGCTGAGGGTCAATCGCGAAGCCTGCTCAGTCAAAGCCTTGACAAGTTCAGGGTGGCAGTGGCCTTGATTGACGGCGCTGTATGCAGAGAGGAAGTCGAGGTAGTGCTTCTCCTCGGGGTCCCAGACGCTGCAACCGCTTGCGCGCGAGAAGACTGTACCTTGTCAGTACTTACAGTGCTAGGTCCTTCCAGGGACATACCAATTGGGAGAGGGTGGTAGTTGTGAGCGGCGTACTTGGCCTCTGCCGCTGTCGCCTCTGAAGACGAAGCTGCGTGGTACTTGGAGGGATCAGGAGTGCCAGTGGGGTGGAAGGAGCGCGCAGTAGGCTTCAGAGAAGTGCCATTGCTTGCGGGATCCGCCTCAGTCTGGATTGCGCCGGGTGCCATGGTGTTGAGTCTGTGTGATCAAACGTGGGGTAAGAGTGGCGGGGAACTTCAGTTGTCAAGTTATGGTGAAAAAGTGTTCGAGGAACCCGGGGGAGGTCAGGGCCTTTATTTTCACTGATTGTTGAGTTCAGTGCCGACTCCAGCCTACGTTATCACTTAGAGTCGATGTCTTTGTAAGTTGCGGTTCTACATGCCGTTAGGAGTCGACACCAACGGCAGGCCCTCGGTTGCGAGCGGCGGTCGCCATTAGCGCGATTGTCATTGGCTCATGGAGTGGTCTCGTGGTGTGAGGGAGGAGGGTCTCTCAAACACGAAGGCGGAGGTAAACGTAAGAGCGTTTCGAGGTGAGAGACATCGTGAGTCGCGATGGAGGTGGTTTCGGTCGCATTGTTGCCGGCAAAAGTTGTCAGGGAGGTGGTTGCGCTGGCTGTCGCGTGCTGCCACCCTGCCAATGACAGCGCGCTTGCGCCATTATCCGCCTTGAAAGTGCAAGAATAACCTCAAAATCATGCACGTGTTTGCGCGTTGTGATCGCTCGATCGTCACCGCCGCAGCGCGCTGATGTTGCACTCAGCCCGAGGACGCCACGGTGGGGGTTTGCCTACCTCTCAAACCCGCAAAGTTCCGGCAAAAGGGTTAACGTTAGTGTGTGTAGTTTACCTTCTAGCAAACGCATCACCAGCATCGCGACCTTGAACGACAACTAAGTTTCTCAGAACAGTGCACGGCAGGAAGGATATGTCGTGATGCACGCAAACCCTCTGGTCGCTCGAATAGGAATCTATCTGACAAGTTTTGACTTATGCCAGAGCCTTGGACACTGCACGAGAAGCTGCAATCATAATATTGAATTCGAATGAATACATGGCCTACGAGTGAACCGGCTACTGTCTGCATTCACGGACCAGCACACACTCCGAAGAAACGACGCCACTCTCCGAAATAACCCTTTGAGACGTGCGCCAGACGAGAACATTGGCCTTGAGCCACAGGCTTTGCGGAGAGCGTGAAGGCGTCTGATTTGGACTAACTGCTGCTGAATTCAAGGAAGACAAACTGAGCAGGCCAAGAGAAGCTGGGCATCTTGCTGGTGCTAACCATCAGTGACATGGCATTAAGGTAATTGGGACTGATCATTGACTTACCAGCTGATCAAGTTTCAAGCGTCACACTTGGATATGACCCGGCGACCGCTTGTATGAAGAAAAACAACGACGAAGGTCGCCGCCTCGCAAGCTAGCATTAACACACAAGTATGAGCAGCATGTTGCAATAGTTTGAGAGCAAAGCATATGGTTTTTGTCATAGACCGTACATCGATTGGTTGGTTGGTATTCATTTTACGTCTAGTTGATGAGGATGAAGTCCATCATCTCGCCTCCCGAAGGGCATATACGACGTGCTAAGCTATGGAATTACAGTGCTGCCACTACCTTAGAAAGCATTTCTTGCCTGCGCGGGTATTACTACCATTTCAGAACTACAGCTCCCCGTCCAGTTGGGGAGACTGAGCCGTGTGTGTACATTAGGGTGGATCCCTTGTGTGTTCAGAGGCAGTTAAGTGCCGGGGACCGTACATCGAGATATGTCCATTGCCCGCATGTGTAGACAAACATGCAAGGGCGGTGTTGATGTGTGGACTCGCTCTGTGAACGACCAAGCATCGCCAGATGAGGACTGGTGACTGCCCAGGCTCCTCTGGCCTCCTTTCTCTTGGGAGTCTTGGCCTTCTGCGAACGGAAGGCACACCATGTGAGGCCCGGAGAAATGGCAGACTAGCGCATCGCTCGCATCCTTCACCATCAACACCACCCCCGAAATAAACAACAAAAAAACGATGACTACCAGCCTACCAGCTAATCGATCGACGATTTTTTGTTCACAAAAAGACAGCCCGACGTGGGGCTCGAACCCACAACCTTGAGATTAAGAGTCTCACGCGCTACCGATTGTGCCAGCCGGGCTTACTGTTGCTTGATGTAAAGGTGAATATGCCCTGCACCTATATTTCTAACACCAATTGCGCGTTCTCTTCTCGTTCTTGGTAAATCACGGCTCGAGGATGCTCGAAGTCGACGCGGAGCAAAGTTTGCGTAGCTTTCCGGGTATTGGCCGAGCCCGGCGAAGCTTACCGAGGGAGCCGCAACCATCTGTCCTAGGTATCTGGAGGATCAGATGCCCGGATGGCCAGACATCAGCGTCGAGAAGCAGGCAACGGACTGACGACGACGGATATCGGGTATTAGAGACCGCAGGATTCGAACAGAGGCAAACTAAAAGAAGTAAAGCGGTCCTTGACAACGTTCGAACAGTGTTGGTGATGGAGCCTGATCCTGCCATGGCAGCTACAACGCGTCCAAGCTCCGATCACAAGCCGAGGTACGGCAACCGCCTTAACCATCAACACCACCAACCTCCAACTTTGTGCTCCGTTCCTTCATCTGACACGCGCACACAATGGCGGCGCCGACGCACTTCACCTACCCTTTTGCGACCTCGCCAGATGTAATTCGTTCACACCAGAAAGACGCCTACTTCTCTGGCGCCCTCATCGACCAACTCAGCACGCTTCTGCGCAAGATCTACGGCGCCCGCTTCGTACATACACACATATCCGAGACTCGTGTAATCGGCGAGTTACTATACCTAGCTCTCACAACGGCGATAGGGAATCGCACACTAGGCGAAGAGTACTGCGACATCGTACAAGTCGAGAATGAGACAGGACGGCTACCTGCGCTGGGCAGGCGTGCCGGCTACATTCTGAGCTGCGTACTTGGGCCATATATGCTGGGCAAAATACTGCCTAAGTTGAGGAGGCGGATGAGAGCAAAGCTTGAGGCGAACCTCAAGAGATACGGGAGGATACAAGTCAAGGCACAGGAAGGTGGGAAGAAGGCCAGCAGACCGCTGGGTATGAGGGTGCAAGGTTACATTCTCGAGAACCTCGACACTATCACATCGCCATCGCCGGTGTATGCGCTATCGTTGGCGACATTCTACTTCTCGGGGAGCTACTACCATTTGAGCAAGAGGATATGGGGACTGAGGTATATCTTCACGCGGCAGGTGCAAGAAACGGACGCAAGAGTTGGTTACGAGGTTCTTGGTGTCCTTCTGGTGCTGCAGATGGCAGTACAGGGATATCTACATCTTCACAACACCATGACAAGCGCAGACATCAGCGCGGCTCTGCCGACCGGTACCTCAGCCGTGGTTGGTGGTGGTGCAGAAGTTTCGCTCGACCCAAATGCGTACAGCGCGAACAACGCGCTCCTTTTCGATGTTCCGACGCCACCTCCCGCTGTCTCGTCCGATCTGCAGAAGTGGACACACACACCGGCGAATGAGAAACCAAAATTCGAGCTCGAGAATGAGGAGATAATGGGCTGGATAAGTGGAGGCAACAGGAAGTGCACGTTGTGCTTGGAAGAGATGAAGGACCCTAGCGTCACCACCTGCGGGCACGTCTTCTGCTGGACCTGCATCAGCGACTGGGCGAGGGAGAAGCCGGAGTGTCCGCTATGCAGACAGAGCTGTTTGGTACAACATATTCTGCCGTTGAGAGGATGAGCTGGGCTGGGTTATTTTACGACTTTACGTTTGAGCATGTGCGAGATACCCTGAAGACGACAAGCGTTTGTAGGCGCATTTGCAGGCGAACAATGCTCTGCAGGCATCGTCTTGCATCATTCGAGACTTCGCTCTTCCATCGCCTTCCTCATATCCCTTGACGCTGCTGCTTATTGTCATATTGCTGACTCATTAGAGCTTCCCATGGACACAGAAAGGACGACGTCGACACTGCCACACTCCTGCGAAATTCAGGGGCTACATGTTTTCATCCCTAGATGTACTTCCGTGTTGTTGAGATCACCGAAGATTGCCCGAAAACGCTGCGCGAACACCGCTAATTATGTCGACTTCCAGTTTGGCGGCTTCCATACTTCTCGAACCACTCCACGGTATACTTCCAACCACGCCGGAGGTCTTCAGACCTTGCTGGAGCAGCCAGAAAGGCTTGCCCGATGACCCATGCGGACGAAAAGGCAGAGCGGTAATACTGACCCGCCGCCAACAGGACACACCGCTGCACTTCAGCGTGCTCTGCATTGATACACCCCATCTTGTAGGCACGCTTGATGACTTTCACCCACTCATTTGAAGACACGATGCCGTCGAAGAAACCTGACCGCATGTTAGCGAGCGCTGCGCTGATGAGCGGTTGGTCTTCCAGCTGAAAGCCTGCAAGGGAGGCATCCATCAGAGCGTTGGTGGTCATCTTGGTTTGGTCATGTCGGGGAGCCATGGGTCGCGTGGCGGAATGTGATGGTACTTGAGGGGCTTGTCCACTCCCACTTCCAGGCTGAAGGTGCGCCAGAACATGTACATGAGGTCCATTGTGTATGGCAAACCGTCGTAATTGATGGCGATGACGGGAGTCTTCTCCTTGGTATGGTCAGCTCCTACTTAGTTCGCTATTGTACTTGGAACCTACTCGGCTGTCGACAAGACGCAGAAGGACTGCATAAGTCTGCGTCGCAACCACCGTGGACACTTTCTACACTGCACTGCTGAGGAGCTCGATCATGAAGAACATATTCCAGCTGTCCTTTAGATGATAATCGCCGCGTCTGGTATCTGGTCAGTCTGGTCGCGTAACCTCGACGGCCCCGCAACTTAATCTGCCCACCCAGGTGCTCTTCGGCCCAAGCCATCAAATGATCAGGCGCAGCATCTTCCACATGTGAGCGCTTCATGCTGACGACGGTGCGCGGGGAATGGGTCTTAGGAGAATCGTTAGCTGCGACGACTCCGACGAGCGACAAAAAGGAACGTTTACATTGACGGGTGGGTCTAGTGACCCTTACCCGATGAGTTAGAGTGAAAGAAGACTCAACGGGCCTGTCGTCTGGGAGGCAGTATCATTTTTGATCACATGTACCGTGTAGGTCCCTGAGGGTCTCCTATACCTATAGGTACCAGCCTACGGAAGGATGAAGTTTTTTCTCGGCAACCGATTATCATGACAACTTGTTGATCATGCATGTAAGGCCCTCATCCTGTAAAGGGTTATACATGTTTCTTGATGAGCGACCATGCGTGCTAGATACCAACGGTCGCAAAGACTTCCTCGGACCAAGGATAGAATGAGTCTCGAGTCAGTCACGAATTGAACCTCATGTTCAAGTATTTTACAAGGTGCAAAACCATTAATTAAGGCTTACGAAATCAAGCATACAAGTTAACACAACAGGACTTCAGGCCTTCTTCTTCCCCTTCCCACTCTTCCTCCTCTTCTCCTCTTTCACCCCAGCACTCCAAGACTCACGCTTCCCGCTGGTCTTCACCGACTTCCCACTGTCAGTCTGCGCACCCACGTCTGCCATCATGACATCCTCGTCACCGACACCAGCGAATCGCTCGGCTCTCATGCCCACGGTCTGTGGGCCAAGACTTGCATCCAAGTAGTTATGCTGCATCGGCGGACGAGGTGGCGGCACAGGCACCCGACGCGGCATAGCGGTATAGCTGCTCTCCGCGCTCGACACTCTGCGGGTGTATTTGGGTTTTGGACTGGACTGCGCAGACGATGAAGAGCTGAAGTTGTGGTACTGGTAGGGTTCCACGGGCGTAGTTTCAAGTTTTGAGGACTTTGAAGAGCGCTTTGAGCTGGGTTGCGTACTGATGCCCAGGCCGTTGAAGGCGGGCGCCAGATCTCGTGACGAAGGGTGGGTTTCTTCCAAGGGGGTAGTGGGGCGGTATAAGTGTGGAGAGATAGGAAGGGCGCCGGGGAAGGCTCCGGGCATGTCTGACAGAGCACGACGTGCGGGAGCAGGCTGCTCGCTACTTGAGACTATTGGAGGCGTCGGTTGAGGTAGTGTTCCTGGGTCGCGTGCCATACTGCCCTGGTAAGCACTGATGGGTGTGTAGATTAACTGTCCATCTGGACCAGGGATCATGAAGCCGGGTGGGGGAGCGCTGGATAGGTTCGAAGGAGCGCGTTTACGGCCACTGGGCTTCGCTTTCTCTTTCTTGGACTTCGATGAAAACAATGAAGATCTCTGGTGCTCCTTCTTACTTCGTGTGTTACTGCTTGAACCCTTCTTGGTGGTTGTGCTGGTGTTCGCCACACTCATGGTATCTTTGGGAGGGGATGAGCGAGAGCTACGTGGCGGAGGGGCTGCTGTCGACGTTGTGCCATGAAGCTTCGACCGGTACGCATCCAGCTCCTCTGGGGTGAGTTGCACGTCGGGGACATCTGCTGCTCTCGCAAGTCGGATCTTATCGAGAACGCGTTGAAAGAGCAATTCTTCGTATTCAGCTGCAGACATGGGTCCTCCAGAATCGTCATGGTAGCCCTCGTCTTCCTGGTAACCGCGATCGTTCCTGCTGGACGCGCCACCGAGTGCTGCCGTCCTTCGTTCCCATGCTCGTATATCCATGTCGTTGAAGTATAAGTCGTCCTTTTTGAGAAGTTGCTTGCCATTCGAAGCTTTTTGGTGTCCATGTTCTACATTAACGTCGGCCATTTCGGCATCACTTCCCACGTCCTGAAATCTATATAAATCTTCCCCTTCCTCCATGTATCTCCCCACAGCCCCTGATGGTCTTCCCCACGGGGGCGAAGCATGAGGAGTTCGCGGCCGACCACCTAGACCGCCTCCTCGGAAAAAGCTGACTCGATAGGCTTATCAAGGAAAGCAGCGTGGCCGATGATGGTGACACCGGAGGCACCAATGAGCCAAAGAACGGCAGAGAAGGGCGAGGACCACAGTCCAAGAGGAATGGCGATGATGGCCAGCGTCGTATAGAGCTGCGAGGTAGTTGCGCGCCATGAGCCGATCTGGAGGTCGTTGCCTTCCAGCTTGCCGATACCGAACATGCCTCCAATGACGAAGATGATGACGAACAGCAGTAGCAAGTGGGTCAGCAAGCTGTAGATGCTGAGCATAGCGAAGACGGCAGCGTAATTGCTGGAGAAGTAGCCAAGATTGTAGTTGATGCGGCTCTGCGCCTCGCCGAAGCTGGCGGGCTTGGAAATGCGCTTGAAGTCGAGGAACTCGCTGATGGGCTTCAGGTTGGCGAAGCGCGACGAGACAGAGGTGGAGCGCAGGCCGTCGAAGCGCCCCTGGAGGTCCATCCGGGACGTCAGGGCGGAGATGGGGATGTTGAAGCGCGACATGGTGGCAGCGAAGCGGCTCTGCGACTCGGTGCTGGACTGAGTGTTGGTCGGTTGAGGAACGTCGGGGGTGATGAGGGTGTGGTGTTGCTCTTCGCGTTCTGCAGGGGAAGTCATTGTCAGCGGTGGGTGCGCGTGCTTGGCTTGGATGCAAATAGTGTTGGGAAAGCGCAGATGTGGCCTCTAAACAATGCCGAGGGACGCGGACTATCAAGAAAATGGCTGCCTTACGGGTACGACGAGTGCGAGGGGAAAGAGCGATGCTGACGCGGCTGGGGAATGAGTGTGGGCGGAGTGAAGGGCTGTTCACCTAAGGAGTACGTGTCGCTGGGAGGTTTAACTTTTGTTGGACACTGGTCGCGGATACGCGGCGATCCAAAATAAGGGACCGGCGCGCTGAGCCACACTGCGCCCCGACAGCTTTCTAGTCCGTCTCGTCGCACATGCCCGTGGTAAGGACACTTGGAGGCATTCTGGAGGCAGAGAAGAGCTGTGCGGGCAGACTCTGGGTGAAATGTCTGGGAAGAGGGGAAACGGCCGTCTTCCTATAGGTCTAGAGGCTATAGCTACATCTGTACCCCGTCTTAACTGGCCTTTGTGGCCCAGATTTGCAATTGGTTCCTTTGCAGTCTCCAACGGTTCGCCGCGCTACTGACGCACAAGCCACTGCACTTTCCCGTTGCTTGTAAAGTTCGCGATCTGTCTTGAACTCGGATCTGTCTTGAACTCGGATCTGGAGTTCGAACCTCAACCATCCACAGCCATGAGGTCCACTGCTGTATTTGCCCTGCTGCTGGGCATATTTGCAGCCTTTGCTGCTGCCTGGTCGAAAGAGGGTAAGTCAAATCATCGGCCGCAATCATGTCTAACAATCAATCCCCCTGTGCATACTGCACCATACACGCATCACCACACAGGCGTCCAACACGTGTACGAAAGGTGCAGATCAGCTGACATTTCACTGTATAGACCACGAAATTTTCCGTCTGCGCGACGAAGTCATCAAGTCTGAGGGTGCCAATGTCACCTTCTATGACATGCTCGGTGTCAAGCCCGGTGTCAACCAAGACGAATTGACCAAGGCCTACCGCACGAAAGGCCGCGAACTCCACCCCGACAAGGCACGCAAGATTTTCATCTCCAACTACGCGAAGCAGGCTGCCAAGGAGGGCAAGACACCCGGCGTCAAGTCCAGCAAGGGCCCCTCGAAGAAGGAAATCGATGCGCATATGAAGAGAGTCACTGCAAGGTACCAGAAGCTGTCTGTTGTTGCAAACATCCTCAAGGGCCCCGAGCGTGAGCGTTACGACCACTTCTTGAGGAATGGCTTCCCTGCTTGGAAGGGCTCTGGTTACTACTACGATCGCTTCCGTCCTGGCCTTGGCTCTGTTCTTCTCGGTGTCTTGATCGTCATCGGTGGTGGTGTGCATTACTTTGCTCTGTACATGAGCTGGAAGCAGCGCAAGGCCTTCGTTGAGCGCTACATCCGCCACGCACGCAAGACTGCTTGGGGCGATGAGTCTCCCATCCAGGGCATTCCTGGTGTTGATGGTGCTGCCGCAAACGTTCCTGTCAACGCGCAACAATTTGACAATGGTGAAGACGAAGAGGAAGAGAAGGAGCCTGAATTCATTCCAAGGAACCGCAAGGAGGCGCGTGCATGGGAGAAGGACCAGCGCAAGAACAGCAAGAAGCCCGCAGCTGTCAAGAAAGCACGCACTGCCGGCATTAGCACGCCGAAGGAGGCAGAGCTCATCTCGGGTCCTCAGGGCGCTAAGAGACGCATTGTGGGACAGAACGGCAAGGTCCTGATCGTGGACTCTGTCGGCAACGTCTTCCTCGAAGAGGAGACAGAGGATGGCATGAAGGGCGAATTCCTCCTCGACGTAAGTTGCCTCGCTACAATATATGATGCAAACACATGATTGACGAACAATAGCCTAACGAGGAGCCTGCGCCTACTATCTTCGATACAGTTCTATTCAAGCTCCCCAGGTTTGCCTACAACCAGTCCGTTGGCCGTTTCCTCGGCAAGAAGGAGCTCATTGACGAGCCTCTCATGGAGACCTCCAACTTGCCTGAAGAAGAGGCTGCCCTCCAGTCTGCGACCGCGCAGAACATCAACGGCGAGACAAGAAAGCGCAAGACCAAGGCCCAGAGCCGTGCCAGGTAGAGGTTTGTTTGCGCTCAACGCTGCGCAGGCCAGTTTGCATAAAAGTGGCTTCTTTCGAAGCATGTAGGATAGATAAAGTCGGAGGTATATTTACAAGCCTTCCAAGAAAACTACGGCGATGCAACAATACTTCGATTGTGGGTTTCGTTTTCGTCCATGTGAGAGAAGCCACAGTGGCTGGAATCCCGCGTTTGGAACACTACGTCACTCGATAAACGCGCAACACCACCTTGCCTTCGAGCTCCCGCTTTGCTGCCTGCGCAAAAACAACCCACATTTTCGCCTCGTCCAATCTTACCTACGGCCCTCCTTCTTACCACACGTGTTCCTTTCTTCGCATAACTCACCTTCGCACCACCCACCATGGGTAAGCACATCTAAGCCTCTAAATCACAACATCTTACTAACAGTTTCCAGCAGCGCAAGACTACTACAAGATCCTCGACGTCGACTCCAAAGCAACCCAACAACAGGTCCGCGACGCATACAAGAAAGCCGCCCTGAAGCACCATCCCGACCGCGTCCCCGCCAACTCGCCAGAGCGCGCAGCCCGCACAAAGCGCTTCCAAGCCATCAACGATGCTTACTACACCCTCTCAGACCCCACACGTCGCCGCGAGTACGACGCTGCCCGCACATACAACAACTGGACGGGCAGCACGGCAACGCCCGACGACGACTGGGAGGAGGAGATTCCGCACACGGCGTCTGGACAAGGCGCCGGCGCGCAGACTGGAGGCGGGTTCAATTTCGGAGGCTTTCCCTGGAGTGCGTTTGGGTTTGGCGGCGAGAAGCCCGCGGGGAATACCGAGGAGAGTCACAACAAGTTCTCTGAAGAACAGTTCGGTGGTATCTTCGAGGAGATGCTACGGGAAGAGGGTATGGCGGATCAGGACGCTGGTCCAACAGGCAAGTTCTGGAGCGTCGTTGGTGGACTGAGTGGCGGCGCTATGGGTTTCATTGTTGCGAATTTCCCGGGCATGGTCGCTGGCGCTGTTGCGGGGAATAGGCTGGGGAGCGTGAGGGATGCGAAGGGGAAGAGCGTTTATGCTGTGTTTCAGGAGATGCCGCAAGCGGATAAGGCGAGGCTGTTGAGTAGTCTTGCGGCCAAGGTGTTGAGCAGTGCTGTCAGTGGGTAGGAGCTTGCTGTCGGAGTAAAAGCAGGGCTGGGGGCGTAACGACGAGGCTTTCTCTTCGGCATAGTTTGAAATGATATCCTATGATAAATGGTTTGAGAGGGTTTCCTTGGTATGGAGAGGGAACGGAAATATATAGTATCAATACAAGTGTAACATCTCAAGCCTCGTCGATAAAATCGGGGTGACTTCCAGCTTCGATAAGAGATACATGCATCGCCATACTCTCAAAGCCATCTCTCAATATTCTAGAGGTGTCGTTGCATATTCATGGGGCAAGCTCGGAGATACTGCCCGCCTCCCAAGGGCGCTCGAGCTTGATGGGTAGTCAACCCGCTACCCAGCCTGCAACACTTGCAAGCAACTAAAGGCAATGCACGCGGACTGTTCGTTGAGGGCTTTGGAGAAGGTCGACGGAGACTTCCGAGAGGCGACGACTCCCTGATGGGTACAGATACGTAATGACTCAATGAGGGGAAGAGAGGAGAACAACGCAGTTGCGTTCTGAGGTCCATAAAAATGTCACCGCAAGCTCCAGAAGCAAAAATATCTTCGGGTGATGCAAAGCGATATGGCTTACATTCCTCTGTATCTTCACTCTTGTCTATCACGTGCTCCTTTACCTGCGTGCGCCTACCTTACAGGTGCCAAAGCGTAAATCCACAAGCACGCGCACAGAACACACCCTACAACTTACCAACACCAACTAGCCTGTATCATTAACCACTGACCGAATATCATGGCTTCATCACAGTTTCGGCACGGGCATGCTGCCATCGGCGTCATCATCAGCAATATGGACTCCTACCTGCCACCAGATACCATCGATCGTCCTGGTTACAAGCACTGTCGGACCACATATGGATTGCTAACCACTACCTACAAACAAGCCGAGCATTCAGAGGCACCAGAGAAGGTCTATAAGGAGCTACAGAAACTCGAGCATGAACTCCGCCGCCGCCTCAACAACCTGAGTGCCGCCAAGGGCGTTCCGGCCAAGATGACCGGATACTTGGATGAGCTCAAGGCTGCTTTGGATCACGCCATGTCTGAGGGTGTGGACACAGACTTCCTAATCCAAGGTGTGGAGGACATTCTGGAGGAGAAACCGGAGGCCCAGGCAGCGCCAAAGCCGCAGCGCGTCCTCATGGTGCCCAACACAAAGTACAAGAAGGTCAAGGCCGAGCTTGCGGAGGCAAAAAAGAAGATTCAGAAGCTGAACGAGGAGAACAACTCTCTGATACTTTACATCAGGCAGTTGGAGGCCGAGCGTGCACACCGTGGAGCGTGAGTTCGACAGACACGAGACCTTGCGTCTCCGCTGACTCATCGGATGAAGAAACCATGAGGCGACAAAAGTATCGTACGAAGACTGCAAAGTCTACGACTCGGACTGGATTACGGCGGCATTTGCGGCGTGAGCTCGTGTGGGTGAGCCCAGTGTGAGAACCTAAGCCTCCATCGATCAGACCAGAAGAATCATTATGATTGCAGTGAGTTCAAGCTAAGTCGTGCAAGGTCCCATTCACTCCGTATTGTATCAGTTGCTCGTGTTGCTGAGTACCGACTTGTTTTGATCGACCACGCGCTGTTGGCTTTCCCCTTCACTTCGACACTCCCGGCCGCGTGATAGTTCCGTTTCGTGCTAGGAATCTTCCGTTGCCAGACAACGACTTCCACACAACCCCCCCAAACCTTTCCGTCGTCACCTCGCACCTTCTTGACACGCTGTGACAGCCGCGCGAATTCGCATTATTTGGGTACGCTGCACATGATTGTTCTTGGCTAACATTACTGACATTTGCAAGATCAGACGGTCTGAATTCAAGCTCTCAAGCTACAGCTCGAAGTGAATCGTTTGTGAACGCCAGCTTCAAGCTTACGCTCCTCCACCATGACGCTAAACAAGAGCACTGGTCTATACACTGTGCCCAGTCATCACTTGCACGGCGCAGGGCCCACACCACGCCCATCGTTCAACAGCATGGACTTCACAATCAACAGCCCTGAGCCACCCAAACCCAAGTGTGACCATGATAGGCCAAGGAAAGACAGCCAAATCACCAGTACACGGCAAGAAGATGTCGCTAAGAAGAGAAAGAAGAAGCTCTCCATGGCTACGCAAGATGTGCAAGAGAAGAACAGCCGCACACCGGCAGCATCCACTCCTCTTATCAAGGTGACACCAGCTACCGCCAGCACCAAAGGCAAGAAGCGCAAGCGTGCGAACGAAGGTCGGGCACCCCAACGCAGATCATCAGACCATGCGGTATCATTTGTGGGCGAAAATATGATTCAAAACGTCCAGTCGTCAGTCAAGGCTGCCCGCGAGGTGTTCAGCAATCCACCTGTCACAGCTCAGCGCGAGGACGAGCCATCCAAGAAGAAGGCCAAAAAGGACAAGGCGAATCGCAAGAGCATCGACACGGTCGACTTCGATCTTATCGCCAAAGAGACGCACCACATCGCCAAGAAGGCAAAAAAGGAAAAGAAGGCCAAACGGCACAGCACTGGCAACGTGCGGGCTCGCCCGCCGATACCTGTCCCAGTAACTCGCTCTTCGCCTCCCATTGTCTCTTCGCCACCCAAGAAGACACCTGTGCCGCTTCCACCGAATGCGTTTTCGCACAGGGCCAATGCGTCGAAGGTGAAAAGGATTGGTAGTAGAGACGCGAGCTTTCTCGTTGCGGAGACACCAGAATCGCAACTCCCAAAGACGCCAGTCAACCTTTCCGACTCACCGATCCCCTTCAAGCTGACGGATGCTATCAAGGCCAAGGGATCCAAGAAGTCGAAGAAAGTGGTGAAATTGTCACCTCCTACGCCTGTACTGAGCGAGGCGCCCTCATCTGCGCCGCCAGCGCTGGACAAGAACCATAAGCTTCAGCGCAAGCCTGACGGTACGGTCTCATTGACGGCTTCGAACCTGCTCAAGTACGCCACCACGACGCAGCGGCTGAGCGACGAGGCAAAGCCGCGACCTAGGCCTTTCTCGCGCGCAGCGTCCACTGCCGGGTCGACGACATCTGCTGGCACGACTCCGAGCATTAGGGACCTGTTTGCACGCGTGGGCAAGCCATACTCGCGCTCGGGCGCCGAGACGGACCCGTTCGTAGCACCAGAGGCCAGGAAGAAAGTCCGGCGCGAGACTCACGAAGAGGCCTCCGCCCAGGAGTTCACTGAGCGCTACAAGGCAGCGCAGAAGTCCGTCAACTTCTCAGACGAGCTCGAGTACGTCGCCTCGTTCCTCTCCTGGCGCAAGGCCAACGACGCCGTCGGTCCGCTCCCCTGCCTGGGCATCAAAGCAAGCGGCTGCAGCACCAAGAAAGAGAACATCCTGCGCCTGACCCGCTCCGACCCCCTGAACCCGCTCAAAGTAGTCGTCACCACCGAAGCCGACCAGGCCGCGCTGGAAGACGCAAAGCAGCGCGCGCTGATTGCTGAAACCCTGGTCGCCGCGGCCGTCAAAGCGCGCGTCCCCGTCCCCATTGGCAAGGTCGAAGGCGTGTGGAAACTCTTCTGCCCGCCTTACTCGGACGCGCACGTCGACAAATACGGCTACGGCCGGCGCACGCTGAGCATCTTCTCCATGGCCGGCTCCGACTCGCCCACGTCGTACACAGCGCGTCTCAGCATCCCGCCGCGCTCGATGCTGTACTCGATTCGCGCGTTCGAAGTGCCGCCGCACGCTGGTTTCCGCTCGACGGTGGTCAGGACGAGCGTCGAGGGGTACAAGATGGAGGTTGTGTTTCTGGGCAACGGGTATTTGGTGCTCAGAGTTGACTTGAGGCTCTTGCTTAGCGGCAAGGAGGGTAGGACCAGCGGGGGCAAAGCAGTGGCTATGGAGTTTGTGGGGGTGCATGAGAGTGCGGTTGTGTGGGAGGAGAGCGAGGACGAGCTGGAGGTTGTGGGCAGGAAGCTGTTTGCCAAGTACGACGGGAAGGCGTAGGTGGCGGGTGATTTTTTGGGGTGGTTTTTTGGATGATTTTTTTGGGAGATTTTTTGGGAGATTTTTTGGGTGCCATTTCATCTTGGCGTTGGGGTTGGAATGGGAGCATTGTGCATGATGCTTGCAGTACACGGCTTGCTGCCGACTCTCGACGACGTACCTGCGTCTGTCAGGTGGATGGGAAGGCCTCGGTGAAAAACGCACCGTATCTCGGATTTCGATGCGACGGTATGGCATGGTACGGTACGGTACGGTACAGGTCCAGACACACCTCTTGTACAATACACACCACACACACCTCTTGTATAATACACACCACACACACCGACTACCTCGCCTTCTCCTTATTCTCCGCCGCCCTCCTCTTCGCCCGGACTTCTGCCTTCCGCCTCTCGCCACCATCGATCTTGTGCCCTCTCCTGTCTTCCCACATTCCCTCCTGCAGCCGTATCCTCGCCCTCAGCCCCTCACTGCCCTTCACCGGCTCGACGTAGCTGCCCTTGATCGTCCGGGCACCCTTGACCAGCACGCCACTCACAGCGGGCAACGCGTCAACGCGCGCAGCCGCTGTCTCGCCAGCAGGCACGTTCACGACGACGCTCCTCGTGCCCGGGTTGCGCGTGGCGGTCGCGGCGGCAGAGCGCGGGCTGATGGTGTTCCCCAGCTGGGGGTTCGGGGCCACCGGGGCGGCGACGACGGTCAGCTCGGCGACGCCGTCGGCGACGTGCTGGCAGTCGCCGCCGACGCCGTACTCGCCGTTGCGGAACTTCTCGCGCCAGTGCAGCAGGTAGCGGCGCGAGCGGGCGGGCTCGACGCCCAGCTCCTTGAGCTGCGGCGACGTGAGGGTGAAGAGGGCTTCCCACGAGGGGATCTTTCCGGTGTGTGCCGAGAGACCGCGGCCGATTGCGGTCAGGAAGGCGGCGTGGTCGGGGATGAAGGGCGTTGGTTTGGGGACGGGGCGCATGGGGATGCTGTGCTGCAGGCTGCGCGTGCACGTCCTGGGGAGCGCCGCGGCGGCCGAGGAGGCGTTGAGGAGCGGGCGTCTGAGGATCATGGCGGCAGTGATTGCTGGGGTGGCGGCGATGGTTGCTGGGACGGCGGCGATGATTGCTGGGCGGCGGGACGTGATGGACTGCTGGGGCGGCGCAACGGAGACGTCGACGCGCTGGTCGCGACTTTTTCGAGGGTCGCAACGAGCGACGGGGCGAGCCAAGACGAAGGCCCCCTGCTCCTCCGCCCGGCACCGTCATCACCGCCCCACTCACACTTGTCACGCCTCTCTCACCTCCCTCACCTCCCTCACCTCCCTCACGCCTCTCACACCTCGCTTACGCACGGCAGTAGTAGAGAGTCTCCTACCGCCTCCCCCCACTCACTACCCCCACTACCCTCACTACCCTCACCACCCTCACCACCCTCACCACCCTCGCAATGGCGGCCCCCGAAGCGCACCACCTCTTCCACCACCCGGTCGCCGACCACTCGTTCTCGGCCGACCGCCAGACGGTCGCCGTCGCCCGCGACAACCAAGTCGACCTGTTCGCCAGATCCGGCGGCGGCTTCAAGCTGCAGGACGAGCTGACGGGCCACGACAAGACGGTCACGGGCGTCGACATCGCCCCGAACAGCGGCAAGATTGTCACGTGCTCGCAGGACCGCAACGCCTACGTCTGGGAGCCGAGCGCCCAGGGCTGGAAGCCCACACTGGTCCTGCTGCGCATCAACCGCGCCGCCACGTGCGTCCGGTGGGCCCCGAGCGAGACCAAGTTCGCCGTCGGCAGCGGGGCGCGCCTGATTCCCGTGTGCTACTTTGAGGAGGAGGACAACTGGTGGGTGTCCAAGCACATCAAGAAGCCCATCCGCAGCACCGTCACCGCCGTTGCCTGGCACCCCAACTCGGTCCTGCTGGCGGCCGGCTCGACCGACGGCCACGCCCGCGTCCTGTCCAGCTTCGTCAAGGGCGTCGACGCGCGTCCTGAGCCCAGCGCGTGGGGCGAGCGGCTCCCCTTCAACACCGTGTGCGGCGAGTTCCTGAACAACACCGCCGGCTGGGTCCACAGCGTCGCCTTCTCGCCCTCTGGAAACGCCCTCGCGTTTGCCAGCCACGACAGCACCCTCACCGTCGTCTACCCCTCGGCGCCCGAGCAGCCGCCGAGCGCCGTCATCAGCGTCAGCACGCAGGTGCTGCCCTTCATGTCGCTCGTCTGGAGCTCCGAGGACGAGATCATCGCCGCAGGATACAACTGCGAGGCGTACCGTCTGCACGGCTCCGACGCTGGCTGGCAGCTCGCCGGCTCGCTCGAGACCAAGGGCCGCCCCGGTCTGGCCGAGGCCCGCGAGGAGAGCGCCTTCAACATGTTCCGGCAGATGGACCTCAAGGGCAAGAACTCGGCCGACGACACCAAGCTCAAGACGGTCCACCAGAACACCATCACCACCATCCGCAGCTACGAGGAGGCTGGCGGCCGCGTCACCAAGATCAGCTCCAGCGGCGTCGACGGCCGCGTTGTCATCTGGGATGTGTAGACGAGACGTAGTAGGAGCAGATGCCTTTGGCTAGGTCAATCTGCCAAGCACACACTGCGTGCATACAGTAAACAAACTAGTCCGGCATGCAAATCCTCGCCTCGCCGAAAGTGGAGAATACAACCCGGATATCAAGCCCCAACTCCGTGCCGAAACCAACCTCGCCCTGTCCTGCACACTCTGATTGCCGCTCTCGCCCTGTCCTGCACACTCTGATTGCCGCCCTCGCCCTGTCCTGCACCCTCTGATTGCCGCCCTCGCCCTGTCCTGCACCCTCTGATTGCCGCCCTCGCCCTGTCCTGCACCCTCTGATTGCCGCCCTCGCCCTGTCCTGCACACTCTGATTGCCGCCCTCACCCAAACCCAGTGAACCCCGTGCTAAACGCATCCATAGTCCCCGCCTGCGCCGGCACCGGCGCCCCCACACCACCACCCTGCGTCTGGCCATCGTTCAGAAACCAGCTCCAGTCCTGATCGATGTCCATGGGCATGTTCTGCCAGCTAAAGTTGTTCGTCGGCAGCGGGTAGTTGTTCATGCTATCGTCCTTGAGGCCCAGCGTCGGATTCCCCGCCGCGCCCGCGGCCGCATCGTCAGCGAGGGCGCCGAAGTTGTAGAACCCGTCGTACGAGACGAACGGGCTGGGGTCGAGCGCGAACGAGGCCGCGTGCGTGGGCGCCGAGAGCGAGCTCGCCGGCGTCAGGTTCAGCGCCTGCGTCGGGGCGCCCGAGAAGACGGTTGCGCCGTCGAGTCCGCTCTTCTCGCTCGTCGGCGTGTACAGCAGCGGCGCCGGCGCGGATGCGGCGCTGCGGCTGCTCGCGGCTGCTGTGGGCGACAGGCACGGTGGAGGTGGTGGCATGCCTCTCAGCGTCTGGCCGCCGCGGCGGATCGTTATCGTGCCAAAGTAGGGGATGACGAGATCGTGGCATTCACCGCCGTCCTGGCAAGGCCCGGTGCCCGCGTCGACGCCGCCCTTGAACTTGCCTTGCATTTTCTCGAGCACCTCGGCCGACTGCAGGGCGACTTTGCCGCCCTTTTCGCTGGATGCCCGCCGGAAGATGTCGATGCTGATCTCGATGAGGCGCATGTCGGCTTCGACTTCTCTCAGCTTGTGCGCGTCCTGCGTGCCGTTGGCGTTGACGGCGGCGAAGTTGAACAGCCCGATCTGGATGAGGACCGCCGACGTGAAGCCGACGAAGTCGACGGCTTTGCATTCGTACAGCGGCTGTACGGTGCCGGTGCGTAGCGCCTGGTAGAGACGCAGGACTTCACGCGAGCCGTTGAGACAGGCAGTGCGCGAGTATGTGAACCGCGAGTTTGTGGCTGCCTTGAGCATGAACGGGAGATGGAGGTATACGCGGATCTGGTGGTAGATCATCTGCGCCATGATGCGCTCGCGAAGCTCGGCCGCGTTGGACTCTGGTGTTGCGAGGAGCTCAGAGTAGTCCACCCAGCTAGGGTCGAGCCTCTTCCAGAGGTCTTCGAGTTCTTGGTCGAGCTGCAAGGCCCAGGCAAACGACTGCTCGGCGACGCCCTGGTTGCGATCGATGACGCGGCCTGCGAGTTTGGACACGTTGGTGATGAAGACCAACGGGTGTATGAACTCTCCATCGAAATTGGGCATCGTGAGATCGCAATGTGAATCGCTGATCCCGTAAGGCAGACCGAGGAGAAGGGACAGGAATCGATCGCCATGGTAGAGTCCCCACCAGATACTCTCGTGGGCTACAGATGCCGTGCGCTTGCGGTGCAGACCCTGCGAACATTAGCTGTCACCTGTACCTTGTGTGAGCAGTTGACATACCATGAGCTGAGCATACATCAACCCCTTGCGGTAGCAGACCCACGACCTTCGTGGCTGACCGATATCGGCGAACCACTTGGACTTCAGGATGAGACACTCCATGCCCTCGAGGCTTGCAGCGTACTCATCGTCCGAAAGCACCCATCGGTCGACAGCCTCAGTGTACCGCTCGACATCGTTGTTATCCGCTGAAGAGCAGATGCCAACAGCCAAGACGACAGTACCAATGGCACCAATGTTACTATTTGTTATGGCTTGCGCTGCGAACTGTGCAAGCGTCTGTTCTGGTCCGGACGTGCCGCTGCACTTTCGTCTCCATGTTTGCCACCACTCGCTGTTGCTGGTGAGTATATTTGTGAGTTGGTCGTATGCAGGTAGCATAGCAATGAGAGCCTGCTTCACTCTCTCCCTCTTTGCTGATGCCGCGGGAGACTCTTCCGGCAGATCGTCTGGGTGTTTGTTGACAACCGTGTATCGATCATGAACTCCGTCATTTGGCAGTGGAAGCATGGGTTTGTGCTGGGTGCCCATGCGAGCTTTGATTTTCTCTTCGGCATCATTGAGCTGTACATGTAAGTAAAGGAGAATCAACGACTGCCAGGAGACATACTGCATCTTCGAAGACGGAGAGAATAGGAATATGGTGACGTCCACTGGAAGACGGCACGCGCTGGCTGTCTCTTAAGACGTTTGATGAGGCCTCGGATGACAGTGGTGTTGGCGGGAAGGTATCCTTGGTATACATGTTCCTCGGTGACGCCGTCTCTGCCTGACTCTGGTTGCTGGGGCTCTCCGACTTGACAGTTTTGTCCTCGAGCAATGAATCGACAAGAGCCTCTAGTCGTGAGACCCTTTCGCGAAGGTTCTTCCTGTGGTCGACGATTACATCTGGATTTGCGTTCTCCTGATCGACGCATCGACTGCCCCTGGCGAAACATTCCGAGCATACATCTGGATTGTCTGACTGGAAGATGCATCGGATCTTGCGGCGACGGCCTAGGATACATCAGAAATGAACTAGAGAAGAAGCCAAATCGGTAGATGGCAGATGGGACATGATAGAAGCAAATGCGATTGATAGTATGTATTAGGAATAATCGAAGAAGGTTCAGGTAAGACGAATGTCTGCAGGGTGCAAAGACCGGACGAACGTACATTCGAAGCAACTATGCGTGCCCTTTCGCATCTTCTTCCGCATCGGCAACGAGTCTTCCTTCGGCATTCTGGTGGTGGGTTTCCTCGCACAAGTTTGTGTTCCTGCGAAAAGTTCGTCCGGATGATCCGGTGCTTCCTGAATGCAATTCGCGCCCTATATGAACGCGAATCCAATCCAGAAATAAAGCTTATCTGCTCAGTTGAGATCGATGAAGTGCAGAAGGCCCAATTGTCAAAAAATGCAGAGAACGCGTTCTGCTTCGATGATTGTAGAATCAAAGGGAACCGAAGAGGATCGGACGAAAGTTCCTGCGCGTATTAGGTCAGCACTTTGACTTGTGGTTCCGCTTTGCCGCCACAAGGAGCGATGCTGACTGAGAGACGTGCGTGCCTGAGGGCAGCTAGCATATATCTTCAGCCTCTAGGCAACCATGACTGCGTTGCCAACCTGCCATGTGTTCGTCGGTGAGAATGTTGCTGCGACCCGGGCTGCTTCCGGCCTTGGATGCGAGCTCCCAGGCTTTGATCGACCAATGAGCATTTGCGTAGTGCGAGGTGAGGCTGTGCTTATTCCTTAGTCGGACGATTTCTGGAGATTGCGGATAAGGCGAACCCCCGCGGGTGCCCGATTCACCGATGTATAAAATGCCCAGCACCTCAACCCCGCGCCGCTCAAAGGATTTACCTTGGGGTTCAGAGTCTGGATCTGTGACGGCGTGCCTCAGAAGCGGGCGGTCCCTGGGATCTGCGCAGGGCTCAAGCTAGCAGCCCTACCGAGACAATGATAGAAACTCTGACGTCGTTCCTCGCGTTCCGATGAGTACCGCCCTCAAAACAACGAACAGATGCGACTGCTCGCGCGAAGCTCCACGCCGCGCGTCTACTAGGACAACGTGCTGGCCTACCTACATCATTGCTAATTGCACTGCTTCGCATTGACCTTCTGTTGTCCCTGGTCCTCCACCGTAGTGTACCACAGTTGTCTGCACACCTGACTGGCGGTACACCATGGCTTCCTCACACGAGCACCGCGAAAAGCAGTTCCTCCCTCCTAGCCCGCCTCCATCACCGCCAGCTGCGCGACGAAGGCATAAGAAGCATCACGATGACGAGTTTGCAAAGCTTGCAGCAACGCCATTACCTTCCCCGAGTCTGAGCGCAGGCTTTGATGATGAACAGAAACCAGAACCATTGCTGAAAAGGGTGAGCCAGAATTCGGAAACCATTCTATAGCTCTGCAGATGCTGATAATCGCTTGTTTAAGATTATCCTCACACCTGTCCTCTTCACCTCGTTCCTGCTCTCGCTGTTCCTCGTGAACGCCCAAAACCGCGCCCGCCGCACCGCAGCTCACGCTCCGCCGTCCTCATACCTGATCTACTTCTTCCCCTCCTCTTGGCTCAACCTTGAGCCCTACCAGGACCATAACGACTCGACGTGGGGCCGCCGTGGAGCGACTGGGCATGTTGAGCCCAATGACGCCATTGCGCCCAAAGATGGGCAGCTCGACGGAACAGGAGAGGCGAGAGCCGCAAGAGAAGGGAGGAAGAAGAAGAGCAAAGTGAGTTGGCATTTAAATAAAAAGATTAGGAAGATTGCGCGGTTGGAGGTCAGTGACGCGTTCGAGAACCAAGGCAGGATGATCGTCGTCATGGTTGCTTTGATGGTGTTCACGGTCATTGGATTCTGGGCAGGTATAAGGTGGATTTGGAGGTCTACGTTCGGGTAAGACTGAGCCACAAAGAGGCATGTGTCACATGTATTCAAGGAAGGGCATATCACAGGCATCGTATAACAAGGAATGAGGCACGCAGCGACGAAACAGGATAGACAAAACGGGAAGCATAGCAGGTAGAGACCATTTATGAGATACTACACCATTAGTGCTGTTTATGAAGCAACAAAGCACAACTTGTGATTATTTTGACTGTTGTACGCTGCGCGGACATCTATGAATGGACTTTCGACTTCAATGGGTGTCCAGATTCGTGATATAACATGCAAATGCTCGAACCCTGCTCAGATTGAACTCTCCACACAGAACGTGCATACAGTGTACGTGTCGGTGCCCGATCGACCCCCCCTTCGTCTATTGCTGAAAGGACTTGAGCAGCTCTTGCAGCTGCGCGTATGTGTCATCTGGGTTCTTGACCGAGTGACCAATCGTCCTCGCATCGCTGTAGATCTCGAAGTCGTTTCCGCCCTTGTATGTCTTGTCACCGAAGAAGTGGATGGTCTGGTAGTCTACACCGTCTTCTCTCTCCTTCTCCTGCGCGATGAAATTCAAGCAATATGTCTTGTCCCAGCCAGTGGGGAAGACGTCGAAGGAAATCTGGCCGCCGATGGAGTAGGTGAGACCGTAGTCGGGGAACTGCTCCTTTAGTTTGCGGACCATTGTTGGTCGAATGTCATTCTCGATGTCGTACTTCTGGTATTCGTTGCGCTCTTCGGTTGAGGCGTTACGACCGATGGGGGAGACGTTGATCATGCCATTGCGGAACTCAACGAATGTTCCACGCTTGATGGGAATATCGAGGTCGGCGATGTAGTGGAGGATCCTGGGAGACTAATATCAGCATTGCCGTAATCTGGAGTTGGCTCTGGTTTCGTGTAGCCAGTCTTGAACAAGAACGCGTACCACTTGACAAGCTTGTTGTACTTCTCCTGCCCGATCCAGCCAATAAAACTCTGGCTAGCCTGTTGCTCTCCCAATCGGTATGCTGTGAGACCGTTCTCGGCGAAGCAGAAGTCGAAGAGAGATGTGACGTTGACGTCGGCGGTTGCGAGCTGCTCTTGCTGTTTCGCGAGGTTCGAGCCACCGACAAAACCGATGGCGACCTTGTGACGGAGCTCGGAGAGCAGCTGAAGCATCTCTGGCTTTACGAGCTGAGTGAGCTGTCAGTATGGCGGTCACGGCGCGCAGCATGTTGCGCGAATGGAGACTGGGGTGCTCGAGAGTATGAAGAGTTGCTGAGCTACATGATTGTTCGTAATAGCGGATGAGCAACGAGTTGTGGTGCATGAACGTCCCAGAAAGCAGAGTTTCTTACCTGGCGAGGCTTTGTGAGTGTGTCATCGACGTCGAACAGAAGAACCGTGTTCTTCACCGGGCGCTGATGAAGCGGCGGGTAAACTGAAGCTGCGGCAGCCATCTTGAACTGTGTGTTGATGTTGGTTCGTGGAATCACCGTATGAACTAATGTATAACTGGCAGCTGTTCAATAGCAGAACTAAGGAACAAGCGGAATCAGCGAGAGTATGTAAGAGAGCTCTAATTGAACTTCGTGTCTTTTGGCGGGGCCTTACGCGTTCACCGCCTCGGGACGTGTGGGGTTGGTTCTAACCCACTTGCGATTAGTCAGGGTCCACCATAGGGCAGTTGCGATGCTCGAAAGCACCACGAATCTTGAACTTTCACTAGACGGTTGAGATGAACCGATACAAATTAGGTGTTAATGCTGACAAGGATCCCCCAGCGCAGGCCCTTCCATACTTCAAAAAGCTCACCACTTACCGAACCTTTTGAGGTTCAGCAACACGTTACTCAGCATTGTGACCAAAAAGCGTCCGATACGTTGAGGACCTCGATGATCAGCTCATAGGACACATCTTTAGTGGATAGCATCTGAACTGTATTCGGCCACTCAGACTCAGGTTCTCGAATGCAGTTCAGCATCAAATTCGCGAAATAAGACTTATGAAGGGTATGCCAAAAGATCCCAACGCTATCGTCCACTAATTACCTCTCACAGCCCATTCACCACCCTCATCTGCTCCTCACTCACTACCCCCTCTCCGACCTCCCTTCTTGGTTTCCCAAATAGACAATGCCACAAATCATCGTTCTTCACCGCCTCGCCTCCGCCCCCTTTACTAAGCAGTTGTTTCAGTGGCGCAGCCTCCATCTCTTTCGAGTTCGCTTTTTCTAGACCTCTCTCCTGCATATGCACAGGGCTCGTTTTGCCGGACACCGGGACACTCTCACTAGGATCAGAGCTACGCATGTGCTCCAGGCGGCGGGCAACGGAGATATCGTAAATAGCCTCCTCGACGGTATTGCTGATCAGATACATGAAAACTGTGGTTGAGCGCTGCTGACCGATGCGGTGTACGCGGGCGATGGCCTGTAGCTCGATGGCGGGATTGATGAGAGGTTCGCAAAGGAAGACGTACGTCGCGTTGACGAGATTAAGACCACTGGAGTCGCTTTTTGCGTCTAGAAAGAAGGCCTCGATAGCTGGGTCTTGCTTGAACTTCGCGATGCCATCCTTTTCGCGGATATTTGAGGTCCCAATTTTCCAGGCGCGGAATGCAGACTCGAGTACATCGAGGAAGTCGCGGTACTGGCTGAAAATAACGGATTTTGCGCCGGGGTCGTTGGCGCGCAGCCAAAGGAGGTGTCTCGCAAGCATGTCAATCTTGGAGCCGTATGATCCGGGAAGGTCGATCAATTTGATTTCTTTGAGGGTGCTGTCGCTGAGATCTGTGTAGATGGACATGTCGGTTGCCTTTGGTGTTGCAACCTGTGGAGAGCTTTCTGGGGCTGGTGAGCTGGGGTTTGTGGGGACCGCGCTGGGCTTTAGACTGATATCTTTAAAATCGGAGCTCTTCAGCTTTTGCTTGCAAAGCGGACAAGTTCGATGGGCGTGCCACCACTGGTTGATACACTCTTTGCAGTACTAAAGTGTCCATCAGTGACGTTTGCTGCAAAGTTCGATATGTATTGACTTACCTTGTGTCCACAGTTTGTGAGAACACCAATTTCGATGGTTTCTTGACAGATGATACAGTCCGCACCCGCACTCTTTTGATCCTCAGCCCGCAAGTTCATCAAATATGCGTGCTTTCCTTTCATAGCGTTTACACCTTCTGCACCCTTATTTCGACGGTACTCAAAGATCTGGAAAGCAGCTTGGTCGAACTTCTCATCAAGCTTCTCCTTATATGCTGCCACGGTGTCCGAGATATGCTGGAATTGTCGATAGTACTCCAGACGTTGGTTCATAGCACTGCGGAACAGCTCTTGTTCCTTCTCCATTTCCACTAAGACCTTACTTTGCTGCGACATGATGCTCTGAACGCTGCTCAAATGCCTCTGAAGCACAGCAACTTCAACTGCAGCACGGTCGTCGTTGTTCTCGGCCCTCCACTCTAAGGGAGTGATCTTTGATCGGAGCTCCGCTATCACACCTTTCAGTGAGCTTCCGTGAAGAGTTGACATTAACTCCCGTCGCTGCTTTGCAAACTCAAGTAGGAGCTCGGGAGCGTGGCCACGATCACCTTCATCGCCTTTATATCGAGCTCTCTTTTCAGCAGTCTTCAGTTCTTCGTCAATGAGATTGTCTCGTAAACCGTGGATTGCAAGATGGCGATCCGCAACAAGGGTACGAAGCGCCATGATAGCCACATACAGCTCGTCTTGTGCCTTCAAAGAATTCTCATATTCTTCTCCTGTGATTTCCATATCGTCATCGTCGTCCGTGAGGCGTAGTAGTAGTACATCAACAATCTTCGTCCGCCACTTCTGAATCTTTGTTGATTGCGAATTCAAGAAGTCGCTGATCTCATCAATCGTATCTAACGCACGACGGCTTTCGATGCCGCCGAGATCTGGAAGGTCGTCAATACTAGGCAACTGATGGAGCTTTCCGTTCTCGACTTTCTTCATCTGCCGTTGCGTGGTGTTCTTGATGTCTACAAGGAGCTCACGTCGGATGATCTTCGCCTGATTGTACCACTCTGTCTCTAGTCGTTCTTCGCGTAAGGCATGCTCGGTATCTGGCTGTTGTGTTTCGAGGTAGTTTTTGATCTGATGATGGGCCGTGGCAATGAAGAACCTGCACATATGTTCGAGTTCCAAGAATGATCGCAAGGATCTGCGGAGAGCGGAGATAGTTCCAAGGTTGTCTCGCTCGACTGCTTCGGCATCAGAGACTTCGTCCTGATCAAGTATGTTTGCTGACACGCCCAATTTCTGTTGCTCCAACCCTAATTCCTGTCGACACATAAGGACGTAGTCCTTAGCCTCCTCCAGAGCTTTGGTATAGAAGGGTAGTGCAGTCTCTGCGCGGTTATCAACGTTACCAGCATACGCCATGACGTGGCCCTGCTTGATACGGTTGACGATCATCTCGCGCGCCTCTGATTTCCATTTGGCACTGTTCTGATCAATCATGATCTCCAACACTTCGTGGACCGTCCGCAAGGGTCCATTCCTCGCGCCTAGGGCTCGCTTGTTCTTGCGTCCGACATGAGCATGCAAGCATGTTTGTCTCAGGCGGACCAGCCACTCGCGCATTCGCTCAATTGTTTCTGTGCTGGTGGCTTCACTGTTCGCATCGAAGGGCTCTCCTTCTGAATTCAGCCAGCACTCATCGCACATTTGGCGAACCAGGTCCGCGTAGTTCTGCTCCTCGATTGCAGTGAACGGAATTGTAATGACGGCACGTTTCTGTGGAGGAAGATGGAGATCGTCGCGCACTTTGTCCTTGGTGTGCCGTAAGGTAATCTGATTGAATATGGCGTAGAATGATGACTTGTCCAAGCGTCCCCACACCATCTTATTTTGGGCGAAGGTATCGCATCTCAGGAACGTCAGTAGACCGCGCAAGTCTTGTACGTCCTTTCGCAAAGGTGTACCAGAAATGGCCCATGCATTGCATCGAGGGATGAAGCGCGCAACTTTAGCTGCATTGCTGACACCACTCTCGACCATCTGGGCCTCATCCAAACAGACTCTCCACCACGATATCTCGACTAGCGGACTTTTTCGACGTTCATGGCGTTTTGCATGTCGGGAAGAACGATCAGGCGGGGGTGTAGCATAGTGGATTTCCTTCGATAGTATACCGTATGTCGTAAGGACTACGTCGTAGCGCAATAATTCTCCAACCGTCGCTTCGGCATGCTCTTTATTCGACGCACTCGATGCTGGCAGTCCTTTATAGTGAAGAACTTTGAGGTCGGGCGCATGCATATGTAGCTCACTTCGCCACTGCTCCAGGATACTGGGTGGAGTAATAATGAGTGTTGCGCCTGACACCTGAACATGCGCCGCGATGTTCATATCAAACACTTTTGCGTCTCGGATTCGGCGCTTGTGATGTGAGATCAATGCAATGAGCTCAACAGTCTTACCGAGACCCATTTCCTCTGCCAAAATACCACCTCTCAGTGATTGTAGCGCGTCACCTTTGGCAGTATTAAGGTCGGCCACAATCATACCCCGAAGACCACTGACATAGCATGTGGATCCATCAGCCGCATGGGTCAGACTGAACGACGCAGGTGTGACGTCCTCTACAAACGGCTCGAGTTGCCCAGTTGTCGAATATGCCACGCCTTCTCGTCGCAACAACCAGTCAACAGCTCTCTGCTGGAATGGGTATAAGATCGTGTCCACCAGCTTGTGTTGGATCTGGGGAGATATGTGCAGGTCTGCTGGCGGAACGTGTACTGAATTGTAGAAGTCCGAGAGTGCCCAAGGTATGTCGGACCGTGCAGTTACGTCCTGAAAATATCTCGACAGCAACCGCAGATCCTCCTTCATGATATGGGCGCTCACAGAGGGGTCTTCGACAACGGAAATGTCCAAGAGCCAGCGAATTTGCACATTTAACTTGTATGTGTGCGGCGACGTAGATGACGGTGCGAGGGAGCATCGAGAGAAGGCCGCACGAGGCTTTGTTCGAATCTTTCGGCCATGTTGTACACATGCTAACGATTCGGCAACCTTGATGTGAGGCTTGATGGACTGTAAAGAAGCAATGTCGATTATGGCGAGAATGTCAACGCTCAGGTTTGAGAGTGGTTCGACCAGTAGAATCCTAGCCTGACCATCTCCAAGGTCAGAGAGAGTCTCCAGGTGGAGAACGACAGGCTTTCCAATCTTCAATGCTGGTAGCGCAGGCTGTACAGAAGCCAGACTGGGAGCGAGGGTCTAAGAACTCGTTAGTCTGAGACCTGGTGATGCAGCACTCAAGGAATGACCCTACTAAGTTAATGGAGACTTCGGCAAGAGTCACGCTCCGGTCCACAGGAAAGTATGCAGGGTGGTCTTCATTTTTGACTCTTGCGTCGATCCTGCGTCTTTTCTGCGGTCGTTCGTTGCACTCGTTCTGTGGACTGTCTTCTGTGGTTAAAAGAGCATGCAGGGTTTCGAGGCTCTGGACGTTGTCCTGGGAGTTTGGGGTAGTGGGGTCTGCTGCGCCTCTTGAACTGACTCCAGAGTGGTCGCTGATAACCTGCGATACCAGTGCCACAACCTCTGCCTCGACGTTAAAGCAAGCCATGCTCAGCGACTGAGGCAAAGGAAGTGGACTCGGAGAGCAACGATGCTTGACACGGACGCCGTAGATGGACGCTAGGCTTATCGATAGAGGATGTTGCAGGGATGTCAAGCGCAGGCAGCCGTCTCACCAATGGCGTCAGCAAAGTGGCTTCGCGAGAGATCGTCCAGGATGTCGTTGACCTGTGCAGAAGTACATGTCTGCTGAACTGTTATGCGGGAATGGTGCCTTGATGAGAACAATGTTGGAATGTTCCTCACCAATTTCAGTGGCAAAGCTTTGCGCCTGCCTCGGTTCGCAATGCACAGCGCAAGTGTAGTTTGACAGCACAGTGAGGTCAGAGGCAATGTTCTGAAAAACTGTCGATTGAGCTTTTGTTCGCTGTATAGGGTATCAAACGCCAAATTCCAAGCCTTATTCGCTGCCGTAGAAGACGACTACTCTGTAGCAAGCACCTTCTTGATGGGCTCAGCAGCCTCAATGAACTTTTCCACCATGGTGTCGAGCTTTGTGAGATCGTCTTTACCCTTCTTGACTTCCGCTATAAGCTTTTGCTTCTGTTTGAGCTTTTCCTGTCTCCTCTCTTCCAACTTCAGGCGGACTTGGTGTTCGTGCTCGATGCGCACCGTTGTGAGATCGTGCTCAGAGAGCTCTCTGTGCTCAGGGAATCCTTCGAGATACTGTTCGGCGCTTATGAGAGGGAGCTTCATGTACTTGTGGCTGTGCCTTGTTAGCTCTATTGCACTCTCTCGTGTGCAGGGTCCTACAAACTCATAATTCTCTGCAGCTGAGATCTCAGATCGTAATGATTGCTCCTCATATTTGAGATTGTGCAGTCCCAAAATCAACGCATCGTTCACCGCCTTGACATCTGCGGTGTTTGCTTTCTCCTCGCGAACACGCAGCACGCTTTGTCGGTATAAAGTTTTGATGACTGAGAGTTGCGCCCTAATGTACTTTTCCCTCTTGCCGATTTCCGCCTGTACCTGCCTCTCACTTTCGGCGGATGCCTGCTCGTTCAAAGGGTGTGCGGTCTGGTAGTCTACCAGCTCATTGATGAGTTTCTTGAGGTTCTGCACTTCCCCATAGAGGCGCGCGTTGTGTGGAGTCCTCAGTGCGTTCGCAATATCGAAGCTCGGCAGATCAGCGGCTATTGTGTCGCTCGAGATCATTTGCTCGTCCATAGTGGTGGGGTAGTTGTGGTAATGACACAGCTGCTTTGATGGACCTCGACGTTCTGCGTGAGAGATTGGTCTTGGCATTGCCAAAACACGCTAGCACGTGGTTCCTCCAGAGCGAGCCATCTTCGAGCGTGCCATCTCTCAAGACTCATGCATGAGTAGTCTCCTCGTTCTGTAGAACAAAGACACGACCTGCGCCAGTATACAGCTGGTTAGCCCGCCACCTGCTTTGCTGCCTCTACTGAGCTTAAATTCGCGATTCGGAGATAGCCGCTGCACAATAAGACATGAACTCGGTTTCTCGCAGTCACAGTCTCACACGGATGTCCCTTTGGCAGGTTGATAAGCTCTCTCGGAAGTACGCGCAGCGGGGTTGTATTACTTGTGTGTTGTGGGCAGCCCCCCAGGGGTGCATCAAAAGGCGCGCCGGCCTGGGCTTCCTGGGATAGATCTGTTCGATCTGCCGTGCCGCATCTCAAGCGCTCGGTCACGCTGTCCCCAGCCTTACTGAAACGCACTTGCAGCAGCTTCAATATTCTTTCGCAAAATTTCATTGTACAACATTTGAGCCTTGGCAAATGACGAACAAAAGAGACTGCAGCGGGGGAAAGTTGGAAAGGTCTATATTGCCGGGTTCCACACGCTATGGCGCGGCAGATTTGCATCTCCTTAGCCGCCTTGGTACCAATAGCGTGGATACGGAGGTGGATTGAAATGACGCTCAGCCACCAGTATGTAACAACACGGACCCGGCACAGGAGATCGTTGCGAACCGAACACCATCGCACAACAAACGATCTTTGCAGATGCAGATGCAGGCTCATGCACTGTTCTGCAACCCTCTTATTTGCTCTCGCATTCGATTCGTCAACTATCATGACAGCGTAGTCTCGCACACCCAGCAGCAAATCTGCTGCGTCGTAGGAGCTGCAGCACGGCAATCCCTTGTGTTGGGCACCCTTCACGTTTAATAATGGTTGACCTCTGCCGTGTTGTTGGCGAACTGCTTTCGATAGACAAGCGCGGGACAGCTTGGCTTGACGGCTGACACAAGCGACTAGAATGTTTGCATCTGTCACGCTAATGGGCTGCAATCCCGAGCCCCTAAAGCCAACAGCCAAACCTTGCAGCGCCAGTCAGAAACGGAAAAATTACAGCGCAGCCACCCAATGGAAAAATTCTCCCACGGCGGCCATATGGAAATCAGGCTATGTTCAGGTCAATGTTGGGTCGAGCAGGTCTTCCGGACAAACACGATCGCTGACGGCGATGCCTCCGAGGGCAGATTCGCCTCGCCTGGCCCAAGTGTTCCTCTTCACCGAACCTACAGAGTAAGAGGCACAGCAATGCCTAGATACAAACAGGTCTCCGCGGGAACGGATCTCGAGCCTGCGGTTCAAAACTTGCGAAAGGGGGCTCAAGCTCGCTCTATCCAGGTGTGGCGTTCCCCGAGAACCTCGAACCCAACATTGGGCGGCAAGTTTGAGAATACGGAAATCTATTGCGTTATGACAGATCAACACGAGATGAAGGTTCTAGGCGACGTTGTTTGACGCGGCGCTCTATAACGGCAGGATCCACTGAGGTATGCAAATCACCAACTAGCCCAAACACACAACCGCTCATGGGAGATTGGGGATCTCGAAATGTGGCGGTTAGACGTGGTATGGTTTGTTTTGTATGGTTCAGCGTTTTTAAAACATGGCCGCCTTGCCAACGAACAGGTGGCTCGGTTTCCGTATCCGTCAATACGCGGGCAAGTCTATGGACAGTTGCGTTGCAAGGTCAATGAATGTAGATGTGCCCGCGGTTAACTGTTGACAAAACGGGCAGTACCGCATCTTTTAAGGGTACCTGGAAAACTTATACTACGAGACTCAATAATTCTGGCGCCCGTGATGTTGATTTACGATCGGGTTCGGGGGGTCACACGAGATGCAAAGCCAGCTAAAAGTCACAACAGCAATCCTGGAGGATGCACAGGCTGCGTATGAGATACGCTAAGTTTGGTGGCGGCACGGGAGGCATCCTTGTCGGTTTGTGAAGTGGACCTGAAGTCATATCTGCGATTACTCTTGAGAGAGTTTCACACCCTGTTGCAGTAATCAGCAGATGAAGCAACGCAAAGTCCGCACATGGAACCCGTTCAGAATCAACTCTAAGTGTGCGTACATGCCCACGTGGCAGTGCGGCTGTCAGCTCGTGACCTCTTCCTGGGATCTTCCTGGAATGAGGCGGATCTACGCCATCTGGCTGGCTGCACAAGCGAGTGGGTCTAGCGCTGGCTCCGGGGCAGGCGATGATCTGAACTCTATTCCGAAGCCGTCGGCTGTCTTCGAGTCTATACCAAAGTTTCACCATGTAAAAACAGATGATTCGCGGACTGACGTTACGAAGCTTGGAAGCGCTTGTGAAGGGGTTGTACTCGCGTGGCCTAGAGCGGGCGGACGGCGAGCTTAACCATGGAACAAAGACTGGGGCAAAGCTCGTAGTCAGGAACAAAAAGTGAGAGACGTCCCGTCTCCTGCGACCGAATCGCTCCGTTCTTTCCACATTGTTCTTTTCTTTTTGCTGTTGCCATGGCTCCACCTAAGAAAGAGACATCCATCCAGCTATGCCAGCGAGTCACTACTCAAGGCAACACCCTCTCCATTCGCATGCTCGAGTACCTCGGCACATCCAAGAATGCCATCCCAGGATTTGAAGCTCTCGCCACAGATTTCATTGAGCTTTGTCGCTTACTATGGTCCATTGAAGCTGGACTTACTGAGTCTGTCAAGAACCCCCGCCATGCCATTCCTGTAGAGGTCACCCAGGAACTAGACAGGCGATTTCGTCAGATCAGCGACGAGTTCACTATCCTACAACAAATGGTAGTCAAGTTTGTCGACAACGATGCTGGAAAGGGTGGCGGTTTGGGACGACGATTTCGCATGATGTTTGCAGACACTGATGTCGGCAAAATGCGCACAACTTTATCGAGGAGCCGGGATTTGCTGAAGGTCAGCTCCGCTATGTTTCGCTGGACTATGGGCGACGCCAAAGCAGATGCTACCATGGGCATTGGCTATGCTGGTTTGATCGCTGCACTTGAGCGCATCAATCCCGGCAGGGCGCCTTCTCTACCACCAATCGGCCCTCCGCCAGAAACGCGTCTCCCCAGCCCTCCTGCGAAGGATGTCTCGCCTCCCGCTGAGTCACTTCTGCCTCCAAGTCGTCTCACAGACAGACCATCGTTGAGCGACCTGCGACCCGGCCCTACAAATTCGCATTCTTTCAGTCCCAATGTACGACAGTACACAAGCGAAAGGGCATTGCGCCATGATGAGGACCTTGGTCTTTCCCCTGGAATTGTCGACTTGCACAAGAATTGGAGAGCACCGAGCGTCCGCTCGAGCGACACAGCTGGTTCTGTCCGCGACACAATGTACACCAGTGGCACAAACCCTGCCCGGTACCACTCGGAACCTGTTTACGAGGACCTATTATCTGAGGACTCACATCGGTCCAGGATGCTGATGGAGGAAAAGATGGCTGAGCTTAGCGTGCACGAACGTTACATGGCTGAGAGCATGCACTCTTCCACAAAGTACGACCATTCGAGACTTGACTCGCCAATGGCGCCATCTTGGGCGCCGCGACACCAAGCAGCCTCCAAGGCTCAAGGTGGCCGGTCTGCCATCGTGAATGCCGTAGAGCAGAGGAAGCACCGGGTCCTTGAGCAGCTGCTGGATGGCGGCGCAAGGGCAGAGCCTCAGATTGAGGCCGGCATGCTTCGCACAGCGGCCCAAAATCGCGACATCGAGAGTCTGGCGCTCCTTCTTCAGTATGAAATGGATGCCAATGGTCTCGACAGGGAAGGTGTCACACCACTCTTCGCTGCTACACAGGCGTCGTGCTTCGAGAGTGCAAAGATGCTCCTGAAGCATGGTGCTGATGTTAACCTTTCCGCTGGCCCAAACTCGGAATCTCCTTTGTCGCTGGCTGCAAGCGAGAATCAGATCGACTTTGTACAACTCTACCTGAGCAACGGAGGAGACGTCAACCTGATAATCGATAATGGGTCTACGACGTTGGTTCAGGCTATGAACAAGATCGTCTCTCCTAAGCTTGTCGATCTTCTCCTCAATTCAGGCGGCGACGCTAATGCGAAGACTGGCGAGGGAACAACAGCTCTGTTCCAGGCCATCCAGGCGAACCGTGTCGATCTCATGACTGTGCTCCTCGACCATGGTGCTAACCCTAATCTGCCCGGTCCCAAGCACCCGCTTTGGCCCTCAACCTACAAGCCAAAGTGTTTGGCGCTCCTCCTTGCTCGCGGAGCTGATACAAAAAAGACCCCTGGTGTCATGGAACTCGCGTCAAGTTTGAAGAAGCTTGAATCTATCAAGATCCTCATTGAGGCTGGTGTATCACCAAACTTAAGGAAAGATGGCGTTTACACACCGCTTTGCTCGGCTATTCGTGACGACAGCCGCGATATTGTTGCCTATCTCCTGGAGAATGGTGCGGATCCTAACTTCAATGCTTCAGAGTACCCTGCGTTCAAATGCATCACACACGCGCGCATTCATTTCCTGCCTCAGCTGGTCGCTGCTGGTGTCGACCTCAACTCACCAAAGGGCATTATGGAGACAGCCGTTCAGTTCAACGACAAAGACGCGATGCTATTCCTCTTCGACCATAATGTCAACCCCAACGACCGCACAGCTGAGGGCAATACAGCTCTCACAACTGCCATTAGAGAAGGCCGAGGTGAACTGGTGGACCTGCTTCTCTCCCGTGGTGCTGATCCCGCTGTTCGTGGGCAAGAATGGCCTCTCTGCATGGCGGTCAAGCAACCCGCCATCCTCAAGAGGCTTCTTGCCGCCACACCAAACCCTCGCGCCTTCCGTGGTGTGGTCGAAATGGCCGTCGTCGCCAATCAACTCGAATCTATCAAGCTTCTCCTCGATGCCGGTGTTAGTGTCGAAGATAAGAACTGCGGTGTCTTCTCGCCCCTGACCACCGCCATTCGCGAAGATCGCAAGGACATTGTCCGCTACCTGCTCGATGTCGCCAATGCCGACATTAATGCCCCCGGAGAGCACCTTCCTATCGTCAAGGCCCTGCGCAGGTACCATGGCGACGCTGAGATTCTTACTATGCTGCTCTCCCGTGGCGCAGACATCAACACTATGCACCGCGGCTGGAACGGCATCCTTCAGGCCTTCGAGAACGGTGATGCTCAAATTCTCAAGATGATGATTGATATGGGCGGTCCCGTCGATTTGCAGGCTATCGACGAGTCTGGCAAGCCGGTCGTTGATATTGTGACCGAGAGGGGTTGGGAAGAAGGTCTTGCGCTCTTGTTTCCAAACGCTACACCGGCAGCAACGGCTAGGCAGTAGGTAATTTGGTCTCACACCCTGTCTCCATGACGCATTGACTAACACTTCGCAGAGAGCATCGCAGAAGTTTTTCTATCTCGGACTGGAAGTGGATGAGCGCGTCATTGGAGCGCGGGGAGCGATACAGCTCGGGCGACGACACAAAGACGATGTCTAGCGGCTGCATACCTGGCTCGTGATCTTGGTTCGGAGAGTTGAGGTGATTTAATATGTACATGCATGTTGTAGAAAGGCGTTTCTGGCATACCACTTGGCTTTCAGGGTTTCTTTGTTCTTATTACATTAGACTTGATACGATGGAGACATTTTGTAGCGATAATTCCCCTTGTTTTTAGTGCAGTTGTTACATACATTGTACATATTATTTTGGACGTCTGATAGTTTCGTCGAATTGTTGCTTGTGTTGTCTGACTGCACCAGTGCTTCATGGCCTTATGTTCAACTGTTGAAGACGATCAAGTGTGCTGCCAGACCCCAGTCGCCGTACAGTGAAATAAGTTTCACACTAAGGAACAAGAGAGGAGTTAATGCATAAGGATATTCTTGTTCCCCCCCCCCCTCCCGAGTGATTGACTTGGCATCAGTGCTTCTGAATTGAAGTGAGCGGTGATCACAACGCATGTGGGTCTTGTCACATAGTCCTGTGCCGAAGATGTTTGTTGATGTCGGACCCTCATAGTTGAATTGTAGAAGACTAATGATATCTAACATACACTTTCGGGTCACTTTGACTTCTGAGATGATGAGGGTACGCCCATAACCCATGTCGCACACAAAGGAGATGCTCCAAACCTCCACTCAAATTGCGTTGCTTGATGGCGATAGCGCGAATGGTACGGATAGAAAACTTCGACGAAAACCAAACACAGTCTGGTCGGTCATGAGCCTAGCGTCGTGTATCATCCGTCTGAGGGAACCTGGGATCCTTCTTCTGGGTATGTATATGTGGAGTTGTATATGGTTCGGTCGGTCTACGCAACCTGATGAGCGTGGGACTTCGTGTGTCTGACGTAGGGTGTGCATAGTCTTCGTTGAAACCGCAGCAGGACTAGGAGAGAGTGCGGTTCGTAGAGATCAGGGGGCGCTCTAGTGCATTCCGCGCTGAGCAGGTCCACTGCATGGTTTATGGGCAGGCTATCGAGCCGTAGTGTAGCCACGAGAGTATGCGTATGGTGCTTGAGATGTTGAAGTACCTTGAGAAGCATTGATCGCCTTCCAAGCAGCTTCAGCGGCCTCCTCACGCGACTGCTCAAGGTATCGATAGTCTCGCCACAGGTGGGCTCGATACTCGCGACCGTTGACGAGGACACTGCTGGACCAAGCTGTCCTTACACCTGCTCGTATGTCAGCGTGCTTAGACACTACAAGAAGTTTGCCAGAGTGGACGAACCTCGAGGGTCAGAGTAGTCCTGGAACTGAGGTTGTGCAATCTGGTTTGTGGCGCAATAATCTAGATTGGTTAGCTCCACTACAACAACGATATTGACAAGCATACGCTGAAGCTTCTGGACATAGCTCTCTGAGCCGTTGGATGCCATGTTTGGGTATGACTGGACGGTCAAAGTTTGGTAGCAGATTGCTAATAAGTGGCGCTGAGCGGGGGTTGTTCTTGTAAGTGGGGATCTGTGAGGATCAAATTGCGCGCCGTCTCTGCAGAAAACCACTTGCTATTAGGGACTTCAGCTCCATGTTTATAGTTCATGACAACTGTCAGAGCCTCATTTTCTCAATCCTTCGACAGCTCTGTTGCCACACGGTCGCATCGAGGTCACCGTTCTTACCTGCTGAGGCACATATCATTCTCGAAGCATGCCATCAGCTTGATGCTATGCTGCGCTGGCAACCGCATTCGTTGGTGATTGGGCCGCAGATAAGTCCGTGGGTAAGGAGCTGCGGGGGTATTGGGAAGCAAAAGGCGGCAAATTCCCAAAGCACATCGTCAGAACCAGGTAACGCCATATATGACATGCTGCTTCGACCATCAGGGGCCGAGAATTCGGGCAGGAGAGACCAATCAGCTAATGCGGAAGAAATGGTGAAAGCTGCTGCATTACTGTTAGGAGCTTGGGCTAATGTATGTGCTGGCACTTGAAGGACGACCGAAAGACTTGCAAGGCTACCTCCTCAAGGCCGACGGGTGCCAGATGTGTTGCGCAGATTGGCCCAGCATTCTCTCGGGTGAGTGTCCGCTTATGGTAAAGGCAGAAGCGTGCCGTGCCGTTTCCGTTCCAGTGTTTATCTGTGGGCGCGCGTCATCTTGAACGTTCTTCCTTCGCGTGTCGATGCTGGGAATTCGCCTGCAGTGGCATGCCGCTTATCGAACGAGCGCGTGCGGATTTTGCCAAAAGTAACCAATCGTGGGCCCACAAAAGTCGGCTACATACATGGCCCCACACGGCTCAGAAGCAGTTCGTGTCCCTCGGAAGAGCATTTCGATGTCGGATGTGTTCCTGGCATGAACGGTTCAGCCCTGAGGATCTCCCAGTGGGTGCGTGATGCAGCCCATATCACTATCACAGTTCCATAAACGTGCCTGTTCCTGAATGCACGTGCAAAGACCATGAGTTCAGTTACCCTCCAAGACGTTGATGTGGTCGAAGCTCAACAGTTGCTGAGGCGCAACGCTCGGTTGTTGTCGGCTCCTCGCGATCCCGCGCGTATGGATCATGGAGTCATTCATCATCACACAAGGCCAGATGTGGGGGCACCACCCTCCATTACCTCTGCTCTGAGCTGGCAACCGTTGTGTTGTTCATCGAACGTCCGGGGGCGTGGAGTGTGGCGGCGCGCGGAAGGTGTGACTGACGTGTTCCACGAGGTGCAGGTTCCCGCTATTCCCAAAAGAAACCCCAAGCTCATGCAATGGCTTTTGCAAAGCAAGAGAAATGTGGTGAAGTGGATCAGAGTGAGGCGAAGCACGCGTAATACAGCGTTACAAACCCACAGGTTCGCACGCGAACCACAAAGGATCAAAGCAGTTTTGACAACAATTTATGCAGTAGTGGGTTTGTCGATTGCTTGGCTACAGGGTGGGATGTCGAAGGACAGAGATTTACGAGAAGTGTGGCAGTCTGTGTCGCCTACGCCGCACCGTATGATGAGGGCTTTCGTGTTGCAGACAAAATCGGATAAAAGTCCTAGGGTTCACAAATGTGGGAGAGCTTCAGGGCTGACCTGTCGACGCTGTACTAAATGACAGGACTTTCAGAGGCTACAATAAGGTTTGCATCGTAGCCAGCCTTTTCTGCAACGTAAGAGGAGGGCCGCGAGCAGTTCTGCCTAATACCGCAGCTTTGCTGAAAAACGCCTTCCAAGAGTTGAACCAGCCGTGCCAGCCACAGCTGTTGTACCTCCAGAGATGACAGCAGGTCCGGGCGAGACATATTGGGTGAGCTTCTGATAGATGTTGATTAAAATACCAGGGTCCGATGCCTTGTACGCGCCCGGGAAGCTGACACCTGTCGGGTTGGTCGTGCCACTTCCAGCGACTGTGAGTTGGTAGCAAGTGAGGTAAAACTGGAGTCATCGAGTCAGTTTTGAGATCAAATTGGAGAGTGCAGGCATGTGGGATTTTACTTGTGCACCGCTGCTGCCGCCTGCGGTGTGTAGCGCGATTACCTCCGCTCTCAGCAGGTAATCACCTGGAGCAAGACCAGTGGGGATCTTGACATCCAACTTGCCGCAGTGCTTGTTGAGGTCCTTCGTACCCCAGTAATCATCTGAACCACTTCCACCAGCAATGTTCTCGGCCCATGTGTCTTCGTAGATCTTGAAGAAGGGGGTCGAGCCATCAGCAGTGGACGAGTCGGAGACTTTGCTCATATACACCTGGAATGTTATGATGTGAAATAAGTGTCAACAATTGAGCAACTTACTAGAACAGGACCATAGTGAGCTCCGCCAATAGCCTCATTCGAGCATGATCGGTCATTCGGCTGCTGGTGCATCTCGATAGTACTGAAGAATCATCAGAGCTTGCTCTGTTCCACATTCATGAAAGACTCACACAGTATCGCCGGGAACGACGCTGCACTTGGAAGCAGCGAAGCCTTGATTGACATTGCCTGACCAGGTCGTCAACAACAGTTCTTGTTTAGTCTTGACCTCGGGGCTCACATCTGATATTGGTGCTTGTCACATCTGTGACCGGGCTGTTGCTGGTCGGGAGTCGAGCACAGGTCCCTTGGTGCTATGATGTCAGCTCAAGCTCGCACATCAAGACCATGGAGATGACTCATCTGGTCCACGCCGTTGACCCAGAGGTCTTGAAAGGTTGCATGGCCAGCCACATTAGCTGCGAAAGCAGTGATAGTAGCCAAGATGAGTGTCGCCTTCATGTTGATTCGAAAAGGTAGACGTAGAGAGATGGCCATAGACTCAGATATCTGTAGTCGTTCGAGCCACTGCTTCAAGCATTCATTCCTTGTCTTATATGCTCCAACTACCATGTAATTTATATCTTCCGTGACTTCGGTTGTTGCGTGTGGGGCCACAATAATCTAACAGGGTTATGCTACCGATCCCGTTCATTCATGTGACCTCTAGATAGATTGAGTCTAGGAGTTAGAAAGGCTCCGAGCCGGCAACTTAGCCCGAAGAGACGTCTCACATGTAGTGTGGAGATTGAACGCGCTCGTCACAAAACCTACGATTGGTGGTAAAGGCATTTCGGCGGGACGCATACCCAGATATCGGGCGTCAACGACATGACTGCCGACTGAACTGTAAAGCCTTTGAGACGACCAAGTAGCAACTTTACAGCCAGGAGACTACTTCAGCTCATGTGTGAAGCTCCCGTAGTTGACGCTAGAGCACGCTGCAACAATGTGACCTTAGCCAACGCAACAATGCCCCGGACGAAGTACTCTTCGATGATTGTGTAGACCCTTCAAGATTCAATCAAGTGATACCTCTGCTGTCGGGGCCTGTGCCGCTGACGACTGTCGAATATGTGTAGTCATCAAAAGTAATATGTTTTAGATGAGCTTGCATCACCGGCACACATCAGCCGGCAAGGTTGTTCCTCGGCATTTAGCTTCGGCACAAAGCTTGTTTGTGATAGAGTAGGAGGTATGGGATCGTTTGGAATCGTCGTGCATCGTGCTATGCATCCGAGATCCAGTGGTCGAAGTCAGATGGTCGAGTTGATATGACCGCTCAAATTGATTGGCGGAAGCGCGAATGAGATTCTGACTCTTCTGGTGATTCGGACGTCTGGTGTCAGGCCATATAAGAAGACAGTACGCGCCGAGCGCTAAGTCTATGAGTAGCCTGTTGGAACTTGGTGGCGAGCGTGCGTGCCAAGCTGTTGGAGTGACGGAGAAGTTGCCCAAGGTCGAAGAAGTATTTAATTGCGAAAGCTTTCACGCACCCACTTCGACTGTATGAATAGTACGAAGTATTCAGCCTCGCATCAAACCCTACAATCTCAGTGTTAGATCTGTAATCATAATCAACATGGTAGGTCTGTCGACTTCTCTGATGGCTTTCGACTATCCCCCTTTTCTCCTTCAAGCAGCCTCCCCATCGCATCCAAATCGCATCCACCCTTTTCTTCGTTACGTTCCATCCTTCGACATCATCCTCCTCTCAAACCCCGCTTCTTCAGTTTCTCTCAGCAGACATTGAGATAACTTGCGAACTTGCTTTCGGGCCACTTGCTAAGAGCGAAGTGATACATTGATTGAGCGGCATCTCCGGAGGTGAGCGTGCAACAGGCCCAGTCCTGCGCAATGTCGGGCTTGCGGACGATTGCGACGCGCTGTCGGTGTATCTATCCGACGTGCATCGCGGCTGAAACGACAAAAGCAGTTGTTGTTGAGGTTGCTTTCAGCTGGGATTCGAAATGATCTGACGTCATCGAGTGACGGCCAGTCTGCTATCCCTTTCTGTAAGGATCGCGAGGAGAATATAAATCCAACGGCACAGTCCCCGACACCAACGCCGTCGCAATGTGCCAAGTCGAAATGAACAGTTGATGCACAAGTCGCACGAATAGGAGTGACACGGCGTAGGAACGTGGCTTACCAAGACGGCGATGAAGGACCCGGACGAATCAGGAGGTAACCCCGCGCTGAACCGTTCATCCAACCCCTGTAATAGCCCGAGGTCCTTATCGTCACCGAGATGCACTCCGTCTGGGCAGTCTGTGCTTCTGGCAGGCAAGGTGTAGTACATAGCTTCGGCAGCAGCAGCCAGGCGTCATGTTGGACTTGTCGGGTCTTTCTCAATTGCTTGACTTCGTGTAACATCCGCCAGCCTTGTGCCACTGCAACGGAATTTGTTAATAAATTGCGAGCCGCCAATAACTATGATCAATTTGCGACAATGTCTGGTTGCGCTCGCGAGCGCAAGTACCGTGCTAGCTGCATCGTCCTACGCAACGCTCGAAGTCCGGAATGCTGGAGTACCTGCTGGACAGTCGAAGAATGTCAGCGGAAGTACGTGTAAATACCACGAACAGGAGAAATTCGCTAATCCCCACAGTTGAAATATACCACTCGTACCCGCCCAACAGCAACACCTCAGAGAAGGCGATCATCCACTTGACTGACATCTATGGTCTCCCATTGCTACAGAACAAGCTGTAAGTCGAACCTGGATATAATTTGGGCAAGCACTAACTTCATTCAGGCTTGCAGACTCGTTAGCCAGCAATGGCTATCTGGTTTTGGTCCCAGATCTCTTCGCTGGTGATGCAGTCGGTGTGGAAGAGCATGAAGCTGGTCTCAACTTGACTGAGTGGCGCGCGCTGCACCCCCAGTCCGACATCGAAGCCGTGATCACCAGTACAATCCAGTATGCGCGGAATGAGCTCGGCATTGAGAAGCTCGGAGGCGTTGGGTACTGTTTTGGTGGAAAGTACGTGGGGAGGTGGTTGAAGGGAGACGATAGTGGCTTTGATGTAGGCTTCGTTGCGCATCCCTCGAACCTCCTGGAGACTGAAATTGAGGCGATTGCTGGGCCTCTGAGTATTGCTGCAGGCAGTAAGTTATTCCATCAACATGCCTGATCACTGCGTGAATAAGAGCTGACAAGCACAGCACTCGATGCAAGCTTCAATGCCACGGCAAAATCGAAGGCGGAGAGCATCTTGAACTCGAACAACATCACCTTCCAGACCAACCTGTACTCGCAAGCCCCGCATGGATTCGCGGTGCGACCAAACATGACGATTCCGCAAGAGGTCTATGCTAAGCAAGCGAGTTTCGTGCAGGCCGTGACTTGGTTCGATGCGTGGCTGTAAGGGCGTTCGCGGAAGTGCTAGATGGTGAGAGATGATAAAAAATACGCCACCAACATAGCTAATAATGGTAGAGGAAAGGCGCGATCTGGGGCGACGCGTTCATGTACCGGAATGTAGCGCTATTTCACGCTATCCGAAAAGGAAGTCACCGCGCGCGACACCCTCACGTAGCCAGCAAAGTGTTCGCTGCCGGCTGAAAATGCAACAATAAAGATGCGTCACCAGCTACTTAGAACTTGTGACTTCATATCCTCGAGTTGATCAGATTGTCTATCCACAAAGTCAACATTCACTTTCGCTTAGCGAGCCAATGAAAAACCCGGTGGCTCTGCGAATCTTTTGCACTTCAAGAACGCTCATCGCTGGAGTTGAACGATCTCGCAAACATCACACTATCTCTACATCTCTTTCATCGTAGGCGACACACAGCAAGCCATGGCTGATCATCAAATGACCACAGGCTCTGACGCAGATTCTTTCGATCTGGCGCCAGACTCCCCGTTGAATAGAGAGAAGACACGCGCAGCGCATGCAAGTTGGATCCTCGAGTTGGAACAGAGGCCTGAGTTCAGACTCATAGCGGCATATCTACAGCAATGTGACGCTACGCTTGAGAAGGTTGCCGACCAGCTGGTCGACCTCACCCACAAATCTGCTATGGAGGAGACAATAGGCAATCATTGCTGGATCACTGCTTGCTGTTTTTTGGAGCTTGCAGCCCGGAATGCCCCGGCGCAACAAGCAAAGCTTATCGACCTTATTGTCACTCTTCGCCACGTCATTCTCACCGACTCTAGCACAAATGCGCCGTTGGCATTTGAGGACGGTGAGGGTGTCATCTGGCTAGATCTTCCTACTTTTGGATACACTATCGCAGATGAGATGGGATCGTTCGGTACGAAGGCCCAGCGTATCGACGTGTGGTAATGCTGACCTGGTCCAGATGGTCAAGAACAAGAATACACGCCAGAAGAAGTCCAGAAGTGGGAGAACTTGACAGCTTTCCTCGCCCAGGTCGACGCAGTTACATTGGATTCACCATCGCCGCTAGACTTCTCGCAGTCATGGGCGTTAACATCCTTTGCCTGGGCTTTCGAAGGCGGTGGAAACGCGGACAGACCTTCTGAGCTTGCTGTCCGCCTGGCGTGCATCTGGCTCGTCCATGATATAGAGAAGCTGTGGCGTAAGACATCGGACGCCCAGGCAGAGCAGAACACACTAGAACGCTGGAATCACTGGAGACAGGGTCTGATGGATAGTCAGACTCGTTTCAGCAACGGAACAACGTCAGCGCTGATTGCACATGCGCTGGTTCTGATGCAGCGCATTGAAAGTCTTTGTAGGGGCCAGCGATGACCCGATAGCGAGACTCTACGTGCTACCAGAGCTCACAGCAGCCAATGTCACTGAGATTAATCCAGCTAATAGTCAAGTCAGAGGTGACAACGCTACTGTTACGCCCGTATCATCTAGGCTGAGTTCACGTGTCTGCAAGTTCATCGTCCGCCAGTGGCATGGCCTCTGCGTGGCTCTGAAGCACAATGGACCACGCTATATAGGCAAGTACAGCCAGGAACTAGAGAAGCTTACTTGGATACAGACATGCAGTGAATCTGCGCATACAGGCATTGTCGCGCAAAACCCAGCTTTTAGGATAACTCGATGCCCAAACAGTGAAAGGAAACTGCGACCAGCCGCAGTTGCCTGTCATACGCAATGAAAGTCTGCAATAATATTCTTACACCGTTGAGCCGCACTTGGTCTCCCAGACTACATGACCCGATTTACTCGTTCCGACATCTGAGGAAAACATTGCACCCTCACTGCCTCTTGCTCTTGCGCCACTATGGTATGCCTCAAACTCAAAGACCTCATCAACAAGGTCGGACCGAAACACATCAACGAGGCCGCACAATACACCTGCTCATCGGGGACATACTACTCCTCCCTTCGACAAAATTATTGTCAAAATCACGCTCTCAGCCGCCAAGAAGACTACGACCCCAAGCTCCCCGCCGAACCCCCAACATCACCAGACCTCATCTCAGAATACCGCTACCCGCATCTGCGCGCCCTACGCACCGACGTAGAGATAGGAGACGGGCTCTGGCTCTGCTGCCACTGCCACTGCCACCAACATCCTCATCCACCACACTGGCACCTTCCCCTTCAAACACCTGACGTACGCCCACTGTTCCTCGCTCCTTTATCCCTCCTGCCTGACCAGCAAAATCCCCTCTCCGCTGCCGTAGGGTGTGGTGCACGCCCCCAACCTTAGCTCCTGCGATCCCGTGATCAGGAAGCCAGGTATCTGCACGTCTGCACAACGTGCGGGTTGAGCCATCGGGCGGAGATGGTGGATGATATATTGGGCCTATGGTGTGACGTGTAAGGGCGGTAAAACAAGTAGTTATGAAGAGTGGTCGCGGTGATGTGTTGCAATGTGGAGCCGTACAGGAGGAATCCGGATCTGAATGATGTCAGGCTTGTGGAGACGAGGGCGTAGAAGGCTGTATTTTTGGCGGGGCGGGCGGAAAGGCTGAGGTGTAAGAATCCTGATCGATGGGTAGGCCGATGCTACCGGATCTTGGTAGTTACAGTTATCAGTTGAATGCGTACAAGGACAGCTCCACACAAGGTCCGAATGCTATTCAAGACGCATAGCCATGAAGTCTGCTGATTCGTTCTGGGGATCGGCTTTGTACCTCCTGGTGAAGTTGGTTTGCTTGGGTGACGTGGTGGACTTATTGACTGGTGCCGTTGCTGATAGTACTGCAATCGAAAGGCGTCATGGGAGTGAGAGCCGGTGATACTAGTCTTGTCAACAGCCAGATTGACGACCGGATACCCTTCAGCCAAAAGCATAGTTCCAATAATAGACGTTGCGATACCTTCAAGGAAACTAGAGATTTGGTAGAATGTGAATGTATTGGTTCGCGTACATGTCTCCAAAAATACAGGCCTAACTCAAAACACCAACTAAAAGTCGATATATGTGCACACAGCGAATGCTAATCATCTCTGTATCTTTCATCTTTTGCTCTGTTCCTTGTCCAGGTATCGGTTTTGCGCACTTAGGTGAAAGCCATGCTCTTCTTGATCTCGGCAATCGCGAGGGCAGGGTTGAGACCCTTGGGGCATGTCCTCGAGCAATTGAGGATGGTGTGGCATCTGTACAAGCTCATACTGTTGTTGAGAGCGTCCTGGCGCTCGGCCTTCTTCTCGTCACGCGAGTCGGCAATCCAGCGGTACGACTGGAGGAGAACAGCGGGTCCGAGGTATTCCTCCTGGTTCCACCAATAAGACGGACAGGATGTCGAGCAGCAGGCGCAGAGAATGCATTCGTAGAGACCGTCAAGCTTCTTGCGGTCCTCCTTGGTCTGACGGTACTCACGACCCTGGGAGAAGTTAGTGTAAACTCAATTTAATGGATCAAAGGTGGCAAATACTTACGTCAGGCGAAGGAGTGGTGCGCTGGAGGTAGGGCTTGACGGAGCGGTATTGCTTGTAAAAGAGCGTCATATCAGGTACGAGGTCTTTGACGACGTACATATGGGGAAGCGGGTAGATGCGAGACTCCTTGGCGGTGTCTGTGGGGATGCGGCACAAGCAGGCCAGGGTGTTGACACCGTCGATGTTCATGGCGCAGCTACCGCAGATACCCTCACGACAACTCCTCCTGAATGTCAAGGTAGGGTCGACCTCATTCTTGATGCGGATGAGCGCATCCAGCATCATGGGACCGGTCTTGTTCAGGTCGAGCGTGTACGACTGCATCTTGGGCTTTGCGGACGGCTCGTCAGGATTCCACCGGTAGATGTGGAAAGTCTTTGTCTTCGCATCCTGGCTGGTCTCCGGCTCCGACTTGGTCGATGTCTTGCTCTCGGGGACGACCTTGCGGGCGGGGTCTGGGACGATGCTCTCGGCAACCTTTGAGATGGGCTCGCGAGCGACCGTGTCGGTGACGGAGGCGAAACCGCGCGAGAAGACTGCCGGGCGGAGGGCTGTGTGAGAGCGTCAGCAGGGCTCAATGGCGCGCATAGCTGGTATACATGGAGTTCCTACCTGTCTGCCTCGTAACCAGACGAGCAAAAGTGCGTGTGCAGGCCATTGTGGGTTGTGTGGAGTGGAGATTGCGGGATGTCCTGTTGTCAATGTGGTGCGTTCATCGAAGTTGTTAAGGTAGGAACCTCGGGCGAGGACGTGGCCAATGAGATCTAGCCTATTTGCTGCGCACGCTGGAAAAGCCTCGGGGAGAGCCGGATATACGTCCCGGCACCTCGCCACGATCTCCAAAGTCGAAAACGTCAACACTCATATCGGCTATCTCAGCGCCTCAACGCCCGATTTCCCAAAACCCATCTTCGAGAAGATTCACGAGTCTGGGCTCGGCAACTGTCGACGCTCTCGAGCTGCGTGTGAGAATTGGTCGCTACTCTTTCCGTCGAGATACTGACGTAGCCACGTGGTTTGTCAACTGGCCACATAGTAACACAGTGACGAGACAAACCAGTTTCACGGTTGTTCGAGAACCATTGAAGTTTGCAGCACTCAGTCAATTGCTTAGCCGGTTCTCGCTGACTACACTATTCTGACGCGCAGAGAGCTGGTCACGTGAGCACCATGCATCGTGCTTTCCTCTTCAAGGAGCTTCTGTAGATCAACAACAGAGCGTCCTTGCAACACCACGTCACCTCGACAGGGCTGCCATTGAATGTTTCGGTCGTTTTCAAAAGCGTCAAAAGCTTTCTTTGCGATCTTTCAGTTTTTACGCCCGCCCGCACGGCCTCGTTCCGCAATGACTGCAAGGCCTGCACTTGACCCAACTCAACCCATACACTGGATCCTGGACTGGGATGGCACGATAACTCGACGCGACACTCTCGATGCTCTCGTCAGCATCGCAGCTTCGGCCAAGCCTGGCTCGCCGGTGCTTGAAGAATGGAAGCGCGTCTCAGAAGCATACAAAGACGACTACACCGCCGCCTTGGAGAAGCTTGCTCCCGGCGACAAGCTCCCTTCCACTGTAAAAGAGGAGAGAAAGCTGCTGCTGGCACTCAGAAATGTCGAACAAACGAGTCTCGAGCGTGTCTCTGCATCCGGAATCTTCGCAGGCCTGACTCAGAAACTGCTTGAGGAAGGTGCCAGCAATGCCATAGACTCCAGGAAGGTTGAGATACGAGACGGATGCACCGAGTTCCTGCAGTCAAAACGGACGAATGACTACGACAGTCTCGATCTCCTGAGTGTTAATTGGAGCCGTCACTTCATCAGCTCTTGTTTGATGGCAGCAAACACACCTGTCGGCCATGACTCTATATATGCAAATGAACTCGATGGTATCGAAGCCAATCGCACTTCACACGGCATAATCAGTCCTAAAGGAGAGGCGAAGATATCCATCATCTCTAGCAGCGACAAGTTGGAGTATATGACACGCTTGAAGGAGCAAGACAAAAGGACAGTAGTATATGTAGGAGACAGCTGGACAGATATTGAGTGCCTCCTCGAGGCAGATTTGGGCATTTGCATCCGCGACGAGCCGATCGGCAGCTCACAGAAGAAGCTGGCTGAGCGGCTACAAAGCTTGGGTGTCCACTGTCCACATTTGTCGGCCTCAACCAAATCCGGTGAAAGGCAAGTCGTGTGGGCCAGAGATTTCGCCGACATCCAAGCCTGGACCAATGTCCGCAACGCACACAACGCGCAGTCAACTTGACCGTCAGCATCCCAGGTCTTATGGCATTGACAGCTAGAATTCTCTTGCTAGGCCTTTTACGTTGCTAGTTCATGCTGTTGCGCATCATCGGACATCAGACAAATGCCTGAAGGACCCAGCTCCGCGTGCGGCCCCATCTTTGCTGAGTTCGGCTCGATCCTCTTTTCTATCTCATAAAGCGGCTTCCGTTGCACATCATTTTGATAGTTCTCGATCGGCGTTTCTTCCGTCTAGTCTTCAACTGAGTCAGGCTCAGACCCTGCACGGGTCTTTCCACAGCAGAAGTACCACACCAACGCACCAAGTAGTGCAGCTGCAGCTGCAGCGCCAATCACTATACCCGTAATGGCTTCTGCGCTTAAAGATTTACCTGGTGTCGGAGAAGTGTCTACGGGTGTCGAGTTCGGTGAATGTATGGCAACGACATTTTGAGCCTGAGAGTCGAAGGTTACCTGATGGACCGAGAAGTTTGACCGCTCGGAGTCCATAGCCACGTACGCCTCCTGCAGTACCGCTCTTCCCGGAGTATACTGCGAATCGTTTGCAGCTCGCCGAATTGGAAAATAGGAAGTCGCGTTCGTATAGCTGGGGAACGAAGCTTCGAGGTCGAGCGCCGCAAATAGCAGCGTGATCTGGATCTGTCCACCGGGATTGTTATCATTTTCAAGAGCTATCACAACTCATGGCTTATCCTGCAAAAGCTGGTTATGTTTTACGTGGTCATTGAAGATGTATGGGTCGTACGTCAGTCCAAAAGCAACCTCGAAAGCATCGCATACCGCATTCAGCAACCAAATATGTAAAACCGTGGAGTCTATCAGGGCGTAGAAGGGTTCGAATACATCTGGGGTGGCATTTGTGGTGATCCTGCAACGACTCTGCACTTGCACAGTTTATTGACGTGCAAGCTGTTCTGTTTCGACGGTATTTGCAGGGGTCGCAGACGCCACGCTAGCAATTGTGGTGCAATATCTGTACTCACATGTGCAGCATTCATCGCTGTCGTCGGACAGTACTCGGCGAGTCTCGATGAGGCAATATTTTGGTGTTGTAGCGCAATAAACGGGACGTGTCGCGCAACCCCAGTAACTTAGACGCAAGATCGATCATTCCCGGAGTTCAGTGCGGTCTATCAAGACTGGACATGTACACGGCGAATAAAGAGCCGATATTGGGGCATGTAGAGTAACAAATCGCACGCCATGTACGCCTGCATCAGCTCATCCCGACGGTCCCGACCTTTGGCAACACATCTGCCTGATATATGGCAGCCGCGCATTATAGATCCGGCCCGCTCATACACCTCAGCAGATTATACCCAGTAATATGGCGTCTTCATCAATGAACGACAGCATCGACCGCCTCGACGACAAATCGCAGGCCAAGTTCATCGATGTTGAGCAGCAGCCCACGGTCGAAAGCAACGATACTTACAAAGTTGCACCGAGGAGCGTTGGCTCTGGAGTAAGTAGTCACATAACGAGACAGCATAACGTTTGCTGACAAGATCAGACTGCACTCGCAATCGGCGTCTTCGCAACAACCCTGACTACATTGTCGCTAAGTCTTATGGAGTGGCGCGGCATGACTACCGACAATGTCTTTGTCGCAAACTTCTTCTTCGCTGCGACTTTTGGTCTGCTGATCACCGCACAGTGGGAGCTCGCCGCTGGAAACGGATTTGCGTACACCGTCTTCAGTGCTTTCGGCCTGTTCTATGCTGGTTACGGCGCGATATTGACGCCGGCGTTTGGTGTCATCGCAGCCTATGGCGACAAAACTACGGAGCTCAATAACGCACTGGGGTTCTTCATGATCATGTGGACGGTCTTCGCAGTCGTTTTCCTGGTTGCTTCCCTACCAACAAATCTGGTTTACATCGCCATATTCTTCACTGTTGTCTTCGGATTCCTGCTTGTAGCTTCAAGCTACTTTGCACTCGCAGATGGAAACGTTGCGGCATCCATCGCCCTCAAGAAGGGTGGAGGCGGCTTCTGCTTCGTCTCTGGGCTGATCGGCTGGTAAGTTGGCTCGCGCACTCCATCAGAACATTCGCTGACATCAATAGGTATCTCACTTTCCATCTACTCTTGAAAGACTCTATTGTGGAACTGCCAATAGGCGACACATCTCGGTACTTTGCAAAGACGAAGCGGGCATAGATGGGTCAGGTTATGAGCGTCCAGGTTGATGTGCCGAGCGCAGATCGCGGTTTCGTTCGATCTCAATTCTAGCCTAGGAAACGTAGTCCGCGCGGTAAATCAGACTCAAGATGGAGTTGCGGAGAATGAGGTGATTGCGATTGATAATTGCGAAGGCGTGGATCTTGTAGTCTCCAGACGAGTGAAAAGATGGTTAGATCATTACTTCCTAGCCCCCATTTGGATACTTCTTTCGAAAAACAACGCAGCAACCACGTTCCTGATATCCGATCGACCAGCAAATCAGTGTGCATCGACTGTATCTTAGCCTGCCATGATGTGCTCGGGTGTTAGCGGGAACGTTTCCCCCACGACCCTTGAAGCCACCGACATTGAAGCCCCGCACGATTATCATTAAGGATAGGCAAAATGCGGGCGCATAGCACGCAATATGAAGCAAGCGCAGCTCGGTATGATCGTTATAGCCATATGAAGGCTTAGTTACCCCCCATATTTCTTCAATTGATTCTCAGTCTATACTTACATTTGACAATGACTTCTACAAATGGCACAAACGGCACAAGCCAAGGGAACGCAAAAGACGTAGTTTACCGAGACCCTGCTGTCTATGCGGAGTACGAGAAGAAATGGAATGATCTCCCGCAGGATGAGAAAGCATGGCTCCAACGTGCTCAAGACGTCGCAGATGTCCTCGCCGTCGACGCCGCAGTGCGAGACCAAGAAAACAAGTCTCCTCGCGCTGAAATCGCATTGCTGAAGCACGCCGGTCTCCTCAAGATCCTCGGCCCCGAGAAATACGGAGGCGGTGGACAGCCATGGACCGTCGGCTACAAAGCCATCCGTAAAGTGGCTGAGGCGGATGGGTGCGTGCACACTCTTTCTTTAGAAAAGATCAAGCTGACAGACCCAGCTCGATCGGCATGCTTCTAGGCTACCACCTCCTCTGGAGTACCACTGCCTCCGTTGTCGGTACAGAGGAACAAGCGGACCGCTACCAAAGGCTCATCATTGCAAACAACTACTTCATCGGCGGCGCCGTGAACCCACGGGACAATGATCTCAAGATAAATACCGAGGGAGAAAAGCTCGTGTTCAACGGCTTCAAGCACTTCAATACCGGAGGCGTGATCTCCGACCTAACCGTGCTCGAAGGCGACTTTAACGGCACCGGCGATCACATTTTCGCCTTTGTGACGACGGATCAGTCAGGCATACAATTCAGTCATGACTGGAACAATATAGGACTCAGATTGACGGAGAGTGGGAGTGTGAAGATCGAGAACGTAGTGGTACCGTGGACGGATGCGCTGGGTTGGGATGTTGAGACCAAGAAACCGGATCCAAGGGTGTTGCAGATTCCGTTTGCAAGCCTGCTGTTGCCGACGATTCAGTTGGTGTTTAGTAACTTTTACCTTGGTATTGCGTTAGGTGCGCAGCAGTTCGCGGCGAAGTATACGGTCAAGGGCACGCGAGCTTGGCCATACGGCGGGGATGTAAGTATGGCGTTTCCGTGAGATGTGCAAGTCACTGACGACCTCAGAACAAAGAGCTTGCAACGGATGAATTTTACATACTCGAGCGATATGGCAACTTTCACGCACACTTGCGAGCTGCAGTCGCTCTCGCCGACAATGCCGCCGAGCAAGCCAACAAGATCTACGCGACTTACTCTGGTGACCTCAAGACTCGAACCAATCTCACTACACGTGAGCGAGGTGAGCTAGCAGAGTGGGTGGCAAGTGCGAAGGTCGTCACTACTGACACCAGCTTGCGAGTCACGGCAGGAGTATTCGAGGTCACAGGTGCAAAGGCAACAAGTCAGGGGGTCGGTCTTGATCGATTCTGGAGGGATGTTCGTACGCATACCCTTCATGATCCGGTGGCGTACAAGAATCGTGAACTGGGCAGATTTCAACTGCTGGACGAGATACCAGAGGTGACTTGGTACACCTGAGGCGGCAGCGGTCATCACATAAGCTCGCGAGCAACTGAGCTGCTCGAAAGCCTCATTCAGTGATCAAGAACAAATTCGCCCTTCGGTAGGACGATTTTCTTATCATTCTTTCCAGATCCATCTCTACACAGCCAACGAATAGCAGAGTGCAAGATACCAATTCCCTAAGTAGAGCGTCAAACAAAGGAAGGGTATAGTCTTAATGTACTAGAAAGATTCAAGTGTAAAATGGAGATGTTGCAACTTCATTGGTGTCACAGCTAAAAAGTGGTAAAATGTATACTACACTTAGACCCCTATGTATGCAGCTCATATGAGGCTAGTTCTACCTAGCCGCATTGACCTCCGCTACACCACCTGCGAGAGCTGCAGTAGCTTTAACAACGTCGCGTCAAGCGTATATAGTCTAAAGTATTATCCTGCGCGCAACATGCAGGCAAAACTCTGGATCCGCACAATCAAGTAGCATAGAAGTCTTCTTACTGAACCTCCTCGTCTGCGACAAATAGAGAGTCAAACGCTTGAGATCGACCCATACAGGATGATCCTCAAAGTCAGGCCAGAGACTCAAGATAGTTCGGCAGTGTACACCAGCCTCATCAGGAAAGACCTCACACTCTCGAAGAGCTTGTTGGACCGCACCATTGCCAAATCCCAGAAATATATCCATCGGACGCCGAAACCACTGTGAGGGCATGGCGAGAGCAGGACAGTGCTCAGCCAAGAAATGCCTGTAGAAAGCCTCGTGATCCTCAAAGAGGCTGGCGTCTGGCCACAGCGGACAGATGATCTCGAGATGTTCGTAGTGATAGCCTCTCGCAGCCAGAACAGCTGCAAGTTTCGTTCGACCCCTGGTGTCATGCTCATTGAAGAGATGTGTTTGAAGATCATCAAACGACCGCGATCGTGTGTCCGCGATATTGAACTTGCATTTCGGCATGGGGCATTTGCGCTATTTCTGGACATATGAGAACTCTTCAACATGTAGCGGAAGTACGTCTTGGGTGAGACATGCTCCACAGGTGGTCTTTGGGCACACGAACAGATCGTCCATATCGTGTCCGGCGCGCATGTGATCAATGAACTTGTCCTTGCGAGTGAATGCCATACGATAGCCTCATGCTGAGCATGTGAAGTTGCGAGCAGCCGTGTGCGTTAGCGTATGCTGAGACCACTTAGCACGACGCTTGTAAGATTTCTGGCAGCCTGGGATGGAGCAGAGGAGCCGACCTCCTACTACCGTGCGCATGGGCACAGAAGAAAAAGAAGTCGCGACTTCCGGTACCTTGGAATGAGGCAAACGATGTGGCAGCGTTTGTGGCCGGGTCCGAGTACGATTGCTGCCGCCCTTCTGTTAGCTTGTCTCTTTTTTTTTTACTTACCTGTGCTGCAGAAGTAAATCGAAATAATAGTCCCCAGAAACATGAACGACCTTTAGGCCCCATCTAGGTACTGGACACTGTTGACCGAGGGCTAAATGCGCGAAGCTGTAATCGTGCATTGGAAATTCATCACGGGTGAGCAGTCGAGAACGGCCATGGAGTATCGTGCCTATATACTCATGAACGCTTGAAACAACCTGAATTCTTGGAGTCAGCTTGAAACCCATGTCGGTTTGCACGATGTGCATTGTCTACGTGCTATAGTCTGACCCCTCTAACCAGCACCCACAGCACAACAGGCACGATCACATTATCATTACCGCCCGTCAGCACCGCCTCATTGAGACTCGCACCCACCGCACACAGCGCCGCCTTCGCAATCGTGAGACTCGCATCAATCGCCAACTCCACAAGCGTCTTGGGAGCTGCATTGACATCACCCCAGCCAAAGTGCAGCCAGATCCTAGCAAACACAAGGCCAATCGTGACAGCCACAGCAAACGCCAGAGAGCCTTCGAGAGACTTCCCGCCAGCCCATGGCCACTTGCGGCGGCCGTATCGTCTGCCGATGAGCGACGCTGCGGCGTCGCCCATGCCTACGCAGACAACGCCTGCCACCATGCTGACGTCTCGGGACGTGACTTCCCAGCCTTGCCATGGGACTTCGCCTGCGCGATCAACGCCTGCTAGAGATAACCAGAGAGGAATGGCGCAGCCGATCAGGAGGAAGATGTGCGAGACAACGACGGGTCCACGTAGATCTCGTCCGTCGACGTATGGCGTGAGGAAGGTAGCGATGGGCCGCGAGAGAGGCGGGAGCTGGCTTGCGCGGACGAGGTCGAGGAGCAGGAAGATGGCGAGCACGAGACCGAGTGCAAGCGCTACGAAGCAGGGGTCGATGTAGATAGTGGGCAGGAGCATGGCTACCATGGTGCCATGAAATACTTTGCGGCGCGTGTCGACTTCAACTACCGAGGAGAGCGACAACACGGACAGCAGGCCGACAATTATCGTGCCAGCGCAGTATACGCATAGCAAAAGCCGAGTATTTGCTTCTCCAAGAACAACACTGCGAACGTAGTCTAACGGTGCGAGACTTGCGGCTGCTTGTGCCAAGTCATCCGAATCGTGAATTGGAGGTAGTGGTATCCACCAATCGAGATTCCAATGGAACACCTCCCAACGCACTCTTTGGATGTTACCAAAGAGATAGCTGATCGCCCAGCCGAATGGCTCATGGTTGCGAAGCGCGTGCTTGCCAACGATGAATCTCAAAGGTGCAAGAATGATCAACGCAACGACGAAATAGAAGTAGCCTGCGTATGCCCACTTCCTTGCCATGGCCTGAGTAGGTGTCAAGGAGAGATACGACTGTACGATGGACTTTGAGCGTTTCCGATTTGAGAGCCGATGTTTCGATGTATGATCGTCAGCGATCAACGCAGGCAAAGTGTTCCTGCGCATACGTCCTAGGCTATTTGGTAGACTAGTGTCGTTGGAGTCGTCAAAGCCGATCTTCCTCGCATCTACAGCTGACTGAAGCTCGTGTCCGTTGGCCAAGTTGCTATTACGCACGGTGTCCAGCATTTCCAGCCTGACACTGACGGTTTTCTGAATTCTACCACCCAATTTGGGCTCGTCCTCGTCCGCATCACTGTCCGAGACGTGGTTCCGTGCCGCACTCTGCGTTCGCTTGGGCCGCAAACTATGATTAAGCGTCTGCAGAAAAGACTGCTGATTCTTGATGATCTGCCCCGCACGCCTGAAGCGCCATCGTGGGATTCTCGCAAGCGCGACACCCCATTTGAGTACCTTTCCGCAAGTGACAAAAAGGCCGACACCACCGAGCCACATTAAGGTCTTGAGAATATCCGCTTGCGGAGACATGGTGAAGAGCAAAAGGTTGATCAATCCAATCGAAAGCAGATGCAGCTCTGTAGACAACAGGCTAGTTGTCGTTAAGTAATATACTGGTGGAAGCAGAGCTTGATGCAGTGGGAAGAGTATTGTCAGGATCTCAGGGTCGAGTCCTTGCTCCGGTGGAGGTAGCTTGAGCTTGTAAGGCCGCGATGCGAGCAGTCTTGAGGGTATATCGGTGTTCTCTGAGGCTAGAAGCGGTAGAATCGAAATGAACCAATGGGCTGAAGAGTAGCCCAACAATGGCTTGCCGAATGGTATGAGCTGCGGTGGTAACGCAGCCAGTCCAAGAATGATATTAGCTAGTAATGGTTTGGGGTATGACGCGAAAAGAGATATCGAGATCAAGGCGGGTAAGATCGCGGGGTATAGTATGGGCGCTGGATCGAAGGAAGCTGGTATCCGTATTCGTTGTCGAAACCGTAATGTTGAGGGAGGGTTTGATCTCCACGAGTGATAGAGCAATCTGAGCGGGTATGATCCTACGGCGCCAGCCATGACCACAGCATGAGTCGCGAATTCTGCTGAGCTGAGATTAGCCATGTCCTCGGTCAAAAAACTTCAAGTAGCTGCACTCACCTCTGTGCCATTCGAGGAGCCTAGACCAGCAGCCGCAGCCATTGACGGCCAGAAAGCCTATACCGGCCAACAGCGCCGTCTCGGTCGTTCTCCTGACTACTTCCTTCCTCCGCCTCTTGATGTACCTTTGCCGTGCTGCCTTTGCTTCCTTGTCCGTTAACGACGCGTCTCCTATTTGCGATGCACCTTCCTTGTCCTGAAAATACTCATCAGAGTATTTGCGCGCTTCCTCCTCAATTTGGGTTGGGGTCAGTAGAGGACTGAGCCCCTCCTCACGCAATCCCTTTCTGTGTCGCAGACCCTTGCGTGGCCTCAACGGAGGCGCAGGCAATGCCTTCACGAATTGGTAACCCTCATCGTCTGCCTCAGTGCCGCTCTCGCTCGGCGACTGTGAGTTGCGTTTCCTGCGTTTCCTGCGGTCTTCGTCTGATATTGTGCGGTCGGACGGGCGAGGGGGCGTTCGGGAGGCTGACGCATTGTTGCTCGATGGTTCACTCGGAGTCTGCGCATTGCTCAAGTCGGCCCTATGACGGAGGTACGGGTGTGGTGAACGGCGGAATAATTCGAGTGTTTCGATCTCAGAAGCAGTAGGCGCATCCAGCTGCGCAACTGAGGGGTCTGGTTCGAGCATGGCGGTGTGCCCCAAGGCTTAAGCTAGGTACTAGCTGTGAAGGAGAGTGCTTGGCGACTAGTATGACGTGCGATGTATGTCTGCTGAAGGAGTTTGTTGCTATACACAAGCGTCGTGTTGGGTGAATGCGATGCGCATTGCGGAGCACCAAGATTACGGAGCGACTCAAAGCTGGTCGTGCGAAAATTGAAGGCGCGAAGCGAATGAATAAGCTTCCGTCAACGTCAGGTTCAGCATAGCCCAGTGAGTGTATTGTCTAGAGTCAGGCCTGCAGCCTTGACTGACAGTCCTTCCATCTAGCGGCATGGCGCGTTAGGGAAACTCATGCTGACGTTGCGTCTCCACTTTCGGAAGGCTCACGGCAACTTTAACCCGAATCGTCACTGTTGAGTACCGCAGCTGCATTTTGGACCTTCACATGCAAGAATGAGAGCCGAATGCATGTGAGTGATGTGTCTATTATGATATTGGTATTATACAATTGCGTACGTCAGTGCAACTTTGTATAAGGCACTAAGTTCATAGGTAGCAGCTGCTGTACTCCGGCACTTACAAGTACTTGTGCTCCTTGAGCCAGGCCTTGACATCTTCAGAGTCACGCTCCAACCAAGCAGCCTTTGCGCTAACACTGTCGAGAGCCTGGGAAAGCGACATATCGAAGCCCTTGGTCTCCTTGTCCTTGAAGAAGGCCTTGATGTCATCGATGTGGTCGCGGTGTGTGAAGCTTGATGTGGCCATGGCGACGACGGAGCTCAGCAGTGGCAGACTGATGGGCAGCCTCCTGACAAGCTCATCCCAGTTATCCTTGGTAAACTTCCAGAGGGCATTACATCCCTCGGCATGACCACGAAGACCAGACAACGGCAGGTAGATGTCCTGAGTCTTGACGTCCTTGCTCATGCAGAGAGCAAGTGTGCGCTGGATTAGTTCAGGGGACTTGGCGCGACCAAGGGCACGCAGCGCGGTGTTGCGCTCGGTGCTCGTCTCGGCGTTGATAGCCTCGTTCTCGACGATGTCGTACTCCGCCTTGCCACCCTTATCCAAGACAATGGCGTAGACGCTGCCTCGTAGGTTAGGGTGAAGAGCCTTCTTGTCGCCGGCCTTGAACTTCTCGAACATGTCGAAAGCTGCCTTCTCGACGACTTCGTCACCCGTACCTGTTGCTCCGAACATCATCGCCTTGAACTGCTGCTCAATGTGACCGTCATTCTCGGTGAAGGTCCAGCCCAACTCGTGTGCCTTGGTGCTGCACAGGTCGCGTTGAAATGCTTTGAGAGCGTCCTTGACCTCCTGGTCCTCGAACATCCATGCGCCACGCAGTGTAGCAATCCGAGTGATGATCTCAGACCAGACAACGAACTCAGGCTCCTGCTTGAAGCTGTCAAGCAGAGACAAGATGCCGGATGTCTTCTGGTAGCCAGAGGCAGCAAGAGAACCTGCATCGGCGATCATACCAGCGCGGTCTTCGACTGAGAGGAGTCCCTGCTTAGCAGCAACGCCCAGCTTCTCCAATCGCTCGGGGGTGTACGAAGTACGATAGAATCCGGAGTGATCAGCATTGAGCTTGAAGAAGTCAGTGTCCTTGAGCTTGAGGTTCGTCTCGCGCTCGAACAGTGTGACATCTTCGTTGACACCTTCCTTTGTTCGCAGGGCAAGGAAGATAGGGTACAGGGTCTCGTCCTCCTCAGGCTTGACGTCACCTGTGCGAAGGTAACGATTCTGCTTCAGGTGGATGGAATCGGCGTTTTCAGTAACGCTGACCACAGGGAAGCCGACTTTCTTGGTCCAGATGTCCATGACCTTCTCGACGTCCTTACCACTGGCATCTGAGAGAGCGGCCCAGAGGTCACCGGTCTGAGTGTTGCCGTAAGCGTGCTTCTTCAGATATCTGCGAATACCCTCCATGAAGACATCCTCGCCGAGATACTTCGAAATCATGCGAATAATACTGGAACCCTTCGAGTACGAAATTGCGTCGAAAATCTGGTTGATCTCGTCCGCCCTCTTGATCGGCACCTCAATAGGGTGACTGCTGCGCAGCGCGTCGAGGGAGAGCGCGCCAGCAAGAGTGTCTGTAACGTAGCCCTCCCAAACCTTCCAGTCAGGGTAAAATACGTTGCACGAGTACCAGGACATCCAAGTTGCGAAACCCTCGTTGAGCCACAGACCCTCCCAGAAGTCCATGGTGACGAGGTTGCCGAACCACTGGTGAGCAAGCTCGTGCTGTACAGTCTCAGCAACTCGCTGCTTAGTAGTAGCACTAGCATTCTTCTCGTCAATGAGCACGTCGACCACGCGGTACGTAATCAAGCCCCAATTCTCCATGGCACCAGCACTGAAGTCAGGAATGGCAACCATGTCCATCTTGGGGAGAGGAAACTCGCTGTCGAAAGTCTCCTCGTAGAACTTCAGCGTCTTTGCAGCGAGATCTAGCGAGAATCTGCCGTGCTCGATGTCATTTCCCTTGGGGGCGTAGACCCTGATGGGAAGACGGAATTCGTTGGTCTCGATATAGTTCAGCTCTCCAACGATGAACGCCAGGAGGTATGTGGACATGAGCGGCGTAGGGTGGAATGTGACAGCCTTCCTCCTTCCGCTGATGATCTTCGAGTCGACCTGCTTCTCTGACGCTACGTCCATGTTGCTCAGGCAAGTCATCTTGTCATCTGCAACCAGTGTAACTGTAAACTTGGCCTTCAGTGCCGGCTCGTCGAAGCAGGGGAAGGCCCGCCTCGCATCGGTGGGCTCCATCTGTGTTGTAGCCAGCCATGTGTCTGAACCATCTGCTGCCTTTGAAGACGAGCGGTAGAAACCTGCCATGTCGTCGTTGAGTGTACCAGTGAAGGTCATGGTGAGCTTCGCCTTGCTGCCACCAGGCAGTGTCTGGTCGAAGTGAACCTGCGTCCTCTGCTTCTCCTCATCGTGTGTGAGCTTCGGATTGCTGGAGACGACCTCGTCTCCGGCGGTGATCTTCGTCGAGTGGATCTTTAGCTCGTTGGTGTTGACCGAGATCGAAGTGCTGTCTTCGGCAACGTCTAGACTGGAAGGGTCAGCACGGTGCTCAGCTGTGCTCATGGACACGGACATACTCTATGGTCACGGAGCCCCAGTATGTGAACTTTTCGAAGTCGGGCTCCAGGGTCAGGTCGTAGTGGAGCGGCTTGACATTGGCGGGCAGCACCTCGCGGGACTTGGTGACGTCCACATGGGAGTGAGCGTCTGCGCCAGCGTGTCTGCACATGTTGCGGCGGTGGGAGCAGTGTCTGACGGAGGTGAGTGGAGTGAGGCGAGTGGGCTGGGTGGTCCGTCGCGGGGTTGTGTTTGTGATGCGAGTGTTGGTGGGGTAGCAAATGGCCGTGGGGCCTGCCCGAGTATGTAGCAAGTTGCGGGAGGGATAAGACAACGGCAGGGAGGCGGTGACTGCTGCACGCCGGGGCAAGCGCCTTACTATTGTCGTGAGCGCATGATCTGCCCTGCGCAGACCGCCATGGTTCCTGAAGGCGCGCATCTACTCGTCTATCTGCGATGCAGTGAACCCTCGAGCCCTGGGGAAGATTGCCGGACGCAGACGCGAATCTGCAGGCACGCACCGCGCCAAGTCTCACTGGGGTGGCTGCACGCCCTCGGGCATAAAACCTCGCGCCCGGCCAATCTTTTTTCTTCATTCAACACGCAATGCACAGCTCCAGCGCGCCCCTCCCACGGATGCGCTGGGGTCTGGCGACACATCGTCAGGTTTTGCCAGACCAACAGCACTCGTTTGAGCCCTTCACGAAATTCCATGAGTCGTCGGGTATAGAAGAATTGCAACATCTATGAAGTGCTAGTCCTTGATGAGAGATGTGCAAGTGACTAAACAATGCCACCGCGAAGAGGGTTGACGTTGACAACAAGCCAGTCCATACACCATCTACTGCATGCTTTGTTATGTTTTTAAAGGGCAAACCTCTGGTTCATCGAGCTCGTGCTGACCGCTTTTCTGCACACGCTGAGCGTTTTCACACTGTGACTGCCAAAAGCAGACTTCGTTGGCCGCACCGCATGAGCTGCAACGTCACCTTCTAATGCACGAGTTTTGGAAGAAGCAGGTGCCGAGTATACAGGAGCCAAGGACAGTCAGCATGCCATCTCTGCCTCTGCCTGCATCTGTTCGGTTCAACTCCATGCGCAGATGTCATGTGCCCGAGGCGGCTCGGAAGAAGCCGGGTGTACCGTGGCCACGCTGGAGCTCTCCAGCAAGACTTTAGTCGCGACGTGAAGTATGTACTACCAGCAGGAAGATATCTGGACGTCTACCGGATTGACAGATGGGTCAACTTGGTCGCTGCATGGCTCTTGCAGGACCCTGGATTGCAGGCAGGAGCTTGTGCACCGCAAGACTACCACCGACTGCATGGGCCCTTTTCCTAAGGCTGCAAAGCATATGCCTATACATTGGAATATGAAGAACTACACTGTCAAGAAATTCCGGAACTGCCTCGGGAGCTGAAGTCGATGTTATCATAGACGAGACGGCAACCAGTGAGGATGGTCAACATGGCGACGAGCTAACCGGCTAACCAATCACTTGCGTGCTGAATAACCAACCTGCCAAGAAAGTGCGAGATGCACGATTCTTGCGCTCAACGTCCGGTATCATCACCGCCGTCAACCCCATCGACCCTCTCCCCTCTCCGCAGGCCCCGAGCCACCTTCACATGACCATGTTGGCTCGATCAGCACTGCGTAACGCGCGCACCGCCGGCGCTGCAGCCCGCAATGCTGCCAGCAAGACAGCTTCGGTACGACCCCCCGGAAGTCCTTCACGACCCGCTCGGCTCCCGCAAGCTTCGACGACTTTGTCTGCGGCCCTGCGACGCCGGTCGCGGGGGCCGTAATGCCCCTTGATACGAATGCTGACGAATTGGGTGATACAGCGCTCCGCCTCCACCTCGTCCACCGCCGAGGGAGCTGGCTCTTCCTGGAAGAACAACGCCCTCCCCGCTGGCGCCACCGTCTTCTCGATCGGTTCCGTCGCATGGTACCTCCACCTCTACGGAGGTAATGCCGATGCTATGACACCCGCCGAGGAAGGGTGAGTGCTCCTGGGACAGACAATCGCTTGCGGCGAAATCGCGGCAGGGGAAATTCGGGATTGCGCAGCGGCTGACAGGACACCCACAGTCTTCACCCCACTAAGTACCCATGGGAGCATACCAAGTGGAACAAGACCTTCGACCACCAGGCGTAAGTGGCCAATCTTCCGGTCAGCCCATCTCTGCTCTAACCAGCCCCAGTCTCCGCCGTGGTTTCCAGGTCTACCGCGAGGTCTGCGCGTCCTGCCACTCCATCTCCCGTGTTCCTTACCGATCGCTCGTCGGTAACATCATGACCGTCGACGAGGCCAAGGTCCTTGCCGAGGAGAACGAGTACGACACCGAGCCCAACGACCAGGGCGACATCGAGAAGCGCCCCGGAAAGCTGTCCGACTACATGCCCGCTCCCTACAAGAACGACGAGGCTGCCCGCGCTGCCAACAACGGTGCTCTGCCCCCGGATCTATCGCTCATGGTCAAGGCCCGCCACGGTGGTGTCGACTACATCTTCAACCTGTTGACTGGTTACCCCGAGGAGCCTCCTGCGGGTGCTGTTGTTCCGGAGGGTCTCAACTTCAACCCCTACTTCCCCGGAACCGGTATCGCCATGGCCCGTGTCCTCTACGACGACCTGGTCGAGTACGATGATGGAACACCCGCCTCGACATCGCAGATGGCCAAGGACGTTGTCGAGTTCCTCAACTGGACTGCTGAGCCCGAGATGGATGACCGCAAGAAGATGGGCTGGAAGGTCCTGGCCGTCACAAGTGTGTTGTTCACTCTTAGCGTTTGGGTGAAGAGGTCAGTTTGTCTGGGCGAAAATACGGTGGAATCACGGGACTGACATACAACACAGGTACAAGTGGGCACCGCTCAAGTCCCGCAAGATCCTTTACAGCCCACCCTCCGCGAAGAAGAGCGTTCTCGACTACGTTCCCAAGCCCAACAACCAGGGCAAGACAAACCAATAGACGTGGCGTAGTTTTGCATCCGGAGGAGTTGGACGGGACGAGTAGCGGAAGCGTGTGTTCTATATCTTGTACAGTGCCAGCTACTTCCAAAATACGATTTCTGGAACTTTCTAGCTTAGTGATACGCTTTAGAATTCCCAACTATCTTTCTTTTGTTAGAAACGCCTCATTGCGCTGATGTTTGGGTAGTCGTGCTAAGCGTTCGGACTCGATGCGCCGGGGCAAGCTTACGAACGAGCCTACGAACGAGACGTTACCGCAGACAGTCCGAACAGCACAACAAGCCGACATCAAGCACAGAACGCATTTCTTCGGCAGTAAAGACGACACACTCCATGACATGATCGTTTACGAGCAACTACCCCACGATTTACTGTGGTTGTACGGCGTAGTCTCATCGATACACCGTTTCAACACACTACATTGGAAAAATACCTGGACGTACCGCTCACGAACACTCGGATTGTGGAATAGCAGTCTTCCATTCCTTGCTCTCTGCTGAACCATGTAGTCCGAATCGGCACTTGTATTGTAAGAACTTCGGATATTGACTTCTTTTTGAGTAAGAAGAGAAACGGTAATGTGCCAGCTGAACGTGCTCAGACTAAGCGGTATCTGATTGACAACCCCATGGGGATTTGTGATGAAGTTGCCGATGATGAACAAGTCCCAGGGATTCTCGTCAACTTCGTACATTTCTGCACAGATTTCATGCATTTTGGGACGCTGTCGGTCTGCACAGTCAAGAGGTCACGCATCCAGGGCTGTCATGGCCACGAAAGACGTCTTTTCGGTCGTGACCTTGGAGCCGTCCCATAACGGGAGGGTGAGCTCGAAACCACGGTACATGTTGTGTGCTTGCTGTGTAGACCCCGACTGCACTGGCCTGTCGATTTGTATGGTGTCTGTATCATGGTTTGAACTCGAGGGCCCTCGCCAACGCCAACGCTCCTGCATATTGCTAGAACAAGAACTGCTACTGCAGTCTATATTGAGATATTGCTAGTCTGACGGTCTCCTAGGATGTTTCGCAGCAGGCGCATAGCTCTTGCACCGACAACTACATGCTGTTCTACTAGGGCATTATAATGCTGTCGGCTACAGGCAGTCGGCGTGTGTGAGGCTACATATATTGAAGGCGATAGCTCCTTGTTTTGCAAAAGGTCATTTAAAACGATCGAAGATCGGGGTGGAGCATTTGGCGGCTCTTGCAAGTCATATGACGGGGTCCGACGTTGATCGATGACGTAGACGGCTCGCCACGGCTTTGTACCTCGTACCTGCGTGATCGAACATGTCTCTGGAACGGTATCATTCACAGGTAATTTTAGGTCGTACGAAGGTCATGTCGCTGCTGTCAGTGTTGCTTAGCATGAGGCTGAATGAAACACGCCATGACTTCTGAATGTCCGCCACATGCCGATTGGGATGATTAATCGATGGGCGACTATAGCCTCGTGCGGAACCCTGGTCGTCTGGCAGCGCCATCCGGGCGCTTGAGGCTGTCGCTGGAGTTGCTTTGCTTGGGAATGGACGAGATTAGCTTCATACGCCGAGGGAGCCTTTGATATGGCGACTTAGCGCGAGGCCAGGAAAGGGACCAGTGGCACTCGAAATGCTCTACGCTTCTCTTTCCTGCATGATAAACGACATGCAGAGAGGGTGTTGAGGACGGGCCGAGACGAGCCAGCGGCCTATCAATGCCGTGAGCAGGCACAGGCAGTGCTTGGACAGTCTTCCCCACGATAAGCATCTGGGGAGTGCGTTGATGCGGCAAGCTCGCTGATTGGCCAAGTAAGGGTGACGCGCTCAAAAGAGGACAATCGGCAGCGCGGCGAGCCGGCATGGTCTGCAGAGAGCCATGACTGCGATCGGCTGCTGCGGTCAGAAAATAGCAGTTGCCTGTTTGGAAAGGGCATCGACGACTGTCAAGCGGCAGAGACGTCTTTGGCGTGGCACAATGCGCGACTCCGAGCTCGCCATCAGGCGTCATTCGGACGACCACATGACCTGTCCTCTCTGGACCGGCGGGGACCACAGCGCCACGAGACAGCAATAATACCGCCAAATCCGCGTTGGAGGATACATATCGCGGGGCTGCGCATCCTGTGTATAGGTCAGGTCTGCTGCTGAGTCCGCTGTGGTTCAAGACATGAAGCGCATGTACCTCAACGCGTGCAGCGCAGCTTGAGCGTTATCGCTATCGCTATCGCACTAGCCCTGGAGCGCGTCGGCCTGTGACTAGGTGACTAGGTGACTATCCATGCATCACACCGGCGACTGCACTGCAGCTCGACTCGTCCCTTTTCTCTGCGTCTCCTCCGCTCTCTAGACTGATTTGTGTATTCTTCCCCCCCCCGTCCCGCCGTCCATCGCCCTCCAGCATCTCCAGCATCTCCAGGTCGACTCGTCGCTAGTCCGCCTGCACCTCCGCCCCGTTCACCGGACAACATTGCCAGCCAGTCGCTCGCGGCCGCCTGCAGCCCAGGCACCCAGGCACCTCGGAGCCCGCACGCATATCTTCTACATAGCACCGCGCCGACTGCCCCAGCCCAGCGACACTGCGCCAACGGCCTCGCTGCACATCTGGGTGCTCACCTCCGCCCGCCGCCTCGCCGCCTCAGCAGACGACCCCAGCACAGCACGACCCACGACGCCCCGCCCTTGACACGCCCTTCTGACGTCGTCGCCAGCCCATGTGGAACGTCCTCACTGCGACTCTGTATCCGCATCTCCGCTGGTAGCTGAGCAGCTACACGCTCTCTGAGAAGGAGCTGGCCTTGGCTGGTTAGCCAGCACCGCCATCATGGCAGTACCAGCATCAAATGCCTACGCCCCCCGCAGGTCGGCAGCGTCGCCGGCCGCATCAGGCTCCACCGACCAGATCATCGGCAGCTTCAAGCGCCTGGAGCACATCGGCAAGGGCAGCTTTGCTGAGGTCTACCGCGGCATACATATCGTGCGTCACCTCCACACTAGCACTACGTCCTGGGAAGGGCGCAGGCCATCACCACGTCTATCTGATGGAACACACGCTAATACATCATCTTGTGAACAGGAGAAACGAGCTTCCGTAGCCATAAAGTCTGTCAACATGAACAAGCTAAACAAGAAGCTCAAAGACAACCTCGTGTCCGAGATCTCGATCCTGCGAAGCCTTCACCACCCACATATTGTCTCGCTCATCGACTGCCAGGAAACCCCATCTCGTATGCACATCATCATGGAGTTCTGTGAACTGGGAGACCTTTCGTCGTTCATCAAGAAACGGGCAGACCTCACGAACCACCCACAAACCCAGCGCATGATCGAGAAATACCCTAATCCACCGGTCGGCGGACTGAATGAAGTCGTGGTGAGGCATTTTGCGAAGCAGATGGCCAGCGCTCTGGAATTCCTGAGGTCCAAGAACTACATCCACCGTGATCTGAAGCCACAGAACCTCCTGCTGAATCCGTCTGCCGTGTACTACTCGCAGAGCGGTACTCTCGAACGCATGCCACTGGCTGCCGATGCCAACTCGCTAATTCCTGCCCTCGGCATCGAGACGCTACCTATGCTAAAGATTGCTGATTTCGGGTTTGCCAGGATCCTTCCAACGACCTCTCTGGCCGAAACGCTGTGCGGTTCGCCTCTGTACATGGCTCCGGAAATCCTGCGATACGAGAAGTATGATGCAAAGGCCGATCTCTGGTCCGTAGGAACCGTTCTGTTCGAGATGATGTCTGCACGTCCTCCTTTTAGGGCAAACAACCACGTTGAGCTTCTCCGCAAAATTGAAGAACGCAAGGATCAGATTCGATTCCCAGAAGGTCTGGTCTCCAGCCGAGCCATGAAGACTCTCATCCGTGCATTGCTGAAGCGCAAGCCTACCGAGCGCATGTCATACGAGAGCTTCTTTGCTGATCCAGTCATTCGCGAGGAGATCCCCGGTCTCGTCGACGAAGACGTTCCGCTGAACATGCAGGCCTCGGAGCTAGAACAACCGGTTGAGCAGCCTAGGCGCGTCCAGAAGATGCCCGCTGACATGGAACGGCGCGCCTCAGATAGCCCTTATTCACGATCGCCCAGGGACCGAGCTGGTTCCATGGGAACACCACCACTCCGCCCAGCTTCGCGAGCAAGCCCTAGCAACCTCTCTGGTACACCTCCTCGCGTCTCGACTACCCGCCGTGCCAGCAATGCTCCCATTGCACCTATCGAGGAGCGCGCAGCTGTACCCATACGGGAACAACGACGTCCAACTCTACCCAACGCGATGTCAGCACCGGCACGACCGCCTATGGTGCAGGATCCATCGATGGCTATCGGGCATCGCCGCCGCTTTTCCAAGGATGACCCACCTCCAGTTTCGTCGGGACTGAAGCAACATCTGGAGCGCGAGCGTCTGCCCCAAAAGACTGAGACTGGTGTCATGAGGGATGCAGCCGACCGAGTTGCTCAAGACCAAGCCCTGGATGACGGTTTCGTGTTTGTCGAGAAGCGTCGTGTGGAGATCGACGCTCTTGCTGATGAGATTGCTGCAAGCCCGCAAACCCAGCGAGATCGTATGGTCACTCGCGATGGTGCACTTAGGCGAAGGGCCACAACTCAAGGATCGCCAACATCCACGACTGGCGCGACCGTTCCCTCAAGGGCAATATCCATCCAGCAGAAGACACCAGCTGTCCTCCAGCGACCTGGCTCTTACGAGCGGCGTCGTCAGTATCGTCCCAGCTTTGAAAGCGCCACGTCTGCGCTCTCAAAGGCAATGAACATGGTGAATATTCGAGGTCTCGGTCTCTCGCCCCCGATGATGAAGGGCATCTCGCCACCTCAAGGCTACGCCGCATTTCCTGTATACCCTACCGCACAAAGCAGCCTTCTGCTGGTAGGCGACAGCGGCAAGACAATAGCAAAGGATGAGGATACGACTTCAGTCAAGAAGATTGAAGAACTCGCGCAACTGAGCCATGTCATATATGGCTTTGCAGAGGTCAAGTATAAGCAGCTGGTGCCCGTTGCACCGAGCGACCAGGCACTGGGAGTGGGCCCATCTGGAATTGCAAGGAAGCCTAGTAGCGACGTGATCGAAGACGACGACGAGGACGAGGATTTGACACCGGAGACCATCTTGATCATCTCAGAAGAGGCCCTGGTCTTATATGTCAAGTCGCTTGCTATGCTCAACAAGGCCATGGACGTTGCTGGCAGCTACTGGAACCGACAGCGCCGCGGTGGCTCGTCTCCTGAGGCCATGAGCCGGGCAGCCGCAAACTCCGACCGCTTAAACCGAGTCGTCTCCTGGACTCGTGACAGATTCAACGAATGCTGCATCAAATCTGAGATCGTGGCTCGCAAGCTCAAACAGGCACAACAACAACTCCCAGATGATCACCCAAGCCATCCTGCCAATCTCTCAGCCGCGTCGGGCTCTGCGACTACTGTGGGCTCCGCCGAGAACATACTTTTGACCACCGGCGTCACAGCCGAGAAGCTGATGTACGATCGAGCGCTCGAGATGAGCAGGACTGCGGCTGTGAACGAACTTGTCAGTGCAGATTTGCCAGGCTGCGATCTCAACTACTGGACAGCCATTCTCATGCTCGAGGCAATCTTGGAGGAGGAAGATGAGTTGTCTAGTCGCAAGCTTGAAGGCGAAGAGATCAATGGGCTCGAGTCTGAGGATCGACAGTCGATCCAGAAACGTAGGTTCCCCGAGATCTAATCACAAACATCGCTAACGGTCCACAGTCCTTGAGCAGATGCAAGGACGACACCGAGCACTGAAGAAGAAGCTGGAGAACCAGAAAGCACAGAAGCGGAATTCGATCACAAGCGCGCCCTCGCCTTATTCTGCCAGTCGCAGCTCGCCATCGTCCAACGGCACTGCACGATAATCATTTCGACCGAAAGCTGCTTGAGATCGACACAACATCGTAAGCGGATTGAATTACTGCATTTGACTGGTGTTCTGTGGGCTACTGGGGCGTTATGGCTACAACGCCCCTCCTTCACATTGTTTTTCTTATTTAATCATTTTGGCCAGTTTTTACCCACGGTGTTCTGCGGCGCATACGCAGCAGCATACATCAGCATAGATACCATCGCGAACCTTGCATTTCCCATGATACGGCGTTTGCTTTTCGGTAATTTGGGTACGGGCAGGCGCAAAGGGTGCGAGCATGAACACGACGAGCATGGACACGACGAGCATGGAGAAGATGAGTGAGCACCTAGAATGGACACTTGAGGGCTGGACAGCAGCGTGACCGGGGAGAGACGTTACACCTACCTAGTGGATCACAGCATCGAAATTGAATAACATACATTATTATCCGGATAAGTCGCCTATTATTGCTAGCAGCCATGGCGCCATGCCTACAGCCTTACTGGTGGATGTCACTGCATGTCATTACTCATGAACAGCCGGCTCTTTCGGGCAAGGGCAATCGGCCCAGGCCCCACACATGCCCCCCAGAGTGCGCTCCACAAGGCTCCGCGGCTCCGACCAGCAGACATCAGCCCAAGCCAACAATCGCGCCGCTTCGTCTGACTTTGTTCGTCCACCCGTCTGTCATGTAATCGCGGTCGTTTTCTCATACTATCATCCATCTGAATACTACTATCTAATGTATACATAAGCCTTCAAAAGGCCGAACACGACCATCTGAACCCTGACCAGACGTGCTCCACGGTAATTATGGGGCTCGGGATCCTGGACGACAAACACCTCGAGCATGTGCCTGGCACGGCCTTTGTGTATGACAACGACGACGATCGAAAGCGCAGCATCGCGCAGGATGTCGCGCGCCAGACACTAAAGTACGACAAGACGGGCAAGATCCTGCTTGTCCCGCAGCCGTCGGACGACCCCAATGATCCGCTCGTGAGTCGCCCCCAGCGTTACGCGTTCAAGATGCATGCAGTGTGTTGACAGTGACGGTCTGCAGAACTGGCCGCTCTGGAAGCGCGACGTCATCATCGCCATCCTGAGCCTGCTGAGCGTTATCGCAGCCACCCTGTCGCCGCTCCTCGCCGCCAACACTGTCTCCCTGGCCATCCACTTCAAGCGCTCGCTCACCGACATGGCCCTCGCGACGGGCTACCACCTGCTCGGCGTCGGCATCGCGGGATTCCTCTTCGTGCCCAGCGCACGCATCTGGGGGAAACGCCATCTGTACATCCTCGGCACCGTCATTGTGATATTCAGCTGCATATGGGGCGGCGCCACGGGGCCGAACTACAAATCGTTCCTCTGGGCGCGAATCTTCCAGGGCGTCGGGCTTGCGCCGTTTGAAGCGCTGGTTAATGCGAGTGTGGGCGATCTGTACCATGTGCACGAGAGAGGGCTGCGCATGGCGCTGAGTAATCTTGCGCTGTTCGGGGGCGCATTTCTGACGCCCGTGTTTGTGGGATTGATTGCGGATCGGATTGGATACGAGTGGACGTTCTACTTCGTTGCGATTTTCGCCGCCGCATTGCTGCCCCTGGTCGTCTTCTTCTGCCCGGAGACGGCGTACAAACGCGATGCGCGCTTCGACATCGACACCATGGGGAACCTGATCGTGCAGCCGGGCCAGGAGCTCGAGGACTATGGCAGCAACAGCAAGACCCACGACTCCGGTCTTGGCTGTCCGCCCCCTTACGACCAAGGCGAGCCATCAGACAACCTCCAGGAGAAACTCGTCCACCCGCGTCCCCCCACGGCATCCACATCTGCGACCCCGCCCAAAGCCACATTCTGGCAGAGCGTCAAACTCTTCAACGGCCGCAAGACAGACGAGGCGTACCTCTCGCTCCTCTTCCGGCCCTTCCCGCTGTTCCTGCACCCAGGCATCCTCTGGGCGTGTCTGATCCAAGGCGTGATGATCGGCTTCACGGTGCTCATCGGAGTAACGCTCGCGGCCATCTTCCTGGGCCCGCCGCTGTGGTTCGGCGAGCTGGAGACCGGGTACCTGTACACGGGGGCCTTCATCGGGGCGATTCTGGGCTTCGCACTGACAGGGCTGGTGTCGGATCCGAGCGCGAAGCTGATGACGCGGTGGAACAGCGGCGTGTACGAGCCCGAGTTCCGCATGCTGCTCGTCGTGCCGCAGCTCGTTCTGGGCGGCGCGGGGCTGTACGGGTTTGGGTGGACGACCAGCGAGCCCCGCGTCTATGGCTGGCTGTGGCCTGATTTCTTCTTCGCCATGGTGGTCATGGGCATGGTCTGTGGCGCGGTCGCGAGTGCATTGTATATTGTGGATGCGCATCGTAAGTGTTCTGCATCTGGCTCTGCGGTTGCAAGTGCGCGCTAACACGTCGCAGGCGACATGTCGATCGAAGGCTTCACGTGCCTGCTGGTGTTCAAGAACATCTTCTCGTTCGGGCTGACGTTCAAGGGCTTCGACTGGCTCGTCGAGTCGGGCGACACGAAGCACATGTTCGTTGCGCTGGGCAGCGTGCAGGTTGCCATTTGCGCGCTGACGATTCCCATGTGTGAGTCTCCGTGTTCTACACCCGTCCCGCCACGTCCCACTGTGTTTTGTCCCGCAAACGACTTGAAGTGGGAAAGCGTGCGTGCTGACAGCGACAGATGTGTTTGGCAAGAGGAGCAGGAGTTTCTTCCACCGCCACAACGTCTTCTTCAAGGCGACGGATTGGATCGCAGATGGCACCATGGGCTTGTTTGCGCGCGGGAGCCAGGCTCGGGGATGATGGGTACGTGTGGGGCAGCTGTGAGCCGTCGGCGGTCCAGCATTGATGTAATCATTCGAAACATGTCCAGTCGTTGCTATGAATCGATGTGCTACGAATCGATGTGCTATATCGATATATGATGTCGAATATGACATCGAACGTGACATCGAACATGACATCGAACATGACATCGAACATGACATTGAACGTGACATTGAACATGACATCGAACATGACATCGAACATGACATCGAACGTGACATCGAACATGACATCGAATATGATGTCGAATATGATATCGATCGATGTATGACAACGATTATGATATCGAGATGCTGATGATGGTAATGTCCTCCTCGGGCTTCTCCTTGTAACACTTTGCATTCTCGATTCTGTGGACGACATCCATGCCGCCGACGGCGCGGCCGAAGATGGTGTGCTTGCCATCAAGCCAGGGCTATCGACGTCAGTATGTATACACGACATGAAAGGTAAAAAAAAAAAGAAAATAAAAAAAAATAACACGACGTACCGTCTTCTCGGTGGTGATGAAGAACTGACTCGCGTTGGTGCCCGGGCCTGCGTTCGCCATGGACACCGTGTACGGCTTGTCGTGCTTCAGCGCGCTGAATTCATCCGCAAAGTCGCGGCCCCAGATGGACTCGCCGCCCGTGCCGTCGCCCAGCGGGTCGCCCGTCTGGATCATGAACTTGCGGATCACGCGGTGGAAGAGCACGCCGTTGTAGTACCCGCGGCGGCTGTGGGTGACAAAGTTCTCAACCGCCTTGGGCGCCGCGTCGGGGAAAAGCCGCAGCGTGATGTCGCCGTGGGTCGTGTGCAGGACGGCTGTGGTGCCAGTGGCGGCCTGGGCGTGGTGCGCGGCCGCCGTGGAGCGCGCGGCGTCGCGCGGCTTCTCGTTCTGCACGTCTCGCTCCTTGGATGTGTTGGTCTCGTTGGTGTAGGTGTAGAAGCGCACTTTGCCCGTGGCGGTGGCGACGAGCATGGCGTCGCGGGCCTCTGCTTCCTGGAGCAGGGGGTTCTCCGAGGCCGCCATTTCGACCGTGGTGACGCGCTTCTTGTCCGGCTGGCCCTGGTACAGCGACAGCCACAGGGAGCGCAGGGGCTCCTCGCGGCCGTAGAGTTTGACGAGCTTGTTGGTCAGCGTGTTGAGCACTTTGATGCCGTACATGGAGCCGTAGAGGACAAAGTTGCCCGTCTCGTCGAAGATGACGTTTTGCCGGGCGCGCAGGGCGGGCGCGTCGAGCTCTCGCTCGATGCCCAGGCGACGCCCAAACTCAATGTCTTCGAGCGCCTGCACGGCGGTGCCGGCTTGCTGCATGCTGGTCATGGTCTCGATGGACTCGTCGTAGGTGCGGTGCAGTTTTGCGGTGGGGAAGTCGAAGATGCGGATCCTGCGGTCGGGGAAGGAGAGGGTGGCAAACTGGTGGCCGGAAGGCGAGATTGTGAGGGACGAGGGGACGCATTTCGCCTTTTTAAAGTCAAAGAGGTTGGTCGACGACTTCATGGCGAAGACGTTGCCGGGCTTGGAGAAGCTGCCAGACGGCTGCCAGTACTCGACCATGCCGCCGGTGTCGACGCTGACGACGCAGTCGTAGGCGCTGTTGTACGCCATGACGCTCACGGGCGCGCGGTGAATCGTCTTCAGGACATGCAGCGGCTCCAGGTTCTCGCCGCGCCCGTCGTATATGCGAATCCACGAATTGTCTTCGGAGCTCACCGCCAGCTGCGGGAAGCTCGCGCCGCGGCCGTGGACCCAGCAGACGGCGCGCGGGCTGTAGTCCAGGCTCAGCACGGCCAGCAGATCAAAGGTGACGACGTCGAAGATCTTGACCGTCCTGTCCGACCCCGCCGTCGCGAAACTGCGCCCATCCGCGCTGGCATTGACGGACCGCAGCTCGCCCGTGTGCGCGCTGAACTCCTTGACAAACTCGATGCCGCCAAAGTCTTTCTTCCAGAACTTGACCACGCCATCGATGGAGCTCGTGATCAGGAAGTCGGTGGAGGGCGTGAAGGTGGTAAAGGCCAATTGGTCGCGGTGCATCAGTGACTTGGAGTAGCGTGGGGCGGCGGGCAGCGCAGCAATGTAGAGCTTTTCGTACGGCAGCCTGCGCTTCTTCTTCTTCGGCGCGGACGAGGGGAGCGCAGGACCGAAACCATCGTCGTCCGAGGACGACGAGTCTGCACGTGTCAGCTGCTTTGCGCGCGAGTCTCGAGGGGTGTGCGCACCGTCATTTGCTTGCGCGACTGGCTCCTTCGTGTGCTGGTCGTCCGCCTCCATTTCGGCGCGGGAGCGCTTCGTCTTGCTGGGCGACTCTGATCCGTTGGAGGCCATGGCTGCAGAGAGGCTGTGTGGTGCGTGTTGGCAGAAAGACTGTCCGCCGTGATGGAAGGTTGAACATGGTCAGAACGCGCTTGGACATGGTACCGGTACCGGTGTGTAGGCGGCCAGACCACGCTTGAACATGGACACAGACCGGCAGATGACGCTTGAACATGGTCATAGACCACCAGATCGCGCTTGAACATGGTTACAGACCACCAGATCGCGCTTGAACATGGTTATAGACCACCAGATCGCGCTTGAACATGGTTATAGACCACCAGATGACGCTTGAACATGGTTATAGACCACCAGATCGCGCTTGAACATAGTTGTAGACTACCAGATGACGCTTAAACATAGTTATAGACCAACAGACGACGCTTGAACACAGTTATAGACCACCAGATCACGCTTAAACATAGACACAGACTGCCAGATCGCGCTAGAACATAGTCACAGACCGCCAGATCGCGCTCTCACGTGTCGCCCAACGACAGTCTCGGCGATGTAGCGTTGAGGTGAGAAATGGAAAAGCACAGAGCCAAGACGCGTCAGAATACCCAAGTAGAGTGTCAGAACACCCAAGTAGAGTGTCAGAACAGATGCCGGAATGGTATTGGTATCTAGACGCAAGACTCCGCTCCAATGCAAGCTCCTCGTCCTCGAGGAAAGCTGCTTTCGCCGCTCTACTCCTCGTCCTCGTCCGCGTCCGCGTCCTCGTTCTGGTGCAGAGCCTTCCGCGGCACCTCGAACACGTAGATGCCGTTCTTGGCCTTGCCTGACATCCATCGGGCGAGTCTGGGCTCTCTGCCGACTGCGGCGACTACACACAGACCGGCCTTGCCTCTGTCGCCCCTCTCCTGCACCGACAGACCGTTCACTATGCCGCGGATGAGGATGCCGTCCTCGCCCTCCTCTTCCGGCACCCGGCCAACCTTCCCCACTGGCTCAATGGAACGCTTGTCGGCGCCCACCCGCCATGCCCGTATCCAGCCGTCCCAGCTTGCTGTGAGGATGAGATCCGCGTACGGTACCGTCGCGAGCGCAGTGACGTATCTGGGGAGGCGTGGTCCCTTCTTCCCCGAGGCAGCCGCATCGGCGTTGGCCGACATGTCCTCTGCGGGCAGTGCTGGGTCTCGGCCGTGGGTCAGTGGGCGGGTGAAGAGCGGCTTTTTCCTCTGAACAGACCACAGTGACAGCGAGCCGCTGTCAGATGCTGTGACGAAGAGACTGGCGTCGAGAAGGGCAACGCAGTCGATCGAGCCCTCGGCGTAGGCAATGGGTGTGTCGTCGTCGCCGTCGCCGTCGCCGTCGCCGTCGCCGTTGGCCTGCCTGTCCGCATCTTTCTCGTCGAGATAGGACACGTCCTTGCCAAAGCGGCCCTTGCGCAGCTTCTCCAGTCCCTTCTGCCTCGCTGTGCCGCCGCCGTGGAAGACCAGCTGGTTCTCCTCGACGACCTTCCACAATCTCGCCGTGCGGTCACGCGCTCCCACGCTGACACACGTCTCCTGGTTGACCTCGACGCCTCCGGCTATCCCAACGACTGCGTCCTGGTGTCCGACCAGCGTCTCAATGTATGCAGATTCGGGCGCGCTCCAGACGATGACTGCGCGGTCCGCTCCTCCCGAGAAGAGCTGCTCGGTGCCTCGCCTAAACGACAGCGAGAGAACGGCGTCTCGATGGCGCGTAAACAGCTTGCGCGGGGTCAGCGTCTCGGCGTCCCAGATGATCAGGCGAGCGTGCTTGTCGCCGGTTGCCAGGTATTTGCCAGAGTCGGAGACGGCCACGGAGACAATCTCGCCCGTGTGGCCCAGGTAGTCCCTCTCGCCCTTCTTGTTCTTGTCGCCCTTTCGCCAGAACAGCTTCTTGGGCGTCCGTCGCGGGCTCACGTTCGAGGCGCGCTGCGCGTCTGCCGCGTACGTGGCTGGGTCTGCAATCTCCCACTTCTCGACGACCAGGTCCTTGCTGATCGTCCACGCGTACGGCAACCGGACGGCGCAGCCAGTAATGGCCTTTTGCAGCCCCGACTTGCCAAAGACGTGTGGCGCATGCTCAAAGTCCAGCTTTTCAGCAATGTTCCGGTAGATCTTGCCCTTGGTCTCGGCAACGTCCTCCTTGAGCCTCTCTGCGATCAGGTCCTTGTCAATCTGCGCGGCGTCGAAGCCGACCTCTTCCTCGACCTCGCCGCGGATGTTGTCGAGGTAGCGCTGCGCCAATCGCAGACGCTTCTCGGCCGCCGTCTCGCCCTCGTCGTCCGACGTCTCCGAGGCGGCGTCGTCGTCGTCCGAGACATTTGCGCGCTCGCCGTCGGAGCTCTCGCTCTCGGTGATGGACTCCTCGCGCCCAGAGCGGGCGGGGGCTCTCGACTGCGAGGCGGCGGGAATGCTGCGCTTCCGGGGCACGGTCGAGTTGGCGTCGGGCCGCTTGCGCTTGCGCTGCGAGGCGGGCGTGGTGAAGAACGAGGACATGGCGGCAGCGGTGCAGGAAGGCGCTCCCAAAAACTTTTGCCGAGTGCAGCACTTTTTCGTCGGCGTTGAGAAAAACAACGCCGACGCCAAGCACTACGTCGGCGCTAGGATGTGCTGAGAGCTCCACGGGCCGTCGACGTATCGACGCATGGACGCTCACAAGAGGCAGAACATCAAACACGCCCATCGCCCTTGACCGTGCCATCGCCCTTGACCGTGCCATCGCCCTTCACCGTCCTCCACCCCGGGCCGCTCGATCCGGACGCTTCTGCTACTCGGCGCGGGAAACGCTGTCGGCGCTTCATAGACAGCAAACACCGTCCACACGACACCACCTGGAGCTCGCCTCTCCGCCGCCTCCACCGCCCACGGCCACCTCCCCCCCACCTCATCTCCCCTCCCTCCTCTCTTTTCTCCCTCCTCTCTTCTCTCCTCCCTCTTCTCTCCTCTCTCTTCTCTTCTCTCTCCTCCCTCGTTCCCCCATCACATCACATCGCCGCCGCCATGAGCAGCGATCCGGAGCGCGAGCACGCCCTCGAGGGCTACAAGGGCAAGCTGCTCGAGTCGCGCGAGTGGGAGGCAAAGCTCAAGAACCTGCGGTTAGAGATCAAGGGCCTGCAGCACGACTTTGACGTGTCCGAGGACAACATCAAGGCCCTGCAGAGCGTCGGCCAGATCATCGGCGAGGTGCTGAAGCAGCTGGACGAGGAGAGGTGTAGGTATTGCCCCCCACGCGCACGGGCAGCGTGCTGACACTGGCAGTCATTGTCAAGGCGTCGTCGGGGCCGCGCTACGTCGTTGGGTGCCGCTCCAAGGTCGACAAGGCGAAGCTGAAGCAGGGCACGCGCGTCGCGCTCGACATGACGACACTGACCATCATGCGCATGCTGCCCCGCGAAGTCGACCCGCTCGTCTACAACATGTCGCTCGAGGACCCCGGCCAGGTCAGCTTCGGCGGCATCGGCGGGCTGAACGAGCAGATCCGCGAGCTGCGAGAGGTGATTGAGCTGCCGCTGAAGAACCCCGAGCTGTTCCTGCGAGTCGGCATCAAGCCGCCCAAGGGCGTCCTGCTGTACGGGCCGCCGGGCACCGGAAAGACGCTGTTGGCGCGTGCTGTGGCGAGCAGCCTCGAGACAAACTTCCTCAAGGTTGTCTCGTCGGCCATTGTCGACAAGTACATTGGCGAGTCGGCGCGTCTGATCCGCGAGATGTTTGGCTACGCAAAGGAGCACGAGCCCTGCATCATCTTCATGGACGAGATCGACGCCATTGGCGGACGACGCTTCTCCGAGGGCACCTCGGCCGATCGTGAGATACAGCGCACACTGATGGAGCTGCTGAACCAGCTGGACGGTTTCGACTACCTCGGACAGACCAAGATCATCATGGCGACAAATCGACCAGACACACTCGACCCCGCCCTGCTGCGTGCCGGACGTCTCGACCGAAAGATTGAGATCTCGCTGCCCAACGAGGTCGGCCGTCTCGAGATTATGAAGATCCACTCGGCGAGCGTGCAGACGGACGGCGAGATTGACTTTGAGAGCATCGTCAAGATGAGCGACGGCTTCAACGGTGCCGATCTGCGCAACGTCGTCACAGAAGCGTGAGTATAGCCAACCGCGGGGAATCAGAACAGCGCTAACACGTGCACAGCGGCCTGTTCGCCATCAAGGACTACCGAGATTCGATCAACCAAGACGACTTCAACAAGGCCGTGCGCAAGATGGCAGAATCGAAGAAGCTGGAGGGCAAGCTGGACTACCAGAAGTTGTAGCCGGGGCGGGGTAGGAGAGCCTATTGCTGGCTTTGCATGATAGCATGAGCATCACAGATCATCATGTACGATAATACGACACTGGTAGCAGATGAATGACACTCTGCGCGCACAAGCCTCGTATAAACAGTCTATCGCGATACAATCCAGCAAGCCAACCCAGGATATCATGCACAGCCCGAAATTCCACGCACGACTCGCAAACACGCAGCCGCCAACACGCTCGCTCCACCCTTCACACCACCCTTCACACCACCTCCCCCACCTCGAAAACCGGCGCCTTCTTCCCCCACCGCACAGCCTGCACGTAGTACTCGCACACGGCCTCCATCTCACCCCTGCTCTTCGCATACTCGGCCCGCAGCCTCTCCAACCCCCTCCCCTCTCCCTTCGTCTTGCTCCCCAACCACACCGCCTCACCCCCAACACCGACCCGCCGCCGCATCGCAGCACTGAAATCCAGCGCGCGGCGAATCGTCTTGCGGTCCAGCGTCGGCGCCGTGACGGCCACGTACGCCTGCAGGTTCAGAAACACAGCCAGATCCAGCGGCGCGCCGAGTCGCGCTTCCGGCCCGGGGAAGCACGGGAGGTCGCTTGTCAGCACGACGGGCGCGCTGGGGTACGAGCTCGTCGGTCGCTTTGAGCTGGCGAGCGAGCTGCTGCTCGAGCTGCTGGGGGACTGTGTGTGGTGCGCGAGCGCGGCCCCCAGCGCCGCTGTTGTGTACGCCATGTGCTGCGTGTTGTCGCGCGCGTGCAGCTGCAGCGCGGCTTCGAGGCATGGCGCTAGTGACGGCCAGACGCGCATTGTTCCGCTTGTTGACGGGGGAGTCAGCGTCTTCAGCGTGAGAAGGTGCGATGCCGCCCAGGCGCAGGCCGTGTCCAGGTCGGCGACGGTGAGCTTGCCCTTTGTCGCGGGCGCGCTGAGGAAGAAGGCGCGGATGCTGCGGTGTGCGTAGGTCACCTTGGAGGCCTCTGGCGTGTCGATGCACGGCGTTCGGTGCTCGGGTGGCTGCGTGTCGAAGATGGCGAAGAGGTTCCGGCATTTGTATGTGAGCATCTGCTGCATGTCGTCTATCCGCTGTGCAATCTCGGCCGTCTTCAGCGGCTGGCGGTGTGCGGATATGCTCGCCTTCTCGTCGCTGCTGAGCGCGAAGGATAGGGGGAGCAAGGATGGGTAGCCGTGGGCCTCGATCAGGACGCTGATCTTCCACGCTTGCTCGAGGTCGATGGGCTCGAAGTTGGACAGGATGTGTGAGAGCAGTTCGTCGAGATCGGACGGCAGCATCTCGGCGCGGTTCTGCAGCGTGGTGAAGTTGTCGTTGCCCGTGAGTTCTTGGAGGAGGAATTTGGTGGCTAGCATGCCCCAGAGGAAGATGCCGCAGCATGTCTCGGAGAGCAGGGTGACGACGTTCATCTCTTCGGGTACAACGGCGTTTCCGCGCAGTTTCAGGAGTGACTCGTCGTGGCTGAAGCTGTGCAGGATGTACGCGTGCACGTCGCTGGTGGTGTGGTCGTCTACCCAGAGCCTTGGGCGCTTGTCGAAGGCTTCCTGGAATGCCGGTGACGGCCGACTTGAGACGAGGACCTTGACGTTTTCCTTCTTGCTGGCGTTGATGAGCATGGGGATTGCATCTACCAGATCCCCTGCATCATCGATCTCGTCGAGTCCGTCGACCATGAAGAGGAACTTTTTGCTTGCGTCCGAGATCATGACTTCGAACGCACGGCGTAATTCTGGGTGTGATAAGGAGTCGAGACCACCGCCGTAGGATCGGAACTGCTCCCATCTGTCCGCAAAAAGGCGTTGCAATATCCCCATATCCTCCTCCAAGGGTCCGTAGATCATGTCTTGCAGCGATTCGTACAGAAGCGATCGCAACAATCCAAGTCCAGACTTCTGCAGTTTAGTCCCGCAATTCCAGAAGAAGAATCCAGATGTAATCCCCGGTGCGTGTCCGGACCACGCCTCCAGGTAATCAAAGATGCGGTCGTTCTGGAAAAGGTGTCTCATCAACGTTGTCTTTCCCGCGCCCGGTCTCCCCGTAATCCAAAAGAGATGCTCTCCCCTCTGATTCCCCAGCCACTCCAGCACGCCCCCCTCATCCGTATGCTGATCGTCAAACACCCACTCAAGCGTACCCTCGTGCGGGCCCGCAATCGAATTTAACCGGTGATCCAGCTCTTCAAAATTCAGTCTCCCGAAAATCTCATCACAGAAATGCGCTTCGTTGGCTGCCTGAATCAAGGAATCGACCTGCTTCGAGAACTCCTCGACATTCTTCTTGCTCTTGGGTTTCCACTCGTTAATATGCACCGCGTCCAGGGCTTCATTCTGCCACTTCTCCCAGTGCGGCGTGTGCGGCCCTGTCTCGCTGAACACAGGGAGACCTGTCTCAGCAGACTGGTCGAGATACTGTCTGTCATTCGTCAGCCGCAGATCCAAAATGCCCGGGGGAGCATCACGCGCACCTCAGCGCCAGCAGAAGCGCAACGTCGACTTCCCTCCTCACAACACGGAGTTTCTTCTTCAAACCCGTGACATCCCGCTCCTTCCACACTCCGGACGCGCACAGCGCCTCACGCGCGGTGCCCCATCGCGGATCGCCAAAGCTGCCTTTCGCCTGCGTCTGCAAGAGGGCCTCAATCAACGGATTCGTCAGCTCCCTGGCCTCCTCGCTGATCTTGAGGAGCTGCTGCGCCGGCTCGCTGAGTTTGCTCTTACTGCCCTCGCCCAGTTTCCGCAAATCAGAGAGCTCGATTACGTCCGTGAGGCGGAACAAGTTGTCGACGATGCGCTGCAGGACCTGTGCATTTTCGACGACGGGCGTCGAGTCCGAATCGGCGGGCTGGTAGATGCTGTTCTGCTTCTGCAGGACCCTGATGGAAAAGTCGACCAGAAGCAGGATGCTTTGAGCCAGCCCGACGGCTGGCATGATTTTGTGGGTCATGGTGTTGGCGCGTTCGGCATCAAAGCCGTGCGCGCGGACGCTGAAAGCGAGACGTTTGCGTGCGAAAATAAAAGAGAACAAACGGTAGCAACTCACGCCGCCTGCGCCGCTTCAATAGGAGGAGATGAGGCTTGTACCTAAATCTGAGCGAATCGGTCTCCGTCTCATGTTTAGCGCAAGTCAGGATTCCGAACACAGTAATGAAACTTGGCAAGTTGGCGGTGCCCTGGCGGCCAGGGCTATTTTCAGTAGGTGGGGGTCAAATCTCTGATTGACGCGTTCCAAGGCCGCAGCAGGGCAATCCATTTTCACCAACTCAGGGAACACAATGTGATCAATTTGCACAACCTGGTGGTTGACAGGGAAGTATGCTGGTGCAATAATGGTATTTGACGCCTAAGCTATGCATAGTAAACACGCCTCCCGTCGTTTCGAACACGGCAACGCCAGGCTACATACAATACTCGTAATTACATTACCTGCCCCTCAAAATACGGCCTGAACCTGGACGCTTCCTGAAGACCACATTGCTGAACAGCCTCGTAACATGACATGAGGAGCGTTGGGAACTTGGTAGTCCAGTACCTCAGATATCCGTGAGGCAACGGGCCGACCTTAGCTTTCACATGCTCGTCCATATCTTCGTAATGATTCTTCTTGTTCCTGAGCGCACGAAGCAGATCCAGGATCCGGTCTCCGGTGTACTTGCGCTGTTTTCCGAGCGAGTCGATGAACGCTTTGTCGAGCTTTGCGAGGAAGTTCATTCTATGATCCAAGATCTCTTCGGCCCAGTCTTCGAGGATTGTCAGGTGGTTAGACGGAGGATCACGTGGCTCACGCTCCCAGTGATCGGAACAGTCGCAGAGGAAGTTCAGACGCTTCTCGGCTGACCAGAAGAACGGATGGTTCATGACCTGCAGAGCAGTGGGGCGATCTTCAGGGCGAGTCTTCAACATCCACTGAATGAGCCAGTACGGCTCTTCCGAATCATCGCCCAAGCGAAGACCCTCAAGATTGGCCTTCTCCTTCTTGATGTTGTACTCACGCATCTGCATCCAGCCTTCCTCGTCATCGAAGGGGTGAGAACCGTTCGTGAGAACGTAGTAGAACACGCAACCAAGTGAGAAGATGTCTACGGCTCGCTTGACACCTTGTGCGACAGGATCGGTAGATGTAGAGGAGTCGCGGGAATAGCCAGTTGAGCTGCCTCTGTCCACGTCCCTTGGCTGTGATATCAACTCAGGAGCCTTCCACCCGACAGTACCAGCATTGCCAGTAGTACCGATGAGGGTACTGACGTTGTCTGGCAAGGTTTTACAGAGCCCGAAGTCAGAAATCACCAGACGTGGGCCCTTGTTCTGGGTTCGTTGAGGGTAGGCAATCAAGATGTTCTGAGGCTTGATGTCGCGGTGAATGATCCTCAGGCTGTGCAGGTGGTTAAGACCATTCGCAAGCTGGTACAGCGTACGTGGAACGTCTCTGTTGATCTCGTTGACAAGGCGTCGTTGAGTATCGGTGAGATCCTCGCCAGGCCTGCCGTCTCTAAACAGGTCAAACAGACTGGCCTGGCACATCTCCACAGCGATGTACAGGAAATTTTCGTCCTTCTCATCATCAAAGTAGCGGATGACGTTAGGATGCAGATCGCTCTCCTGAAGAAGCTTGACTTCTTGCTCAGCCAGCCCAAAGTATTGGGGCAGCATTCGCTTGATGGCCACGTCGCGGTCCTGAGTAAATGTTTAGGTCGAATCCTATCAGCTTGAAGATATCTATACTTACGTTCCACTTGCCTTCGAAAACAAAGGTGCCACCACTTCCATTACCGAGAAGTTTATCTTGGTCAATGGTAAGTTTGCCAATTCTCTTCATGTTGGAGACATCCTGCATATCGTCGCCATTCATGGTGACTTCGTCGGGATGTAGAGATGGGGGCGGGTCGAGCTTCTTGGCAGCGTCAACGATACGGTCGACATCGTCCTCTTCTTTTTGCTGATTTTTGTTGAGCTTGCGACCACCACGCTTGCCCCTGTGCGTCTTCTTCTTCTTGGTTGGGGTGGCAAGAGCGCCATTAGGATCTTGTATGGCGCTGTCAGTAGTGCCGTTGACTGCAGAAGAAGTCTTCTCAGATGAAACTTGGGTGGCGTCATCAGAGTCGCCCTCTGTTGGCGACGATTGTTCGATGGTGGTGGTTCTCGAGAGGGAGAGTTCCGCCTCGTCATCGTCCGGTATGTCAAAGCTGACGACTTTCCTCTCCTTGGCTTCTGCGGCGACAGACGCCTCTACAGCAGCCTCCTGAACTGGCTCGGATGGGCTTACAGCTTCAGCAACATATTCCACGACAGGCGCCGTGTCCGCTGACAAGGTGTCTGGGATGCCTTCATGCTTTGTCTCTGGCCTGACTTCAGACTTTGCCTCGAGCTGCGCTTCTGGCTGCACTTCAGGCTTGTACTCTGCCTGGCTGCCTGGCTTGAACTCCGCCTCAGAGATTGTAGGCGAAGAGTATGTAATTGGAACCTCCTTGGCCTTGCGAACCTCAGGTGATTTATTGAAGAGGCTCACAAGCTTGTCGAGCTGGGGAGGATACTTCATGACCGATACGGTTCCAGCCATGACCAAGAAACAGAGAAGGATGGTGTAGACAGCGGCGGCTCGTGTCTCGATCATGGTCTCAGTACGGGGCGGTGGGTCGATTGCTGGCCTTTCCATCGGCGAAGTCTCCGGCGGTCGAGAAACAGGCTGACCTTCCTCGGCATGATATGCAGTAGGAGCAGCAATTGCAAGATACCTCGATGGCGTTTCAAGCCTTTGGTCCAGCTTGTGTACTCCTACTAAGTTCTGCTGGTCCGGAAGCGAGTGAGGGCCATCCCAGTCGAGCAGGTCTTTGTACTCGTAGCAGGGAGCGTCTGGTGCACCATCTGTCACCACAGGATAGTTCTGCTCTGAGAGCGCGTACCAAGCTCCGGTATCGGTGGTGTTCAGCCATACATGCTTAGCCCTCTCCTCTGATCCTACCTTGCCCGCGGGCTGTGGGAGCAGAATCAAGGCAGGCTCAGGCGAGTCGTCGTTCATGGGTCGAGCAACGTCAAACACACGTGCTACGGGATATGGCAGGTTCTGCGTAAACACAGGCTTGCCGCGAGACTTGCCGAGTCGATTGTGGTCAAGAGCCATCACCTGTCCGTTGTACCTGCTGTAGATGTATTGGTTGTCCATGGTGCTTGAGTACTGTATCTGCAGGTCGCGATCGCGGTTGTTTGGTGCCCACTCTGCATACTTGATGGTGCAGATGTGCTCGTTGCTCTGCTTATTGTGGATGCTGATCGTGTACTGCGTCTGTCCGAGGTTGATGGATCCTGAGCATTCCCGCTCCTGCGCGTGGAAGTAGTCTCTGCCTTGGGGGGCACAGCTCTCGTCGTCGACCGAGTATGTTCCGCTGGGGCTGAAGCTCTTCTTGATCTTCCCTGACGCGGCCTCAACAACGAGCATGAAGGTAGACTTCTCGACATTGTAGACGACTGGGAGCGCAGGGTCTTCGCTGGAGTAGGGCGCCATGTTGGCGAGTTGCTTTACAGTCATGCCTAGCCTGTGGAGGGCCGGGTAGGGGCCGGGCGTGAGGAAGTAGAGGGCTCCGTCTTCCTTGGGTTCCACGATCCAGACAAACGGCTGGTCCTGGAGCTTTCCGGCATCGTCCGATCCGTTGCCGTTGTAGATGGTCTCGAGCATGGGCTGGCCGGTCAGCTCCCATATCTCCTGTCCTGTGTATCGATCTCGTGCGTGGATGCGGCCGTCGACGGTCGCCAAGAGAACAAAGTCCTCAACTTCCCAGTCCTGCAGGGAACGCGCACTCGGTGCGAGGGCACCTGTGGCTGCGTTGGCGGCAGAGGGGGCTCTGACAGCGGAGACCGCTGGAGCAGAGGAGACATGTGTTGCTAGGGCGCTCTCATCCTGGGCAAAGACGGGAGAGTTCGGTCGGTGCCTGGCGACGCGGCCGGCACTCTCCTGTGCGTGGGTGGATTTCCCCTGGTTGGGGTGGATTGTGTGTGCAAGCACACTGCGGGGCGGCTGTTGCTGCTGCTGAGCGACGGCGAGGAGCGACGGTCCAAGGATGACGATTGCCAGGATCGTCGTGAGCGTGAGGCCAGCACCCGGCGGCCGGCGCGGGCGTGGCATGGTGGTCGGCGTCGTCTACGATGCGGGCGGCGATGCCTGAGGCAAGCTGTGGCGGTGGAGGTGATGGGGCATCGATGGGCAAGGGATGGCGTGGTAGAAGACTGAGACGATGGATGCCTTCTAAGCCTCGATATTAATGGCGCGCGGGGAGCTGAACGTGCGACCGGGCCTCTCGGAGCGGAACGTTAGGAGAAGGCCGAGAGGGCTTGGGGGCCGGGGTGGGCTAACAAGCGGAAGGCTGCCCTGATCTTCCCAGATTTAGAATTTTAGATGATCCCCGCGGCGCTAGAGCATGTGTAAGGCTGAAGGCCTCTCGGAGACGGTAACGATGGGAGAATGATGGTAACGATCGTTTTCGTTGCTTGTAAGGGTCGACGGTGAAGAGTTCGCGGGCGAAGGGTCCTTTGTGTGACAGCTGGGCGAGCCATGATTTCCCAACGTGAGCCCTTCGTTCACCCAGAACTCCAGAGCATCGGCCCTACACCAGATCAGCAACTATCTGCATCGGCCCTGCGTCGCTGCAGCTTCTCCTGCATTGGGCTCCATTGCTGCCACTGCTTGCACGTGTGTGCTCACGCATTTCTGCCATGGCACGGTGCAAACCTGGCCGTTTTCCAAAAACTGCCTTGGCTGCCCTGAAGACATCCCTCCATCTACTTGAGCCATTGGATCATCAACTAAAATCGTCACGATGGAAGGAATAGCTCGATACTCGAGTCCTTGCATCACTCGATAACGGCAAGGTGTGAACTCTGTCAAACACCGGGTCCCGTCATCGTCTGCAGCTGGTTCGATACATCTCGTTGGCTCTAACACCGACTCGCTCTTGACTCCTAGAAGCGAGACACTACTGCATCGAGAGCCGCCGATGAGCTACGTCTGTGCACTCCACAGCTCATGTTGCTAACACAACACATGCAATTTGCAACATTTGTCTTGAATATCGTAGCGCTCTATCACGCATACAAATTGGCAAAGGATCATAATCTTACAATGTCATTTGCATCATTGTAATCGTGGGTGTGCGAATGCTGAAAGGCTCATCGGCGGCTCTCAGGTGCCGTACGAGGCGGAAGAGCATTTCGGTCATACTTCGAGGGTTTTGACACGAGCTGACATATGCCCGGCGGCGTTCGGTACAGTTAATCACAGTCAATGGCTTGAGCGCTTCTATTAACACTACCGCTCCCTGCAGTTCGTGTTGACTTTGTACCAGGCATGTGAAACTGTCGAGCGAGGGTGTACATATGCAAGGTCTGAATCGTGAAACACAACTTCTCCTATGCCCAGCCACCCGTCTGCAGACGTCATGTCCGATTCGAGCTCCTCACCTAATGCTAGCTTCGTGCCCACACCAATCACTGTCATCACGTGTAGGAACTGGCCAACGTCTTTGACGGCATGAATTTCGTTTCGTGATGTACACTTCGTCTGAGCCATTGTGCTATCATGCTGGGGTCACACATCGTACAGCAAGCTTACATGCGCTCGCGACGACGAGGAGCTGACCTGATGATGTTGTCGACACGCAGGAGCAGCTCTGCGGCCTCTGATGCCGAGGAGACGACTGCGCGCTTGAGCTTGTAGCTCTCGACGACACCCAACTCCCTCATATCCGCAATACCGCCACTAGGCGACATCAGGTCGAGTCCTGAACTGGTGAGACCCGAGTAGACCGCCTTTCGAAGCCGTGTAACGAGGTCGCTGGAGTCAAGACCTGCGTTGTCAGCCAGAATGGTGGGTAGCTGCTGCAGCGCCTTGCCAAATGACTCGACGGCGATGGCCTTCTTGCCCTCCACGTTCTGCGCAGCCTCGGCAACGGCCTTGGCCATGTTCATCTCCGCACATCCACCACCAAGTGTTGTCCTGGGCTCCTTGACTGTTTGTGACAGAACCGCAAGGGCGTCGTGTAACGATCGTTCAGCCTCATCGAGAAGCTGCTCGGTAGCACCACGGAGCACAACCGTACAGGCCCTGCCTGCCTTGACACCAGAGAACCTGATAAGGGTGTCCTCGCCAATGATAACCTCCTCGATCAGGTCGCACTCGCCGATCTTGACCTGGTCTGGGTGGTCGAAAGTCGATGTGATCTCTCCGCCGGTGACAAGTGCCAATCGCTCGACGCCGTCGAAGTCTGCGTGCTCAATGGAGCAGATGCCGGCATCTGCGAAGAGCTGCTCTGGCCAGTTGTAGATCAACTGTCGGTTGACGAAGCAGTTGATGCCGTGTGCCTTGATACGCTCGACCTTGGCCCTCATCTTCTCGCGTTCTGCCTTCTCCAGTTCGGCCAGCTTGCCTGTGGAGTCGACCTTCACCCTGGCGCCAAAGATCTTGATCTTGTCTGTGTCCATTGATGTGTTTGCAACCAGGATCTTAGCGTTCTCTATCCTCTTGGGCTGGTTCACACCGAACTTCTTGTCCAGAATGAAGCCATCGTCAAGGTACGAGTCCTTGAGCTTTCCTCCTGCCTTCTTGATGATCTGGATGTGTGTGAGGTCGGTCGAGCCGCCTAGCTTGAGAACGGCGTCGACTGCGAGCTTGGAGAACTGGTCGCGGTCCTGACTCAGGACCTTGGAGCTAAGTGTTGTCCTTGCAATAGCCTCGAGGTCGTTCCTGAAAGCATCCTGATCGTGGCTGCGATCTGTTGCAATCCTCTCGAGAGCGGTCAGCGCCGCTTTGCTCGCTATCCTGTAGCCCTCGATGATTGTCTGGGGGTGGATCTTCTGGTCGACAAGCTTTTCGGCTTCGCGGAGGAGCTCTGCGGCAAGCACGGTGACTGAGGTTGTGCCGTCACCAACTTCGTCGTCCTGGACTTTCGAGATATTGACAAGCACTTTTGCGGCAGCGTTGTCGAGGGCAATGGCCTTCAGAATGGTAGCGCCGTCGTTTGTGACCAATATCTCGCCTGTGGAGCTGTGTATTTGCGTGAGTTTGGCTTTACCGGAGTATTCGTGGTGGAGGGTTCGTACGCAGACTGAAGGATCTTATCCATTCCCTTCGGCCCCAGTGTGCTCTTGACCAAGTCGCCGACGGCGATGGCTCCTACGAATGCGGAGAGACGCGCATTCTCGCCCTTCTCCTCCGTGACATCGTCCGCAAAGATCTGAGTGGGGTTCGACTGCAGCGGTATTGTTAGCGGACGAGCTGTTTTCGCAGATTACGCAGGGACATACCATCTTGCGAGTGGTGGTAAACAAGCAAGGAGGGGTATCTAAGGGGATGTGGGGTTGCAGGCTGTGGTGGCCTGCGGACGCGACTTTTTCGAGTTGCCCGCGATTTTGCACTGTTTGGATCCGGGCCCGTGCCTTCCTCGCAGCCTGGAGCTCCGAGAGCTTTCAGTGCACAACACAGCTCAATGCGCCGCGCCCGATACAGAGTCCTCGAATACAGAATACGCAATATTTACCCAACATCTCCGCTGTTGATTGTCGAGGAACTTACCACCCCACCATGTCCAAGCGACAGGCTTTCGAGCCTCTCGAAGATGTCGTCGATGCGCCATCACCAGCTTCGAAGCGAGCGCGAGTGGAAGATGTCGACATGGACAAGCCGCAAGCAAATGGCGCATCCAAGAACGGGCGCCTTGTCTCTCCGCGACTGGTGGACAAAGAGAAGATCGACATGCTGGGTGCAGATGCCGTAGAGCACGAAGAGCTTGAGGAAGCAGGGGCGCTGGATGGCATCGACGAAGACGAGTCAGCCATGGCTGCGCCGAAGAGGCAGATTGCACCAGAAGCTGGATACACCGACCTGTACCTCGACACAATAAATCGCAAAGTCCTCGACTTCGACTTCGAAAAGCTATGCTCCGTTACGCTCTCGAACATAAACGTATATGCCTGTCTCGTCTGCGGAAAGTACTTCCAAGGCAGAGGACCGAAGTCGCAAGCATATTTCCACGCGCTCGAAGAAGGGCACCACGTCTACGTCAACATGGAGACAAAGAAGGTCTACGTGCTTCCGGAAGGCTACGAAGTGAAGTCAAAATCACTGGACGACATCAAGTTTGTAGTGGACCCGCGCATGAGCAAGACAGAAGTAGCGCGGTTGGACAAGGAGCCTAAGGTGTCGTGGGATCTCTCCAACAAGGAGTACACCCCAGGCTATGTGGGCATGAACAATATCAAAGCGAACGATTACTTCAATGTGGTCATACAAGCGCTGTCGCATGTCGTACCTCTGCGAAACTACTTCATGCTCGAACATTTCTCGTCGAGACCTCAAATTGCGCAAAGATTCAGTACTCTAGTACGCAAAATCTGGAATCCACGCGCGTTCAAGACACATGTGTCTCCCCACGAGCTGCTGCAGGAGATTGCACTGCGTTCGTCCAAGCGCTTCAACCTGAGCGAGCAATCAGATCCAGTCGATTTTCTCTCGTGGTTTCTCAACAACGTTCACTTGGCTGTAGGAGGCTCAAAGACCAGGCCTGGGTCGAGCATTGTTCAAAAGGTTTTCCAAGGGACTCTGAAGATTGAGTCGCAAGAGATTACAGCGCGTGCCGATGCAGGAGATCGTTTGAGGTTCGAAGATGCTGCGGTCAAGTCGACGATCACCAAATTCATGATCCTCACTCTAGACCTGCCAGCTGCACCGCTGTTCCAGGACGCGTTAGAGAAGAACATCATTCCTCAGGTACCCTTGACTACGATTTTGAACAAGTACAATGGCATACAGCCCCAGGAGAAGATGAAGGACCGAGTACGATACCGCCTTCTGCACCCCCTCCCACCATATCTGCTGTTCAACATCAAGCGCTTCAGCAAGAACAAGTTCGTATCAGAGCGCAACCCCACTATCGTCACATTCCCTGTCACATCGCTAGACATGTCGCCATATGTCGAGCCCAATCCAAAAGAACACCCACCCGGTGAGCCAATCTACTACGATCTCGTAGCCAACATCACCCACGAAGCCGTCAAGAAGAAGGATGACAGTGTAGAAGGAGAGCAGGAGTCTAAAGTCTGGAGGGTGCAGCTCAAAGATCGGAGTCAAAACAAGTGGTACGGCATCCAGGACTTATTTGTCGAAGATGAGAAATCAGATATCCTTTTCACGAAAGAGGCATATCTTATGGTTTGGGAGAGACGGAGAACAAAGTCAGCTGCGAATGGCAGCAGTACAGGCAAAGCTTAGTGCCATCGCAAGTCTGGCAGGCTACATAGATTTGCGCGTTAAGACTGTAAGTTTGGACATGTACACTCTGAGACCTATCAGAATGAGATGGATCGTGTGGCACGTATGCAGAGGCTGGAGGCCTTCGTTGCTAGCGCTGACTGCGCTCCTTCCAAGCCTCTCAAGCATAAACCTGGTGTGATGTGTCTCAGAAGCTCTTGTGCCGCGTCATGGAAGATGGTGCAATAGACATTAGAAGCGCACTCCTGTCTTATGTATTTTCAGTCGCGACTGCTGTGGCTTGCGGAGTGTCATTTCCATTTAGGAGACGTGTTCCGATCCTCCGTCCGCTGCCAGCCGAATTTGAGTATATACAAGCTTGCCGTCAGCACAACTCTGTGCAAACGAACAAACATCAGCTCTCATACCTGGACCGCGAAAGACGTTATAATGCACGAGTAATGCCGAAGACATGGGAGCTCTGCAGCGACCGCATTCTCCACCGCATTTCCACGGATTCCTAGAGTACCGGTAGGCCACGCGTAGATGCGGTGAACCGATGACAAGAGCTAGGCAACAACTGCACGTATCGGGCAGGTAATGCGCAGCTAGAAGCTGATTCTGAGTCGGAGATACGTACAGAGTCAACTACCAACTCATTGCCTGGCAAACAGTACGGTCAAGACGACTCAGCGCGAGCTCTCACACTTCGTAGAGTGGAGAGCCGTACAAAGCCAGCGGTGCAAATCAGGAAGTAGATGTCAGTCCCAATTTGCAAAAAGACCACTGGGCTCGAGGAAATCATCATGGCCTTGCAATCCGCGCAACAGATGATTACTACTCTCGCGCAGAACATACGGTTTTGGAGGACAATTCAGTTCGTCCGGTAATTAATCCATATTTCACGGAGCACAAGCTTTCACCACCCGTGCGCTAGGCACATCGGAAAGTGGGAACCTTACCGATCCTGGGTCAGCTACATCGAATACGTCAATACGCCATGTTGAGCCATGGAATCACAACGCGACAGGCAGCTGTCATAACGCATGTGGGCGCCCGATGGACAGTTCAGTGCACGTTGAGTCGAACGGCAAGGAGTCGGAGCAACATGTGCCGATCTCTCCCCGACTTGTTAAGTCAAACCTCCGCCGAGTTACAAATCTGACGCTCGGAAGGTCGGGCGAAAATAACATCCGATAGCGCAAAATATCCTCAGGTGCTTAGCAAACCCCAGATTCTGCCGCCCTTTGCTTGCTGTCTGATTGGCGACGCATTATGTCCGTGTTGTCCGAAGGCTAGCCCTAGGATTTCGCACTGATTTCATGACTGCCGCCAGGATATAACCTCTAGCCCTGCATCACGCAGACGCAGGTGACATCTCGCCTCCTCTAGACTCTCACCACACTCACTCACACGGCTTCTGTCCGTAGGAATCGACAGTCGCTTCTATTACTCCAGGGACAGCAAGCAGCGTTCCACACGGTTATTGGGCTCGGCTCTGCTCGCACAGTTGGATTTTAAGAGTCGGCTTCCAGCATTCATCAGAAGAGGCGAGTAAGGACACACAATGTCGTCCTCGTCGTCATCTTTTGACGAAAAAAAGAATGGAGTTGGGCTTGTAGACCCTCAGGCAGCAGCACAAAAACCCACAGAATATGAACCGATAAAGACAGAGCCTAGTGCATACGATCCGGAGGCAGATCCTAAGAGGCGGCAAAGTTTAATACGCCTCGAGAGCCACACCAGCGCAATTTCAGATTTCAGCGATAGCGATGGTGCGAGCACGAAAGCTTCGTTGCGGAAGAAGAAGTTCTACGAGAGGCTCAATCCGCTCAAATGGGGACCCAAACCTCTAATTCCAGAAGAACGGGAGGTCTGTCCAGAACACAAGGCCAATGTATTCAGCCGGATCACATTCCAATGGATGCAGCCTTTGATGGCTACAGGCTACAAGCGACCGCTTGAGAAGACCGATATCTGGGTTGTCAACCCAGACCGGAGTACGGAAGTATTGATTAAACGTCTGAACCTGGCCCTCGAGAAGCGGTTGAAAGAGGGTGGCGATAAGCCGTTGCTGATGGCCCTGTTCGACACATTCAAACGCGAGTTCATCGTTGGAGGTCTTTGTCAACTTTCGGCATCCGTCATTCAGGCCGTCGCGCCGTTTGTTCTGCGATACTTGATCAATTTCGCGGTCAAAGCCTATGTCGCTCAGCACAGTGACGCGCCGGCTCCATCCATCGGCGAAGGCATAGGACTTGTCATCGGAATCACAGCAATGCAGGCTCTACAGAGTCTGTTTACTAATCAGTTCATGTACCACGGAATGATGGTCGGTGGACAAGCGCGCGCTGTGCTAATCGCAGCTATCTTTGACAAGGCAATGAAGCTGTCAGGCAGAGCAAAGGCAGGCGGCCAAGCAGTTCTGGAAGCCCCACCTCCAGAGGTCAAGCCCGGGAGCGAAGCAGAGAGGAAGTGGTATCAAAAGATTCTCAAAAAGAAGGAGGAAAAGGCCAAAAAGGGGCCTGAGGGTGTTGCTGGAGGTGGTGAAGGTTGGGGCAACGGTCGAATCGTCAATTTGATGTCCACCGACACATACCGTGTCGACCAGGCCAGCGGTTTCTTTCACATGATCTGGGCCGCACCCATTGGTATATTGATCACCACAGCTCTCCTTCTGGTCAATTTGACATACAGTGCGCTTCCTGGTCTCGGCCTGATTATAATCGCAATGCCGCTGCTCGCTCGATCTGTCAAGTCTCTATTCCACCGCCGTGTAGCCATCAACAAGGCCACCGATCAGCGTGTCAGTCTGACACAGGAAATCTTGCAGGCGGTACGATTCGTCAAGTTCTTCGGTTGGGAGACGAGTTTTCTTCAGCGCATCCAAGATATCAGAAAGAAGGAGATCCGCGGGATCCAGGTCCTTCTCACTGTTCGAAATGCCGTTCTCGCCGTTGGAATGTCCATGCCCGTCTTCGCCTCCATGCTGTCGTTCATCACGTTCTCCCAGGTCAACCCCTCTTTGGACCCGGCGAAGATCTTCTCTTCGTTGGCGCTCTTCAACTCAATGCGTCTCCCACTCAATTTCTTGCCTCTTATCATCGGCCAAGTCATCGATGCAAATGCATCAGTAAAGCGAATCCAGGAGTTCTTGATGGCTGAAGAGGCCGAGGATGGTGCCAAGTGGGACTACGATGCCAAAGACGCTGTCGTATTAAAGAATGCGGACTTCACCTGGGAGCGTCATCCCACAAATGACGAAGCTAAGGGTGGCCCGAACACCAAAAAAGTTGGAAACGAAACCAAGGCAGAGACGAAGGCTAGGGTGCAGACAGAGAAGGACGTGCAAATCGCGGATCTGGAAAGAGCGAAAAACGCGGCCGAGGAGAAGCCGTTCGAGATGAAGGGTGTCAACCTCACTTTCGGCAGAAACGAGCTCGTTGCTATTATTGGGAGTGTCGGTTCTGGCAAGAGTTCCTTGCTTGCTGCGCTCGCTGGTGACATGCGCAAGACGAGTGGTGAAGTCGTTATGGGCGCTTCCCGGGCTTTCTGCCCGCAGTATGCTTGGATCCAGAACGCTACTGTGCGCGAGAACATTGTCTTCGGAAAGGACTTTAACCAGAAATGGTACGACCAGGTCATCGATGCATGTGCTCTGCGCCCGGATCTGGACATGCTTCCCGTGGGAGATGCAACCGAGATTGGAGAGCGTGGCATCACAGTGTCTGGCGGTCAGAAGCAGCGCATGAACATTGCAAGAGCCATCTACTTCAACGCTGATATTGTGCTTATGGACGACCCCCTCAGCGCTGTTGACGCACACGTGGGTCGCCACATCATGGACAACGCTATCTGCGGACTGCTCAAGGACAAGTGCCGTATTCTGGCCACTCACCAGCTTCACGTTCTGAGCCGATGCGACAGGATTATTTGGGTCGATCAAGGAAATATCCAGGCAGTCGACACATTCCCCAACCTCATGGCACACAACGAAGGCTTCCAGGAGCTCATGAAGATGACCGCGTCAGAGGAGAAGCAGGAAGACGAGGAGGAAGTACTCGAGGACGAAGTCGAAGATGAGAAGAAGATGGCTAAAAAGGCAAAGAAGCAGAAGAAGGCTGCTGCACTCATGCAAGTCGAAGAGCGTGCTACCAAGAACGTGTCGTGGGATGTCTGGATCCAGTATATCAAGGCTGGAGGTGGCATTTGGGTCGGACCTCTCGTCTTCATTTTGCTCGTCCTCTCGCAGGGTGCCAACATCGTCACCAGCTTGTGGCTCTCATACTGGACCTCCGACAAGTTCGGCTACAGCCAAGGCGTATATATTGGAGCCTATGCTGCTTTCGGCTTCAGTCAGGCGCTGCTCATGTTCCTGTTTTCATTGGCTCTTTCGATTTTCGGTACCAAAGCTGGCAAGAAGATGTTGCACATGGCTATCACCCGAGTCCTTCGAGCACCGATGTCTTTCTTCGACACCACCCCTCTTGGTCGCATCACCAACCGCTTCTCTAAGGATATCGACGTCATAGACAACACGCTGACCGACGCCATTCGTATGTACTTCCTCACGCTTGCGATGATCATCTCGGTATTCATCTTGATCATCGCCTACTATTACTACTACGCCATCGCTCTGGGACCGCTTTTCATTCTCTTCATGTTCTCGGCCGCTTTCTATAGGTCCTCGGCCCGCGAGGTTAAGCGTCACGAAGCTGTTCTCCGCAGTACAGTGTTCGCACGCTTCGGCGAGGCTGTCATGGGTACACCTACCATCCGCGCCTATGGCCTACAGAACCAGTTTTCACGTACCGTCCGCGAGGCGATCGACGATATGAACAGTGCCTACTACCTTACATTTGCTAATCAACGCTGGCTCAGTGTTCGTCTGGATGTCGTCGGTGTCTTGCTCGTCTTCACCACTGGTATCCTCGTCGTCACGTCCAGATTCAACGTCAATCCTAGTATCGCTGGTCTAGTCCTGTCTTATATCCTCGCTATCGTCCAGATGATCCAGTTCACGGTTCGCCAGCTGGCTGAAGTAGAGAACAATATGAACTCTACCGAGCGCATCTACCACTATGGTACACAGCTCGAAGAGGAAGCCGCTCTCCACACCGATGTGCAAGTCCGACCGACCTGGCCCGAGCATGGTGAGATTGTCTTCGAGAATGTCGAGATGCGCTACCGTGACGGTCTGCCATTGGTGCTGAAGGGTCTGAGTATGCATGTCCGTGCTGGCGAGCGCATTGGCGTCGTCGGTCGTACCGGAGCGGGTAAAAGTTCGATCATGTCTGCTCTGTTCCGTCTCCAGGAGCTGGCGGGTGGTTCGATTACTATCGACGGGTTGGATATCAGCAAGATTGGGCTGCAGAATCTGCGATCAAACTTGGCCATCATCCCACAGGATCCTACCTTGTTCAAGGGAACCGTATGTCGATTCGCAAATCCTTTGTCTCCGACACGATGCTAATCTTAGCTGCAGATTCGAAGCAACCTTGACCCCTTCCACAAGAAGACTGATCTTGAGCTGTGGTCCGCCCTGCGTCAGGCCGATCTGGTTTCGAACGATGCAGAGATGGGCGACAAAACTGGACGCATTCATCTTGACTCTGTTGTAGAAGAGGAAGGACTAAACTTCTCTCTAGGACAGCGTCAACTGCTTGCCCTAGCTCGCGCACTCGTCCGCGGATCGCAGATCATTGTCTGTGACGAAGCAACCTCAAGTGTCGACTTCGAGACAGATCAGAAGATTCAGAAAACGATTGTGGACGGCTTCGCGGGCAAGACCCTGCTCTGTATCGCGCATCGTCTCAAGACCATCATCAGCTACGACCGCATCTGTGTCATGGACCAGGGTCAGATTACCGAACTCGACACCCCCATCAACCTATACGATCAGGGTGGTATTTTCAAGGGCATGTGCGAGCGCAGTGGGATCCGGAGGGACGACTTCTTCGGGAAGCACTAGAGTTGCGGTGTGCGGTAGAGGCACGGGTGCAGGCAGCATGCTGAGGGTGTTATCGCGCTACGATGGAGGGGTCGCAGGGTAATGACATCCACATCCACCGTCACCGGCTTAATTTTTACAATCATTCTGCGTATTTTCTCGTTGTGAATGCGGGCCCTTTTAGCGCGCATGGACATGGCGTTTGGCTGTAGCGGCATTTTGGAAGCTTTCTTCCTCCAATGTTGGGGCATGTCTAGCGAGGCTTTCTTTTGCACCAGCGGAGTCTGAGATCCCAGGAAATCAAGAAGTATCGCAGATGCGACAAGCTGAAGATGCTGTTTTCGATAGTTCATATCAAGTGTTGGTTCACGTACTGAACTCAATGCCATGTCATGTTCCAGGCATTCAGCTGCTGACGGCGAGGCTGCACCTTCGACCGCAACGAGGCTTGAAGCTGGGCAGCAGCGCAAAACGTGGTAGGATCTAGTGCCTTGGTATCACAGCACTTCTGCTCAAGCGCATCGTTTTCACCCAACGCGGAGCCACTCCGCCAATCCAGTTCCGCGAATCTGCGAGACACGGCGGGAGCAGCGTGCACCATCAGGTGCTTGTAGGTAGTCGCTATCGCAAGGCTGTTGACACTGCCAGCGCGGCGGCGCCGACGCATGCAGTCGAGGTACTGTTCCAGAAGTCTGGAAGGCTTCAGCAGAAGTCGCCTTCGCTGCGGCTGCTATCATGACAAGACGGGCAGGTCGCTTGCCAATCACTCGCAAGCTACATGAAGTCAAGGCGCCGCCGTAGGCTCTTCGGCCTGGGCCTCCGCGTGGTATCAACGCCCTAAGCAAGCGAAGTCCCGGCCTAGCTGCACTCGCCCGCGTTCATGCTTGCAAGTTGCAGGCCAAGCTCCAGCAATTCAGCACGGATGCCAGGCCAAGCGAGCTTAACTACTTTGAGTGCGGCGTCGTTTGAACTCGCTCAGGGACGCCGTGACGAGTCTATAGGTGGCGTGCAGCGGCGTCAAGAGTCTTGGGGTTCTTGGGGGCTACGATAAGCTCTGCGCTCTGTGGCAAGACAAGACAGGACAAGACAAGACGGCGTCGGACACCGTGATGTGACCGCAAGGAGCGTTGAGAGTGGAGCGTTGCTGGATCAAAGTCAAACTACAATAATGCTTGCAAGTGAACAATGGCGGCTCAGCCTATCAAAACAAAGGGCCGAAAATCTGCACTTCGCCTGCACTTGCAGAGCGCGCCCTCGGTTGGGTCTAGCAGCTCGATCGGCCCCTTAGCCTGGAACCCAGTGTTCGCTCAGACCTTCCCCCGGCCCTGGGTCTGGGCTTCTCCTCCAAGCTCATTATCACGGCCTGCGCCCACCAGCTACATTCCCTTTGCTAGCTGTACCATTCTCCTCCTGCTGCCCCCCAGTCGCTCTCTGCTTATACCCCGCAGCAATTGTAGCTGAAGCACGCCGGTCGACCAGCTACATATAGCACCTGCAATTCGCCTGTGCTGTTTGCCCCTTCCTTGTCAGCAGCACCCTTATCGTGTCGAGCCTTCCGTCTCAGGAGTGGATTCACCTCGCGGCAGTAAAATCCGGGCCAAATCTCCTGATCCGCGTGTCATTCTTGCTGCGTGCTCAGCTCGACCATCAAACGTCGCACAAAACTACTCCGCTGCATCTGCAGTCAGCCATCATTGGAAAAGGGTCCTCCTGACGACTTGGTCCCTGCGGCACTGCACCCACTGTCCCTGTTGACACACTGCGAGCACTCCTTCCACAACGCAATGGCAGCAAACAACGAAAAGTACGAGCCCCTCACCTTTGGCGTCACCATCGAGGGCCAGACAGACATCCCCAAGTCCACACCGTCGCCCGCACCCTTGCTCCCGTCGTCCAACGCATCGACCATGTCCACAGCCACAGCAGATGCTACCGCCAAGGAGATGGCCATCGACTCGTCCAACCCCTACTCTGCCTTCTACAAGCACCCGGACGCCCAGCGCTCCATCGGCAATGTGAGCGCACTGCAGAGCAAGACACATCTTGAAGTCACCACTTTCGAACGCGACCTCGAGGCTGGCGTCCCACTATCAGCCGCCACCACACAGCAAATGCCCAAGGTCTCGGTCGACGGTCGCGTCAGGGAGGTCAAGGAGTGCACAATGTGGCCGTCAAGGCAGGCTGTGCTCGAGAAGCGCAAGGACCACAAGCGCAAGAAGGGCTGCAACCTCTTCCAGGGCCTGACCAGTAAGCAGAGGTTATGGATCAAGATCATCATCGCGCTCCTCGTCATCGGTGCCGCGGTTGGTCTTGGTGTAGGCATCTCGCGAGCTGTCGGCGGTGGTGTATGGGCCGGCGACGGCAAGAGCAAGGAGATTCCTCACAGCTGAGTCGGCAACGGGCTCCGTTAGCAACAGCACTGTCACAGGTTGGTCAAACCACGTCGCACATTTTTGAGCTAATTGCTAACAATCCGTCAGTGTCGCTCAGCACATCGCTCGAGTATGACTACCGACTACGACTACGCGCATATCTTCTTCGACATCACTACGATATCCCCTTTCTGCTGATTATTGCTTGTACCTAATGTACATATTTCTGTCTCGCTTCTGTTCATATTTCAACGGGACACATCCGGGTCACGGCGCCCGCGGCGCACTTTACTGGGCATATCAATGCATTTGGGCAAGGGCTAGGCGCTTGGTTTTCACAAGGGATTTCCTGCAGGTGCGCACATCACATTCAAGATACAGCACGAGAGATCGATCAATCGAACATCGCCTGCGCTGCTACAGCGAGGCTGAACTCCAACCTCTTCTTCACATGCGTTCACATGCGTAATTCTTGCTTAGCCTTGCACGTCATAGTGAATACTTGTGCAACTCCCTCAACAATTTCACGGACCCCACTCAAAGCGGCCTTTCAATCGCGCACGGTACGTTCCACTGGAGAGGATCCGTTCGCACCATTCACAAAGACTGATGTCTGATGCGAAACGCGGGAATCAAAGTCAAACGGAACGCGCAACATTGACAGCTGCCCAGATAGATAGCAATCGCGGACGCGGCCCGCACCATCACTCTAATGTACCGTGCAATTAGCCGCAGCTGATGAGAGTAGGTATAACCATGCGAGAAGTTTCTGCACCACTTTGGAAGGAAGTGTACATCGCAATATCAAGAGACGATGATGCATCAATGGATTTTCGATGACCAGGGAAATTACACGGCCCCTGCATATTCGGAAATATTGGGTTCATGAGCGTGGATTCGGGAGCGCAGCCACTTGAATCCACTTTTCACTCCGAAGTCGCGCCACTTTCGCCCTGGGGCATTGTGATTGGTTAAATGGCTACGATTCATTGCGAGATGGGAGCGAATACGATGCGTATCGAAATACGCCGATGGGCGTTTCGTGGCATGATGAGGGCGTTTTGTAGTGTTTGTTTGTTCAAGGGTCTTCGGTATGTGCCGAGAGGAAGTTGCGAGGGGTGAGTATTGGAGGGGAGATGTGGAATGCTAACATGAACTCTGGACTGCTTCGAGGACAGGCTGCCTTTGTCTCCACGCACTGCTTGTGTAGCTCAAGACGATCGCGCTGTTCAAATTTCTCGAACATGGAGATGGCGCTATCTGTCAATTTTCATTATGGAAACATGGACTGAATGTATACCTAGGCCTAAATACTCGGTGACAGCTGACTATCGCCTCGAGCTCCTGTCTCTGGCTATTTGATGTCTTGGGAGGACAGTGGGCAACGTCCAGTACTTTATATGACTCCGCATTGTACTTTCGCTAGATGCGGGTTGATCTCATCCGGGGCTGGAATATATGCCGCACTAATCATAAGACTGCAATTCTCTGCCAGCGGAAGATGAGGAGCCATGCGTCACCGCCCTAACCATCGAACCAGGAACACCAGAACGGTGCAGCTGGCACAGAAGGTGACTAACACCGAGAACGAGATACCGCAGGCAGACGTCCACCGATCAAGTTTGCCGTCGCAGCTGAACAAGTCGATTCGAGCTAGGAAGAATATCTATGACAACAACCAGTGCAGTCCACCACTAGCGAAGATGAGCAGAACTGCGAACCTGTAGAGCATTTGCAAGAAGTATTCGCTCCGCTGATCTCAGCGTGGACTAGTCACCTGAGAGTTTTGCGAGTGGCCCCCATATTGTTCCACTCAGCTGCGCTTGCCATTGAGCTGCAGAGCCTATTCACACAATGATAACATATTATAAAAGGACTTGTGGCATATTGGCGAGCCGAACGTTCCAGATAGTGCCCTTAGCAGTCCCTGCTTAGGAACCGAAGGAGAGGACGCCCTCAGAAGCGGAACCCCATTTCCAGACACCAGTATCTAAAGCTTCGATCCATGTCGAGAAACTGACGACGACAAGTACCAGACAGACTCCACTGGCCAATGGTCAGATCAAGCTAGGTTAAGGGAACGCATCGACTTACGCTGTAACCGCGGTCCAGGTTTTGTCATACCCGATGGACGAGCATTAACGTCTCAATCGCGGCTGCCATGGAATCATGCTGTAGTCCGTGTCATCTATGATGTCAAAACTGAGCAGCATTCTGTCCAACTCCAAAATACCTCTATCCTCCGCCAACTCCTCGGGGCGCAAGGTCATTTGAGCTCAAATGGGTCGTCTCAGCCAGACGTGGTTGGTTTGCAGAGCGCTTGTATCTGCAAAGGATTGTACAAGTGTTATTCACAGTAAGCTGGGAAGCATTGGCCCTACTGGCTCGGGTCGTTCTCAAGTGAATTGCTGGTTATCGAAAAACCTAGGTATCCATTGTCGATATCCTGACGATTGACAGGATCGTGGTTCTGGTCGACATGTTGCCGAGCACTGGGCTGACGGCGGGTCTTTCTTGACTGATCATGTATGGATCGCGTATGTCGAGGACCGTGATCTGTATAGTTTGCCATGGGCCCTGGGATCTGGTGTCGGGGAGCAGATAACGAGTACGCCGTCGACACGGGTGGATCAGAAGTATGCGGAGGGTAATCGTAGTAATTAGTCGTGCATCTTAGGGGCGGCTCTTCGGACTCGATGGCAAAGCATATTTGATTAGTAGTCAGCTGTGACTCCAGTGAAAACAGAATATTGAAAAGGGCCACCGAGTACCTTTGGCAGGCACAAATGTAGACACGTGCAGCGATATCATGCGTCGTTCCGTAAAATACTCATTTCCTATCGACATGTGCCGGTGTGGAAGAACCGGACGCTCAATATAAATACGGGAACAGATGCAAGCATATATGGTGACAAAACGCAAGAAACCCACCTGTATGTACACATCGTGGGCCTAGATGTACACATCGCGGGCTTAGAAGGTTCATTACAATTCCTACAATTCTTGTACATCCTCATCATCATCACTGGCGTTGTGCTTAGGAAACTTCCTGTACCAATCCGCTGGACTGCCACCGGGGAGACACAGGCCGAGGCGCCAGAAGTAATCCCTGTGAGCAAAGAACAACTGCCAGAACTTAAAGCGAGTAGGTACGCCCCATGCAGGACGGTCGTTGTCACTGCCTTCGATGCAGTACGGATCCTCATCGCCTTCGCAGTAGTGTACGTCGGCCAAGGAGCAGGGCAGACTTGGTTCTGAAATAAAGACTTCCTCGCTGTGCATGGAGTAGCCCCACTCTTCCAACGGTAGCAGGGGTACTGGATCGCCCGCATGGGTAACGCGGTGGAAGTTGTTCGAATCGTGAAGCCCTGTGATGTTGAAGCGATCGTCGATGTACGCGTTCAAGTTCTTGTTCCCGAGTCGCGGTTCGCCAAAGGTGGTCACGCGAGGGTTCCACCCACGTGCCTTGAAGTCGAGACCGGCCAGAGTCGCAACAGCACCGCCTAACGAGTGACCAACGAGCACCAGCTGATAATTAGGATACTTCTCCAGAGCCTCTGCTACATGTGGGAGAACAACTCTGCGCGTGTTCAGCCAGGAGGTGTAGAAGCCGGAGTGCACGGTGCAGTTGGTGCACTTGGGTGGGTCAGCAGGCGGTGGATCTCCCTCCGAAGGCGAGGAAGACTGCAGGTGAGGTGCAAGGAAGTCGGAGGTAGACCCATCGTCATCGTCGGCAGGGTACGAGACGTATTCTTGAGGGATAGTTGAAAGATCTGCTATGGTGTTGGCGATGGAGTAGGTGCCGCGAAAAGCGAGGATGAGTCGTGGGTTCTGAGGGTTGTGGGCCAGAGCAACATAGCCGCAGGAGTCAGACAAGAAAGGTCCTGTGTTCCATGCCTGATACTGTCAATATAGCGACGACAATGGAGTTGCTGCATCCGGCGACTCACTGTTACAAGCTCAAAGCTCTCGAAATCGCGGTCTGCGCAGCGGCTGGCGCATTGAAATGGCTTCTGAATACCCAGGCCAGCAGTACCAACGCAGTAGGAAATATCGACTATGCGCGCGAGCTCCTCCAGCTCCCAGAAGAGCTTCTGCGAGATCAGGGTGTCATTGCCGGAGTGAGCGAGCGGCTGCTGCGTCGCATCGCCACTTGAGCGAGAGGCGGCGGCGAGAGTCACAATGCAGTGCAGGATGAGGCCGACGACGTTGGCCATGGAATGTCTCTTTCACATATTATTCCTCGGAGGCGGCCTGTGCAGATTGCAGTGGAGCGAGGGTGAGGTCAGAGGAGGATGCATCCGGGGCACGGTCAAGGGTGCGAGGCCACTCGCGGCTGTGGCTTGCTTGGCGCCAACGCCAGGAAGACCAGAGCGCTACGTCATAGTCCCGGGAGTAGTCGCTTTGATTTGAAGGAGACACCGGGATACGATGGGTTCATCGAGCAAGACGGCTGCACCCTGCTTACACTTGCCTCCAAGGACACACCATCGCCGCACCCGAGCCAAAAGCTTCCGTTGGCATCCGCATAAGAGTAGGCGAAGACACGACCATTTTCCTTGTGGCCGCTTGTTTCCCTTAGACTGCATACACACCCATCGCTACCGCACAACACCACGCACGTCATGGCCACCGAGCAGACGTCGACCGAGCCATTGCGGGCGCCGACGCCCCAGATGACTGAGCCTTCGCGACCTGCCACAGCGCACACGGCAAACAGCGCCCTTCACGTCCCGGGCACAGACGGCGCGGCCGACGCGAACAACAGCACAGCAGCGGTCAACGCCAGTGCGGATCCCAGCAGACCCGTCACGCCAAACGCCCACAACCCTCTCAACGCCAGATTCCCCCACACCCAAGTCGCATACGATGATCCCGATTTCAGACGGCCGCCGCCACTGAAGTACTCGTTGCGCACGCGCAAGAAGGCTATTTTCTGGTTCTGGACGCTCATCATCCTCGACTGCATCTTCATGCCCATTGGACTGTACTTTGGCCTGTGGTACGGTCTTACACGCGACCAGCTCTCTGCAAATGCCACATTCAGTATCAGTACTGCGCTGCTGGGCACTGTCTCGATTGTCGAGTACTTCATTCGCTTCTACCGCCTCTGGAAGAAGAACTCCAAGTGCAGAGTTATTGGTGCCAAACGTGCTTACGTACGTATTATTTGTTCCAACGTAAAACTTCTCAACTAACCGTACGCAGCTCGACTGGTTCCACTGGAACTTGTCCTTTGCATGGTTCTTCATCATGATCGAACTGATTGCAGGGACATGTCCCCACGACCCACCAATCCGTGTCCTCGCCATGCCAGCAGCCACTATGCTGTTCGCCATTGGCTTCCAGCTCCTGGCCCTTGACATCCTCCGAATCCGTGGTGTTCCGGCGCCCTGCCGTATCTCATCGTTGCCAAAGGGTGCCCCCCTGCGTCCTGGCATCTACGCGTACATCGAGGACATTTGCGCTGTCGATGGATCCGGAGGCACCGAGTTCAGGCAAAGACTGAACCTGCGCTACCAGGCTAGCAAAGCTTTCCGTGAGATGCTGCATCGTCTGACGTTGTTCTGGGCTATCGGTGCTATCGTCTGCGCTGCCGTCACCACCGCCATCATTTTCACCATCCAGCGTGATGCCGCCTACGTCGTAAGTCTTAATCCTTCCGTCCAACATCGGAAAATGCTAAATCAACGCAGGTTGGCTGGATCCTACCCTTCCTCTGGGCCGGCATCTGGGCCGCCATTACCATTCCCTGGGTCCAGCGCGACCTCGAGAAGGAGTACAATGACTGGACCGAAGCCAGGTGGAAGGCCTAAGCTGTTTTTAGGGTTTTTTGTATCAACACTTTGCACTGTACAGCATACACCCATGGCGACGGCGCTGGCGTTTGGCTCTCAAGATGTGACGGGATTTGCTACATGATACCACGGTTCTTTAGATTGTCTTCAATGCATGTCATCCTTTCCAATATCTCAGTATTGCGTTTACGCATCCATCCCTTCTCATCACTCATTGCTGTGTGCACTTTACTGTCGTGCGTTGCGCGTCCACGCTGATCCCTGACATCACGATGAGACCACTTGCAACTTTCCCCATGCGCAGATCTCCGTCATTCTAGTCTTCCTACACACGGGCACTTCTCGAATTCAGGGTTTTGTGTTCCGATAATGCGCGGCGCCAATGTGCTTGGGCGTCGTCATGGAAAGCTTGTGTCGTGATGCCTGCTCGCCTGACCAGGTTTGGTCGGTGAAGTTATGTCCGGCAGGGTTGTCGGCGAGGAGCGAGGAGCGAGGAACGAGAAGGGCGCTAGAACATCAGTCGAAGAAAGAGGAAGCGCGCTCATCCTTTCATCAACGCTTTAAAAGTTTAGTTTAATTGGTATCGCTGCTACCATGACCACGGTGATGATTTGCTTGAAGAAGCGGCAAAAAATGGAATACCAGGTAGCTGCGCCGGGATGCTTTGCAGCCGCACTGGAAGACCAAGATCATGATCATGCGAAGAAGAAATAGTGGACGGGCGGCAAGTGGAGAAGCGAAGCAATTACCGAAACTAAGAAGCAAGAGCTGGATTCGAAGACTGTACATGAGCCCCGGGGCCTCCCGTAGAGCTTGATGGAGCAGAGTTATAGCATCCTAACGACGCTGGTCAGGTTGTGTGTCCCCAACGAGATACCCTAGCTTTGGGAACATAGGAACGACCGGTGAAATCAAGCGAATCGATTCGCACATTCTATCTAGAGGCCTGCATACACTCTCTACGAGCTTCCCGAATGCTTCTTCAATTTATCCAGTGCAGGCTGAACAACCTTTTCATTAGCACCCTCCTTCCTCTTCGCCTCCCTGACAGCCACCTTCTCCAACTCCTTCACCCTCGCGCCCTTCTCCTCTTCCTTCCACCACGCCTCTCCACGCTCCACAAATCTAACAAAAGCATCAAGCACGATCTCCTTCCCCTCCCAGCTCTTCCCACTAAGCGCCTTATCCAGCACCGGCCAAATCCTCTCCGCACTACTCTTATCCAGAATCTCGCTGCCAACCGCAGACGTGATGCTCAGCACGGCGTTAGCAACTGCCTTCGCAGCCGTGTGTTTGATCGCCCACTGTCGAGACTCGAGGTGCTCGTTGCACAACGCCAGGATCTCAGAGAGGTAGAGCGCCACGCTGCGACTACCAGCTACATGCTCGTCCCACGTCTCCGTGAACGCCTTGCGCACATTCTCCTCGCCGTCGTGCTTGGCGAGAAACACAAATGGCAGCAGCTCTGCCGCAAGCGAGGCAAAGCGGTCCGTGGCATACTGGCTAATAGCATGAATCATGTCGCCAGCGAGCAGACGTGCGCGGTCTGAGCCCTCTTCGGTCTCGAAGTACTGTTTCTTGGCGAACGCAATGGTGGAGAGTAGTTGTTTGTCCGACGCTAGGCGCGCGACGTAGCCAGATGCTGCGGCATAGCTGGACGAAACAGTCTCGTTGCGGTCGTGGATGTGCTTGTGGATCAGCTTGAGGAAGTGATCAGCGTAGGGGCTAAAGATGAAGCGATGCCGTGTCGCGAGTGTGACCAGGATGCGGCTACATCCCACCTTGGAGGGCAGGCCGACGGCGGATTTCATAGCGACTTCGAGGCGCGGGACCAATGCTTTCATCGTGTCTGCGTCAGCGAGGTCGAGACAACGCTCGATTGATTCGGTGAGCGGGGACGAGCGCACGGATGCGAGGCGCATGTCGTCAATCTTTTGGGCGGTGAGATTGTACTTGGAGGCGTTGAGGTGGATGTAGTTCACTGCTTCCGGCTCGAGGCTGCTGAGTAGACCGAGTAGGCGCTCGACGAGCTCGGGGACATGGTGGTTGAGCGTTTTGGCGTTGGCCTTCTTCACGATCTGGAGAAGTGTATGCACAGAGAACATACGCACTTCCTCGGCCGATGATTCAAGGCCGTTTGTAGAGAACAAGAAAGGCAAAACCTGGACTAGCTGAGCGTTGGCTGTCTTCAGAGAAGCGTCGCCAGCTTCTAGCGAGCGCGTGAGGATCGCAGTCAGCACGCGAGCGAGAGACGCAGCAGCCACACGGACAGTTTCCTTGATGTCATCGAGTACCTTGAAACATTTGTCCCAGACCGAGGACAGATACTTCTCGTACTAGCACTACTTAGTAGCTGTTCTCGGTAGTCCAAATAATTAGTACATACCTTGTCAATGCCGCGTCCTTGAATGAGGTCTGCAACAGCAGCACATGCAGCTTGTCGTACACGCCACTCTTTACCTAGAATGCTAACGAGCAAGTCATCCATGATTGCGTCGAAATGCTTGTCGATTGTTGCCGAAGAGTCTTTTACCAGAGCGTTCCAGATGTCGTTCATGGAACGCTGGACGTTAGGGTTCGGATCGAACCTGTGTAATATCAGCATACAGGGTGTGCGGTTGCCTGAAAATACGCATACCTATAACGGTAAAGCTTTGGGTAAAGCTTTGGGTTTTGCGCCAGATAGCCATCAACACTCGAGTCTGAGAAGATGTTGCTCAGACCGAAGCGGCCAAATGCAGCCCTGCTAGACCAGATGGAATTGTTGGACGCCATTGACATGAAGCGGTATACGAGACTAGAGTCGCCGACTTCAGCGGCAAGGCTCATGATGTCCTTGTACGTCGTGATAGACTTGCCATCACCTGTGGGCAACGCGCCGGGCTCGAATAGTTGAGTGTCTTCAGACACTGTGCCTGCCATCTTCGACTTGTTGTCAGAGAATGAGCCAACAAGATCACGAACGAGATCATCCTTGAGCTCACGGTCTCCCTTTTCATAGACAAGACCGAGACCGCGTGACGCGGCTTCCTGCACCACTTCGTCGCGGTCAGAAAGACAATTCTTGAAGGCGACCTGACACTGGCTGAGGTAGCCCTGCATCTCTGGTTTGTGGCCGCAATATTGAAGCAGACAAAGCAGCCAGATCACAGATGCCTTCTTCAACGCAGGCTTGGTTTGCACGCAGCCCTTCAATGTCTTCTCGAGGACAGCCGTGAAAGTCTTGTCGCGTGCCGGTCCGCTGGATGTTCGTAATGGTGCATCCCACGGATCATCTGGCTGTTCTGGATGTACAATATCAAGCTCAGCGATCAGGGCCTTTGAGCCCCAGCCAATCGCAAAGCAACTCAGCGCTTCACCAACGGAGAACTGTACTTCTGGTTGGCGGACCTCGTGGAGCTCGTATAGTTTGTCACCGATGAGCTTGTAGTCCGATCCTTCTTCGGTCTCTTCTTTTTCTTCGGTGACCATCGACAGGTGACCCAGAGCCAGAATGGCGCTGATAGTACCTGTCTTTGCCGACTCGTAAATTTGTGTAGCGATGTCCTCAATCTTGGCATATTTCGCGATGGTCGAAGGTGAGATGACGTGGAAAAGGCAGAGCTGATCGATGCACAGGAATGCTGCAGACTTCAGTGTCGCGTCTCGTGTTTCTTTGAGCACCTCCACCAAAGTCTGCAGTAGCTGATGGACGGGGTGGTCTTCTGGAAGGTCACTTGCTGATTTGCTTCCTCTCCAATGCACTCTACTGAAGTAGTATCCGAGTGCAATGACGATGCCGCTGATCTGGTTAATGTCCGCACCAACAGCCGACTTCCAGGTGCCAAGTTTTTCGAAGAACCAGTTTTGCGATGTGCAGATTGCTGTTGTGTCGCAATCAGGATGGGATGCTAGAAGACCATAAGTGTGAGCAGCAGCGAGCCGGCGCCCGGGGTTGTTCGAAAAGATCGAGGGCTCTAAGGCACGGAAGTCTTGAATGAGATGTGCAAGCGCCCAGTATCGCTGCGGACACAGCGATAGTAGCCGTACCATCGTGCTCCCAATGTCACCTACATCGCTCACATCATCTTGAGTAAGCCTATCGAAACTGGCCCGGATGATTGCAGCGATGGAGCGACCATGTGCATCGTTCGCCGCAAAGGCCCGGAAAGCCTGCCTGGCACGTTGGTCTGTCGACATCAGAGTGTCAAGCTTACGTCCCCAGTCCTCCGAGATATCATCGCTGATGCTCTTGTTGACGAGAGCGGACTGCAAAGCGACCTGTGAGCAAAAGCCGATGACCGTCGGTAATGCATCCGGATAATGCTGGCAAAAGCGCTGAACCTGTGTGAGAACATCACTCGGGCCTTCGAGATCCATGACATCCTCATCCTCGCCCTCTTGAGCGAAGACAAAATTGACGAGCTTGTCAAAGTCAGGAAATTGAAGTTTTCGCTGTTCTTGGCCGATCTCAGGTGCCATGTTCGACATTTGGAACCAGTACGGGTCCAGGCCTCGTCGCCCTTCTTCCACGACTTCGTGTCGTTCCGCAGAACCTCCGCTCACAGCGAGGATATCGACCCACCTTGCTAAGACGTCTTCATACGGAAGACACCGATTTGCATATCTTGTGGCGACATATCGCGTACTTCTTGTGAAGTGGGCAGATGCGGGTGTGTTGATCTGGTCGACGGTAGCATACCGTAACAAAATCTGCCTGAATCTCGGCATGACCGATTCGTCGAAGGGCTTAGCAAAGGCGCCTAGCACAGATGACAGCGCTTCCTCTATGCTTACGGCCACGTCCTTGCCAGCCGAATCTTCCCGTAAAGAACGGAATAGCCACTCGAGTAAGTCTAATGTTGGCTCGATAAGGATCTTCTCTGGTGCAGCTTTTGCCAAAAGACCTATTGTTTCATAGCCGTAACCGCGAAGTTCCGTATCTTGATCGCGATCCGCAGCTGGCCACCCTTGATCCTGAATGAAAGCGCGAAGGTTGCCCACAAGACTGACAGCGACTGCAGACAAGTCAGATGATGCGCCACGGCGCGCAACGAAGTTGACAAGCGAGAAAATTGTAGACCGAAACTTAGACGCCTCCCGACCGGTAGTCTTGTTCGTCGGGTTCAGCTCTGCTGAAAGGAGACCATCTTCGACGATCTTGGCAATCTTGTGCGGATAAGTTATGCATGTGACCGACTTTGATAGCACACTCAATATCCTTATTCGCAGAGGAGTCTTCACTGGCGACGCTCCGTCAGGCGATGCAGAGCCGAAGTAAAGTTCGAAGAGTGCTTCCACGAATTCCGCATCTTCCAGATCTTGAGTGAGCATGACACGCTTCAGAATGTCTTCGCCAACTTCCGAGATTCGAGAATTTGTGTCAGCTGATGCGAATAATGCTGGAAGAAACTTCTCATCGTCCACGAACATGCCACTCGCCAGTAAGCGCGTGACCAAAGCCTTGGTTTCTGTCAGGCTGAGTCCTGCGTCAGAGCTAGGATCCCAAGCATCTGGCTTGCCCTGCTGTGTCAGGAACTTGTACTCCTCGACGGAGAGACCGGGGCATTTTGTGGTGCTAACAGCCTCTGGGGTGCTCTGTCGCACAAGTGTCAACAGGATGAGCTTGCCGAACCATCTTGACAAGAACGCGGCATCTGCGTCTGTGACGCTTAGCTTGGTCCTCAATTCGGTGTCTTCCTTTGTCCCTCTGGCTGGGAGCTTGAAATGGACAAGCAGCCGCAGGATCAGATGGAATAACTGTGAAGCATGTTGAGCTGACTTCTCGTAGTCGGTCGATATCCCTTGAATCAAAATGGGTAAGAGCTCCAGCCTATCGGATACTGGCAGCCGAGAAATACCCTGCTGGATGTACAGAATGTCGAAGTGGCGGATCAGGGCAACATCTGCGTTGTCCTTGTACTGCTTCAATAAAGCGGCTACCGGAAGCTTGAGATCTCTAGACAACTGTCAGTGCGTCGTAACCCTAGGTTCTGAAGTTCGAAGCGTACTGTGACTTGATGCGGGTGTTGATATGCTGGCAAATAGATATGACCTAGGAGAAAAACCGCAATCAGCGGTGTTCACCACAAACAGCCGAGACTGAGTCCCAAACTGACGACATCAAAGATCTTACCTTGTTCCTCACAGCTACGTACTCAGAGCCGAGCTTGAGCAGTAGCGGGGCGAGGTAGACTTTCAACAAATCTTCGAGCTTCCTTTCTGAATCTGCCAGCGCAATGCGCATCTCGACTTTGCCTACAAGAGCGAGCTCTTTGGCTTCGGGAGATTGCGTTGTAGCCATGTTGGTGTGCGAGATGGTGTAGACCCGCTGCGCCGATGAGATTGACAGCTGTCTGTATCAGAGCAAGCGCCACAGGCAGAAGGCAAACGACGCGGTCTGTCAGCAGCTGAGAGAGACGAATGATTGGGATGTTGTTGCGGCTCTGCGTTTGGACAGACGCCTCACGCTTGTTCGTCCGGTGCTTGCCACATGTCGTGCTGCATCGATGCTGTGAAGGGCCGGGGTGGCACGGACGTGCTTGCCTTGATGAAGTGCGTCACGGCACCTGTCTACCAAACAATTAGTCGCGTCCTTGCAGTCGCTTTCTGACTGCTGCACTTTCCTCACCGAAGCTAGCCTATACGAGGTTTACTTTTCGACGCGCAGTTGGGGCTTCACCGCTGCGAAAAGCGCACCATCTTCAACCACAGCGGGCAGACCAAGCTTGTGCACATTTATCGGAAAGCCATCATCGTTTCGTGTGACCTTCACGACCAGCAGCGCTCAACACCCTTCACTGTGCAGTCGCCGTGTAAAGCCGATCTACTGAAGGAACACAGCAACGCACAAATAAAGTAGTTGAAACCCAGAGCACGTCCAAGACTGTTCTGAGGCACAGATAATCGGGCTACCCCACCGTCTCCCACTTCGATCGCAGACCGAAACCGCCACCCTATACCCAACACTCTGTATCGACACATTATCTACACCCACAGATCCCTCGATCCACGCAATATAAGTGAGCGAACAGCGTCCTGAGCGTCGCCCTGGGAAGAACACTCCGAAGTGAAAGAGCTACCCCGCCAGTGCAGTACTTGTCTTAGTACTCACCGCATCTTCCCTCCTATACACCGAACAGACAGATAACCACCCAACATGGACGAAGAGAACGTTCTCAATTTCGTCAGCATCACTTCGTGTGATCCCGACAAGGCCGCACAATACTTGCGCCTGACAGACAACAACCTCGAACAGGCTATACAACTCTTCTTCGACAGCCCCAACCTTGACTTTGGGCCGGCGACTACTTCGAATGCGCCCACAGCTGCCTCGTTGGCGCAGAATCCCATCAACGTCGATTCAGATGACGACATGTCAGACTTCAATGCCGGCGCACACACATCCACTCCTCCTGCACAATCGAACCTCGAGAGCGACGAAGAATTGGCGCGGCGGTTACAAGAGGAAGATTATGGCGGTGGTGGTGCGGGGCGTGGCCAGGATGAAGTCCGCGCACCTATTCAACGAACGCAAGAGACACTGATCGGCCCTGGGTCGAATTGGGGGCCTGGAGACGAACACGACGACATTGACGCCATGGTGCAGGAGCAACTGGCTCGTCGGCAACGAGGTGAGAAATATGGTGTCCCACATGGTACATTACAGGCTGACTTTTTAGGAGGACGACAAGGCATCTTCAACCAGCGAGGCACCGCCCAAAATTCGGTGTGGGACAACTCCGCCGACTCGGAGGCCAGACGCCGCGAGCTTGCGGCATCGACGGGCGGCGCTTCCGAGCAGAGTGCGAAGATGAACATGCTCGCGGAGCTGTTCCGACCACCCTTCGAGATGATGTACCAGGGATCATGGGAGAAGGCACGAGACATGGGCAAGGAAGAGGAGAAGTGGCTCATCGTCAACATTCAGGACCCGGCCATCTTCGACTGCCAGCTCCTTAACCGGGACATCTGGAAGAATGAAGACATCAAAGCAACAGTACGGGAGAACTTCATCTTTATGCAATACGCAAAGGATGACCCGCGCGGTCAGCAGTACGTCAACTACTATTTCCAAAACCGCGACAGCTCGGACGCATACCCGCACATCGCCATTGTCGATCCACGTACAGGAGAACAAGTAAAGATCTGGTCCGGTCCACCTATTCCCGCGGCTGTCGACTTCCACGCTCAGCTCCATGAGTTCCTCGACCGCTACAGCTTGAATATCAACGTGAAGAACCCTGTGGCCAAGCGGAAGCCAGAGAACAAGAAGGTCGATGTCAACCGCATGACTGAAGAGGAGCAGCTGGAATGGGCCTTGCAGAGCAGCATGGACAACAGCGGCAACGGCAATGAAGGGCCAAAGGACAACGACCCAGACGCTCTTACCAAGGACGAGGGCAAGGGCAAGGGGCGCGCAACATCAACAGCAGCGGAAGCTGCATCGACAATAGCCGCAGCGCCAGCAGAAGAAGAACCAGCAGCCGTCACAAACGCTCTCTTCGCTGCCATCTCGTCCCACGCAATGCACACAGAACCCGCCATAACCGACCCCAAGGTCACAGCGCGCATCCAGTTCCGTGGGCCTACTGGCCGCCCTCTCGTTCGACGCTTCAACCTCTCAGACCCTGTGCGCCGTGTATACGAATGGATCAAGAGTGAGGCGCCATGGGACGGCAAGCAGGGCACTGAGTTCGACCTGTCCTTCATGGGCAAAAACTTGATCGAGCACCTCGACGAGACTATCGAGGCTGCTGGGCTGAAGGGGGCGAGCTTAATGGTCGAGTTCGCCGAGTAAACACTCCGAGTAAAACAGAGGAGTTAATGATACGATGGATTGATGGCATCGCTACGGCGTTCCCGGTATGCTTTCAGCGGTAGACTGTAGCTGGCTATGTTAGGCTACTGATAGCTGATACCTAATATCCCTGAATTCCGAACGTGGTACATAGAAGTACGTGTAGACAGTCCAAGGCATAATGGATCAATTCTTGCACTGAGTTCCAGACCGCTATTGACTGCTGACCGTGTGATTCAATGTCCCCCACTCCCCTCAAAGAGCTGGTCCAGATGCATTGAGGTAGATAGCCACGCATCGGTCCCAAAATGATGTGACTCCACTTCCAGCGATGGTAGCGTAAGCTCATTTTCTGCGCTCGCTTCGTCCGTTCCAGCATTCCCCGTACCTCTCCGCGAGTGTGCCAATGAGCCTCCCAATACCTTAGCGGCCTGGCTATTCTCTGGACCAAGCACGGACTCACTGCTTGACTGAAAGCGTAGCCCGTGCGTTCCACACAGTTGATTCTGAGCCTGAACAGTGTCGATTTGACCTTGTATCAGCTCATCCCATATGCGCTGTTGGCGCTGAACTTCGGCCAATGCAGGTTGGAAAGCCTGATCGATCTTGGCCCGCCATTCATCACTCATACCGTAGCGGGCGATGTGTCCTGAGTTGATCCATTCCTCTTCTCTGGGTCTGCTGAATTCAAGGTCTAGATCGTCTTCTGTGTCTAGCTTTGAAAGTGACAATGTTTCTTCTGGTTCTTCTGGGAGCTGTGCGGCCTTACGAGGATGAAGGGATTCCGTACTTAGCTGGGCGTTATCCTTAGACGCTGAAGCCAGGAGTCCCTCCAATACTTGGGATGTATGGGCAGAGTGCGACCCACTTGGAGAAGTTGACGATGGACGTGTTCGCCGCACCTTCTTCGGTCGCTCCTCGTTGGCTGTTTGCGTGACGTTCTTCCCTGAATCAACGCCGTGATCTAGAAGCCTGTAGTCAATGTTTCGACGTGTTGCTCTCCTGGGACGCTGGATGTCGACGACACTGTCTGCACGTCCCGATCCGCCACGAAGAGTAGCTACCTTCTTTCTTTGCCCGCTTTCGCTTGTTGCCGACTCAATTGATTGGTGGACTGGGTCGTCTCGTAGATCGACATCCATGCCATCGTCGCTCGCATGGTCTTCTTTGCTCCTGCCGGAACGGCCATCATCGGACTTCTCCATGGCCTGGCCCAGCTTGTCCAAGTCTATGCCACTCTTCCCCCATATCGTTAGACCAGCCTCAAATATATAACGCCATTTATTGGCTTCTATAGGCGACTTGCTCTTGACCAACCGTTGGGATCTTGGACCACTAGACCAGATGAATTGTGTGATCGCGTCAAGGCTCGAATGGGTGATCGCAAAGAGCGCAGGTCCGTTGAAGACTTCCATACCTGACATGCTGCTGCAGAACATTTCGACATTACGAGTGCCTTTGATGTAGTATATAAGGTTGGTCGCATTGCTGAAGAAGTTGGATATCCAAACACAGCGTATGACATTGAATGGATCGTGTTGTGCCTCCGGATCGTGTTCGTACTGGTTTTGCGTCCAAGGATCGTCCATAGATATCGCTCTGATCCTCTCTTCGAGTCGGAAGCCTACATCGTTAACGCTAGGCTGGTTAGCTGGACCGGAAATGATGGACTAGAGTGGAAGACATGGATCCCACTGACCGTAGGATGTCTTTTTGTGAAGCCGACTTCCAGGCATCCTCCTAAGATTGTGCTTCAATAAGATCGCTATCCCCGGAAGACGATGTGCCTCCAATGGGCGAGATGCTCCCTTCCCTTTCGCCTTGGCTGTCCTTCCCTCTGATGTACCTCTCGACGGTGTTGATCTCACCCTCAGCCTGTGCGAAGAGTCTGAAGAGACTAAGTTCATCGAGAGCACTGTGAGAGTGAGCTGATATGTTCTCAGAGGAAGCAAAGAGGAAATTTACAAGTTGATTAGCTCATTATTATTGCAGGTTTCAAAAAATTGTATCAAGTACTCATCGCATAGCCGGGGCTGAATAGCATGTATCTTGGGCCGAAGAAATTTGCTGAGCATCTGTTTCTGTTGGTCTGGAGGAGCTGCGTACAGTACATCCATGTAGATAGCGGCGGCAGCGATTCCGTCCGAGATAGCGAAAGTGATACAGCGGAAACAAGAATGACGCTGCTGTTATTCGTATGAATGTAGTTGTACTCGCTGGCTACAAAGCGTTGTGATAAGATGTTTAGAGTATGATGGAAGGAGCAAGCGCGAAGCAGCACACTGCATACTCGCCGCTGCTGAATGAGAGCCTTCCCATTGCGAACTTCTGCGCTCAGTGCTTGGTCATGATATTCTCATCCCCGATTCTCTGTGTGAAAACTACCTTCCGCTTTCTTATTCTCCAAATGCCGCTTGCTCCAAGCACACCCTCGGTGTCGCCGTTGGCTTTGAGAAGCACCAGATCGTCGATATACTTTCCATACGCACAAAGAAGCGTGCCCTCGTGCGGACCCTGCCCAAAATGTGCACCTTGAAAGTACGTAATGGCATGCGCACTCTCGCCTGTGTCATCGAAGACTATCCTTTGCGTTGTGAGGTTATGGTGAGTCCGTACGGGCCCTAGCCTGCGATCTGTCAGTCGGCATGTCGAGCGGTTATTCACGTTCTCCAGTACCTATTTTTAATAGCATTCGCGACTGCATCGACGCCTTGCAAGTTTGAAATGAAGGGATAGTCTGCACTGACATCCTGCAGAAAGACCTTCTTGAGCAGCGCGAAGTCCTTCGCGTCTAATGCCTCACAATAGCGCGAGATGACGTTCTTGACGGCGAGAATGTCTAGCGGGTTGATGTTCGACATGACGGCGCAGTTCAATTTGTATCTACACTTAATGCACACGACTTCTCATATACGTCTCCGGAACCCCACATTCGGGAAGCACCACAGTACCTCGTATCCCTGATGGGCACCGTCAGTCGATTGAGCAGATGCAAAGCCGCTGTAATGGCTCCCTTGCGGTCTAGTGTCCTGCGTGCAGCGCGTCAAGATTGGGGTGCTGTGAGAAGGAGACGAGCGCTCTTTCATAGACGATTAAGATTAGATCTCATTGGTCAAAACCAGGTTCGCTGAAGTTGCCCCAATGCAAAGTTACTTACTCGGGAAGGTTGGCTGAGAAACGCCTCTGCACACCAGAAGTCGGCATTGCAGAGCGCTGTCGACCGTGAATTCAACTAATTGAGAGAGACTGCGCCCATGATGCCTACACCCTGATTTCTGCTTCTATTTGAAGTTACTCATGCGGAGGTTGGCTCGGCCTGCGTGACCGAACCCAATCACGACACGCGAGGAGATGCCACACCAATGCGCCTTGGTAGCTTCCCACTTCTCTACCAGCAATAAAAATGGACCATGTATCTTTTCTGCCTGTCTTTCAGAAGGTGGACTATACAAACGGCGATTGCTTACTCGAGGCCGCCTTCTCAAGGCGATCTCTGAGCTGTGGAAATGTCGCTCTTCGCCTCGCATGCCCGAAATCTGAGTTGTGCAGAGGAGGCCTTGCAGGGCGAACCAAGCATCGAGATGTATAGCATTTATGATGGAGTGCCTTACGGTAGGAGCATTCATCCCCTAGGGCTTATTGCGGGGGCCGCCCGCTGTTCGGTTCTGCAGTCAGACAGTCGGTTCCCCGACCTTGCCGAAGCCATACATGCAGCCTCACTACCACCACAATCGAGGACGTGAATACATAAGCGCGCCCTAGGATGATGTGATTAGGTTTCCGGGGTCAATTACTGAATGCCAGCCTCACATTTCCGACACGACTCTACCACTATTGAGCAGTGCACATAACTTCCCACGATGACGACTAACAAACCACTCAGCATAACTATCTTGGGCGGCGGCATAGCAGGACTCACAACAGCACTTTCGCTCACGAAGTTTGCCCCTACAAACTCTCCTTCCCCTCTCATCACCATCTACGAGATCCGTCCCCAGCCTGCCACTATAGGTGGGGCCGTAAACCTCACTCCGAATGCATTGCGCCTGCTCTCCCACCTCGGCGCACTCGAAGAAATCCGCTCCTTAAATTACGGTGCTGAGTGCCCTGCCGTCGAAATCTTTGATATCTACTCTGGTACCAAGATCTCCGAGTCTTCATTCAGCGGCTCAGATGGCAAGGGCTTGGGTACACCACCCTTCACCGCACTCCGCATAACACGCGGTGAAGCGCTGAAAGGCGTCCTCGCCGCAATAAAAAAACAGTCCAATATCACCCTGACGTGCGGCAAAAAGACAACAAAGATCCACGAAACAAAGATGAACATAACCCTGACCTTTGCGGATGGCACATCCTCGACCTCAGACATCCTAATCGGCTGCGACGGCATCCACAGCGTGACGCGCCTCACACACGTCGAGTCCGAACGTACGGCAACATATAGCGGGATATGTAATGCCTTCGGCTTCGCGCCTCTCAAATCCCATCAAAAACCGCACTTCAAAGCGTCCGGCATGAACTTCGCTCGCGGCGGCATGCTGCTAACATCCTTCCACTCGCCCGCCAAAGACTCAATCTACGTCGGGGCCTTGATGCAAGTTCCCGATGGCGGTCTGCAGTCGCGCGATGGCTGGAAAGTGCGGGGCGCGGATGCCGAGAAAACGCGTTCAGACATGTTGACTCGATACTCTGGCGCCAAAGAACCCGCGATCGAAGAATGGATCCAAGACGCGCAGGATCTGTTCCTCTGGCCCGTCTTCACGCTCAGCAAGCATGGGAAGTGGGCCACGGACCGCGTGATGCTGATCGGCGACAGCGCGCACGCGATGCCACCACAAGGAGAAAGCACAGGCATCGTGTTCGAAGATGGCGTGCTTTTTGCAAGGGTGCTAACCAGATGGATGGAAAAGAGCGGGAATGGCCGCGATGGGACGCCGGTGAAGGAGGCATTCGATGCGTATGAGACGCTGAGAAGGGCGAGGATCGAGACGGCGTGGGATGAGAGTCAGAGTGTGGTGAAGACGGTGCAGGAGGTGGGGTGGCTGGGTCATCGCATCAAGATGAACGTTGTGCCGTGGTATTTGTGGTGGACGAGGGGGTACCGGGAGAAGCATTTTGTGGAGGACGTTACGACGTGTGAGATTGGGTATTGAAGGAATTTGCACGATGCGGAGTCATACGTGCAATCCACGGAGTCGTACACCTGATACAAACCTCGAGCCTAGAGAATCATCACCTGCGGCAGAGGACTGAGTTATTAGGATCTATTCACTGTGAGAGCAAAGATTTTTAGTTGGTCAGCATTTTCCCTTTTTTCCAGGCCCACACATCGAAGCATGGACCAATTAAACCAACTTTGCAGCTCCTCCGTTCCGTCGGAGTCTATTTACTGCTATATATATATATTAAAATTTCGTCAAACTTTAACAACAACACCTTTCGGTGGTATGGGTACGTCTTCATTTACCCATCATTCGCCTCAGCTACTAACAACCCCATTGTCTAGTGGTATGACGTCGCGTTGTGGCTGGCGAGTACGAAGTACTCTGATCCAGATCCGCGCCAGCCCGTGTTCGATTCACGGTACCGCCAATTAGCAGCGACATTTTTTTGCCGTTGAATGGGCCCAAAGACAGGATTCGCGTAAGAAGGAAGGGAGGGGAGGGGAGTGGGTTGGGAACTCAAGTTATTGACGACGCACGTCGAATGGATGAAGAGAGGGCTCACAGGACAATGTGTGGACGATCTAATCGATGAGCTAGCAAGACAAGAGGAAGTGAAGCGACGAAAGAACACAGCAGCCCCACAGGTTTTGTTATTGGTTACATGCTTTCAGGCTGTAGAATGCTGGAACGAACTGTTCTGGTTGAAGAAGGGGTAGGCTGGTCCGGTCCTACGACGGATTTGTTGGACACTCACTGGGGCTCAAAAACGGGCTATCGCCTGCTAGTCCTGCTGCGAGAAATCGATATCGACGAACGAACAAGCTAGATCGCGTGGACGCATGATCCAAAAAGTCCGTGGTTGACGCTCGACGCGGGCCTACACACTCCATTGGTCTGGTGTTTCGTCGAGGCTGGAAGGCACCAACGTGCAACCGCCCCCTTCTGTGAAGTCGCGCTTCCAGCATTTCAATGGATCTGAACGGAGCCCGCCCCAGCAGAGGCTGAAAGCCCTCACACCCCATATGCGATCAGTCTAGGCACATCTTCTCTGAAGCCCAGCTGGAACGACAATTAGATCTCTCTCATTGCCGACTCACATCCTCTGGTTTCACGAAAGGAGAGCCTGGCGCATATCTGGCTGCACTCACATGCGAGTCCTGAATACAGGCTGTCGGTGGTACTTTGTCATTGGCTGCTGTGGGACCATTCGTCATATGCACCACATGATCATTGCAGCCTCAAGACTACTGGTCAATTCACCAGAAAGCTAACGGCTGCATCTGAAACCGGGTGCACTGTGCCGATGACGGGCTCGTGGTTGCTAACTCGGATATAGACTGATCATTCTGATAGAAGTCTCTCCGGGCGCTCTCTCCAGCCGAATTACATCACCTCTTTGGGTTCACTTCTGATCCTGGGCCGCGAGCTCATGTCCTGGTCCTCCGAAACACGAGCGCCCTTTTTGAAGGTCATACAACGCTTACCGGAACCTTGTCCTGCACGAGCTGCACACCCCTGTAGGTGTTTGTTTGCCAGGAACAGACTGAGTACCTCAGCCTCGCAGGTCGAACGACCATCGACAGCTGAATACGGATGCTGCTGCATGCAATTATCATGAAATGACCTGAAAACCCACACCACCACATCATGTGGTGCTACTGCTATGCTGTACCGGACATGTTGGGAGGCATGTTGAAGTCGCACAACGGCCCCGTCACGAGCTGTACCTCAGAAATGTCCGCTATACAATAGAGGAGAATCAGCTCACGCAGATGATTATCTCGCGGCTCCGATTCCCAAATTACACTTTCGCTCTCAATCTCGAAACAGACTCAAGATGTTCCCCGGAGATCGATCACGACGTCACCGTGACCGTGGATCCTACTCTGGATATCCTCCATATGGCTATTACGAAGACTCTGATGCATACGAGAGCATTGAGCGGTATTCCTACGCAACACGAAAAAGCAAGAGGTACATTTGTGCCAAACCGTGCCCGGTCTGCAATGGTGATTTCAGAGAGCCTGTAGGTGCAATATACCGACGTACGAACATGGATTTGGCTGACATCTTCCACAGTTTGAAGCACTGAGATACTACAACCCGTTCGAGGGGGACATGGACTTTGTGCACAAGTGTATCATTGCAACGGAGGCTGGTCGATTCATCGCAAAAGACGCAGCGGACAGAATCGAGGAGGTGTCCAAGATGGTCAACCGCGCATATGGACACAACCCAATATTCAAGCAGTGGTCTAGGTATCTGAAGCAGATGGCGCGCGACGTACAGCTAATGCCAGATCAAGATTTGTACTGGTCACAACGTCCGCGTGAACCAACGTCATATTGGTTCTCATGAGATGCAGCAGAGTAGCCATGATGGTCTTATTTAGGTGTGAAAGTAGGGGCAATACAAAAACCTCCTTGCCTTCGACAACCAGAACCATTTCTCACGTCCATTATAGCACCCTAAACGAGGGTGACCAACACAACGTAAGTAGCAATACCAAAAGAAAAGTGCCATTCAGAGAATCAGTAACAGGCCGATTCTCTTTGATCGCGCGCTCGACAATTGAAGTTGTGCAAGTTTCTACCTTTACCCTGCGCTTGCTTACGAACACCATCTGCTTGATCTCGTCCCTTTTCTGTGTGAGCCAATCGCACCCATATTGATCGACTGCTCGCGTCTGTAGGTAGGCAAATATGAAGAAAGCCTCGAAGACGTCAGTGGTTGTGCTCTGAAGTATTCTGAGAATCACTTACTGTATCTGGGTGCCAGTCAGGCTCGGGAATGCGATTCATCCCCTCGTTATCTGGAGCCGCCAACGACTGGTAATTTTAGATGAATCAACACGACGTATTCAATGCGTGAATGAATACCGACGTGCGAAGAAGAGACTGTAGTACTTGAAGAGTCACCACTGTCTGTCGTGCAGTTGCTAGACATGCCAGAGCTATCGTTCACCGGGCCGCATGCTGCTTCGGCTGACGGTCCTCCAGCTTCAAACCCTTCACTGCCAAAATCACTCTCCTCTGAGCAAGCATCTGATTTGTCGCCAAGGATGAAGTGGGAGGACTTGATTTGGGGAGGTGGAGAGAATGTTGGCGGGATCCCATTCCTCTCTGGTGGTCTTTTTGAGGGCGGTGAAGATAGTGTTCATTTTGGATATTTGTAATTGGGCTTCAGTTCAAGTTAAGGAATACGTACAGAGCTTCGCGATAGAAACGAAGACGTTATGTACGTTGCGTGGGATATTTCTTGTATGCATAGGATGGTTCACCGAGTACATAGAGAACCAAAGTTGGGAAGAGAGCAAACCAAAATTGGCGGACAGTACGAAACCAAGGGACTGACCATGAGTGAAGACATCCTACATGTAGATCTTCACTAGCTGCTGTATAAAACTCAGAAGTGCTGAGATACTACCAACTGCATAGTAAAGCATCACACTGCTATGCAGATACAGACTTGATTGTAATGAACAGCGACGCATGCTCAGGGACTGTGCAGCTGAGAATTATCTAACTGACTCCACCATATACCATCGGCTCGACCCATGAGATTCCCAACCCTGCCGATCATGTTGAAAGATCACTCTGGAGGTACTGTTGGCATCGTAAAGGTACCTTCTGTCGGATATGACCGGTGCCGTGCTGTGATTCTGCTCACGCTCACGCAAGCCATTCCGTACTTCATGAGAGAAGACACATCTGTCATAGTCTACCTGCAGGGAGCTGGATATTCCGTAGGCAAATCGCCTTGCAGGCAAGGTTGCAGATCTAGGTGTCGCAGTGATGGGAGACAAAGCGTGGCCCTACTGTGCAGCCCGTTGTGATTGGCTAGCGCTATCGATGAGGATCACGAATTTGAACTTTTGGCTTGGCATCCCACCATTCGCAGGCGCAACCCTCGACACAAAGCCTAAATCACTTCAGCGCTTGACGACCCCGCCCGCCCACTCCTACAGGCATCTTCCTACACGTCACACATAATGCCGGGCCCCATGAACACGCTCCTGATCGAGGGTTCCTTCGAGGAGCTTACCGACGAGTTCGCACAATACATCGACACGCTCAAAAAATCCCAGGGTGACGAGAGCTCCAACGTTCAGCAGGAGGCCGCGGACCTGTTGAAGGGGAACAAGAAGGATGAAGTGCTCAAGAAGCTGGTTGTCGGCGCGCAAGCGCTCAACCAGGCGCCTGAGAAGGGTATGCGAGCAACAGTCATGAAAGTGGAGGCGGGGCTAACACGGCGGTCCACAGAGTTCATAGCAGCATACAACCTGCTGATCCACCTCGTAAACCAGTCGCCGAACGTGTCCATGTTCTTGCCCAAGATCTGCCAGAACCTGAGCACCCCCGTTACCTCCTCGCCCGCCAATGGCAGCGGCCTCGCCCTTTCGATTCTCAGCACAATCTTCAATATCCTTCCCGCAGACAGCGAAGTGCGCTACCACGTCCTGCTCGCCATTCTCCGCGTCATTCGCGCCACAACGAATTTCGAGTACCTGCGCCCACAGTTGAAGCAGTTGGACAGCTGGTTGGCGACATGGGAGGTCGAGGAGGAGGAGCAGCGCAAGCTGTACCTCGCAGTCAGCGACTCGGCTGCTGCTGCCGGTGAGGACGAGCAGGCATACACATACCTCCTGCGCGCGCTTCGCACATTCCCCTCGGAGGAGGTTTCGTCCCCAGAGGCCCAGGAGCTGTCTCTCCGCGCGCTCAAGTCGGCGCTCACCCACCCCAGCCACTTCGACTTCCAGGACCTCACCGACCTCGACTCGATCCAGGCCCTCCGTAACTCTGAGCCCGTCTACTTTCAGCTCCTTGAGATCTTCAACTCCGACGTTGTAGACGACTTCAACGACTTCAAGGACGAGCACGACGGCTGGATCGAGACGTCCGGCCTCGACAGCGCCGCTTTGAACCGCAAGATCCGCCTTCTTACACTCGCCTCGATCGCCGCATCGTCAGGCCAGCAGAGGTCACTCCCTTACGAGAAGATCGCCAAGGCGCTGCAGGTCCCCAGCGAGGACGTCGAGATGTGGGTCATTGACGTGATCCGCGCCGGTCTCGTCGAGGGCAAGCTCAGCCAGCTCAATCAGACATTCCTGATCCACCGTTCCACATACCGCGTCTTTGGCGAGAACCAGTGGAGAGAAGTTGCGAGCAGGCTCGACATGTGGAGGAATAGCCTGGTCGGTGTGCTCGAGATTATCCAGCAGGAGAAGCAGAGGTTCATCCAAGAGAAGGAGGAGGAAGCCAACAGGGCCGATCAGAAGGCTGAGCAGGCGGCGAGGTTCAAGGGACGAGGAGGCCAGCAGCAGCAGAAGCCCCGGGCTCCCGTTGATGAGGACGCTGATTAGATGTAGATAGTGGTGTTGGGAGAGGTACTGCTTTCGTTTGTTTCGACATGTCACGACAAAAGGAGTAGGGATTCGAGCGCATGCATCACGGCTCTCTTTCTGGGTAATGGATGAACGAGCAGCCCTCGTGCTGCAGACAGAAAATGCGATATAGATACTTCAAAAGCGGTCCTAGAAGGTCAATTTGCCATGACGTTACTCGTGTTGACTTGCAATCTATCGTTGCTGCCTGTGTATCTATGCCTCTTGAATTCACGACTCAGCCAGTGTGATCTATGCAGTCTGAACGAACTTCAAGCTAATCGGCTCAACGCCCCACGCCTTAATCTTCTCCTGCACATCCTGGTAGACCTTGGCAGGATTCTGAACAGCGTCGATCTTGACAACACGGCCCTGAGACTCGAACTCGTTGACAACGGGCATGCTGGTGTCGACGAAGGTCTTGAAACGCTTCTTGATTGACTCAATGTTGTCATCGGCACGGCCAGAAGTCTCGCCGCGGTGCAAAAGCCGCTTGAGCATGACCTCCTCGGACGCATCGAAGAAGAGGGTGAACTTGGAAGGGACGACGGAGCGCTCGAAAGCGTGGGCTTGGTCGAGCTTGCGAGGGAAGCCTGTAATCACATCAGCTCTGCATTTGCCCTTAGCTCGAAGGACAACACACCATCAACCAGGAACATGCTCTTGCTCTCGGTCTCCATAGCCGTCTTCATGGCGTTCTCCAGCAGCTGGATGGTAACCTCCATAGGCACAATTGTACCCTCCTTGATGTACGTCTTGATCATCTCGCCGAACTCGCTCCCAGGACGATCCTGCTCCTCGCGCAGCAAGTCACCGGCACTTAGGTGCTTGAAGCCATAGTCCGAGACGAGTCTTGTGCACTGCGTTCCCTTGCCCGCACCAGGGCCACCGAGGACGAAGATAACGGTGACCTTGTCCGGCGACCAGAGAGGGCTAGTGCGCGTTGTAGCGCCGAGGTTCTCAATCGCTGGCATCGTGGGCGGTAAAGGTGCTTAGTGGGGTACAACGGCGTTGTTGTTGGCTCGGGGCGTTGCTGGCTTGCTGCTGCCGCTGCTGGGCGAGTGTCCGGCAACAGGTCCTGTAGGCTTGTAGTGGCCCTCGCGCTGGTCAACGATCTTCTTGAAGAGAAAAGTACCGATGCCAAAGATGGCGAGAATGGGCCAGACTTTCAGGGGGGACTTGCTCTGGGGAGCACTGATGTGGGTCGGTGGTTCGTTGGGGCCTGTGGGGTCGCCGGGCTGGCGGCGGTAGAAGCGTGGAGTGCTGGTGCTGAATCGACGGGCAGCTGTGGGCAAAGCGAGGCGGGCGGTGCGAGTCTTGAGTGTTGTGAGTGTTGAAGACATGGTCGGTGTAGAAGTGGGTATGACGATGCGGGATGCAGGTGTTATGCAGCGCGTTTTGTGCTAGCGTGGGGTTGCAGGCCACCAATGGCGGTCAGACGCTCTTTACCCTTCTCAACTTCCTCACCTTTCATGTATTGAGGTTAAGAAGAAGGCGCAAACTCTGCGTCTTCCTGCCTGAGCCCGCTCGTGACTGAGCTTTGATGTATCTACTAAATGTCAGCTACTGATACAGGTTGACAGCAAAGCCGCTTTCGCCTCACTGTTGCGAGCCCTGAGCCAGACTTTCAAGCATGGCTCGCAAACGCCCAAAATATGGCCGAAAGAGACCAAACAGACCCGCAGACTCACCTCGAAAAACGGTTGACTGACGTGAAGCTCCTTTACCTCGAAGATGACAGCTCTCCAAGTTCACTGACATCGAGATAGACTTCAGCTTCACTATGGATCCCGAAACATCGCTCTTCGCCCACGCTCGGCCCAGAGTAAAGCTACCCCCAAAGGCTACGAAGATAACGCTCAAATTCCTCAGCTTGCCCGGAGAGATCAGAAACAAGATCTACCAATACTACTTCCAGGACACCTACCGCTGCGAGCTCGTGGAAGATGGTTGCGACTTCGAAGCGCATGCTCCAAAAACGTTCAAACTACTGTTGAACAGCTCACACACCATAGATACTAAGCCAAACAAAAGGATAAAGTCTAGAGACCGTACCGCCTCTAAGCCATTGACATTCCGTTTCCCACGAGCTCATGAGAAATCCACGTTACCCGGCTCACGCTTGCACCTTGGATGGCTGAATCCGCACGGTGCACTGATACTTGTCTGCAAGCAAGTATTTGCAGAGACTCTGGCACTACTATACCAGCGAATCAATTTCGTATTCGAGGCGCCGCGCCGCATTACCAACTTCCTCCGCAGGATTCCACAACCAAGTCACAGCAGCGTGACAAAGCTGCATCTATACTACACCACTTATGGAAATCTGGCAGCTGCGGAAGATGTCACCTGGCAACAAAAGCACGTTGAGAGCTGGACTCGCGCGTGCAAAGTGGCGGCTAAGAGCCTCACTTGCTTGCGCGAGCTCGATGTCGACATTTGGATCAACGAAGATGCTCCAAAGTTCAACCTGCGTCAGAAATGGCTCCAGCCGCTGCTGAAATTCCACCGCATAACCTGTGATAGCCACCAGCAGGAATCGACACACAACAGATCCCGCGCCATAAAAACGAAGTCCTTGGAGGCTGTCAAGGTCAGGGTTAAAACTCGGCTGTGGGCGCACAACTTCGAAGGAAGATTTCATGTAGCCAAAGCGTGCAAGGACCTTCATCGACTCTACAGCTTAGGCATCAGCAAGGCTATACTCGGAGCCAAGGAGGAGGAGGCCATGGTCTTGTTCAACAAGGCGTGGGAAGGCAAACATAAAGATTGGCAGCATCATCTGGGTTTTGTAAGGACAGGATGGTGAGCATGTGCTCTGAGAACTACATGTATACCTTTGCAGCGAGGAGGCTTGGTTCTGAGCCGTGCATACAGATCTACTCTGCGGTCGAGAAGCTTAGATCAATACTGTTGGTCGCTGCTGTTTCAACCTGTGTGTTGTCTTATCGTAGCCCACGACATCTGCAAGACCAACTGAATATCGCTTTGCGCAGAAACGCGAGAGTGGATACCCTGCAAGTCACTGTCTTGCTTTCTTGAGACCATTCTCCATTACTCCAGAGCGCCTAGGGATATCTTAAGTGTGCCCAAATATATCTAAATGATATGTAGAGAAGATGAAATCAAAGGTCCACCCAGTCCAGCACTCCATCATCTCACGATCTCTCCTACCCAAACCACTCCTCCCTTCTTCCCGACCTCACATGAATTTACTCGCCATCTGCGCAATTGTCGCCAAACTGCCAATCCCCCCAGCCACACTCTGCACATCCAGCCCTCCAAACATGCCCGCTTGGCCAGCAGGCCCTCCCCTCGAAGGCCCATACCCCTCACTCCCATAGTAGCCCCCCGCACCCTCATGTCTCGTATGTCCACTCCCAGCAAACCCACCCCGCGCCCCCGCGCCGCCCATCTCCGGCAGATTGACCCCGAACTGGCGCGCCAGCTTGTGCAACACGCCGCCGCTGACGAGCGGCATGACGACGGCGAAGAAGACCTTGTACGGATGCCGGCGCGCGTACTGCATGAGGTCGCGCCACAGCTGGCGCAGCTTGCGGTAGAGGGATTGCATGTAGCCGTCGCGCGGTTGGCGGCCGTAGCGCGATGTGGAGGCGCGGTGCGACGAGGAGTAGGAGCTGCCGGCGCTGCTGCGAGCGTAGTTTCGCGACGGGCCGCGCGAGTGGGAGCTGTAGCTGGAGCGCGTGGGAGAGGTGGAGAAGGGGTTCCATCCCATGGTTGCGGTTTTGTTGAGTTTGTGTCTGGTCGGTGTGGGTTCTGGTAGTTTTTGAGGAGCTGTTGTATAGAAGAAACGGGGTGTGGCGTGAGCTGCGACTGGTTCAAGTGGTGGTTTGAGGGTGTTCTGGACACGAAGAAGACGTGTGCAAGGCTCCTTCGAGTGTTGTTCACGACGTGGATACGCTGTCGCGATGACTCTGTGCGCAACTTTGCGAGCCCAGGAGGTGGTCCGGTGAGAAGTGGGTCGAATTGGGCCTCAATGAGTGCCGGTTCTTATTTCTTCCCTGTCTTAATGTGTGTTGTCGCGTGGAGCTCTCAACATTCAACAGCAATACCCAGTAGTAGGTAGTTTGGACCCTGGATGTCGCGATGCTTTGAGCTGTACTGGCAAACTTGAATTCGTACGGCAGTGAGGGCGATGGAGGACGGGAGCACGGTTGGGGCCGCAGATGGGTTATGAGGGAAGGGATCGGTGCGCGAACGTGTGGAGCTGCAAGCTTGGATGATCGTCGTTGCGTGCGTCAGGCGAACCCAAACCTCACCGCTGTTTGCTGAGAGGCTGGGGTTCCCTGCATTGGAGCCGCGTTGACGGTGCCGAGAACATGCATGTGTGCGATGATCGTGCGCGAACTGTTGGCAGGAGACTTAATGGCGTGCAGTAGGACGAAAGTTCATTGGCCATTGGGGTCCGTCACAGAGGCTTTAGTTGCAATGCTCTGTTCCTGGTATTGGGAGCAAATACCACGCACAGCGTAATGAAAGCCTTAGAGACACCTCACCTCCGACCAATCTAGCTGAGCCTCAATTCGCGGTCAGAATGTACGGACTACTCAAAATGTGCTCGAGTTCAAGGAAAGAACTGATTAAATTGCTACGCTACTCGATTGCTTTCCGCGATGGATTGAGTCCCTGTGTCCTCTATCTCAAAAGTCAAACGCGACGCACGCTATGCACAACGCCCCCACCTTCCATGCACACGCTCACCTCCTGAAGCTCGAACTCAGGCTGCCAAATGCATCAGGACTATGCCTCCCACCCATCAGCCCCGTGAAGTCCACGCTCTCAGTGCTCACATGCCTGCTTCCTTGTGTCTGCAACGCGGACAGAGGCTGAGACTGTGGTGCAGCTTGCGGCGCAGCTTGCATGGGCGCTGCGCTCTGGAATGGATTGGAATGGCCAGAAAACGATAGCGTGTTGTTTGCTGCCGGTACAGCAGGTGCAGCAGGTGCTGCTGGAGCTGATGCCTGTGCGCCTGCAGCAGTCTGGCCCACGAGCAGGTTCGGCATTGTTGCGGAGCGCTGGGGCCCAGGTTGCTGCTGGTTGTACTGTGAGAATGCTGCGTACCTATCGAAGGGCGTATTGTTCTGTGTGTAGCTGGGTTGTTGGGCGGGTTGTTGCTGGTACTGCCACGGGTTCGGCGCTTGAGCTGTAGGGGTCTGTGTCTGTTGGTAGCTCTGTCCCATGCTGTTAAAAGGGTTGGGGGCTTGTATCGTTGGGGTCTGCGTCTGTTGCTGGGAGTTCCAAGGGTTGAAGGCTTGCTGCTGCGCAGTATGCTGTTGTTGAAGTTGCGGAGGTTGCTGGCCAAGATTTGATCCGAACGGATTGGAGTTTGCTGAAGGTGCAAAGATCTGACTTTTCGAGGATTTCAGGAAGGGGTTTCCTGGGCTTGCAGGCTGAGACATCGACTGGTATTGTGGTTGCGGTGCGTAAAATGAGCTATATTGCTCGGGTATCTGTGGCATTGGAGGTGGTGGGAAGGATTGTTGGAATGGGTTCGTTTGCGCGAAAGGCGGGTTAGGCTGTATTAGTCCACCTGTTCTATTAGGAAACAGTGGTTGCGCCGTAGGTTGGGGTTGTTGATACTGCTGAGGCTGCTGTTGGGAGAACCCCAATCCCTGGAATTGCTGCTCGAGGCTTTGCTGTGATTGCTGTTGTTGCTGCTGTTGCTGTTGGCCGAAGGGATTGTATGACTGGCCGTAGCTCTGTTGCTGCTGCTGCTGCTGCTGATACTGTCCCTGCTGGGTGTAGTTCTGCTGCTGCTGTGCTTCTCCCTGTTGTTGATACTGGCCTTGCTGACCCTGTGACAGGAACGGGTTGTACAAGTTCGCTTGCTGGGTCGCCTGTTGCTGGCCGCCGTAACTGAACTGCTGGCTCTGCGGCTGTTGCTGCTGAGCCAGAGGCGCGGCGTCGAGCGCATCGAACGGGTTCGGTGAAGCCCCAGCAGGTGTGCTCTGTGGTACGTTGTCAAAAGACAGGCCGTTTGCGCCGTTCTTTGCTGGTGGAGTAGGTGTTGTTCGTCCAGATCTCCCTGAGTTCTGCTCTCCCAGCCGGATCAAAGCCTCCACCGTCCTGTCCAGATTACCGTTCAAGCCCTTGAGTACCGTCGAGTTGCGCTTGTCGTCCGGAAAACCCATGTCTCTGAGCGTCGCCAGTTTCGAGTCCAGCCCATCGCCCGATGTGTGTATGTTCGATCCAAAGACTCGAGACGGCTTGTTCACGCGTGGCGGAGAGGTCTGCGAGATCTCAAAGCCCAGACCTGGAGACACCGGCGGAGACTTAGACGTTGAAGTCTTCCTCAGCCCAAATCCAAATCGCCCGGTAGGCTTCGGCGGCAGTGGCGGCGGTCTGTCCTCAGAGCTTGTGCTGCCAGTGTTGTGTCGTGTGCCCGGCTGCGAGGCGCTCATGAACACGCGCTGTTCGTACTTCTGCCGTATGTAGCGCTCCATAGCTCCGTCCACTTCGTCAACATCGATTGGCAAGTGGGCTCTCGTGCCGCGGGGATTGTACATCTTGTTCGACTCGGCGTTGCCAATGCGCTTCATGTTCTGCGGCGGTCAGCGCTGTCTCAGACCGGCCAGACGTGGGTCCTCTTACATCGACCTGCGCATTGTCCCATTTGTCCATACTCAGCGACTTGACCTTCGAGATGTGCGTCCCCAGCTTGCGGTGGAGGGCCGCGCAGCGCATGCACAGAAAGATGCCCAACTACGTTCGTCAGCACTCATCTCGACATGCGCAGACGTTCAACAGGCGGCGAGCACAGGGTTCGCGTCGTCGCGGCAGTGGGAACGTACGCTCCAGCTTGCCCATCCTGCAGCCTTGTCAGCTCAAGTCGCGCAGCATCCGCGCTCTCCTTACCTGGGTTCTTCGCACCGCAGTCGGCGCAGGTCCCGTTGCCAGGCACCGTCTTGATCAGCTCCTGCAGCGTGCGCTCATTGCGCGCCTGCTGGCGTTTATTCAGAGCGGAAGCCATAGTGTCGCGCCGTGAGTGTCACACAAGGATTCGACCGGAGCTCAGCACTTGGAGTCGGTAGAACGTGCGTCTGGCGGGGACTCGGGGGTGGCTCGAGGACTCTCGGACACGTAGCACAGCACCAGCTTCTCCCAGTAGTAGTCACTATCGATTTGCACGCAGGAACATTTCAACGGCAAGCCGCACACGAGAGCGAAGAAAGGAGTCCGCGAGGAGTTGCTAGTCCGCACGCCATGACGAGTAACACAACCCCGTTCCGCTGACCACATGGCGTGGCTCCAGACAAGGTTCTAGCGCGATAGCTATTCTCAGCCTTGCCCCTGTCCGCGTTGACCGTGGTTGGCAATGGGCATTAATCACCCGGGCCCAAGATGGCTTTGGGCTGATCGGGCTGGAACGCTTGGTGATGAGGCTCCAGCATGCAACAACCGTTGACCGTCGGCCGTCGAGACTGCTCCCGTAAAATTCGGAACCGATGCTCGACATGCCGTCCAGTGATGGGTATACGGCTAGAGCAGCCCAGTCGGTGGCATAAACGCATCACGAACGAAGAGATGTTTGTCATAAAAATAGTCCTACACATCTAAAGAGACGGCAATGAGTAGGGTGGAGTAGACACGGTCCTGCTAAAAACCTATTTTCCTCTCCCACAAGAAGGATATGTTGCTCTCTGGCCATCAGGAGATCCAGAAAGCAGGCAATCGTGGGGTACAGCAACACGCGCTGTGAAATGCCTTGCTCGCAGCTTCAGACAACGAATCCAGTCGTCTGCAGGAAGCGTGCTTACACGGCGAGTTCACAACAGCGTTCGTTGTTGATGATACATCGATTGTCCTCCAGCGCCAGAAATTTCAAGTTGGCGGCTGCCCGGCGCGGAAAAACAGCCCGGGTGCCCTTGGCGGCTTCCGCATCAAAATCTTCCCAGCGGATGGCCTTGCTTCGTTCCTCACACACAATTATGATATGGACGATTAATCAACGGCCTCGACGGGTAAATCTACCGCGTGGTTGTCATATTTGCGTTCTAGAGTGAGACGGCACCTTTAGTCTTCGAGCAGGTCACGCCTCTTCTTTGGAGGGGGTTCGATAGCGCTTGGAGCCACCTTTGTGTTCAAACATCTTTTCCCTCTTCAACGTGACTTTGCGTATTGAGACACCTATCCCAGCTTCTATGGATCACGTTATGGCATGGTCGAAAAGCAACCAGAGCGAGGCTATTGGCGCTGTGCAGGGTTGGGATTGCAATGCTCCCTCCACCACTCCGCCGTTGTTCACTCACCAACTTGAGGCACAGCTTCCTGCGTCTACTACGTCACGTGGGATCTATGAGCAAGGTCCACTGACAGTACATCTGCTGTGCACTGCAATTTCTAGCGCAACACAGCGCCAGCAGACTTCAGCCTTGCACAGCAGCCAGCACATGCAGACGCCAACGAACTCAATCTCTTCGTCCGGATGTCGACTCCGCATTGACAGATCCAAGGTTGCTGTAACCGTGGATGGCACGGCGCTCGTAGTGCATATATGCCAGCGCTACTGCAACCGTGACCAGACTTTGAAGTTGGGTAAACAAGATATCGAAGCAGCGAGCTAGCCGTGCCGCATCTCTGCATGTAGGTTTCAGCCAATGATGTGCATGAGAGCGAGGTTCCGCGGACGTGATGAGCTGATCTGCTGGGTCCTTGATAACCGGCTGTTGGAGTACCGGGTTCCTCTCAAGTTACTCATCACGTCCATGTGCAACGTAGAGCCCGGGTCCTTGATCTTCAACGTTGAATTACTTGCAAATACAGCTCTACTCCCCTCACTAGAAACCAAAGTTATCTCAAGTTATCTATGCACAAGAACTGAAAACCCCAAGTGGCACTAGCAGTGCAATTTCTCCAAAACGCCAACGATCGTAAGAATAGGTATGCCAAAGCTGTTGTGGGTACCAGCGTAAATTCAACCCGTTTCACGCGGTGACACAGCCTCGCCATTTCGAGGTACCATGCATACCCGCACATGCAGTACGACCTCAACACGACCTGTACTGCGGTAGCTGTATCGCAATCATAATAACAGCGCCAATTGCGGTCTTTGGTATATCTCTCTGCTCCGCCACCTCACCGCTGACTTACTCCTCTCGAGCGCCAACTCAACATCCCAGATCCGTTCTCTGCCGGCCGCATATACAGAGCGATAAACGTCTGCCGTACGATCGACTAGAGATTGCGACCTTGAAATTCGATGCACGACAGGCTTCACGTTGAGATCTTTCTAGAACCTCTCTTGGGAGTGTGTACCACCGTGGTGCTCAAACAGGTCCTCCAGATACGCACTCGGTGCGCGGCCACCGGCTTCTGTAGTGCCGCCCGGTACATTAAGAGACAGGTTGCTGACGCTGGCCTGGCCGTGGCCGTAGACGCCGCTCCTGGTGTTTCCGGGTGTATTGAGGGTAGCGACGCTCTGGCGGTTGTAGTCCGAGTACCCGCCTCTCGATGGAGGAGCACGCTCGAAACCGCGAGAAGGTGGGAGAGATGGTGATCCTGGAGGCGAGGAACCAGATGCTCGACTGTAGCGATTCCCAGGCAACGCGAGCGAATTTGTCGACAGGTGTGCACTGTGTCCACCGACATGTGCCATTGGAGATCCACCAGCAGGGGCAGCGTTGCCGGCAGCGTAGTAGCCCGCAGGCAGGTAGCTCGAAGAGCGGTTGCCCTGCTGTGCAAGACCAGCTGCACCGCCTGCAGTAGGAGAGAAGAACAAAGAAGATGCAGCCCGGGGAGGTGTGCCGCCTGATCCTTGAGCAAACGGCTTTTGGGGCCTCGAGTGACCAGTGGGCGCTGCGGAGAGATGATCCAGAGACATGGTCGAGCTGGCACCAACGTGAGTGTACATGCCACGCTTCTTGCCTGGCACCGCTGACATAGCCTTCATATCAGCCATGTTCTGTGCAAGAGCAGCGCGCTTGACAGATCGATGCAGCGACCACGCAACGAGACCTCGCCACAGAAGCACGCAAGCACCGAGGAAACCCAGAATCGCACCGACGCAGATGAACACGGTACCGTCCGGAAGGTCCGATTTTTGCATAAAATGCGCACCAGATGTGTCCGGGACTTGTTGTTGGGGCACACCAACACCAGCGAGTGTGGGCAGGCCCGAGAGCTGGACGACGCCTGTTGCGACTGTGGGGAAAGTGCCGCTGTTGTCGGCGGAGGCTGCTGACGTCCCTGAGCGCGACGCACTCGACTGTGCGGACGATGTTGGCTGTGCTGACGATGCTGCCGCGGTTGTGGAAGCCTGTGCTGAGGATACCGCCGCAGACGATGCCGCTGCAGACGATGAAGCCTGAGAGCCAGTATTGTTTTCATCCTGCGCAAGTACAGCAGGCGCAGCTGCAAGCAGCAGACCTAAAAGGCCTACCGAAGGACGCATTGTGGCGGGTGTGTGCGACGCTCAACGGGTGTTGTGATGTGTTCTGGGGTATCGAGGGGCCCGCTTGAGGGGACAAGGGTGTGACGGCGAGGCGTGCGGCCGCTCGTATTTCAGGGGGCGAGGATGTTGGCAGACGAGTCGAGGCGGTACTTGCAGGTCGAAGGCGTGGAGTGAGTGAACGAGCGACAGGACAGCGAAAGGACAGCGAAAGGCGGCGGGGATACTAGTTGCTGGGTTGCTGGCGGAGAGAGAATGGAGATCGCGGCTGCAGGGGCGCGGCGGAGAGAGGATCGAGCGCCCAGTTCGCTTTGTGTCTGGCACGGGCTAGCGATCGGAATGGGTGCGGCGAGATGAGCGAGGGTCAATGACGAACGTCATAAATACGATGCTTATAAACAGCAATAAGAAGAGAAGCGATGGCTGCAGTGCTGCGTGGTGCTGTACTCACTCAGACACGACCGTGGAGTGGAAATAAACTCCGTATCGTGAACCCTTTTGCCAGACTCGTCCCTGCGTGGTGCACTTGCTGTCTGGGCCCACTAATTACCCTTAGCGTTCCATCGGCGGCAGACACGACCGACAAAATTTGGGAAGGTGCGAAATCTTGGCGCCGTGTTGCAGCTTCTCCACCAAAAAGTATCGGCTTTATCGACAACCACGCGCAAAGCAGCAGCACAACGTCGCAGCCATGGGTGTACAAAAGAAGACGCGCAAGTTCGCGCAGATGAAGCGAGTCATCGGTGAGCTGCACAGCCTCAATATGCCGTCTCCACCACTAACTTCATCAGGCCAAAAAGACGGACGACTGTACGCACCACGCGCCCGCCACCCCTCCACCACTAATACCCATACTTAGAAAGAAGAACCAAGCCGACGGTGAACTCGAAGCTAAAAAGAAAGCCGCCGCCGAAGTAGCCAAGCGCGAAGTCCCCCAAGTCTCCTCCGCGCTCTTCTTCCAAGCCAACACCGCGCTGGGCCCGCCCTACTCGGTCCTCGTCGACACGAACTTCCTCTCGCACACGGTGCACGCGAAACTTGAGCTGGACAAGGCGCTCATGGACTTGCTATATGCGAAGGCGACGCCCATCATCACGACGTGTGTGATGGCTGAGTTGGAGAAGCTGGGGCCCAAGTACAGAATTGCCCTGAGGATTGCGAGGGATGAGCGATGGGAGCGCTTGAAGTGCGACCACAAGGGTACCTATGCGGACGACTGTATCGTGGAGAGAGTCATGAAGCATAGGATTTATCTGGTGGCGACGAATGATAGGGATCTGAAGAGGAGGATTAGGAAGATCCCTGGTGTGCCGATTGTCAGCGTGGCCAAGGGCAAGTACGTTATTGAGAGGCTGCCGGATGTGGCTGATAGCAGGTGATTGGGCATACCGGTATGGAAGACTTGGTTTCTGCATAGCGCGGCGTTCGGGATATGGAAGTCATATTTGCAAGACATGGCAGACTGAATGAAATTTCAAAAGATTGGGAGGAGGTTTTTAAGACAGATTATAGACTGCATAAGCAATGTGACTGCGGTTCAAGATCTCAAAGTGGATACGGCGGACAAACGCTCTCAGGTAGCAGGAACAATCAGCTCCTGTCAGTCTTAAAACGTCTGGGGTGTAGCCAGTGATCATTTGCGAGTGTCTCGCAATCTGATCAAAATTATAAAGGCTACAACAGTTCTGCTATTGTGGCCGAAACTCACTATCAGTGAGTAATGGTGAGTTATGAAGGAAATATGACATAAGCAGTGTCATTAGTCGTGCAGGTACCCTTGCCCTACCCTACAGCTTCAAACAATCATCAGGCGTAACTATTAAAACACTCATCAATCATAACTCAAATCACAGCCCACACATCTAACAACGCCGTCAACCCTGAAATCCCCATCAAAGTCCCCATCGCTGCACTCTTGCTGTGCTTCTTCTTATCGGCATCTCTATCGTACCTTCTCCTCGACTTCGATCTGCGTCTCCTCCGCTCTCCACTTCCAGAATCGGAAGTCATCGAGTCATCGTCATACCTGTCCATCGCTCTGGACATGGGGTGAGACTGACGCGTGGGTGATTGTGGGCCCTGGGGATAGGTGAAGGGCTGCATGTGTGGCGGCAAGGGATTGTTGTTGTATTGGGGTCCACCTAGAGGACCGACTGGAGGCGGAAGTGAATAGTGTTGCGGGCTGTTGGATGGTTGTTGCATCTGAGGACGGTACAGCCCCTGTGGTGGTAGTGAGGAAGAGAAGTGGCTGTTCGACATTGCGTTCTGGGTGAGCAGTGGCCCGGGTATTGCCATTGCCATAGGCCTGGAAGATGTCTGTGAGTTGATACTCGGTGGGTATGGTGGTGGATGAACCATTCCTGGGCCGGGCATGGACATTGACCGATCCAGAGGTGGCGGTGGTGGAGGGTAAGTCATGATGCTGGATGACCTTTCGAGAAGCGGCTGCGGTCTACTTGCAGTTGGCGTCCTGTCGCGATGTTGGGCAGCGGCCGTCTTTGCCAGATAGCTCGGGCATGGGCCAGGAGAAGGTCTATCGAAGGAGGTACGTCTCGAACGAGGCGGCGCTGGCTGTGGTGGTGTTGGCGTCACGTTCTTTCGATAAATATCAACGGTCCGCTCAACAAGGCGTTTGATCTGACTGAACTTGAGCGGCTGCTCAATGCAGAAGCAGGTGTCAAACTTTGTTCTACGCCCGTCCTTCCTCTCTTTCTGCACCTGTTTGACCTTATAGCCTGCTTCCTGGATAGCTTCTTTGCAGACCCAACTCGCCATAACTTCTGTCCAGTTCTGAGCAGGTCTCTCAGTATGTGCAGTTGATGGTAGCAAGTCCGTATTGGAGCCAACCACCTTACCATCGACGTATCTCCACTCGTACTTTCTAGTGCGAAGAGTCCATGGGATCTCTAGATCTAGGTCATCGTCTCCCTCCTTAGCTATAGCCGCCGCCGCTGCTTCTACGGGCAAGCTGCCTACACTGGTGCGTGGTGACGTTGGAATCTCAAAGGTTGCGCGAGACGTCCTGGGTGAAGCTGCTGGCGACATTGGCGCTGTAGGACCGAATTTGGTGCCTGGTACTGGAATCGGTAGGGTGGTTGTATCTGCGAACAGTGTTTGTACACTTCCAGCTCGTTGAGGTGGTGATGAGGTCAGACCTGCACCGTCAGGCCCGTACTTTTGCCTCACATTCTCTTCCCCGCTGTCTGATTCAACTGTTGCTTGCTTGTTCTCGTGCTTCTGTGTACGTGCCATACGTTCAGCGTCTAGGAGGCGTTGTTCGAAATTTGGCAGACTAGTCCACCTCTCTAGCAATTGTTCAGTACGCGGACCGGCGATGGTACAAACAGTTGGTAACCATGCATCTTCTGCGAAACCAGACGTTTCAAGACTTCCGAGATGTTCGTCCTGGTATTGATAAAGGTGGTTCGGACCGGGCAATGAGCTCTCACGTCCGGTTGCAACAAGACTTTGAGAACTATCCGATTCCATCAAGAGCCTCCTGTCCTGACTAGGCACCTGGTAGTAAAGCATTTGTGCAGACAAGATAGACATTTGCTGCTCGACAATAAGTGTTTGCAGCTGGATCTTCTCATTTGCCACAGCTTTGGCCGCTTGCTTGGGTGATACTGTAGGACGAAGTCTACCAAGCTAGTTAGTAGCTTCTTTCATGTGGTTTGTGAGGTGACCATCAGGGTTGGACATGAGTGATTTTGGATACCACAATCTCAACATAGATGATCACTTGTTCGTCTGCGCAAAGGATAGGGCGAAGAGAAGCCTTACTTTGACCACATGATACTTTGTGCGGTGTACAAGGTCTGCAGAAGAACGGCCAGAGTCAATCTTAGGCACTCGAGATGTGTGGCAAAGTATGACAACTTCGCGTCCAACGGCCTGTTTCGCGACTGATCCTTCGATGGTCGCACTCCGTCACCTTCACCGTATCGCTCATTCCGACGAAGCTCAGTCTCATCCTCAATGTTCTTCAGTGCTGTTTGAGACTGCACCGTAACATCTTCCAGTACGTCGAGAGCCTACATCTCATGTCAGCCTCGATGCAAAGTACACGGTCTACCAGATGCGCTCCTGCAGATGACCGCTCATATCTTCTTGCAAAGTCGGTGTGAAGCCGAGAACGGCTGCATGGATGGATTTCAACAGATTTTCCGACCATTCAGCCTGGTGCTCCGAAGACACAAATCGGATGGTGGCGAGCAAGTATCTTGGAAGTAACATACCTCAAAGGAAGGTAAGCGATCGTCTTCTTTAATGATCATCCCCACTTGCTTCAGAATCGAGGCAAAGTTGTTGATCGCTTTTGCAACTTTGATGAGGTCTTTGGTCTCTTTGGGCGACGAGGCAGCGAATTGATATAACTTAAGTGCAAGGCAAGAACTGCTAGAGACCACTGGCAGTATCGCCGCGAGTACCGCCATGTCTGGTTAATATCGAAGCACCCAGGATCAAGATTCAAAGAAAAAATGTTATGTCGATATGTCCAAAATTGCCGAGTGATTCGTGGAGCTGTGATGCTCGTGTTCTGGGGTCATGGTAGGTTTAATCTATGCAGGGCGCCGCTGACCGGGAATTCGCAAGCAGAGATCAGGGCATCAATGATTGGCCAAGGGCCGGGGAGGCAACGAAGTTACATATGCGAAGAGGACAGCTGAGAACCGAAGACAAAGATGCATGCTCGGCAAAGATTGTGGCGCTGCCTGGCAAACTGCGCTTGCAGTTCCGAGTGAGTTCGTGCAGTACGAAGTATGACATACCATAAGCTGCGCTAAGGCCTAGCACACATGACGCCGCGAGCACCACCACGATTGGCCACGCGCGAGGGGGTGAGGCTCTGCTGATGGCCTTTTGGGAGAAGTTCGGGCTCGACAAGGAAACCCCTACAAAGCGTCCGGTGAGAACATGTTCGAGGACTGCCTGGGGGAAAGCTTGTGAAGTTGTGATGTTAAAGGCTCCAGCTGAAGCTCCCAATGCTCGACTTCGTACATACAGACCATGACACCAAGTGCGACTGCAGGCCGAGTGCTAGGCGCATATGGTGTGCGCGTTGCACAGGCGAAGCAAGGCCGCAGCAGCGTACGCAGGTGCTGAGGTGGAGAAGAAAGAATATGAGCAGTGCGAACCTCGTGCAGCATGCTGAACTGTGTTAGTCAAATGTTACCAGCAGTGTCCATGACATCTGAGACAGCGAGTCGATATTACTGATTCGTTACCACAGCTGTAGCGGCAGGGTGATGAGTTGAAATGACGCAGTGTGGTCAACTAAGCAAGACCGTCATAGGCGTTACGTGCCAGCCTCCTCATCGGGCCAGCCGCGGAACGCAGGACAGAGAACAGACCGGTTGATGAGCAGGAACAGGCAACCAGATGCACCAGAGTACTGAAATGCCGAATTTGAGATATGTTCAGCATTCAGCCTCCGCGAACAGCGAATGAACGATCGAAACGATGTGTTGGCACACCGTGATGGAGGTGTGCTGAAAGGGGAAAGTGCCAAGCGCTGTCAAGCCGTTCTTTCCACGATGCTCCCGTGTGCTTTGTTGACGTAGGAATGTTTTGTAGGACAACCACCTTCCTGCGACAATGTTCATACAAAGCCGAAAAACAGCTCAAGACATCTACGACTTGTCAGCTGTCAGCCGTAGCTTGAACTCATGTTCATGCTTGACAAGGCCATAATATGCAGGGTCCGGGAAGCACCGATACAGCCCCAGCTTTTCGATGAAATTCGATCCAGCCTCGGATGGATTTGAATAATGACGAGCGCCAACAAGCCTAAGGCGCCGTCGCTTCCGCCCTCCCACTTTCTTTCATACCTCCCTCATGCTGTCTGCAGTACTGTAGCTCTCGGTCGTCTTTCTTGTACACCGTCCCGTAATTTCTGCGCGAGCTGCTGTCGTCCACTCCACTTTTGGTTCACCATCCACGCCGCGTACTGCACTCCTTTCATTCGCCGCGAAGAAAACGGCCCACCGGACCTTAGTCCAGAGCCGCCAATTCACTCCTTGACAGCAAGCCACCCAACCAGAGGGCCTCATTGCGCACACATGCAAAGGTCAGGCAGACAAACCATCACGCAGCCAAATCGCATACCTTCCTAAACAGGAACACTGTCGACTGGACCCCTCAGCGACCGCGGTCCCGCCACGCCTCAATCAGCCCCGCGCGCATGTATATCAATCGAATGCCCCTCATGCCGCGCTCCATGTCCTCCACAGGTGTAAGCACCGCCGTCATGACTTCGCAAGAGGAGCCAGTTCAGCGATTGCGCCGCCCTGCTTATGGCACTTTTGAGGAGCAGCGCCAGCGACGTCACTCATGGCACACCAGACCCTGCGTCCAGGAAGCGGAAAATTTCCACTTGTTGGTACGAAGCTCTTTTTGTGTTCTAAATAGCCTCGATTGACGTTACTTGTAGCTTCGCAACTTCCTGGCCGACCTCAATTGCAGACTGGACTTCCTCGAAGATTATGGCCACCTCAAGTACGACGCCGGCGTTGAGTATGCCTACACGACGCTCCTCACCGTGCGCGAATCATGCTCGAAGATCTCTGACGGCGCACTCGAAGCTGGACGCCGGCAAGCCTCGGTCTTCGTTGAAACACTGGAGGAGCGGTACAAAGAAGCGCTGGAGTCGCAAGAGACACTGGGCGAGAAGGTCATGGAGGGAATACAGTTGATGGACTCGTATCTGACCGAGTTTGAGACACGCGCATATGCGCTTAAGGATGGTACGCTTGGCTCGTACGCCCACGACATGTACGAAAGTGGGCGAAGGAAAATGGACGAGGGTCTCGAAGCTGCCAAAGGTGTTGTCGACAGCGGTCTTGACAAGGCTCGCCGCGCCCGCGAAACTGTGGAGATCACGATCGAAAACGGTGTTCAACGTGCGCTGGCTCGTGCAAAGGAGCATGGCTTGATCCGCTACGACGACCTGCCTGAACCTTGGAGGATCAATCCTCACATCCTCAAAGGCTACCGATTCTCGGAAGGTAAGTGGGCGTGTGTGCGCTCTGTATTCGGCTTCCACAACGAGCTCGTGAACATCTGGTCTCATCTGCTTGGGTTCATCATGGTTCTTGCTCTGGCCTTCTACTTCTACCCATCCAGCGTCAACTGGAACCAGTCAACCAAGACCGATATCTTCATTGCTGGTGTATTTTTCTTCGCAGCATGTAAATGCCTTGCGTGCTCGACTATCTGGCACACCATGAGCAGCATCTCGGAACAGAATCTGCTTGAGCGCTTTGCTTGTGTGGACTACACAGGCATTTCACTGCTTGTTGCAGCTTCGATTCTCACCACGGAGTATGCTGCCTTCTACTGCGAGCCTGTCTCTCGCTGGTCGTACATGATCCTCACAGCTGCTCTTGGCGTGGGAGGTGTTATTCTCCCATGGCAGCCAACATTCAACCGCGCCGACATGGCCTGGCTGCGTGTCGCCTTCTACTGCTCCCTAGCTTTGACGGGATTCATTCCTTTCTTCCAGCTATCTTGGACTCGTGGTCCTCAATGGGCGCTCTACTTCTATGCGCCGATTACGAAGAGCTTGATCGTGTACATTACCGGCGCAGTGCTGTACGCAACCAAGTGTCCCGAGCGCTGGTGCCCTGGCCTCTTCGACTACTTCGGCTGCAGTCACAACATCTGGCACATCGCTGTGTTGGGAGGTATCTTCTTCCACTACACAGCTATGCAGGCTATGTTCACTTCTGCATTGACTAGGGCACAGGTTGGCTGCTCGGTTTACTAGCCTTCTTCACCTTCTTTTGTTTCTTTATGTTGATGCGGCATTTAGCGATTGAGCATTTGATGCGTGTGCATGTAGACGTTCGTTGCATTAGAGCGCGTTGAGCTTTGAATCCGCGCGTGGTTTGGGGCATGTTTACGATCTTCTTTCACTCTCCACATATTTATCGAATCGAACGATCACTTTGTCAAATCACTCTGGTTCTTTTCTGACTGCCTTTGGATCAGACCATCTCCGCAAACCCAGACGGGTCACAGGAAAGATGCCTTGAAAGTAGTGCTGCGACAGACTCTTCCTACATTCACGCAAGAAGCAATGGCAAGCCCAACCAGCCAAAGACCTACATATGTCTTTGACACGTGCAATATTGAACAAGTTCGGCTCTGCTAAGTGGATACAGCATCCATTCGCTTGTCTTTAATTGTGTGACGATTGCTTGATGCCGACAATCTCATCAGAGGGCAGGTGCCGTGAGCAGCCACACAGCGGCTCATCTGCAAAGCTCACAGCACGCTTTCACACTGTACCGCGCCTTGGGGGTTTGGTGAATTTGGCGCTGCAGCTGTGTCTGGGGTCTCTCAATTGAGAAGGTAGTTAATAGCTGTCGATGATTAACAAAGGGCGCGCGCCTTCCGGCTTACGAAGTACAGTAAGATTTCGTGACTCATGCCCATCTCATTGGCCAACATTCGGCGGTGACGCTTCGACAACAAGGAGCCACCCAGGTTTTCAGCTCAATTTCGAATTCGACAATCGCAATGTGAAACTATCAATCCGCTTTCCTTGCCCATCTACGAAGTAATTTACAGTCTATTCATACCTTTAGCATCTCTTAGCGTAATGAACAGCGCCATCGAGCTGGACGTGCAGTCCAAGCGCACATTTCCACTTGGCACCTCCTCAGAGCAGATCCTCGACAAGACGACATCGAAAGAAGATGTTGACATACCAATTGATATCCATGACACTCCAAGAAGCACTCTCCGCATGTTCGCTATTCTTACAGCGCTGTTCGTACGTTGAGGACCCCCTGTCTTCACCATCTCCGTGCAGATGCTGACCATGTTAGCTATCCCTCTTCGTAGCGGCCCTGGACGCGACAATCGTCGCCACCGCCGCACCCACTATGTCCCATGACCTCAACTCCGCAGCAGGTTATACTTGGATCGGCGGTGCTTTCCTCCTCGGCAACGCCGCCAGCGGACCTATCTGGGCCAAGCTCTCTGACATCTTCGGTCGTAAGCTCATTTTATTGCTTGCCTTGGTCGTCTTCTTTGCGTCCTCAGCGCTATGTGCGACCGCCAAAACTATGGAGGCGCTGATTATCGGCCGTGCGATTCAAGGTGCGGCTGGTGGTGGCCTTATTCTGTTGGTGCATGTTTGCATTAGCGATATGTTTAGTCTTAGGCAGAGGAGTTTGTTGATGGGATTGACTGAAGGGATTTGGGCGCTGGCTGGTGGCATTGGACCGATTCTTGGTGGTGTATTTGCCAGTTTGGTGAATTGGAGATGGTGTTGTAAGTGCCTACCCTTGTCTCTTCAATTGTGTCTCAGAGCCCATCGAGATCGGCGGGGCAGATGTTAGTGTGTAAAGACGTTGCTAATGCTTCGGTTCAGTCTGGATCAATTTACCCATCAGCGGTCTGGCAGGATTTCTGATTTTGATCTTCCTCGACACTAAGCACGAGCACACAACGTTCATTGATGGAATGAAAGCCATCGACTGGCTCGGCATCTCTACATTCCTCGCATGCACGCTCATGCTACTTCTTGGGCTCGACTTTGGAGGCGTTTTGTTTCCGTGGGACTCTGCGAAGATTATCGCATTGCTTGTTGTGGGAGGTGTCATGGTCTTTGCTTTCATTTACAGCGAGGCGAAGTTGGCCAAGTATCCCCTCATCCCTATGTCTTTGTTCAAAAGGAAGACCAACATCGCTACATTCTTGGTGGTATTCTTTCACGGATTCGTAAGTACTCATGTTGAGGTCTGGAGGTACCAAAGCTGACTGATCAGGTCTTCATCGCCTCCGAATTCTACATGCCCCTTTTCCTACAGTCTGTTCTCGAAGCGTCTCCACTCCGATCCGGTGTGCTCCTCCTGCCTCTCATCGTGACAGGAGCAGTCTTCGGTGTGGTGTGTGGTGTCATAATGCACCGTACTGGACGCTTCCGAGAGATCATATGGGTTGGTTCATTCTTCATGTGCCTCGGATTTGGCCTCTTCATCTCCTTCGACGCCAACACGACCACTGGCTATGCCGTAGGGTTTCAGATGATCGCAGGACTGGGTCAGGGAATCCTATTCGAAGCGCCAATGATCGCCATTCAAAGCCAGGTTAAGCAGGAGGACGTGGCCACTGCTACTGCAACGATGGCGTTCGTGCGTAATATCGCCGTCTCAATATCCGTCATCGTCTGCGGCACCATATTCCAGAACTCGATGTCGAATCGGAACGCATACTTGCGCGCTTCCGGACTACCACAAGGTCTGCTCGATCAACTGGACGGCGAGAACGCGTTGGCAAACGTTATGCTACCGGGGACGCTCGACAATCCGGCTTGGGAGTTCGCTGCCAAACAGGCTTTTGCGTGGGCGACACGGAACATGTGGATTATGTTAACGGTGGCTGCGTTCCTCGCACTTGTTGCCAGCTTCTTTGTGGAAGCGGCCCATTTGGGAACCGAACATGTGGAGACCGTGACTGGACTGAAGAAGGAGCGGAAGTAACATACTTATCTCGAAACATAGGCATGTGTATGCACAAACGAGAAGCTGCGTTTCAAAGCCCATCAGCCTCCTGAAAGCAGCCTAAGTGACTCAATGAACTCTTTTATGAGAGATCATTCTGCATCTATTGCAGAAGAGCTTGAGGCAAGCTGGTTCATGATTGGTGGTGCCAAACAAGGGGCGGTCTGCATTCCTTACCCTCGCGACGCCACTTCATTTGCCAGCATTTTGTCGACCCAAAATAGGTTGCTGATTAGTCCGGTCTGCGGAGGATAGCACGGAAACCGGTCAGCCTACTTAAGGTCGCTTATGTCACCGGCGTGGTTGTTGTCCCTGGATTCGAGTAGGTCTGCTAACTTTGAACGCCCATGATTCACACGTTTCAACACGGACTGCATTGTAATGCTTTCGTGTTGCATATGTTGATATGTGCATGGCTTTAATGCGTCCAGCTACAACAGCATAGGCCTACCGGTGCGGCCCTTTGTGCCCCTGAGACATCCATTCCAAGCCATTTCTAACAGACCAAAAAATTGTGCCACCAGTCGTACAAATATTTACTGGTCCGTTTTGTCATTTACTATCCACAAGTCTTGTACTTCTTTTGCGCATGGGACTGTTTTGCCGGTTGCTAGCAACGTAGTGCTCGGCTTTGTGCGAAACCTGAGGATCGACTGATGAGGTTCGTGAAATCATTAATTCGTCCATTGACCGCTCAACTTCACTCTGGCTTATAGACTTCTTAGGCTTCTAAGCAGTGTACGGGTAATTGATCACTGCATTTTTGTGCTTCCAGGCGGAGATTGCATCAACAAGTTTAGACATATAGGTTCGCGCGATGCCGTCGTTACGTATAGGTAACGACGGCATCGCGCAAACCCTGATAAGTCCGGGTAACTGACGATACAGCAATGGACAACTCGAACATGTGTTCCCCGCTCGCCCCAATCGCGTCTGCGACACGACACCCTAAGCCATCGATACTGGGGTCTATCCACACTCTTGCGAGTCTATCCACCATTGTGGCAAATATTGTTTGCTGATATTCTCAGGCCGGGAAGAAGAAACACACATACGTGTGGCAATGCGTATGAGTTAGAATTCGTTACAGGAACAAGCTGACGCAAGGTAGTGCTATTGCGGCTTCCCTAGCATTCCGTATCGTTCCAGCACGTGCCCTCAGTGCGGCGATGGTCGCTGTGGCAATTGTTGCATAACAAAAGTAACTGTACGATGAATGACGCCTCCAGGCGACGGGGGACTTGAGCCGTTCTTGGTCGCACCGGGTCAATGCACGAATTCGGCACATCTCAACAACACAAAAATGATGCTATAACGTACCTCACGGGTAAGTCGCCCACTCTGCCGAGACCCCAATGAAATCTGACCCTACAACACGATGTCATAACAACAATGCAAATTAGGACCTTTAAAGGAAGCTAGAACAACGTACTTTAAAAGCCATCCGACCACCCAATCATTTGGACCACTTTTGCCAAGCCCCCACCAAAACTCCAACTCTGCACAACAGTAACGGGTATGCCGGTCACTCTGCCAAGACCCCGCCAACATCTCCATCTACAACACAATGCTACAACAACAACAACAACGCAATTTAGGACCTTTAAAGGAGGCTAGAACATACCTTGCGCTTCAAGCTATGAAATAAGACGCGAATCTATCCCAGCAACGCGCTGCAGCCCTTTACAACGTCTCTCAAATAACCCTAAGCAATCAACGCGCTAGGCAATCTGCACAAGCAGAATAGGCACCTATATTAAGGAATCTGGACAAGAATAAAGAGGAGGTGATTGTGATGTACTAAGCGTACTTTAAGAGACTTTGTAGATAGCTGCAGCGCGTTGCTAAGAGAGTGTCGCGTCGTCTGCTGGGTCCCCTACCGAGGGTCGTACTTCGATCGGCCGTTCCATGCGTGGAACTCCGATGACTCTTGTAAGACCTGTCAAGCTGTTGGCAGACTTCTTCAGCCATGACTAACAACTTCCAAGGCGAATAGATAAAAAAACCTACTTACGTCTGAGAATGTATAAGTTATCGCTCCACACATGAGCATCGACTCGTCACTTACATGGATGCTAGTGCTATTGTGGTTATCCATTCATTCCCTACTCAAACTTGGGTTGCCCATCTTTTGGATGTATTCGATGTAGCAATTGTCACATTATCAAGGTGCCTGTAGGACGAAATTCTCATATGCTAACCTGTAGCAACATTCTCGTAAGAAATTCAAGTATTCCTGATTGAGCTGTCTTCCTGGCGTTGGGCTGCAATTTTGCACTTGGCAGCATGCTGCATGCAATTTGCGAGGATCACTCCCACGTGAGTATTATTCTCGGATATGCAAGCCACAATCTGTAATCTAGCTTTTCATAGTAATGACGTCCGTTCAAATCCAGACCGAAGTCAACTCTTGCAATCATCGGAGCAACCATCTGGTGACACAGTACGATACCATTTGCGCCATCATCATGGATCGCCTAATGTACTCTGATCTACTGGTGTTCATTTCAAACGAGTTAACGGTGTGTAGGCGGCTTATTACTGATGGTTTAGGCCTTCGACTACAATCACCGTGTGTTGACCAGGTGTTGGGCTTCCGTTCAGCCTCGTAGGGCCGTCGTCAAAATTTATTGAGGCTTTAAAATAAGCCCAACACCAAGACTCAGTCCACTAAGATGGATTCGAAAATCATGTGTTCAGTACTGGGATGAGCTATGATAGCTACTGATAGTATACCGGTTGATTGGGTGGTCTTCTCGGTGTATTCTTTCCCCCAGATCGAGCTGTTACGGGCCTTGTGACGCTCGGAACGGACCGGTGACAAAACTTGGAGCACGTGGCCGCATGGTACCGTACAGTAGCTTCATGCGCTGGCATACGCATATCCCAGAGTCCTTCGCGCATTCTTGCATGCCGAACTAGGCAAACACATCCTATGATCATAGGTTTCATGCAGGCATTTAGTCGTCTTTACGCCCTGGATCGATATGTAGCGAATGAAGTCCAGTTCGTGTACTGCAACCCGCCAGAGGACATGCCTTTGTATGGCTTCAAGGCTTTAAGATCCGGCAATACGACTGGAGCGTATTTTGCTGTTTGGATAGCCATCTGAAGAGCGAAACGTGGCCACAACAAGCCTGGAAATTTGCCTTGCGGACAGAGCACACGCTGATAGGGTCTTAAAAGATCACGATGTGTAGATCCGTCGACACTCTCTGCATGAAGTCCCTATTGGCTCATCGAGGACCAAACCCCCAGAACTAGCAATCGTATAATAACTGCCATTCATCTCACCATGAGGTATTTTGTTGACATGAAAGCAGCATCCTTTGACTCTGAGAAATTTCGGATTACAATAACCCTTAAGATTTTCAGTACCTCATCTTCCTTTGGATTCGACGGGCAAGGGCCAGTTACTCTGTCATTTGAAGGCAGCGTTCTTTGACCTACGTCCCTCACTCTCAATCATACTGATACCAAGATCCGGCACCGAGTACGCAGATATCGGAAAACAATTTCATCAGTATTATCTGAACATTGAGCTGATATATCTGAGCCCCAACATCAAAGGTTCAGTGCATTGCATAAGCCGTTCCTTGTGGGACGTCCAAGCTGGCTACACCAAGCCATGGGGTGCAAGAGCGCACCAAGACCACTTGTGTGAGACGCAATCAGACGAGATGGCCAAAGGAATTTTCCAAAATTCGAACCTTCACGGACAAAGGGTTCTTTGAGGACCGCAGTGTACTTCTGGAGAAAGAAACAGAAGTTCTCGACGAATTTTACGTCGACTTTGAAAGTTCGATTCCGTCCTGGGATATCTCTGTGGTGCGGAAGTTCTTCAACAGTCATGAAACGGTCGACGCAGGATTCCCCCATCTGGGCAGAGCGAGGCTGGATGGACGTTGCCATGATACCGGATTGGCGCGCGATTATCCCAACTGGCTCACACCTGCTGAGCTGCAACATCATTTAGGGACGAAGGTACGTGACAGAAGTCCCAGATACATGTCGCCTCGACTGACATCTTCAGTGCTTTGACTGTGCAGAACAATCGGATGTTGACCGCCAACTTGTGTGAGTGAGCAATATTTGAGATCTCCACGAAGCAATAACGAGGAGTCTCGTGCGTTGTTGACTGTTGTACTCGGTGCTGACGCTACGCCAGCTACATTTACCGGTTATGTCCACAATACATCCTGGCGCTCATACGGACGGCATATCGTCATCAACTAGCGGCTCTACGTGACACCATATGGCAACATATTGCTTGCGAGGCTTCGATGCGTGTGAAAATTCCAGTAGGTGAGTCTTGTCCTGTAGTCATAATGTGAGTTGATGAAGTGCTAGGTTGATGGCTTCAAAACATATCTTCTGGAATTCCACATGCCATTCCTCACTCTCCGTTGCTCTGCAGAGGCCGCTACAGATACGCACTCCCCTGAGGGTGAGCCTGAGCCCTGGTCTGAGATCGGAAGTCTCGTCATCAACTGCGAACAGCACAAAGGACTGTGTAAGTGCATGGTGCGAGAAGCCAACGTCTCTGTGGCAGTCTGCGGGTGGGATTCGAACAAGTGGGTATGCTGGGCGTTCTCTAACACTCATTCCGATCCGGCTTCCTGTAACGAGGAAGAGCCAGATGAAGAAGACATGCAGGAAGATTACGTTGGTACCGATGGCAATGGGCCAGAAGATGGCCTAGTCATCGACACTTCGCAACCCATTTGGGGTGCGCGTCAATACTGGCTACGAGTCGTAGACCTTCGTATGCGTATCATACACAAAGAGTGGAAGTGGCTTGTGATGAATATGGAACAGAAAGTCAAAGCCTGGGTGAGTACACACGCGTTCCGTGCCAATAGACATTAACCGTCCACCAGAAGAAGGAGAACGCTCTACTGTATCAGACCAGGGGGCTAGGCAGCAAGCAACGCGAGAAAGCAGAGGAGCTCCTCGAATGGACCTTGCAGTCGATGGAGCTGCTCAACATTCTCAGCGAAAAGCTTGGCATGACGATACAGGCATTCACTCGATTCGAAGGCGACAAACGCTACTTCCTAGACATCAAAGATAGTCGTGCCGTATCGACCTTCGATAGTCTGCAGGAAACTTTTGAAAAACTCCTAGGCTTGCAGAAAAAGATCATGAGGCTCGAGAGGTCGTGCGATCAGACAGAACGAATTGTAAGTGTGAGGCTCAGCGACTCAAGCACGACGCTGACTTGGGTAAGGTGCAACTTCTCATGGCCAAGGTTGGGAATCGAATCAGCGCAGAAACTCAGGAGCACTCTCGTGAGTCCCATAAAGTCAACTTGGCTACGAACCGCGTCAGTCAACAGATGGCTGTACTCAATCGCAAAAGTACACAAGCGGCGGTCGAATCTAGCCGCACCACTCTTGTCAACGTCCAAGTCAGCTTTCCCATCCAAAAGAGGCTCGGAATTTTGCTGACATTTGCAAGCTATTCCTGGTCACAACGCCCTTTGTACTGGCATTGCAGTACTTCGGGGCGGAAAAGGACATTTTCTCGTTTGAAAAGAACCCTCGAACCTTCAGCTACGCCATCTGCGTCCTTTTCTGCGCGTTACCCCTTCTTACTTATGGTCTGGGCTTCCTAAACCAGCGTTGGGATAAATTTTCTAGGAGGTGGTTTGGGAAGTCGAAGTCCGAAGCCGATCAAGACCTGACGCCCGTGGACGAAGAGTTCCAATCCCTGACTGCCGTGTGTTGATTCTTGCATCTATTTTTTGGGCTTGAGCATCGAGCCGTGTGCTTGTTTGTCCTGCTTCTGATATTTCGGCGTTATTGCATCAAGTTCTCGCAAGACGATCGCAAATTACACGAGGGTTATGAGACGCTAAAATCGTTGGGTCGGTCCTGGTGATGGATCACGATCAAACGAGAGGATATGTGTCCATCGATTATCTTCTGATACTGAGTTATGTTATTGAGAGATGAATTCGATACTTGAATGGAGGGTCATCGTAGTGCATGTGCAGATCACAGAGACCGTAATTCTGCGCAGTGCGCACCGAACAATTGATACGCATCCTTGGGCTGACCCATGTACTAGGCAAGGAACCTTCCACAGTACTGAAGCTGGAACACCCACATAGGTGAAAGTGTAAGTCTATTGGGGTAATTCCAGTGCTGGTCCAATAAAGGCACAGGTTGTGATGCAGGCGATCCGGAATGGCAAGTACAATAATCACCACCAATCCCACACAACCACGACTGCGTGGCTCTTGCCTTATGACGTGGCAACTTTTGCCAGATGCCCCTGTGCTTAACACAGCAAGTGATGGTAAGAATCGTAATGCAGTCCTCTGATGCACTTAGTACCGGTGCGTTGCCCTCTTTTGCCCTTACGCAATTGCTAGACGGTGAATGCCCAACGTCCACGAAACCGCTCCTTGTGATATCGGGCATCTTCAGAAGCCTCACTTTCGCCTCTTTCCTGCCCAAGGCTGATACAGTCGCGCAGCCACAATGCCGACACTTGATCAGGCTGGGCTGACGAAATTGTTCAAGAGTCTCTCGCTCTCTTCGCGAGCCTTGGGAGACGTTGGAGCCACAGTCTTGAGCAACCCGCTCGACCTTTGCCGCACCTCATTAGCAGAGCTACTGGCTGTTATTGTAGGATGCGATATACAGGTCGCCTTCAGGTCAATACAGTGGCCCAATAACATCTTTAACGGCGATCTCTCTGTTACCATTCCGAAGCTTTGCCCAGGTCGCAGACCGGCCGAGGTATCGTCGCAACTGGTGGACAAGGCAGGATAGAATTTGTGTCGAGACTAAAGATCAGGATGCTAATGTCTGTTGCAGTTTCCTAAAAGACACGCGCTCTTCGACCCACCGTTCCTCGAAGGTGTGCATCTGCGCGTGTTCCTGAAGCTCGAGGTGGTGGGACACATACTGTTGCCATTTATCCTGGACCGCGGTTCGAGCTATGGCTCGCATCCCTCCGAGGAAACCCCAAAGGAAGCAGTTGTTGAGTTTTCGTCGCCGAATATCACTAGCGAGTTCCAAGGAAAGCACTTGCGCAGCACCATCGTTGGATCTTTCATTAGCCGACTGTACGAGTCTCTTGGTTGGCATGTAACGCGCCTCAACTACCTCGGTGATTGGGGCAAGCCAATCGCGCTCCTCAAGGTTGGCTGGGACAGATTCGGCTCCGAGGAAGCTTTCCAGAAAGACTCAGTTGGCCACCTGCTGGAAGTCTATCACCAGATCGAAGAACTCTTCCAGCCCGAACAAGCAGCGAGCAAGAAGGCTCGGGATGAAGCAGTCAAAGAGGGTAGAGATGAGGGCGAAGCCCAAGTCGAAATCGAAAGCCAGGGCATCTTCTCTCAACGCAACAAGGCCTTCAAGCAGCTTGAGGCCGGAGACGAAGCAACAGTTTCGTTCTGGGATCGTGTCCGAAAAGCCAACATCGAGAACTACACTAGCTTCTACAATCGGCTGGGCATTCAGTTCGATGAGTACTCCGGCGAGTCCAAAATGTCCCAAGAGATCGTGGTCGAGGTAGAGCAGCTGCTGAAAGACAAGAATATCTCCGAAGAAAGCGGTGGAGCCTGGATCGTACACATGCAAAAGCTCGGCGCGAAAGCGGGTACTGCCATCATCCGAGATAGGTCAGGCAGCAGTACGTATCTTCTACGAGATCTTGCTGCTGTGCTGGAGCGCTCGAGGAAGTACGCGTTCGATAAGATGGTGTACGTTGTGGCCAGCGACAACAGTGTCCATTTCTCTCAACTCTTCAGAATTTTAGAGGCGCTGGACATGAAAGATCTCGCTACTAAACTGCAGCATGTCCGGTTCAGCGAGGTGTCGAAAATGTCGGCTACTCTTGGCAAAGGATACAAACCGCAGGCAATCCTTGATGCGAGCGAAGACGCAATCGAGGGTCTATCGGAGGCTGATGAAGAGAAGGCCGGCTTGCTGGGAGGTTCTGATCAGACTACAAAGGCGTTGGGAATCTCAGCATTGCTGCTCCAGGAGGCAGTCACACGTGCGAACAGTGTCCACGCTTTCGACACAAGTTCGTTTGCGTCCTTCAAACCCTCGACTGGACCCGAGCTGCAGTACTGGTACACGAAGGTGTGTGCTCTCCTCAGTGGACACGCTGCAAGTGCAGAGTTGGCGGACGATCAGTTCGAAGCACTGGCAGATGAAGACAAGGCGAACCTTCTGAGGGTACTGGCCCAATACCCTGAGGTTGTCAACGCCACATTCCAGTCCCTCGAACCTTCTGGCATCGTCACGTATTTGACTGCCATTACTGAGCAGCTGCCTACTCTCCTTGAGGATGAGGACGACAAGATTGACATATCTCCAGGCTCGGTTGCCTTGTTGGAAGCCACCAGGACTGTGCTGCAGAACGGCTTAAAGCTGCTTGGAGTGGTACCCATACCAGACCTGCCTATTCAGCGGGCAGATACACCTGTCGCGGGCTGATGAAGGGTTTGTTAAAAGTTCCACATTCTCTTGTTTCCGTAATCGTTCGCTTGGTGTTGGCCGAAGTTGACGAGCTGCGCTCTTCAGTCATGTTATCCAATGCTTTAACCTTTGTTCGGCTCTTCTTTGCATGAAGCTTCCCATTCTTAGCTTCAACTCTAAATTGTGGGCTCATTTTATGTAAAATGGACGGCGACAAGTTGTTAGCCTTCACAACACAGAAATCTGCATGTTGTTGGGGAGTTGCGACGCGCTTGAGAACCCGATGTGCGGACCGCGGGCCTGCAATGTGGAAGGTGCGGCGTACTTGCCCAAACAACGCGCCCATGCTTCAGAGGTCTCCTAATCCACGGGCGAGAGCAGCAACAGCCTGAGACTTCATTCCTGAATAGATGAGAGAAATGCGACACGAACCAAATGAATACCACTTGTTCAGTTGGATTATGTCAAGAAGTTCGTGATGAATCGCGCTAGAAGCTAGGTCGTTGGCGCGTACCTCGACAGCACGTCACATGAGAACGCGCAAAACCTCGGAAGCACACTGCCCAGCCTAAAGGTAAAGTTTGCGTCGACATAAAGCAGGACGAACAGGTCACGTACATCTGGACGTATACTCAACCACTCCTTACTAGCCTCATTCCCTCTCTGTCGGGCTCCACTTAAAGCATGACGACAATGGCCAGACCACAACCACACCCGCGACAGCACGCATTTTTGACGGCACGGAATTTGCTGAACCTAGACTGCAGCGCGGACTTAAAGTCATATCGACGAGACCTCGGCCCCGGTGTACAAGCAAAATGCTTTGAGAAGACGAGCGACACGATACGAGCGCAACTAGACGACCATCGAGCATTTTTGCTGCGGCATAGACAGAATGGGCAGGCCTCGGGGTTTCCCAGTCCTGTTCCACGGCTCGAGCCCCCACCCTCGCATGCTGCGCACAGCAGTCCCGCACAACCACACATGTCATCGCCAAACAACAACTATCACATAGCATCTCATCCTCGACCGCTGTCGGTCCTCTCGCAACCGCACGCGCCGCGCGCGCCCCAACCAGCCCCGTCACCATCTCGACCTCAAAACTCAGTGCCCGGGCGCATAGCCACATATCCAGCAAGCCTTCGACAAGCACTGGAGCGTGGTCGTCAATACGGGCACCGACATGAGGCTGGATATGTATACGAAGTCATCGTGCACGTTAGTAGCCAAGAATACTTGATCACAAAAGATCGTGTTGGTGCCTACGAAAGTTTACAGGATGCCAATATGGAGGCTGTCGGTGTCTTATTGTCTGGGGGATACTATGGATCAGCTCTTGATGAGCCTACATGCGAGGTAGAGGAGAATGGAGCGCTTAGATTTGAGCTCTACACAGATGGCTTTACAGGAGGACAGACCGAAATATACGTCAAGAGGGCTCGGGCAAGACAAGGCCAAATTACAATAGGATGATGGCTTGGCAAAGTTCCACGAAGGCACTACCCAGGGATACTCTGTGACTGAACCTGAAGATCCCTAAGCACTCTTCCTTTCTTTCTTGCTGCCAGCAAGACCAATACCAAGTATGAAGGCTACCCTTAAAAAGAACGGACCAGCAGTCGTTACCACGGTCACCCAATCTTTTGTTCTCCAACCTCCTGGAGATAAGAACACACTCGCACCCATCTCGGCCCACAACGAGTAGACATGCGCGGCGTCGCTTAACGCCATACCGAAGAGCAGCACTTTCCACACGTACACATCGTGCACCACTCTGAGTGTGATAGCCTGATTGAACGCAAATAAAAGGTAGCAGGCGGCGAGCTGGTCATAGATGATCTTTGACTTCGGACTCCATTCGGCTGTGATAGGCATATACTCGTGGTATGTCTCCGGCAGACACCACAGCAGCCGGGAGCCGCCCAACGCCGCTGCTGGCTCGATCCAGAGGTGCCACCAGCGATAAACGCGCGGTATGTTTGGCGGAGTCATACTGATCGAGTTGGATCGGTCAGGGGCTGTGGTCGATACGCTATGTCGCGTGGGAACGTGTGACGGGACTTGTGAATTGACAGGAGCTACCGCTTGCGATGTTTAGCGAGAGACGGCACGACTGTCGATGTATCAGTACCTGCTGCATGCTATTTATAATGATGATGCCCAGGTAGTGTACCACGTCTGGTGTGCGAGCGGGAAAGATGGCTTGCATGCAAGGGATACACAGTAACAGCACCATCCCAATGGAGGCACCAGTCAAGCCTTGTACGAGGCCTGCGCAGCCCATTTTCTTGTTTTCTTGAGAGTTGATCTATCGCCCTTTGCCCTTTAGTTACTCGTGGGACTCAACGACGGGTGTGAGTTCGCAGTTCTACACCCTACGATGTCTGAATGGACACTTGGCGTTTTCGAAACATTTGACTCCCAACAAACAAGCTTTCTGCACATAGCTGTGCCAGATAACCCCGATTTTGTCCCCGGTCCACGAATGTGATGGTTAGTTCAAAGTTCTGCCAACTCGCTGTGCGGAGGCGGTAGGCGTGGTACGCATCTCCAAATATATAGAATGCCACAGCACCTATCAACGAGTCGCAGCCTTGCCAACGATCAAGTCAATTTTGACCTCACATTCACGCGCTTACCCAACAAGGTAGGAATTGAGTCTATGCAGGTAACTGCTAAGCTCGAACAGGTAATCAATTGTTGACAACTGTGTATCTAAATTGACAACGACGCTGTGGTCGCTCATCTCCGGACGGGTCGTGATCCCTGCAAACACCCATTGGTGGGAACGAGTCCCCCTGCATTCGACAGTCGAGCAGCAAACCTGCTTCTTCGGGAAGTCGTGACACGGGCGCAGTTGGAAAATGGTCCCGCCCAATCAATCACGCGTGCTGCTCAAGTTGTTCTGACCGGCGAACTACACGTGCGCAATTGTGCGTATTGAATATGTATGTCTTCACTTGAACAATCGTATGGTGCTTACACTCCACCTTTCGTATCCCATGAATGTACCAAGAATCTGCTCCTCCAAAAGTTACAAACTCGGCCTGACCCGCACTTTCTCACCGCATACGCTCCTATCACGTCACAGCAAGACGATGTCTTTGGAGGCCGTTATGCATGTCAATGGAACTTCAGCAGTATGCTTGGAGGTGCTCGACGCCCCTCAACGCCATGAGAGACGAAGCTGTACGTTCGCAGTATAGTTTCCGCTTCAACCACATTCGAAGTCCAGGGTCCAACATCGTCATTTCAGGTCTCTTCGGCAGCTTTCCGAGAACTTCCACCTCCTTAGGAAAGCCGCACCGCGTGGGGATGCTGCAAATATCAGTCCTGGACCTTAATGCAAAGCAACGGACCTGTGGAGCAGATTTTTTTAGCATGCATCTGGACATCGAGATTTTCGCAGAACATCGGATTGTCACAGAATGCCATCACGATGGCTCACTAAGAACGTCCTAGCTCAGCCGGGCACAGCGCTGGTCCCCCACGTGTGGGAGCCTCAAGGTGTGCACGGCGTCAAGAACGGATGCTCTCAGCGACCGTGGTAGCCTCAAGGGACCGCCGCAGCGTGTGCAGGGCTTCGAGTGCACAGGCCTAGCATATGATTGGCTGTGCCAGACAAAGCGCGCTCTTTTGGTGCACCCTGTAGCTGTCACCTTAGGCTCAAGCTTCGTTGGGCACGACAGATCGTTAGGTCACACGTAAAAGTGATGCGAGAGTGAGAACCAATTTGAGCGGTTTGCAGACCAGACAATATTTGCACGTCAGTCAGTTGGCTAGAAATGTGACGTCAGGCGGGGTTCTCCAATGTTTTCTTGCCCATGGCGCGCAGGCTTGTGAGGATCCACGTTTTGTTGGAGACGCCCCTGCTCAACCGCATCGCATTCGCTCAGCAAAACCAAGGAAGTTCTCTTCCGCCCGCTAAGCGCAGCCTCATTCGTTCGTAACTACTTAACCCGTAAGTTATGCGCTTTCGCGTGCTCATTGCGTCGCGAAAACGTCCCGGAGGAGGCTCTTTCTTGACAATACCCACAGCGCCTCGAATTTGCGGCACACATCACCCTACCTGCTTGTAACCTCGACACCGCTCTTTGCGAACTCACCTCGAGCTTATAGCGGGCGCCATACATCTATAGCGTGTCTCTGACTTACAAACATCTCGTATACCTACCCTACAATCCAAGGACCCACCCCGCGAACGAGGTTGCGGCACGAACCCTTCGCCTACTCACCATGACGACCTTTGTGGTGTCATTGTAAGCTTACCATTCCACCACACGCAGCTCTTAGGCTAACAATGTAGATTCCTGCCTTACACAGTAGACTTTCATGAATCGAAGTCTGCTGAATCTAACTCAAAGCCAGCTGCTGCTGCCCCGCCGAAGCACATCGATATAGGGAGGAACCCCTCGAAAAACAGCCTGCAGGATGCGCAGCAGCCGCCAAGTGTCCTTAAGCGCGCACCGCCCTCGCACATAAACCTGCCGAAGACACCTCTGTCTATGCTCGAGCAGGACGACTTCTTCACCCCAGCCCAACCGAGCGCAGCGACCCACTTCCCAAAGCCACAAGACCCTCGAAGTCTGGTACGGAGCGACGCCCACATCCCTGAGTGGGGCGGAAGCGGCCTCTTCTTCAATCAGCCACAGTCGAGAGCTGATCCTGCACCACCAGACACAATTCTCGAGTACGCGAAAGCACAGGAGCGGGCGCAGATCTTGAAGGAGCGCCAGAAGGGCCCGGTACATGCTGAGACAAAGCCTACTGACCCTCGATGGGCGACAGAGTACGCAATTGTACCTGCCGTGCAAGGCAACGGTGGCTTGGCCAATGCTGTTCGTGCTGCAGTTGATAACAAGTGCCTGAAGGACGTGCTCTCGGTTGGTCTGATTGGTTTCCCCACAGACAGCATCAACGCAGAGAAGAAGTTGGAAATCTACGAGAAGCTAGAAGACGAGTACCAGGCTCTGACTGTTTATGTCAGCGACAAGGACTTTGACGGTCACTACGCACATTTCTGCAAGACCATCTTATGGCCAGTCTTCCACTATGTGATTCCCGACCACCCCAAGAGCAAGGCCTTCCTCGACCACTCATGGGTGTTCTACGTCGGCGTCAACCAGGCCTTCGCCGACAAGGTCGTCAAGAACTACAAGCGTGGCGACATCATCTGGGTGCACGATTATCATCTCTGCTTGGTCCCTCATATGGTCCGCCAGAAGCTGCCCGATGCACAGATCGGCTTCTTCCTCCACACCGCTTTCCCTTCGTCAGAAGTTTTCCGCTGCTTGGCTGCGCGAAAGGAGCTACTGGATGGCATGCTCGGCGCCAACTTGGTTGCATTCCAGACACCAGAGTACGCACACCACTTCCTTCAGACCTGCAGCCGCATTCTGTCTGTCGAAGCTACGGAAGAAGGCGTGCAGCTCGACACCCGCTTCGTCAATGTCTGGTCCTCACCCATTGGTATCGACCCTCGCGCACTCGCCCTTGCGCGTGAAGCGCCCGAAGTCTTGGAGTGGATACAAACCATGCAGAAGCGTTACGAGGGCAAAAAGGTCATTGTTGCGCGTGACAAGCTGGACAACATCCGTGGTGTACGCCAGAAGCTCCTGTCGTACGAGCTGTTCTTGAACAAGAACCCACAGTGGAGAGACAAGGTTGTTCTCATTCAGGTCGCTACCTCTACAACGGAGGATCCTGAGCTGGCTGCAACTGTTTCTGAGATTGTCACACGTATCGACGCTGTGCACTCAACGCTCACACACAACCCTCTTGTCTTCCTGAGGCAAGACATTGCATTCTCACAGTATCTCGCTCTTCTCTCGATTGCCGATGCTCTTGCAATCACATCGCTCCGCGAGGGCATGAATTTGACTTGCCACGAGTTCGTCATCTGCCAAGATGGCCGCGCTAGCGAGAAGAAGCACGCACCTGTCATCCTCAGCGAGTTCACTGGCAGTGCCTCCATCTTTGACGGTGCTGAACTGGCTGTCAACCCATGGGATTACGGCGGCATCGCCGAAGCTATCAAGAACGCCTTGGAGATGACCGAAGAAGAGAAAGGGAGGCGCTACGCAAAGCTACGTAACCAGGTCATGCACCACACCGGTGACTACTGGGTCAGCAACCTGAGTGAATATCTTGCGAAGGTCCACCAGGAGCAATACAGCCGCGACACCATGTCGATTCCTCGTCTCTCAACCAGCAGGCTCGCGAGCTCATATGAGTCAACATCAAAACGCCTCTTCCTGCTTGACTATGAGGGCACACTCGCTTCGTACGGTTCGGTCAAGAGCACTGTCCTTACCAACACGGAGCGTGTTATCGACGTCCTTCGCGAGCTGGTCGCTGACAAGAACAATGCTGTCTACGTGATGAGCGGCCGCACTGTCCAGGAAACACAGCTGCTGTTTGATCGCCTGCCCGGCCTGGGCATAATCGCTGAGAACGGCTGCTTCCTTCGCGAGCCCAACTCGGATGAGTGGATCCAGTTTCCTAATGAGGAGAAGACTACCAAGTGGAAGGACTCCGTCAAGCCGATCCTTCAGTACTATCTCGAGCGAGTTGAGGGCAGCCGTGTCGAGGAGCGCCACTGCGCACTTCTCTTTCGCTACGACAAGGCCAACGACCCAGACGCATCCACTCGCCACGCTGGCGACTGTGCCAATCACATCAACGATGCATGTGAGCAGCAGCGCGTGAAGGCTGTCCCTTCGCGTGACTACGTCATCATTGAGCCCATCGACTTCGACAAATCGACTGCCGCCCAGCACGTACTCAGCAAGTACGAGGAGTCAGCCAAGCCTGACTTCTTGTTCGTCGCTGGCAACGACCGTGATGACGAAGTCGTGTTCAAGTGGGCTAAGAAGCTGAAGGAGGATTCAGCTATCCTCAATGTGCAGACCGTCACCGTCGGTGACAGGAATTCCGTCGCTCTTTCCACCCTGCCCAACGGTACTACTGGTACGTTCTCTCCTATTCCGTATATCCTACACTTCACTAACTTATCCAAGGCCTCATTGGTGCCCTGAACAAGCTCGCCAAGCTCCAGTCGTAGATTGACCAAGAGCGCTGTCTTGCTTCCTGGGACCTCTCCTTTGAAGAGGCGCCACCACAGTGCCCGTTGACGCTCGCGCTTCGGCGTGATTTGATTCTGCAGTGACTTCACTTTTACAGTACAAGGCTTAGAATGACATAGAGTTTAGCGCAGCACGAAGCGTTACGGGGGAAGATTCATGGAACTGGATCCTATGGCTTACGATGTGATGACGACCGTGGTCGATTCAGCGTGCATGAATGGAGTCGGAGGTTCTCTACATCTTATATCAATACAAAAGTATCGATACATTTTTCTTTCCCCGAACATGTGTCTACGCCCATTCTCCCCCAAGGACATGTGACAGGACTGGACCAGCCTGATCACGTGCGCCCACACAAAACCCAAAACTGACTCACGTGGCAGTGGCTGTGCGCTATTATCGAGATGCGACCATGCCTGTCGACGTGGTATTAGGATACATCGCCTTAGCCTTGTGTGTTCTAGGCGCAGTCCTGCCCGAAAGACCGGGGGATGCGTCTGCGGTGTGGGCGGATCCACAATGACCGGCTGAGCGTGCAGATAGCCTTGTCAGTCGTGTCAGTATGGGGCTGGTGGGTGCTGCTCTCCGTTTGGAGCCATCATCACAATTTACACAGCGAGAGAGATATATTTGTTGAAACGGTATTAATATCGAAGTGATGCTGGACGCTACGCTATGTTGGCCAATGCTGCGGCCGTAAGGGCTGGCATCTTAGAAATGTAGGGTATTACCGCCAAAGACTACAGACCGCAAAGTGAGATGAACCAAATCTCGAGAACACCAGATGACATGAGGTCGTGACATGTTCAGTCGTAAGTCGTCAGCCTAAAACAAACGTATTTTTGGTATGTGATGTCGGCCGTGAGACATAACGTAAGAGCGGACGAAGAAATCGTACAACCATGCCGAACACACGATTGAGTTAAAAGAAGAGTGCCCGTGTTGAGGGCTGAGAAGAGGTGACGCTGAGTAGAGCAACACGATTATTGCGGCATCCAGAAGGACATCAAGAACTTGCTGACAAGACGGGACGAGTACCTCGTCTGGTTGTCAGACGAGATACTGACAGCTAGTCGTTGCTGCAGATAATCGGCTGCGCGATGTTAGCGACCCGATCACAGCAGCATTGATATCGTGTGAACTCACTGTTTTCTTTGACCAATTGTGCGACTTGACGCACAAAGCTCACGCTTGATGCGTCACCGAAGCCGGCCTCTTTCTCCCAATCATGATCCGCATTGAGCAGAGGGTTGTGCTTGCGGTTGTACTTCCATCTAAAGATTTGCTGGATAAAATGCGCCTGTTCGTCGATCTCTCTGTTAGCGTGGTCTGCAAGGGCTTGTGCATCTCGATTGTCGAGTCCTTCTGTCTGCGTCTTGGTAGTTTGCACAAGGTGAATCGTCTTCTGCTGATCCTCGAGCGCCATGCACATGCCAACGATGGTCATGAATGCTGCCAACCACTTGTCGCAGCCCTTGGAAGACTTGAAAACCTGCTGGAGTTTGTTCAGAAGTTTGTTCTGGATCGTCCGCTGCACTCGTGAGAAGAAGTACTTGAGTTGGCGGTTCGTCATGCGTGGCGACGCATAAGATTCGTTGCGACCATTGAACGAGTGCATACGTGAAAGCGTAGCGTACTTCGTCTCGGGTGCGATGGTGAGGGTATGGGACATGATGAAGGTGACAATGATGAGGCGATTAATGTCGCGGAACAGCTTCACCTCATCCTCGTTCTTCGGTTTGACTCTCGTCATCAATTTGAAGAGCTTCTGTTGGAAGTCGTTGTCATCTTCCATCCAGCAGAGTTCACCGAAGGCGTCCAAATGATTGTCAGCAATATCACTGACGTACTTCTCGTACTTCTTCTCTTCGTTGTAGTCGATGTGAACCATACCCAGTGGTGGACTTTGCTTTCGATGCATCATGCGCTTGTTCGACCCAGGATCTGTTCGATATTGAATTTGCTGGGTGAGTGCGTCTCCTTTGGGAACGAATTCGTAGACCTTGACTGGGATACGCGGCATTTTGTCCTGGCCACAAGTCATCATGACTGTGAGTTCTAAGCTGTTCCATTGGTAGATGTGTTGGGAGACGTATTGTGTGAGGAATTGATCTTCATGCATCTGCGAGACAAGGTGTGGGATGAAGGCTGCGGCCAAGTCGATGAGCTTGACACGCGAGCAACCCAAACCACAATCAGCGTTGGGGCGCTGGGATCGTTTCAGGCACCTCTCGCAGGTATCTCCGGGCCCACACTTGTCTCTTTGAAGCACACAATGCCAACATGCCACGATCTTACGCATGTCGTGTGCCGACTTTGCGACCCTGGGATCCAGGTGCGTACCGAGCGCGCGCCCTCCTGACTTGCCCATGGCTCTGAAAGTCGATTCTCGCCTCAATTGCTCCGGCTCGGGGGAAGCATCGAAAGATATCTCGGGAATTGGCTGGCCAGGCGACGCGCTCCCTTGCGAAAACATGGTGGCGTTCGAATGATGGGCCGGCAATGTATCAAGCATCTCAAAATCCGCCTGCTGATACGAGTGTTTGCCATCAGAGCTGCCCGAGCTGGGGATGGGCTGGTAGAACGATTGCGAGTACTGTCCGACTGATGAGGTGGACGGCGACGGCGGAACGAATTGGTTCTGATTGGGCACGATGTAGTTGTCCGTGATAAGAGCGGATGATGCATCGTAGTTGACGAATGTTGGCTGTTCCGCTGACTGCAGTGCTCCGTTGAAGCACAAGTCGACAGGGCTATGAGGGTACGATCCTTGCGACCCACGGTGCTGTTGTCGATGGGCCATATCTTGTGCAGTAAAGCCAAACATCATGTCTTGAGGAGGATTCATGGGCTCACTTGGTGAGACTAAAAAGTTCGGGTCCGTGAAGTTCTCGGTCCAGGAGTTGACAGCGTTGTTGTTGAGAAAGTGCGTGTACAGGGTAGGATCGGAGACGGGATCAAGCATGGCATGCCCTGTTCGAGGCACCCCTCCGAATCGTGGAGTCGCCTGGCCATTCCACGGATCTTGCTGCTGTTGCTGAGCGTGTGTCTGCAATTGAGTTGTGTAGTTTGGACTAAACAACGTATGTTGCGGTTGAGCTGCCATCATATACTGATGCTGCAAGCTTTGCACATTGAACTGTGACTGCAACTGCTGCTGCTGCGCCAGCGTACTGTTGAACGCATCATGAAGTGCTGATCTTGTCAGCATATACGCACTGGGACAGCTTGCCGAACATGCCTTGGTCACTGAAGAACATAGTTGAGTCGACAGCCTGGACGTTGTTATGTAAGGCCTGTGTTGACATAATGTTGGAGTCCTGTTGATAGAAGCTGCGCATGTCGGGGTTGTCAAGCATCTCGACCTCAAACGAATCGTTATCCGGTGTCCTCACGGATGTTGGCGAATTCGAAATGCTGCCATTATCCCAATAGGTCTGATCCGGTAACTGTTCTTGTGACGGTACTGGTTGCTGTGAAGGAACGCGGCTCAATGGCGGTGGCGTAGCGATGAGTGGACCAGGAGAGTAACCGCCAGGAGATAGTCCGGTGTGATTAATCATGGACTCCGTGGGTGTCTTGGAGCGATGGGCGACATTTTGGGCAAGCTCAAACGCGGACGGCTCGTAGTAAGTTCGTTGTTGTTGTGGCGGGTATGAGTACTGAGGGAAACTGGACATGGTGCGCAGAGGGCCGCTATAAGCGCCCGAGCAAGATCAGAGGACCCTCAAGCCCTACGATTCCAGCTCCTAAGTTGCCTAGCAAGATGATGCGCTAGGGCTCGTTCTTCGGCCTGGTGGACCTTAAACAGACAGAATCGCAAAGATGGACGGCTCACGGTACTTCGAAACGGGCCAGACAGGGCGAACAGCAGGAAACGATAGACGGGGCGATCCGCGACAGGGACGTATAGCATGGAGCGAGGGAGGGCGTGCAAGAAGAATCACTCCAACGCGGCTGAGAATGAAGAGTGAGAACTGCTTCGAACTGGCAATTGAGCGCATCGCACGGTGCCCCACGCCCACCGGTGAAGAAGGATGACGCCAGTGGCAGCTATTGGCTTAGCTGCAGCCCATCTGCATAGCACCCGGGTCGCACCAAACCACAATTGACGCTCGCGCTGCGCTCCACCAAGAAGTTTGACAATGAAAAATTCGAGATGCAACTTACCGTCGTCGGCCGGACCCTGCACTTGTCGACCGCGCCTCTCGCGCGGTGGTAAGGCTATGATTCGGAAACGTATCGTCGGAGCGCTAGGCGATCTCGACATCAGCCTGAGGCCTCGAGGTCGTGCCGGGCTGCGCCTCGCTCGCTAAGCGGGTTTCATCAAAAGGCGGTGTTCAAATTGCGAGTCGCACAGCTGATGAAGGATGGTGACCACCCTCGATGAGCTGGAGCCAATAGTTTGCTCCAGTGATCTGCGACAGGTTTCCCATGTCGGCCAGTGGACGCCCGCATCGTGCATGGAAGCTGTCAAGTGCCAACGCATATCTGCGAAACGTAATCGCGAGGGTGTGCGGGCATATTCACACCTTCAGTGGGCAAGGTATATGGGCGACAAGGCCGATCGTAGACGTTGCGGGGATATCGTGAAGCCGTGCTCACGACCGCAAGAATATGGAATGGGACCCCAGGTTCCAGGCTGTAGACAGCGGATGGCGGCCTTGAAGAGCTGTGCGCTGACCGCAACTTTGCAAACCCGCCTTGCTAAACGCCAGGTTCAACATGATGGACCAGAATTGTCAACGAGCAGATATTGGCGCCGACTAGCCATCAGGCAACAGCAATTCTGGTGATTGCTCTTCCAATCCTGCTGGCACCTGCGCTGTGGACGAATGGTAGTCGCTTTTTGCGTGTTTATGCCGAAAGACCAATGACAGGTGGCGCTTTGCTGTGTCATCGCTCGGACTAACGATGCACTCCACACTCGGAGTAAAGCTTCGGACTCACGACAACGCGACTTTACGGTAGCATGCAAATTCAACAGCAGAAGGCTGCTGTACCCGTTACTATCTCCCCGGTCAACTCGGATAGACTTCAGCCATGTCAAGAGAGCTCAGAAGGAATGGAAAGCCCAGAAGGTTTGTCAATAATCCGAGACCTTCGGCCAAGCTAACCAGAAACCCAGCTGTGAACCGTGCAGGCTCTCAAAGATTCGGTGCGACCACGCAACGCCTCTGTGCCGGAAATGCCAAACGCGGGGAATTCCTGATCAAGTGAGCAGATGAAGGCGCCACGATCAGAGATCATGTTGACCACGAAAGTGTTTTTACCATCCAAATCCCATGACCAAGCCGGCGGGGACTCCACGTAAGAAACCCGAGCCTCGCCGTCGAAAGCTCAGTGCACATCCCGAAAGACTTGCTCCATTAACCTTGAGTCCACCGACTCTCAGGAACGATCTTGTGAAATCGTGGCCAACACCGCCTGAGACCACCACCAGGACAGAATGTGCCAAACCGACTCAAGACCCAACACGGGGGTTCTTCCTCGGGTCGACAAGCTACGCCAGTGTGTTTGTCGAAGAGCAGCCTCTGCCCGATAGTATACATGAACAGCCGTCAGAAAGAACAAGCAGAACGCCTTCTGTCTCTGACAGAACTATACTTGGCAGCCGCCATTGTCAGATCGGTATAGGTCACTCAATCGTCACGAAGCTTCTGCCGATCTCGTTCTTCGAGAGGTCTTTCAAACTGTATTTTGAACATCAAAAAGCGTCTGCCTTGATTGGCCCGCTGGTAATATCGGCTCTGCCACAATTGAGGTTAGATCTGGCTGAACTTGCAAACACCGAGAACGATGCCGTCGCTATGTACGCCGAGATGACAAGGAATACTGCGCGACCCATGAGAGTGCCCCCTGGCCTGCGCCCTTCAGAGTTCCATGCACTTTTTACGGGGAAGAACTTACGATGGGAAACCTTAGGTCTCATACTGGCAATCGTGTGTTCCAACGCGCAATTTACATCACCACACGATCCAATCTTCACCCTTGATGATGGCACACGACTTGACAGAGACGAATTCATTGAGGACATGATACATGCATCGAATGACTGCATACATCTCTGCCAGATTCATGGAGCTGTCAACGACATCATGGTCTGGCTGATTTACACCAACATGCTCATAATCAGTAGTTTCTACGGAGACAACTGTATGTGCAAAATCTCAGACTGTCCTCCTCCGCTAATCGATAATAGACCACGGTACTTGGCGACGACTCAGTGATAGTGTATCAGCCCTGTACGCTGCGGGTATGCACTGCGAAGGAGGCTACGCAGAACGAGCAAATACAGAGCCACTCTTCCTACGCGAGGCGAGAAGACGAGTGTACTCGGCTGTCTATCGAATCGACAAAACGTTGGCGATTTTCTTCGGTCGACCCCCTATGATAGGCTGGAGATACAGTGACCGAAAGCAATTACTCGATGTCAGCGACGATGTCATCGTTTCCGAGGACCCCGAGATCGTCAACAAGGCATTGTCACGATTAGATGGGAACGGTTGGAATACAGACGGTCACATACACCCATCAACGTGCATAAGATTGCGTTGTCAGCATGCAGTGTTCAAAGAGCGGCTACTGGAACAGTCATTGTCTGGAGAGAAAGACAGCGATGTAGCCCACAACATGAGGTGAGCGAAGGAAAGAATCATAATTGAGAGGCAGGGGCTGACTTTGCTTCAGAACCATATCAGCAGAATGTACCCAGTACTGGGAAAGCCTCCCGAGCCACCTGCGTTACGAGATGTACGACGACGATTCCGCCTGGCACCAGCTTGGTGCCGGCATCACGGTGCGCCTGATATCCGCCTACCTCGAATACTTGCACACACATTTCCAAATCCAGCGGCTTCTCCAGCGACAAACACAACAAGCCCTACCTGCGCTCTTGGATGTATCTCTCAAGCTACTCTCGACCGCCCTCGTATTTACCAAGCCCCTGAATGGTGCGTACGAGACGCGACGACACTTCGCCACAGTTATTATGTTCTACTGCTTCCCTGCGGCCGGCGTCCTTGCGCTCGAGCTGCGCAAAGCCACCATCGAAGGCGTCCCACTCCCCGACACCGTCTTTCGGGCCGATGTGATACGCAACTTGTCCGTGCTCACGTCCAGCCTCGAATGGCTGATACTTCCTGGCGACGGCAATCACAAGCTGTGCACTGAGCTCAACAAGATGCTTGCGCTGGTTCTAAATGAGGTGCTCAACTATGAGCCGCCACCAACGGGCAGCAATCTGGGCAGTGGGGTGGGCCATATGGCGCCGGTGACGAGGCCGGGGTTCTTTGATATCCCTATGCTGGAAGGTATGGAGCCTATTCCGACTCAAGCGGAGGAATTTCTGACATGGTTGGATGGTGCGGCATGGAACAACACGCAGGATTTATTTTGAGAAGACGCTTGTTGTCTGGCGCAGAAGGTTCATTACGCATCATGTCTACGGGCATCCTACAGTCTGAACGTGTCAGTCAGATTGTTCCTAAACCAACGAAAGCAATTCAACTCCCTGGAAAAAGTCTCAAGTTGCTCCGCAATAGGGGTGAGTATATGCCCTTCCGTCAACCCAGCGTCGAGAAGCAGCTCGCCCGTGCCTCGTTTCTGATCTTCCTCTCTTCTGTTGTCAAGCCATCCTTCCCGCTAGGTGCCTTGGTAGTCTTCGTAGGTGTCTCGCTCGAGCTCACTGTTGCCACGGTCAGTACAGGAACGTCATCTAATGGGAAAGAAGAGCAACTAACATTTGCGATTGAAGACCGAGAGAAGATGGTTCTTGACTGTAGATGATGTGGACTTGGTGGAAGATACATCCAACTGTGCGTAAGATGGGGGTGCGGTGTATGTGGTTGTCGGTGGTGTTGATGTATGGCTCGAGTGCGATGTGTTGGAGGACATTGTGAAGACTGTTGATTGATGTCGTCGAGTAGTATCGGATGGTATAGTTCGGGTGATGAAATACGCCTGAAGAACAGTTGACTGTAACTCTTGAGCTCTCGATGCCAGATATAAAATTAATGCCCGTTGCGATGATGCTTACCACCACACCCAAATTTACCACCTTATATGCGTGTATCCTCGCCTTGCAAGAACCCTAAGGACCCATGACACCCTCACCCGCTCTTTGCTCACATGTTTGCTAAGCCACGCTTTGGAACGACTTTTCATCGTACTGCAACATTCGATGGCTGCCAACTCACCAATGATCTTCCACGCTGCCTTGCCACATTCATCTCAACTTCAGGTTCAAACATACTAGGTATTGCGAAGTTACCCTGCCGGCGATAAGGCCCCCAACGCCGACGCGACACGTTGGCAAAGCTACGAACCGAAAGGAGCCCGAGTCGGAGCACTGCCACATGCAGTCCCACAAATCACCGTGATCTCAGCAAGACTTTCTGGAGAAAGCTTAGCTAGTCAAACGTCTCGGCGAATTAACATGTCCTAAGCTTGTATTCGGACTGGTAACTACGACATTCTCAGACGCATTCTGCAAGCAGCGCTGCGGTTGGCGTAAGGATTGTCGAATTGCTATTTCGCTTCACACGCTAGCGGTGTAGCATCTACGCTCCGACATGAAAGGCACAAGGTGAGTCAGCAGCGGGTTGTGTCAGCACTTTGTTTGGCCTGATGTCGTATTTGGGGAATTAGGGGCTTTGGATTGGGTGTGAACCTGCTCATGGCATTTTACGACTACTCTCAGAGGGAATTGTATGGTTGGATTGCGGGACCTTAACGCCGGACTATGGACACTCCAGGCTGGCATTTTTTATCTTGATGCTCCGTGCTGCGTGTTGCAGCGACTTCAGTGCTCTGCTGCGCTCGGTTGTAGTGTCGACTCATGCATTATGAAAACTCGAACATGGCGTATGCAGGCGTGACTGTTGTAACCGCCATGACGGCGAATATCGCCAAAGCCGATTGTTGAGGAAGAGTCAACGTGGGACTCCAGAGTGGCTCTAGGAAAGCGATAGATGACAAAGCTGGAAGTTCTCTCTTGCATCGGTGTGTGCATCATTCTTATCCCTGGTCGTCTTTCTTTCCTTGACCCTCAATTTCTTCAGCTTTTGAAAGTATGCGATGTACAATGTCTCGCTGAACGCGAGAAATTTCTGGCGTTGTAGCTGGTGGGTGGATCGCAGCAATATCATCCTCAAAAAGAATCCAACGGCAACACCAACCGAGCCAATGCCAAGAAGTGCTTCACGATTCTTCCACCATCTGCAGGAGTATACCACAACATCGTTCTTCATGTATGACGGTGTTCTTACTTACTCCATCTACCGCATAACTTTACATTGACGATAATGAGAGTTGATCATGGTGGTTTCCCGCACGCGACCGCCAAGTGGCTGATGTGGCTAGGTGGTCTGTGAACGCGTTAAAAGCTGGCAGCCGACGTCATTTGCGTGACGATCACGCCTCACGAAACGGCACGACGGCACTTGACGGTCTTAATGGAGCGAATAACGTGCCGTACGTGGGGTGCAATTGGCCGTTTCGGGCTTTGAGATTCTGACAGTACGTCAATTGTAAACAGCTCCTGCAGCTGGAGACGAGGAGTCTCCCAGCTCCTACGGGTCCGACCTGCGTTCAACATTGCGACCTGCTTCCATCCTTGTTTCTTGCGTCCAGGTTTATGAAGACACGGTTAACGACATCATGACTTCCTATCTCATGAGCAATTGACCGCTGCACGACTCCTTCACGACCATTCCTCGGGACACATTCCGTACCATATACTAGCACACCCCACCCACCCATAAAACCTCCCCATGTCTGGTGTCGACGACATCGAAGGCGCGCGCAGGTCGCACAAGTCGCCATACACCGCTCGCAATCCCATACCGACTGTCCAGAGATACCGCGAGGAGAAGCAGCGACGGCAGGACGACTACGGGCACCCGAACGCAGACGAAGACTATGCAGACGAGCGAAGCAGGCGCGAGCGCATCGGCGACGCATACGACGCCTTCACATACGGTACCGACGCACACATTGAGGGTGACCAGCCCTACAATGCAGAGAACAAGAACCTAGAGCGAGAGAGGGAACTGGCGCCAGATCATGCAGGCCGTACTGTGACAGCGAATAGCAGGCAGCTGCCGCAAGATGCAGATTCCGAGCAGGGAGCTGAAGACACCACAGAGGGCGTGTTGACAGAGCAGAACCCTAAGAAGGCGCGCAAGCACATGAAGAAGTTCAGTGCAGATGGCACAGAACGAGAAGTCACGGATCCAGTGACGCATCTGCCAGTCGTTATCCACGATTTCACCGACAAGGATCTGAAAAGCACCGCAGAGAACGATCCGCCAGTAGGGATAGAGCCAAAGACCAGGACTGGCACTGGCGGTATCGAGAAGACAGACGACATGCTCAAGGAAGATCAACGGGACTCCCAGAACTCGCACAAAGCCATGCAGATTCTGTTCCCACCGCCCGAATTTGATAACACACGGCAGGAAATTACAACAGTCTACAGAAGGGCCGTCGAAGTTGGGCTGGGGCTTATTGCTGCTGGACTGCTTGGTGTACGGGCCCTGTTCTGGTTCACGCGCAACTCCTCAGGCTGGGTCAAACAATTCTTCCACCTGATCGAGCTCACCCTGTCTGCTAGTATTGCGGTAGGCACCATCCTCTTCATGAGGCAATGGACAGATAACAAGATCAAGAATGTCTGGGACGTCGAGGTCTGGAATGCAGAACGTCAAAAGGGCAAGCAGCTTGCTAAGACCGAGTTCGCCGAAAGCACACAGTGGCTCAACTCGCTGATGGCTTCAATCTGGCCCTTGATCAACCCTGATCTGTTCGCCAGTATCTCGGATACACTTGAAGACGTAATGCAAGCATCCTTACCGAGCATGGTGCGCATGGTTGCAGTCGAAGATCTTGGACAGGGCAGTGAAGCCATTCGTCTGCTCGGTGTAAGGTGGCTGCCAACGGGCGCAGCTGCAAGGTCCGTAGATGCCGATGGCAAGCTGCAGAGCGCCGACGAAGAGAAAGGAGACAGGACTGTCGCCGACAACGGCGAAAGCGGAGGGGACGAGCCTTCAGACAGTATGGAAGCCGAAGAAGGCGATTTCGTCAACATGGAAATAGCGTTCGCATACCGCCCGAAAGGTGGACACGGCGTCAAGTCAAGGGCGAACCATGCTCATCTTTATCTTGCCTTCTACCTGCCTGGCAAGATCAAGCTCCGTAAGTCGACCAGATCCAATCCTCTCATCAGACACTGCTGATATGTTGTAGCTATCTGGGTTGAGCTTTCTGGTATCGTAGGCGTTGTCCGCGTCCGATTACAGCTTTGCCCTGATCCACCCTTCTTCTCCGTCTGCACCATGTCCTTCCTCGGCCAGCCGAAGGTCAATCTCTCCTGTGTGCCTCTCATCAAGAGCGGTCCCAATCTGATGGATGTTCCACTCATCTCAGGTTTCGTCCAGTCCTCCATGGATGCAGCGCTCGCCGAATATGTAGCACCGAAATCGCTCACGCTCAATCTGAAGGACATGATGATGGGCGATGACTTCAAGAAGGATACAGTCGCACAAGGCATACTTGTAGTACGAGTACATCATGCATTCGACTTCAAGGAGGGTGATGCAGGGCTAGGTCCTCTCAAGAAGGGTTCCGCGGACCCCTACGTCACAGTTGGTTGGGCCAAGTTTGGCAAGCCAGTGTGGTCCACTCGTGTCCTACAGAAGAACATGGAGCCGTACTGGAACGAGGAGTGCTACGTTCTGGTCACTCCAGACGAGCTAAACGTCGACGAGCGCTTAAGACTGCAGCTTTGGGATTCCGACCGGACGACTGCTGACGATGACCTCGGTCGCATCGAGCTAGACCTAAAACAGATTATGAAGGGTCCCGAGACAAACGGTAAGATGCAAGACCGTGAGGATGGCTTTAGGGCTCTCAAGGCAGGCGAAGGCATGCCTGGCAAGCTTTCCTGGAGCGTTGGCTACTACTCCAAGACTAGAATCACGGACGACCAGCTTAAAACGCAGCAAGAAGACCCTGACATCAACACTATTGATCAGCTCAAGAAGGAATCGTACGCGGAAGCAGAGAAAAAACTGCGTGAGGCCAGCGTAGATCATAGACCTGAAGTTGAGCAGCAGAAGAAGGAAGAATTCCAGGCGCGCCAAGACCAGCTCATCATTGCATCGCCACCGGCAGGAGACTACCCATCCGGCATCCTCAGTGTGCAGATCCACCAAATCACAGGACTGGAACTGGAGATACTGAACAAGAAACGGGGCGATAAGAATGCCGCAGCCTCTGATGAAGAGGAAGAGGGAGACCGCCTGCCTTCATCGTACTGTACCATCATCCTCAACCACAAGAAGGTATTCAAGACCCGCACCAAGCCAAAGAACTCGAAGCCGTTCTTCAACGCTGGATGTGAGCGCTTCATCCGGGATGTTCGCAACACAGAAGTTCACATTGCAGTCCGAGACGCTCGTGTACACGAAGACGATGCACTGCTTGGCATTGTCTACCTACCTCTGGAGAAGGTATTGAAGGAGCGTAGTCAAGTCAATGGTATCTACCCGCTGGCTGGTGGTGTAGGCTACGGGCGGGCTCGCATCTCTACGGTCTTCCGCAGCTTGCAGGTCCAATTGCCACGAGAGATGCTGGGCTGGGAATACGGCACCTTAGACATCAAGCCAGTCGTCAAGGCTATCGATGTGCCGTTGGATCTGGTGCCTCTAAGATTGAAGATCACCACCAGCCTCGGTAAGGGCAAACTTCATTCAAGAGGACGTAATGGTAAGGTCAAGCAGCACGAAGAAGGCGGAACCATGTGGACTTCACGGCGAGACAAACCCATCCGCCTGCCGGTGAAGGCCCGTTATGCATCACCACTTGTTGTCGAGTTCCGGCAAGACGCCACTTTGCGCGATCACAGCCCGGCTTTCTGCATCCTGTGGCTCAAAGACATAGTTGACAACGAAGAGCAAACCATCTGCCTCGATGTCTGGAAGGGTGATCTCAACCGTGCCAAGCACAACGTGCTCGACAGCTACGGCGAGAAACTAGGCCAAATCGAGATGACACTAACCTTCTGGTCCGGCCTCTCAGGCTACCACGAAGACTACGCCAATGGCAATAAGCATCTCCTCAATGTTATGGAGGTTCTCGAGGTCTGCAACAACCAGGAGTACTCCGACTGGGACGAGACCAACGACTCTGGCGCTCCCAACATCCAAAGCTCAAACAGCGACTCCGACTCCTCGTCCTCATCATCGGAGTCCGAGGATGATGATAAACCTACAATGGAGAAGATCGCTCCAAATTTCCTGCAGAAGCACAAGAAGACAGATAGCAAGCTCAGCGATGATGGGAAGAGAGGTACTCTCGACCAGATCAGGGACTACAAAGAGCACAACAAGCAATTGCACCGCAAGAATCGCGGCTTGATGCAATGGAAGGGCCCAAGAACGCTGGCATGGATGAAGCACACGGCAGATCGCGGGAAGAACAAGGTCAAAGAGATGGTGCATCATAAAGAGAGGGGTGAAGGTGGAGGTATTGAGACTGAGGCTTGAGTCGAATATTGCGAAAAGCTTAGCGCGTGCGTTGGGGCGTTGTAGGTACCAATATGACTTTTTTGCTATTACTTCTCTGGCCGCTGTTTGCTAGTAATTGACCCTGAAGATGGTCAGAGTATTGTTGCAGAACAGTGCAACAGTGACGACAGCGGCACTTTCTGAGCTTACGCTTGTTAATCAAACCAAGCTATAAAATTCACTTGGCTAAATCTTAGTTGGCTGACTGTCTACAGGCCGAATTTTGATAGCGGTGTTGTGGCTGGTGGCATCTATGGCTCGCGGTGAGGGAAAAAATGGTTCGCAGACCCTCTACCAGCCTTCGATACCTATAATATTCCTCACAACATAAATGAGAGTGCACTGTTTGTGTATACAATTTCTCTTCAGAAACACATACTCAGCTTCAAACTCGAGTCAAATAACCTTCAAAAACAGAATTCCAAAATTCACCCGATGCCCTCAGAATGGCTGTCCGCTTCCAGCTCCCCAAGACGACAAATTACAGCACCAAATTCCTCTCATGTAAACGGGCCTCTTCACCTTACCCCATTTGTGAGCATTACCAAAAAGGTAAATCGACTACCTTCAAGCCCAAGCATGGTTTTAGCATGGAGGCCTACTTGAAGATCGTGAAGAAAGTCTTCAAACACCATGCACACAAGAGCAAAACGGACTTCAATACCTCCAACTCTACAACTACAGACGAAATGGAAGAGAAGTGGCAAGCCGCTCGCCGCAACGCTTCGGATTTTGGATCCCGCCCCCGCTGCAACGGCACCCCCGTGTGCCTCTTCACATACTCACCTGCCACCCTCGACGAGATTAAGAGGAAGAACGCTCATATGCAAGAACTCGATGAAAGAGCGTACTGGGCAGATGATGAGAAGGACATATGCAGAGCTGCTTGCACACATGTATCCCCTAGAAGAGAGGATGGTGCGCAGGACGAGCCTGTTCACGAAGACGTAAGAAGTCTCGGACACATCTTGGCTTGGATGCATAGCCAGGGAATTAATGCTGCGGGATTCCCAACGACGGATAGGGAGAAGAGAGCATGTTTGGAGGGGAGATGCAGGTGTTTGGGGCCGATGATGAGAGATGTTTAGGTGTGGATGGGCTGAAACCCCCCCGGCTGTGCTTTCGTGGCGTCTTCTAGCTTTCGGCGTCCTTGATTCTCGTAGATTTGCTAGACCCAAGCGAGAGCAGAGTGTGTCGAATAGCTCCTGGCTTAGACGTCGTTCACATCGATTCACTTCAGATTGAGACACTGTGACATGTGTTGTTATATCCCTTGATAGGCATTGTGGGATTGAAATACTTCTCAATTTCACCATACTCACACAGTGTTTGACGCTGTTGCCTACTCTTCCTTATCTTACACGTAAAGCTTCTCTCACAAAACACACATGATTCTCTTACCATCTATAGCAATGCTCATAGCCCGCCATGATGGCCACAATGAGATTCCGTCTGTTCTAATCAATAACACAGACACGGCTGAGTTTACATATCCTATAGGTAGCTTCAGTACTACTGATCCAGCGTTGTCTGTCAACTCAGTAATCCTGGGCAACACAAACATACCCTCATATGTAACGGCAACTGCGACCTCGCTAGCACCAAGCAGCGTTTGGAGCCACGCCCCGTACTTGAACGTAACTTCCACAGAATCTTTCAGGTCTGCTTCAGGTATGCTTGTGACCTCGCCTGCCTTCGCAATCACTCCTTCAGCGATGAGTGCGTGGGATACACTCTGGTCACTCCACTGCCCATCATCAAGCTTAGCGAACAACAACGCCACGGTGAACTCAACAACCACGGTAGCTTCCAACCCGGGCATATATTCATCGACCGCGACTGCGACGCCCGTCATACTTTACCTGACGACTCAAACAACTCAGTCATCTGCGCACTTATCAACATCCCTTGCCATCGCTCCTATCATTACCATGTCTGCAGTAACACTGTCTAGCATGCAGAACGCATTTTTCGACCCTATCGTGTTCGACCCAGGTCGTCTTTCCAGCCCCGGTGCGCAGACTTCAACTATCCGCATCATCATCACAGCGAGTATGCCAAAGCCGACGCCGACGACAACTGTGGTGGAGGAGTCGACGATCACGAGGCAGGTTACAAGTACCTTGACCAAGATCGTCAAGCCTCCTTCGTCATTCGTGCCGTCTGCCTCCCCGCCTCCGTCCGTAAGTCCTTCGTCAGCGCCGAGACCGAGCATACTCCTTGGCTTACCGAGTGCACAGCAGTCCGATGGTCGTGTCGTACATACTAGTGTCATTCCTGAAGACCCAAGGTGTCCATACCCGTTCCCCGGGGTGTACTGTGGCGAGCCAAAAACGACGCTCATCACGGAGACAAAGACCGGGGAGGCATCTACGACAAGTACGTCGACGAGCGCCGTTGGAGAGGATGAGTCAAAGGAGTCTGGGTGGTGCCCTTATCCTGGGATGAAATGCTGATGTTCTCACTGACACTGCGATAGGACGAGGCTGACAGTGACGAAGACGTTGGTGCTGGTACTTGTCGCGGACGTCATCGCGCGGGCCACAGGAGTAGCAGGTCTGTAACATTCGAATGAAGTGGGGAAGGAGATAGCCAGGCACAATGCGGCTCTTATCCAGCTTCTCTAGATCCGAGTCCGTGGACCCAACCTGCAGCATATCTGTGCCCGCCGCCTTCATGACCCTGATCCAGCCATCCAGGCGCTCAAACGCATCCTTGCACTCATCCGAGCCCTCCGGCCAACCCTCGAAGTTCGCAAAAGGCTGCAGCATCATGATGCCTAGACTGTGTTTGTGGCATTCCTTCTTGATCCTGCTGGCGACTTTCTTTAGTTCAGCGTAGTTGTTGGGCTGGATTTCGTGGCCTAGGAGCGTTTGGCCGTACGAGAGGATGTCAGAGAAGGAGAGCTCGACGGCGGAGAAACCAGCTTTTGAGATGGCGTCGAGGCGGTCCAGGAGAGGTGGCGGCGCGTTTGGAGAGCCAAGGGAGCAGGTTGCATAGCTGATTGGGATTGTGCAGAGGGATGCAAGGTCGAGGCCGCCCATCGTAATGATTGCTGGATTCTGGCGTTGCAGAGTCCTTGAAACGAGTGAGTATATCAGCCGTTTCGAGGAAAGAGCTCGGAAGAAAGGGTTGAGGTTCTTGTAAGAAATCGAGTGCGTGGAATTGCTGTTCATTGAGATAAATTGAATCTCTGGTGTGTAGCCATGACGTCGATGGTGGAGTAGGTCCTATGACCGCATACAATTGCATGTTAGTAGGCGCCTCGAACAGTAAGTTTGGAGTTAGGTGAACAGAAGATGAATCGACATCTCGAGCAGTAATACTATCTTCTCATCCTGTGGTCGACCTTACGTCCCTTTTAAGAGGATAGTGGTAAGGGGTGGCGGAAGTGCCTTCTGGCTCCGTTCAGCCTTGCAGGTGCAGATGACGATGTACGGTGTCGTGAAAAGATTTTCGTGTACCTAAGTGCTGGAAATTAATGAGGCATTGCCAAAGGGCGCCCCTTGGACTGGATGCGCGAGGCTGGTGACTTATCGAGCTCTGGGTCCAGACGCGTCAAGAATCGCTCCGTGCCTCCGCCTCAGTTGCAGGAGATCGACGGCGGTGAGAGAGGCTTGAGCTGATCACAATAGACTAGGAGATCGGGCGGCGAGCTAGATCACCCCACTAAGGCAGAAGAGGCCTTAGTAATTGTATCAAATCAGTAAGCTGTAATATCTGAATTCGATGATTTGTTTCCAGTGCCTGTAGGTCAAAGTACTGTAGGAAGCTAGTTGGACTGTCAGTTTGTGATTATTGCAAATCTCTAGAATAGTCTGTACAGGAAAGAGTTGTCAACATCTCTCTAGCGTCTGATAGCAGATTCTCTGTATTCTCACCTGTTCTAACGAACTGCGTTGTAGACTGCACTAATTCTATTAATACCTCTTACTAGCATTCTAAGTAGCTACCTCCTGTCCGACTCCTTGATAGCCTATAGACATTAATATCGAAATTTCAGAAGCGTAGATCACGTGTGGTAAGTAGCTGATAGTGCTGATGCTGATTGGAAAAAGAGATAGACAAGATAAAGCTCTTTAGCTCTATTTGCATTTAAATGTCACATTCAACTTTTTACGAAGGACGTTACAAAGTTAATGTGCAGCGACTTTTGGTGTTGCATAGCTTTAGTGGGGTGACAGCCCTCGGTTCCCGATCCTTCTGTCTAGCGCCGACTCCGGACAATCACTCATAGACGCGTGAGTCTTCACTGCCCCACAAACGACGTCAAGGTAGGCTGGGCTGTAGATAAAAGTTTATCCCCCAGCAATTGATTCTTCTCTACACTCACAAGAGTTCTTCCACAGTACAGATCTAGAGCAGCTATGTCTGTAAGTATCCACAATAACTTCACTGCCCCGCCACTACCCCACCAGTTTGCCTTTCTAACGAAGTTATGTAGTTCTACATCGAGAACAAGTCAGTCGGCGATGCCGCCAACTCTGAGGATTGGCGCATTCGCGGTTACAACCCCCTCACACCCCCAGATCTCCTCCAGAGCGAGATCCCCCAAACGCAAAAGTCGAGAGAAACCGTCCTAAAGGGCCGCAATGAGACAGTCGAGGTCGTTCAAGGCCGTGACAAAAACGGCAGGCTTCTCGTTGTCATCGGACCCTGCTCGATCCACGACCCCAAAGCTGCCCTCGAATACTGCGACCGCCTCATAAAGCTGAAGGAGAAGCACCAGGATGACCTCCTCATCGTCATGCGCTCCTACCTCGAGAAACCACGTACGACGGTTGGATGGAAGGGTCTAATCAATGACCCAGACATCGACAACACCTTCAAGATCAATAAGGGCCTGCGCGTTTCAAGACAGCTCTTTGTTGACTTGACTGAGAAGGGCATGCCTCTGGCCAGCGAGATGCTGGATACAATCTCTCCCCAGTTCTTGGCCGATCTGCTCAGTGTCGGTGCCATTGGCGCCAGGACGACCGAGTCCCAGCTTCATCGTGAGCTTGCCTCTGGCCTGTCCTTCCCTGTGGGCTTTAAGAACGGTACAGATGGAACCCTTGGTGTCGCTGTCGACGCCATTGGCTCTGTCAAGCACCCTCACCACTTCCTCTCAGTCACCAAGCCTGGTGTTGTCGCCATTGTCGGCACCGTCGGTAACGATGACTGCTTCGTCATTCTACGTGGCGGAAAGAAGGGCACAAATTACGATGAAGTCAGCATCAAGGAGGCGCGCGCAGATCTCGAGAAGAAGGGCCTCAACGCGCGGTTGATGATCGACTGCAGTCACGGCAACTCTGAGAAGGATCACAAGAACCAACCCAAGGTTGCGCACGTTCTTGCCGAGCAGATCGCCAAGGGCGAGACAGGCATTATGGGTGTTATGATTGAAAGTAACATCAATGAGGGTGAGTCTGCACATGAAATTTGACTGTGCCGCATGCTAACGCAATTGCAGGTAATCAGAAGGTCCCAAAGGAGGGCAAGGAGGGTCTGCAGTACGGCATTTCCATCACAGACGCCTGTATTAACTGGGAAGATACCGAGAAGGTGCTCGAGGAGCTTGCAACGGCCGTCGCAAAGAGGAGATCGCTTCGCAATGGCGCTTAGAGCCTTCCATCTCCTTTCGCGATTCCCCACGTTTGAGACAGGGCATAGGGACAGCACGGCGTTACCGGCGTGCAAGTGCGATATTGACGATCACATACCACACGTGCCAGGATGCATGAATGAAAAGTTTTCTCTAGATCTGCTCAATCCTGCCCGCGATCACTGGCCGGCTTACTGGTGCAACTGCGCGCATCACGGGGTGGTGCGGCTCAAGGAACTTGATCAGGGAACCACAACCGGCGCACACGTGGTAGCCTCGCAAATCTCTCCAATTGATACGGAAGCTCCAGCCTTCTGGACTCATCATTTTAGATTCAATCCGCTGTGTAGCCTCGCGTCGAGTAAGGCTGGGCATGCCGTTGTCGCGCACACTTCGGTTCCTCCGAAAGCCAGAAATGCCCCCATGTTCTGTACTTTCTCCCGCATTCTCAATCAGTGCATGAAACAAACGTCACTGACCTCTCTTAGGCAAAGCTCTCGCAACCGCCGTCTTGCATATCTCGAAACTCTCGGACAACTCTACATTTGGATAATGCCATGGGTCTGACAAGTACACTATCTCATCACACACGAGCATGTCTTTGTCGTGTCCTTAGCGAGCCGACTTATATGACATGCTCTGTGCTGCGCTCGTTTGTTATCTGCGCTCGTTTGTTATCTGCGGTTCAGGAAGCCTTGCGAGCAGATATGCAAAGGTGGGTAATCGACGTGCTGTGATATGTTCAAAGAAGGTGCCGCCATCGTTTTTGCAAGTGCAAGCGCGCTCCTGCCATGGGTGTGGCTTGAATATCATGAGGTTGGCTGTTGTTACAAGTCGCGGGCAGGGCAAGGCTGGGAAGTTACGTTCAATGGGTGAGTCCCTGCATGCAAACGTTCCATACGCTCACCAATCGACCATCGACTCATTTACAAGCGCAGTATCTACACTTGATCTCAAGCGGCTACTCAGTCCAAAATTTCCCTGGCGAACTGAGCTTCGTCTCGCTAAGTATTGATTCACACATCGGCTAATGGTGTCTCACAGGCAGATATTAATGTTCACTGATCAAGCTTGATCACCCTGCCGTGTTTTACCTTGGTCCAGCCTCATGATGCCATTTATCTCGGCCATGACCAACTATTGCTTGGGATCTTAGATTGTCATCTGCTCGCAATCCCTTCCAGCATACACTACACCTTTCTCACTTGCGTGAGAAGATCCACTCCTGTCATATGGGCGTTTCTATTGTTAATGCGGTGCAAAGGGTGGTCATTCGCCTTGCATATCAGCCCTAATGTAGGTTGACAAGAACGCCTTTGCGGCCATGTTGGTCGGGATGTGACCCAAATTATCCTGGAAGATGGAGCTGCAGCCCCACAGCGGTCAAGGCGAAGGATACAGTTCTGAAGAAGCTCCGGTCGTGCATGACCAATGCGACTCCGTCTGTGGGTGGTAATCCACCTGTATGGTATGGTATGCTGAGCGCCCCGAGACTGTTGACACCAATACCCTTGCACTCCGGGCCTCTGCCCGCCATTATTTGCGGCACTGGCCAATCGATTCTTTCCTACAGCGCATTAGGAGAAGGTGTGAGTATCGCAAGCATGTTTCAAAAGCACCGAGCCCGTGCACGTGTCTCCAGGCCAGCAGAGTGTATGTGTGTGTGTCTCTTTGTGTGTGGTTTGCGCGGCTGCGACCCCTTTCCGGACTATCTTGATGGTGTCGCTATAAGATCGCCTCATTCTATCCCCTGGTCGTCCTCCACCGTTATCATCGTACCTTCTTTACTCTTGCTAATGTGCCCGACATCATTGCCATTTGTCTGGAAGCTCCACTGCACCGAGTAGGCGTGTGACCATTCAATATTTTCCCCGGGCCACTCAGCTGGTCACATTGCACGCGCCTACCCGTCTTACGCTCACCGCTGTGGACAGAGCTCTACGCCTCCGCCTTTCTCACCAGGCAACATGTCTTCTCAGGCTAGCGAGGCTGACATTAACCGGTTGCTCAGCAGTGAGAAGGACCTCGAACTCAATTACGGTTACGCACTGACTCCTCCTACTAGCAATGCGTTTTTTGAACACATCGGAGCTCACTTCGGGCCGAGAAAGGGGTCTTGTCCAGATTATCCGGCGTGCGTCCAAGTCACAGAAGACGAGGCCTTGGGGCAGCCTGATGCAGTCTATCCATATCGACTCCAGCATAGCCTCAGTAGAGGCCGACTGCAAGCCCTTTCGCTCACACCTACCCACACTCGCACTCGGAAGGATGCGTGTATGACTCGAACACAGTACAAAGAGTTCAACCGTCAAAACTCGGCGGGGAACCAAGAAGGCAGCAGATCAGGTAAGCAAGCCACCTCTTTTCTTTCTTGCAATCTTTCGTCGTGGTTATTTAGCTTTCTCCAGAGCCCCTGCTGCTACTTCGCCCTGCTCTTTGTTTTCTTTTCGTAGAGACCGCATTGCAAATCTCTAGCCAGTGTTGGTGGAGATTACTAGTAACCCATCTCGTTTTAAGGAAAACTAAAGACAATGTACTGACACATATGCAAGCCTACTCTGTTGAATCGTCTAGAGGCTCGCCCAAATCAACCCGCGAAGCATCCCAAAGCACGACCAGTGCTCATGATGACCATGCCGACAGACGTTTCTTGGAGCACGAACATGTTCCAGATTACTTCCTCGGTGGCGACACCCCTTCGCGCTCTCTTACATCGGAAAAAGTCGAGCTCCTTCAAGATGGTATGGACCCATCGCAGTCGTCGCCGTGCTCGACGTACGATACGTACAACGCAACCCACAACACGAACAATGACTCGGCACCTACTGAAAAACGAATGATCGGCAGTCAGGGAGGTCTTCGCCATCTGGGCCGCTTGAGGGAAGGTATAAGAAAAGCGGATCTTGCCGTAAAGTTGCAACGCAGGGTGACACATATTGCCGAATCCATCGGCATGACTGCTTGCTCGTGTGCTTTCTGTTCCGTCGCGAGTCGTGGGGCATACGTGGGAAGATTCTCGATCGGACATCAAGCCGTGAGTGGTCCTTCTTCCAGCGAGCCTGGCTAGCTCAGGCTTGCATTTCGTGTACCTGTCTTAGTGTGTATGTAAGCTGTTTTCACTGTTGTTCTTCTCCAGTCTCCACTGCAAGGCTCCTCTGGTGCACCCATCAAAGGATATTACCACGGAAGCTTGAACGGCGCGGATAGAACTTGATGAGCGACTGACTACTCGGCCCCTAAAGGTGTTTTCAACAAACTTGGAAGAAATTTCGCACGGGCAACGTCTCCGAAGTTTTCTTTCAGAACCTTTAGGGGCCGAGTGAAACTACGCATTCAGGGAGAATACCAAAACTGGGTCGCGCCGCCGCATGCTGAGTTGGCAATGGTGGGTTTGCATGTGGCTATGCTGCAGCTGAACGAGGCGTATCCGTCGCACCGATCGAGCCACCTTATCAGTATATTTTCTGGACTCGACGGCGTTTGTCGTTTTAATGCAATCTTGATGCACGGTCATTGGTCAAAGCGTTTGTGCCGGAGCGCGATTTTGGGGTCTTCTGTCTGGCATGCTGACATCATTCATCACCGTCACTTTTCACAGAACTTCAATTGATCATACATGGCGCGACTTTCCGGACTGCAAAGAGATGTGCTGTCTCTGTATCGCCAGTGCCTACGAGCTGTAAGGGGAAAGCCTGCGGTATGATAATCTCAACTTTTTGCTTTTGACGCGTTCGTCTAACGGTTGCAGGATACGCGACCACATTTTCGAGAGTTCGCAAGGTAGATGAGCCACTTTTTGACTGTGTCAGTAGAGTTACTGACAATCTGTAGAGCTGAGTTCCACAAGAACCAGGGTGTTGGCAAGAAAGACTTTGGCACGATTGAATACCTACTGCGAAGGGGGCGCAGACAGCTCGAGACCTACCAGGACCCAGGCATTCGTGACCTCCACTGAGTGGTGTTTAAGAAAGCCTGGAAGCACAATTCCAAGATCCTGCCTTCCCTGTTCAGGAGCGCGAGTATGGAAGGCGACCTGCGTTAGGTCACGTGACTATTGACCGAAAGTTCGAGACGGCGTCTCTTAATGCGAAACCCGATCGCGCTGCGAAGGCTTCACGTATGATTGGAGAGCGGCGTAGATATCAGCAATTCTGAGCATCCTGGATTCACTGCCAAAACGATTGGGTGCCCGCACTGTCAAGTGTCGCGGCATGGAATGCTCTAGAATAGGTCCGAAGTATCTCCGAGCATCTTCACGTTTCCATCACACCACCTTGACGACAGTATGATACTCTATCGAGCAGTTTCGAGTAACATCACGATGATTCTAGAAACTCAATGCTCGAATATATAGGCAGCTCATTCAACCCTCGCAAGTCCATCTTCAGAACAAGTCTTCAGCTCTTCTACGCAATCATTGCGCACAACGATTCGCCGAGTCCAATCAACCGCATTACCAAACCCACAACTACCCGTAGCTTCACAAGCGCACCAGCAACAATGTCTCTCTTCCCACGCTTCTCTCAGGACTTCGCTCCCATCTTCCGTCTCTTCGACGAGTACGACCGCCAGGCCTTCCGCGATGTCGACCGCCAATTCCAGAACATCCGCTCCTTCACACCAAAATTTGACGTAAAGGAGACCAAGGAGGCTTACGAGCTACACGGCGAGCTCCCTGGCATTGACCAGAAGAACATCAATATCGAATGGACCGACAACAACACGCTTCAGATTTCCGGCAAGCACGAGCATGTCCGTGAAGAGGGTCAACGCCCCACCGCCATTGAGGCCAGAGAAGGACAGAAGAAGCTTGAGTCCAACAAGGACGAGAAACATCAGCCCACCGTCGAGGACGAGTCCGCCGACTCCGCGAACAAGGACACGCAGGTCGCCAAGCAGTCTGAGCAGCAGGACGTTGCGAAACAGGAGCCCAAGCACAAGTACTGGGTCAGCGAGCGATCTGTGGGTTCGTTTCACCGCAGCTTCGCATTCCCTGCCCGCGTCGATCAGGACGCTGTCAAGGCTAGCCTGAAGAACGGTATCTTGAGTATTGTGGTGCCTAAAGCTAGTGCGCCGCAGTCGAGGAAGGTCAACATCGAGTAGACGATTCTGGCGGGTTCGATGTGCGTGACACGGTTTTGGCGACGATAACGACTTTGATATTTCGCTCGTTTTGTTTTAGCAAGGCATAGCAACGGTGCGTTTTCTTTTGGTGGATACCAACATTGCATGGAGTTTTGCTACATTCCTTTCGATTATAATACTTCCAGTCGAGGAAATTTTGGTCGCATTGAAGTGACTGTACTTAGTTCCAGCAATCTACAATGTTCAATCTCAAGACTAGCGCGCCTCCCCATGACCATATCGTGTTTCCTGAGCTAGCAGTCGCCAGCGGATATCGGATGCGCGGCCGCGCATTGATTCACGCTGGCAGCATTCACTGCGGAAGGAGGCAAGTCCTGCGGTGCACTACCGTTTGACGCAGGTCCAGGTGAATGTCTTGGATGTCTTGTCATTTTGCGCCTCCTGAGGCAGGCTGCTGGTGTTTGTTCCTGATGGCTGCCGGTACCTGGGTAGGCTTGTGGAATGGGCGCTGTGGTATGCACTGGGTCATAGATGCTCATGGTGAATACGACAGTGATCGATTCAAGTCGTGCAGCCATTAACAACGACATCGTGATGTGATAGTATATCATGCTACGTTATGGAATCCGTCCCGAATGGACCAACTACCGGTAGCGATCTTCAAAGGGAAAACCGACTTTTCTGGTCACGATTTGAATTTGCATCATCTGTAGACACACTCTGGATCATTTAGAGTTGTAACATGGCCATCTCGACTCTATGCACACGTGGAGCGATACTAAGCGCCTCTCAAGGCCATGCAGCTTGTAATGCGAGACTACTTATGCAGGCTATGGGTGAGGCTTGGTGGTTCACCGTACAATGACCCTCACTGACAGAGCAGAATCCGTTCAGTCACTACGATTTGTGACGGCAAACTTCGGCGAGTTTGCGATCGAAACGCTCGAGGTCTTGTCAAGACGGGCCAATGTCCAAAAACAACAGAGAAGTTGACGACACGTGTCTTCGGGGGTTTGTATGCTTCCAACCTGTTGTGGCGACGAGAGATAAGAAAGACTACCTATCCTGTTCGGATACTGCCGTACAGAGTTCATTCGAGTACGTAACGCTGTAGAGACATTGGTGAGTAATGCTTGAATGTACTCAGTGCTTCTTGAATTGCGTCCGTGGTACCATTGCCACCTGAGTACCGGTAGGTATCAAGTGGCCGGGCGCGGTAGTCCGCAACGCCTTTACTGGGCGAAACCAAGCCAACGTCTTCTTGTCAAAGCAGTACATTGCGTTTCAACCTAAGCTTCATTATCTTCACCGAGCTTGGGCCTTCTGCAAGTGGAGTTTGCGATTCATCGTCGCGGTTATTTCTCGAGCCTGTGGCATCGATCGATCCTCACGGTTACAAGGGTAGTCAGCACGACACGCCTATATCAGCATCCGCAAACATCAGCGGCATTTGATCAAGGTCCTGCTCACGGTTGCCCAAGACAATGGTAGTATCTTGGCAGCTGCATCACTCGGCTCAGTCTGGACTCGATCTGGTATCACTACACGTGGGCTTGGTCCAGGCCTCACTAGCGTCTTGCCACAACCAATGTACTTCCCATACCAACAGCACCAGTCGCCAATATCTCCTAACACTTCTTCTATCGTCTTAGCAATCCCCAGAGTCCTACGCCTTTGATGCTTAGCCTGCCTCATTAAGGCCCAGGCTCACCCCAGATTTTCGCCAAGCACGTGGCTGACGGGCTATCATGGCGATCCGGGGCACAGTCGCCAGGTTGCTGGGCCCAGATCTGTGACTTACTTTTGCTACCATGCTAGCATAGTTTGAACATCACCCCAGAGCCATCGTAATCTATCGTCGACTGCCCAGTCCGGACAATCCGATACCGTAGCATCGGGCGTCAATCTTCTTTGGAACTAGGCCCTCCATCCCTCTCGTGTACTCCGGGGCTGGATGGCCAAAGTCTGGGGTAGACTTTGTGAGCATTGGAACGGGTCTGGGGTAATGGAGATTGGGGTAGGATGTGGGCTCTGGGTATATGAGGCTTGTTACCCTCGTCCATGCTTGTGTTCGATATCTCTTCTGTCCCCTTTCGCCGGGCTCAGTCGACCTCAACCCTTGGAGCCTTTTCCTATCTCCAATTCAATACATCTTCCTCTAACTTTCCAATCTCTTAGCATCATTATGTCTGTCTACGAAGAGAAGGTTGGCGTCAGCGAGCTCGAGCGCGTCGACTCCGCCGAGTCCAAGCTCAACAATGATCGCATTAACACATTTACTCCTGAGGAGCAGAAGAAGATCATCCGCAAGGTCGATCTTCGTCTGATTCCTACTCTCGGCTTCATGTACTGTGTGTCATTGATGGACAGGACAAACCTGGGTGTCGCCATGGTTGCCGGTATGGGTACCGATCTCAAGCTCACCGGAGAGCGTTACAGCATTGTCGTGCTCTTATTTTTCATCACATACGTCGCTCTGCAGCCCCCTGCCACCGTCGTCCTCCGCAAGCTCGGTCCTCGTCTTTTCCTCCCGTTGATCGTCATCATCTGGGGAGCAGTCATGATTGGCTTCGGTTTCGTCAAGGAGTGGCACACTCTCATCCCGCTCCGTCTCCTCCTCGGTATCTTCGAGGCTGGCTTCTTCCCGGGCGCAGCCTATTTGCTTAGCACGTGGTACCAGCGCTATGAGCTGCAAAAGCGCAACACCGTTTTCTTTCTTATCGGTATGCTGTCGTCTGCTTTCTCCGGCATCCTCGGCTACCTCTTCTCTCTCCTCCAGGGTCACGGCATTCAGGTACGCCTGTTAAAACACTCCTTGCTAGCTACAATATACTGATTTCCTACAGGCTGCCCCCTGGCTCGGCGTTCACTACGGTCCTACCAAGGCGAAGCCTACCACTCCTGTCTCCTTCGGTCCCGGTCTGTCTGGCTGGCGCTGGATCTTCATACTCCAGGGTGTCATCACTGTAATCATCGGCTTCATCGGATGGTTCTACATCGTCGACTTCCCTGAGCTCGCTCACAAGCCTGGTATGGGCAAGAAATTCCTCAACAAGGCCGAGGTCGACTTCATTGTTGCTCGCATTGAGCAGGATCGCCATGACGCACTACCAGAGGAATTCAACATCAAGAAGTACTTGAAGAACGCCCTTGACCTCAAGGTGTGGGGCTTTGCCGTCATCTTTATGCTCACCACGACGATGACATACGCGATCGCTTACTTTCTCCCGATCATCCTCAAGGATGGTATGGGCTTCAGCACTGCTGCCTCGAACTGTCTCATTGCTCCCCCTTACATCTTTGCTGGGTTCGTCATGCTTGGCTTTGCCTGGGCTGGTGACAAGTGTAAGTTGACCTGAAGACCTTTATGGTCGTTTATACTCCTTCGATCACTCGGCTAACTCATCAACAGATCATCTGCGCTCGCCGTGGGTCATTGCCAACGGTGTCTTGGCTCTCATTGGACTCCCCATGATCGGTTTCTCCGACAACGTTGGTGTCCGCTACACCGGTGTATTCCTTGCAACTGCCGCAGCTAACGCCAACGTCCCCGTTGTCCTCACATGGCAGGCAAACAACATCCGTGGCCAATGGAAACGCGCTCTTTGCTCTGCTACCCTCGTCGGCGCTGGCGGTATCGGTGGTATTGTTGGTGGCACAGTGTTCCGCACTCAGGACAAGCCTCACTACGTCCCTGGTGTCACTGCTTGCATGATAGCTGCTGGCCTCATCGTTGTCATTGCTCTGCTCATGGATTTCAAGTTCTGGAGGGCCAACAAGCGCGCCGAGGCTGGCGGTAAGATCATTGAGGGTCTAGAGGGCTTCAGATACACCTTGTAATCGGTCATAGGAGCATCCTAGTGTAGCCATTGAACGCAGATTTCCGCTATGAGTATCATGTTACTTCTACCAACAAACAGATGTGTCCCGCCGTGTTCGAAGCCAGCACATCTTATAGGCTTTTGTTGAGGTGTGAGCGACGGAATGCCTTCTGTGGCAGGATTAGTGTTGTAACGAGATTATCGGAGGGTGCACGGAGGATTTGCAAGTTTGCCTGAAAATGTCTAATCAAGTCGAACACTGGCAAGCGCAATTCGTCATCTTGACCCTGGAAAGCTTTAGACCGTGCAGTACATTGAAATGTCACCCTGGTCTCAAACCCTTTTTTCTGGCCGAGGCCATTGGGTTAACCTTCCAGAGTGACAGAAAAAGAGGTCGTTGTTCAGGCACGCGTACGTCACAATGAAATCCCTTATCGATGGGAGCCAATCTTGCATTACACCCCTGCATATACTCCTACATGACATCGACTTGCGTGCATGAGCAGTGTGTACTCACGCGCGCCGATACGTGTCACGCGATATTGTGGAGGAAAAACTTCGGATTGGGTTCGCAGAAGTATATATGCAAAGAACGATACATACCCATCAGCAATCGCAGGGTTGGCAGTATCATCTTTCAGAAGAAAGATCGTTGGCGGTACAGCAAACGAAGCTCGCAAGCTACTAGAAACTGCTGTAAGATCCACGCCCTACTCCACCAGGAGCAGGCACCAGAACAACGGCACTCGACGTGATGGCCTGGTGCTGCACAAGTCTTTCTTCTGCTTTGGACGAACCAGGCGAGAAGGTGCACCTCCCAAATCATCGTGTCATCACACTCAATTTGTGGCAGACGGCACAATACACACCTGGCCCAACGGACTGCATGTAAAAATCGATTGTCTTTAGGCATCACTATCGCCATCTTGGCACCGAGGTACCGTTCGACAACAGCTCATCAAAGCCTAACGCGCATGCCGTATTCACAGAACTTCTGCAGCCTCCCTTGTTACAGACTCCTGAACGCCAATGCTCACCGCAAACATCGAAACACATCCTAGACGCCCACTTTCGACAGCAGTGGTGGCGCATTAGGATTCGGTTCGTACCGTTCCATGTCTTCATCATCCTCATCAGAGTCCATATCATCCCTCCTCTCTTCTTCGGCATCCATCATGTCTTCGTCCTCATCTTCGGTCCTCTCATCCATATCCTCAACATAGCGCTGCCCTCGTGTTCTCGAGCTAGACCCACTCTTGCCGTTCTCCCAGCGATCGAGGCGGCGAAGTGCTCTCCCCACCATCTTGGCACGGTAGTAGGCCTCCTCGCCGTGGTCATTGACTTCACCGCCGAAGTTGAGAGGCACGAGACCAGCAGGCATGGGTGGTGGGGTGCTGGCGCCATGCTCGTCGCCATTATGACTGTGATCGTTGTTCTCTTCGTCGGTGTCGTATCCATCTGCCATGCCTTTGCATCGAATCCAGGCGCGCATGAATGGGTTTGCCTTGCGGCGACGCCTTGAAGCGGCCTTGTACTCAACGCGTAGGCCACGATCGAGAATCACATCGACACGTCGCCGACGATACTGCTCGACAGCAAGCTGGTGTTGGGTGAGAGGGCGAGTGCGCTTGTGTGCTGGATCTGATCCGTTCAGAGGTAGATAGAAGCCATGTGGTCCGGAGAATGTGGGTGCATTGCCTGAAGGCGACTGCCCATCTTGAGAAGCGTTCGTATCCAACTTTGAGCGGAAGCTGCGTGGCCCTCCTGTGCCAGTCTTTGCTCGCGACCAATTACCACGAGCAGGGCCTTTGTTAGGAGCTGGCGTGGACATTGGCGCATCGTCGTTGAGAAGGGTGTTGATTCGCATGTTTGGTGTAGCTTTAGCGGACGGTGAGACTGAACGTGTGCGGTCTGTATCTGACGGGTAATCTCGCTCGGCGATCGACTTGTTGAGCTTCCCACGACCTTTGACAGATCCTACTTCGTCAGCGGTGCTATTGAAGCGTATGGAGGTGTGGCTTACCATTTGGGGTAGATTGTCTGTCTCTGCCAGGAGTCGAGGCGCCATCGTCTGCTACGACAGAGAACACAGGGTTCTGGTTGAAGACTGGAAGGTTGTTAGATTGCGTTCCGTGTTTGTTGAAAATAGAATGTAGCGAGAAGTCATCAGGGTGGGCGAGTCTGAACTGCGTACTATTTCAGCATGAGTGATGCGATATGTCCACTTACCCTTCTTGTTTGTCCTCTTTGGTCCCGTCACGACAGGAGCCATGTCACTTGCCAGTATAGCTATCCTCTCCTTGCGCTTGATTTCGCCAAAGTTCTTCTCATCGTTGGTGTCCACGTTCTCTGCAAGCTCTTGCTCGGAGGTCAGGAAGTCAAACGCCGGGCACTTGATAGGGAACTCGGCTGTTGCTGGATCGTCGGTCGGACCAAATTGACCTGGTCCAAACGGATTCTCTTCTGCAGCCTTCTTGGAGAAGTCACTCTCGAGATACCACCACATGAGCCACAGGAAGGCAGTTGCCCTGCTTCTGCTGCTCAAGTTCGATCGCATAACGAGGTCGAAGAAGTCGCGCGGCGGGAAGAAGTGTAGCTCTGAGATCTTGGGCGCATACTGACTAAGTACGAAGATCAGATTGACTGGGTTCGTCCGTGGTACAGGCGCTGCCATGATCTCTTCGATCGTGCTAGGCTGCTCTTGGTCTTCAGTCGCGCCCTTGAGTATTGACTTCAGCCGCGGTGCGTCCTGCAGCTGCTTGTAGGCGTTTGGGTCTTGGTGGGCTTGGAGGGAGGGGATCGAGTGGTACGTTCGCAGTTGTGCTCGCATCTCAGGGAAGACTGGAATTGTCAGCGTATTGCAACGAACACAGCGCTCAAGTCGTACAGTTGAGAGTAGTATTCATGCGCCCCACGTTGACCAGCAGACACACCATGGCCATGTTGATGGCGGCCAGGCGCTCTGTCAGCAGCTTGTCCTTGAGGATCTTGCTGCACTTGCTACTCTTCGCCATGGCATCGAGGTAGATGTCCGCGAACGAGTGGCCGCCCGACTTGTCTGACTGCTTGGTGAATGCGCGTGTGTCGTCCTCGAAGACGAGCTTGAGGAAGTCGTACTGGATATCCTTGCGCCATAGCGGTATGCCATCGTCCTTCTTCAAGTGTTTGATCTTGTTCCCGCTGTAGACGGACGATACGCTGCCGTTGGCATTGCGCCGTGTTGTGGTGGTGGTGGCTGTGTAGTGTGGTGTGGCATCAGGGTCGGTGGCTGTCTTGGAGCCGTCCTGCGACTGCGCTGCAGCTTCGCTGTCATCAGGGCCCGGCGTGTTTGCTGCTGAAGGCGAGTGCTTTACGTCGTCCATGCTGGGGTCTGCTGCGAGAATGTGTCGCAAGCTGTTCCTGGAGTCGGGCTCTGGATGCGGCGCGCTCGCTTCCATGGCTGCGGGCGCAATCGCCGTTGGTCGTGCAAGATATCGGAAAAGGTAAGGTTCAGTCGCGTCGCGGGTTGCAGCTTCCCAGCTCTCAGTCGCAGGTGTCCGAGTTGCTCAAGGCAGATCGCAGGGCCATGGATCAGAAACGTTGAGGAGCAGCCTTGGAACGTCGACACGAGCCAAAGCTTCTTGCGCTAACGTGTTCTATCAGTAAGCTGCGCATATCAGTATCCTGCGCACCCCACCAAAACGCGCTCAACTCAGCGTGCAATTGCTCCACAACCACATG